TTCTTCGAGTGTCTTGGAGTAGATGAGAATGTCATCCAAGTAACAGACTGCAAATTTATCGAGGCAATGTCGAATTGCGTGGTCGATAGCGGCTTGAAATGTCGCTGGTGCGTTGGTCAACCCGAACGGCATGACGAGGTACTCGTAGTGCCCGTAGGGTGTCCGAAAAGCCGTCTTCCATTCGTCTCCTTCCTTGATGCGGATGTGGGCGTACGCTGTTGGAAGGTCGAGTCGTGTGAAGTGTTGTGCTCCTGACAGCTGATCTCGAAGCCTCGAAATCAGTGGCAGCGGGTATCGGTTCTTCACCGTCTCGTTGTTCAACTGTCGGTAGTCCACACACATCCTGAGCTTCCCATCTTTCTTTGGAACGAAGAGGACTGGGTAGCCTGCTGGAGATGTCGATGGTCTGATGTGTCCTATCTCGAGATTCTTTTCGAGATAACTCCTCAACTCTGCATCTTGCTTCTCGTTGGTGTGGTACACCTTGAAAAACTTCAACTGGGCTCCTTCCTTGAGTTTGATCTCGTGATCCCAAGGTCCGTGGTCTGGTAGCCCTGCAAGATGTTTTGCCGTGAACGCCGGGTGCCCCTTGTAGTCGTCTGGGATCTGCCCCGTCTTTGCGTTCTTCGCTGTACCCTCGTAGTACGCGAACTTGTTGTTCCCAGGCTCGATGCTCGCTGCTTCGAGTTCCCTGACTTCTTCTGCTGCCAGCTCGATGCTTGCCGCTTCGAGCTGATTGACCCATTGTTCGTGTTTGAGCATTCCGTGCTCGTCGACTGAGACGACGGCGATGGTTCGTTCCTCCCGTGCCTGCTTCTTTCGTCGTGTGCCGCTTCTTCCGGACTCCAGAGTGCGTGGTTCTGCACTGGCTGCTTCCTGCGGTGGGCCCGTAGAGGGGGTTCGTTCTGACCCGCTGCTCTTCCGTGGCTCCTGTTCTGCGCGTTCTCCCATCAAGCTGGTCGGATGCTCCCGTTGTTTCCGCGGTCGCAGATGGCCATCTCCCTTCCAGCTGATGTCTGGGTCGTAATCCTCATGCCATGGGCGCCCGAGAATCATGTCTTTCTTCGGCCCCATGTTTACGATGTCGAACACCACTTGGGTGGTTTTTCCTTCCACCTCAATGTCGAGTGGTTCTGTTTCCCGTCGTACCCATTGCGTGTCGAATGGTCCTTTGACGACGTGTGGCTGCTTCTTGATCCTCCATGGGATTCTGAGTTGATTCACAAATGTGGGCGCAATGAGGTCCATCTGCGCTCCTCCGTCCACTAACGCGAGGGCTTCGAATTTCCCCCATCGCGCTGTGATCCAGAGTCTGTTGTCTGGTTTGGTGCTTCGTACAGCAGCTACTTCGTGTTCGTCTGCTGGGAGATCGTTGTAAGGCTTCTGCTTGCGCCAGTTCTTCCTGTACTGCGCAGCCTGTCTCCGTTGTTGTGGAGTTAGAGGTTTCCGGGCCCCTCGGAGGGCCCTGAGCCGTTTCCCAAGCTCTCGTGGTGTTTCAAGGCGTCCCTGTCCGCACCTTGGCTTGCGGCGTCAATCGTCTGGTGTTCTTGGAGCCATTGGGCCGCCCATGCCTCAACTGGGCGCCTCTCGTTTCTTCGGGGCGCTCTCGTCCTCTGGTGTGGCTTCCTCTGGGATTGCTGTTCCATGTATCCCCAGATTTTCTCGTCGGCGTGTGATAGGCAGTCTGCGCTTCGGCATTCGTTGACTCCTACGCCCGTTAGACAGCGTCGGGGCCAGGCTGCCTTGGGTTTAACCCTCAGCCTGCCCTCGTGAGTGCGTTGGGTGTCCCACAACGTGCCTGCGGGCGCGTCGCCGCTGTCGTATACCCATCTGATGGGTAGGGGTTGCGTCCCCTTTTCTTCCCTCGTGGGCCAGAAACTGTTGCGAAATTTGTCCTGGAAGTGGTACCGACATTCGTGCGCGATGCACTGGAACCAGGGCAGATAGGTGTGATTCTCCTTTCGTGGGTCCACCCGCTCATGGTCCTCTGGCAGCAACTGGAATCCCTCCGTGTTGTTCTCGCCCCGGAAACCCCACCATTCAAGGTCAGCGGTTTGTCGTCCGGTGCGCACGATGTGCTGATGTCGAGTCCAATATTCTTCCCAGCTCTGCTGTTTCCTTCCTTTCGTCGCATTTTGCTCCTGTGCGTAGTCGAAAAGTCGCTCGGGGTATCGTACCCCGTTTTCGTATTCTTCCGCTTCTTCGGTGGGTCCATCCCACGGAGTGTGATCCGGGAGTGCCTGGCGGATGTCGTCCTGCAAGGCCTGTGCCTCTCTTAATGTCTTTTCGACGTGATCCCCGGCCCTGTTGTTGGCCTCGGTGATCTCTTGGACTCGTTCTCTGGCGAAATCGAGTTCCGCGCAAAGTTGTCCGTACTGGTCGTTTCTTTCTTGGAGAAGCTGCTCGAGTTCTTCTTTTTCTCTCGACAACTCCTCGATCCTTTGCCGTTGGCTTAGGACCCTCTGCTGTAGGAAGGTGAGGTTCGGGCTGACTCCTCCTTCACCCTCGTGGGTTCGCCATTGCCCGTCCTCCTGCTGAACCAGGGTGATGCCCCATTCCTCAGCGACTTGTTGGATGTACCGCGGGGGAGCCAGTTCTCCCTCGTCATCCGTCTCGATGAAAGCATGGTGGGCGGTGTCGTTTTCCTCCTGGTGGTTGCTGCTCATCAAGTCTCCTTGATCCGAGTCGGTGAGTTCATCGTCCTGCTCGATGACTCGGTCAATGTCGATTTCGAGGTCGTCCTGCGTGTAGCTGGCGGCTGCGACCTCCAGAAATCGGGTTCTTCTTCCGACCGTGTTTTGGTCGATGGTGGCAGCTTCCTTCCCTGGAACCGGTCTCCACTCTTTCTTGCTGCGGCAGTCTCGTTTGAAGTGCCCCTTCTTGCCGCAATTGTAACAAGTGATGCCTGATTTGTCCTTGGCACCATCTCTCTTTCCTGCCCATTGTGCCTGGGCAGCGCTGACGTCCATGGGTCCCGAGTGCGTGCCGTATGACGTGCTCTGGTGCTGGCGTTTCTTTTTGTCGTTGGGCTTGTGGTAGCCTGCGGATCGCTGAATCTCGCTGCCCTTCTTCTGTTGTTTGCGGGCGAACTGTCGGTCGTCAATTTTGACAGCCATGGCGATGTACTCGTCGAGCGTGTCAGGTCGGCTCTCCTTGTAGAGCTCGTCCTTGACCTCCTCCTTCAGTCCTCCGTAGAACAGGTGCATCAGCCCCTCGTCGTCTATTTCTGCCTTCATGGAGTCTTGTCGGAAAATCGTGGCGTAGGCGGTGGCTGACCTAGTCTGCTTCAGCCGTCCTAGCCGTTCCTGGGCGTGTAACTTCTCGTCCTTGTCACCGAACACCTTCTGAATCTCACTCTCGAACTCGGAGTAGTTCTCGAAGACCTTTTTGGTGAAGGGTTTGTGGATTGCTCCGCCGAGGAAATCACTCAGTGTTCCCGTGAACCACTTGAGGGCCTTGTCCTTGAGTCGGGTGGCGGCGTATCTGGTCTTGGATTCCTCAGTGGCGAACTGGTGCGAGTTGTGGTCGAGATAGTTCCGCATCTCCGTGATCCAACCTGGCAAGGCTTCCTGGTCGCCCCCGTACTTCTCGGGTTGCTCCAATTTGACCTTCGTCTTGGCCGGGTCCTTGGTGTGGACCTCGGTCGCCGCAAGTCGGGCTGCCAATGCCGCGTTGCTGGCCTTGGTCTTCGCAAGCTCTTCTTCAGTTTCGTCGAGTCGTTCGGTGACTCTCTGAAGCGCGGCCGTGATCTGGCCCGGCGTCGGTTGAGTTGCCATGTCGTTTTACCTTCGAGCCTGAACTGTAACAGATCAAAGGGAGTTAGCAACGTGTGACGAACCTGTCTCTGGACCCGTCCTGTTAGGGTTCAGTATCGGTCGAAGGTATTCTCTCAAGGGTGCTTAGGTTCGGTGCAGCCAAAGGGTGCACAACAAAGACTTGTCTCAACAGTAGGCTCTCGAGCTTGTAGCGAACTGTAGTTGTGATTGCTAACTGGAGAACTCCCAGAGCTCTCCAGAACGAGTGACTATATACTATCTAGGTCCGTAGGTACCTTCGTACCTATGCCTCCTGGATCGTCTTATCCTCAAGACGATCCATCCTGGATCGTCTTATCTATTCCACGATCCCATGGATCGTGAATTCTCCCACACGATCCGCTTCTTATTGGCTGACGCTCCCATCCTTGACGATTGGCTCGGGGCGTCCCGCGCCCCGCTTCCGTGCGTCTGGCACAGTGATCATGACAGATGGCGGCCAAGGGTGTCTTTAATGACAAAACCAAGCTCCAGCACCTCACTCATATTCCTATTGGCAGGCGAGAGTTCATCGTTTACACAACATCTACTTGGAGGGTTGCTGTAGAAGCAGACGGAGCGGCGGGTAGGGCTGAGAGACCACCGCTCAGCATCATCGAGGTACACTTCAAGAAGCCGCAGCCGGGACAGCCAGTGGAGATCACTTGGGCGCCTGCCAGAGCCTTGATTGCCGCCCACGTTGACCGAATGATGAATTGTAGGTTCAGTTTTAGAACCCATATGTTGGATGACATACTGACAGGAAGAACCACAGCCTCCGAGCCCTCTGGTGAAGGTGATCTCCCCGACAATGATGGGATACAGGGCCGATGATGGACGTTCTCTGGGAACTTTAGTTGGGTTCTCTTTGCTATCGACAGGCTGGGTTGAGACATGCGTTATCGAATCCTGTTTGTCTGAAAACGCTCGCTTTCAGTACCTAATTACGAACCTCTCTCAGCATTTGAGATTCGTGGTATATTAGTGGAGGCCCTCGGGGGCAACGGTGTCCTTTCCCACTCACAACACCAAAGACCGGCGACTTCTTGTAATTATTATTCCGGCTGTGCCGTGGATTGCAGGCACGATTGCTCTCGAACCAACTGCCAGGGGGTGAGGCACCGTGCCACGTACCGAGTACATACATGGCTGCGACCAAGTGCCCCGCACACGCCGCACTGTTGAGGCACCCGAAAATGGCGGCACCGCCCTGCCAAATTCGGCCGCCAGAACAGCAAGTTCTGTACTTCAACTGTAATTATCATAGTCTATCTATCTCCTGTTTCTCTCCATCTCCTTCGTGTTTCTCTCCATCTCCAACTTTAGATCCTCAGCTCGCTTCAGGTCCAACTCCCGAGCGGTATGTTCCACATCCTCAATGACATTACTCCATCCCCAGAGCCGGCTCATAATTCTACCAGTCTCCTGCGCCAAATCGGCTGCCCGATCCGAGGCCTCCCTAAGAGTTTGTTCATCGATGGGAAGAGGACGATTATCTTTCCCATTCTGGTGTACCGTCACCTCCAGGTCCTGCAACACGCCGATATCCGCGCGCAACTTAACCTCTGCCTCCCCGAGCGAACGCACTGCACCCCGCAAGACCACAAGCACACGGCCCGCGCACCTTCCGCACCCGAACCACGCAGCCCCTTTCATCGACAACTCCTCCATCGCCTCCAATTGCCCCAGCACCACCACCGCCATCTCCCTCAACTTCTCAACCTGCCCGTACAAACCCTCAACCTCCTTCACGTTGAAGCATGCCAGCGTCCCCCTATACCGCCTGAAATGCTCCCACTGCTGCCTCACCTGCTCCTGCAAAGTAAAATCAGCCCACAACTCCCCCGCGTACGCCGACCAACCCAGAACCAGCGGCCGCTCGGGCGGATCCACCCAACGAAACAGCCCAGGACACGCCGCCTCCGTATCAGCGATCAACCACAGCGGCTCGACCAGCCCCTGGGCGGGCGCCTGCACGGCCCCCGGCAGGACGTCGCACGCGAGGCGCCGGCACGTCTCGCGCAGCGGCGCCAGCGCCCGCGCCATCTCGCCCAGCTGGTAGCCCACCGCGACCAGCCGGCACGCCGCGTCGGCCGCGTCGCCGCCCGAGGAGCCCCAGTGCGCCCGCTCCGTCCACGTCACGCGCGGGCTCCACGACTGCACCGTGCGCGCCAGCGCGGGGATCCACGCCGCGTCTTCCAGCAGGTTCTTGGTGGGCGTGTCCCGGGCCGTGTCTGTGGCCGTGGCCGTGGCCGTGGCCGGGGCCGGGTCGGGGAGGGTTAGCGGGTGGTAGGGGGATGCGCGGGTGTTGCAGGAGGGGCAGGTGGAGGGCTTTGCGGTGGTGGGTTGCTTGCGGGGCTTGTCGTCGTGGGTGGTGAAGGGGTTCCAGCTTTTGGTGCGGCGCTTGGTGAGGCTGCTACCTTTGGTTGGACGTTGGGGCGCGGTAAGCTCGTCGAGGTACGCCTTGACTTTGAACTCGCGTGTGTCGAACAGGTTGTGGTTGTGCTTGGAATCGGAGCTGGGGGTCGGGGTCTGTCGCATGTAATCTAGCAGAACATCCATGTAAGACAACTGAGCCGCCATGTCCTCTTTCTCGCTTGCCATATTTGTTGATTCAAGCGCCGGGCTGTAACGCTCGGATATAACGCTGGGCTGTTGAATACACTCTCGGGTTCAAACCTTTCCTTCGGGGTGTCTCTTGGTCCGGGAGGAGAGTAATCCCTGGGTCCTGGATTTCGTCAAACGTATTTACCTACTTTGGAGTATGGGTTGGATGTGGTATTAATGCACGACATGGAGTCACACAGGTTCATTGTCCATAAACGCTTAGTGCGGGAACAGCAAATGGAGCTAACAAAGCACTGGATAGTTCGGCGGCCTCCGAACAGTTGGAGCGAATGGCGTCGAAATAATTATACTGTTCCAACAGACAAAGACATTAGGCAGCGTGGACATGGCCGGTGAGCAGAGGTTACGAGTATTGGGAGAGCACATGAGCATCAAGAGATCAGATACTACTCAAACATGCGGGAACTATTGGTAGGTCTGCCAGGGGTAGGGTGTATTATAAGTTGACTCTTAAAGCTGGTTCCTCCTTCACTGGACGTCCAACATCTCTCGCACAGGCTACCAGTTCCGGTATCCCTACACCACACCACACCACATCCAAACAAAACAAAACGCCGGATATCTCTCGGAATGTGCTCTTATATTATGCAGCGCAGTGTTTGCCAGCAGTGTCGCGGCTTCATCGAGTTCCAGCCGGTGGACCACCTTGGCTGTCGCAAGGCCCCAAAGAGGTGCCCCGGGAGAAAGAAGAGGGGGGACACTGTGCGCTATGTTGATGCTGAGGAGTGCAGCACATGCACCCTGGAAGCTATGACCGCCGACCCTGACTTGTACATAGAGTATCCCGAGTTCGAGGATCCCCCACATCGGCCCATGGAACTTGGGCTGTGGATGCAAGGCATGGGGGGAAGACCTCGTGCATCCCGTTGATATCCCACCTCACAGCTATTCGTTTAAGTGGCAACTAGAAGAATATGTCGCTGTAAGGCCTGTATTTGCGCCCATCCTAATGTCATGGGTTACAGAATTGCATTCGCTTCCCGGACGGGCAGCAGTAAGGTGTCATTAATACTTCTGACGAACACGGTCGTGTCGGGGGTCACGAGCCCCGAGATGCGGGCCGTCTGTAAATTATATACTTGGAGAATATAATACGTCTACTCTGCGAATATTAGTGGCTACCTGGTTCTCTAGATCTAAATTGTATTGTTGTCGTGAAGTAATTGTAGGTAATTAGCACCTGAACTGAAACGCAATGTCATGTCCAGTCCCTCTTCTCTCGTTTGTACGAAAGGACGGAGTATCACTCAGAGGTTCAGGCCCACAGAAAGCTCTAACAGCGCGTTTGAGCTCGTTTCCGATCTCCCTGAATATTACATGTGTGCGTCCTTCATTCCCTACCGCCATTTCGACTCCATACTCGGCGCTGGGTCCGGATCTCGCCGCAAAGCCTCACCGCTGAAAGGTGCATACTTTGCCTCGGATTTTGATTTCCGTAGCGTATTATAATAAAGCCAACGTTTCCATCCAATAATTACACAGGCGCTGGTGAGCCTCCAGTTATGGCTCGAGACAGCGTGTGGTTCACTGGGAACTTTTGCTATTCTGCTCACATTGACCCCCGATAGCTCACCATGGGAAACGCCAAACCATGGAAAAGAATTAAAGAATTAGCCAGCAAGTTTGATGGCATGGACCTTGCAATTCCACCGATCTCCTCCTGGCGTTCAGGAAATCCCAGACCGACTTAACCGGCCCGCAGATCTGTGTAGATCTCGTGCCGAGCGCTCCATGGGTCCCTGATTCTCTTTCAGCTGAGGTTTGCTGGCGCTAACTACCTCGGGAGGGACATATGGGACTCTTTTCCTCAAACAGCTGTGAGTTGTCGCTTACCTACAAAGTGTCTCAGAGCCCTCGCTTACAAGGACCAAACTCGAGCTGAGTGATCTTAGCTTCATCTTGGCCACGGGCCCAACACAGCGGGTAGAGTGGTAGATCTTATGGAACTACCCACACGACCCCTTTCACTGGTGTTCAAACATCGGGGTGCGAGCGCTTTTCACACTCTCTCGCGCGCTTATGTAGCATAAATACACTCTATCTATCCTCCAACAGCAACAACACCCAGCAGCTCTCCACAGACCAACACAAACCAAATAAACCCAACACCAAAGCAAACCAACCACCACCATCACCATGAAGGCCGTTAGCACCATCCTCCTCACCCTCGCCACACTGGCCTTTGCCGCGCCCAACCCCAACGCCAATGCCGACACCCTCTCCACCAGGCAGAATCAGCTAGGCTGCACGTACGACTGCCAGTGCCAGGATGGATTTGGCGACGTATTCGTCCCTATTAACGAGGAATGTTGCCAGTCCGATATTAGCGAGGACGGCAAGGTACGTCACTTTTTTGTTTCCTTCTCTTTTACTTGCCCATTCATCTCTCTATTGAACGTATTGAGATGGGGACTCCCGTACCATGCTCCCAAGGGGGTTCAAGGCTAACCGACCTCGGCGAGATAGAACTGCAACATCCCCTTCCACCCCTTGGCGCAAATATACGCCGGCTGCTGCAAGTTGATGCCCGGTCGCCCTGTATGTAAGCCGAGCCGCTCCGACTGCCTGCCCATCCCTTAGGCTTGTGGCTGGATGAAAGGTAGAAACGGGATAACTGGCCTTGTAACCAGGAAGGGGTTACAGGTAGAAGGAATACGATAGCTTGTCTTTGTAATTTAAGTGTAACCTCTACCCCTATTTGACTAGATTTGACTAGCAGCTCTCTTCAATACGTAGCACTTTTACCTCCAGATTTCCTCCTACCAGAAGCTCCCTATCGTGTGACATTTCTCGGACCATTACACCGAGTTTGTGTCTGAAAAGGCGCCAAGACGATTGGAGGCGCTTGCCGGATACCGGCTTCACCGGCCCGCAGATCTGTGTAGATCTTGTGCCGAGGTCCGTTGGCGCTCCCTGGCATGGAAAAGATGCCTCCCCGCTAGACCCGATTCGCGTAACTGTCATGGATTCTCAGAGCCCACGGCGCCGTCACATTTGGTTTTGGGGGATGCTACGATCGAGCCCAATGCTCACCGGGTATGCTCATCAGCTATGAGCAATCCACTGATTCCTGGCGGTGTGATGTGGGCTCCCGCTGGTGCCTGACGCTGATTCGGGCATACGTCCCAATTCTCTTCAAAGGTTTCGATCAGCACTTACTTGCGTTTTCCCAGACCTGGGTCACCATTCAGCTCCTGCTCTCCCGCCTAGCGCAAAGCTTCGGTTGGCGAGTGTGGGATCCCTGATTCTCTTTCAGCTCAGATTTGCTGGCACTCTTGAACTCTGTTCCCTAAACTGCTGTGAGTTGTCTTGTCTCAGAGCCCCTTTGAGCTTAGTAATAGTTCATGTTGGCCAACACAGCGGCTCGATCGGGAGATACTACGGAACTACCTACATTCTCCCCCCCGCGAGTGTTTACGCGTCGGGGTGTAAGGCTTTCCAACACTCTCCTACCCGTATATAAATACCCTCTATCCGTCCTCCAACAGCAACAACATCTAGCAGCTCTCCGTAGACCAACAGAAACCAAACAGACGGTAACCCAATACCAAACTATACCAACCACTACTATCACTATGAAGGCCGTCACCACCATCCTCCTCAGCCTCGCCACGCTGGCCTTTGCCGCGCCTAACCCCCACGCCGATGCCGACGCCCTCGCCGCCCGGCAGGAAGACTGCACTTACGTATGCCAGTGCCAGGGCAGAGACGGGACCCCATTCATCTCCGTCAACCGCGGATGTTGCGATGATAACGACATCAGCGAAGACGGCAAGGTACGTTACCTTTTTAATTACCCTTTCATCTCTCTGTTGACGGTGTTGAGATGGGAACTCCCGTACCGTACTCCCAAGGAGGGCGAAGGCTGACCGATCTCGGCGAGATAGAACTGTAACAAGTCCGGCTATAACTCGGCGCTAGGGTATGCCGCCTGCTGCGAGCTTGTGTTCGGTAGCCCTGTGTGCGAGGCGAGCGAATCTGAGGCTGGCTGCCCTCCCGTCCTTTAACCTCGTGGCTTGTTGAAAAAGGGGGGGACATGATGGCTGGGGCTTGAAGCTGGGAAGGGGTTGGAGAGTGTTGGGCACGACATTAGTTGGTAGAAGGAATACGACGGCTTGTCTTAGGTTTTGATTCGTGTCGAGTTTGACTCACGTTTGACCGGATTTGACTCGCTCGAAGTTCATCAAGTTGGAAGAAGCTAAGTCCCCACCAGACTCAGCTGTTAGCTTTCACATACTTTTCTCGGACAATTATACTTGTTTGGTTTTTGCCCTCGAAAGGCGTCTAGATAAACGACTAGGTGTTTGCCGGACACAGCGGCTTGACCAGGCGGCAGATCTTTGTAATGTAAATTGAGTCATTGACGGATAGTGCTGAGATCCCGTTAGCGTCCCTGCTACCTACCGAGGTAGCATGGCAAAGAAGCCTGCCCCGGGCGTTACTGGGCCCGATCCGAGTGACTGTCGTGGAATCTGGACCGTCTAACACCGCCCCATCTCCTTCCTGGGCAGTCGTGTGGAAAACTTGCATGCCGACAGCTAGGTAGTTACCGGCCCACAATTGCAACTGTGGTTTGTCCGACGGCGTGGACGGAGAAGGGTCGCTCGATCCGATCGTCGAGTTCACTGGATCTTTTACAACTCCCTCCTTCCCAAACTCGAAGCCAGGCGGTGAAGACCGAACCCGATGCTCAACCCGGGCATGCTGATTACGTAGGTAGGTAGCAATCCGACTGAACACTCATAGCGGTGACGTCGGCTTCCATTTTGTGCCTTACGCTGATTAGTGAGAGCATAACTACAGAGACAGGTTATTTTCGACACAAACGTAATTATCGATCGGCACTTACATAGGTTCTCCAGGGCCTAGATCGATATACAGCTCCCACCATACCGCCTGGCGCACAGCTGGGTTGGTGAGTTTGGGCTTCCTGATTCTGTTACTGTGTACATATAGATCTGTACAGCTGAGATTCGCCGGCACCAGTGAACGCCTTTCCTCTAACAGCTGTGTTGTCGCTTGTCTGATCCCCCTCACAAGGCGCCGGAGATCGTTCACACAGACAGGCACTCGCGCCTTCAAGCAACCCGCAGCCCGAGCCTCGGTACCAATTGTTCCCGTTGGCCAGTGAGATGTTGCCATTTACGGAAAGACTCAAAAAGCCAGGGTAGGCTACGAAGGGAGGGATTAAGTCGTTGCTGATCTGCACGAGGACCAAACTTGGGCTGGGGCAGGGTTTCCTACAAGCTCGCCCAGCGGCCGGATCCGTCGAGCCCATCGAACCATCGGCATAACTCCCTCCACTCGTGTTCAAACGCCAGGGTGCGAGGTTTTCCAACACTCCGGCTCATATATAAATAGGTACCCTCCGTCCTTGCTCCAAGAGCAACACCGTCCAGAAGCTCTCCACAAACTAACATAAACCAAAGACCCAAAACTAAACTACACCAATCACCACCATCACCATGAAAGCCGTCATCACCATCCTGCTCAGCCTCGCCACGCTGGCCTTTGCCGCGCCCAACCCCCACGCCGATATCGACGCCCTCGCCACCCGGCAGGAAGGTTGTACCTACGTGTGCGAATGCGTGGACGAACACGGCGACGGCGTACTCCGCAGCAACCTGGATTGTTGCCAGGGCCCCACCGTTAGCGAGGGCGACACCGTTAGCGAAGATAGCAGGGTACGTTGCTTTTTGACATATCTTGTCCCATGACCTCCCCGTTGAGGGTGGTGGGATGGGAACTACCGTACCGTGCTCCCCAGGGTGAAGGATGACCGATCTCGGCGAGACAGCACTGCAATATTGGCACCCACCTCTCGGCCATGGGATACGACGGCTGCTGCAGGGCGTGGCACAACAGCCCTGTGTGTAAGGCGAGCAACTCTGCCTGCCCGTCCGTAGCTGGATGAGGAAGGTGGAAACGGGGTGGTTGTGTCTTGTAGCTGGGAAGGAGTTGGAGAGTTGGGCATGGGATTACGTAGTAGTAGGTGGAAGAAATACGACAGCTTGTCTTTTCGATTCATGTACTGAGTAACTATGAAACATAACTACGGATTTTACGGAAATCATGTCTGCACAAGTCGCCTCCTGCATCAGAGGGAGCCGGGGGGTGTCACCGAGCACATGCACAGATGCATATTTACCACAGAACCGGACGTTCTCTCGGACAATTAGACGTGGTTTTGCCTCGGAAAGCGCCACGACGACCAGGCGTTTGCCGGACACAACGGCTTCACCGGACCGCAGATCTAACTATGTAGATTGGTTCATTGACGCAGAGTGCCGAGATCTCGTTAGTTGGGTAGCGTTCCCTAGCATAGAAAAGATCCCTACCCCGGGCGGGCCTTGCTGGGCGCGATTCGCGTGACTTACATGGGATCTCAAACTGTCCGATTTCCTTCCTCGGGCACGCGGGAAGCTGGTTAGCCCAATGCTCAATCTGGGCATGCTCATCAACTGGTGAATTGTTCGCAACCGGCCCAAGGGTTCCTGGCGGTGTGGTGTTGGCTTTGATCGGCACTTGCCTGCGTTGTCTTCGGCGTAGATCGCCATTCAGCTCATACCAGACCGCAAAGCGCGAAGCTTTGGTTGGTGAGTTTGGGTTTCCTGACAATTCTCTGACCGATGACATCTGCGAGCACCATTGAACGCCATTCCCAAAACAGTTGTAGGTTGCCGATTATCCGAGGGGTCCATCCCTCAACACCCAACAACGCCAACACGAACCAAACACACCCAACACATACCAAAGTACACCAACCACCACCATCACTATGAAAGCCGTCGCCACTATCATCCTGACCCTCGCCACGCTGGCATTTGCCGCGCCCAACCCCCACGCCGATGCCGACGCCCTCGCTGCCCGGCAGAGTTGTACGTACTCGTGCCAGTGCCTGGACCCAAGGGGCAACGCACTCGTCGACATGAACAATGAGTGTTGCCCGGGCGGCAACGTGAGAGAAGACAGGACGGTATGTCGCTTTAATTGTTACCCTGTGATCTCCCGGTTGAGGGAACTACCATGTGGCGCTCCTAAGCGTGAAGGCTGACCCATCTCGGCGAGACAGACCTGCAATATCCCCATCTTCCCCTTGGCGGTGGGGTACGCCGCCTGCTGTCAGGACGACGGCCGCCCTGTGTGCCAGCCGAGCGGCTCTGGCTGCCCGACTATCCCTGTTTAGACTGGGTAGTTGTATGAGAGGTGGAAATGAGGTGGTTATAGCTAGTAACTGGGAAAGAGTTGGAGAGTGTTGGGCATGGCATTAGTGTTGGTAGCAGAATGGAATACAGTAGTTTGTCCATTTGACCCATGTACTGAGTGTGATGAACCACGTCATTCTCCGAGTGACCAGATGGATATCATGTCTGCACGAGTTAACTCGATTCGACTTGGTCAAGTTAGCACAAGTCCTGTCCCTGCCCACATCCGTACATGGACTTTCAGCTTTTCCACACTTTTCTCCGACAGTGAGACGTCGTTTTGCCCCAAAAGCGCCAAGACGACCAGGCGTTACCGAGCAAGGCCTCGGGTACTGATCTTTTCTCTGCTCGGCAGGGAACGCTCACAAGATCTCGGCACTGGTTATCCGTCAATCGATTGTGTCCGGCCCGACTGGCGTGACTGTCCTGGAATCCCAGAGCGCACGGCGCCGTCCCATTTCATTTCGCGGCACGCGAAGATCGCGCCCAATGCTCACACGCTCAGTCCAGGCATATTCATGAACTTGTGATTACAGTGGAGTTAGCAATCGACCCCAAGGTTCCTGGCGGTGTGATGCTCGTGATGCTAGCCCTGATCGGCAATCGCCTGCGTTGTCTTGGGGCTCCTGGGAGTGTAGATCAAGATCGCCATTCAGCCCGCAGTGCAAGGATTCGGTTGATGACTTTGGGTTTCCTGTCAACCCCCGCACAGCTGGACTTTGCTCGCACCATTGAACCCCATTCCTCAAACAGCTGCGAGTTATCGGTTGTCGGTTGTCTCGGTGCCTTTCATAACTATATATAAATACCCTCCATCCATCCTCCAACAGAAACAACACCCAGCAGCTCTCCACAAACCAACACAAACCAAACACACTCAACACCAAACAACACCAAACCGCCGCCACCATCATGAAGGCCGTTACCACCATCATCCTCACTCTCGCCACGCTGGCCTTTGCCGCGCCCAACCCCGACGCCAATGCCGACGCCCTCTCCGCCCGGCAGGGCAACTGCGTATACGACTGCCAGTGCCAGGACGGAGACGGCACCCCATTCATCCCCGTCAACGAGGATTGTTGCCAGGGCGACATCAACGAAACCGGCGAGGTACGTTGCCTTTTTATTTCTTACCCTTTTACGTCTCTGTTAAGGGTATCGATGGGAACTCCCGTACCGTATTGCCAATAATGGTGAAGGCTGACCGATCTCGGCGAGATAGAACTGCAATGACAACATCTACCCCTTCGCGATGGGGTACGCCAGTTGCTGCAGGGCTGGGTACGGTCGCCCTGTGTGCAAGGCGAGCAGCTCTGACTGCCTGCCCGTCTCTGCTTAGGCTCGTAGCTGGACGAGCATGGTGGAAGTGAGGTGACTGGCTTGTAGCTGGGAAGGGGTTGGAGTGTGTTGGCATGGCATTAATTAGCGGAAGAAATGCGGCGGCTTGTCCATTTGATCCGCGTACTTAAGTGTAAATTACGCCCTTCTATGGGTGACCAAATGGAAATCGTGTCCGCACAAGTACCCTCGATTCAATATGACGGAGGCCCAGTTGCTGAGCACGGATGTACAAGTAAGCATCTATCACAGAACCGGACATTCTCGTCGTGTAACAGCATTAAAACATCAATATCCCAACTCCCCTCCTGTCGGCAAACGCCATGCTGAAGACGGTATCACCAAAACCTAACAGCCCAGGTATATACAAACAACAGAACCTCACAACAAGAAACCAAACTTTCCAACGCCCCAAGATCATTCTAAAACACATCCGAGCAAGCGACATCCAAAACCACGTTCACTCATCACAATCATCACCACCCACCAGACAAAAAACCAACCACCAAAACGCCCCCATCCAACCCAACCCCTATCTAACCCCGCCTCGCAGGCGTCCCCGGGCTCGGAGCCGAAACAGCCGACACCGGCGCCGCACTCCCCTGCCCACCCTGACCCTGACCATAACCATGCCCCTGCTGATACTGCTGATACTGCTGCTGATGCTGATGCATCCCGCCCACCTGCCTGCCCGCGCTCCCCGGCGTCAGCGTGACCGCACTCAGCGGACTGACGAGATCCTCCATCGCCTCCTGCGCCCCACCACCACCACCGCCACCTCCACCAGTAGCAGGCCGCAGCCCCGTCCCCGGCGGCGGCAGCACAACACGCATGTTGACGGGCGCCTTCCCGACGTAGGCTGCCGCGATGTTACCCGGCAGGGGGCCGAGGGTGTCGCGGTCGGTGTTCCGGGTGCCGGTATCCTTGGGCGCGTCGCGCTCGAGGTCGGAATTCTTGATCTCGCTCCTCGCGGGCGGCGGCAGCGCGCCGCCACCGTGGCCGCTGCCCATGCTCATGGCCATGGCCAGCGTCATCTCGGTGCTGGCGTTGGTGCTGCTCGCGCTGCTGCCCTCGGTCATGCTGTCGGGCTCGCCGAGGAAGATGCCGATGCCGTGGCCCTGCGGCGGTGTGGTGAGCGTCTGGCTCTGACGGAACACCGGGGCCTGGGTTGCGCCGCCGCGCGTGTTGGTGATGCCGTAGTCGTCGTATGGCGGCTCGGCCTCCTCGGCGATGGGGTCGAAGGCCGGGAGATTGGGGAGCTGTGGGGCGGCGGTAGGGACATTCAGCCCGGGGCTAGAGCTGCCCGGGATCTTTGGAGTGCTGCGCGGCGTGATGATGCCTGGCATGTTGGGGCTAGGGATTACTCTTGGAGAGAGGGGAGGGAGGTCGGCGACCATGGCCGAGGCGAGGCCGATGGCGACCGGGGAGGTCGGGGTCGGCGGGGGTTGGAAGTTTGTGGGATGTTTTATAACGGCGGCCGTGACGTTATTGTTGTTGGTTGGCGGGGATGTATTCCGGGCGACAGTGCTGGCAAACCGACGAAGGCGGCTGCCAAAGGAGGGCGATGGCATTCCGACATTCCCGATGCTCGGTCTCCTCTTGTGGGCCTGTGGCGGTGGTCGCGTCCCCCCGCTGCTCTTGTCGACTTCTTTCTCTTTTTCCTTCTCTCTACCCTTCGGTGCCTCTTTACCGGGCTGGGGCTTGAGCTTGGATGCCACGAGCTCAAACTGTTTCAGCATGGTTGGGTTCTCGACAATTTCTTCCATGGCGATTTGTAGATTGGCATCTGCTCCTGGCAGGTTGACCCTGGGGAGCTCGGCGTTGAGCCGCCGCATAATCTGAGAGGCCGGGATGAGACTTCCCCAGAGATCAAAGAACGCCGCGTTGTGGATTTGGGCCTCGGGCACGCCCAATGCACTGGGGTTGAGGATCGATGTCCAAGTATCTCGAATAACCATCTGGACGGCCTCGATCTGTTCCTTGCTCAGAGTATTCATGATGCTGCTGTCCGCTTCCGAGTCATCGCTCACGGTGGGCTTCGCCGGCAACGGAATCCTCTTAATCATGCTCCGGTACTGGTACCCGCACGGGATAACGGGCTGCATGATGCTGACGCTCGTTAGGAGGCTGATGGTCGAGCAGAGCATGCGCAGTGCGTGTTCAGCAAACTTCTCGGTAAGACGGTCGGCACAAAACGAGATGGAGATTTCGACACGGTTTGTCGGGCGCACAAGAGATCTCACCCACAAGTCGGGCATATCCTGGGCCTTCGACTCGTGGATAGTGAACTTGCAGGAGGCGGTGCCAAGGTGGAACGACTTGGGCTCCGACGGGTTGATGGCCGTGTCTTCGTACTGATGCTGCACCAGCGTGCTAAACCGAGTCCAATATGGCCAAGGCGTGCATTTCTCCACGATGGCCAATGATCCGAGATTCTCGAACGGGATGCCCGACATGCGCTGTGCATGGATGTATTGCAGCAAGTTCACCGGCGTCAGTGGGGTATCTGGGAACTGAACTCGGACGGGCGTGGCATTAACAGTAGGCCCCATTACGCCGGCGACTGAATGCCCCCCCGGAAGTCTAACATGGCGGCCATCGATGACCTCTCCGAAGACGACGTCAGAAGACGCCGAGAGATTCGCGAGCACCATTGCCCAAGCCGCCTTGAGGACCGTCTCGAAGGATATCCCGAGGCTAGAAAGCGAACCCAGCGCAAGCGCAGGGTTTCGAACCGTCTGGATGTCTGTCGACATGTCGTAGGGCTGCACATGCGCGACGACCTGGGTCACCTGGGAGCCCTCAAGCAACGCACGCCAGTATTCTTCGGCCCCGTTGGAATTGGCGGCTTGAGCGGTACGCATAAAGTCGCAGAAGGTTGGCCGGCGAGGTGGCTTCTGAGAGCCGTCGTATAACCTCTTGAGATCCTTGACCAGCAGCGCAACGGACAGATCGTCGTACTGTGCCTTGGAGAGCCGCAGGATGAGGATTGACTGCTTGCTACCGTCGAGAAACATGAACTTGGTCACCGGATTTTCGAATCCGACGGCTGTGCTTTGGTCTTTCTTGATCACCTTGTCCAGCATGTTAGCAAGCCGCCATGTCGGGCAGTAATGCCGGCGAAACTCGATGCCGCTAGACTTGATGACAGCTTGGTACACTCGGCGGTTGTGTGGGACAAATGCCGTGCGTAGGATCGGGTGTATTGTTGCCAACGTCTTGCAAGCCTCCTCCAGCTTCTTCGAGTCGACGGCGCCGGTGAAATTGAAGATTAAATAGTTGATGTTCGTACGACCCCGAAGCATGCCGGTCTCGATGTACCGGATCTGTGCCGATGATGCCTCGGCCGCGTCGGCGATCACGCTAGCGTCGACTCCAACCCCCGGGGCAATCACCTTCTCAATAAAGACCTCTTTGATCGCGTTCGGGTTGAGGGGTACCGGCGACGGCGATGTGGTTGGGGGTGCCGGCGAGGCCTCCTGCATAATTTGTGGCGACTCTACAGTAACGACCGCCTGACTGAGGTCTGTTAATGTCGCGCCGCGAAGCACATCGGCGATGGATATAGCAATATCTTGTTGCTTGCACACAGCGACTAGCTGTGCGGCTGCGATATCATCTCCGCCAACGCTGAAGAAGCTGTCGATAGCCGAGATCTTGGCCTCCTCGATACCCAGTACTCGTGCCCAGATAGCCCTCATCTTCTCCTCGCCTTGGGTCAAGGGCAAGGGTTTGAGATGCTGGAAGTTACCCTTGTTCGGCACGGTGGCAAGGCCCAGAAGATCGTCCTTGGTTAGGCCGGCGATCATCTTCTGCAGCCGTCGTCGGTTAACCTTGAGTGAGGGTGTGATGGGAAGATGTTTGACTGGGATAAAAGCTGAAGGGATCATGGACGGTGGAAACGTGTTCTTCAGCCCCATTGTAACCAGCTGCTTTGCCAGTGCAAGCTGCTCCTTAGTTGTCGAGCTCAGTGACGTGAGCGTCTCTTCGTTACCAAAACGGTCGCCAAGCTCAATAAAAGCGGTCAGGATGGTATCGTTCTTCGCCGGGCCCCGAAATATGACTGTTTCGACAACAACATCAACCCCTTGCCCCAGGCAACGACGCAGGTACTGCTCGATCTCGGTGAGATTGATGACTTTGCCATCCATGTCGATGTCGTCTCGCTTGCTGGAGATGAACTCCATCAGACCCCTTTCAGTGTACCGCGCGCGATGTCCGGTCTTCAAATACCGTGCTCTTCCCCCAGAAGCAGGCCCGAGGGGCGACAGAGGGGTCATGGTTGACTCCCGATTCGGATACGAGAATCCCAGCGTGGGGCCCTCAACGACCAACTCTCCAACCGCCCCGACCGGCACGGGCTTCTTGTGGTCTTCCGGGTTGACGATCAGGAGATTGCCCGCGAAAGGTCGGCCGATACTCTTCAAATGCTGAGGGCCGAGAGCTTCAAGGAAAGCGATGCCCAGGGGGCACACATCTTGTGATCCATACGCCAGAACAACGTTGGCTTTTCCGTGCCAAATGCTGTACGTGTCGTCGTCGAGCCCCCTAGTCCGAAAGCAAACGACCTTGAGCGACGGCAGAAGTGTTGGGTCCACCTTTCGGGACAGGAGTGGTGTCATATAGGACCAGTTGACCTGCATCCGGTTGGCGGCAGCGCTGAAATCTTGCAACCTCTCCGCGGCAGAAGGTACGCAAACGCAGCCGCCGTATGCGAGTGTGGTGAAGATCTCGGTGATGCAAATGTCCACGTTGAACGATGAGAGCTGCATCACGCGACTAAGAGGCGAAATCCGTGCGGCGGGCCCCTGCCCCATGAGAGACGTGGACAGTGCTGCGTGGCTGAAGGTCAACCCCCTCGCGTCGGTCGACGATATCGGCACAAAGAGGATGCATGCTGGATCGCTCGGGGCGGCCATCGAAGTTAGCGGCCCTTCGCCTCGTGGCAGGACGCTCATCAAGTCGTCAGTCAGGACGACGACTCGATCAAAGAGGTTGGTGAGAACCGGGGCGGCAAGCTCTGATGAGATGGCTACTCTCGAGTTGAGACGCTCAAAGATGGGCTGGATCATGCCGAGTTCTAGCGAGTCGACCGGGACGAACGCAGCACCCGACCTAGCAATTAGTTAGATGGGAGCGAGCCGTGGACTCAGAGAACTCACTTCAGCACAGCGACCATGGCCACGGGCGCAAGCTTGCATTTGTCCATTACGACTGGCACCACGGAGTGGGGCCCGACACCCGCGTCGACAAGATGATGGGCAAGCCTGGTCGCCTCCTCTTCAAGCTGGAGATAAGTGAGGGATCCATCCCAGGAGCAGATGGCTTGCGATGCCGGTTGTATGGTGGCCTGTCGTGACACTAGGTCATGGACCACGTTCTGTGCCTGCTCCTCTACTTCAGGCGGCGACTCGGCCTCCCAGGCGAGTATCTGGGCGTAATCTCTGTCGCTGAAGAGGTCAACCAAGCCGACGGACGTGTTGGGAGAGGCCAAGATGGCGCGGATGGCTCCGCCGAACGTGTTCGCCACGTTGACGGATTGCTCCGGAGACATCACACGCTGCCCAATGTCTACAGTCAACTTGCCGGCCGTGAATCGGGTGTTGACCACAATATCCACGTCGAAAGTCTGCTGCAGCGAGATGGGTTTGAGCTCGGACGTCGTTCGGGTCGTGAATTTGCTGTTCAGCCCTGCCGGCTCTTCGGTGAAAGTTAAACAAGAGTTAAAAAGCCGATCCCCGCCCTTCATCCCCATACCATGCTGGAGCTCGGCCAACGTGAAGTGCTGATGGGGGAGGCAGGTGAGGAGGTGCTCTTCGACCATTTGTAGTGCCGCAGCCACCGGACTGTACGTCGCCAATTCGTAGGCACACGCGATCGTATTGGAGAAGGAGCCCACGGCGTGTCTCATCCCGAGTATGGAATCGTCGCGGCCCACTGTCTGGAACCCGAAGCAAATTTGGTTGGAACCGGTGAAACACCGTAAAATGAGACCCCATGCGAGCCGAAGGACGGCGTCGACTGTCGTCTTTTGCGTGCGGGTGAAACCCGAGAGCTGGTACGAAGTGATATCGAGTTCGACGCAGGTATTTACAAACCCGAGTTCGCCGGGAAGTATGGTAAGGCGGGGGAACAGACAGGGGGGGATGCCTGTCAGCTTCTCACGCCAAAAGACAAGGCTGCTTTCTTGCCGGGCGGTCTTGAGGAAGTAAAGGTAATGGGGGTAAGAGAATTGGTCAGCCTCGGTGATGGCTCGTTCCGTGGCATAAGCCCGACGCAAGTCGTGGAGAAGAACATGGATGCTCAGGGACTGCCACCTGTCAGCTGGGTGCGACGTTGGAAAACCGGGTAAGGACTCACATCGCACAGCGCTGTACTGATATCCAACTTCACCAGCGTCCTGGTGGGGGCCTTGCAGACGGTGAGCCTGTGAAGCGGTTTGCTCTCCGTCGGTCGCAGGTTCGGCAAGTTGCTCAGCTCATACACCGGATCCTCGGCGGGCGCGGTATCGATGAACAGCATCTCGGGCGAGGTTCGGCGGAGGATGACCTTGTCCCAAAGACCCGTTTCGGTAACACTCTCGGTGAAGATGGTCCTGAGCGCTGCATGCCTCATGGTGACTTGTTGCCACGCGTTGCATATCCTGGATATGTCAATCGGATCCCCGGTGGGGGACGCAAACTCGTATATTGCATGCAAGTAGCACGTGTCCGGACGCTGCGCCTGGCTGATCAAGATGCTTTGCTGAACAGCAGTAACTGGGTAAATTGTCTCGACATCCCGAACGCTGGCGAGTTTGAGAGTGGCGACGCGCTCCTTGTTGAACTTCTCGAGACCTTCGTATGTCACGTCGAGGTGGGGAACGTCTGCTTGAGTCAGCTCCTGTGGGTGGTACCTGAGCCTGCCGATAGCCTCGAGGAGGAGGTGCTCGTAGTTCTGAACCCATTGCGTGATCCGAGCCTGGTCTTTGGAAAAGCGGTTGTACAGAAACTTGATTTTGGCGCTCCCCTGGTCAACCATGGCGCTGACCTCGAACAACGCAATCCGGCCCACGTTCGCCCCAATATCCGATGTCATGGACGCCAGCGTCCGGCCGGGGATAGCAAGCTGCTCCATCACTCCATTGTCACGCTCTAGGTGTTGCAACGAGCCCGCATAGCTAAAGATGAGCTCGAACGGCCAGTCTTTTGCTGCCAAGTCCTCCTTGTCGTAATGGTAAAATCTCGAGGCGAAGTACTGAGCACCGCGCGCTGGGATCGATCGGCGAGTGTCTTTCAAGTGGCGCAATACCTTGATGAAGTCGTCCGAAGTATCTACCTTGAGACTAACTGGGCAAAGGGATGTGAACCAGCCCACAGTCTCGGAGATGTCGATGTCCGGGTTCCATGGATCTCTACCGTGCTCTTGATTCCACACGGCGGGCACGGGTCGGTCGTGAAAGGTCTGGGCAAAAGAGAGCACGAGGGCGGCGAGGTAGACGTCAACAGAGTCGGTCTTGAAGACCTGGTTGCAAGAACTTTGCAGGATGGTGGTAAGCTCTTGGCTCAACGAGAAGCTGACCTCGGCGGCATCGCCGTACGTATTCGGCGTGTCTTGGAGACCCCAATAGGCGTAATCCCCAGGTTGGAGGGCAAAAGGGAGGAGGTCCTGGGGGTTCGGACCTAGAGCGTCTGCCTTTTGGAGGTCTACCCACTTGTGAAAGGGCATGGACCTCTGCGACAATAAACTTCCGTTTTCCAACAGCTCGTCGAGGTCATGAATGATGGTGCGCCAGGAGGGGAGGTCAACCGCGAGGTGGTGCGCAACGACGTACACTAACTGTTGCCCGTCATTAGTAGTGAGATAGTCAACGGCGAAGATCGGCCCGGTCTCGACGTTGATCGACATTTGTGTCCGTTCGATAATGTCTTCCAACTCGCGCTCGGATCGAATTTCGCTGTGGCATAAGGTGTAGGAGCCGGCGATCTCGGGAAGAACCCTCTGTACCCAGCCATTCAAGCCTCGGCCAAAACGCGACCTTAACATTGGGTGATGGGCGACAACAGCCTCGATTGCAGCCGATATGTCCTCGAAGGAGAAGACTTTTTTGAGCCGCAAGAGCAGGCTCTGGTTGAAGCGGTAGCTCCCATCAAGCGCAGGTCTCCGCCTCAGATCACCGCCCATGCCCGTTTGGAAGTACAAGTGCTGCATCGGCGAGAGATCAAAGCAGTCCGACGTTTCCTCGTCCCATTTGTGCGCCAGGCCACCCCGAGACGCGGCAATAGCAGCGAGTTCGGAGAGCGTCATGGACCCGAGAGCGTCGGATGGGTTGATGTAGATGGACTCGTGCTTGCACCTGGCGGCCAGCTCCATGGCGGTCATCTCGTCGCCGCCGAGCTGGGAGAAGGAGAAGTTCACGCCAATCTGGCCTTGGGGCACATCCAACACCTTGCTAACCAGCCTCTGTATTGACTTTTCCATGCCCGATTCTGGGTTTTGCAGCGTCTCCTGGTGTTCTAGGCTCAGAGCTTGGTGGTAGACGTCCTCGTTGATATTCTGGGCCCAGGTCCGCAACCGCCGCATGTCGACATCGCCGGCCTCGGTCAGGGGCATTCCGTCCAAAACAATCCACAGGTCTGGAATGGCTTCGGCTGGGAGCACAGCCTCGGCAGCGCGTTTTAGGCGGGCGACCTGGGTACCAGCGAAAAGAGCGTGTGACTGGGGAATGAGGTTGACCGCGGTCGGGTTTTCCTGTGTTGTTTGCGTGCTCGCTAGCGTGAGGAGAGCAACGAACTTCCCATCGAGCAGTCCTGCCTTCGGCCGTATTCCCGCTATCCTCCCAACCTCTGGCTGTGACCCTAACGCGTGTTCAATGTCTGTTCTCCGGCTGACGTCCGCGTCCAAACGGGTCACGCTCGATTTCCGAAGGTGGCCGTCTTCGGGTTCGGGCATTATCGACATGCGGCTTGCTCGGTGGATCTCTAGCGGTGCGATCATGACGGGCTCGGGGGCGTCGGGTTCGGAATGCGGGTGTGGGTTTTGTGGCGCGCACTGCGTGATGCATGTTTGCAACTCGGCGAGGGTCGGGCAGCGCAGGATATCCTTGACCTTGACGTCCATTCCGGCAGCCATGCAAGCCTTCCTCAGCGCGACGGCATGCTGTTCGTTTCCTCCCAAATCCCTGAACGAATGGTGTACCTGGGCGATGCCCGGGCTGAGGCCAAGAACCTGGGTGACCAGAACCAACAAGCGCGTTTCCGTCGTCTCGTCTTCCAACAGCAACCAGGATGTTGAAGTATCCATGTGCGGGGCAGGTGCTGGGGCAGCGGCCATCGCAGCAGCGAGCGCCCCGAAAAGGGTATAACTAATACACTAAAAAGTAATAAACCACCAGCAACAAGAATAACTGAAAACGCCGGATGGGTATCTCTAACAAAGGAGAGCGAAGCTGGAGGCGCTCAGGCGCCGGGCCACATGGCGCAGCACCTGCAACGAGCGGCGGTTGTTGGCACACACACAAGTTTCGAGGTCGGGCTGCACATCCATGGACGGGCCCTAGTTTAGGTCTCGGGACGGAGCGTTGGGGGGGCCGCGGGTGTTGGCGTGCTGTTGGGAATGCAGAGGCGCCAAAAGAGAACAAAAAAGCCTCGGGGGTGGGGATGGCGTGGTGTGCAAGTGCGAGTTGAAGAAGTGGCCGAACTTGAGGTGCGCTGTATCCCCACAGTTCGGCCGGTTCCCAGAGTCGCAGCCTGGCGAATGCGTGTTGCGTCTGAACTCGTTGAACCGCGCCGCCCCGACGAGCTTGGCAACGACACCGAAGCTTCAATTCAGCACGGCGAGCCTTGCCTGGCCCCCCGTCATCAGAAACCACGGGCCAATCGAGGGGCTGCGAGGCCAAGCTCAGCCCCCTGCCCGCAGAACACCCTGGTTCGAGCCTGGCTGATCGCCCGATCTGGCCTGGCTGCCGAGTAAAACGCATGCGCAAGATGGAAGGTGCGTAAGAACCCGCAAGGAACGGGAATGAATGAGGTGGCAACCTGGAACTTCCGTTTGATGTTCAGTTGCCAGAAATGGAGATGAGACGAACTGCCTGGCTCGCAGCAAAACCTGGCCCCCACTCACCCACCCCAGCGCGGGAAAAATGGCGCCCAAAGAGCCAAGCTCCCAGCAGTTTGGACACACAGTGAGGACATCGAAACATCCATGAGCACTAAAACACGAAACACCATTCACACGGTTCAGCTTCCTGCGCCGCACTATCGCCATCCGCCAATTTCAACGCAGGCCTGCTCTTGTGACGGGGAAACCCACCAGGCGATTGTCGTGTGACCGGGCAGTCGAAGTTCGGGATGGTATGCCACAACTTGCAGGCGGCGATCGAAGATACCGAATGCAACGGGATATCCGGAGGTCCCGCGCACTTGCCCCGTCGGACATCGAGAAACCCAAATGCTGACCGTGGCTGAGTTTCTTTCGTGCAGCGAGCGCCTGGACCTGGAATCTTTAAAAAGAAAGCTGCTAAGCAATGCGCGGTTAGCGTCCGCGGCTCGCGGCAGTTTGAGCCAACCCGCCGATTGCCCCGCAGTGCCCCGCACTTTGATGACCCAGGCCGTTTCAATTTTGTCGCCAACCTCTTCAACCTGAGGCTTGGGAAGCTGACGTCTCAGCCACAACTCACAAGCCAGCTCGCAAGCCCTATGGAAGCCAAAGCGATACAAATTCGGGCACATAAAGGTACCACGCCGGAATACTTTCTACTCTCGGCCTCTGAACCGAGCAGCTGAACGGTTTAAAATACCATGGTGGTTGCAAAACAAAAACCGACAGCTCCAGGCAATCAATGGCGGTCCAGCTTGCCAGCAGTTGGTCCTCGAATCGTTACCTACCGCCAACAATGAAGATGTTTGGCAATTGAGTCCAGGATAGGACACGGGCCAGGGCAACAAAGCGAGGCACGTTCGGTGTCGTTCCTGGGAGCAGCGGGTTGATCCCGAGCATGTTGCTTCTTCCGCGACCACGTGCGCGAGGAATGCCGAGTTTCTGGACGGCATCTGAATGATAAATACCTGCCCAAATTCCGAAAGCCGTCGATTGGTGGCCCCGCGCCGTTCTTGCCTCAAAGGCAGAGCCACCACCTGGCAATTTCTGGGTATTCCTGGAGTTTTTAGTGTCAAGCGGTGACATCTGCAGCGATTCGGGGTTGTTGTGTCTCGCAAGGGAACTAAGTTCTGCAAGCCACCGTTGAAGTCACCTCACTGCCAGTGGTGCTGCACAGCGTCAACCACGACCTCACCACAAACCCTGCCACTCCAAACCAGCGCCCAAATCCAGCCTCGAGGCAGAGCAGGGAACGCGAAATGGGGTTGCCAATGAGGCCTCTGTTAGTAAACAACACATCCAGTACCAGAAATGCAGTGCTCATCCAGCTTGCAGCACATATGCCATCGCGGTGGTTTTCACTGTAGTAGCCGGCCACCCATCAGAGCCATCGAGGCCAAACCTCGATCACCAGCACCGCTTGCCGGGAACACAAGGACAAAAGGGCTTCGGCCCGCTAAGATTCCGCGCAGATGGCACATTCCACGTCTCCATCTTTGAAGACCTCCACTTTGGCGAGAGTGAGTTGCATCTCGTAAACTCTACCGGCAGCACTCTTCTGACGTCTTCTTCGCTGTGCAAGACGCTTGGGATGCATGGGGTCCACAACAAGACGTTCAATCCGTCAAGGTAATCAACACCGTTCTGGATTCCGAGCCGGACATCGACCTCGTAGTGCTCAACGGGGACCTTATCACTGGCGACAACACCTTTCTCGAAAACAGCACCGACTATGTCGACCAGATCGTCCGCCCCTTTGCAGACCGCGGGCTGACATGGGCATCCACCTATGGCAACCACGACAACCACTTCAATATCTCCGGCGCGCACATCCTCGAGCGCGAGAGACGCTGGCCCAACTCCCGCACCACGCAGATGGTCTCCATCCCAGACGCGCACACGGGCGTATCCAACTACTACCTGCCCGTCTACCCCGCCGACTGCGACCCAGACTCCCTCTCCCCACCCTGCCCCCCCAAGCTCCTCCTCTGGTTCTTCGACAGCCGCGGCGGCTTCCACTACCAACAGCGGGACCCCGCCACCGGCGCCCTAGTCCCCCTCCCCAACTGGGTCGACGCGCGCGTAGTCGACTGGTTCACCCGGACCAACACCGACCTCGTCAGCAGCACCACCCCACCAGGAACCCCCACCCCCATCCCCGCGCTGGCCTTCGTGCACATCCCCCCCGACGCCTCGCGCACCCTGCAGGCGCGTGGCATCCACCCGCACCGGGAGCCGGGCATCGACGACGACCGGCCGCTGGCGCGCCAGGCGCAGGGCTGGTGCGCCGATGGTTCGCTGCCGCCACCGTCACCGTCATCGGACGAGGAGGAGGAGGGGGATTGTGAGTATGGCGGGCAGGACGCGCCCTTCCTGGATGCGCTGGCGTCCACGCCGGGTATGATGGCGCTGTTTTCGGGGCATGATCATGGCGAGACGTGGTGTGCGCGCTGGGAGGGGTTGACGGGAGAGGGGGGTGAGGGTGAGGGTGTGGGTGAGGGAGAGGTGCGGGGTGGATCGGAGGGGGATGGGTTGAACTTGTGCTTTGGGCAGCGCTCTGGGTATGGCGGGTATGGGAGGTGGATCCGCGGGGCGAGGCAGGTGGTCGTGTCGCTGGAGGGGCTGGCGGAGCGGGTCGTTGAGACGTATATCCGTCTGGAGTCGGGGGAGACGGTTGGCGCCGTCACGCTTAACGCGACGTATGGCCAGGATTGGTATCCGGCAACTCCGAATGACAAGACCAGGCTGCCAACGGGTGATGATTAGGGTGGGCACTAATTACCAGGTAGGTAGGGTTGTTTTTCGTGTTCGACGAGATGTTGTGTTTCGAAGAAGTATATTAAGCGCATATCCAGGGAGTAAACTTTCTCGCCTTTGATGTGTCTGTCATGAGAATCCAGTTAAAGGTGTCCTTGATATAACAGTCCCCTTGAATCTCCGTGGCTAAAACACACCGGGGTTTGGGGAGCAAAATAGACAGAGCAAAAGGTGCTACAGGTGTAGGGAAATGCCGTGACGAGTGCTAATCACATGTAAATAATTGTCGGGTTACTACTAGCTAGGTAGTTATTCATTTCTTTTAGGAAGTTGTTTATGGTACAAAAAAGTCATGTCAAGTCCCTCGATTAAGAGTCGCCACTGTCAGGGCCCTCGAGACTAATTTGGGCACCGTACGGGAAGAGCCGAAGAGAGCGAGAGAGTGATAACGAGAACAAGCACAGGTGGGAAACATCACTCGTTGATGGATGCATGCAGTACAACGCGAAATGGCATTTCTGGGGGGCCCCCTTTTCTCACTATGTATCCTAGACACGAGGAACACCGAGGGTATTTGCCACCTTTTGTTTTATCATAATACACTTAACTTGGCGTTTGTTTTATTTCGAGGTGCATTAATTAGGTAGGTAGTTAGATGACAGACAAGAGAGAACCGCATCCCGCCCAGCCCAAGACCTAGCCCGACAATTTTTAGACGAGGAATGTAACACCGGGGATCACCGGAGCTGAGGTTCAAGGGCGGAGTTCGAGGTATTTGAGGGAAAAAGAGAAGAAGTTGAGCTGACCGTGTATGGAGGTGAGGGACCAAGAACTGCAAAAAAAGGTGTGCGCAATCCGGGATTCGAACCCGGGTCACTCGCTATTCCAAGAGAAGATGGGAAGCGAGAATTCTAACCACTGAACTAACCGCGCTTGGTTAATTTTAGTTGCATATTGATGTTTTGGAAGGATACATATGCTTGGTATGTAGGAACAATTAAGAACACAAGTGAGGATTAGGACAGCGTGCAGTTTGAGTGTGAGCCTAGTTTGAGTGGTGCTAGCTAGAGAGACGGAAATTGATCTTTATTTATAAGTGAGTAGTAGTGTGAGGTTTTTTGACGTTTTTATTATCTTGTTTGGGAGTCACAGGGGGTGGTGTTGTTGTTTGGCTAACGTAGCCAACTTGAACCTGCGAGGCGACACGAGCGTAGGACCGCGCAAACCTTTATTGCCGAGGGCATTATCCCATTTGCACAAGTCAACAACGCCCCACGTATCAAGGAGGAGAACACCTGATATTCAGCAAGAGGTAAGTTATCCGTAGTCTAACATCCATGCCCGGCATCCCGCCGACATCTAATAAACACCATCCCAACACAGCCGCCGTAAGATGGGGTCCAACCCCGTAATTACTCCCGCAGATACTCTCCTACCAAAACAGGCCCGCAAGCCATGCGCATAAGACCAAGGCAGGTATGACGAAGGCATGAAAGTGGGTATGATTCCCGCCCAAACCAACGCCGTCGAAATGCAGGACGATTATGCGAACCAAAATAATCCGCCGGGAGGGAATCGGGATCACGCGGCAAAGGCCGGGTTAGTTAGCTTTCGGCGAACGGGACTTATCTCCGGCCCGAGCCGTCTCTCCAGGAGAGGGAGAAGCATTCTTCTCAACGGTACCGGAACGGCAATGCTACTGCCGTGTGCTGGCCTGCTTTGCCTGTTATCCGAATTAGAAACGAATCACATCTTGGGGAGGTCGGCGGCACGAACCTTCATTTGCTCAATCCGTGCCTTGAGCTGGCTTGTCACCTCAGCTGCTCGCTTCCAACTCTCCATCCCAGAAGTCGGGTTGGTGTTCGTGGGTGTCTCTCGCCCCGTTCGGCTGTCAGACCTACTGCTTGCACGGTCGTTGTAGTTGTTGTACCCCGTGTCTGCGGACCTCGGTTCCTTCTCTTCCATGCTGACATCCCTCCTGAACCCCCTTGCCGGGCTGCCACGGCCGCTACTCGCGTTGCTGCCGGTATACCTAAGGTCGGGACTGAGCTTGGTGCGCGGGGGCGGCATGCCCTCTCCGTTCTCCTTCTCGTCGCTCATTGTGCTCGCTATGCTCATACGGCTTCGGTTCGGGTTGGATGCGTCGCGGTAAATGTCGTCGTGGGTTGGGCTCATGGTCCTGAAGCCTAGGTCGCTGGGCGAACCGGGGCTCCCCGAGCCGTTGAGGGCCTCCGCCTTGTTCAACGCACGCTTCAGCCTGTCGAGTTCGCGCCGTAGACGGTCGTTCGTCTGCTCTGCTGCGTCGGCATCGCTGCGGGCCCTGACGAGCTGAGTCTCCTTCGCCTTGATGGAGAGGACATCCCTTGTGTGGTCCTCAATAAGACCGGCGTTCTGGTTCTTGAGCTCTTGTATCTCCGACATCAGCTTGGACCGATCGTGCCGCGCGTCTTCTAGCGCCTTCAGCAACCGCTCGTTGGCGTCGCGAAGTTCCTCAAGCTCGGCGCGCTCGATCGCTGTGAAACCCGACGCGGGCGTTGGGGATGGCGGCGCAGCAGGTATGGATGGTGGTGCGGGCTTCGCTAGGGAGCGACCGGCAAGACCGCCACGACCAAGGCCTAGGCGTTGCGGGGGTTTTGCAGGCGGCGGGGAAACCGGCTCCTCCTCCTCTTCCATAGGAGGGGGTGATGGAGCCGGGGCTGGCCGACGTGGTGAGGCGGCGCCAGGAGCACCCAGTGTGCGCTTCTGAGGCGCTTTGAGACCACCAAGGCTACCAGGCTTCGGCATGCCCAGCTTGCTTGCTGGCCCGGGACGGGGCGCAGCAGCAGCCTGGGCAGGCTCGGGGGGTGCAGCCACGGCGGCGGGCTTTTTCGCACCGGCGGGACCTTTCTTCAAACCGCCGCCCGGCGCCTTTTTCGGGCCACCAGGGGGTGCGCGAGCAGCAGGTGGCGGCGGCTTTGGCTTGTCCTTGGCTTTGACTTCCGCACTCTCGCAGAACTCCTTGACTTTGGTCTTGCGAATGTCGTCAAGCCCCTCCAGATGCGGGTTCATGGCGCGCTCGCCGATGATCTTCATGATGGTCCCTAGGATTTCGGCACCACCAGAACGGAGTCCCTCGCTTGACTCTGAAAGCAACTTCTTGGCCGACTCAACAATCCCCGCAATCTCTTGTTTGCTGGGGACATCCCGTGTTGTCCTCAGGCACCTCACAAGGAACTTCATCGTCCCCTCCTTCACCTGCGGGTTCTTGTGCACAAGGTTTGCGGTGATATCCTCAAGACAATCGGTGAGATTTGTCGACAGGAAGACGGCGTCCAAAGCGGCGCCGAGGGCATCGGCCACCGTTTGCTTCTTTTCTTTCAGCCTCTCAATAATGGGGAGCATCACGATGGAGCGGTACCTCGCGTAAGATTTCCGCAGGCCCTTCGCCAGAAACTCGATGCACATGGCTGATTGTGTGACGACGGCGACGTTGGCGTCCTTCATGCACTTGGCCAGACAGCGGTTGACCTCGTTGAAATCGCCATCCTTGATCCTCGGCACGTTGACAATGGCGTTCATGGCCTCGACTGCGTCCTTCCTTTCTTTCCATTTTGACGACGCAAGATTGTCGAAGAAGTCTTTCGGGATCTTGCTGATGACGTCTTGTGGCTCGGCGAGATCGAACGCGTCCACTTCCCCTGCTTCCTCAACTTCCCCGCCGTCTTCCTCGTACTCATCATCCGCACCGCCGGCCGGAGCACGCTCTTTCTCCGCTTGTTGCGACCTCAAGAGACGCTCTTGCTTGGGCATACCGTCCGCCTTGACCTTCTCGAATTGAGCCTCGAGATCGGTTTGTTGGGTTGGTTTTAGGTCGTTCCAAAACATGGGCTTCATCGCGTCGCGAAGCCATCGGTAAAATTCGACGGCGAGGTTTGTGGCTTCTGCTCGGACATTCTTGTCTGCATGACCAAACGCCTTTGGTAGAATCTTGAGTACAGGTTTTGGGTCTGCGGTCTTGCAGCCGTAATTGTGGTAGATCTGTGTCAAGGACGCCAGGGCCGCTGCGATGACCTTGGGTTGCTTGCTTGAGAGGACAGGGAGGATTTCCTCGATTACCGGCCCGGGAACGTCAACTTCGATGAAGAGAAGCAAAGCCTCGAGCGCGGAAGCCTTGGTGGCGCCTCTGGTGGACGACAAGCACTTTTCGGCGATCGGTGTAACGGCCTGCTGCCGGGCTCGGAGCGCCCCATCGCGACCGCCAAACTTGAGAAATGCACAGAGCGCCCCGAGACCCTCCTGTTGTGCTGCAACGTTCGAATCGGCCGCCGCTGACTTCCACAAGCTCGAATCTTGCGTGAACGGTCGAAACACTGGGTCGTACTCGTCGGGTGTCTTCTCAAACAGCTGCGCGGCCTCTTCGTATGCCGCCTTGCGCACTTTCCACACCTGTATGCCAACCAGTGGTTAGTACAGATCTAGCGGGATGCGCATGGGGAAACGTACCTTGTGCACCCAGCGGTCGCTCAACGGCAAGGAACTAAAATCTTCCTCGTCGGCCATGTTGGGCCTAAATTTCGGGATGACAGAACGGAGGTTTCGTCGACCGGATTCGCGGCTGGTGTGTGCTTGTTTCGGAGCGACGGGGTGGGCGGTCTCGGAGGACTGTCGTTTACGGCCTAGCCTAAGGGTTTTCTTGATTAGATTCTTTAAACAGGAGCACGGGTGGTGGCCATTCATATCGCTACGTTGACAGGCGAGTTGGGGCAGCAATAGCAACGCAAATGTGGTGGCGCGCTATCCTGTTTGCTCAGAGGGGGGGAGACATACAAGAGAACGCTCAATCAAGTTCGCCAAGTTCCGTGGTACCGTCACTTGCGCGGATTTGTTGCGGTGAGCGAAGGTCGGCGAGCCAGTATTGATGGCTCCTGCTTTCCAGAGTTAATATACACGAAGAGAGGAGGCGCGAATGTTGAGGGTCTCTTTTGGCGGTCGTGTGGAGGGAGGAAGATATTGTCAAGGGCGACCCTGCTTCCCTTTGTCGTGGTTTGCCAGGGATGTGAGCGGGACAAGGAAAAGACGGAAAGTTTGAAAGATTGGCGTCCTGTTCCAGTGAATTGCCGGTTGAGAATCCTGTTCGGTAAAGCGGTAAGGCTGCCAAGCTCCCCTTGATGACTGTTCAGAGCTTGCAGAGATGCGCAGGGCAAGATCTCCTCCGACGATTTGCAGCCGTTCTGCGCTGTTTGTGTGGCTCTCTTTGGGCTGTTGTTCGATGCAAGGCGGGGCGCGAAGCCTGATTTGGCTGCTGGGCTTGTTGACATGTGCCGGCCTGGGCCTGGCTTGTTCATTGCTGCAGAAACCCCAGCATCATTGCCTGTCGCGTGCGTCATGGCGTTCTGCCATTGGCCCTTGCAGCCGGCAAAAGCCATCTTGTCAGCTGTGAGCGGTCCGTTTTCCCACTTGCCAGCTCAACAGAGCAGGAACCCCCGACAAGTCGCCAGAAACAACAAATCCCACCCTGGTGCTGTTAATTATCCCAGGGTTCCAAGCTGCTTTGCCCCGCCATGCTACCAAGTTGAGAGTGTTGATATTTTGGCGGCAACTGGAAGCCTATACCGACAACCCAAACATCGCAAATTTTTGACGACCATCGACACTTCTCGCCGTGTCTCAACATATTCCAAGCTCCGCGACACAGCTGGCGTTTGTTCCCAGAACCCAAGATCCACTCTTGCTGCCCGTCGAGGATCTGCCGATTAAGACATACCGAAAACATCCAAACCCCTGAGCGGCCGCGACTTTATCCACGAGCTACGACTCCACGGTCAGCGCCGAGCGTCTTCGTTGCGTGCAATGGATCGTTGGATCAACAGTTTTGACACGCAATATCCGTAACTTCGTTCCGGTCAACCACCAAACAAACGACTGCGGCGCCGTGACCGCCGATTCGCTCTCCCCCCGCGATTTTGCGCATCTCCACCCACCCAACATCCTCCCAACCAGGGGTTCCCGACTGCTCTCTGTACCTTCGCGATGGCCCAGCTATTAACGCCCCGACAGGCTGAGGAGCTGTAGGTATTGCATCCGGCTTTTGTTGAGGCGGACCAGGAAGTCGGGAATCGGCACTGACGGCGCAAACAGACACCGAGCCCTCATCGCCTATCTTTCCTCCAACAACCTCACAAGCACCGCCGCGGCGCTACGAGATGAAATAAAACTCGGCGAGGATGTTTTCGATGCGACCACAGCGAAGAAATATGAGGGCCTGTTGGAAAAGAAGTGGACGAGCGTGGTCCGGCTCCAGAAGAAGGTGCGCCATACCTCTTGACACCCCATTGCACGCGGTCCTTCCCGACATGGCGGCCTCGGTTTTAACTTCGTCCTGTTGTTAACGATGCTGTCTGCAGATAATGGACCTCGAGGCGCGCAACGGTGCCCTCCAATCGGAGCTCGACAACGCGACACCAACATCGAGACAGAACAAGGATCCGGTGAATTGGTTACCGAAGTCTCCCGCACGACACACTCTCCAATCACACCGCAACCCCATCACATGTGTTGCGTTTCATCCCGTGTTCTCGTCGCTGGCTTCGGGTTCCGAAGATCAAACAATCAAGATCTGGGATTGGGAGCTCGGGGAGCTGGAACGGACGATAAAAGGCCATACCAAGACGGTGTTGGATGTCGACTTCGGAGGCCCGCGCGGCAACACACTCCTCGCGTCATGCAGTTCAGATCTCACAATCAAGCTCTGGGATCCTTCGGACGATTACAAGAATATTCGGACCCTGCCCGGACACGACCACAGCGTCAGTGCGGTCAGGTTCATCCCGTCAGGTGTCGCAGGCGGCGCTGGCAACTTGTTGGTGAGCGCTAGTCGAGACAAGACACTCAGAATATGGGACGTGAGTACGGGGTATTGCGTCAAGACGCTGCGAGGGCACGCCGAGTGGGTGCGTGACGTTTGCCCGTCCGTTGACGGCAAGTTTATCCTCTCGACAAGCGACGACTACACGGGCCGGCTGTGGGATGTATCGATACCAAACCCGGAACCGAAAACGACGCTCATCGGCCACGAACACGTCGTTCTCTGCTGCGCCATCGCACCGGCTGCTTCCTACTCCCACCTGGCGGCTATTGCAGGGGTCAAGAAGCCGCCAACCACGAGCGCGGTCGAGTTCATGGCGACTGGGTCAAGAGACAAGACCATCCGGCTGTGGGACGCTCGGGGCACCTGCATCAAGATTTTGGTTGGACATGATAACTGGGTCCGTGGCCTTGTCTTCCATCCAGGTGGAAAGTATCTCCTCTCGGCCTCCGACGATTACACCTTGAGGTGCTGGGACCTCGCGCAAGAAGGGAGATGCGTCAAGACGATATCCGACGCACACGCCCACTTTGTGCAATGCATCCGGTGGGCTCCTTCGGTTGTCAAAGACGTGCCCGTGGCCAACGGCGGCGATGGCCAAGGCGGGGAGGCGAATGGGACGCCGAGGAAGACTGCTGCCGCTGGTGCTGCTGAAGCACAAATCCGCTGCGTTCTGGCAACCGGTAGCGTTGATCTCAACGTGAGGATATTCGCCAACTAGGAGGGCCGATTAGCCGTCGACACACGAGCACACGGCGCCAGGGGCGAGCCAGCTCGGCCGGATGACGCGGAGCTATTGCGGCAGTGAGCGGATCGACACGACCAGGGGCACCAGAGCATGTGAGGCCGGCCGGGCCACATCTTAGAAAAGCCTCCAATACAGGTCAGTGATGAGAGTCAGAACGACTTTGAAGGTTTGTGTCTCACCCGGCATCCAGATCCTGACAAGCCGTCTTCCCGCGGGGATCGCCATTGCATATTTAGGGCCCGGATTTGCCACGGCACCCTGCCCTTGGGGGATGAAGATCTCGCCGAGCCAACAGATACGACAGCGTCAGATAGATACCCCTACGTTAAACGATTTATGACTTGCATGTTCACTCTCGTCAACGAAGGCTTCTGCCCTTATTTCCGCCCCCTTCTTTAATCCCCGCAAAGCGCCCTCCTGTCCCTCTCATCGCCAAGTCCGACGGACCAACAGCCACGCATACTGGCTTTGCATCAAAGCACATGCTTCCGGCCGCTTATCGGTCTTGATTTGGTCATACCTGAGTGGGGAGCGCCTGGCACCAGGCGCCGTTGTCATGGTCCCAGTCGGGTTCAGACTCGGCGCCTTGCCACGCCCAACTGGAAACCGGAAGTTGGCACGGCTGGGACGTTTCCGCAACGGGTATTCAGGCAACTCGGGGAGATGCCGCATCCAAGTTTCCCATGCTGTTTGGATCGGAATAGGCAGTGCGAAGAGGAGCCAGGAGCCCGCCGCTAAGTGAGGCTTAGTGATTCTTCGCAAGTGGTTGGGAGGCTGGCTGTTGTCCGCAAGGCGAGGGGTTCCCTGTCTTTGACCGCGTCCATAATCCCACCATACGTCAGCCCCTGTTGTTTGTTGTTGAGGCTGCGGTTGGTTGTAGTTTAGTTATTTCCCCTGCACCTCTTTCGGGAGATCCGCAAGGGCCGGGCGCACCCGTATGCCCGCCGAACTCCGTGTACCCTCAGAGGGGTCCGTTTGTCCAAAGTTCCCCGGCATACAAAAGTCGTACCGGAAAGGCCCCTTTGTGGACTGAATTGGCGCCCAAATGCAACATCGGTCATTACAAAGGCCGACTTAAGGGGCCTGGGGTACAGAGATCGAATCCGAGCGGGCCTCTCAGGTTGCTCACCGAACTGAGATGCTCGGTATTTGGTGTTTGAAGATGCGGCGCAGGAGCCGCTAACAATTCCCTCGCTATCGGCTTCAACCGGGAATCGGTGGGCAACCCCTGAATACAAACCATGGTCCTCGCTATTGTCTTTCTTAGCTCGGCCTTTTTGGACATGAATCCGCTGAATAAGCTAACTGCAGTGGAGTGGACTTCATTTGTAATGCAAGGAGTTAGTGGTTCCGAATCTCTAAGAGGACGACAGGCCGGACCCGGTGACAGCTCAGGGAACCGAAAAGTCCCCATGGACGCCGGGTGCAACGCTACTCGGGGGAAGAGTACGACACCGAATCGAAAGTCCTTTACATGTAAGGCATTAGTCAACAGGGCATTAGTAGCAATGAGGCGTAGGAATGCGGGGGAAACAAGAAAAACGGTGGCTATGCGTCGCCGGGCTTGGATCTAATCCCAAGGAAGCTTGTCAACCGGACTAGGCAACCTTATTTTCTTCCCTACTACCCAGGAAAGGGGCTGATGTGGGCTAGGCTCCGAGGCAATATCGGCGGGGTTAAGACTTGGAGATCTCCCTATAATTATTTCTTGTCGTCCTAGATGTTCTAGGATACAACAGATATTCGGACGTCTCACACAGTCACGCCGGACGACAACTCAACCACCACCATGATGACCCAAAGCCTGCTCCCAGCAGTCCTATCTGCCCTCTTGTGGGCACACGGATCGCATGCCGATGGCGCCTCCGAGTTCGTTGGCCGTGGCCAGATCCAGGTCCTGAACAACACCGACGTTGCAACAGCGTCCATCGCCGACAGGATCGGCTGCATGAACGCGCGCGGCGAGTTTGTGCTCGACGACTGCGCTGTCTTCACCCGCCTCGACGCCTCCCCCAACACGCTGTCCACGTCCGCCGGCAACTGCACTTTCCAGAACCCGAACATGCCGCTCAACACGGACAGCATCTACGGCCGTACGTAACAGTGACGCACTTGTTTTTCTGCTTTTCCGCTCCCCGTGGTATCCGTAACGCAGGAGATCCACACATCAGTTTCTCAGGTGCTATGGACTTGTGTTGAAACACGATTGACTAACATCATTGAGCAGAAGACTCACACTCCTGGTTCTGCGGAGAGGGGAAGTGGACTCAATACGACGAGTATTATTATACTATTGTAAGTCTCAGACTTCCTTCTCACCGCGCACGTTCTTCATGTCTTGGCTGCGGTGTTGCGATGACGATTGGAAGTTGATGAGTGGGAACAGGAGGGTTTCCTCAGACCATTCGTTTGCAACGGCAATATCAACTGCAACTACGATATTAAAGCGATTGTGCCTACAGAGGGAGACGCCCTACCTGCGTGGCAATACTATTGGGGGAGCCAGCAGATGGATATCGAGGCGGGTCATTGGCGGGTGTTGTGGCTGTGGGTGCCTGTGGATAAGGAGTAGGAGTGTATGTTTGGGAAGAGTTGTGAGCATCAAGGGAGCTTGTGGCAGAGGAATGGTTTGTTACGGAGTCAATCCATCACACGCCGCGGGCTGGCGGGCGTCCCATGATCCGTTTCCTTGGGTTAGCATTCCGATACTAGCATCTGGTCACCACTGTGGGCGCAAATGGAGGAAGAAAGCGTCATCGGCTGTGTTTACATGCATCCAAATCATGTGTTATATGGAGATCCGTGTGGCGAAGCTTTTGCTTGTTGATGTTTGGTCTTCCCCGTCCGAGGAGAGTTACTAGGTAGTTGGACGCCAATAACTTTTGAAAGTGCAGTGGAAACGCCGGAGCTCTATTCCGGAACAAATAATCAATCATGAACTCTGCCCTGTATTTTCCGAGCAGACCACTCGACCCCGACGTTAAAACGAGCGTATAGAACCCCCTAACCGTCCTCTAATGACCTCAAATCTCCGGCATCTTTCCCTCCTGAGTCCTGACTCGTCTTCGGAACTCGTCGCTGGTGGTATTATTTAGTTCTAGGTAGAATACCCGGCTCTGCACGATCGACAACCCGGTCTCGTTCCGAACTGGTGTCTTCCGGTCCTCCAGCCCACGAATCCAGAAGGGTATTTTGCGCACTCATATCCTTTCCGAAGATCAGTGCGCACCCGACACCCCTAATATCGCGAGCCAAGAAACAACTAAGGTCGAGAGCCGGGATGCTAACCTTGAAAAGAACGATGTCAACCTCGGAAGGCGGGAACAACTTCGTTATGCACGCCTCTGCTATCGACTTTATCAAAAGGTCCCGTCATACCGTCAAGTATCCTGAGACCTAGGGCGGCCGGTATCACGTCCAGTCGACATCAAAGTCTTCTACCGACTGCGTTGTCTGGTGCGCACCCACTCGCCGAAGGCATCCTTCCACAGCAACCCTCGCTAACATGCCGCGTCCTCTACATACATCACAGAACCTGATCAGCCAGTAGATACACATACCGCGACTACTACAGCCAGGCCGAGAATCGCCCCGAGGGCCTTGCCGACGGCGAGCCGGTGCTGCGACAGAGGGTCGACCGCTGCATCGACATGCGGCGGCAGGCGCTGCTGTGCCAGGGCAACGTGGGCATCGTCACGGCCAACTGGGTTGAGCCGTCGGGGATCTACCCCGACTATCGCACCGAGCACAAGTGCCGCAGGTTCCGACAAAGGTTGTCGAGCGGGCGGACCTCCACGCCGCTCCGCCTAACGAGCCTGAGCCTGGCGAGGATTCCGTCTTTCCGCCGGGCCCGCCGCAGTAGGCGTGGATCTCTTGAGGCAAATAGCTTTTTTTTCTGATTTATTTCTTAGGGCATCCTGTGTTGGTTCGTGGGGGATGGGACGGGGGGAGTCGGGTGGTACGCCTGATGTCGTGCTTGGACTGTGACACAGATGGGGAGGATTCAGGGGGTTGTGTAACCACGATTCATTGAAGTAAACGGGCGCTGGGATGTAGGGAGGCACGAGTTAAGAAAAACAATTCATTCAGTGTGAGCGGAATACGAAACATCTGATAGACTTGGGAGGTTTTGCATGGGATGGCCTGCGTGGGGAGACCACCTCATCCATGACCAACGGCTCGCAGAAGAGCCGATACATCAGCGCGATGAAGTGAAGGTTCGTTGTTGGCCCTCCCACTGTGCTGAAATGGCTGGTTTCTGGTCGTGTATAAGTCAGTTTGGGGTGGATTGTTCCCTCACAGCGGACGATTGGCTCGCTTCCGGGATGGCCAATCCTCGGAAGGACCGTTGGAGCTTTTCCCAAGCTGATGATGTCTGAGTTCATCGCCCCGCTGGGTTTTGGTAAAATTGCTGGCCGATCCCCAGGCTCGTGTTGAGGGCTCAGCATGGGGGCAGCGTTGGCAGGCATCCGGATCACTACCTCACCAATGGAAACGCGCCGATGGGAGGGGGAGATATTGTCATTGGCCGCGGTATTATTTTCATCACACTCCTTTGTTCTCGCCGTTGGGTAAGACCCGAAGCCAGAGTGAAGTCGCCGTATGCTTCATGGGATGGCGCGATGTCTCTCGGGTTGTCTTTGTCGTGTCACGCCCAGTGGGAGGAGCCCATCACAGCCTGCCGTGTCTCAAACTTTTGGGGCTGGCAACAAGGAACCCCTGTATATTCGACAGAGACTGGCTCTCCAGGATCCCAAGTGGAAACGGTGCTGCCACGCACCTTAGTGCTGACATGTCTGGCGCCCCACCCGCTCCCACCTGGGATGTTTCCTGACCTGCCCTTTACGCCAGTCTTTAAGAAAAGATAAAAGCATGAGCCTAACCGGAGACTTCCCGGCATCCTTCGGTTTCTGGGCGAGCTCGGCGGATTGTGGTCGCGAGTCGTTGGAAGCAACGTTGGGGAGAGAGCCAGAGAGGTGAGGGATGATCAGAAACCTAATTTTATCCCTGCAGCTGAGGTGAGCGAGACCCGAAGCTGAAAGTGTTTTTCGTGTTCATTGGATTGGGTCTGTGTAAGGGCTGGACTCGTGCATGCTACTTAACCTTGTCATCCCGGCTGGTGTAGCAGCAGGCAGCAGGTCGAGAGCCCTGAAGATATTGGGTAAAAAGAAGCTTTCGCCAAGTCGATTCTTTCCGTCCCTCCATCTTTTCTTATCCTCTTGGCGTTTTTGTTGAAGATTTGGCTGTTCAGACGACTCGGGTCGACGAAGACTACGATGGCCCCGTTCCAGCGCCAGAAGACGATGTAAGGACTTTGTCAGCCCGGGCATACCCCCCAGTACACACAACTAACAGGGCAACCCCCATAGACACGCAGCTAGGGCTAAAAGACGGATCCATACAATCGTGCCATGGATACAGAATCCCCTCCAGGGCGTTGACAAGCAGCACTTGGTCTTCGCACCAAGACATGAAGCCAGCACGCTCGAGCTATTCTTCGATCTCTTCTTCGTTGCCAACCTCGCCACCTTCACCTCGTATCACTACATCGTAGACCACTCGTCCCTGTTCGCCTACATCGGCTTCTTTGCCATCATTTGGGTGACGTGGTTCCACACCGTCCTCTACGATGTCCGCTTCGAGAACGACAGCATCTACAGCCGGGTATGCAAGACCATCATCATGATCGCCTTTGTAGGCTTCGCCCTCGTCGGGTCCGCCTTCGCGCCGGGCACGGAGAAGGGCGACAACACCAACTTCCGAGTCTTGTGCTACACCTTGGTCATGAGCCGCGTATTGTTCAGCATTCAGTACCTTGTCCTCGTCATCTTCATCGGCAAGGCAAGGCGAACGGACTTGTACCTGCCCGTGTCCCTCAACGCTCTCATTTACATCCTCGCCACGGTCGCGTATGCCGCCATGACCCCTGCCTTTGCCGAGTCCAAGCCGGTGGACCCCCACAACGGCGTCTACAGCATCTGGTGGATTGTCATGTCGGTTGAAACAGTCGGCACCATAGCCATCTCGAGCTGCTGGAGGATGCTGAGCTTCAAGAAGACGCATCTGGTCGAGCGCATGGGATTGCTTACGCTGATTGTCATCGGCGAGGGTGCCATTGGTGTGACTAAGACCATCTCCCGCATGATGGGGAAAGGCGGGCTCGACCCGGAAGGATCTGGGTTGGTTCTCTGCATCGTTTTGATCTTGGTAAGACAGTCCTTCCGGTCTTGGTCCCTAGCATACCATAACAGCAGCACATGTACTCACACGGAACAGGTCGGGATATGGATGATCTACTTTGATCACCAGCCGCACAGCCACTTCGGCACCATCAGACAGCAGATCTGGTCATGCCTCCACTTCCCCATCCACCTTGCCATCGTGGGCCTGGTTGAGGGCGCCCAACAAATTGCTCTGGCCAGGTATGTGTCCAAAAGCATTATGAAATTCGAGAAAGCGGTGGTGCAGTACTGTCTCAAAGAGCACCTTGATGGCGATGAATTGGTGGAGAAGCTGAACGCCTCCATCGCGTACCTGGAGCTCGACAAGAAGTTGACCAGCCTCATCTTCCTGGACGAGATTCACGAGGACATATTGATGATCGGCAACACCACGGACATTTGTGAGAGCAGCGTGACGGGCACTGGTGCCCTTGACTGGCCCGACTTGGTCCTGCGCCTCTACAAGCACACGGCGGCGGCTGTGTATAGCGCGCTCGGCTTGAGCATGCCAATCAACAAGGACGTCATCAGCATCATGGTCGAGTCGTGGAAGCTCATCTACCGGTACTTCTGGAGCGCCTTCTTGATTCTTATCGGGTGCTTCCTCATCGTCATGATCTTGATCCGAACAACCAAGGTGGACGCTTTCGACTACGTCTCCTTGACCACCCGCTTTTTCGTTCTCGTTGGCGGCGGCGTCATTCTCGCCCTCTCGGCCAGCTCAGGGATCATGTACGATCTTCTGGAGTCGCCGGCGATGCTACCCATCGCCGTCATCCTGTTGTACTTGATCATCATGTTGGACCGGTTGGGCGCTTCGATTGCGAATAGGAGGAATCGGAACTCGGGAGATGTGCTCATCGGAGGGGAGCAGGGGCACGATCACGGGCGCGACCACGGAAACGACCATGAGCACCATGATCATGGAGCACACAGCCACAACACGGAGAAACACAGGCTGAAGGTCTCTACCACGCGGGCTAGGACACGGCCACCGCATGAGAGAGTCAGGACTCCAATGCCGTACAGTAGTCCGCCTCCTACTTGGGTAGAATCGGCCTACAATTCTCCCGAGACTCCCCCCTTGTACGCATCTCCGCGTGTGTACGATGCACCCCGGCCGCCTGCCCCAGTATCGGAGCAGGTTCTCGTGGACGCACGTTACGCCCCTACTGGGTACATGCCGGTACACAGCGACCAATATACCGGCAGGGGGTATTAATGGCGGTGGTAATGTTTGTTGGGACGGGAAATAGCGGTGTATTTTAAAGGATCATAAATAGCACGGCGTCTTGGGTTAAATCTAGAAGTTATCTTTTGCTCAAGAATTCTTGGTTATCGATAAATGTTTAATACAAGTTCAAGAAGGGGCCTCATGGTTTATTACTGATGACTCGTCGATGTTCCCTGCGAGTTGCTTCACGCCCGTTGACCGGGCTGGCTCTTTCACGGGCATTCCAATCGGAGAACTGCCGGCCCGAGAAACGAGCGAATGGCAAATCAGATTCTTGCACATATGGGCCCTGATGGTCTCCTCATGTCCCCTCACTCATGAGATGACGGCGGCCATCATCATATCGCACCCATGGCGCTACTTCAACTTCCCTCGGAGGTGCTGTTACACATGCTGGACGGTGTTGGAGCGAGCTTCTTCTACAAGGACATCCGCAGGTTACACGTTTCCAAGCGCTGGTACAGCCTAGCATGGCTGATTATGGCCCGCGAAGTCCACTTGAATCTCCGGACTCTCCCACGGTTGCTCGAAAACGAGGAGGTGTTTGGCCGAATTCGAACCCATCTCAGCTCAGTCAACTTGTATCTGCATTTCCTAGGCAAAACTGTTCGAGACGACCCCAGCCCTGACGATAAATGTGTGGTCGAGGCCAATTCCTTTTTGGACCAGCTAGTCGTCCCACTGCGTCACTGTCCACAGCTGAAGTCGTTATCCATCATCGCAGCACTGGGCCTCTTCGGCCTCTCAACGGGATCCATTGGCAGCCTCCTTTCCGTCTGTCCCCTCACGTCTTTGCACATCGACATCCCCATTCGCCTGGCTTTATGGCGAGGCCGCCCGGGGTACAACGACCACACGGCACATCTCTGTCGTTGCATTAACGCTCTTCTGCCGTCACTTCGCCGTCTCAGTTGTCGGCTGCATTTGATATGCGACCAACTCCTGGAGCCACTACCGGACGATGCCAACGGACCACTCAAGCTCGAGGAGCTGATCATCAACTTGACCCAGCCATCGTTTACCGGACAAGGTCGGCACCATCCAAGAAATTGTGGTTCCATACTAGCGCCGTTTGAACCTGTGCAAAAGGCCATTGAAAACCAGGCGGAAGCGTTGGTGGCAAGATTAAACAACCCTCGGATGGTCAGGGTGATTGGGTATGGCGTTCTTTTGCAGGAAATATACGCCTACGACGCGATCACGAAGCGCCGGACAAGGCTGGAACCAGATGCGGAATGGGATGCGGAGGGACAAGTGGTTGCGGACGAAGGATGAGGCGGGGGGGCAATAGGGGGCGAGAGGGGGCAAAGCTGGACGGGATTGTTACCAACTGCAAACGAAATATCTGCATAGCAATAACGTGATACCACTCAGGAGTTGTCAGGCACTTACCCCGCACAGCCGTTCTCTTTGACCTTTAACTTAACCCGCATCTCGCTGAACCTGACATCGTTCAAAGTCGCCCGCCCTACCCACAACCATGGCAGAAGGATTCACCAATCTCATTCAGTCAGTCGCAGGATTAAGTCTTGCCGATGGAACGGCCCATCGCCCAAACCCACATCAGACTCTCGTGGGTGCAACTCGCGCTCTAATACAAACTGCCGAAGCCACTGCCGCACATGCGCAAGGAGTAGTACCCGGGCCCTCGACTGAGAGCACACAGACTCGGGGAGATCAAGTTATTGCGCAACTAAGCTCTGTGAGAAGAAGAGCCAACGCTCCTGCAGACACCATAGCGGCGTTCGCCGATAAAGCCGACCGCTACGTTGTAGCTTACATTACATCGCTTGCTAGTCAGGGGACAAAGGTGCACAAAGCATTGTCGTATTTTGATGGAGAACTGAGGAGTATCGCTCAGGATGTTCTCGATAGCACCAGCGATGACAGCAGCGTTCTGCGGGAGGTATTAGAGCGTTGCTACAGTCAGTCTCTTCATCCCTCCGGTACCCTGCACTACGACAATTACTTCATCCCTCTACGCGAATCCCGTCTCGAATGGCCCTACGACCCCGACTTCGAGAGTGAGGAATACTATGACCACGAAGAACGCCTAGCCGTCAACGAAGGCTATGCTGAGGCCTTCCGTGTGCGATGCGAGCACAAATATGAGAGCGAATCTCAAAACGAAAGGAAGGAAGGGGAAGCATGGATCGGCTTCTGGGTTCGGGCATTCAGTCAATGTCCCAATGGACCTACACTATTTCATCCAGCACCAAGTCGTTTTCCTCAATGGCACTTTGCAGATGTTCCCCGATACTTATTCAGGGCATTCGATCAAGCCAGTTCCGGTCAGAGCGACGAAAACGTCGTCGCTTCCATTGAGAGTATCTCCGCGACACCGTGGCACAGCAAAGTCGATCTCCTTTCGAGGACAAAGGAGAAGGCAACGAGAATGCTGCACAGGCATTTGACTAAGAAATGTTTGAGCGGAGGGGAAGGCGATGACAATCTGATGTCGTGGAGTAGTTCTCTGCTTTTTGTGATTCAATACGCCATCTGGAGGTGCCACCGTCGTGACTGTGGCCAAGATGAGGTCAAGATTTGCGCCGTCGACACGACGAAGTTTCCTCGGGGCCAGTTTGCGCGCGACATGCCATTGCTCCGGGCCTATTATGAAACTTCCGGACTCGACCAGAAGATGCGGAGGTTTTTCGATTTTCGTCTCGAAACGGCAGACTATGACAACGGAGAGTATCTTTCGCAGGGAAAAGTGCATCATACTGGGCGGTCTTGTGTGTTCTCTCTTGACCAACTCATCCAGGCTGGACTCCATGACCTGTATCCTGAATTTGAAGATTCTTCTGCAATGGGTTCATGGACAAAGCGCGTGAAAGACCTTCGTCTCGGATGGTCCATTGAGCATACAACAACCCAGGTCGACATACGAAGAGCATTCGAGGTGGCCAGAGCATGCTTAGATCCGTTCAATGCATCTGATATAGCATTGCTGCTCTTGTCATTCAAAAACCTCAAGGTTCGGACCACAACGACAACCCGCACATCCCGATCCCGCAACGTCACACAACAGGATCGAGAAAACCTCAAAGATTACGGGCCAGATGAGGTCCAGCGATACATGGAACTTGCGGAAACGATGATGCCAGAGGACCGGGAAGATTGCGATGCTTTAAGTTGGCTATTATCATCAGTTGGTACCCAGCCTCTTGCACAAGTCTTTGAATCTACTTGAACGGAAATTCGTCATGTAAGTCATCTTCGACGAACGAACGGTTGGCGCGCTGACTTTGCCATCGAGCACGTCCTCGATAACCTCCTGGCGAGATAACTTCCTCGGCCTATGCCAACTCATCAGATACTCCCTGCCTGAGGACGACCGGTAAGAGGTGAGGCGGAGAGGGGCGGGGGTGGTTGGGTTGGGAGGGAATACATCTCCTGACGGGCTCTTACGATGCACTTGCCATGGCCTGCTTGCCCATGGCTGTCGGTTATAATATGACCAGTGGTTGATCCGGTTGAGAAACTTGCGGTAGCTCTGCTTCGGCGGAAAGACCGATAAATCTATGGATTGGAGGACACGACAGAAAATCGTATTAAAACGCGCGAACTGTTGCCGGGTATCGAATCCAGATAAACACACTTTGTGGTCCAAACAACCCCATCCAACACACCGATCTTAGTATCTTACATGTACAGAACACCCCTCACAGAGGTCACAACACAACCTAAGCCCCCTTCCCACCACTCCGAGTCCCCATCCCCATCTCCCGCACAACACGCTCCACCTCCTCACTAATATCATTCTCCCCCCCACAATGCCGACACCTCGCCATCCTCCCCCCCACACCCCCATCACGACCACTCCCCACCCCCCTCACCCCCCCTGCCGCCGCCAGCGCAGGGTTATACCGCCTGTCCTCCCCCGCCCGCTGTCCCTCTTGATGCTGTTGCTGTTGCTGTTGCTGATGCTGCTGCTGCCCCTCCTGCTGCACAGGCGCGGGGTGGGTGGAGGCGGTGTATGCGTCGGGCATCACCTCGGGGCTCATGTGCTGCTGCTGCTGCGGCGGCGGTACGGTGGTGTCGGGGTGGGCGTAGCTGTAGCTGGTGATGCCGGGGACGGATTCCTGGCTGGCGTTGGGGTGGGCGCGCTCGTGCCGGAGGTGGGAGGGGATGGGCGCGCCGCTGGGGAAGGTGTGTTGTTGTTGTTGCTGCTGAGATGTGGGGGTGGGGTCGTGGTGGGTGGTTGATGTGGTTTGGGGCGGCTGGCTGGCACGGTTGACTCCGGATGCGGTGCCCGAGGCGAGGGTGTTGTATTGCCCGTGTTCGTGCTGGTTGTCGCTGGACATGGCCGTGTCGGTGGTGTGGGTGCTGTGCCGAGGCGACTTGGGCTTGACCTTCACGCCGGAGATTGTCCCCGAGGGCAGCACGTTATACTCTGTGGATTCTCCCTTATCTCTGGAACCACCCGTCGTGGTGTTGCCGTCTCCGGTCTGGGTTCCAGGGACGGAAGAGTCTCGGTTGATGCCGGAGGGGACACCGGATGCCAGGGTGTTGTAGTGGCCTGGCTCTTGCGTAACTCTGCCGCCGCTGCGGTCCTGGGCTCCTCCTTCCACTGGAGGCTTACCAGAAGAACCGAGGACGTTGTAGCCACCGGGTTCGCTTGATACCACGTTTTGACGAGTGGTTTCGGGGTGAGCAGAGTTGATACCCGACGCTGTCCCAGATGCGAGGGTGTGATAATTTCTGGGCTCGTTCGTCATGGCGCCCTTGGTGGCGGGTTGTGCTCCATGGCTTATGCCGGACGGGGTGCCTGTTGCCAGCACATTGTAATTGCCGGGTTGCTGCTCATTTTCCGGAGGCGGCATTGGAGGCTCTCTCGGATGCTCAAAAGGGGTCGAGACCTCCCCAACCTGATGCAGTGTTTCTCCAGCAGGCCCGGTTCCGCCGCTATCAACAGACTTTGAAACCAGGGTTGGGTTCGTGGTATCCTTGGGATTCTCGCTAGTGCTCTTCTTTTTTCGGTGATGGAGGAAACCGAAAGCGCCCGCTCCCGCCGCTGCGCCGGCCGCGGCCATCTCTTTACCATGACTGGACTGCTCTTCGGGATCGGCTTTAGCGGAGGATGGCGACCGTCTGCGACCCATGGCCGATTCGCCCTTGCTGAGTTTGCGCAAGCGGTTCGGGGAGTTGACTGTGGTCGTATCCTCTTTGGCAACCTCAGTGCGGTCGCCGGGAGACTTTCTGTGGGCATCCTCCTTTCCTTCATCCTTGTTACGGTGGAAAATGCCGAGGATTCTGTGCTTCTTCTCGCCTTTTGGTGATTCGTCATCGTGACTCGTGGGTTTCTCGGCCGGAGATCTTTGTTGGGACGGCTGTCCTTTTCCTGTCACGGGCGCTCCGGCGGCTTGGTGTGTGTTGTCGAGGTTGGGGGCGGTGCACTGCCTCGGATCCTGATCCGGCGGGTTGCTTCTCCCCCGCTGCTGCCCAAGATACCCAGCTGCAGCTGCAGCTGGGCCGGCGCCAAGGCCGGCAGCACCGGCGGCGGCACCGTACCTTGATGGCGATGTCGACTTGCGTTGGTCGTTGCTGCCATCGGTTGTGGCTCCTACGAGCGGGAAGGCTCGCGGAGCCGCAGACTCGGCGTTTCCTGAGGTACGGGACTGCTCAGCGTCTCGGGAGGCAGCTTCTGCTGGCAAAACGGCGCCGCGAACAGCTGTTTCCGGCAGTAAGATGGGCTGGCGGATGGCCTTTTGTCTTTCCTCGGGGATATCCGGCAGAGGAGCAGCAAGCATGGTGTCATCGGTAGGACCGACAACACCAGCCATGTTGTTCTTGTTGTCGACACCACGAGGCTGGTTATGGTGTGTAGCCTCTTGGTCCTGGCTCCCGTGGCCAGTTACGGTGTTGTAAACACCGCCCCGAGGATAGTTGGCGACATGTCCGGCGATGACGGACCTGTCTGATGACGTCGACGTCGGAGGCAAGTGATGATGCTGTTCGTGATCGTCCGTAGCACTTCCGTGACCAGATACGGTGTTGTGAACGGCTCCGTTGGCACCACTTGGAAGGTTTCCCCAGTACGGGGCACCATCGCCGGATGTTTTATGAGTCCGGCTTGTCGTATCGGACCCTCCAACGGGGTCGGGGCCGGCCATGCTCACGCCTCCCATCATAGCAGCAGCCGAGAGTCCGCCCGCCTCCTCACGAGGGAGCGTGTCGCTTTCAGTATGTTGAGCGGGAGTCGTTCCAGTGTTGAGATCAGTCCCGGTTGGCTCCGGAGGGCCTGTGGGTTGGGCATAGTCCCGGACGTAGGTGCCGCCGCCGACTGCTTCGTCTGGGCCGTTCCAGTTTGGCTCCTCGTGCGTGGACGGTTCTATGGGCACCGAGCGGGTCATCCCAACGCCCGAATCGGTGTAACCGTGACCACGGGGGTCGGCGGGCTTGTGCAGCTTATTTCGCTGGCGCTGGTGTTGGTCTGACTGGACCGGTTGCTGCATGGTCTCTTCTGGTGTAGGAGGGATGGAGTCGGGATATGACCCTGGATAGGATCCGGGAATGGGTGCAGCCATGGCACCGTTATCGTGTTTGGGTAGGTGGTAGCGCTGAAAGGTGAAAAGGGGTGTTAGGACATGTGATGGTAGAAAGGGGTGTTGTAACTTGCGGATGATGTGACTAGGGGGGGGACGGCCGCCAACCCATTAATACCTAGAGGGGAACTACGAGACCAACAACAGCGTCATATCGGATCATCCCAAGGACGAACGACAACTGGGTCCCCGAGATGCGATGACTTCAGATGCCGAACCGGTGGTCCAAGAACGGCGGCTCTGACATCATCGTCCCGGCTGTCGCCCCGGATTGACCAATGATGTGCCAAGTTGGGCCGAACGGGGTTCAACTGACGTTGTTCTTGGCGTGCGAAGAAAGTCGCCGCTGGCTTGGAGACGAGATCGTCGCTGGGTGTTGAAGACCAGAGCTGAAATACGTTGCGTCAGTGACAATCAGGTCCAGAACAGGCAAGGTGGCCTTGAGTGTTCAGGGTGTGCTCATAAACTATATGTGCATGGATGAACAGGGGAAAAGGGGAAAGAAGCGATCATGCGCCTGATGTGGTGTGCCGGAGTTGTCAAAACACTGGACACAGACTGAGAGTTCCACTACGTTCCGGCGAACGTAAATTGCTACTTAGGGAGTTTTTGTGTTAACTCAACTTTTCTATAGACACAGAGCCTTGGTTATGGAAGCCATCCTGGATCCAATGCAATGCCCCTGAGCGTCAATGTGTCTGCGCACGTTTTTACTCCGGGAACTCCCACAATGTTGTGGAGTTTTGGCATACTCGAATGCACCGCGAATGACGATCTCGGTATAATATAACGAGGCCTGTACCGACGTACCCTTTTCATTAAGTAGGTAGGTTTCATATCATGAGACATGTCTTACTACCTCAAGCCCCATTCTTCCCCAGACGCACGCCAGTGACAACCACCCCCCCCTAACGGTAACCCCCTTCCCCCCAATGCAACCCCCAAACACCCAGCTACACCCACACACGAGAGCAACAAAACGCATCCCCACCCCCTCACTTCATATTCTCCAGCATATACTTCACGCCCGCAAACGCCTCCTCCCCACTGGGCACGATCTGCTCGGCGGGCAGGACGAAGCCGTACTCGCCCGTGTCGCGCAGCTCGACGGTGAAGACGTACTCGGCGCCCGTGACGTCGTTGACGTAGTCGACGCTGCTGCCCGAGGCCTTGTAGATGGTGGAGCAGATGGGCCCCGTGGTGAAGTCGAGGCCGTTGACGGCCTTGATGGCGGCGGCGGCGCCCTCGGCGAGGGACTGCAGCTCGTCGTTCTTGGGCGCCAGGGCCGTGCAGGAGTAGCCGTATGCTGGCAGTTTCTGTTAGTTCCATTTGTTCGGTTCTCGGTGCAACGCTGTCGGGGTTTTGCATGCTGGAAGGGGGGAAAGGGGTTGCTCACGGGTCATTAGCAGCTGCGAGTAGGCGTGCCAGTCGATAAAGAGCTTCACGCCCTGGTTCGCCTGGGTCGTCTTCAGCCACGCCGACAGCACGGCAGTCTCAGGGGCATCTCCCTCGGCTTCCCCCTTGAAGTCCTCTGCGCAGGGGTTGGTCGAGGCACCTCCGCTGGTATCCCACTTGTAGGGCCAGTTGCGGTTGATATCGTGGCCGATGCAGCTACTACCGGCAGAGGTTTGCCGGTTTTTGCGCCACATGCGGTCTGACTCCTGCGTGTAGATGAATCCTACAATGCCCCGTTGTTAGTTACAACGCATTCTGAGGTGGAGGAACAACACGATAGCATCGTCTTACCGTCAGGGTTGACCACCGGGAAGAAAACGAAGTCGTATTTGTCAAGGAAGCCCGCGACCTCGGCATCGTCGGAGTTGGTCAGCAGGTTAAAGGCGAGAAACTCGACGACCTGAGGCTAGGTTTTAGCAAGGGTGCCGAATTGATTCAGCACTTCGGCCTGTTGCCGTGGCAGCTCACCATGGTGGAGATCCATTCCCGCGCGTGGACGGTTCCGTGGAACACAACGGCGGGCTTGCCCTTGCCGGAACTGCCCCAGAAGTGAATGCCGGTGATGGCGTTACCCTTGAGCGACTCTCCAGCCGAAATCACCTCCGACTGGTTCGGATACTGGGCTTGGAGGTCCTCGAGGAACTGCAAGTGTTCGCTGTACTTGTGGTACGAGTCGAACCACGTAGCATTGGCGGACCCGACTGTTGGTGAAACGGTGAGCAGATGAGCGGAAAGATGGGATGGTTAATCATCCCCCGGCTATTAACGGGTGACAAACCAGCATAGGTACTGAATGTTGCTTCGTTGGCAATGGATGCACCCAAGTCGTTGTGCATGGTGACCGCCTTCATTCCGGCAATCTCGGCCTCAAAGGCACCGAGCACGGAGGGGGGGACCACAATGTCGGTGTTGGCATTGGCGCGGGGCTTCCCCATCCACGTTGCCAGGCCGAGTCTGTCGACCATGTCTTGGACCTTGGCGGCATCTTCCCCAACCGTTAGGCGAACGACCTTGTATCCATCATACGACTTTCTCTCCGACGACGGGACAGAGGCGGCTGACGCGAGGGCGAGAAGGCCGCTCGAAACAAGAAGGGAGTACCGCATGGTGAGAAGTGACGACGGAGTTTAGGTAGTTGGCTGGTCTCGGTCGGGGTTGGTAAGGGGTAAGGGGTACTAGTGTACGGTTCGTTGGATTGGGAACGTTGGGCCTTTTAACGACGATCTTACACAGCGCTATGGGAGTATTCATGTGCAAGCAATCTGTACTGTGGGTGAAGTCGGCGGTGTAGATCGGCGCCGAAATCAGGTCTCGATCGGCCATGTTTCCCTTGGCGGGTCTTTGGGCTCTTGTTTGTCCACTCTCGAGGATGACAAGGCATGCGAGCTTCCGTCTCAGGGAGGTGAGACGCCGTTGCGAGCCGTTGATTGGATTGCTGCGAGTTCCTGCAACCTTCCATCTGAGGGTTGATCGAAGGGCCTGATGTTCCAAGTTCATGCCACCAAGCCCCCCCCTCAAGCCCCCCTCAAGCCCCCACGCGCAAACTCGGCCGCACACCTTCCCAATAGGGGGTTGCTCCCGATTGCGAAGGGCAAGATTAGCGGGCCATGGCACGGGAGCTGCCGCATCGCATTCCATCTCCGCGATCGACTTGCCCAGGGGGGCAGCCCAGCTGTCCAACCTTCATGCGGCGCCGGTAGTTTGCCATGTGCCATCCTATCTTGGCCGCACCAATTGTTTATTTGTTACAGAAGTGGTCCTGCATTAACCGGGTTAGGGGTTTGGGGGTTTGTCGAAGCATTCCATCACCGCGCTACGTTCTGTGTAGGTTTACCAAGGCATAGCGACAATCTAGTCGGCGTACGGGGAGACATGAATGTTATAATCGACTCGACTCGAGGATAGGGTCATGGCGCTTGACGCTGTGGTGGTTTTCCCGAAGAATTGAATCAGGGCGTATGGGTACAATAATTAATACGAATGTTACTAAAGTAATCTTGTGAGACAGTAATTATTAAATTATTATGCAAACCAATGGCAAAAGCGGGGATAAGGACAGCGATGAAGAAAGACCGAGTGAAGTTGGTTGCTTTGGCCCAGGAGAGTGTACACAATTGAAGGTAATTTGGAGCGAGGAAATGCGGCGCAGAAATTTCGGAGCTGGATCCCGAAGATTGAACGGTGATTGCAACCGCCGAATCCAAGCACGTGGCCGCATTGTCGCCAGCTCAGCCGTCAATTTTCCCACTCATCATCAGCATTCTGGCCCTTCCTTCCCGCTTTCTCCTCGCCATTTACATAAACGCACCCCAACAAATTTGACTTCCAACATCACCGCAACTCAGAATGCCCCGTCCAAACTTCAACAAACCCTCATCAGAACCTCAACCAGAACCCCCCAAACGCAATGCACCCTCCACCCCCATCTACTCGGACGCGTCAAGCTCATACTGGCCCGCCGGCTGGAACTTTGACAAATTCAGTCGCGCGACAGACGAAGACCGCGCGTCCCTGCCCGAAGGCGAGCTAGAAAAGATGCAAGCTGGGTTGCGCGACGTGCTGGGAGATCGCGGCGTCGGAGCTCTCGCTATGTACCTGTATCGCGAGGAGCAAAAGCGCGCAAAGGAAACTGGGGCCAGGTCCGAAGCGGCGCCGTCTGGATCCGAATCGGCAAAGCCCGCGTCAACTCCGGATTGGCTACGGAATTGGAGGAGGCGGCATCGCGGACAGAAGTGGGGGTTTGTTGCGTTTCGGACGGTGCTGTATGGTGACGAGGAAGGGTGGGACGGGTATAAGAAGAGGCTGGACGGAATCGTGAGCATGGCGTTTGAGAGGGAGGGGGGCGGGTTGGAGGATTGGGAGCAGGCGAAAGACAACTTTGAGCTTCGGTGGATTGAAGATCCCGAGTTAGCTGGGGCGGATGCAATGGCGCTGAGGGGAAGGTACGAGGAGCTCGGAAAGGATCTGCCGGCCGGCTTGTCACAGTGTCTTTTTCTTTGCGCTTCCCAGGAGGCGGTCGACTCCGTCACGTCTCTTGATGAAGACGACCTGCCGACATTGGAATCGGTGCGCTGGCGACCCACGGCTCCGTTCCTGCTTGCCATCGCCGCGGATGCGAATCTCGGACTGGAGGAGGGCCACGAAGAGAGAGAGTGGTTCAAACCCGTATTTAAAGTCGCAGCGGAGACCATCATCGACGAGCTTTGGCCGCTCGTCGACTCGATTGGAATGCCGTTGAGGAGAATCACGCGACACGTCAAGGGCTCGAGCGAGCTTGGGCCCGAGGAAACAGCGGACGCGGGCGAGGAATTGGAAGACATCTGGTGGACCATGGCACCCTCACCCGAACGATTGAAGAAAAGACGGCGCGATATAGAGTAACTACAGGCTATTGAGTCGAGCACGATCACAACTCCATCTTCTCAGACAAACCCATCATCTTCCTCAACCGCGGAGAGTTTACGCCCGGCCAGCCTATTGCGACTCCACCACTCTCAGACTCGGGGCTCGCCGTTGCGAGAGGAGCAGACCCAGCCCCGCGCGGCCTCGCAATGACGCCTTCAGCATGAGAGTTGGAAAACGCAGCCGTAGCGCGCGCCGCAATCGAGGCAGCGCCGTTCACGCAATACGCCACGTCCAGCTGGAGGTTCGAGCAATCGTTTGCCAGTGACTTTTTGGGCCGTCAGTCGCCTTCCGGCGTTACTGGAGATCGGGAAAAGAATAACATACCGGGTTCCACCCCTGAAGCTGCTCGAAACTGATGCCAAATTGATCTTGGACCTTGGCACAATAATCGCCCGACTGTATGACATACCACTCGTAACAGTCCTCAGTTGTTCCTGGGGGCGTTGCGGTCGGCGCTGGTACCACTGTTGACGTTGCCGTCGTGTTCCAGTCCTGCGTGGGAAGAACACAGTAATACGCCCCAGCCAAGAGGTTAGTGCAAGCAGCGTCGACCTTGTCGATGGAGTGAGTCTAGGTCCTTTCCAAGTGTTTGAGACGGTTCTAAACGTGACTGACCTGTGGGTTCATGGCGAGAAACAGGTCCAGACCAACGGTTTGGTTAACGGCAACGAGTTCACAGTAGTCACCCTGAAGATTAACGTCAGCTTCTCGGATTCTCCACACTAGCGATACGGCACGCAGGCTGAACTTACCAGCTGTACTTGGTAGTACTTCCCGCACTTTGTTGTCGTCCCACTCGCAACCGGCGCCGGTCTTTCTGCTGTAGTTGTAGCATACAACGCCGTCTTTGTTGCAGTTGCCCCGGGGACGGTGGTGAAGTTCTGGACACCGCCGGGCGGTCCAACGCAGATGTTGTGGCCGGCGATCAGATTTGTGCAGACATTATTGATGGTCGGGTTCCAGGCGATAATCTGTTGGTATGAGGTCAAGAAGTTTTCTGCGATGGCGATGCACGTATCCCCGCTCTGCACAACATAGTCGTCACAGATCGGAGGAAGACAGAGAGCCTGGCCAGCAAAGATGTTGGTGCAATCCATCCGCAGACTGTTCAGCGTGATGAGGGCTCCTGTGGAGACGCCGTTGTTCTTGGAGATGTCGATACAGTTGTCTCCACTAGCAATCTCATACGTCCTTCCGCCGACGCAAACAGCAGTTGGATAGCCGGATGGTGCATAATTGCCGAGGGAAGTCACGTTGGTTTCGAGCGTTTGGGTGGCCGTGGGCAAGCTCAACCCGCATTGAGCCTGGATTGCCGCCCACGCTTCTGCCATGTCGGTATCATAGTTGGAGTAAGGGGTCGACTGCTGGTGCTCGAAGAGATTCACGACGCACTCGGAACACAGGGACTCCGTTGAATACCCTCCGAGAAGATCAGCCGGGCTGGTTGCATCTCCAAGAACCCTCTCAAGGAATTCTACCTCTGTCAGCTAGGTCCACGGACCAGCAGCCTCGTTCCTCGGATACTCACGAGTACAATATTCGCCAGTGGCTGAGTCCTTGAGACATGTTTGTTTCTGCACCGAGTTTACCGCATCGACCCAATACGTGGCAGGGTACCCATCCCTTGGCTGGTTGTCGTTGGCACACGCCGTCACGACATCGCTTCGATAGGTGACAAGTGCTGTGGGACACTCGGGCCTGCAAAGGACATCCATCACAGTCTCATTCTTGAGCGTGTAGTAGTGTTCGCCGCCAACCAAGTTCAAGAGTTCCCGGGGACATTCCCACACCGGCGCCGTCAATGCTTGGTTGCATGCTGCTGAGAGGCCGGGAAACTGAGTTGAAGATTGGTTTGCGAAGAAAAAGAACTGGACACGGGAGTTAGTGAGTTTCTTGCCCCTTTCAGAAGGAACTTGGAAGTATCTCACGCTGGGATCCGCAGCAGACGCCAAAGGCAATGCTGCTGCCAACAAGAGTTTGAAGGCCATGATGAGCGCAACTTGCCACAAGACTTGCACGCCCAGCTTCTGGACTTGTGGGCGATTGTATTTACAGGCGAGGCCCCTAGAAAAGATAGTCTCGACCTCGATTCTAGATGGCTACTGAATCTAATCTCGGGTAGCTAATCCTGGAGCAGAGCTAGGTAAAGACGGCACAAGAAGTGGCGTACACTAGTTATGCGGGTTTAGCGCTTTGCCTATATTGCATGCACGCCGGCTCCATCGATGACACGTCAAAGGTCACACATCGTACACTCACTCACGACCCGGGAAATGAGCTCTACCGGAATGAGCGTTACTTGGGTTACTTTATCGGTTGCTGGAGAGCCCACAGCTGTACGGGTCCCACCACACCATGACCACACTCGAACCTAGACTTGAATCCTCCCTCGGTCGTACACGGCCGCTAGCGGAGTTAGCTGCCTTCGAATCCGTATACCCGGAGACCTCATTTCCACGTTCTCGCCGCTCCCACGTTGAGCCGCGGAAATCCAAAAAGCGGGAAAACTAGAGGGTTGCAATATGAGCTGGCTGCATCCTAGAGGACCTAGAGAATGTCGAGTTCCACGCTATGAGGCTGGAATCACGCGCTAGTTGTGATTCGATATCACATTAATCATGAGCGAACTGAAAATAGCACTGAGGGCATCAATGCGAGATGAGACAACGAAGGAAGCGCGGAATAGGGGTCAAACCACAATACGACCACACACGGAGAGAAGCGAAATGATTCTTCAGTATCTTCGACCCCCCCAGAGGTCGAGATTCGGGACACACAAAAGGTGTCTCTTGGAGCACCCAAGGTCGGTTCACATATCCAGCACCGAGGCAGAGCAAGCCTTCCTTGAGCCACTATGTTCTTCTTCACAGCAGTTTTGCTGTTCTTTTGTCTACTCTTCAACGTCAACCCCGCAGTTTCGCAACAGGATTATTCCTGTTCCCCTACGAAGCCATGCAAACTCGGTTGCTGTGGTACCAACAATGTGAACATACCCTCCTACCTAATGGTATGAATGAGACTCGCTAACAGTGGCAGGTCTGCGGCATGGGCCCGGCCTATTGCGCGCCGGGGAACTGCACGTCCACCTGCGATGCAAAGAGTGAATGTGATCCCGGTTGGGGCGCCGAATGGAGCCAGCGGTCGAAGTGCCCCCTGAACGTCTGCTGTAGCGAGTTCGGCTTCGTGAGTTTACGTGTCTCCTGGCTGACTAGCCTCCTATTGTGAGATGTCTAACGAACCAAAACATAGTGTGGTACGACTGAGGACTTTTGTGGCGATAACAAGGTCAAGGCACCAAGTTGTCCTGATGGGACAAGCGCGAACAGCAAGCTCATTGGGTATTATGAGGGATGGTCGACAACCAAGGCCTGTAATGGCAGTAAGTTGACCACTTTATGTCACCTATGAGAATGACGGCGCTGATGAGTCGGTAGTGAACCCCGAGTCTTTGCTGTTCACGGCATACACCCATCTCAACTATGCCTTTGCTTTCATCGATCCAAATACGTACAAGATTGCCAACATGCAAGACTCGGATGAGAAGTACATGCCCCGTCTGACTGCGCTAAAGAACTACAATCCGGGGTTGGAAGTCTGGGTGAGTTTGACCGTAACTTAGTATCTTAGAGTAACTGTGCTAACAGGTTCGCAGATCGCTGTCGGAGGCTGGAGCATGAACGACCCCGACCAGCCAACCAAGCGGACCTTCTCCGAACTCGCTGCCTCGACGGCGCACCAAGACGTGTTTTTTGCCTCCTTGCTTTCATTCATGGACAAGTACGGGTTCGATGGAGTGGATATCGACTGGGAGTATCCGTATGCCTCACCAAGGCCCGCACTGCTATTGCTGTTCTTGGCTGACCATGTTTTAGAGTCGCAGAAGAGCGCTCGGGTGCCCCCGAGGACTACGACAACTTCGTCACTTTCCTCAAACGCCTACGTGCTGTTCTTGGGTCCAAAGGCCTTACCATTACCCTCCCAGCATCGTACTGGTACCTCCAACACTTCAACCTTAAGGAGATGGAGCCCGTACTCGACTGGTTCAACATAATGAGCTACGACCTACACGGCACATGGGACGGCACCAACCCTTATCTCGGTCCCTACATCAACTCGCATACCAATCTCACCGAGATTGATCTTGCCCTTGAACTTCTTTGGCGCAACGATATCGATTCCAAAAAGGTGGTCATGGGGATGGGCTTCTACGGCCGGAGCTTCACCCTAACCGATCCCAACTGCCGTACGGCAGGCTGTGGTTTCAGTGCTGGCGGCAACCCCGGCCGTTGTTCCGCATCGGCCGGTACATTGATGTTCTCGGAGATCCAGGAGATCATTGACAGCGGCGACGCCGAGGTTACCACCGACGAAAAGGCAGCCGTCAAGATCGTCACCTGGGGCGGCAACCAATGGGTGTCCTACGACGACGAGAGCACCCTGAAGACCAAGGTTGACTATGCCAATGAGAAATGCCTCGGAGGAACCATGGTCTGGGCTGCGTCAACGGATGACCACAAAGGCACCGCCATCCGCGCGCTGGCGAAGGCCGCTGGCCGAACCGATCTCTCCCAGCCCCCGGCTCTTGCGTCCAAGGCGAACATCGACCCGAGCCAGTGTGTCTGGGGCGAGTGCGGCGCCTCTTGCCCGTCCGGTTTGGTCCCCGTCGAAAGTTCGGGGAGCAATGCCAGTCCCTTGGGCATCGAGCTCGGGTGCAACCAGGGCAAGAGGAACTTCTGCTGCCCTTCCAAGAATCCACCGACGTGCACCTGGAAGGGAAGTCCCAAGTTTTGCGGCATGTTGGCCAGTAACCGCTGCAACGACCAGGAGATTGAGATCTCGGCAAGCACAGATGGTTGTTGGACGGGACACAAGTCACTTTGCTGTACCAAGACCGACACGACGACAAATTTGGACTCTTGCGAGTGGCTGGGCGCTGCCCCTATCTGCGCGGCTGGTGCGGGCATTGGGTCCATCCTGGGCCTTTTTACGACCCCAGTTGCGGCGGCGTTTTCGTTCATGTCGTATGGGTGCCCGGACAGCGATAAGCCGAATGAGCTTACCAAGGGCAAGGCGGGACAGGGTGGACAGCAGTCGTGCACGATCAATGGTGGTTTCAAGAGTTACTGCTGCAAGGACCCTACTCCTTGGGAGAACTGCAAGTGGTGAGTTGGCCGTTTACATTCCTCGTGCCGTTAGCCCTTTGAGGTGGTCTTATTAACTAATAGAATTACAGGAGAGCCGGAAACACCGTCTGGGTGCAGTGGGAGAAGATATTGGCTGGGCCCATTGGCAACTTGTTCTTCGACTTCTCAACCGACTGCAAGACAGGATGCGAGCCTGGAGAAGTCACAGTTGCCACGGATGGATTTGGCTGTCGGTCCGGCACATACTCATATTTCTGCTGCGCAGATCCCAACAAGCCTGCGACGCCGGATCTTCCTGAGATCGAGCTATGCCCGGGACCAGTCAGCTTGCCAGGTCAAAGCAGGACCCCTGAGCCTGGGACCGACCTGGACAACGTTTGGGAGGAAGGAGATTTATATGATGACACCTGCAGCCTTCCGCCGCCTCAACTGCGCAAGCGCCTCATCAGAGCCGCTCGTCCCCATCTTATGGGGTTCGACAGCAATGAAACAGAAACTGAGCTGAGAGCGAGATCTGCTAACGATGGCATCCACCACCCGAGCCTGGGAGCCATTGAAATCCCCAACATCTTCGACCGTGGTTTGATGAAGCGCGGCGCCCGAGATCACTTCATGAAACTATGCGGTCCCAACGGACAACAAGGAGGCATCTGGGTCCAGAACTACCCGCCCTCAACCTCCATCATCCGCTCAACTGTCCGCGCTTTCACGGCCGCCAGACGTGGCGTCTGCGCTCTCGCCGGCATCACGGCTCTCACTACGCTCGACCCCCAAGCCAACTGGGTGACAGAACATGTGTTCGAGAAGCAAGAGTTCCGCGACGCAATCGAGTGGATGGCCGACGGCCACGCACCAGGCGGCCAAACTCTGACTGCCGGCGCGGCTCCTTTCGCCGGTGTCTTTGACACGAACGGCATCTTCCAAGATCCCTGGCCATCCGCCAACTTCCCCAGTCTCACCACTGTTCGCGGCTGGGCCGGCAACATTAACGACGCCTTTACCGGCCTCCTTGGCCGCACAACCGACGTGGGCCTCAACAACGCCAATATCGTCAACCTTCAGGTCTGTGATGCCGACTACAATCTGTATAAGGAACACATTGTTGCGGGAGCGAATTTCATCAGCCGTGCCAACTATGATGGATACACTGATCCGTTCGACCGTATCGGTATCCTGACTGACACCATCGACACCTTTGCATACCGGGGTCACCAGGCTGTTGTGCAGTCGTATTCACAGACATACACGGCCCTGGCCCAGTTGTGGGGTGACTTTGGCAGGTATGCGGCGACCAAAGGGATCCAGTATGACTTTGCAGGTGCGTTTAAGGAGGTGATTCCGGCCAACTTGGAGAGTCAGGTTGCGTCAGCGAGGACGCTGTTTGGGACGTATCTCGATGAAGAGATTGCGTTTTGGGGATCCAATGCTGCGAGGACGACGTACACGCCGACGATCGTGGCGGATATGGTGCAAAGGCTGGCTGGCTGGAAGACGAACTTGAATACTCTCATTTCGTTGCCTATCAACCAGATGACGCCCTAGGTTGGTGTTGGCTGGCGGATACGGAGATAGAAATGCGAGGCCTTTTTGGAGCCAAGAAGAATCATACATTTGTGAGGCCGTGGACGGCCCCCTGCACTGAGTGCCCGCTGCGGTAAGATCGCTAAACTTATTCCTCCGTCGGCCGAGTTTTCCATGTTTGCCCGAGCTTGCCAGGAACGGAAGGTGATACAACCACCATCCTCGCCAGTGCCTCGTTTCCCTCGCGTGGTCGTGGCCGAGATCCAACCATCAACCCGGACGCGCAATACATACCACTCGCGGACGAGCCAAGATGGAATTATGCATGGACCAAGCCCACACCCAACATACAGAGACGGTCCAATACGCTTCGTCTATGACGCATCCAGTACCGTCCCGGCAAAGGTGATGCGGAGAGCCGTCAACCCATGCTGAAATTGTGGCTTTCGCGCTGCGGCTGAGACGGAGACGCCGCCAGTCAGCGGTCAACTTTGAACCGCTCTTGGGATAAATATTGCGCCGAGTCCCAGTCAGTTGCCGTGAGCACACGTTGTGTCAGGACAGCCTTGCCCCTATTCTCCCATCTTTAATACACTCTTTATTGGGCACCATGCTACCCTTTTCGCTCGCCTTGTTCGCCATATACGCGGCTGCCGAATTCACACCGTCTGTTCGGTCCGGCCACGGCAACAATGGGGATCTGACCTGCAAGGCCGTGCCCGGAACGCCCGAGTGGCCACCACAACACAGCTGGGCCCATCTCAATGAGACAGTGGCCGGTAGACTACTCCAACCGCCTCCTCCGGGAGCCATCTGTCATCCGGAGCATGCCTCCTACAATGCTACCACGTGTCCCGCCCTCCGCGCAGCCTGGTCAACGTACGAGTTCCACCAGGCCGACCCGATCTCCATGGACGGGAATCAATGGACGAATGACTCCTGCCTTCCGCAAGAAGGTGCTCCTTGCAGTGGCGCCGGGTACCCTGTATTCGTTATCAACGCAACAACAGCCCACCATGTCCAGCAGGGTGTCAAATTTGGTAACATGAAGACCATCTGCTGTTTCTCACTTGGTTCCATTACAAGGGATGTTACTAACAAAACACTCTGTTGCATATTAGCCAAAAAACACAACGTCAGACTAGTTGTTAAGAGTTCCGGTCATGACTTCCTCGGCCGTTCAAATGCCCCCAATACCCTATCTATTTGGACACGTAACCTGAGAGGGGTCAAAGTGCACGACTCCTTCCGACCTAGCTGTTGCAAAGCGGGCGTTAATGCAACCGCACATGCGGTTACAGCTGGCGCCGGTATGCAGATGTGGGATCTCTACAGCGCGCTCGACCCCCTGAACCTGACCATTGTCGGCGGTGGAGGAAAGACTGTGTCACTAGGTGGCTACTTGACTGGTGGGGGTCACAGTTTGCTCTCGTCGTGGTACGGCCTGGCTGCAGATCAGGTCCTCGAAATGGAGCTGGTAACCCCCAATGGAGAGATCGTGATTGCCAACGAGTGCAAGAACAAAGACCTGTTCTGGGCCATGCGCGGCGTAAGTTCTTTTCCTCTCTTCTGCGGGCTTTCCCTCAGGGTCAGATGCACAACTAACATCTTCATTTCGCTTCAAAAAGGGTGGTGGCTCGACCTTCGGCATCATGACCTCGGTCACAATGAAGACTATCCCTACTCCCAAACTCGAGTACCTTACCCTTACAATGCTTACCCAGAACATCTCCAGCCCACGCCCTATCTACGAGGCCGCCGCCTACGTCCTTAGCAAATTTCCCTCGATGAGCGATCAGGGCCTGGCAAGCTACACCTTCTTCTTCCCGCCCACCCGCGATCCCTTGGGCGGTACCGACACTATCTTGGGGGCTCTGGTTACCGGCGCCACTCTCCAGAACAGTTCCCCGGAGGAGATGCACCGGCTATGGGACCCTGTGATAGCACACGTCAACCGCACGTGGCCCGGTGTCTTCAGCATAGCCTACCAGCCCAAGACGTACCCGTCACTGCTTGCGTGGTTCCGGGAGAACTACGACACAAGCCAGGCTGGGCTCAACATCTATTCGGGCTCGAGACTGCTGGACAAGGCCGCGCTGACAGGAAACATCACCGAGAGTGCTATTGCCTATGGGAAGTTCGTTAATGGCACCATTGGTATCGCACATTTGGTTTCTGGAAAGGGTGTGCATAACGCCCGGCCCAGAGGTGGCGGAAATGCCGTGCTACCTGCCTGGAGAAACTCTTATGTTCATTTGAGTGAGTCACTGACCGGGCTACGATACCACAAACAAACCCGGACTTGAACTGACTGGAACTTACAGCGACTAGTACGAGTGTTCCGCCGTTAGACCCTGCAGCTGCGATGACCGTGCGGAAGCAGATAAAAGAACGTGTGGATGCCTTGAGGAAACTGGCACCTAACACGGGGGCATACATCAACGAGGTGAGCATGTTTCTGTCTTTATGTCCTCTAGCATCTTTAGTGACACGACACAATACAGGCAAATTTTGAAGAACCGAACTTTCAACACGAGTTTTGGGGTTCCAACTACGAACGACTGTACGTATCCATGCCGTGGATACCTGTATGCTCCAAGCTTCGAGCCCAGCTAACAGGAAGTTATGCAGACTGCGTATCAAGCGAACCATGGACCCAGAAGATGTCCTCTGGTGCACTCCTTGCGTAGGCAACGAGCGCTGGGAGCAGGTAGGAGACCGTCTGTGCCGTATCAACGGAGCGTAATAGTGCACTCTTTGTGGGTATGCCGGTAGTCATGGGCCTCCCTTCCTTCATATGGGCTTGGAGACCAGAACAACGTGTTTCCCGTGTGCCCGCGTACTGCATGAAGCCGTGGGCGCCAGTCTTGTTATTGTATTCCAAAAAGCTGCCAGGGGATGGGTTCCCACTGCGTGGGTCGTACGCATTAATTCGATTTCCCTGACTCGGTTTTCCCAGAACGGAATGACAGCTCCTCGCTCTTCCCCGGGGCGCGTGGACCCCACGGGGCCGACAACCAAGCCCGTGGACGTGCTAAACAAGGATGACGTCAAGCTCAACGCATTCAAACTCAGTCATGATCTGTTCGTTGGACGTGAGCCTCCCGGCAGCCACGGATATCTCGCAACGTTCGACTGAATCCAAGGCTATATCGAATTTAACCGTGTGTTCCTTTGTGTCGGTGGAGAGGAGAAGTTTCGCCCTGAATATCCGGACAGCAAAGACCCAAGCTCACTCGGCGAGACTCGACGACAAAGGGAGGGGCGGTCCCTGGCGTTGCGGGCCAAGTCGAGTCATGGCTCGGCGCTTGATAGGCGGCGCAGGGGACAGGGAGTGCCCTCGCTCCACTCAGCCCATCCACAAAATGACCGAATCGGCGCCGTCCGGATATCTCGGGAGCCCGTCGACTGCCGGCACTTGCCACTTGGCGGCTGTTCTTGATTCGCCGTTTTGTGCTTGGTCTTCAAGAAAAAGTGCTTGTTTTTGATGGGAAAGACGGCGGCTTATGACGGTCGCCCCTGAGGGCTTCATGCCAACAACCAGCTGCGAAGCGTCCCGTCTTATGTTTTCATGGCGTTCTGCATGGCATCTGGTCGATGGTCACAAGTGTATGGGCGATTATGGATCCTACCTTTTGCCTGGTGGTGCCGCATCCTGCTCCTTTCTGCGGTTGTGGGCCACGGACCAACACGGGTTTGGATCTGCTCTCCAGCACTTCCTCCCATGCACTCCCCTGTTGGAAGTTTCTGCCGGCTAAAGTCCTCAGCTCGCTCTCGTTCCGCCATGTGGCCGGTAAACCCGAGTCTACGTTTGTCTTGGAGTTGAAGACATCATCCAAGGGGTTCGATACCGAGGTACGTGGTTCGTTCCAAACGGCGGGAGCCCGCCGTCTCAGCGCCATGTTACTGCAGCGAACACTTCTAACCCTACAATATAATGAACAGACCAGACAACGTCACCGCCGTATTGTGAGAGCAACACTGTCAGTATGCCATGTTAATTCCTAAAAATAACGCCGTCTGAAAAACGGCTCGGAGCTAAGAGGGGTGGATCTCGGGAACGCCGCTGGAAACTCTGCGCTGTGCTATTATCCCGTATCCCTGGCCAAGGACAGTTTACTTTGTACCTGCCCACATATCATCTCCGACCACGATCTCGTTCAACCGGGATCCGCTCCCCACGTCCCAGGGGAGTGCGGGTCTAGGCGGGTGAATGCCACGAGGGCAGAAGAACTCCCCACGATATTGACTCCGGCCGGGGAAGTTTGGGGTGGAAACCGGGGATGGCCGTATGGGGAAAGAAGCGAAGGGTGTAAGACTCGTCCAATCTGCCCCTGGCAGTATATAATGGCCAGCCCTTCTGCCTGCTCTTGTGGCAATTGTGTGTGATATCAGCGCCAGAACCAGCTTCGTCGGGGTTTCTTTCCTTCATCACAGGTTCCTCCTCAGATACCTGCCTCCAACCCCCCGAACCACACCTCACCTCCATACACCAACGCCAACCACCCACCCAACAACCAACAATCAACCCCATCCATCCCAACACCCACCGCCCCGAACAAACAAACAACCATGCCCGGCGGCGCCGCCCCACCCCTGGCGGGCACGCCCGACGTCTCGCGCGTCGAGGCGCCCGTGACGATGAAGGCGTACATGATGTGCGTGTTCGCGGCCTTCGGCGGCATCTTCTTCGGGTACGACTCGGGCTACATCTCGGGCGTCATGGGCATGCAGTTCTTCATCCACGTCATCGAGGGCGGCGACGCCACCGTGCTGCCCGCCTGGAAGAAGTCGCTCATCACGTCGATCCTGTCCGCGGGCACCTTCTTTGGCGCGCTGATCGCGGGTGATCTGGCGGATTGGTTGGGCCGGCGGATTACGGTGATCCTGGGGTGCGCGGTGTTTATTGTCGGTGTGGTGCTGCAGACTGCGAGTGCCGGGCTGGGGCTGATCGTTGCTGGACGGTTGGTGGCTGGCTTCGGTGTCGGTTTCGTGTCGGCGGTGATCATCCTGTACATGTCGGAGATTGCGCCGCGGAAGGTCCGTGGTGCGATCGTGTCCGGGTATCAGTTCTGTATCTGTGTGGGCTTGTTGTTGTCGTCGTCGGTGGATTATGCCACGCAGGAGAGGAACGACAGCGGCTCATACCGGATCCCGATCGCGTTGCAGATGGCGTGGGCTCTGATTCTAGGAGCCGGCCTGTTCTTCCTACCCGAGTCGCCGCGGTTCTTCGTCAAGAAGGGCAATTTGGAGGCGGCCGTTGTCACGCTTGCCCGGTTGAGGGACCAACCGCAGGACTCGGACTACGTTCGGGACGAGCTGGCTGAGATCGTGGCTAACCACGGGTACGAAATGAGCGTGATCCCGCACGGCAGCTACTTTCAGGCCTGGGCTATGTGTTTCCGGGGTTCGATCTGGAAGGCCAACAGTTACCTTCGGAGAACTATCCTGGGCACGTCGATGCAGATGATGCAGCAGTGGTAAGTATTCTCACGCAATCACTTCCTCACAGGTAGTGGAAACAGCTAACAGGATCAGGACTGGCTGCAACTTCGTCTTCTACTTCGGCACCACCTTTTTCCAACAGCTCGGCGTTATCGACAACCCCTTCCTCATCTCACTCGTCACAACACTCGTGAACACCTGCTCGACCCCCATTTCCTTCTACACCATGGAGCGCGTTGGCCGGCGGCCGCTTCTAGTCTGGGGCGCCCTAGGCATGCTGGTGTGCGAGTTCATCGTGGCTATCATCGGCACCGTCAAGCCGGACGATGACACAGCCGTCAAGGTCATGATTGCCTTCATCTGCATCTACATCTTCTTCTTTGCCACCACCTGGGGCCCCGGTGCTTGGGTTGTCATTGGCGAGATCTTCCCCTTGCCGATGCGTGCCAAGGGTGTTGCGCTATCGACGGCGTCGAACTGGCTGTGTAAGTTATGACCGGCTGTTATTCTTTCGGAACAATGACTAACCGATCATAGGGAACTGCATCATCGCCGTTATCACCCCCTACATGGTGGACAAGGACAAGGGCAACCTCGCGGCGAAGGTGTTTTACATCTGGGGCGGTCTCTGCACGTGCTGCTTCGTCTACGCTTATCTCCTGATCCCCGAGACTAAGGGCTTGACGCTGGAGCAGGTGGACCAGATGCTGGGCGAGACGAACCCGCGCAACAGCGCCAAGTGGGTGCCGCACAGCACGTATGCGGGCGGCGAGCTCAAGGCGGAGAAGGAGGTCGGCCACGTCGAGAAGTCGGATGGCGACAATGGTGTTTAGGGATGGAGTATTATTGTTTTGTATCCTAAAAGCGACTTTATGACTATTTTGAACTCTGTCAACAATGCTTGAGAGGACGCCAGTACCATGATGCACGAACTGAAAACATCGCCCGCCAGCAACTAACACACAACGAAAATAACCTCTCGCTTTTGTACCGTCCCCCCATCCACCATGATCACAAGACAACCACAGCCCTCAACACCAACCACCAATCCCCCTCCTCCCCCCCATCTCGCTCACGCACCAACCTCCTCCCCCCTAACCTTACCCGGCTCCCTTTTACTCTGCGCGCCCGGGTCCTTGCTATGCAGCCTGGTATCTTTCGGGTCATACTGGCGCAGGGCCTCCATGTCGTCGCCGCTGCGGGCGCGCGCGCCGCCCGTGCCGGCGGCGGCCTGCGCGGCCTCCGACAGCGTCCCGCCCGTGGCGTCGTGCGCGTTGTCGTGCGTCGACCGCGGCCGCGGCTGCTGCACCCCGCCGTAGGTCGTGTACAGCAGCCCGCCAAAGACGCCCGCGGCGATCATCAGCGGGACTTTGCGGGTGGCGAGGAGGTTGGACATGTTGGCGTTTGGGGGGACGGGGGTGTGGTGTGTGGTGGTGTTTTAAGTTGGTTGGGACTGGGGTCGAGGATGGCTGGTATGGATGGATTGTGTTCGCTTGGTACCCCCACGGTATGAAGTTGGAAGGAGGCCTGGGAGGTTGAGCAATGCATATAACTATGAACTGTGCCGAGTGATCCCACGCGGTCTACGAAGTACATGAGTTGTTTTAAGGGTCTCTAGTTGGCCTCTGATGATCCAATAGTGGAGGTTGCCACAATCATCATGACATCAAGATCCCAAGAGGATCGTCTCGACGAAGCGGAAGCATCAAGTCAACCAATGGAATCCTCCCCTTGCTGGTGCCGACCCTGAAGATACATTGGGGTCCCGGAAGGCGTTTCGAGGTCCAGCGTGACGTCATAACAAACATTGAATAACAGGTCTAGAAGAACTACTACCCTAGAAACAAGCACGATATGCCGGATCAAAGAAACTCTCAGGCACGTTACATACTCATTTTGTCATGACGGAAAGTCCAAAATGATTGAACGTAGCATCTGCTGTTTCTACAAGACCGGTCATGGTTCCACCCCCTATTCTTGTACCATGTTTCAACCCCTTCTCCGAAACACCACTAGGCAAGCTAACAAAGAATATCAAACTTCGTTCAAAGGTTACAACCTTGTGTTTCTCTTGCTGCAGAAGGAAAGATTTCCTCTTCCCCCCAGGCCCTCTACATGACACGCTATCAAGGAAGTAGTGTAAATGAGAGAAGCAAATCCCTGATCAGCACAACTAATACACACGCTTCCTCCTATCTTCTCCCGGCATCGCCGCCTTTACATCTCCTCCCCCGTTGACGGGAATCCCCGTGGCCGTGACTTCCTCACCATGTCGACGAACGCCTCCATATTATCAATATTACCTTTTCTGATCCCATCTGGCGCGTTCACACACAACGCCCCATCCTCGACATACCAACTCCATTGTTCCTCAAAGCTGCGCGCGAAATGGATGCTATATAGTGATCTTGCAGATGGGCCACTGAGAAGGGTGGAGTAGAACTCTTCATGCCCTCTCAATACAACCTCCGCCGGGCCGCCCCCGTTTTCAAAGGCTAGTAGTAATGATAGGGCCTTGAGACACTCGTCCGAGAGAGAAGGTTGTCGTTGCAAGATCCGCGACGCGGCCTGTCTGACGTACTCGTTCCAGCTTTGGAGGAGTGCTACCACGACCTTCAACTGCTCGTTGGAGATACTCATAGGATGTTCTTCCAAGACCTTCAAGGCGGCACTTCTGACAAGCTCGTGACTGTCTTCGAGGAGTCCGACCACGACCGCAATGTGTTCGTCGGATATATTAGGCTGTGCTTGTAGGACCTTCAAGACGTGCGTTTTGGTGTAATTATTGTCGACTTCGAGGAGTGCTAGCACGGCCATAAGGTGCTCGTCGGATAGGCGGGGCTGTGCCTGCAAGACGTCCAAGGCGGCCCGTCTAACCAACGAGTCATTGTCTTTAAGGACTTCTACCACGGCCGTAAGGCGGTCGTCGGATAGACTGGGCTGCGCTCGCAATAGAGTTAACGCGGCTTCCCTCATGTAATCATCCTTGTCTCCGAGGAGTCCCACTACTGCCGTGAGAAAGTCGTCGGATATACTGGGCTGTGTTTCCAGAGCTCCCAATGCGGCTTTTCTGACGGCCCGGTCCTCGTCCTTACATAACGCCAGTTCTACCACAGCCGTAAAGCGCTCGTCGGATATGGTAAAGTCTCTGGCGAAGGTCGACAAGGCGTTACACCTAACGGACTTGTCCTCGTCTTTGCTGAGCGCTAGTTCTACCACGGCCGCGAGGTGCTCGCCGGATATTTTGAGCTGCCCGGGCGGCACCTCCAAGGCGGCCGTTCTGATAGACACGTCCTCATCTTTACAGAGCGCCAGTTCTAGCACGGCCGTGAGGTGCTCGCCGGACATTTTGAGCTGTCTGGGCAAGACCTCCAAGGCGGCCGTTCTGATGGACTCGTGTTCATCTTTACATAGCGCCAGTTCTATCACGGCTGTGAGGTGCTTGCCGGATATTTTGAGTTGCCCGGGCAGGACCTCCAAGGCGGCCGTCCTGATGGACACGCCCTCATCTCTGCAGAGTGCCAGGTCTACCATGGCGGTGAGGTGTTCGCCGGATATTTTGAGCTGTCTGGGCAAGGCCTCCAAGGCGGCCGTTCTAATGGATTCATCCTCGTATTTGCACAAGGCCAGTTCTATCACGGCCGGGAGGTGCTCATCAGATATAGTGGGCTGTGCTCTTAAGAGCTGCAAGACGGCAATTCTGACGGACCAGTGCTCAGTTTTGTGAAGCACCCGTTCCACCACGGCCGTGAGCAGGTCGTCGGACAACCCTCGTCCCAGACTAAATCGCCGGAGAACCTCGAAGGCCATGGTCCTCGAGGGCTCGGATTGGCCGTCTTCTAGCCAAGAAACTATTATATCGACGATGCTTGACGGGAGTGTTGGCCGTATTGCTAACGATTCAAGAATCGTCATCTTCACAGGAAAAGGCGCTTCCTGCAGGGCGTCGACCAAGGCCCGTTCCGGAAATTCGACCTCGCTTGCCGATCGTGCCTTTTTTGTGAATTCGAATTCAAAGAGCAGCCACTCTTTTAGTCTCTTTTCTAGGCTTCTCCGGGGTCGCGTCTCCATCAACGTCTCGCTCAGGCAATGCATCACAAGCCGTTGGTGGGTAGGACCGAGCAGATCGCGCGGCTTGTCTTCGATTGCGTGGAAGAATTCCTCGCCCTTCCGTTCGGCGTCAAACAGGCCAGCAACGAAGCGCCAAAAGATGTCGTAGCGGGCGGTGTATTTGTGTTTCCGAAGAAAGTCACCGGTTCCGAGGGTCTCGAGCTTTCCGTTCCCGAGGACTCGACATTTGAGTGGTTCTCCAGCTTGCCACTGCCGTACGAAATATCGCGCGGCAAAATATTCTTGGTAGGTCAAGTGCAAGAAATGATACGATTGGTTGTGGTTGCCCTTTCTTGGTGAGAGGTTTGAGGTCCGGAGAAAAGAGAGGTGTGGGAGCGTTTTGGAGGGTAAAATGATGGCGGGACTGAAATGAGTAGACATGGCTTTCTGATGCCTCGGGTCGAAGTCGATTACATCGTTGTGCAGTCCAGTGAAGGCCAAGCCTTCCAGAAAGCAGATCTCATCCCTGACAAGGTCCCTGATCTCGGACGGGTCTGAATCCTGGATCAGGCCTTCAGTCAAAAGCTTCCCATCATGTCTTTTCCCCAATCGCAAGACGTCCTTCTTCCACAGGCCATCTTCGATCCCTTGATAAACGGCAGTCATGGTGTCAAGTTTCGTCACGCTCTCATTCCAGGTAAAGCTGAATGCATCCAGCTGGATCGGGACGCGTACAAGATCCCGAACAAGCGGGCGGGCTTGGAGAAATGATCGGATATCCTCGGCCTGTCCAGGAAGTACCTGTTCGAGATACTCGTTGACCTGATCTGGATAGAACCCAATCGTCTCCAGTTCGATGTCGATGGCTTTTAGGCCAGGTGGTAGTTTTCCTGAAGGCCGAGAGGTGATGATGACGTTCGGTTGGTTCAACAGCTTCTTGAGAAAGTGGAACATGACGCTTTGGTCGCCTAGCTCCTGAGAGACTTCGTCTAGGCCGTCCAGGAGAAATAAGGTCCTACTGCTCTCGGTCCATTCCAGGGTATCGGACAATGCGCTGGCCAGGTTCGGTTTGGGGGGGTCAGAGAAATACTCATGGGTGAAAAGATCGACAAAGTGGTATTGGGCCTGGCGTCTCTCGTCCAGTTTCAGGTTCCGCAAAGGTACCCAAAGGACGCGGTCGAATAAATCATCCCACTGACCCCACGTACCGTGGGTAAACTCGTGGACAATCTTCTTGCACAGCGTAGTCTTCCCCACTCCAGCGCGTCCTCGGATCAAGATGCGTCTTGGGTTCGTCTGAACATCGCCTCTTTTGCGTGGGCGGAATAGTGTCGGCAACTCGACCTGTATGTTCTTGTACAGTGTCTCGATCTTCAGTCGAGCGGAGAGTGAAAACGGGGAGGACTGGGTCTTGGACTCTTCTTCGGACCTATACTGCTCTACAATGGCGAGATTGATGTAGCATTGGTCCATGGGCAAAGGATCGCCTGAAAGCCGTTCAATCTTCAGTCTGTCGGTGGTATAATGTTCGGTGCGAATCCAGGCGTCTGCCTGTATGAGGGGGGTTCCTTCGCGGATCTTTCTGAGGAACTCCTGAATCTTTCCAGCCACTGTTTTGTAATCTGCACATCCGGGACCGTGGAATTTGTTCATCATAACATGGCGCCGATCGAGTGGTAGTGGCTTGTGGACAATATCGAGGGTTGCCGAGCTTTCGTCGACCAACTGGCGTGTGTTAGGAATAACGCAACAAGGCATTGTACTCTTGTAAAATCCTCACCTGCTTTTCTTGGCGGAAGAAACTCGGGAGCCAAGGAAATACTTTGAGCGGCAGGCTCGTCTTCCCTTTTTCATAAAAGGTAAACACTAGACAGGGATGATCTTTGTCCTGACATAGTTGTGTGAACTCCCGTACAAGTGTCTCGAGATCGAAGGTCGACCCCTTCACCTTGTCGAGCAGCTTGTTTACTTCTCGACCCCGGATCGAAGCCAAGAATTGCAGACCCGGCTCAGCAAACGCGGCTACGTCTCGGAACGAAGTCCCCCGGAACGGCGTGGCAAGAAAAACAATACCGCACGTCGCTTTTCTGAGGGAGAGGTACTTATCGTCAGCGTCCACCAGAGCCTTGGTCAACACGATGCCCCCGAGACAGGAAGCGATGAAGAAAAGACGCCGGGGTTCTTTTCTTGTGGCATCTGCCACGAACAGCTCTCGATCGATGGCATTGAGGAGAAGCAGAGCATATTCCTCAATTCTCTTCGGGACCAAGTCTGCCGGTTGGAGCAGGTCGGCGGGCCAGTTGCATGTGAAGATGCGAGCTGCTCCCACCTTACTCGGGAGCATATCCGGATCGGCCAGCCAGTTGACGTTTTGTTGGGCGTTTTTGGCCCCCCACGTCCACGTATCCGGCGATTTCGTGTCGAGGCCATGGATGGCAATGATGTCAATGTCGGCGTCAGAATCGTCCTTGTCGTTGACCTGACAGAGCCGGACCCCTCGTTGTTTCGGTTCAAATTGTAGAGATGGCGAAGGGGGCTCCGGGTGAGAAAGCCAAAGCCAGACAGCGGTCGTACCGGCCAAGATACACAAGGCAGTTGTCCCTGTAGCCAAAAAGACACGGCTGCTGAGGTTGACGGAAATCATGGCTGGGATACCGGGGAACGAACGTGTGCGGCAGATGGCGCGTTCGGTGAACGTTGGTGGTTGTTTGGTTCCAAGTGAAGGTAACTCCGTGCATGTTGTTGATGGTTTATGCTTCACGTGGACGAGAAGAGCATTTCACAGTCATGCCGGACCTACCTACCTACCAAGGTAGGTGTAGGGTTTGTTGTAGCCCTTGTGGTGGACGTTGCCCAAAATGTTCGATCCGCGGCGCTTGCTCAGCCGCACGGGGAAATTGACAGGGGCGCAGATGATCCTCGCTTGTCACTCTCCTCTCAATATCACCTGACCACCGTGTAACGAGTGGCTGAGCCAATGCCGTCCCCCTCACAAGTGGAGAGCAGTCACGCTGTCAAGTTGTGTCAAGGCTCGGGAAGCAACGAAAGTTAGGTACCTTACCTATTGAACCGTTGTTCGAACCCCAACCATTCATTGAACCAACTGTAAAATCATTAACACGCGTTCCCGGGCGAAGAAGGCACGCCTCAAGATTCTCACAACCGTGTCGCGCCAAATAAATGAGCAGTCGAAACGCCAAAGGTATGGCATGGTAACACACTTGACCTTGTCCTGCACTTTATAGCTGGCGAATCTGGCTAACAGGCTGAGCCTTAGCTTGTGCACTCCAGCAACAGACTACCACTGGCATCGTAACCCCCACAATGGCTCCGCTAGATTCCCTGCGCTGGCCTGTACGTTGGCGACTATACCTTGCCACCCTATTACCATTACAGCGTCCATACCACTGACGATAGCATATACAGGTCACGACGGAGGTATCCGGGAATGGGAATGGGAAACGCAGTACAGATGTCTTGCCGGCTACCTATCACTATTACGAAACGGATGGGAAGCGCGCCGTTGGTGATCCGGCAGAAGATACACCAGCCTTTTTACGAAGCGAACTTTCCCTCGGGGCGCTGACTAGCTTGCTGAAGCATCTATGGTTCGCCGGGGCAGCCCGTCCTGCTGCGCCGTTGCACTCCCACGTCGCCATGGGCCGGGAGATCGTGGTCTCCGACCGCATGGACATGCACCTTCTCTGGAGCAACGAGGGCAGACTTTTCGTCAAGCCCGTCCCGCGCTTCCTTTTAAATGTGGACTTTTGCCGGAGCAACCTGCAGTGTCCGGATGGCTGTCCATGCCGGGATTCGCTGGCGGACGCGTGTCGGAGGATTCCGCGGAAAGTCGCCCTCGGCTTCCTGTACACGTACGCCTGTCTTATCTCGTCGGAGAGCGACTTTCACATTGCCAACGACAGACGACTGTTGCCTCGCATGGAAGATGATAAGCCGATCGAATGGCCAAGCTGGAAGACTCTGGCCAGGGAGCTCCTCCGAGTGCATCGGCGCGACCCAGATGTAATTCACCCACGCTTTCTGCGCGCCGAACTCCGCCTCTCCCGTATCAACACAATCAGCCGTTTCACCAGCTTCCCGCACTTCAACCCCTACGTCCGCGGTCACTACACCTACGGCAGTCTCTTTCGCGATAACCTCGCCTGGATAGCCACCACCACCGTCTTCGTTGCCGTGGTACTGACCGCGATGCAGGTTGGCCTGGCTACGGAGCGGCTCCAAGGAGATGCGACCTTCCAGCAGGCGTCGTACGGTTTCACCGTCTTTGCCATCCTGGGGCCCGTGGGGGCGTTCGCCCTAGTGATCCTATACGCTCTATTCCATCTTGTCAAGGACCTACCTTTGCTTCTCGGAGCGCGGAGGGAAACGAACCGCGGCCGGCCGCACAGTATCAAACGCCACACCCGCTTAGCGACACCATGTTTAAGAAGTCCCTATGCAGTTACTGACGGGGAGCGTCGAACTTTACATGTCATCACGCGAAAGCCACGTTGTTTTGTAAATTATTTCATACAACACCTAACTAGCCCCTATGGCTTCGGTTCGAGATCGACAACAAGCGCTAAGCAACACTCCTTTCAGACTGTGCCTCTTAAACGCCAACGGCTCCCCCCCCCCCCCCAGAATGCCCCCCTTACTCCCACCCTAAAACCCCAGCGCCGCATTAAAAGCATCCGCGGTCGTGGCGTCCTGGGTTCCCAGCGCCTCCACCTGGGCCTGGGCGTCCTGGCACATGGCCTGGGCGGCGTCGTTGGCGCCGCACACGTTGGTGAGCTGGTCGCAGATGCGGTTGGTGATGATGTTGGGGTTGAGCGCCTCCGCCTGGCCCTCGGCGACGAGGGGGTCCGAGGGGAGGAAGGTGCCCTCGTCGGCCGCGCGCCCGGCGCGGCCGAACTGGAAGTCCATGCTCGGGTTGCACTGCCCAAAGTCGGCGGCGCCCGTCGAGTTGGCTTGCCGGAAGCTGATTACGCCCGCTGAGGCGGTCGAGGCCGCCGTGAGAAAGGCGAGGAGGATGGTTTTGGTGTACATGGCGTAAGGAGGTGTGGGATTGGTGAATAAAAGCCGGCTTGCGGTCTTGTGGTTTAAGTATGTGCAAAGAAAGAATGGAACGGTTCACAGAACCTGAGGGAAGATTAATTCTGAAAGCTGGTTTGTTGTGACAGTTGGGAAGATCAGATAGGACAGTGAAGGTGATGTTGGGAGTTTATAAACCAGTTCATCGCCTTGATCGAATCCACCTCGATGAAAACCCTCTCGTCGTCCCGTTTGACGATCCGAGCCTAAAAGACTCGTTTGGATCTCGCGTAGGCGGGGATCAGACTGTAACGTCTGGCTAACGCGGGAGCCAGGGCCAGATGAGACGGATCGGCGCTCTCCCGGTTCGGGTTGACATACTCCCACGCCAATCATCCCATCTTCGGTTCATGTTTTCTCTTCCTTCTGGGGGGAACGTGAAAGTACAGAAGTCCAAAACAGGATTTGGCTGTTTCTCTTACGTCGAGTTTGTTTGCTCAGGGTGCATGAGGTCCCTTGAGGTCCCCGCAAACCACGATACGGCTCCCGTTTGATGATCGCCCACTGGAGCTCTGTCCTTGATTTGAATTCAAGGGACAAAGGTTCCTGGCGCTGATCGACAAATTTTGAATCCGGTGTTCAGTCAGAACGTCTGTCCTCGAGCACATCCGCGCTCTAGTATTATGTCCATCTCCAAGCATCGAGTGTGTCCCAATCAGGCAGGTCATCTGTTTGCCAAACCACCATGCCAAAAGGATGTAGCGCGTAAGAAAGTGGGGTGGAGAATTCCGGAAGAGCACTTGCTGGAAAGAAGCCGGCGTGACTCATACTGGCAGTCGACGATGCTTTTCAAATTTACTTTTCCCTCCATCTTCAGGAACCACATCCTTCATGAACTACTACCTACCTAGGTATTAACTACCTCACAATCTACCCCCCTAACGAGCTGAACTAAACACCTCTCACAAGTCCCCGCCATGACCGACACCGACAGCCTCGCCCAAGCGCGCTACGCCCGGCTCACCTGGAACGCCCCCCTCTCCTCCACCCACGCCGACGAGCTGCTCACCCACCTCAACCTCACCGCCCACACGCACATCGTAGACCTCGGCTGCGGCTGGGGCACGCTCCTTCTCCGCGCAGCCGCCCTCTGCGCCTCACACACGGACAACACCACCACTAACACCACCACCACCCCCGCCACCTTCACAGCAACAGGCATCGACACCGACGCAACCGCCATCACCAGAGCCCAGCGCGCAGCCGCCGCCGCCGGGCTCGGCCCCGAGCACGTATCCTTCATCTCGCAGGGCGCCGACACCTGGCGCCCACCGCCGCCGGCGCACGGGCAATTAGACCGGGCCATCTGCATCGGGTCGTCCCACGCGCTGGGCGGCAGCCGGGCGATGCTGGCGCGGCTGGCGGAGCTGCTGCCGGCGGGGCGGGGCGCGCGCGCGCTGGTGGGGGAGATGTGCTGGGAGCGGGAGCCGACGGCGGCGGCGGCGGCGGCGCGGGGGATGTTTGGGGAGGAGGTGCCGTTGTTGGTGGATTTGGTGGGCATGTGTCGGGAGACCGGGTGGGAGGTGTTGGGTTTGAGTGTCGCGGACCAGCGCGAGTGGGATGATTTTGAGTCGGGGCATCGCGCGGGTACGCGGGAGTGGTTGCTCGCGAATCCGGATGACCCGAGGGTCGGTGAGGTTAGGGAGAGGGAGGATGAGAGGGAGAGGGGGTATTTGACGGGGTACCGTGGTGTGCTCGGGTTCGTGTATTTGGTCCTGGGTCGGTGATGCCAGGGTAAGGGGGCGTGAGCTTTCTGCGTTTCTAATTCAGGCCCATTAGGTGACTTCCTATGCCGTCCGCTTGGGTTTGCCGAACATACGAATCAAGTACTGGGTAACCCATCCCCCTATCTCACCCTTCTTTCCTACCAGCGCGGACGTGCTTCCCGTACCCTCGGGTAGTCCAGCTCCGTCTGGACACACCCCATAAATCCACCGCCGCGTCCTCGGACGTGGCGTGGTGGTTCTCGCTCCCAAATGTCTCTGTACACCTTGTTCCAGGTGGCTTTGTCGGGGTCGAAGCGCACCAGGTTCCTCTCGGAGGCATACAGCGGAAAGGGGCAAGTGCCGATGGACAGGAGGAAGTTGACCAGGGCCTCTTGTTGCTCGCCTAGCAGTTGCCAAACCCTGATAGTAACTCCGGCTCGGTCTGAGTGGAGATACACGTTGGGCTCGGGCATATACCCGTTGGCCCATACCTGGGATCGGTCAAAGACGACCACGCCACCCATGATCCGATTCTCGGCCCAGTACCCGACCATGTCGGCGGTGCCGTTTGGATATTGCCGTTTAGCATCATACGAGAGGTGCGCAAACATCGTCCGACCTGGTGGGTGGAGTCGAAGCTTCAAGTTTTTATCCTCTTTCGATTGCCACGACGTCACCATCTTAATGGTATAGGCTGCGTTTTGGGGCTGTTTATCGTGAATCCGGAGACGCTTCTTGAATAGGAGGACGGCGATCTTGTGAACAGCAACTGTCACGAGTTCGATGAGCCGACAGTAGAATCCCCGACGGCTGGGTGTCATAGACTGGTATGACTGGAGCAACTATCGTAACAGAACAAACACATGTACACAGTGATTAGCAACGAGGGTACGAATCTAGCCATAACCGACCGACTAACCTTGTCATCAAAATTCAACATACTAAGGGCGAACTCGGACAAGAACTCCCATGCAGCCCTCTCGGCACCCGGACACAGCGACGTGTGGTCGGCGATGGGGTGGTCCTCGTAGCGCGTGGGTCTGTATCGATCACAGGCAACCCTGGCCAGCGGCAGGCCGTCCGCAATCTGGGCACATGTCTCCAGGGCCAGGTCTGTCCCGAGGACGTTTCGGACGGCCCGGTCCAAGACGTCGCGGTGTTGCTTGTCGAGAATGGTGTATAGGCCGGCCATGTTTCTAGTGTCCTAGTTGTGCGGGTCCACGGGAAACGGGGACCGGCTCGAAGCTTGACGTTGCAGAAAGAAACCAAGATGTTAGGCACTAGCGAAAACGAGAAGTGCTCGCAACCCTCCCTGCCCAAGGTATAGATACCCCGCATGGGGCCTCCCAACAGAAGGCAGAATGACATGAGGAGACGCGGAGGGAGCCAACAAGTGAATGCGACTCGCCGAAGTAACGGCACCCCTGTCAACCTTGTCCCTCCACATACCAGTGGTGCGGCTGAGCTGGGCTGGAACCAACATCTATTAACCAACATGCAGCTGCAGAACTAGCCCAGCCGTAACGACCAACCCGGCCCCGGCCGCAATTTGAGCTGGGAAGCAGGGTGTTTTGCTGGTTGGTTGTTACTGAGTGAACACTTGGGCGGCCCGGGTTCGGCCGATTTCAACCACCGCCAACAAAGGCCGCCGTTTCGTGCCGACACGGGCTCTTACAGACACCAAACGGACTAAGGGCTACACAAGTCACAATGATGTACCCATGCCAGCCTGTCAAAACACACTCGGCGGGCCGGGTACTGGTTTGATATCACAATATTTCGTAGCAGAGCTGGGTCGTGGACAACGGTACGGGGCCGGCAGGACCACAAGGCCTGGACATGAACAAGTGGGAATGTCGACCCTGGCACGGAAGGTCTACCTACCCAACCTTTGTTATGAAAATATGGACTATAAAGGTCGTCGGTGACGGCTGATATATGCCCATATCCTCACAGAGAGCTTCGATGCCAAAGTTACCCCAGCCGACGGCATTACGGTGCGAGACTCTAAGCATTCCGAAATTTGAATACGCCTATCATAGTCCTATCACACCTTCCCCCTCGTACCGAAGACTGCACGATATACGTCCCAGTCTGTTTACACTTCTGGTTCTCACACCATTATCAATCATCCGGACTGACTGCGACCCCTATCACGCACTGCCCACCAGCCACTCATTTCAGCATTATCAACTCGGTTAACCGAATCCCTCCCGCCACGAACATAGCCTGGAGATCTAGGGAGACAAAGGAAGACCTCGGGAAGCACACAAGAGGTAGCAACAATAGCGCCTCCTCTCATTCCTTTGGGTTTCAAATTCTTCCTGTCATCTTAGGCCGGAGATTGCCACGCTTCCTAACCCCCCGGCAAGCTACATGTCCTCTTATCACCCGGCGACTATGAATGCAGGCGCGGGGGCCCAGGCAACATACAAGACTTCTAATGTCCGGGACAAGCACACACCATCCTCTTATGCGGGGACAGATATACACATGGCCCTTCATCCCCTAGAATGTGAAAGGTTCCCGGTAGCCCAATCCTCTGACGAGATTCCAGCGTGACCCACCACGATGCCGATAGATATTGAGATGGCTCCCCACCTCAACCACCGTCTGGAGCCAGCATATCTAGGAGCCATCTACGCCATGGTCAGCCTGGCGCTTGACATTCTAGCACAAGAGAAGTCCCTCCTAGCGTTGGTTCACATCGGAGCCACTTTCGTGGAATGCTCGGGCAGCCGAAGACAGGATATCATCTACCCAACTCAGCCGTCTTCTGAGAAAGCATCCCGGTACAAGAGGCTAGGTGACAACGAGATGAAGGCATGGGCAGGTGCCTTCCTTTCCAAGGTTCGCCGTTGTTTTCCTCTCATCGAGGTAGATGATATCAACGAGCGTGTCTGTCAAGAGGACAAGCTTTCCGGGGCCAAGAAATACGGAACATTTCGGCCGTACAGCTGGGTGGAAAGGGCCAAGTATAGGTGTATAGTGAGACGTAACGAGCCGAACAACAGAAATGTCATGCTCCATTGGGAGGGCACGGATTCGGGAGTCATGACCCTCGACTTCGAGGTCAGTCATTTCCTTCACCTTCCCTTACCCGACGCTGACGGAGTTCGTAACTCGACCTAGTCAATCCAATGTATGGCCAGACTCAGGTCGTTGCATGCCGCACCAAAGGAAGGCCACTACCGACGGGGCTACGATGCGAACTACAACGCTCTTCTAGTTGAGGGCGCCTTTACCATAGCACACGAACTCGTGCACTGTTTTGTCGGCTTCTTATCCGGGGACCGCGCTTTACGGACTCCCCCAAGTTTCCTGCCGGTCGGTTTTGAGCAGCGCGGCTCAAATCACGGAGAGTCCGGAAGAATGTGGGAGCTTTTAGTCCTCGGTGGCTGTGTGTCATTGTCTGGGTTGACGGGGAAGGACGACGAGCTCCCACAGTTACGGATATGGCTTGAAAATAACCACAAGGAAATCGTGGTCGACCCGGAGGTAGTGGAGGCAATAGTCCAGCGCAGTAGGTTGGCGGCCGGGTAACAATGTGTGGCCTGCTTAGACTGACACAGCGTTTCACACAGGGTTCGGGTTCCCCTTGAGGACCATTGGGGAGTGGGAGCGGGTTGGAAAACGTGACCGGAAGGCAGCATCTGTCTCGCGGCTTCTCAACGGCGTGAAAAGTCTAATCTTTGGACCGGCGCAGCCCAAGTCCCGGCGGCCTCCTTCTCGGCCGCCCGTGGGGTTAGTGGAGGTCACCAAGACTTCACAAGGCAGCGGTGACCACGCAAGCCCGACTCCGGCCGCTTTGCGACATATCAGTTGCGGTCCTCCCGGCCCTCCAACAACTACTTCGGAGGCTGCTGTGGGCGGACAAAGAGGGCCCGAGCCTGCCACGAGAGAACATGATACAAGACAGGCAACGACCCCAGCTAGGGAGGCTCCTCCAAACCCTGACCATCCCCGACATGATCTCCCGCGGAGTCAAGGCCCTCGGATTACCGAAGTCACAGCTCCAAGGAAGACTCCCGTGTCCGCGGAAAGGAATGCTCGGCCGTCAGCTCCTGTAGCTCCTGTGGCCCGTTCCAGCAACAGCGCCACGTCTTCTCGGAACCCTCGGGCGTCTTTTCAGTCCCCTAGTACCACAACTACCACGGCCTCCCCACACGGGTCCCCGTCCTCAGGACGTGGCCTGCGGTGCCAAGAGGGGGTATCTGCGGCCGGCGTAGGTAAGGGCGCGAGGTCTACGAAGGGCCGCCCTCAGACTCCTACTTAAAGACGTGCCTCATACTAGTAAGGCGTACGTGCTGGTTTAGGCGGGAAACGGCGGGAAAAAGCTGGATGGGGAGACGGGCGAAGCCTTTGGGGGCCACGCCCTCCATCTGGAAAGATGAAAGTGGGTTCAAGGTTGCGGTGCGACCCACGGGGGCTCGTACAGCATTTAGACCGCACTCTGGCCCCATCCATTGAGCGCCAAAGGAATGTAAGAGGAGCCAAAACGCCAATCTATGATCTTGGCCGTTGCGATCAAATATGTTATTAGTATAAGCAGTGAACAAGCCGTACATTCACACCGCGTTGTTCATTTTCGGGCGGATGAGAATAGTGTCGAGGTGAAACTGGATAAACAGAGTTACCCAGGTCTGAACATCAGAAGGAAGTGAAGAACAGGAGTGACGAATACGAGTTGTTCGTCGCTTGAGCGGGGAGTTCAGGGCATCCGAGCCACGAGATATGGATTACCGGCCCAGAGGCTAGGATATAAACAAGGATAGCACCCTGATGGAATGCGCAGCGAGGCTCAATACGTCACCCTCCGATATCTTGGGACTTTATCACGATTTCCGTCGACAACAAAGCCATCGAGCATGGGCGCCGTTCTAAGTTTTCTCGGATGTGCACCAGACAATTCGAGACTTTTGCCCTCGGAGGTCTGGCTCATGATCCTCGATTATCTCCCTGCCGAATCCGTCATCGCTTTCGCACTCACCTCTTGGAGGTCCTACACGCAATTCATGCCGGGGCCCGAGCAACGTAGGGTGTACGATCCGGAGACAAGGAGGGCTCTACTCCTGTTGCTAGAGAGAGACACGCCGCACCTCTACCTCTGCCACAGATGTAACGATTTACACAGCTGGACCTTACCGCAGAAGAATGCTGACGGGGTGGTTGCCTGGTACAACAGAGGTTGCAGGAAGCTCGTCGGTGGCTACTACGGAGCCGACCACACTTACGAGGACTACAGGATCGATTTCCACGTTGCACAACTAGTCATGAACCGACACTTTTACGGCGAAGGGCATGGCCCACCTCTTGATGCCCTAAGCTACACGACGAAGAGAGCCGAGGCTAGTGATGGGTATCATGGCGGTTACGGGGTGATTATCGACCGATCCTGGCGCGCCGGAATCGTCGACGACGAGTTGTACCTCGAGGCAAGCATGCAAGTACACCAAGACCATGGGCGGGAACGTACCTTTGTAGAGTATATCGCTAGGAGAGAGTCCCGGACATCTCATCTGGTGTGTCGCCACGTCGGTCTCGGGTCCTCCCTGCCGGGATATATCATTCCTGGGTTGCAGAAACGGTCAGGGAGCCTCTATTATTCGTTGGCCGCCGTTCCCAACACGCTCATGTCCTGCCAACAATGCTGCACTGACTACCTGTGCAATGTCAAGTGGCACCCGCTCGACAGCCGCGGCCCAAAGGGCTGGGTCGTCACTGTAACAAAATGGCTCCGTCTGGGCGGTTGCAGGGTGCTTAGCATAACAAACGATTATTCAGATACCCAGCGCTTGGATGCATGCACACCGCTGCAGAGGCCGGAGGGCAAGCCTGGCGACGTGTATCGCAAATGGATGAGCCAGGACGTCGGCACAGTAGGGTATTCTGACGAGGAAACCGGAGAAGCCCTCGTCGCGTCTTTCCACTCAGATGCCTACTATGATGACACTAACTGGTAACTTATCAGGCGTTAGTCTGGGGGGCTGGGGGTGCGATCTGCGTGAGAAACTTGTACCAGACTTAGTCTCGAGGACCCATGGGTCCCTAATAGGGTGCGACGGTGCGTTGAATGCAGAATTGATCCGAGGTATCTTGCACCACTAGGAACCCTCGCGGTTGGGAATATGAATAGAAATAGTATATGTAGATGTCGGTAATATCTGTGCATTGAACAAAGCTCGCCCTCTCTCTTGTTGATACGCAAATGCAACCTGTGCTCCCCATCCCAAACCCCAACCCCCTGAATGGTGTCGTCAGCTGGCAGCATCCATCACCTCCCACCCTTCTCGCCCTTTCCCCCATCCCCAACTGCCTCCACCCCCCGAATCACCACCAATCACCCCTGACTCGACATGGCAAAGTACAGCAATATGACGGGCCACCCGCTCGACAGCAAGAAGGCGGCGAGCACGGAGAAGAGGTTGACGTCCTTCTCGGTGTCGCCGCGGGACCAGCGGCGCAGCAGGCCGATGGCGCACCAGATCATGCCGATGGCGTAGAGCGAGCACCCCCACATGACGGCGACGATGATGTCGGCGGCGGCGTCGAAGGGGGCCAGGGTCGCGCCCGACGTGTCGGCGAAGGGCTCCTCGAGCGACAGGTTCTGGCCCATGGTGGCGGTGTTGGTGTTGGTTGGTAGTTGGGAAGTTGGGAGGTGTCGGTTATTATTAGGTATGTAGAGGAGGTGGTTATCGAGTTATCGACGAAGTAGGTAGTGATCGTCTTCGATGGTTCGTGTTTGATGGATTATGATCATGGATCGTCGTGGGAATGAAGGACTCGAGAGGCCTGGCCAAGGTCGGCAGCCAAAGATCGACCAGCGACAGGAAGGAAAGAAAAGCACAAAAAGTGAAGACGAAAGAATGTTGGAAGGAATGTCAGGATGGAAGCGAACGGGAACTGCGACCAGCGACCAGCGACCAGCACTCTCTCTTACCGAAACAATGAACTGTTCAGGTTTCCCGACTTCAGATGATGTGGAGAAACGACGGCGGCCGAAGAGGAAAAAGGGAGAAGGCGAGCAAAAAAGAGACCTGAGAAAGAAAGTTGGGGATCACACCATCTTGAACGGGCCTCTTGCAGCCCCCGGCCGGGAGATGATACGGTTCTTGGGATGGGAAAGTCTGAAATTCACAACACCTCGGGGAACATCCGCATGTTGAAGCCTGGGGGCGATCTTACGCGAGACAGGATGATACAATTGGCTGCATCGAAAAAAGCTTGTCTCAGATGCGGGAGCTCGGCTGCAACAGAGCCCCAAACCCCGAAAACTTGAGACGACAGCCGAATCAAGCCAGTCACAGCCCTTGTTCGGGACGTCTGGGCCCCATTCTGGGCCGTTCAGGGCGTGCGGAAACGCGCCACGGCTTGGCCCAGCCCAGGGGTTCAAATTCCAGGTTTACATGGAAGCCAGCTGCAAAGTCACAATGAGTTGTGAAGTGAGCAGAACAATGCATCCAGATCAAGTCCGAGCTTTTTGTTGTTCGACATCAAACGACGACGAACAAGCTCCAATTCAGATGACTGCGCGCCGCTCCTTCCATTGGAGGGAGAATTGCCATTCCACAAAATTGAAAGAGTCAATTACCTCGTCTCAAATCTTGTTCGACATTCCCGGTCGGCACATCTGACGACGTCCAACCCTTCGCGTTTCAAAATCACCTCCTGTGTATGAACATGTCTGCGGTATGTCCCATTAACCGCGAGCACCCTCTTCTTGGATGCGGCTGTACAAAACGAGCATGGTGCGGCATTCCTCTTCCCTTTTCCTCAGATTTCCTCAACAGAGCGAGGTATATTACCTTCATGTTACCCGCGCTGATTCCACACCCATCAACGGTCGTGTTCCCTCAATCACGACACAGGCGCATCTAGCGGCTTTTGCGCATATATCAGCCGCAAGTCAGCAACGGGGTGCACGCTCTTGTCGCGAAGCTGACGGCGTAAATGCGCAACGTAGGCGTGAATTTCAATCGTCGACCAGCCCATGACTTCCTTGAACATGTACAGGATCAAACCTATTTACCAATCATTAGTTTCAGACCTCATAAGGATGGTGCCCAGGCCTTCTGAGCGAACTAACCCTCCAGGTCCTTCTCGAGTGAGAGGTGGTTGTACGCTCCAATTTCGTGATTTTTCTTGTCGCCGGCCCAGGCTGTGATGGGGGTCTGCCCGAAGTCAGTCAAGTGCGCTGCGGTATGCTCTCCGTGGGTTCACGTTCAGGATGCCCAAAAGAAAACAACGGGAAACACACTCACCTTCATGTCGTGCTGGACGAGCTTCACAAACCCGGCCGACTCCAGCCCCTTACGCTGCAAGTCCTCGCTAACAACCATAAACGACCTCCCAAACTTCTTCCCCCCCTCGCGGAACACCTTCCCCCACTGATCCAGCGGCGAGCCGTCAAGGACCGTACCATCGGTGGCGTACATGCGGGCGTCGGCCTCGAGGGACTCGATGTAACCGCCAGGGCGGAGCACGCGGTACGCCTGCGCAAAGAGCGCGTCCCAGTCGACCACCGAGCCGAACATGTAGCGGATGTGCACAAAGTCGAAGCTGTCTTCCTTAAACGTCCACGCCTGCGTCGCGTCCTCCATCTCGAACTGCAGGTTCGGCGGGACCCAGCCGGGCTGGATCGGTGAGAGGTCCGTGCCGATCACCTCGACCCCTGGGTACTGGTCCGCGAAGTCGCTGTGAAATTGTTATTAGTTCCATGTCATGTAGTCAATACCTGCCGCCAGCTTCTAGGGAGGATAAGGAGGCAAGCGTACATCGCCCATATTCCTATCCCGTCAGATATTAAACTCTGTCAGCGAACTGTTCGGCATGACGCTTGACACCACGAATTCCGCCCCCAACTGCCGCCACTTGCTTCATACCTGTTCCCGTTCCAATATCCAGCACCTTCTTAACGTTATTCATGTCCAGCGGCGCCCTGAAAAGGTCACCGTCCAGCATAAGCGTCAAACCATGGTGGCTGTGAGCATAGGTAGTCAAAACATCAGCCACCGCACTACCCATTCAACCGCCCACCACACGGTCGTTTGCATCTCACATGATATCCATGCACTCGTTCTGCCGCGCATCATTCGGGCCCCTACATCCGTCAGCACACGCCCACCCACATCACCCCCAACCCACCAAACAGCACGAACCAGTACTCGCCCGGCGTCCGATCGCTATGGTACGTCCTGCCCTGGATGGTCCGGTACGCCATGATGCTCGTCGTCAGCGAGTTCGTCGAGCTGGCGAGATCCGAATCGTAGGACGAGTCCGCGTCATTGTCATCTGCCGGCGCGATCGGCTGCGGTATGTAAGCTGTTGATACTCCGAGTCATCCAGGTACGAGCATTGGAGCAAAGTTTGTGGGTTTGTGGTCGGAGTCCCCCGTACCTGCTGCGTCCAGTGATCCCCGGGGAGTATGTCCTCGGGTGTGCTCTGCCCGGTCTCCACCGGTGGGGAGGACGGGCCGTTGGGTTGGGCGGACATGAGGAGGGATATTCGGTTCAGTTCGATTCGGCGGGAGGAGCAAGGACGACGGCGGTTGGTATCGGGCAGGGAGGCCCGTGGCCTAAACTACACATAGGACGCAAGTATTTGAGCGCCAGCACACATCATCACGGGAAGTGGGTGAGGAATGTACCGGGGAGGTGTGGGAGGGACGGGAGCGGGACCGGGGAGGGAAACAGGGATACGCACGGCGACGTAGCATGCCCATCACCAACAACATACAATCAGCCAGTAGGGAGAACTCCGTGATACAACGAGGGAGTGGGGGTATGCACAAGCCCATGCCAGCCAAGGCGGATCCGGGTGGTATCGTGGACGGTGTTACCAACGTACATAGAACGAAGTCCGAAGGACGCGCATGGAGAAGGTTCTTGGGCGCAGGGGGTCTAGCTCGGACCCCCAACTCACATCGAGGGAGCCAGGGGCGGACGTCGACACACTTCCCCGGCCCGAACACCCCGTGCTTGTCGGTGATCGAGCCTTTTTCGGTTCTCTCTCGAACTCGATATCGAGCAAACGACGTGGCACCACTACCCCCATTCTGAGTTACATGCTGACGGTGTGAGAGCTGCAAGGCCGGGCGCGGAATACACAATAGGGTAAACAAATGCACCTTGACGCAGCAAAGCCCTTGTCGTGAGCTTGACACACGCATATAACCCCGACATCAATAAGCAGGATCGGACTGGGCGGCCCCTAATCCAAGAGGTGGGCGAACCGATAGAGCGATACCTGGGAGTCCCGCCAATGGAATTTCAAGTCAACCACATGAGGAACGGGACGTTGTTGGCCAGGGACCAGCGAAGCCGAGAAGACGGAAGAAGAGACAAAATAATGATTAGGCATTTTATTCTCGCCCCCCCAACGCCATGCAAAAATCTAGGAATCTCAGGAACACGCTCAGAAGCGCAAAACGAACCCCCCAACAACATTCTACAGCACCACAAAGCAAAGCCAAGCCACCCCAGCAAAGCAACCCGTTTCTCAACCAGCCCGCCTCTTCCAACCCCGCCTCCACCACTTCACCCTTCCTCCCGCCTGCCCCACAAAGTCAGCACCCTACTCCAACCCCTTAAACCGCCGATTAAACTCCTCCACAGCAACCGCCACCATGCGGTAGATAAACGTGCGCCCACTCTCCTGGCCGATGGGGATAAACGGCCCGTTGGCACCACCACGAAGCGTCAAACTGAGACCAGTCCGCTCCTTGGCGATCGTCTGCACATCCTTCAGCGGAACATCCCACTCAGTCTGCAGCCGGCGGCTGCGGATGAGGAGGATGCGGGCGTAGGTGACCATGACGACCATGTCCTCGGTGGGGAGCTCGAGGTGGGCGATGTAGGCCTCGTCAAAGTACTTGCCGTTGTCGACCTGCTTGAGCCAGCTCTGGCCGAGCGCCTCGCGCTGCGAGTACGGCCGCACCACGCCGTCGGCGGGTATGTAGCGCGGCAGCCGCACGCGGTCGAGCTCGGAGCCGTCGAAGACGGTTGTCGTGTTGCGCACCCCCTCCGACACGTTTGGATGCGAAGTCGAGCACGCCGATTGCCGGCTTGGTCGCTAGCCCGACCACGCCCTTGCCGATTCCCTTGAAGAAGCCGAGGGCACCCTCCTGCTCGGCACCCTCGAGCGGTTTGCGGGCGAGGCCGCCGACGCCAGATGCGACCGAGGTGAAGAGGCTGTTGGCGCCCGCTGTGACCCCGAAGAGGGCATGTTTCGGTCGGTTGCGCGCCCGTGTGATGCGCCGCCGGTCTTGGAATTGTTTGTCCATCGTTGCCGCCGCGAGGCCCTTGGCGAAGCTACCCGTGACTTTGGAGAAGGAGTCGCTGAACCCGTAGACGGATTTCTTGAAGAAGGACCCGGCGCCGCGGGCGAGGCCCAAGCCAAAGTCCTCTGGCTTGTCGGACATGATGAGGCCCTGGTATGGCTCGTAAAAGATATCGGCAAAGCCCGAACTGATGTTGTTGAACAGCCCCACCGGGTTGCCGAGGAAGTCAGCGCTGCCCAAAATCTTGTGAATCTGGTACAGCGCCTCCTGGCTGTAGTGGTTCGAGATGTTCTGTACGAGCACTGGTATGGAGACTCGCACATTCTCCAGCATCAATGCGTTAAATCTGACTGGCGCGTCATTGATGTTGCCGAGAGCCATGGTCATGACGTTAAAGAAGAACATGACTGGGTTCTTGGACGAGGTCTTGTCCTCCACATTGACTCTCTCTGTTCGTACAAACGAGAGATCCAACTGCATTGGTTGGATGTTGAGGACCTCAAAGTAGATGTCCCTGCCTGCCTGCTGCTGCTTCGGCTGCGGAATGTCGATGTTGTCATCGCACAGCTTATCCTCTTCCGCCGTCGACGACCAGGAAGCTCCGGGGATCTTGGAGAATTCCAGGACGGCGTAGATGAAGTCCTCGTCAAGTTCCACCGTCATCTCTTGGAGAAGGACGGTGGCGTACTTGATGTACTCGACACCGTACGAGTCATCCTTGACCCGCGTGACCATGGCGTGCAGTGAGGGGTGTGCTTCGATCTCCTGTGCCCTCTTTGGAACCACACTAGGATAGAGAATCATCGGGAAGATGCCGCCATAGAGCTGGTTGTCGATTTGGATCCACTTCACGGCCAGGCTCACCGTCTGGTACATGGGTGAGTCGCTGTAGCGAAGCTGGACATCTCGGAAGGTGAGGTACGCCAATTCCTTGAGCTGCGAGTTGATCAGCGAGACGCCAATGCCGGACAGCCGCAGCTGCGCGCTGAAGCTGGTGTTGGTATCGAGCTGCTTCGCTTCGAAACCCTCCCGGCTGCTACTCGACCCTGCGTTGGACCGCTGTCGGTAAAGGCTCTTGGACTGTTTGAAGTTGGACAAGATGAGCGACTGCGTGGGCCCTTCGGCGGTCACGTTGATGTCGATAATCTTTGCTTGGCCATTTGTGCCGATGAATTTCATGGGCATCAAATTACCGATTTCCGCGAGCTTCACATGCCGCTCTTTGTTGTACGCACTGATGCATACCTCCCTGTGCTTGGCCGCTGGGAAATCCCACGCGTACGGCATGATGCTGCGTGGAGGGAGACGGTACCTAACAGCCCGCCACCCCGATCGATCCTCGACCTCGTCCTCGTCAAGGCTGGGATTGACCTGATAAAAAGTAAACTCCATATCGCTCTCGTTGCGCATTGAGAAGGGCCAGTTCCGCTGCTCCATGCTCAGATTCAAGAATATGGTAGAGTCCTCCATGAGAATCTCGACCCGGACCAGCCGCTGGCGTTGACCGGCCTTGGCAATCTTGAGATGCGTGACACCAAGGTCCGAAATGTTGAAAGGTGCCGTCCATTGGTTGTCAAATCCAGGGTAGCATAGGCACAACTGCTTGACGGCACCTCTATGCAGATAATGCAGCGGCCTAAACGCGCCAGTCTTGAGGGACATCAAACTCGAGGAGCTGGGTTCGCGGATGTTGATGTCGTCGCCAAGCTTGTTCTGGATGACGTATCTCGGAGCCAGCGTTACCGTCTTCACCATCTTGTACTTGCCCAGCCCTGAGTCGACCGTGACACCGACGTGGATCTCGGCATTCTTCCCGGTGGAATCGAGCACAACCTCGGACGTGCTTCCGATGGCATCAAAACTCTGCGGTTTGCTCCATTCCGAATCGCCGGCCTTGAGGATGGCCCGGTTCCTGTGGTCATCGCTGTTGAACGAAAACATGAGCGGCTGCGCCTTTTGATCGTTTCCGTCGGAAACGTCGATGAGTGCTTGCCCCGCCGCCGCCTTCGCATGTTGCATGAAGCTCTTGGAGCGAATGCTAACGTCAAGGCCTGTTTTGTTCAAGACCACATAGGGGCTGTAGACGGTGACTTTGAACGCACCCCCGCCATCGGGAATGCGGAAATAATGTAGCCTGAGGTTCAACGCCATATTGTTGTCGTCGCGGCACACAAGATGTGTTTCCTTCTTAAAATCATCCGTCGGGCCGGCGTTAATGATAGCAAACTCGCTTGGCTTGAACAGGGTATCCTGCATATCGATGCTGAGGAGCAGGAGATGAGACAGCTCGACCACATGAACGGGGCTGACGCCGCCCTTCCGGAGGAAATTTGACCAGTCCTTCTTTGTGCTCTTATCGTAGATTCGGTACTTGAAGTCGTAGGGGAGCAGGTTCTCCAATGTCACAGGCGCAGAGATCTTGAGACGCATATACGGATAATTCCTGTTGTCGTTAGATCCACTAATCACGTCATCAATGAAGAAAGGTTCGTACCTAGTCATCGGGTTGGACTTGTCCCAGCGTGTAGACATTTGGAAGTAGAAAGGGTCACCCTGCTCTCCCTTGCACACCAATGTCTTGGTTGGCCGCCTGAGGAGATCTTTCCACCACAGAGTATCCGTGCTCCATCCGTAACCGAAGCCAGGGTCTGGTCGAACAAGCAGGCTCTTCTCGTAGACGGCTCCGACGGGTGCTGGCCTGCTCTCACCGGGAGCGATCTTCTCGATCTTGAGCAGGTGGCCCTCGTGAGCATCATACACGCCCAGCTCGACAGGGAGATCGGTCTCGTTCTCCACCAACAGGGGACTGCGCAGCGTGACATACTTGACGTTGTCGGTGCCTAGCTTGACCTCAACCAGGAGTTTGTGCAGAACGCCGTCCGTCTTTGGCTTCAGGGCATAGAGGAACTCGCCCTCGCGTGACAGACGGATGTTCTTGACCATGTCAAAGCCACTGCCGTCGAGTTGGACAGACACGTTACTGGCACCGGCACCGTCAGCGACCATTAGGCTCTCACGCAGCTTTGCCCAGTCCTCAAAGCTCCACGGAACCTCTTGTCCATCTGTGAGACGCAGTGCTACATCTTCGCTGCTTTGTCGCTTGGCATTGACGATCACGTCGAAGCCGGTGTAGTTGCGGATGCGGTAAGGAGCCTCAACGCCGCGGGGCTTGCTGAGAACGTCTTGATCCTGCGAGAAGAAGGCAAAAGACTGTGAGAGTAGGGCAATGCTAGCGGTAGTGATGGTGATATCGAAGTTGCGCTTCGATGTCACGTCGACCGACGTGACACCGGTCTTCTGGTCGCGAGCTCCCCCAAAGCCGACTTGCCAAGGCTCGATCAGAGGCTCCCACGCAGACTTGGCGAAGTTGTAAATGTTCATGTACATCTCGAGCGCGGTTTCCGCCTTCAAATTCGACGTCCAGTTTTCGGCGCTGGCCGCGAAGTTCTTGACACTCATATCAAGAATTGGCAGCTCGTGGACGTCCCCGAGAAGCACGACCCTGACGCCGGCGACGGCAACGGTAAGCTCCTCGTGTCGAGGGGGCGGCTTGACGATGTCGTGGGGAGGTGGAACCCCGCCTCTCTGAGATACGTGGCCAGCACTCTTGCTCGTCCGCCTCGTCCTCCCCGCCACTGTCGATGAAACCTTGCCGCTTCCCGTCCTGTGTTTTAGGTTGGGCGCCTTCAGTTGTTTCGCCTTTTGGTCGGATGCCTTGTGATCGGTGTCGACCGGAGTGCCGCCTGATAGCTCGGAGGCCTTGGTGATTGTCTGCATCACGAGAAGAATATCCCGTAACGACATGCGGAGAATCAGGGGCTCGATGTCGGCATGGATTTTCGTGGTCGATGGTTGGGAGCTGTCCATCGATACTTGGACAGAGAAGTCGTCGATAATTCTGAGGCGAGAGTCGTCAAACCGATCCATGCGGCAAAGGAACATGCCGCACTGGGATACTTGGAAGGTGAGTGCGTGCTGCTGAGAAAAGACCACTTGCTTCGTCCCTAGAACGATGGCCTCAGAGCTTGTGCTCAAAGGGTTGGCAATCAGGATCACTTGGGCATCGACGACGTTAACCCGGTAGGCCAGCGTCGTTTTCGGTCCATTCTTCTTCTCTTGCGTCTGCTCCGGGGTGGGCTGGATAGCCTGGCGGCTGCTACTCTCCGAGCGTCTCCCAGAGAGGTTGGCTTGCACAGAATCCACGTCGCTCATGTCTTCGGGGCTTTCTAGTGGACTCTTCTCGGGAACGTCCGGCTCGGTACTCTGAGTTCCAACCGTGACGAACTTCTGGATGGCGAAAAGGTAGTCTAGAGCAAAAATGAAGCGAGGGCTATCGATGGCAATCATTGCGATGATGTTCCTATCCTTGCCCCCAGACATGGTAATGCTGGCCATGAGCTGCTCGACGCTTGTATTGCCGCTCGTCATAATGCGCCGGAACTTATTTGTCTCGCGGTGCCGTGTGTCGTGGATTGTAAAAGCTTGGATGACAAATTCCGCTTCCAAGCTGCCGTTGGAGTCCATCCGCGTCTTCAACCGGCTGGAGTTGAGGCTGAACTTCGACAGGCTCGCGGCATGGACATCGCCAACGGGGGCATTCTCCGGGGCATTGATCAACTCCAAACCGATTTCGTTGACCGTGAAGATGAGATCCAACTTCGTCCAGGCCTCCCCGTGAGTCCCAAGCTCGGGGTTCATGTCTATCAGTTGCTCGTTCGTATTACTGCCCCCATAGCCTGGCATCGTCCTGGCGCGCTGGAGGGTGGCATTGTCGACATCCCTCTCGGCGTCCGCGGTGTGCTGTTCGAGATCCCCAGAAAATGCAGCAGGCGCCGATCTTGAAATCTCGAGGAGGGAGTTAAGTTGGTATGGAGTGATTCGGAGATTAAAATCTGTCATGGAGCTCTGCACTTCGAGGTCTGGCCGCTTCACGCCGGGCCTGTGCTCAGCATATGTGATGTTGAACCCAAGGTCGACATGGTCAATGAGTTCCAGTTCTTCTTCGCGGTCATCACTGTAATGGAAGTTGGACGTCAGCCTGATGTTGCGGATGCCGGCCGAGAGCTTCATGGCGATGTCCGAATCTTCCGAGTCGTCGAGTGGCGCAAACTTGTTCTGAGCGTAGATCTCTCCCAGGTAAGCCGTAATGACATCGCGTTGAGGTCTTTCTGGGACCACCGCGCGGGGGAAGACGACGATGGGGGTCTTGACGATAACATCGAACTTGATCCGGCTTTGGCTCTGCTGCAACTGATTGGCTTGGTTGGCGGCGGCCTGGCGGGCGGCGTTGTAGATGGCCTGCATTTTGCCGAATTTGACGAGGAAGTCGACAATCTTGCGGAATGGCTCTTCGACAAAGTTCACCTTGACTGATCCGGCCCGCAAGAAGATGGACGAATCGTAGCCTGGGTACTGTTCGAATTTCGAGGGATCGAAGGTCTCGTAGCGGAAATCGGCAAGTTCGTTGCCTTGGATGGTAACGAGCTGGCGCAAACTCGAGTCCTCGGCAACACCCAAATTAACATCGTCCACCAGGCTCAAGTCGCCAAGCTTCGTCGAAACACGCATTGATCGGCCGAGCAGGAACACACCAACGTCGGCGTGGTTGAAGGACAAGGTGGCCAGCCGGATGCCGTCGTTATTAAGGATCAGTCTGATAGTTTTGAGATCCACCTTGACTCTGATGGCACCGCCTTCGGGCTGCTGAACCGGTGAGGGTGGTTCAACATCGATATCCGTCTCCGACTCCTGGTCCGTAATAGCCTTTTGGCGAGCGGCGGCAGCAGACTGGTTGTTCGTGAACGTGAGCAGAATAAAGTCAAGCAGGGTGAGCAGGGTCTTGCGTGTCACCACCAGGTTGATAGTGGAGATGGCGACGTCGACATTGGTCTCGACCCCCTCGTAAACGGTCATGAACTCCGGTGACTCCTTCTTGACTCTAATGAACTTGACATGCACAAGGTCCCTCGCTTGTTTACGATCCTCGACATCGCCCGATGATACGATAGACTTGAACTCGGCTGGCGGATTTTCGACGAAGTCATCGACCGTCACGGATCCCAGGGTAACGTCTGCGCCCATGTCAAAAGGCCTGAGGTTGAACTCGACCCCAAAATGCTCGGCGACGAGCTCAACAAGCAACTGATCCGGTTTTTGCCTTTGGGGATCGCTGCGGTAGAGGGAGCCGCGAAGCTTATCGACGGTGAACTTGAACTCGAAGATGCGCTGCTGTACCCGCAGTTGCTCATCCGGGGAGCCGTCTTTGGCATCCTCAAACTCATCATCGTCATCCAAGTCGTCGTCATCGTCGATGATGATGGCTTCCTGGTGTGTTTTGAACGGGAGCAACTGCGTAGAGATTCTTCTCGCACTTTGCCTACGCGATCCGGAAGATGCGTTGCTCTCAACACGGGGTCTTTTGGGTTGCGTGCCCGCCCGTGAAGGCTGGTCCTGATCCCCACCAAGCTTGGGTATGGCAACATCGATGATGCGCATCATCGTCTTGTACTTGGAGTCCGACGCGCTGACCTGGAGAACGGGCATGTGGCCGGAAACCTTGAATTTGGTGAGGTTGGGGGCTTTGGGAAGGATCGATGCCTCGACGACAAAGTCGACATTGATCTTGTCGACAATATGGAGCGTGAGCCGGTCATCCTTTTCCACCAGCTGCTGTTTGGTTTCCTCCACTGACGGCCCGATCAGGACTTGGGTCGATGTCAACTTGACGAGGAACCGGTCGTACATCAGAGACTCGAGCTGTTTAAGGTCCTGGTCCGTGTGTGTTTGAGCCTTCGACCTGACCTCCTTCGTCGTCTCCTTGTCCACTAATTCGCTCGTCACACTGATGTGGCCGGCGTCGAGGATCACACAAGCGGTGCTCTGACTCGTGATGGTCTCTGGGACGATAATGAGGGGCGCCTGCAAATCCAGCTTGGCATTGACAGTCTTGTGTTCCTCGAGGGCAAACTGGAGACCAGCCCTTGTCTGCTCACGGAATCCTTCGACGGTTGCGCCCGCGGTCTCCATGAGGGCATTGATCGACTCCATGTGACGCTCTGGGGGGCGGAAGAAGTCGGCAACTCCGACAACAACATGCGGATTCCAGACGATCTCGAGCGGCTTCAGCTTTGCGGTTACGGCAATGTCGGCTTGGTCATCCAAAGGATTCTGCTCCAGCTGGAACTGGAAGAAGGCCTCGTCGTTGATCTGAGCGAGTTCGGCAATGGACAAGCGCTTTTGTGCCTTTTGTGTGGGCGCATCCTTCACGCGAACAATCTCCTTGTACACGCTCCTCGGGGTAGTTCCATCGTTGACGCGGAGGCCTCCCAGGCTGAGGTCCATGAGGAAAGAGTCGGGGCGTTGGAGGCCCTTGGCTTTGAAGACGTCGAAGTGGAGGCTAATGAGGTCTCTTGCGTCTCCGTGGGGGCTCTGCTTGAGCGTGAAGCTGCCCGTGCTTAGTGAAGTCTCAATCTGCATCTTGACAGTGTCCCGGGGCTCATCGACGGCGGCGGCTAGCGCGGTCTTCTCGTCCCAGTCAATGACCTCGTAAAGCTCTTTCCGTTGCTCTTCTGTGATCCGTGTATTCTCCATCTCGTCTTGTTTCTCCGTGTTCTGTGGCTTAGCCCCCCATACCCAAGAAAGCCAACCCTGCTGTTGCTCTTCTTGGGCCGGCGGGCGATTCTTGAGGGCTTCGGCATTTTCCTTCTTAAGCTGGTTACGGGCCAGGGAGCGCCAGAATCGAAGATCCTCGTAGCCAAGCTTCCACTCCAACTTGTTCATGTCATCGTTTTCAGGGGGTGTCAGCGGCTGGTTCTGCTTCTTCTTCTTGAACAGCTCGATATATCGATGTCTGTCGTCCCTCCGTTCTCGGAAGTAGTCCCAGGACCATCGTCGGTTGCGCTCATGGATCTTGCCTAGCACGGCATTGCCGGCGAACTTGAGCCACGCACGCGGGTCCTCCTTGGGTGTAACCCCCTTCGGCTGGTACTTCTTGTACTCTTGGTGGCGGATGAAGTAGTGGAACAGGTCTACCATCATCAAGGCATCCCGGTACTGCTGGTCGTCTAGGACCAAACCGATTTCGTCGAACAGCAGGTTGGACTTGAACTTGGGGACTTGCGGATCTCCCGTCTTGTCGAGCTCAATCTTAGCCTGGCCTGAGACGGGCCTGAGGATAAATTGATGGCCGGCAGAGACGTCGTTGTCGCTCCTCACGATCATGGTCTTGAAGTTCTGTAGCATCTCGTCATGCGGCGTCACTTCGGCACCCGGCGTGCGTGCCTCACGGCCGGGTCCCATGAGCTTGGTATCAGTGTTCCAGTACACAGCCAGGGATTCCAATGTGGCAAGCTTGTGGGTTGTCTTGGACGAGTCCTGGATGAACGTGGGTGTCCATTGGCCATCGGTGCTGACAGCGCTAAACTCCTCGAGTGTGACGCCCAAGGCGAAAGGATGGCCGGGCGCGGAGATGGCATCTTCGTATCGGACGTGGATGTTCTTCACGGTGACCTGCAGGTTGTCGACGATTTTGGTAACCAGGCTCTCGGTGAAACTCTGGGTACGCTTCTGCTCCTCCGGGCTGAGGCCCTCCTGCGATCTCTCCTTCAACAACTCGGCCGAGTCAAGCTTTTCCATCTTTATCCTCTGTTTCCGGCGGTCTTCCTCCTCCTCGTCGTACTCGGCCTCTTCCTTGGGGGAGGCAAGCAGGAACACGTCCTCAATGAAGACCTTGACCGGGGCGCCGCGCAGGTTGGACCAAGGAATGACCAGTGTAAGCTCGCCGAGATGGCCCTCGACCACGTTGATAGGCAGTTTCAGCTGGTCGAGAGCCTCCCTGCGGAGTTCGAGGTCGCGTAGCTTGACATCGCCAGACCAAATGCCAACCTTGAGCTGTGTTGGATCAAAGTTCTTGACATACATGCCCAGGAAGCGGTTCAGAAGCCCCGCGACCAGGCCTTCCAACATCCTGAATGTGGGGTGCCGTAACCCGGGCAGGGGAAAGGTAAATCGGTGTCTATGTCGCGGTTCTCGGGGGCGTCATCTGCGGGCGTTGTTGTCGGGCAATGTGTGGGGGTTCTCGACGGATGCGCTCGTCGTCGATCCGGGTGTATAAGGGTTCCCGGTGGCTTGACTTAAATCATCGGGGAGAAGACGAGAATAACAGCCCTAGGGTGTACTGGGACCCTCGATGGTCAGCGAGAAGCTCGAAACGTTGGGTTGGTTAGGTGGCTAGTGGTGCAAAGGAGGGGGAGGGGCCGAGGGGATGGAAATGGGGCACAAGACGCGAGAGGGAACCAACCAAAAAAACGGAGACAGCGAATCGCAGTGGTAAATTGCTAGAGTACAAAAGCGATGGTAACGCCAAAATGCATTGGATTGGAAAAACCAGAAAAACTGGCGGGTTGGTGATTGTTTTCCAGGCTCTCGCGTGGTGCTGCTAATGACGATGGATCGTCCCCTGCCCAGTTGCTGCCCTGCCCACTCGCCCACTGCCGCCAAACCCGAAGCTCGGACCATCGACGCGTGTGCCAAGGAGGGGCTGTCGAGTCCGAGTCCCTGTAAATGCATCCTCGACCCTTGAACAACACCGCGTGTCTTGAAGTATTGGGAGTGTACGAGTCTGAACCGTTGCATACACGATAACTGAAATAGAATATCTCCTCTACATTATAATGATATTATACTGTCTAAGTTTAGACGGAAGTCACGTAGATTATTTCCAGTCTCCAAGCTCACATTGAAGTCTCTGATTCCTTCTTGCCAAGCACATAACGTCGGTTGACCTTCCTAATTCCACGGCAGGGGCTGCCTTAACCAACATCCCACTCCAAGCTCCAAGCAGCCGAGCTCTTCGCTCCCACCAACCATTACGTCATGACCATCATTGCAGCAATTTGGACTGCGTGCCTGCCTTGCACAGTTGCACCTGCATCAAAAACATGGAAACAGCCAGGTCGCTGGTCGTGCCGTTAATCATGCCAGTGCATTTATGTGGTGTTTTTTCCAATTGCGATATTAGTATCCAACGGCCGTACCTTCGTGCGACTCCCAATAATTAAATCCCATGTTTTTTGCTTGCAAGTTCCGTCGCGTACTCCGAGTCCCTGATCCCTGGTCAACACCATCGCCATTGCTATTAAACACGTTGTAAAACGCGAAAGGCTCAAAACCACGGCTCGTATCCAGATTTGGATCATCCCAGCTTCGGCATTGTCCATTGTTAAAACTCTCCGAAATCTACCATGCTCGCAGCTACAATGCGGGCCGCTCGGCCCTTGAGGATACAGTCCCAGACCTTCGCGGTCGCAAGTCGGGCACAACCATCCGTCCCATTCACAACACGAACTCCCTCTTCATCCCGTCTCGGGCGGGGCAAAATCTCCCCATTCGGGCCTCTTCAGACCACCTTCCGGGCGCGCTCATCCACAAAACCCCCATTACAACCGAACAAGATCGATAGGGAGCATGAAAAAGAGGTGGCGCAAAAGAAGCTTGAGTCCCGGCCGGACGAGGTGACAAGCTCATCAACTGTGCGGCAAGTCTTCGAGGAAAGCCAGGCGCCGGCAGAAAGTAACCCGGATATCATGGTAGGGTTGAAAAGTGACCTAGTATGTTCTCCCCTGGTTCCTCTCCTCTTTTCTGCCCCGTTCGTAAACTCACGCTGTGGACAGAACACCGTCAAGGATACGTTCGCGCTCGCCTCGGTCCCACGAGAGGCATTTGGCCTTGGCCTTGCCGGCACGCTTCCATACCTAGCCACCTCCCTCTCCACCGTCGTGCTCTCCTGGAACCTGAACATGGAATGGCCGACGCAATCGAGTTTCATCAATGCCTTCCTATTCAACCATGAAGCGGCCGCGCATTGGCTCCACATCCTCGAACCCATCCAGGTCGGGTACGGAGCCGTCATCATCTCTTTCCTCGGCGCCATACACTGGGGGCTAGAGTTCGGCGAGAGACAAGCTGCCGAGGACCGCACGCGTCTCCGGTACGGCATCGGCGTGCTCGCGCCCGCGGTGGCGTGGCCGACCATCTACATGCCCATCGAGTGGGCGCTGACCACCCAGTTCGCCGCCTTCTGCGCCCTCTATTTCACCGACTCCCGCGCGACCGTCAAGGGCTGGGCCCCGGCGTGGTATGGTTCGTACCGGTTCGTGCTGACCGCCGTGGTGGGCGGCGCGATCCTCATCAGCCTCATCGGCCGTGCCAAGGTGGGTGAGGGGGCAAACCGTCTCACGACGGGCGAGTTGGCGGAGAGCCTCAAAACGACGCCTAGTTCCGGGGACAAGAGCCGCGATTGGAGTAAGGAGGAGGAGGAAGAGAGGGAGAGAATTCACAAGGAGCAGAAGAAGGAAGAGGAAGAGAAGAAGCAGAAGGCTGAGGAGGAGAAGAAGGCTAAGGAGAAAGATACTAAGGAGGGGGAGGCGAAGAAGGAGGGCGGAGCGAAATCGAAGGAACAGGATGCAGGTGACATAACGGGTCAGGGCAAGGAAAACGACGAAGGCCAGAAGCAGGGCTGAGAAACGGACGAAAGAGGCGGAGATTAGACAGTACCTAATGAAGCAGAGGTCTTGAGAAGTGGGAACAGTATTAATTGCTTCTCGGTGCAAAGTCCGACAGTAGGTAGCTACCCTTGGAGGATGCCACGGTGCGTCGAGATCGGGGAATGAACGCCTGGGGTCACTTTTCAAGGGGTCTTCAGAGGCCATATTATAGTTAATATCTCATATGATCAACACACATGACCTTTTCTCTCCCGCTGCCATGGTATTCTGAATATTTATAGAGAAACCCTAGTTTAGTCCCCCAATCTCACAACACTGCACAACCACAGGGCGGATCAGGTGCTGTGAGGCTAGCCCGGGGTTGCTCACATTATTACTAATTTTCTTGATGGCAGCAACCACCGGCTGAGACAACGTCAATATCGTGCCATTACTGGGCGGTATTTCGCTAATCATATTGGTAGCAGGAGAAGGAGCAGCTAATGGTTGACAGGAAGGTATATCGCAGGTCTGGGAAGGTCCTCTGGGCCTTGGGATTTTCGTCCGTGAGGCAGATTAAACTCTGAACCTCCTTCTATTCCATGCTCAGCTTTTTATCACTTATTTCTCCGACCCTCACGCTATTCCCCAAGGTCTTCGGCCAAGACCCTGAGCTTAATCAACCATTATCGTTACCGTAACACTGTTAACCCCTTGCCTTGACCTCTCTTCCTATTCGAAACATTTCACCCTTAAACGGATAACAACTTCCGCACTCACCGGACTGTCTGTTCCACCATGGGCCAAAAGCAGACGGTGCAGCAACCCAATCCCAACTCGCCCCTTGGCCAGCCCGGCCCTCATGGCTACCCGATGCGCTTCGGAGTGCGCCTGGCCGGGTTCAAAGGGTTCAAAATCTACGGTGCCAATCCCAAGCAGCCCTGCCACTACGTCGAACTGCACACACGGCGCCAGATCCTCCATGAAAGCGCCCGCAGAAAGGACCGCAGCCCAGCTATAGTCACCGTCAACGAGAACTGGCCGTCGTGGTCTCTCTTTCCACTCGACGACGAATCCGCCACCTTCACCATCACGGTGCACAACAACGTAAAGCAAGCCACCCCCAGTCCGGATGGCAGCAGCACCCCCGAATCCGAGGCCGGCGAATCCCAAACCGCCGAAGGGGAAGCCGCCGAAGGGGAAGCTGCCGCCGACCTGATCACCGACCTGATCATCGACATGGACCACACCCGCTGCCGGCCGGTCACGTTCCAGTTCACCCTGCCCATTCCATCCCCACAAACTGATGGCAGCACTACCTCCACCACAACCCTCGAGACATTCGAATGGCGACGCGCACCACAAGCCTGCCAAGAAACGCGCGGCATCCGCAAGAAGACGCTCCCGCCGCTCGAAACCGGCGACGACCGGCTGCCGGAGGAGAAGTTCGTGTACGCGCCATCGGGGTCGGTGCTGGTACGCCTGGGGGGGAGCGGCGCGGGGGACGGCAGTAGCAGCAGCAGCGCGCGCTGCACACCAGGCCGCGACCGCCCCCTGGGGTTCACGCGCGACGGCGAGGAGATCGTGGCGTCGTACACGGCGTCGCGCGACTACCGCGCGTGGTACTACTTCCAGTTCTGGGGCGCCGGCGCCACGGGCGAGCTGGGCGAGGCGTTCACCCATGTCGCTGTCATGAGTGGCATGGCTGTCTATCAGGACGAGGAGGCCGAGCGCGCAAAGCGGCGCACCAAGCGCTCGTCGGATGTGCACGGGACGAAGCCGGCCGTCTCGACGGGCTTGCCGCGCAGGAGGGATGGGCTCGGTCGGGCGCCCGGGCATGGGGTGCATCTTGTGCAGCATGGGACGCATGCGCCGGGGCATTTGGCGGCGCAGTGTGGCATGCGGTGATGTTCGGGGGGTTCCTAGGACGTTAGTTTAACCTAAAATCTCTCACTCTGTCTTCAAGTTGGGCAGGGCTCCGTTGGGGATAATGGAAGTTGTATCCTGTGCCTTCGCTGTGTGCAGTAACTATACAGTAAAGCTGTGTATTCTCCTTCCCATCGGTTCATTGTATCTCGTCGAGACATCTCCTTAGACCTCTGCTCCTAACATCCTGGATTTTGAGATAAGCAGGTGAGCTTTGAGACTAGAACATCGAACTGTGAAAGATCAATCCTCTGTTATAACCCCCTGTCCAAATCGATCGGATTACCCACACAAACATCCGCAGCTCGGCACAAGCACTGTTTAAGGTTGCATGAGCTGACCGCCGTTTTCGTCAAGCGGTGTTGTTCTGGAACCCTCAGCTCTCTCCCCCCCGGTTAGCGTGCCAGCCATAAGCCACACACTTCAAGGCTGCTGCGGCTCACCAACGAAGCAAATAAAGTGATTATTCAGCCGGGACGGCGCGGGCATGGGGTTGGGACCGAAGCTAATCCGAATTCTGCTCAGCTTCATCTCAAATCTTACTCCTTGCGTGGCCCCCATGGCGTGACTCGGACTTTGAGAGAAGCTGAAATGAAAGCGGGCCAGGCATTGAAAGGCTGGCCAAAATGTCTCGATTGGGTTCTGCGAATGTCTCAGTCACCAACCCAACCGCTATGAGTCCAACACCTGTTGTGTGTTCATGGTTTTGCCCGAGTCATTTTTTTTGCGCTTCCATGACCACAAAATTTCAGCACAGAACGACAAGAAACAAGTGATGACAATGTTGTTGTGACCGCCAACGTCTTGCGCTCTCAGGTGCATGATTCATCACGCCAGCTCCCCTCAACAATCCTCACCGGAAGACCTGAACCCATCCTGTTAGGCTGTTGCTCAGGCACCGCCGGTGCAACTCACTCACCTCGGCTCACGATCAGTCAAAATGCTCGTCGCACTGCCAACCCGGCGCGTGCTGATGAGCCTGGCCATCACCACCGTCGCAAGCCTTCTCATTCTTGGGGTGGTGTTGCCTTCGTCTCGGATCACCCTCCGCGACCTGGTCACCCAAAAGTTAACGCCGGCGGCTCCGACTCCCCCAACGCCACCAACACCAAAAGTCGAGAAACCACCGCCACCGCCGCCGCCGCCAAAAACGAAATCAAAATACAAACCCACCCCAACCTACCTCCCGCCCCCGATCAAGGACAACTTCCCCCTCCTCGCTACCTCGACCTCCCTCCCCCCAGTCCCCAAATGGAACCAACCGCGCGAAAACGCCTACAAGGACTATGACCTCCCCCTCCCGCCCCCCCTGCTCATCGGCTTCACCCGCAACTGGCCCATCCTCCTCCAAGCCGTCGTCAGCTACATCACCGCGGGCTGGCCGCCCTCGCAGATCTACGTCGTCGAAAACACCGGCGCGCAGCAAGCCAACACTCGCGGCCAGCTAACCCTCCAGAACCCACTCTTCCTCAACCACACAGCCCTCAAGACACTAGGGGTCAACATCATCCAAACCCCCACGCTCCTCAGCTTCGCGCAGCTGCAGAACTTCTTCCTCGCCGAGACCTACACCCGCGAGTGGCCCTACTTCTTCTGGAGCCACATGGACGTGCTGGCGCTGTCGTTCGAGGCCGGGGAGGACGGCGTCACGCCGCCGTACGACCAGCCGGGGTACGGCTCGCTGTACGAGCTGGCGCTAGCGGCGCTGCAGGATGCGAGGGAGGGGGCCGAGGCGGAGGGGGCCGAGGAGAGGAAGCGGAAGTGGGGGTTGAGATTCTTTTCGTATGACCACCTGACGCTGGTTAACCCGGCGGCGTATGAGGATGTCGGGGGGTGGGATACGATGATTCCGTATTATCTGACGGATTGTGATATGCTTGGGAGGTTGACGATGCGGGGGTGGGGGATTGAGGATGTGTCGGTGGGGATTATCACGGATGTTGCGTCGACGTTGGAGGATCTGAGCGCGTTGTACCGTGTTGAGGGAGTGCCGGTTGGGTTTGTGGATCCGAATCCACCGCCGCCAAAAAAGGAGGAGGGGGACAAGAAAGGGGGGAAACCGAAAAGGGATGCGCCAACGGAGGATGGGGAGAAAAATGATGACCCGAATCTGGCCAAGTGGGATGCTCTAAGGGAAACAGCAGCCCAGATGTACGGTATGTTGTGGCACTGCTGACGTCGTTCCCGTTTAGTGAGTCCTGACGACTGACCTTGGGTGTTTAGATCACAAATATGGCGACCGCGAGCGCAACACCTGGCAAGTGGCCCAGCACGGCGGTGAGGGTGAGCCGTTTTACTACCACCCGGCTGGCCTCGCTGAGGCACTCGACTTGATCACCGAGACTGGGAGGGAGGTTTACCGGCGCAAATGGGGGCATCGGGATTGTGACTTATCAGACACCGACCGAAAGTTTGATGATGCGTGGAAGGTCGAGAAAGACTGGTAGACGACTAGACCGATGATAACGATGGGTGCTAGCCTGCTAGGCGGACATTTTTACTCGTTTTCACAAGCAAATATAAGATCACTGCTATATTGCCGTTGCCTTCCACCTGAGTCACATATTACCTAGTATTCGCCGTCGGTGATCATCTTGGGTTGCCATCTTGGTCAAGATTTCATGGTCTGAGTCGCTAAATGTCTTTATCGACTGTCCTCTTAGTATAGGTACCATGATATTACGGCTTCCGCATTATGGGCATCTTATCAGTCCGAGTCGTCTGCCATCACCAAGGCCAAGTCCTGGCTTGACATATGCCCGGTGACGTCGTTCAAGGTTCTTGGCAACAGCGGCATCCGCTTCAAGTTGAAAAACATGAATTGAACTTCGGGTAAGGCCCCTGGGCCTCTGGAAGCCCGCCGATTTAATCACATGTCGCCATTCTCCCGCAAACTCTCCCCTTCGAGCAGTCAGTGGTGTAGAGTACAGACGGCCTGAGTGCTTTGGGGAATGTGGTTGGGGTTTGAGCCTCTCGGGTATTTGATGATCTTCCTGATTTGGCATCTCCGAGGCGGCTGCGGTAACCAGGTACTTGACTGCGACATTGTTCCCATAACGGGTAGCGGGAAATAAATCCAACGGCGTTCATTTGAATGAATCGACGAATAAATGAAGACAACAATGCATTGGTGTCGCTTGCTTGAACGTGACTAAAACGGAAGGAGGAGGGTAGCGGTCGGATGGGTCGGCCCCTCCTTCCCCCAACGCCCATCGATCAGTTGTTGGTGGCATTCACGCGTCAGGATCGCTGTTTCGGGAAGGACATTATCCGAAAACTTCCAAATACCTACCGATCCGACATTTCTCGGTGTCTTCCCGCTCTTACCGACGGAAGACTTCTGCCCTCTGCCCGATGGGACCGGGGTCGCCGCGACTGGGAAAGTTGGTGTTGATGTTGACGCAGACTGAAGCATGTGAACGACCCCTCTCATTTGCTATTCCTGGCTGCGGGGAGGCACGGAAGCGCAGTCTCCAGCTCTGCCATGTGGCTCTCCCAATTTCGCGCCTAATGTGGGGGTCCCAGCCCTCCTGCCGCCGCAGGACACCGCCGCGACGGAACGGCCACGAAAACGGAGCCACCTGGCGCCTAATTGTCGTGGCAAGCCCAACAACAAGACTCGCTGTCATGGACAACAGACGACCAGCGCATGGGCTGTGCAGAGATGGCCAACGATGCCGAACTGCTGGGCCCAGTCAGCCGTCTTCTCGAATTTGGAAAGTGCCTAGTTCAGGGACAAACCAAACATTACCCAAACAGGGTGAGGGTGCACGCGACAACTTGAGAGGAAAGTGAGTTTTTTTTTCCCGTCCTCGAGCGGTCGGTCTCTACGATTGGTCTATCGCTGAGTTCGGTATGCCCAGTGCAAGACTGTGTGTGTTTCAGCTTTTATGCTACTGCACCTCATCCGTCTGTCCGTCATCGCGGGACTGGGCATCGCGATCATCGGAAGGCCTTGCGAAGAAACGGGCGCTATAATTACTTATAACTACAAGTAGGTAGTCGGTAACAATAAGGTAAAATCCTCCGAGCATCGAAGCGTGTGGTTGCGTCACATCTCACTGGCCGAAAGCGGGATTTGCGGATGCAACAACGCGCGACGCACACCATTCCGGGCGAATTTACGGTGGCATGAGTCTTCCTTACCCCGCCTTCTTGCATCGGGCCGTCCTCGAGGAGTCAGTGCTGCCCCTCACATCTGATGGACCGGCGAGACCGGGAGGGTTCCATGAAAAAAGTGTGTTCCACAGAGGGGCTGGGGTGCCGCAGGTGCGGCTCCGCCGTCTCGGTATTGACCCAACTCATCCGTGCCATCCCACCGCGATCGCATCGGAATCAAATTTTCGGGAGGCGGGTTCTGATTCATTTTCCGTGGCGACGTATCTGGAAAATTTTGCTTAAAATGGCCGACTGTCGTTCGTTGAGCAGTTTGGAGTACCATAAGTTCGGAAAGCTCACCAAATATCCAAACGTGGCGGCTCGCGAAAACGTCATTTAGGCCAAGTTTCTTACCTGTTGCCCGCTTGGCTCAAAATTCGACCGAGGCGGCGATACCAACACAAGCCGGCGGACTCGGAAGTGGGCCATTCAGCGCGCAAAACCCGCGGGCCAGCTCTTGGTATTCCTCCAGTGCCCACCACCACCCGCCTCATTCGCCTCCACCTGACGGCGGAGCGTGCCCCACCACTGGACCCCTTCACCAGCCCCCGTTGGGTCAGCAGCCGTCTGTCAATTCCCCCAACTCTCCCCCAATCCGCGCATCACGAGAAGAACGACAAGTCACCAGCCCGCCGCGTCAAAACAACTGGCTGCGCGTTCCGACCTCACAGATCATCTGCTTAGACTTGCAGGTCACATTATTCGCCGTTCCAACGAGCAGTCAGTCCAACATTCTGGAAGGCGCACTTGCACTCGGTCCTCCTTTGGTTTGCAGGGTTACAGGGCTGAGGCAAGGATCACAAGCCACCAACTTCCACCCCCACCCCCCACGCCGCTCCGTTTTCTGCCGGCAACCCGGCAACACCACTTCCACGAACGCCTCCCTCCACATTGCCGCCCGTTTTTGTCACCCTGCACGGGACTTCACCGCGACATATCTCGGCCAGCCGCCAGCGACTCGCCATTTGCGATATATACGAAGCAGCCTTCTTTCTCGATCCGCGCAGTTTTTTCCCCTTCAACCTGAACCCGAACACGACACGCCCAACCGACGTGTTTTTCGCCCCAGATCGACCCCCTTGACCGCTGTCTTGCGCCCTGGCCAAGCCTTTGCTGACTTGTGTCTCGGCGACTGGTCAGACGGAGCTGCGAAGCCACGACAAGGCATTTGTTGTGCATGATCCTGCGCATTCACCGAAAACGGTCGACTGCCTTTATCAGGCACCCACCCCCCCACCCCCAAATAACAAAGGACTCCCTCCCCCTTCATCCACACCAAGAGCCGCGTCCTTGCTTCTCCCATACAATCTTGATTGCAACCACAATACGCAATACGAATAAAAGATTAATTCCGCAACTACCATTATCACTCCCACAGACTACTCAACACAACATGTCTTCGTCAGAGAGCTCAACACCAGACCACACACCGCAGCCTCGCATGGTTGTGCAAAATCTTTACATCCCCGATGCGGCTGCCGACGAGATCGACTTGGCCAACCACCCATGGCTGATGGCCACCACCATCATTGATGATGACGACCTAATGTTTGGGGGAAAGCCGTTGTGCGCTTGGTACGAGGAGGACCGGAGGATGCTGAGCTCCGCCATGGACGACGAGGAGACAAGGGGGCGGTCGCGCGAGCGATCCCGGGGCGACAGCCACCACCACCACCAACAACAACAATCGCACCAGCAGCCGCAACATCAATACCAACTTCAACACCAACATGGTCGCCATCATAGCAAGAAGTCGGCCGAGCCAAAACAGTGATCGATTCTTCTCATTTCGCACTTCGGCCATTCACGTCCTCAATCGCTCATCCTCAATCGCCACCGCCATGACTGGACGGCCGGGTGGCTGATGTCAGCCTTCACCGTCGCCAATGAGAGACGCTTGCAGGCGAGCCTTGGTGGCACAAACAATATGCCATGGCCGACATCACGCCGCCAGTGGCGTCCCACCCATCAGCCGCAACCACGTCGCGGCCGGTTACACCGCATCCGTTTTCGGTATTCCTTTGCCCTTTCGGTGTTACTCGAATACCCTTCGCTTCATTTTCAAAACAGCTTCATCCTCCCGCCACCACACGTCACCCATCCACCCTCTGACGGCCACCTATTTTCCTTTTTTCTTCTGCATCTGTCGGTTCTGGGAAGGCAACCATCATTTGCATTGCCGGGTTACTCATTTTCTCTTATTGGGCTGCATTTGGCTTCCATCGTTGTCGTTTGTTGCATGATACCCACCTTGACTTTACATGTTCGACTCGATGTCATTGGGTTCCTTTCCTGTTGAGCATATTTCCCGGGCATCACATCGACCATGGAACGGTTGGGCGCAGGGCTTATGGGTCTGGTAAATCCACCTCGACTTGGGCTTTGTTTTTAGAATCGCGGGTATATCCCTTTCACGACGGAGTACAGCTCTGTATCGTTATGCATGGTATTCGGCTGCAACAAAGCCAATTGGGAGGAAGGCTCTATCAATGGGACACACTTTGTCATATGGTTACACTCCGCCGATGCTCGTTTGATTGTGATATGACCGAGATATCTATGACCAAGAGACGAGACGGGACGCCCAGGCCCGCTGACCTGTCCCGGCTATCTCAGGATTCCCAGTACCAGCTAACCTCCATACGTTGATGCGTATCTCCAGATGGTTGTCTCTCACTCCTCCTTCCTGACGAACATCTCCAGCTGCAAGTGACTGCTGACCGCAGGGCTCCAGTCGCCCGACAGTGGATAAGACTTGTACTCGTACTCGAGTCTTCCCTCAACTCTCGAAGAGGTATAATCACTCCTAATAGCGCGCAAAGTGTCAGGATCCAATTCAAGTAATAAGGGCCGAGGACACCAGCTAGGTCCCGTTTGATCGTACGGGCTTTTCCCAATCTCTCTCCAGCTTTGGTTGCTGGGCCCGTCCGGATCCTCGAACAAGCCCGAAGCTGCGTCCCATATAATCAAGGCCGGGCTGCTAATGTCGGTAATAATCTGTTTCACCGGGATTTGGGGTGCAATGGAGACAACCACCGTTTCGCTGTCCACCTCAAGAAAGCCTCGAATAGGGTGGTCGGAGACCTGGACTCCCATCGATCCAAGAACGTGCTTCTCCAGGTCCCCATAGCCTGGGTCCTGAACGAGAGCCTTAACTTCCGTCTTCTGCACCCCCGCAAAGAAGTCGCGGATGGACATGAGTAACCTGTGCTGCATCATGCTCCTCTTATTGTCCGTCTCCAGTTGTTCGAAAAAGAATCCTCCTAATCCGAAGCCAACCACCTTGGTGACATGCGGGACGCTCAGACCGCAGAGAGACAGCTGCACGTTGACGTGGCATCTTCTATCAACCCACTCCCTGGTGACTTGATCAAATTTTGCCGTGGCATCTTCGGGATTTAAATCGAGAATACGGCCGGGTTGCGTAGGAATATATTCCTTCCGGATCAAGGCCGGACGGTCGTGGTCCCAGTAACAGTGGACGTTTCGCCACAGTAGATTCTGGATGGTTGAGAAAATTACCGTGGGAGAAGAGCCCGCTGGCTGCCCAGGGAACCATTTGGTGCGCTCCCCGTCCCAGGTTACAAGCCACAGTGCCGGGTCTCTTGGATCCACTGGTGTGTCGTACATGTCTGCTGCTTTTTGTAGAAGCAACTTGGTGTATAGCCCTCGTGCCTCATATTTTGCCAAAATCCTCTTCTCGCCTCCCCTTTTCTCCCGCGGCGTCTTGGGGGGTGGTGTGGGTGGCATGGTGTCGAGTCGTTTATAGTAGTAGCTTGAATCTGCGGGAGAGTATGTATTGGACTTGAAGTCTATGATTAGCCTCGTTTGCTGGTAGACCTTAGCCACAATATTGACTGGTTCAGGGCCTATGTAGGGATATACTTGCCTAAGGGATATCAGGTTGTGTAGTCTAGGGATGTTTATGCGAGTTAGATAATAAGGGTATTTGGCGCTGGTAGGTCGGGGTACTCGCTCTTAAGTACCTGGTCTCGGAGCCGCTTCACACCCAGGGTCTTTGTACATACTTCATCTCGCTCAAAGTCTTGTGGCCCGTATGTGCAATGGGATCAAGTGATCCTTGTCCAGAGAAAGGTCCCGGGGAGTCAAAGCAGATACAAGCTTCTCGAGTGAATAGTAGGGTTCATTGTGTGCATTGTTGTTTACTAAAGTATTAACGTCCCTGTTTTAATTACGTGATCCTAGAAACTACCTAAGGGTAAAGTGTCACCTGTTGTATGTCTCGTCTTCTTTACCCCCCGTGACCGGTGAGACCATAGTATTCTATGTGGCCCACATCATGCCGCAAACCGAGACTTCAAGCCTTGGTATTGATTTGTTGTCGAAGTTTGGACCAATCCAGCTGGTCACACGAGGTTGGTGCCATGCTGTACCCTCACAACAAAGCAGCAGCACCGCCGTGCCGCATCGTGCCGCTTCAGGAAGCCGGCACGCGGACCAAGATTAATGGCCAAGTACCAGTGATATTCTACGGTGGTTAAATCATATCTCGTCCGACTACCCGAGTCTACAAAGACACGTCGATACAATACGAAATGCAAAATCGCGTAGCACTTGGTCAAGTCAAAACACCATCTAGGAGGCCGTTAGATTGTGTGTCGGGGTTCAACTATGCAGTGGAAGAAGTGGTTGCATGGGTCTAATACAATTCAAGAGCGCAGCAGGCTGGTTCAGGGCGTGGCCTGCTGCCAAAAGTGTGCGCTGAGAGCAGGTCTGAGTTGGGCGGGAACTCCGGGCAAGAAAACCGATTATGTACCTCATGACGAAAAGGAGTCCTCAGGGTGTGTAATGATACGGGAACGACATCCGCAAGAACGATTCTATGCATAAATCCATGTCAGTTGGTAAATCACGTACCAAACTCTTCGGATTCGCTGACTGCCGAACCTAAGTTATGCCACCATATTCCTACGCGCTTGAACACCCGCTCAAATACCCCCGTACGCCCATCCCTAACTCCCTGAGTCCCAACCCCTTGAATAAAACCCGCACAACAACATCTTACAACCACCTACCCACCCAACCTCCCCACCCAACCCCCCTCTCAACCCCCTCCCCCCTCACGAACAACACCCCCACACGCCCGCCTCCTCCGAATGCAAAGATACACCCCCCCAACCATACACAACACCCCAACCTCCACCACCACCGCATAGCCCGCCCGCGCAAAGAACGCCCCCGCATTCTCATACGTCACGCGCCCCGGGTGTGCGATGCTCATCACCGCCACCGTGCACGAGAAGAGCGCCGCCAGCGCGAGGAAGAGCACCACCAGCAGCAGCACCGCCGCCCAAGCTATGTCGCCTAGGGACGGCCGCTGGCGGCTGGTGCTGCTGGGAGAGGGTGTGGTGGTGGCGTCGGTTATGTGGGCCTGTGAACGTCGTGGGTTTCGCGTTGGCAGTGGGTAGGGGGGCGGGTTGGATGAGGTTGAGGGCCGCGCGGCGGGCGCGGGGTGGGTGATGGTGATGTTTGGGTCTTGGGACGGTGGGGGAGTTGCCAGTGCTGTCGCGGGGTCGTGGGTTGTGCTGGCTTTGCGGGAGCGGTAGGACGGTGGCGGGTCGATGGGAGCGGCTGTGGACAGCTCGTACTCGTTCTCTTCGGAGGGGATGTAGATTTGGTCGTCTTGCCGGCTGCTTGGGGCGCGGGTGTGAGATGCACTGGGTTCAGGGACTGTAGCCATGTTTGGTGTCAGCTTGTGCGGAGACAGCGCCCGGTGGAACGGTCAATAAGGGATGTGGAATTCTTGTTGCTCTGTCTAGTAGTCGAGGAATAATGCGCGCTCTAAGGGGAAGATCTACTATCGTGACGGGGGTTGCGGCGGGGGACAGAAGTTTGGGAGCCACAGTTAGGGATAGTGCTTTCCGGTCCTGAGGGTTCGAACCAGCACCAGCAAGAGTGATGCCCATGATGGTGACTTCCGGCGTATCCCTAGTTCAAAACGCAGTTGTAATTTTAGTACAGAGAATCAGAGATTATAGCAAGAAACCTAGGGAACTCCGTAAACTCCGTAACCCGTTCACAAACATCTCAAACCATGCCGGCCGGTCAGTTCGATATTGATCATGATATTACTTTCTTTCAACACCAACATATCCTACGGAGCTTCCGATGGACGAGATTGAACCACTTTAAATAACAGGAAACCTCGACTCGACCTAGACCATATGTGTTACCAATTCAGGGCTTGACATCGGTCGTCTTCAAACTTTCCTGGTAGTGCCACGCCGCGAGCGTTTTCCCTCCGTATTTGGGCTTCAGGGGTACCGTAGTCCAAGTGCGCCGGGATTGTTGTCTACACTCTGACGACAGGACGTAAACATGGCCCCCTTTTCCCGTCCATACTCACTCCCTGAGACCCCGGGCTGGGAGAATGTCAAAGCGGGCGCGAGGGTGCAAGAGCATGTGAATTGTGGCAAACCGATTACATGCACGGCTCTCCCTGTTAAATGCACGGCTTCTAACCGAGTTCCTCTTGGTTCAGTGGAAGGTTCATCCAATAGAAAGGCTGCCACCCCTGGGTTCCTAACCTGAAAGAGTTAGAGGTAGTCGATCGATCCGGGGTTCCGGAGTACTCTGCGGGGTTGAATCGAGGCCGAGGCAGGTCCACAAAGAAAGATCTTCGGGACTGGAGCGATTCCGCTCGAAGTCATCGCCACGAGGCATATGAAACCCGACCACTACAAAATAAGATCTGTACTTAAAACCGTCACTGGAACCCCATCATCGTCTATCCTTTCCGTTGAAACAAACTCAAGACCGACTGCGCAGCTTATCCTTGTGTTTCGGAATAACAAAGTTGTTCTCCTGCGTTCAGCTTAACCTTGACCGTCACCCCCTGAATCAGCAACCATGATACTCTTAGAACACAGCTTCTCCACACTATGGGCCCTGACGGTCCGGACGTACAACCCTCGCCAACTCGAGTTCTGGGGCACACTAGCCGTCCAGGTTCTCTTCTTTTGGGTCCCGGCCATCGCCTACACAGCGCTGGACTACATCCTCCCTTCCTTCTCAGCCCGGCACAAGATCCAACCGGCGCCCAAGCAACCCACCACGGCCGAGATCAAGCACTGCTTCCTGGTCGTCTTCCGCAACCAGCTCCAATCCGTCATCCTCTCCCTCCTCATGATGGCCGTCTCCATCGCGCGCAACGAGCCCTCCCGCTTCCAGATCACGGCGACCCTGCCCTCCGGGCCGGAGCTCGCGCGCGACCTGTTCATCTGCTGGGTGATGCGGGAGGTCATGTTCTACTACGCGCACCGGCTGCTGCACACGCGCCGCCTGTACAAGGTCATCCACAAGGTGCACCACGAGTTCACGGCCCCCGTGGCGCTGACGGCTCAGTACGCCCACCCCATCGAGCAGCTGGTTGCCAACACATTGCCCATCGCCCTGCCGCCGGTGCTGCTAGGCACCCACATTCTGACCATGTGGGCTTTCCTGGCTGCCATGCTCGTCGAGACGGCTACGGTGCATAGCGGGTATGACTTCTTGATGGGCATTGCCAAGGCCCATGACGTGCACCATGAGAAGTTCAGTGTGCATTATGGGGCGTATGGGTGGATGGACTGGCTACATGGAACGGATGGGAGCAAGAGGAAGAAGGTTGAGTAGAAGGGGGCCTGGAGCGGGTTGTTATTGGGAGGGAACGTCGAGCAAAACGGGTAAGTTTTTGGGATACTAGGATAGGATAAGTGAGATACGAGAGTGGGTTAACGAATAGAATAGCGATGAGTTATGGATTGGAAAGGGGGTATTAAAGTCTTCTCTCCGACCAAATCCCCTATGCAGGTATCTTGCACACACCTAACCTGGGACCTTGAGAATGTCATCAACCAAAACAACTTGGCCCGTGGCGATCGACTTGTTCGCTGCGATGCCCGTCAAAATCGAGGCCGCCCCGTCGATGTGACTCGCAGCCCGCATGTACTCGTCCGTCACCGGCTCCCCAAATAAGTCCTGCAACAAGACGCTGTCGCCGCCGCCATGTGCCCCCTTGCTCGTCTCGATCTCGATCTCCCTCGGCGGCTCAAACAGCGGCCGCAGCAATATCGACCTCTTCTCGATCGACCCCTCCAACGACTGGTCACCGCCCGAGTTGACATAACTGTTTTCCACAACCTCCATTTCCAACCTGCCGCCAGTTCCGTTGAAGGTCACCCTAAACCCCTCCCACGGCGCATACGCCGTCAGCGAATACGTCATGACCGCGCCGTTCCGATACCTCACCAACAGGTTCATGGTATCCTCGATGCTGATCCCGTCCCCAAACACGCTCTGATCCCGGTAGTACCCATCCTCGTGCTCCGCATCCAGATACAGCGCCTTGAGCGTGGGGATAGTCTCGAGGTGCAAGGCAAAGGGGTCCTCCTTAGCGATCTCACTACCACTCGCTCGGTTATAAAACCCCGTCACCCCCCTCTTCTCAGCGTTCTCCTTGCCGTAGAACTTGAGATCACCCTGAGCATAAACTGACAGCGGACGAGTCTGCAGCCAGAAATTGACCAGATCAAAGTGGTGGGTAGACTTGTGCACCAACAAACCACCACTATTGCGCTTATCACGGTGCCAGCGCCGGAAGTAGTCCGCCCCATGCGACGTGTTGAGCATCCACTCAAAGTGCACCGAGGTAACCGTCCCTATCGCCCCGGAGCGCAGCAGCTCAAACACCTTGGTGTTGTGCGGCGCGTAGCGGTAGTTGAAGGTCACGCGCACGTTGCGCTGCGTGCGCTCGACGGCCGAGAAGATGTCGAGGCAGCGCGGCGCGTCGATGGTCATGGGCTTCTCCGTCACCACGTTGCAGCCGAGCTCGAGCGCGCGCACGATGTAGGTGTGGTGGGTGCGGTCGATGGTCGTCACGATCACCTCGTCGGGCTTGGTCGCCGATATCATCTTGTCGAAGTCGGCGGCGGGGAAGGTCGGCACGGCGCCGTGGCCGAGGTCGGTTAGCCGGCCGTTGGCGTAGTCCATGCGTGTCTGGTTGGTGTCGCAGAGCGCTACGATGCAGGAGGTTGCTTGGTAGTCAGTTGCGATGGCCGTGTAGAAGAAGCTCGATCGTCCGCCGGTGCCCACGAGGGCGTATCGCTTCTTGGTGGCCATGATGATGGCTTTCGGGTTCAACTGTCAACTCGAGAGGCGGATGATGGTGTAGTGTGTCTCAACACTAGCATGTAGTTGATGGCTACGAGGATCTGAGACCTGTTTTGGTTGCAGCCAAGCCCGGCGGTTTATGGGCAGGTCGTAATGTAAGAACAACGAACCCAGTACCGGCAATCGAGATCCTTTCACAGGTCAAAGTATGATGCCGTTCCCCCGATATCGTGGAGTGGCACGCTTTGTGTCGGACCAACCCCTATCTCGGCCGAAGATGTCCCATTTCCCGAACCTTAGGCTGAACATAAGAGAGGAGTCTTCCCACCTCCAACATGCGGGGAAGTGGCCCTCTGTGCGGGGATGCATTCCAGATGCCGTTGTGAGGTTTCCCCAACTTCTTGGCCACGAGGTTGATCGCCCTCTGTGCAGCTAAAGAACCACGTGAGAACTTCGATGCCTTCGTCGAGGATAGGTTGGTGAATTTAGCCAGAATTAATCCTCCAATCACTTCTCTGGTAGAAGAATGGATGCAGCGGGAAACCTTGCTGGTGTTTGAAGCTGCCGGCAGACACTCTGGTAGAAGGCGGTGGTCACGGCACTCAGATGGAAGGCCGAGATCATACCCTGTAGGAGGGCGACCCAAGCTCTGGGGCTACTGCAGTGTTGCCATGTTACCGAGCTGGCGGTCTGGGCCTGACGCGAGGGCAAACAAGGGAACCGTTCGGGCTAAAGGGCAGCGATCAACATGTTGCTGATCTGGGTTGAGGTGCCCGCTTCCTGGTCGCAGACTTGTCTTCTTTTTGATAGCTATTTGACAGGATCCACGTCCGTGGCGTCGGTATCACGAAGCGAGATCTATTGCTACACATCTTGCTGATTCATATCCGTTATCTGAGATGGCTAGTGGCAAGGAGACACAAGCCCCGGTAGGAGCTGATGAGATCACACCCGCACCCGACCCCAACACGGCCCCGAGGAACGAGCTCCGAGACAAAGCCACCGAATTTCTCGAGACCCACGGCGCCGGCGACAACTCATTCACATACGAAGAGGAACGTGATGTCCTCCGTCGAATCGACTACCGCATCTTACCCCTTCTGCTCGGGGCCTACTTCTTCCAGCAGTTGGACAAGAGCTCTCTAAGGTATGCGCTTCCCCGCCCAAGACGGACCTGTTCCACTCCTAACCGCAGAACAAAGCTATGTCTCCATCTTTGGCATCTCCCGCGACGCCAACCTCGTCGGCAAGCAATACTCATGGCTCGGCTCCATTCTCTACCTCGCGCAGCTAGTCATGCAGCCGCTGGCAGCCTACCTCCTCGTCAAGCTGCCGACAGGCAAAGTGATCGGCACCGCCATCCTGCTATGGGGCGCGTCGCTGTGCATCATGTCGGCGTGCACCAACTTCCCCTCGCTGCTGGGGCTGCGCTTCCTGCTCGGCTCGTTCGAGGCCATGATCGCGCCGAGCTGCGTGGCCGTGACGCAGATGTGGTGGCGCCGCGGCGAGCAGACCCTGCGCACCAGCTACTGGAACGCCATGAACGGCATCACCGCCATCGTGGGTAGTTTGTTCACGTACGGGCTGGGCCACATCGAGAGCCGCGTCATGTTCAAGTATCAGATCATTTTCTTGTTTTGTGGCCTGCTGACCGTGTGCTATGCCGGGGTGGTTCTGGTGCTGATGCCTGACTCACCCATGGAGGCCAAGTATCTGAAGGAGAGGGAGAAGGTGATTGCGGTGGAGAGGCTGAGGGCAAACCAGATGGGGGTTGCGTCGCGGGAGTGGCGATGGGACCACGTCTGGGAGACGCTCTGGGACTTTAAAACTTGGTGCTGGTTCGTGGCTATCGTGGCTATCTCGTACGTGCCCTTCCCAAATCTCACCAGCTCGAGTGTTGACGTGGCATTAACTCGACTTAGCATCTCGAGCGGCGGTATCGGAACATTTGGCAGCCTGATCGTCAGGGACTTTGGCTACACCAACTTCGACGCCATTCTCTTCAACATCCCGTTCGGCGCCATCCAATTCTTCATGATCATTGGGGCTGCATGGGCTGCGACGCACTGGCAGAGGAAGGGCCTGACGATCGCGGCCGTCAGTGTGCTGCCAATAGTTGGGACAATCCTCATGCTTACGGTCCCGCGATCCGACAACAACAAGGGCGTCTTGCTGTTTGGTTATTATCTGGTGAGCCACCCTTGATGTTGCCGTTACCAAAGTTGGTGTCCTCCTAGATCCGAGCTGACACGGCATCGTCAGGTATCCTGCTTGGCTGCCATCACGCCCCTTATTTACGCGTGGCAAGCTCAAAACACCGGCGGCGACACGAAAAAGAAGTGCACCTCGGCCATGGTCTTCATTGGCATGTGCACGGGGAACGTCATCGGACCCTTGCTTTACGACGAGAGTCAGGCGCCACTTTACCGGTCCGGACTTATCGCGACCCTCATCATGTTTGCCCTCGTTGGCGGTGTCTCGGCGTAGGTTATCATCTTATTCTTCCATCAGCACTGTCCATCGAAAGGCTAACGAGAACCCGGCAGAATCATCCCATTCTACCTCATGTTCCTCAACCGCCGGCACGCCAAACGCCGCGAAGAACTAGGAAAGAGCGCGGTACTAGTCGATGAGTCGATGATGGGCAAGAACCACATGGAGGACAGCAAGGCGGTCGAGGCCGGGGAGAGTAACAGGCAACAGAAGGCACTCGAGGAGGACAACGCACTGCAAGACATGACGGATCTGCAGAACGAGGATTTTATCTATGTGTATTAGCTTAGTCCTTACATGAAACACAACATCCTATGCTTATCCCCGAATCCCCGAATTCTTCTTGAGCCTGATGGATGGTCTGTTTCTTTTTGCTGTTTGAAACTGGCTCCCCCCTACCCCTGAATAATGAATAGGGGTTAGGGTTGAATGAAAGGACAGAAACATTGGCTGGCAACAACCCAACCCCCACAGATTTCCATCCTTGATTTGATCATTGCATGATTTTCATGCAGACATTGACTGCTAGGCCACCCAAGGTCAAGTCGGCCGCGGCCTGACTAAAATGTGTGGCCGGCGGACCGTTGACCGGGCACGCCACGTTCACCCCCTTGGGCCCTTGCCGTGCCTCAGCCCCAGGAGGCGCTCGTTAATCGGCGCTGAGAGGCTGCATGGTGCCCGCTCTTGTGCATCGTTGTGGTCCGTCCGATATGCACGAATATCTGCACAGTGCAGGTAAGCTGCAGGAGGAGGCCTTGGGCAACCACACATGGCGAATTGAGTCAGACGACACCCCGTCCTCGATCAACTCAACTTTCTCGCCGGATCTCACGGCAGGAGGGATTCATCGTAGTTTTGGTTTACCTACCTACCCATACAGCCATTCGGCAAACCTCATCAAATTCGCCCAATCGGGGAACCACACATTATCCCGGAACCCCTCACGGCGGTGAGAGTGAAGCCAAGTCGTGTTCCATCAAGACAGCACACGCGACGCGATGAAATCACCTCTAGTCTACGCCTCGCGATGTCTCAGCGATATGGAGGACCGCTGGATCCCTTACTCGGCCCTTTGGTGGCGGTTCTGGACCCCACGCATCCCGCGTGGTGAACGTTATCAAGAGGGCGCCTTCTCGGGCTATAACGACGACGACGACTACGAAGACCTCACCGACATGGCCGTGCTAGACATCCGCCGTATGCTCGCCGTCCCCTGGATCCGCCGCATCTACGAAAAGCTCCCCTACATCGACGTCAACCCCATCACGCGCCCCTACCAAGAAATGACGCCCGCCCAACGCGAACAACGCGAGGCCTTCGTAATCGAATCCACCCTAGCCGCCTACGCCGACGGCAAAGCCCTCTACCCACGCTCCACCATCGCCCAAATCGAAGCCCAGCTCTCCGCCGCCGGCGCCACCCTCGCCCGGCGCCGCAAAGACCACCACCACCGGCGACGCAACCCGCTCAAGCGCCTCAGCCGCGGCCTCCGGCACAAGCTCTTCTCACACTGCGAAGCACCACAAACCGCCTTCCTCTCCTTCCCCGCCTACGACGGCGTCACCACGCACGTGTCCACCTGGTCGCCCGGCGCCGAGCTCGCCCTCACCGGGCCCACCCCCTACTCGGACAGCGACTCCGACGACAACACCTCCACCCACAACAATGCCACCACCGGCACCAGAACCACCTTCTACCGCCCGGGCCGCTCGCAGATCGAGTTCCGCACCATCCAGGAACTGACGCAGCCCGACCCGGAGAACCTGGCCGAGCAGTTCGCGCCGGACGGCTGGATGCCCGCGGTGGGCTACCAGCCCGTCATGGTGTGCAATCGGCCGACGGCGGCGGAGGACCTGGTGGATTTTTATGGGGAGGAGGAGGCGCAGCTCGGGGTGGAGGGGTTGAGGGGGAGGTTGGAGGAGTATTGTGCGCTGGTGAGGGGGGAGGGGGAGTGGAAGGTTTTGGAGGGGGCGGTGAGGGAAGGGTGGGAAAGGGGGGTGTTGCGGGGGGTGGAGAGGGTGGTGTTCTTTTATGCGAATGGGGTGAGTGATGATTGTGATTATTGTAGGAGGGCGATGTATGTGTTGGCGATGGTGGTGTGTTTGAGGGATTTGGTGCTGGAACTGCGTGGGGAGGAGGCGGGGTCTGGGCAGACGGCAATGCCTATTTATATGCCGAGCTCTGATATCGTGCGTCGGTGGAACGCGGCGGAGCGGGAGTTCCTTGAGAGCAACGGGGTCGAGTTGGTCGAGTCTAATGGGGAGCTGTTCCTCAAGGTGGATGAGCGGACGGCGGTGGTGTCGTACCGGAACTGGAACCCCGTCAAGCAGGTGGTCGCCGACATTGCGAAGCCGGCGGTGTTGATCTGCCGGCCTGTGTCGGACGACCCAAACCAAGACTTTGCGTGGAAGGACGAACAGGTGGGGGATACGGACGACGAAGAAACGACGATACGGGTGCCGACGGTCAGGTCTAGGTTGCTTGAGCCATCGAGCCTTGTGGTTGATCCCGATTCTCCGAGGGTCAGGGAGTTGGTCGAGAACTATGATGGGTTCGAGCTACCGGTGCTCCCGGGGGATACGATAGACAAAGAGGTCTTGAGACTATATATGAGGAAACCCGATGCCTCAACCAAGGTGGAATACTGGTAGGCGGTCTTGGTCTGGTTGAGTAATGAAAAAGAAAGAGTTTGATACCCACCTCAAAAGTTAATACAACACCCCAGCCCCATCCCATCCTCTCCACCACTCTTGCCGATGATGTTGCCGCAGCCTCTCGACGTTTTCCGCGGTTTCCATAGGACGATCACTGTTCCTCACTCAATGATGACTAGTGATGAGTTTGTATTCGATCCATTCCATTAATCACTCCGAGGTATCTAGTACGCAAAGGCTAAAAAGAAAACACTTCCCAAATCGCAAACCGGTGTAGCAAATCAGCGTACCAGACAAAGACGCTCCCATAAAATTCCCAGCTTTTCGCTAATTAATATCACGCCCTCCCTTTCAGTGGTCATCGTTCATGAACCGTTGCAGCCAGGGGTTGCGGCCCGTGAAGCTGCGGAACTTCTTGCCAAAGATCCTATCAACCGTTAGCATCAGAAGACATCTTGGTCGGGGAACACAGCAACTCACCACATGGGAATGGTCAACAATGAGACAAACACAAACAACGACCCCAGAATGGCAAACACAATCAAGGCGCCCTGTGACTCCAACCACGAGTTGACAAAGTAGGTCAGGCCAAAGGTGAGCAGGTTCCTAGCGTTGATGGCTACGAGGGCCTCCTCGTTATGCTCCTTGTAGCTGTCGACGATGTAGCCAAACACGCAGGTGGAGGCAAACACCAGACTCATGTTGGCAAAGCCGAAGCACAGCACGGGGCCGGTCCAGTGGGTCTGATAGTGGACAGTGGCGCCGAAACCGTAGAAGCCGACGATGCCGAGGATCATGGCGATGGCCATGAGCGGCAGGCGGAATTCGGGCTCGTAGATACCCTTGTTCTTCTTGGTGAGGTGGACGCAGATCCAGTCGTTGAGGGGACCCGACACGAACTCGCCGATGATGGTCATGATGAAGGGCGAGAGGCTGATGAGGCCGGTCTGGCTGACGCTGAAGTTGTAAGGGGCCACGTTGAAGATGGCCGCGTTGACGACGGAGAAGACGACGATCCAGGTGATAAGGGTACCTTGAAAGTGTTAGCGGTAGGGAACGGAATAGGCCGGGGGGTGCTTGTTGTTGTTGTCTTACCATAGACGAGGAACCCCCACATAACGGCCGGGTAGAAGAGCATGACCACCGGCCGCGCAAAGGGCTTCCAGCCAGGGGCGCGCGAGTAGCGACCGTTGTAAATCCGCAGCGACTGCAGGTAGCTCTGCTTCTTCGGAATCGTGGTCGATTCAGACCCAGCAGACCCCGTCTTCTCCTCAGTGACCTCGTGCTCGTGTCCCAGCTTCATGCGCCGGACACTGCCGTCGACACCAGGCTCCGCCTCGCCGGACGGGATCACCGTCACCGCGTTCCTCCTATACGCCGTCTCGGGCACGAGGAAGAACACGGCCAGCATCAGCACGCCAAAGAAGATGGCGCACACGCCAAACGTCCACTGGTACCCGTCCCGCTCGATGATGTACCCAGCCACCAGGGCGCCGCCGCTGATGCCCGTGAGCAGGAACAGATTCCACACGGCAATCCTCGTCGCGCGCTCGTGCACAAAGTACATATCACCGATAGTGCACTGCACCAGCACCTCAAACGGCGCCATACCCAGACCCGCAACGATACGGCTACCAAGAAAAGAGTCGTACTGCTGGACGGTGGCGCCCCAGACGCTGGTGGCGAACATGATGACGATGGCGACGAGGTAGACGGGCCGGCGGCCGATGATCTTGGCGAGCGGGTTGGTGATGAAGAGGCCCAGGCCGATGCACAGGATCAGCCAGGCGGTCGACTGCGCCAGCACGTCGATCGAGATGCTGAGGTTCTCGGCGATCTCCAGGAACCCCGGCGACAGCATCGGCCCGTACGCGCCCACCACCGCCGCCGCCAGCCCGCAGATGAAGAGGATCAGTTCTTTGCGCCATTGCGGCCACTGCGGGGTGCGCGTCGTCAGCAGTGCATCATCGGATAGAGAACTTGAGACGTACGTTTAGAGGGTCGTTGGGGTCGTCGGACGGTTGAGGGACGAGGATGACGTCCGCGTACCTCCCCGTTCCGTGCTTGAGCTGTTCGCGCGGGATCTCGGCGTACTCGGGCGGGAGGTCATCCTGGTCGGTCATGAAAGCTGGGGGGAAGCCATCGTCGTCAGCACGCGTCGCCCGGGATGGTGTCGTGACTTGGGGGGAGGGGTGGGCAGTGCGGAGTGCGCAGATCGCAGATCGCAAATTGGATCTGCCCCGGTGCGGAGAGGGAGCCACGGGGGGGTTGGGGGCGGCGAGGAGGGACTGCTTACCCGTGCCTGGCACGACTTCCATCTTTTTGCACTCCAAGATTCCGAAAGGCATCGTGAGCGGCTGCAATGAGGAATTCCCAGGAAGTCCGACGCAGAACCAAAAGAGAAAAGGCGAAAAGGAAAAGGGCTTCGAAGGAGGAACAGTTAATGTAGATCCGTGTGGGGGCGTCCTTGTTTATGTATGTCTGGACGGAATACACAATGGCACCATGGTGTCAGGGGACATGAAGTTTGGGAGGTGAAAGATTGGGTCTGAGAACACCAAACCAACCATACCGTCACTTTGGTGATGTTGCACGACCGCACTTGTCGGGGTAGCGTAGCGTTGGTTTCTCTTCAGCTTCCGCGGAAGGTCGACGGCGGAGACACTGAGACATGGTCCAGGTCCCGATGGCCGGGGTGCTGAGGATGCAAGGAATCTGGCGACTGAAATGCACGCCGAGACGCATTAGCTTGACGGCTAAGCCTTTCCAGACGTTGGAACCGTGCTGTGACAGGCTGCTCAGGGGCAAGGGTAGCCGGGATTTGAAGGTCGTGCCGAACGATGGATTCATGGAAGATTATCCCACCGAGCCATTGACCGGACAGACTCTTGCGTAATTTGCTCAGTTGAGAGGGGGCATCCTGCCGTCGCTTCTGCAGAGCGAGATGGCTACCACAATAACAGTTAGCTGGCTGGGAGGCTGGGTGGTCAGCTTTGCACGACACACCTTGATCGAATCTTTCTCGATCGGTCGGTAGTTCTCACCCGCCAATGGGCAGCGGATGCCAGCCAAGGACGGACGACAAGGGTCCAGGCGAGTCCTCGGAAGTCCCGCGTGGTGGCTGCACTTGTGTGTCTGGGGTCACCGGCTCTCGGCTCTCGGGGTGTTTGGGGGCTGCTGGGCCGCACAGGTGCACCCGGCTATTTCATGCAATGCACCGCGTTGGATGAGAATGTCTCGTTTCATCAATCCATAATTCTGGACCCCATTCCTGGTCAGGGCTTCGAGAATCACCCGTTGAAGTTCTCCCGGCGGGTGTCAGTTTCAACCCCGGCCCGTCCAGTGTCACAGCAATCCACACTGGGGTCAAAATAGAGTGCAATTATGGAGGGAGAGTGGAATCCAGCAGTGGATTGTGCCCACCACGATCAACTTAGTGTAGTTTCCGCCGCCGGGACGACCCGTTTCCCCCACGATCTATCGGAGTGACCCTCATGATCTCCACCTCTTGCGCTGTTGACGTGATTCTCGAGGAGTCGTTTCGAATTCTCGATCGACAGAAGATGGGGGAGTGATGGACCCTGAACGATCGGCTGCTCGGCAAACCCCCAAACCCCCAAACCCTGCCTTGGGATTCAATTTTCCGTTCAGGGGTCGGTCTTGGTTACGGACATTGCGCGGCAACACGACGACAAGGGCACGAAAAGCAAGCGAACCCGAGGTTCCCACCGCCAAGAACAAGCCTCCATGAGGTCGTGTGAAGACACATGCATGTCTCAACGAATGAACAACTTGAACATTAATCACCACGAAGTTCATTCAAGTACGGAACTTCGGTTAACGCTAATGTCACCCTATCCTCCCACCCGAATTAAATACCTTAACTAGGATCCTATTGTATAGGGCCGGCCTTGAGCGAAGACAAATCACTGCCCCCCTTCCCTCTAGCTTATTTCTTTAAGCTACACTGGAACGTGGTCAAGAAAATGGTTGATTGCACCCCCGGCGCCATTTCCCCTGCATTGTGTCTAATAGTCCAGTTGCCGTCGTGTTCAAGGCCAGGTTCGCCATAAACCAGCTTTGGCCTATAAACGGGAGCAAGGTTAGAACCATACAAACGAGCAGTGGCTTGAGGAAAGATCGAACCCACGGTATCTGTATGTTGTTCGCTAGGTGAGGCGGTACGAATACCACATGCAACGCGTCGTCGAGATCCCCTTTGTCTGGGTTGAGGAGCCAAGCGGTAAACGAAAGGAAAGATGTGGCCATGTCCGTTTGTACCAAATATTTCCAATCGTGATTGAAAATAAGAACGAACTGGTCCAACATTCTCCCTGTGTTTTCGGGGACCTGGTAGATCAACTGGCAGTCGGTCTCGTTGTCCGAGGTGGTGATATCAGTGCACCAAGGACAATATACAGCAGCAGCCCCTGTCGCTGCAGGTGTAGTTGTGGGAGACGCTATAGCCGAACCCATCGTTGAGGTCACACTGGGCGGCGTAGCGCAGACCCCGATGGCGAGGCCAAGAATGGCAAGGAGCCTGAGGAGCATTTTGATGGACAGGTTGCGTAGCATGATGGGCGTCTTGAAAAGTCGTGCGAGTGTCAGAGTGAAAACGATGCAAGTTGCCCTGGATGCAGTGAGGCGAGTTGAGGCCGGGAAGGGTACACATGGGGATATATATATGCTCGCGCAGACGCAGCTCTAATGCTTGCGTTCAACATCGGAATAGTTGACTAGGCCCTCTACGTTTGACGATGCGTGACCTTTACTGCTCACGAGTTGACCAAAAACCCATAAACCACAAAGCAGGATACGCCACAGCAAACCATGCGTGGTTCTACGCTTTGTCGAGCTCACGCGGCGAACTCAGGTATTTTCCCACCTGCCTAAAGGAGCATCCCAAGATGGCTGCAAAACCGGGCGAACCTTGCCCCGCCCTGGACCGAGGTTGCAACGCGCGTCACTGCGTCAGCCCTAACGAACGGTATGACTCGACGTCCTTAGACCTTAAACCTCTCATCCCATACCCAAGCTCCAACGCGTTATACACCCGTGCCCATCCTCACACACACACACACAAAGCACATCCCACCGGCCCCCCCAAACTCAAAACCCAAACGCAAAACCGCAACCATGACCACCACCACCTTCCGCATCCGCGACGCCGCCCCCTCCCCCACCGACACCGACGCCCACTTCATCACCGCGGCCTTCGACTCCTGCATCCCCCACCTCTCCAGCATCGGCAGCGCCACGCAATGGGGCACCGCGCCGCTCTCCACCTCCCGCCCGGGCTTCAGCGCCCGCTACGTCACCGCCATCGCCGACGCCGAGAAATACCGCCTCAGCACCACCACCGCCGCCAACCCCCCGCTAGGTGATTCTGCTAGTGATTCCGGCGATTCCGGCAGCAGCCCCGCCATCGTGCGCGTCCTGATCGCCGAGGCAGTCCTCCCCGACGGGGGCCACCTCCCCGTGGGCGCGGCGACGCTGCGCGGGGGGTATCTGCCCAAGTATGTGCTGGAGCAGAAGCACTTGGCGGGGGTGACGGGGCGGTTGCTGGCCGGGGAGGAGGGGCCGTTTATGTTCTTGGAGACTCTGGTGACAGACTTTAGCGAGGCGACGAAAGCGTACCGGAAGGGGGCCGGGGCGGCGCTGGTTGAGTACGCGAGGGAGTGGGTGAGGGGGTTGGGGATGGGGTGCATGTATGTGGATTGCTGGGCGGGGAATGGCGGGAAGTTGGTTGGGTATGTGCTTTTGCTTTCCTCCTGGTGTGAGATCGGGGTGGGATAGTGGTGTGAGATTTGGTGCTAACTGGGAGATAGGTTCTATGAGGCGCAGGGGTTTGAGAAGGTGGACGCGTTTGTGGCTGAGAAGCCTGATGGTGTGGGCTGGCCGGGGATGTTTCTGCGAATGGACGTTGCGAAGAAGGACTCGCAGTAGCCGTGTTTTTGGGTAGGTAGGTTTTGGTTTTGGAGCATCAAGGTGGCCGCCGGTATTAGAGTAAACAGCAGTCGTTGCCTTGCTGCAGCAGACCCAACGTGGCTGGACTAGAGCTAGAGCTTTCGACCGTGTAGGCCGTTGTCTGTGTCGCTAGCCATGGTTGTCCGGAGTTATGCATGTGGGTTGTTCAAGGAATCAGAGTGCCGCATTTGAACATCTTGGGTCGTATTCGTGAGGCGGCCTCGGTCACCACCGACTGCGACTCTCACTTCGCCCTCTTGCCCGGCTCCTGCTCCTGCTACCACGTCCACCTTCTTCGTAGTCTTCACCATGGCTTCTGTTTCTGCTTGTGGCTCGGCGACTTGCGCGCTTGATCAAGTCCCAGTACTGTCGTTGCCGAAACTCAGCGAGTCCGGTTTGGTCGGTCCAGATGATCTCTTCCTCCGCCCAGAGCGCATCATTCGGCACTAAGATAGCCACGTGTACGCGGCTGCCCTCGTGAGGGCTTGATCTTGGTGGCTGTGTCAGGAAAACCGTCGGTTTGATGTCGCCATCCTCCGTTTGGGTTTCGGTGATCTGAGCCGAGCCGACGTGCTCGAGAATGGATCCGCGGGCGTGTAAGAGGGCAAAGAATTGGGGAATGGTAGCACAGACGCCATCGCCATCGGCCAGGCGTCCTCCTCCATGCCTGCTGTGACTGCGACTGGGTGGCTGCAAGGAAGACGGAAGCCTGACATATCTCGGTCTTGTGCTTGGATTTGCCTTCCAGTCGAAGGTCCGGTCATCGTCGTCAACCAAAGTGACAACAGCCTTGCGCTTGATTCGCTCGTCGGTCCTCATCCGGACAAGCACCGGGCTGGGAACATCACGCATGGCAGCGACAGGGCGAATGCCCACTGTTTCACCTGCGTCCCCGAACAGGACTCGGTAAAGGGTGATGGATCCCGACAAGGCCTCCTCGGTCCAGGCCATGGCTGTGAGATAGCCGCTCGTCCCATTGTACTTGCTCAAGTCAAAGAGCTCGTTCTCGTATCGTTCGAAATCGCGCTGATGTAATGTCTGAGGCATCTCGACACCAGGGCTCGGCATAAAATAGATGGTGCGCTCCGACTCCGTGAAGTCGAGTCGACGAACAGAGTGGAAGACGCCATGGGCGGATTCGATGATGCCGCCGAGACCGTCGACGCTGAGCCCTGGTAGCCCGGCGCCGACAGACCGGAGTGGCAAGAAGATCCTGTCGAGGCGGGATCTCCTGGCGTTCTTTCTCGGTCGAAGTGTGGTCTCGTCGAAGGCCGCCCAGTCGAGGAAGTTGGGAGAACTCGGCACGGCGGCAATGACGGTTAGATCACCGACCGAGTCTCGACTTGAATCATCCTCAACAGGACCCGATGGTGTATATGGTTGGAGCTGCATATCGTGAGAGTTTTCTCCTTCTGCGGATGGGTCGCTTTTAGCATCGGGAACATTTCCTCGATCTTCGGCGAGTCGAGATTCGATCGTGGGCAACATTGTGTATTTGTGTGAAAGTCGAGTCCCTTTTAAGGATGGGTTGTTGAGCCTGTAATTATTTAAGAACTTTCAGGTTATGAAGGTCATCAAGATTCAAGAATATGACGAGGGTGCGAGAGCGAGGGGGTTCTTCTACATTTAAAGAAACGCGATGGTGGCAGCCACAAGAACTACCAAATAGCAGGCGACCACTTAGTGGGTTGCAACCTGCGGCAAGGCGCATCTTTGGACGTGACGCATCGCGAAATTGGTGGTCGCGTGTTACGATTCCCATGAATCTCACCGTAATTTGTGGTATTTGGGGAGTGACTCAGCTCCCGTTTTCCCAGGCTTCCAGGGAGACTTGTGCGACACCGCGCACGGCATGACCACCTTAGCGACTCGTCGCACCTGCCCCGTGGTGGTGCGGCATGATCGGTGTGGTGAGGGGCGGTTCCTGCCGAGCAGCTGGCCAAACTGATCAGCATGGAAGCCTTGGCGTGCGTGTTGAAACGGAAAAGTGGCTGTCCAAAAACGGAGAAAGCGAGAAAGACAGCCAATGCTGGTTGGCGCAAAGCCGAAGATTGGGCGCACTAACGAAACAGCGGCCAAGTTTCGCTGCGCATTTGTTAACACAGGAGACGAATGACACGAGTTTCTGTCGGCCTCGTTCTTGGCTTCGTACTTCGCGTTTGCCCCTGATTGGATCTGCGTGGATTCAGCCCCAAGGAGGCTTCGTCATCGCGTCGCTCTAAAATTAGTTAAAGCTTTTATCGCCAAAGCCTCAAACTCAAATGCGCGTATGGCAGCCAGGGGTCATTGAACCTTGAATCTTTTCCTTTTCAATTCATCCCATCCATCGTCCATTCCCATCATGGGACATGGTTGATTCTTGATTCACTCCCTCACTCCTACACTCATTCAACAACACCATGAACCTATACGAGGACGACGACATGATTGAAGGAGAACCGCTTCTCGCGGGCGAGGAACGCGACTCCTTTGAGATTGACGAGACACCAACTGGCACCGCTGCCACCACTGCCACCACCGCAACTCCTTCCTCAACTACTCCCGACGAGACAGACGGAGCACATCCGGCTTACGCTTACCAAAAACATGGCCAGCGTGGAATCCGGGGATTCGCTGCTCGTTTCCAGGCGCGGAAACGCAAGACAGTGGTGGCATTACTGGCCGTCCTCATGTTTTGCATCACCACGAGCGGCATGCTCATCCTGATTCCCATATTCCGCCTCATGGAAGACGCCGTCTGCCATGAGCATTACGATAAGCCCAGGTCTGAGCCCATTGAGGAGCGATTGTGCAAGGTTGATGGGGTTCAGAAGGAGCTGGCCTTTTTGGGTGGCATCGGTGCCGTGCTCAATTCCGTCGTTGGCCTCCTCTCAGCACTCCCATACGGTGTCCTAGCCGATCGGTAAGCGCAGCATCTTGGAGAGTTACTCGTAACTACCTACCTAGCATTCGAATGTACTGACCTTGCTGTTAGCATCGGCCGCAAACCCAGCTTTCTGCTCGCCTATTTTGGCATTTTTCTATGTTTCGCCTGGGGCCCGATAATCCTTCGTAGCGAAACCCCCCACATTCGCCTCGGAATATTAGGCTCCCTGTTCTTCCTCATCGGGGGTGGGATCCCGGTCGCTATCAACTCGTTGAACGCCATGGCTTCTGACATCAGCTCGGACAGTGATAGGTAAGAGGAGGTACTTGTATACAATGTCGATGACCCTACTAACTGTTGAAAAGGGCAACTGGCTTTTTAACTCTCTCGTTCGGTGCCGTTTCCGGGGGACTCCTCGGACCCATCACCGCCGGTCTCTTGATGGAACACATGGGACCGTGGTTTCCCGTGAGCCTGGTATTTTGCATCACCCCATTTGTTTTCATCCTGGCTCTTTTCCTCCCCGAAACGCTGCCCATCAAGCTGCAAGACGCCAGCCAACCGGAGGAAACGCGGCCGCTGGCCAAAAGGCTTCGCGAAGAAATCAAGGAGCTCAGGGTATCCTTCTCGTTGCTAAAGAACCGCAACATTGCCTTGTCTCTGCCGGCCTTTTTAATCCAGCCCGCGCTCTTCGCAGCTTATTCGTCCACCCTCGCCCAGCACATCAGCACTTACTTTGGCTGGAGTCTGGCACAAACGAGCTACCTTCTCTCCCCCCTCAGCATTCTACAGCTCGTCATTATCGTCCTTCTCCCGTTCTTGTCGGGCTTCTTAACCAGAGAAACGGGACGCTTCCGACTGTCCGTCTTTTCCAAGGACCTCCTACTAACGAGGATATCTCTGGCATTTTTCATTGCCGCAGCCGTCATTGAGGGGCTCAGCCGCGAGGTTGTCTTGTTCCTTGTTGGCCTCACCATCGGCAGCATCGGCTCTTCCTATGGGCCGCTCTGTCGCGCCATCGCTACAAGTTATGTCGAACCCCAACAGACGTCGCGTCTTTACGCCTTGATCAGCATGTTGGAGATGGGAGGGGCAATGCTTGGGGGTCCTGTTCTGGCATGGTGTTTCAATATTGGGCTGTCTAAAAAGGGTATGTGGACTGGCCTGCCGTGGTTCTACGTAGCCGGTCTGGTGCTCGTGGCCCTTGTTTCCATCAGCTTCTTGCGGCCGCCTAAACCGAAGGTCGTTGTCCCGGACCCGGAAGAGGAGGAGAACAGTGACCTCGGGTATCTGTCGGCCGAAGAACAGGTCTGAGTAGGAGGTTTGCAGAAAAACGCACACACTGTTACTCAAACTGTCACCATACAGGAAAAAAACGAGCAACGAGACCGTCAAGCCAGCGGTTACGCTGTCGCGAAGTGTGGCTACTGTTAAGCCCTGTGACGTCCCTTGTGACAACTTTGTATTTTATCGCGAGCACAAATCTTCCCGCAGTCGTCGCACGGGGAGCGCGTATCAATTCCTCCCGATGGATGCCACGGAGTGATGGCCATGCCGCGAGGGTTGAGAACAAGTCATTGAGAAGGGTCACATCCCAACCGTCAACATCTCCCCAAGCCTCTTGGATATATACCGAGCGAGCAATTCTGGGTCGCCTCGTCTCGCTCTCCTTCCGAAACACCCGCCCCCCCGCCATGTGTTGCTACTCAAGACTCCTGAACAAGCCGGCTCCCGATCAATGTCTGCGGCGCCGAGAGGATCTGCCGAACGACAGAAACAAGGCCGTCGTAGAGGCCCCGAGCAGCCTGCTCCGAGACCTTGTCGACCGCGTATACGAGACGGAACCGGAGCGCGTCGGCGCCGAGCTGCGTCCACTCAATGCGTGCCTCGCTGAACGTCCACTTCTGCTCCTCCTGCCGGGGCTGGCTGACGACATACTCGGCGCCGCCGATCGCGACCTGCATGCTGCCGTCGATCGGCGCGGGCACGTGGTTGACCCACGACGACGCGGGCGTGCCCGCCGGCCAGCCGGTGGTGCACTCGCGCGCGATGCGCCCGTACCCGAACGTCTCGAAGGGGACCCCCGCCAGCTGCTGCCTGCGTACCCCGGCCACGAGGTCGCCGTACGTGGACGACGGGTCCAGCCGTACCCGCACCGGCACCAGCGTCGAGCAGCACCCCAGCGCGTCCGCCACGGACGGGTCGTCGATCCCCGCGCGCCCCGAGACGACGTCGGCGAAGACCACGTCGTCCCGCCGCACGTACCGCGCCAGTACGAGCGCCCAGGCGGCCTTAATGACGTTGGCGCAGGTCGCGCCCTTGGGGAGGCTGCTGCTGTTCGAGTTGCCGAGGTCTATTGTCGCGGGGGCCGATCACGCCCGCTCGCCAGGCGTATTTTTCCGTGTCCGGGAGCCTCGCTGCCGTGGGGGGGTCCCCGATCAGCGGCATGGCGGCGGCGGCGAGGAGTTCAGCCCAGTACTTGGACGCCTCGGGCGTCTGGCGCTTCTCCGTGTGGGCCATGTACTGGGAGAAGGATGCTCTTTCGCTGGCTTGGCCGGTCCGGTACAGCTCGTCGAGGGTGGTCCAGAATCGATGGATGCACATGCCGTCGTAGATGGCGTGAGACATACGGAAGAGGATACGGTGCTTTTCGGCAGTGCTGCAGATGGCGACGTCTGCCAGGGGCCGCCCAGGCTCGATGGCCGTGGGTCCCTCGCGCCGGATGAAGTCCTCGGTCCACTGCTCGACCGAACCGGTGGCCGCGGTACATATATGTATTGGGACCTCGGGTTGGAACCCCGAGAGAACGACCCGCTTCCACCTCCCATCTTCCTCTCGGGTGAAGCCGGTGTGCAAGACCTCGACCGTCGCGAACAGTTTCTTACATGCCTCCGCCATTCTCTCGCCGTCGGCCAACGGCCCTGGCGAGTCCAAAGCGACCCACGTCATACCGACGTCTGGCCTAGCTATATGGTAGTTCAATATCCACTGCTGGTGATCCGTCACGGCTGACGATGTCCGGCTCAGGCCTCGCTGCAGGCGGTGGTCCTCGCCATCCGGTCCATCCCTTTTTCCGACCACCGCAGCTAGAGCCGATATGCTCTGCTTCTGCAAGACGTCTACAACGGAGAAGACCATCCCTTGCCGGCGAGAGGCCCCAACGACGTGTATAGCTGCTACGGAGTCGCCTCCGAGCTCGGTGAAGAACTCTTCTGGTCCGATGCTGTCGGCGGAACGACCGAGAACTTGGGCGTACACGGCACGGAGCCGCTCCTCGGTCCTCGTTAGTATTCGGTTAGGATCCCTCGCCACTCTGGTACTACTGAATACGCCCAGCTGGTCGTGGCTCAGGGCCTCGAGAATTGCGCGAGCAGCACGCCGATCCAGCTTCCCGGACGCGTTGACGGGAAGACGGCCCGCCAGGGGCACGAAATAGCTCGGAACCATATACGCCGGGAGCTCCTGGATCAGAGCAGCGCGTATACTCTGGGCCGCGGCGGCGAGGCCCTGCGTAGGAGCCCGCACCCCGGGTAGCACAAGGTCTTCGCGTCGTACGCAGTCCACGGCATCGCCACTGTCGACCTCGGCGCCCTGTAGCTCGATAATCTCGACCGCCGCTGTGAGGACAGGGTCTGCAGCGTGAGGTGCGTCGCGCGGTCTCACCAAATCCACAAACGCGCGTACGACGTAACGATGCCCGACTCGGACGATTTGGCTCTCAATCTCGCCCGGCTCGACCCGCTGGCCCCGAATTTTGATCTGGGCATCGCATCGGCCCAGGTACACTAGCGAGCCATCGTCCAGCTGGTGTACCAGATCACCGGTACGATACATACGGCTGCTGCGCCCGGGCAGGTCGAAGCCGATACGGGTCAGGAACGCCGGGGACGAAACGAAACCGGCGGCCGTTTTGGCCGGGTCGTTGAGATAACCCCGTGCCAATAGCGGGCCCTGGATCAAGAGCTCACCGGGCGCCCCGACGGGCACGAGACGGTTGTAGTCGGCCGGGTCCGCGACCCACGCGGCGGATCCGGCAAGGGGCCGACCGATATTGGCAGCGTCCCGGCCGTACTCGATGCGGCTGTTGACAACCGACTCAACGGAGCACTCGCTCTGGCCGTAGGCGTTGATGACGGTGGCGTGCGGCGCCCACAGGTCCACTACGGCAGGCGTGACGGCCTCGCCGCCGAGGACAACCGTATCGATACCGGGCAGCGCATACGGGTCCAGCAGCGCGGCCGTCGTCGTCGTCAGGTTGACAAAGTTGACGCGCATCGCCCGGATCGCCCGCGCGAGCTCGGCCGCGTCGGTCCGCTGCGCCTCCGAGGGGATACAGACGCAGCCGCCTAGGAGCAGCGTCGTGAAGTCCTCCACCGCCACGCTGAACGTGTGCGCCGCGTACGACAGCGCGCGCGTGCGTGGGCCGATGCCGAACTGTGTGCCGTGCGCCGCCATGCCCGTGCAGAGCGCCTGGTGCTCGAGGACGACGCCCTTGGGCGTGCCGGTGCTGCCTGACGTGTAGACGATCCAGGCGGCGTCGGCGGCGGCAACGCCTGTGGCGGGGGGTGATTGCGCGGCTGGGAGCTGTTCGACGAAGGCCTGGTCGACAACGATGACGACAACCGCCGACGTCGAGTCTCCTCGTACTGTCCCGCGCTGCACATCGTGCAGACGCTTTGCCTGGGCCGCGTCCGCAAGCGTTATACGCACATCGGCGTCGGCGACTACCTTCTCGATACGGCTCAGGGGGTGCTGCGTGCCGAGGGCCACCACCGTGCCGCCCGCCTGCAGGATCGCGAGCATAGATACGGTCGCCCACCGGGACTTATCCATACAGACGCCGACCGGCACCTCCGGACCGACGCCGATGCTGACCAGGTAGTGTGCCAGCCGGCCCGACGCCCTGCCCAGCTCTACGTAGGACAAGTCCCCATCCCACGACGCCACGGCCGGGGCGTGCGGCTGCCGTTCCATCATCGCTTGTACGAGGTTGTGGATACAGGACCGGTTCGGGTTGGCCGTGAGTACGGGCGCGTTCCACCTTCGGACCGCCTCAACATCAGCCGGCTTGAGGAGGTCGAGGTCGCCCAGGGTGGCGTTGCTCGTGTGGGCGTCTTCCAGCTGGCCGACGACGTGCCTGAACAGGGAGAGGAGCGCGCCGGCCCTGCGCGCGGAGAGCACGCGGCAGTCGTAGTGCAACTCGACGTGGACCGACTCGGCGTCCGCCCTGCAGTCTACGGCCAGAGCGTAGCTGCCAGCGTCGCGGCTCTCGGTGGTACTGTCCGCGATCGCCGCGTCGTTGCCCTGCTCGAGCCCGATTGTCTCGAGGCCTGGGCTGTCGCTGTCGGCGAGCGCTGGCCGGATGATGAAGAGGTGCCCGGCGTCCAAGTTGGGGCCGAGCCTAGGCACCGCGTTGCGGATCGTGTACAGGCCGGCGTCTGCAAAGGGGGCTATCTCTTTAGCCTGCCGGGAGACAGTGGTGAGGAGGTCGGCCACGGGCTGCTCCTTGTCGATCTTCACTCGCACCGGCACTGTTGTGAGGGTTGACCCGCCCATGTTGGCGATGTCCTGGACCGCCACGTCGCGGCCGCTCAAGGCGACGTTGATGAGCGCCTCATCGTTCCCCGTGTAAGTGGCCACCGTGACGGCCCAGGCGGACTGCAGCAGCGTGCCGAGAGAAGCAGCAGCTGGACCATCACCGTTTGTGTTCTCTTTGCGCTGCTTCTCTGACAAGCCATTCAGGCGGACCCGGAGAAGGCTTGTGGCGTACGGTTTATATGTCGAGGACGGGAGCGGAGGAAACCAGGCCAACGGCGCGTCTTCCCGTCGCCCACTCGAGTGAGAAGCCGCCATGGGGTCGAGATCGGTCTCCTGGGGACAATTGATAAGACGGGGGGTTGGGGTTTCGGCAAGCTCACCAGGACGTCACGTTTCTCCCTCCTTATAGATAGATCCGAACAAATAGCCCCAGCACAAGTAGCAGGGGCGATCCGTCGGAAATGGCGTGATGTAGCATCCAGACCAAGTACATACTTCTGGTGTGTTCACCTCTCGCGAACAATCGCTCGGCCGATGCAGGGGCGTGCTATAGGCGAAGGGCGCTGACTGGTCCTTTGTCAGATAGTTTCGTAGATCGTTCGCTAGCTCCCAGCCCGGCGCTTCCCTGACAACGACCTGGACCGGTCCCCGGGCGGTGTATACGTTGTGTCTATTCTAAGACAGCCGAAGGCGAGACATATCCACACCGTCCCCCAACCGGAAGGCCTGCTAGGCGACGCACGCGCTAGCCCGTCTGGATGTGATGGCCATCAGCTGTTCCTGCGGCGATGTGTCGGCTGGCTTCGTCAACCAGCCCAAGGGGCGGTTTGCCAACCGTTGACAACCTCAAGTTTGGTTTGCGGTCTGCGACATCGCGGCAAACCCCGTCGAGCAGGGTTTCGACCCGGCGGCGCATGACTTGATGATTGCTTCCAATGTCAGTATCTACCTAAACCAATTTCTTGAACCATGATCGGCTTGCCTATGACTTATAGGTATTAGCTACACGCCGCTCCCAATCTTGTGGAGACTCTGTCGAGATGCCGAACTCTCCTCAAGCCGGACGCGGACATCTTCCAGGAACTCTGCTCCAGTACGTAACCCCGAAACCTGAACAGATGCAGTCGTATTTGTTGGTTGCCTCTGAGTTTTAGGGCTGGGTCTGGTTCAGGTTATGGGTTTTGTTCTGGGGTAGTGGGCTTCACAGCTTCCGTCCTTGTATTCCCGCTAGATGATTAAATTTACACCAGCTATATCAGGGTGCTCTCTCTCCCGCACAGTAATTACCAAGCTCTGCCTCTCTTTCCATGGGCTCAATGACATCGCGGTATATGCCCGCCTGCGTCTCGGTATCCTCAAGGCTCACCCTGGAGCCACTGGGAGCCCAGGCCACCTGTAGGCAGGCATCTATGGCACCCAGATAGGTAGGGAAGCAATCTGCCAGAGCCTGCGACCACAGCACACGCCTCGCGACCTGCAGATCCGTATTCACGGTGGGCTTCCCGGCCACGAGGTCGTCGGGGGTCCAGAAATCCTCGAGGGGCTTCCAGCGGTGGATTTCAATGAGCAGAATACCAAGTCGGAGGATCCCCGGGTGCCGGTGAAAGCGGTCGAGACTAGATGGCTCGGTGCCCGAGGGGAACTTGTTGAACGAGGTGCTCATGTAGGGGTGCCTCAAGTCGACGCCACCGGCCGTGGAGAAAAAGCGTATGTTCTCCTTACTCCATTGTTCGCAGAGCCACGGGCTTTCGTGCAGCTGTAGGACCGAGTAAGCCAGAATTAGAGCGAGGCGGCGCCGTTCGACTAGGGGAGGTGTTGGGTAACGCTGCATCATTATCTGGAGCGAGACATCTGGCTTTGTCTGCACGTACTGCAGACGTGAGTCTCGCCAGTTGAGCCGCCACATTCGCTGCGTCTGCTCAAAGTCCTCGACGAGAAGCTGGAGGCAGTGGTTAGAACTGGAGGCGTCCCGTATGGCATCGCAGATTCTCTCTAGTTCGGCTCGATTCTGAGCATTTTTGTTGCTGTTCAATGACGTTAGGGGCATGCATGGATATAAAAAATGAGGTTCCGCGAGATTCCTCATGGAAAGGGTACTCAACTACCTCGCAGGCTTTATTGTGACGGTGCCCTCGCTCCATTTCCATGGCGTCTGGGGTTGAGAACGGGAGACCAGGAAGTCGAAGGAGATGTCGACCCCGGCCTGGCTCAGGCTGCCTTTGAGATCTCTTGGGCTGGCCGCACCGTTGCAGCTCGCGAGGGAGAAGCGCGCCTCATGCGAGCCTTCTGCGCAGTCACAGGACCAGGATTTCCACACCGCGTTGAACAGTCTTTGGGACAGGGTCCTCAGCAGGGATAATGCCTGCGATACCGGGGCAGCGATGGCCACGGCCTTCCTCCGATCAGCCGCAGTGTTTGCCGAGTCCACGACGACGCGAATTCGCTTATTCCAGGTCTTGAGGTTCTTCAGGCAGGTCTCCCGGTCCTTCTCCTTCCTGAGGAAGCGGAAGCGCTCGCGGAAACCGCTGGACAGTCTGCTGGCGTTCCGGTCATCCTGGAACTTCTTGAGTTTCTGATACATTTTCCGTTGATCGGTCTCGCACTTGGAAATATGTACGGTCTCGTCTTTGACGAGGCGAGCCAGAAGTTCTAGCACCTTAGCCATGACTTTCTGGAACGCAAGATAGTCATCCTGGGACGGGAAAAAGTCCTGAAGGGCTTGTGCGACGTCTGCTGCTTGGGCCCAGCTGTCCAGGTCTCTGCTGTCGACGATCTCCCTCTTCCTCTCCTCCGATACTGCATAGGCGGTCAATGTCGAGAAGGAATGGGTTGCGTATAACTATCGAGCGCAGGGAGGGAAGAAGAGAGCAAAAATGTGGGCATCTCGAAAGCAGAAGAATCTCAGGTAGGTAGGTACTCACAATTTGGCAACGCCATGGCCACTTTTTCCATCTGTTGTTGCAGCTCGTACGTCTCCCACCAAAAGGTTTCGTAGAACTCGGACAGCTTCTCGTCCCTCAATGTGGACGAGGCAGCCCCACGGAGGCTTTGGGATGCCTTGCTAGCCTCGACAAACAGAGGCAGAACGGCCAGGACGATGCCTACGACCTCGAAGCCGGACATCTTGGGACCCTTGTTGTTTCTCAACTACCTGCCACTATGCTGGGTAGCGATGCGATAGACCTGGCGGAGTCGGGTGAGAAACCATCTCATCTGTACCGAGGCCACCAATGTCACGCCGGGCTGGAAGCCGACACTGCAGGCGTCTCTGTCTTGGACAACCCCGCACTCTGTGTAACCGGCCGAGAACTAAAGCTGACAGAGCAAAGGCGGCGTCACTGGCGTGCGGGTGCGGGACATATGCAGGTCAGGCACGCAGCCGAGCTCGGTGACTGGAATAAATCTTACCTCCATTCCTAGCCCAAGCCTCTGTCGCAGACCACACTTGCTGTCACTGCTCAGCTAATCGCAATCTTAACAAACTTTATCCCCACTGGCCACCTGGCAGTAGTACAGGCCCCGTAGAGGCCCGCCCGCGACAATGGCGGTGGCGGCCGCCGCGTCGAGATGCACAGGGCTGCTCAACGACGCCCAGGCCGATCGAACCATGGTCCCCCGCCTTCGCCTGGACCTCGAGGGCGTCCTGGTTCGGTTCGGAATATGGACGGGCAACGTTGGTGTGTTCGCACCAGAGACCGCGTCACTCGATTACCGTCTTCGGGATGACATGGATGTTGTCGATATCCTCGTCTCTATGCTGAAGAGTCTTGGGGAGAGCTTGGGGCTTGCGATTAGACCCCCACTCTTGGAGGAAGCCGAGGAGGCGGAAGAGCCCAGTTCTGTGGAGCTCCAGCAGGAGGAGGAACCGACAGAGGACTCGGAAGGCTCGCTGTCTACCCTCAGTCTCGACTCAGAGGCCGAAAACAGTGAGAACGCAGGGGCCGACAGCGGCGAGGCCACTTCTGCGGATGCATCCATTAAGAAGGCGAACGAGATTATCGACCGCCTATATCGAATGGTCTCCGTCATCAGGAAGCCGCCGTCGTCGTCAAGAGAGAATGCTAGGGTCCGCGATTTCATCGCCAAGATGCAGGCCAGGGGCGAGATGGAAGAGTTGGATGACGTTGAGGATCACGCCCGCAGCCACCTGAATGCGCGGTTCCACGACGCCTCACACGTTCTGGTGGAACGCTTGGTTGCTGCCGTGGTGTTCCGGAGGATGAAGTTATTGTACAGGCAGCGACACCAGCAGAAGCTTCGTCAGGGTTTCGGGCCCGCCGCAAACCCCTTTCCCCATCAAACCGACGCTGGCCACGGAGTCTCGGGCCCCGGTGTCCCATTAGCCGGGTCCCAAGGTGACTGGAAAGTCCAAGATCATCACCACGAGAAGATGGCAAGGCCCTGGGAGATCAGAGAAGCGACAGCGCCCAGCAAGATGCTGTCCGCCACAAACGCCTCGTCCATCAACAAGCCAACACTTGCTAGCTATGCCAAATCTATAGCGCTCTCCGGAGTCACACACTCTGCAGTCGCCAGGCGTCGCCAGCTCGATGTCCCAGGCCCCCCGTCGAAAAGAAATGGCGATCACCAACGGTCGGAATGTCCATTCTGCTTTACGTTGGTCGACAAGGAAGAGACAGAGGAGCCGCGATGGACGTAAGTTCGACCCGCGCGCAATAGGTGATCCATTACTACCTTATGTTCTTGACCTGACAACGTCACTAGATGTCATATTCTGAAAGACATCGATCCCTACGTATGTCTGTTCGAGACGTGCGGAGAGGGCGACGTCTTGTTCAAGTCAGTCCAAGAGTGGCTGTCTCATATGCAGTGGCGGCACACAATGGTGTGGGCATGCCAGGTTCCTGGCCATGAAGCCCATACCTACGACACTCCCTCCGAGATGGAGGAGCACATTCGAAAAGATCACCCCGATTCCTTCACTGAGAGCCAGCTACCTGATTTGATCAAACACACGGCCCTCCCAGCGCCTGACACATTTGCCGCTCTCGCCGTCTCCAACAGATTGACAGTCCCCAAGCAAACTGGCCACGGCGATGTGTCTTACCAGTGTCCCATTTGCTTGAACTTTCATACTGCGCGTTCGGAGGACAGAGCTGAAAATTCAAACTCCCAAGCAGCCAGCGATATCCAAGACCACATCTTAGAGCACCTAGAGTCGATTGCCTTGCTGTCTCTGCCTGTGGAGGACAGCCAGAGCAAAAGCTTGGCCCGCTCGAACTCACGTCAATCTGGTAATCAGCGCGGGAGTGTTAGCTTGCGGGATGATCTAGACCTCCCAAGTGCCCTCTTTGATGACGCCAGTATTAACCGTCATCCAGACAGCGACGACGATGTTCCAAGGCAATCCGACACATCCGCAGGTGATGGTGAACCCGAGACAGTCCCGAGCGATGGGCTACAAAACGAAACTTTGTCGAAATATTGGGAAACAGAAATTCGACAGATAAACCAAGGAAGCTTTCCCGAGCCCAACCAAGACGTGCTGCTGCTTGGGTGGCAGGCTCGCCAGATCCGACAATTGTTAAACAACGATCAAGTCAACACGCCTAGCGGTACGCGTTATTTAGATAAAGAACGTTCGTACTACCACTATTTTCTAACTTCCGCCCCAACTTCCATCCCATACTTCCATCACATCTGGACCTCCTCGGGCCGAAGAAGTCGCCATAAGACAGACGGCTGACAATCACAGACTGCCTCCGCTCTCTCCTCTTCGACGGCATGGACGATCGGCAGCACGTCATACGTAGAGCCTATCCAGGCACATGCGACTGGCTGTTCAGCACCGACCAGTTCCAGGAGTGGCGCAACCGCGCCAACTTGCCATTCCACAATGGCGTGCTCTGGATTAAGGGCAAGCCGGGCGTGGGCAAGTCAGTCCTCATGAAGCATGCTCTGCGCCATTGCGAGAAGATCTTCGGTGGCCAGCTGATCGTGACACATTTCTTCCATGGTCGAGGCACAAGTCTCCAGAAGACGCTTCTGGGCATGCTGCGATCAATCGTATACCAGCTGCTCGACAAGGACGACACTTTGTATGAACGATTCCTCCCTATCTACGCGAAGCAGAGGACAGATGGTAAAGGGGGGCCGGAGTGGTCACGAGCACAACTGGAGGACTTCATACGCTCGATAATGGACAAGCCGCAATCGAAGCCACTCATATTCCTCATCGGCGCGCTCAACGAGTGCGACGGCCGAGACCTTCGGAATGCTGTCGGCTTTCTCGAATCCTTAAGCATCGAAGCCGTCCACGCCGGTTTCTCGCTGAGGATCTGCCTCTCCAGCCGTCATTATCCCTACGTCAGCATGCGGAAGACTTTGGAGTTGACCGTGGAGGCGAGCGAAGAGCACGATAGAGATATCGCTACATATATCGCACGAAAGCTAAAAGGACACGATGACGACCTCGAGGCCAAGGTCTGGGATAGGGCGGGCGGCATTTTCTTGTGGGTCGTCATTGTGGTGTCTCAGCTCAACAAAGCCTACGTCGGCGGGCATAGGTCGAGAGCCACCCATATAGTGTCGCAGGTAGAGCTGCCCTGCCTCAAGGTCGAATTCGGGGAGCTTTTGCACGAACAAGCGCGCTTGAACAAAGACGACCCGGACAAGGCCGAGACTCTACGCATGCTCCAGTGGGTACTACTCAGTCGGTGGCCGCTGAAGCCCGAAGAGCTCTTCTTCGCCGTACTGTCAGGAACGGCTCCAGAGTATACTGGCCCGTGGGACCGATCAAAGATCACGGACCATGTCATCCAACGGCGCATTACCTCCTCGTCCAAGGGCCTTATCGAGGTGCAAACCAGAGGCGCGGCATTCGTGCAATTCATTCATATATCGGTCATCGGCCTCCTGTTTCGGTACAACTGGCTGCAGATGCTAGATGAGACACTTGAGCCCGACCCGTTCAGTGCCAGCCACGGGCGGCTGTGGGATCGCTGTTGGTCCGATGTCAAGCAACTAGACACTACATCGACTAGCAAGCGGCATGTGAGCGATTTGAATGACAGGTATCCATTTCTGCGGTATGCAACGACCTACCTATTCGATCATGCAGAGGAGGCTCTGTCCGGAGGGGCAATGAGAGAGGAGATTGCACGATGGCTGCAACTGGGAAACGACTGGTTTGAGTGGTGGAAGATATGTCTCCGGACTGTCGATATTCACCGCGTACATCGATACTCGGACAGTGATACGGATGCAGGACTCCTCTATATGTTATCGTTTTGTGGTTACGAGAGCCTAGTCACCGTTGTTCTACCAGAAGGGGACGTCGACGTCAACGCGCGGGGTGGGACGTATGGCAACGCGTTGCAGGCCGCTTCTGTCAAAAACCACATCCGGATCGTACAATATCTCCTCGATCACGGAGCCGACGTCAACGCACAGGGCGGGCGATATAGCAACGCGTTGGAGGCCGCTTCTGCTAACGGATATACCGACATCGTACAACTGCTCCTCGAGCACAGCGCTGACGGCCCCTCCCCTGATCCGAATTAACGGGTATAACCAGAGCATCAACGTACTCGACTGGCCGCCTTGGCGGTTGGTAAGCACAAAAGTGATACGAACGGTACGGGGATTCCATTCTCGACCAAAGTCCACATTTTACAGCTGACAAACGCATAATAAGCTATGACACTATCGCCGACATGACTGGACATCGAGCTTAATAGTAGGGAAAAGAGCCAGATTCAGCAGGTCTCCAATGACCATCCTGTAGCTCGTTTTGAGGATGCCGAGGGGTATCCGGGGACGGGCGAATGGATTCTCGGCCACCGCGTTCGGGTAGGCCGGCGGCGTTCTAGAGGACTGGACCCAACGGGTGTGAACGAAGTAATACACTAGAATGAACGACCCCTTTCGGTCCCGTCGCCGGCGCCGCTTGGAGCCGTTCCCTTTCGTCGTCCCGTGCTAATATGCAATATGCGCCGAGTTTGGCTGTGCCACCCCCCTTGCAGTTTGCCGGGGGTTACTCGCGGCGGCCATTTCCCTGCCCTGGCGGCGCAGCGTACCGAGCGTGGTGCGGGGTGTGGCCCCAAATGTGGCCGAGATGTCGGATGGTACGCTGGATGGGACGCTGGATATGCACCTCAACGGCTGGGCGAAAACCAACAGGCAGGGTGCTGCACGTATCACTCCAAGTCGGCCAACCGCCGCAGAACCACAGTCAGGCGAGGCCCTTGTAGTAAGAGTTACGGACCCCGTTACTCACGACCATCGTCCCTGCTGCCTTGCCAACCCCGCCATTCCTATTTATGGCGTTGAAGAAGCTCATCACGATCCACAACTTTTCTCGCTTAAAACGTCTCCATCATCTCTTCTCAATTCCCAGCTGACATCACCCTCGCCGCTTACTACTATCCCAACATCAACACACGCCTCTTCATTCACAAACACACTTCCTCACTCTCTCGCATACCTCAACTATGGCTTCCAGCAAGACCCTCCTCGTCGTCGGCTCGGGCCCCGGCATCGGCCGCGCCGTGACCGCACTCTTTGCTTCCAAGCGCTACACCAACGTCGTGCTGCTCGCACGCCGCACCGAGTCTCTAGCCCAAGAGAAGGCCGCCGTCGAGGCCAGCAGCCCGGGGGTCAACGTCAAGGTCTACGCCGTCGACGTCACCGACGCGGTCGCCGTGGCCAAGGCGCTCGATGAGGCCGACGCCGCCGTCGGCAAGCCCGAGTGCGTCTTCTTCAACGCCGCCCGCGTGCTGCCGTCGGCCTTTTTCGAGCACGACGTCAAGGAGATCGAATACGACTTCAAGGTGCGTCCCCTCCCCTTTCTCTCATTCCCCTCCCCAAAACCAACCAACTAACACTCCCACCACCAGATCAACGTCTCAGCACTCTACGCAGTCGCGCAGCGGTACGTGCCGCACCTGGTCTCGCTGGCCAAGGCGGACGCCTCCGCGGGCAACAAGCCGGCGCTGCTGGTGACCAGCTCGGCGCTGCCGCAGCACCCGATCCCGCAGCTGTTCGCGCTGTCGCTTGTCAAGGCCGCCCAGCGGAACCTGGTGCAGAGCCTGAACCTGACATACGCGCCCGAGGGCGTCCACGTCGGCGTCATCAACGTCGCCGGCCAGGTCTCCCCCGAGGACCCCGTGCGCAACCCGACCAACATTGCGGCGGAGACTTGGAAGTGGTTTGAGCAGGGTAAGGAGTTTGAGGTGGTTATTTGAGTTGGGAGTGTTTGGAGTGGCGGGTTGGCCGGTTTCTTTTCAAAATAGGTCGCTTGAATTAGCCCTAAATTGACCCTTGTTGCGAATATTACTTGAGGTTTTCTGCATGGCCATGAAGTTTACTTGTTCTACTGCGTGACTAAAACGCTGCTCGCCAAGTGTTGAACCTTTGAATGGCTCGATGTATGTATGTGATGGTCGCGGTCTCAAATTTGTGTGTGAAGTTGGCAATGTTCATATCATCGAGGAGATGGCGAATGTCCATTTTCAACAAAGAGCATTGCCGGGCGGGTTTTAGCATTGTCTTTCAAGGATCAAGACAGAACTTGCAACCAAGTAATATTCATAATGAAGAACAAATCAACTGAGAACCACTCGATAAACAAAAAAGTTATGAAACCAGTACAGGTACATGATACATCCAGACCCAAACTCACAACACCGCCCCGGTACCCCCATACATACAAGTCGTACACATAGCACATCTCCCCAACCCATCCAGTCATACAAAAACAAAAACAAAAACCAACCACCATCTCATGCACTCCCCGTGCTGACCCAAGAAAAGTCCTTCCTCACCATAATCTCATTCCGATACGCCCGCTCCTCCTCACTCGCCTTCTCCCCCGAACCACTGGTACTCACCTCCCGCCCAGAAACATCCACCGTCAACTCAATCTCATCCTCTCCCCTCACCGTCGTCTCCGCACTCCCCAACCCATGCAACCCCCACTCCCTCCTCGCAGGCCGATGAACATCCGCGACCTGCACCAGCGGCCCCTTCTTCACCTGCGCACCACCAAACGCACCCGCCTCCACATCCCCAGCCCTCTCCCGAAAATACCCCTTATGCGCCAGCCCACTGCTCCCGCCACTGCTCGAGTTGCCGTGCGAGACGCCCTTCGCCACGGACCACCACTTGCGCACGAGCGGCGCATAGGTCGGCAGGCAGGCGCACACGATCCCGATGAAGGGCTCGCAGCACGACCAGATGAAGACCTTGGACATGGCCCAGGTGAAGTCGGGGGATTTGACGAGCTGGTCCATCATGACGATGCGCACTGCCGAGGCGATGCAGACGCTGTGATGGGGGAGGAGCGGTTAGTGGTGGGTTGTTTTGGGGGTGTGGGGATGGGGTGTGTGACTTACAAACCACCGAGGAGCAGGATGCCGCCGACGAAGAGTTTCTTGGTGGGGGGCATCTTGAGTTTGACGACTAGAATAGGGCGTTAGTCGGGGGGTGGTGGGCGCTGAAAAGGGGAGGGGGTGACTAACTGGTGGGGATGGGAACGAGCAGGATGGAGACGTCAATGAACAGGCCGATGATGCCGTTGATGAAGTAGAACAGAGACGCGTCAATGCAGGTCCCGACGGCTGTTGGGTCGGTGTACTGCTTCCAGTAGTAGTCCACCGGCCGGCAACCTGACAGCCAGGTGATGGTGACCTCTAGCCAGTGGCAGACAGTCAGTCCGAAGACGATGTTCCAGATGATGCCCTTGCCGAACATGCGGCGGTAGAATAGCATAATGGACACTTTGGTGGCTGAGATACAAGTAATGTAGACGATGACGAAAGCATATGTCGTCTGGTACAGCTTGGTGAACTCGTCAAAGGTCACCACCCAGAGGTGTTTTCCACCACCCCATGGGATACTGATGAGGCAGCACACGGCGGTACCCACGCCACAGATCTGTATAAATTTGCAGGTTAGCTACGCGTTCCGTTTGACCTTTGAACAGGCGTAGGTAAGGAGGTATGTACCGCTGCAAATACGATGACATAGTCGTCCTCAGCAAGCCCAGGACCTCTATGCGTGAGCCGGACGAACAATCGCATGACAACGGCAGCCAGGCCAAGGACCATAACGGCCACGACGGAGCCGATGATGTCCGCGCTCTGGTGTTCCGTGAGGTCCACCCCAGGCGGTACCGGGCCCCAAGCCCCCGAGGAAGACATTGTGCTGGGCCGCGGTTGGTTTTCGCGTTGGGAAGTTCAAGTGAAAGACTAAGCTAAAAGGGCGAACCCGGCGAGGTAGAGAAGGGAAACAAGAAGAGACGGAAGCGGGCAATAAGTCACCGAAGCGACGAGATAAGCAGACAAACGCAAAGGAGAGGGGCTCACTTGTCAGTCAAGTGATGCTCGGGAAGACGTGCATGCCGCCAGAATTTGGGGACGCAAACTTCTATTCGTATGTCGGTCATTATTAAACGCCGCATCTGTTGAAACGGGATCTCGGTGAATTGGTGTGCTCGATCATCGATGGTGTTACCATTCTCGAAGGGAGAGCCTGTGCCGTAACGGCGGGATATGCGCCACGCCCGGGTGCCTCAGATGATAACCAATGGCTTAAAACGTGCCACAGGAAAACCTCCGTCGGGAAGGTGGTATTAGGCGCGGGTGCCCCCGAGCGAGGACGGTTTCGGGAAACCGCCAAGTTTTTTGTTATCACCGCCGCAGACGTGCATCGAAGCGACAGCCACTGCCAGGGGCACCCGGGCACGCCACATCTTGTAACACTCCGACTCGGCTCTCAACAGAGGCGCTAGTGTCCGACGGCACCGCGTTCCTTTCGTGGCATCGAAAAACCAAGGCCAAGATGCTCTCGCCATAACGCAATCTTAGTGTTGTAACCCACTGGGTATGATTCTGCATATCAGTGAAAGCGGGGGATGCACCCTTGACCGTGTACCTGCATCAAAAGAGCCATGGCACATTAAGACTATCTCATTCGCTCGGCAGACACTCTTCCCGATCTGGCCCTTACCTGTGCGAGCTGGGACTTATGTAAGTGGTCTGACGTTGAAGGTGGCACAGAGCATGGGTGCAAGATCTCGGTACGAAACGATCAGTAAGCCCCCGTTAAGTCAGCTCTTCTGTCTTCTCTTGGGCCCAAATAATCTGTTTCCCGGATGCCTGACTTTGCCTGTGCCGCCGGCCGATAGGCGGGGTTTGTCTCATCAGGAGGGGTCGCCTCGACAAGATGAAGAGCATCACCGGGAGCCTGGGTCTAAACAAGTTTGGGGGATTAGTGTGACGGCGCAGCCCTAAGTGTAAACAACATCGGACGGTCGAACAACTAAAAGTGGGATAGCAGCCTGGGCATCTACCCTATCGACCCAATCGGTGTAAATCTGTGCCGTCCTGTACCTTTCTGAGGTCGCCGACGCTTCGCCAGCTCGCCGGATCAGCGGTAGGTGTGTCCTTTGGGTTTTCACGAAGTTCCATCCACCTCCCAGGCTGTAGCTTTCCTTTGCCTCCGGCACGATAAGGGACATTCCCCATATTCTTTCTCCCTCTACCCCCTCCCCCAGTTTTCGGGCCCGCACGCAGAGACCAGCAGCCAATTATGAAGTACACACACCCCATAGCCCCAGACATCAAGGTGTCGAGCTACTGGGAATCCTTGGTCGCCGGGTCCGGACGTTCACGTCCTAAGCCCTCCGGTCCCGTGGGAAAATGCCCCTAATGGCCTCGAATGGCACCAAGCGGGTCGGAAGGCGGTGTCCCGGATGCTCTCAGCCAACGAGTCAGGCCATACCCAGTCCTGACTAAAATAACCCCATCGTTCGTGCGGCGTGTAAGTCCCCAACCGATGCCGGCAATTGGACTGGTAACCCACCATGCGAGAGAACGCTCCGGGCTTCTCGGGAGTGGCTTGTCGGTTGAGCGGCCGGTATATAGACATCCCAGCAACGCTTGGTCCTCGCAGGCTGAGGCACTGTCACGAATCCCAGCACGGAGTTGCCGAACCTGCATTGTTGTCTTACTCCTGGCTCGGCCAGTCCGTATTCATCATGTTTGACTTCGTCGGTTTCATCATCCTTTCCGCTCTTGGGAGCTTCTTTACAGCTCTCGCTGCCTCGCCCAAGAGACAATGGAAGCTCTGGTCCCTCGCGTCAAAGGCTGTCTATGCCAAACCACAGTTCTTCTCTGCTCCCGAGGCGGAGCCACAGTCCGAGGATGCCAAACTCCTCAAAGAGATCAATAACATGGCCGACTGCCATGAGACGGCGGCTCTTCTGGCGGACTTGATTCGCAAGGACGGTGCTGGCTGTTGGCCACCACGAGCCGAGCATGACCACACGGCATGGCCGGCAGCACTCCGCCCCTACCGGGAAATCTACGAGGAGGTGGCGCCTCTGCTACCCACAGAGCATGCCTCGCTCGACGATGAAGTCAACAAAGCACGCATCACCAACTTCCGTTCCCGTCTCCAACAATTGCTCCGTGAACGCATCGATCTCGCCCAAGTAGAAGAACTCCTCCAAGCAGCAGATGCCGGACGATGGGACGTGTTCCCACGAGACACATACAACGCCTTCTACGCCTGCGTCGCCTGGTGTCGACACGCCTACCGGTAAGACAAACCCCCTACCCCCTTACCCCTTTACCCCTTAAAGTTAAACCCGACCCCTAACTCCCTTCCAGATGGGCCACCATCCCCGTCGTCCGCCTCGCGCAACTCGAAAAGACCCTCCCCCTCCCGCAGGAACTCAGCCTCCCCTGGGGCTATCTCCAACACCACTTCGGCCTATCCTCCGAATCCGGCAACAACACCTCCAACCTCGTCCTCAACTTCACCCCCACCGGCACCTACGCCCTGCAAATCAACACCGGCCTGCCCCAGCGCATCACGACCTCGGAAGAAGCCTTCGCGCGCGTCTTCCACGAGGTCGAGGTGCTGGGCCTGCCGGTGTACCACGCGGTGGTGTCCGCCGTGCTGGCGCACGCGCGGGGGGACGTGCTGGGCTGCTTGGTGCATGCGCGCCGTGTGGCTGACCAGCTGCGCCCGCTGCTGAGTAGCTACTACGATAGGGTGCATGATGCGCGGATTGCGCGGTCGGCGTGGCTGTCGCATGTGCAGGGGTTTTATGCGTGGGGGTTGGGGTTGAAGGAGGAGGAGGGGGATGGGGAGGGGGAGGGGCAGGTGGCCCCGGGGGGGAAGGCGGTGGTCAAGTTTGATGGGTTGAGTGGGAACCAGGTGTTGTTGTTTCAGGTGCTGGATGCGTTTTTGGGGATTGAGCCGTACCTGTCGGAGGAGAATCTGAATAGGAACGTGCCGGAGAAGCAGAGGGCGTTTTGCAGGGCTGTGGAGAGGCACTCGTTTCGGAGCCGTCTTGGACATGATGGGGTGGAAGGGCAGATCAGGGCGGAGTTGGGGGAGATTGTGAAGAGGTTGAGGGTGAGTGTTTACTTTTTCTCATTCATTTTCTTTCTTTAATTCATGAGCTAACTCTGCTGTCTAGTTGTTTCGCACAGCTCACAGGTCCCGGGCGAAGGCGTACTTGTCACAGCCTGCCCCTGAACGACTGCCCATGACGGCGGGCAAATCGCTGCTCAAGGAGGACATGGACCAGAGTTTGGAGTACCTGGATGAGTTCATGGTTGGCAGACTGGCTCAAACTGTCTAGGCCGATTAATTTCTTCTTTTGGTCTTCATTGTAACAATACTACGTCGACCCCTTGGTTCGGTAAAAATTAGTGTTCTGACTGCGTCGGAGAGCCCTGTTGTGAGATTAGATGCCACCCCACGTGCATGTATGTTTGAGGCACAGCATACACCAAGGCCACCGGGACAGTGGGACTCGGTGATTGACTAGGATCCTCGGCGGGACATCCTTCTCCTCTCACAACAGACGCCCCACGAGCTGCCCCGGGCCGGGATCGGTGAGTTTAAACCGCTCCCGTCGCGTTGGGTAGCACATGTAACAGCCGCGCCGCCGGTATGCTTGGTTAGCAAGTCCCCCACGACGAAGTCCGAGCCGCGCTTAAGAGTGCGAGCAATCCCGGTCGGCAGACTCAGCGCTTAAACCTGATGAGGGATTCATCCACCAGATGATATGCACGTTGCGACGGAGCAGATATGAATGGTTCTGCATCTGCATGAGGTTGATACTACCATGTGTGTTGCGGGAAACATTCGGGCTCCCCATCGGAGGCCCAGAGAAGGCTCAGTGGTCCGCAATCTCCAGCACGATGCCGCACTGGGTTGTATGTGACAGGCTGAGGCAGTGAGATTCGTTCCGGAGTATCCGGAATATCGATTAGGCCAAGGCCTCTGCCGCCTCTCTCCGCAAGCCAGCCGTTGAATCTTCCCATCCCGCCTTTTGCGGCACCGGTGTTGCGGCGCTGCCTCACATCGGGCACGAGCACCTGCTATGAGCCCCTATCGGGAACACTGGCGGCTGTTCTGGAGGTCTTGCTGACTGTTCACAGCTTTCTCCGCCGCAGATCGTACATGTGATATCTTGAACCTATCGTGCAGTAGTGTCGCCGCTCCACGCCGCTCCGTAACAGGGAATTTTGGCCGATACCAGCGGCGAAGTAACCCATGTGCGCATCGACAAAACTAACTATCCGCCCGATGTTTCCCAATTCCACCGAAAGCCCTTATTCCGCTCATTAGGTAACCGTTAAACCCGAGAACACACCAAGATCGACGTTCCCTTCTCGTTCGGGATAGGGGCGGCACAAGTTACAGTCATGTTAGATGTGTTATTGTTACCTCCGATGCCGTCATGATTCGAGGGAGACGCGTATACTACTCGAAGAGTATTTGTCAGGGGTTAGAAATCAAAGTCGGAAGTTGAGGCTCAGCAAGCGTGGTCTGATGCAATATTGTCACACACACCAAACGCGGGGTTTGGTTAAGGGGATCGGCCGAAAGGGTGGTACTGCACGTCTGTCCCCCTCTCGTGTAATTGCGACTTGCTTCTCGGTTTGATCCTCATAGAGGCGGATGGAACTTTGGATTTGGACCCCGATCGTACCCAAACCAGGGAGCCGGGGGAAGAGCAAATGTGTTGTCTGGTTGCAGTCCCGGGACCATGGTACGTGATGTGCGTTCCTAGGCGTTCAACAGTATGTACATGTTAAGGGGGTTTATTAATTATGTCGTAACCAAGGCAGCTATGGTTGATTCCCAGGCCGCTGTCAGTGCAAGGGGTATAGCAAGAACGACAGAAACCTGTGCCCAACCATATGTCAAGAGACGCCTTCTTAGATGACACTATCTCCCAACACTATCTCCCAAGGTCGTGGTGGCGGCCTTCTGGGTTTTATGTAGCAGCATAATTGATCAATTCAACAGGAAATAAACTGTCGTTGGCCGGTCTTGTAATTAGTTAGTAGCAAACGAAACTCGAGACTCGTACATGTAAAGATGCTAAACGTATTTCTATTTTCATGCCTTTCCCATGATAACAACCCTCTTCCGGTAAACTCGCTTTTCACTGGACCAATTCTTTGGTTCTGATGTGCTCGTGATCTTTGACATCCCTCTTTTTCCCGTAATCGTTGTCTCTGCGTCTCCTAAATCTCGGGCATCACTTGCGTTGGTCTCCCGTACTCCAGCAGGCGCCAGGGCCGCCGACTCGGGCGGCGGGTGACCAAGGAGCCCCAACCCCGAGACAACAGAAGCGACCAACAGATATCCAATGAAAACAAACATACCACTGACCTCTAGCGCAATGTAGAACGTGCTGCGGTGCTTCAGCAGCATTCTGACGCCTCCCACAACGCCCGTTACGGCCAACAGCAGCGCCGGCCGCCCCTGAACCGCACACCTTACACTCCGCCAAAGCAGCGGACCGACCCCGTTGGTCAAGTAATATTTCAACTGCCAAACAACAAGCGGCAGATAAACCCAGTTCCTCTCCAGCACGTCCCTCAGCGCGGCACGTCCAACGCTACCCCCTGTAAGCAGCCTGTAACACGCCACCAGCCACGCGGCCGTGTTCATGCCCCTGGCGAAGGCATATTCCACCGTGACCAGCACCCACAACAAATATCCCACGGCCACCCCCCGCAACAGAACCTCCCTCTGTTTCCTTCCTCGCCCCCTCACCCCATCCATCCCTCCCCGACCACAACCCCAACAACCACCCACCAACACACACCCCGCCCACCCCCCAATCATATCCAATCCCCCCTTCACCACCGCCTCCCACACAACCCTCCCAACCACCCTCCCCATACCCTCCACCCCTCCCATATCATGGGCCACCCCTCCAAACCACACACCCCCTCCAGCAAGCCCAAACATCTCAGCCATAAAGACCTCCGGATTCGACACCGCCAGCCGCAGGCCGTCGAGCGGAGAGACCTGCCATAGGAAGCCGCCTAGCTGGGGGGCGAGGGTGCGGCGGATGTGGTTGAGGGTGGCGGCGATGAGGATGTGGGTTAGTGCGGAACGAGGGGTGGGGAAGGATAGGGCGGTTTGGAGGTATTTGTAATGGGGTGGGGTGGGTATTGAGGGTTTAGCGGTGGTAGAGGTTGGTGACTCGCGGGTTGGGGTTGTGGTCAAGGTGGTTGAGGCGGCGGTGGTGGTGATGCTGTCGGTAGTGGTGCTGATAGTGGTAATGATTTGGACGAGGGAGGCTAGATGTGGGCGGAGGTGGGTGTGGTGAAAGCTGAGAATCGTTCTCGGGAGGAGAGTGAGGCCCAGACGGAACAGACTCGCGATGATGGTTATGGGGAGGGCGGGGGAGGCCATCGCGGCAGGGAATAAAGCAAGGGAGGAAGTGTGGTTGGGGAGGCCGAGGTCGTTGATAGTCGCTATTGGTCCAGTCGTATCGTGAGGAAGAGAGTCTTGAGTCTTGTGAACTATGCGTGCCGTTGGCCATTGAAAGTGAAGTATTCCGTCCTTATGTGTGGCGCCCCGCGATGTTGGTCGAGACATTGCTCCGTGATTTCGGCCTTGTGCCAGCAACGACCCATCCTTTCCAAACCCATCCTCTCCGAGGGGGTCGTCAACCGGCATTGTTCCTTTGTCGTTGAGATCATTCTCAGTGGCGGGCGGCGTGAAACGATCGCTGGGTTGGGGAAATGTCTCGGACCTGTTCGGCGTAGCAGGCGTCCCGAGGCCATGTTCCGATGCTTTCGGTGGACCAACACCCGCATGTCCATTTTGCCTCTGTGACATCGGCATTCTTCCGCTCCCGGGCTGCTGCTAGCATTCGAAGCCTCACCGAACGTTGGAACTGGCCCCTGGAAAGGAGGAATGTCGCCAGAAGCCAGTGTGGTGGCGATGGCCCATCCAGTTCGTGATAATGATGAGAAGCTCAACTGAGGACTATCCCGAGCTATATTCTCAAGAAAAGACCGGTATCCCTGCGCGTGTTCCTCAAACACCGGAGGTGTAAGCAGCACACCCCGGATAACCCCCGCAAGCCACCGCTTGAGACCACTTTACTTCCACTAGGATATGACCTCAACTGAGGTGCCGTCGCGGGGGGTAATTAAATTCTCGATGATCCCCTGAACCCCTGAGCCCCCGACAGTCAGGACGAACAGCCCCAGGGGATGAAAGCCTCTCCAAAGCCGAGAGCGGCTTCCCGGTTAACTTGGACGTCCGACAGTACAAGCTGTGTGGTGTGTCTTTTTGGACCGAGTATAGATCTTTTGAGCACTGCGGCTCCCGTCTACCTTGCGTGGATCGCAACCTCGCCCAGCCCTCCACGCCTAAAGACACAACAAGTTTGGTGCTGAAATGGTGGAACGAGATCGTGTCGGCATATACCGTCTCTCCTAGGCTCGAGATAGCGGTTTCGATGCCCGACAGGGAGCAGTAACCATCCGAGGGGTACACCCCATTGGCCTTGGGTCTCTGAGATTCTCGGTCATGTGCATTTGGCATTGCCAATTGCCAGGTGCGATGTCTGGCTGCAGTCGCGCATGCGGATCCTTGTTACCACGAGCATCGGTTTCGTAACGGAATCGGATTTCCGCTGGCGGATGCCCAAGATTCTGGGCATTCTCCAATTCCTTGGTCCGCAACACAACCTCGGAACCCTAAAGGTTCGTGAATCCGGAGTGGCCCCCGGCAGGCAGCCACGTCGGCGCCACGCGGACCAGAGAAGGCGATGTGATGAAGATCCGGCTGACTTCCGGACTCGTTTCGTGCTTCCGGGGAACAAGCTTTGCAGGAAGCGTCCCCGAGGGCGACTACCGATAAGGAGGAGTGTGCAACCCGCTAGGCCGAACGCGGCGCCTCGGATCTCGGCGAGCCGTTGTCAGATGTCGATCACAACCGTTGGCTGGGGGGAGGCGCTTCGGGCCGGGCGTCGTGGGATTGGCCGGACATTACCGACTGAAGAGCGTTCAACCCAGGTCTGGCGCGCGAATGGTACGGCCGGTCGAAAGGAGAGAGGAAAGAGACGGAAGGGTAGTGTGCGGCGTCACATGGGGGTGAAAGGGGTTAGGAGTAGTAGTAGTCGCTTACTCGATCCAGGGAGGAGATCGGCCAGGTGTTCTTTGACTCGACACCCAGGACCTGTGCACTGGAACCATATCACACAAATTGGTTATTAATTTGTCTTGTCACGCTCGTGCCCAGATCGACCACGGCATTCAGCCTGAGTTGGGGTTGAGATCGCCGGGGGGAAGGGAGGTTAAGGAGGGTTAGGGTATGATTCAGGGGCAGAGTTCATCCAAGAATGAGCATCACCATCATCGTCATGCAGACTCAATATTTCCTGAAGCGTCTGCCGCCAAGGCAGGCAGGCGCACTTCTCGTTTCTACACTCCAATGCTCAAACGCAAGCTGCAACATGCTCAATAAATCCAACTCAAAAACCGCAGTATGCCATGGGGCATGGCCCGTGTAAAATGTGACCCCTCTGTGGCCCGGAATGATGCACACTCCAGTAAGGTAAACGATAACCCTCCTCTTCTCTCCATCCGAAAAACGCACCAGGGGTATGACGTCGCCTCTATAACACCCTGTAAACAAGATCCAAAAAACGAAGAATCCCTTCCATCTCCAACCCAACAAACAAAGTAGGCTGTTCAAAAAGTTTCCATAGATGCCACCTCAAATCAGGCCGGGTCAACTCCTCCCCTTCCCCTTCGACTCCCTCGGCGGCGTGGGGGGATCCACCGGGTTCAACAGCCTCTCCACCTTGACCTTGCTGCGCTTGCTCCCATTCCCGTTCCGCTTGGCCATGTAAAAGTCGTACCTGTCCGGAAACAGAATAATATTCGCCAGACGAGCAACCTCGGCCTCGGCGCGCGTCATGGACGACGAGCTACCGCTCTCATCACCCTCAGCCTCCCCACCACGACCCGCCCCATTCAGCGTCCCATCGCCAGCAGGCAACTGATCTGCGGCAGCCGTAGCCGGCGGGGTGGGCGCGACGTCGAACGGCGCGAGGCCCATGGCCTGCAAACCCGCAGGCCCACCGACCTCGGCGATGTCGTTGTCGGTGGGGCGGCCGATGTGGGTGGCCTCGGAGCCGAGACCACTGCCGGTGGAGTCGAAGTCGGGACCCGGGTGGCCGCGCTGGAAGGTCTTGCGCTGGCGGGCGAGGTAGAGCGCGTTGGTCTGGGTCAGCGGGGCGGCGGGCACGTAGACCAGGATGGAGACGGGCGGGCCGGAGGGCTCCTCGCCTTCGGCCATGGGCGGTGGGGTCGGCGCGCGGCTGGCCATGACGTTGGGGTTCGAGGTCATGTGGTAGGCCAGGTCCGGGTGCCAGACGATGTAGTCGCCCGTCTGGAGGGTGGGGATGGTCTGGAGGGTGCGGCGGAGGTGGAGGTGAGGGTGCCAGGTCTCGGTCAAACGCTGAGCGTGGCCCGGGACGGCGCCGTGGATAATAGTGGACTGGTCCTTCTCCAGCTCCCAGTTGGAGGGGTCCAGGAAGGCGTCCCATTCGGGGCCGTCGCGGCGCTCCGGGGCCTTGGTCTTGGGGGCGAAGAAGGGGCGGAGGAGGAAGTAGGCGGTGGCGAGCTTGGGGCTCGGGAGCAAGCGGATCAGGCCCGGCTCGATGGTGCTGAGGGCCACGACACCCTGGTACATGCGGAAAATGCTGCATGCACCGTAGCCGTTGTAGAGGTCGGACGTGGCAGTCACGCGGTGGGTGGGATCCCAGGGATCGTACTTTTCCCACTCACCCCTAAACACGGCATCGTAGGTGCCGTCGCGGCCGTATCCATCCGGCTCCCAGCGCTCAAGACTGCCGTTGTCGACCTGCGCAATTATGGTCGACGAGGTAAAGTCGCCCAGCAGGTCGGCGGCGGCCTTTTGCGCCTCCAATTCCTCGTCCAACTCAATGTCATCCGGCAACTCGTCGGCCTCCTTGGCCTTATTAGCCGCAGCGGCGTCGGGGCCCACATTGCCAATATCGGCGCCGTGAATGCGCAGACGATCTCCGTATGCGATGGGAAACCGGAGGGCCATGCGATCGTCGACCTTGTTATCCCACAGGGACATGGCGAATCGCTGGGCCTCGAGAACCCGGGGGTGCGCGCGCGTGCGCACCTGGGCAGGGGTCCAGAAAAAGTCGAAACATGTCGGATCTTGCGGCGACGGTTGCTTGAAGTCGGTCTGTTTCTCGAGGTACTTGACAGTCTCGTCGATGGCGACCTGTGCATCGGCGCGGGGTACGACCCCACGCACCAGGCCTAGACCATAGCGCTTCAGGTCGCGTGAGAAGGCGGCCCGGGCGTCCGGGTTGTGGATATCGCCGAAATCGATACTTGGCGTTAAACTGGAGCCACGCGAGGCAATGTCGTCAACATCGTCGCGCAGTGCCTTGATCAGACGCGCCCACGACGCCTCGAGCTCTGCCTCGTGGCCGGCAACAAGACTGCGCTTGATCTGGCCGAAGCGCGAGGGCAGCGGCACGGGCTCCTTGCCGTAAAACGAAAGCACGGGAGGTTCCATGGCGGCGCTGCTGCTGCCGGTGTTGTCGCCAGGATCCGAGGCCGACGACAAGGCGTACGGCGGCGTCGAGCTGGTGGTGGGGTATGGGGAAAAAGTAACAGAATTAACGGCGGCGGCATTTGGTTGTTGGGCGGTGCTTCCAGTTAAAGCAGCGGCCGCACGGTGCCTTAGTTTGGAGATCCTGCGGGGTCGTGGCTGCAAGGGCGGCGGAGCGGCGCTGAGGCTTCCGTTGGCGGGAACTGGAATTGATGAATTTGGGGAGGGGGACTGGGCCTGGGACTGGGCCTGGGAGCCGGACTGGGAAGGACCGGATGTGGAGGTGGGCTGTTGGAGTCCCTGCTGGTGCGGAAGGTGGTGGCAGGCTGTGCGCCGTCGCCCGCATTGGCTGCACCGCGACCGTGGCTCAAGACCCCTGTCATTAAGACCATTCGCGCTATGGTTGCTGCCAACTGTTGCCAACAGGTTGGCGCTGACAATCGTTGTTACTGCTGCTGCTGCCGTTGCTGCTGTTGCTGCAGCTGATGTTGTTGTGTGAGAATGCGGGTATTGGTGCGGGTGTTGTTGGTGTTGTTGAGGTTGATGATGTTGATGATGATGTTGTTGCTGTGGTGGTTGGTAAAGATGATGATGGTTCAAGTGTGAAGAAGTTGGTGTTTGTTTTATCCCTGTCGTTGCACTCGTCGAAGTTCCTCCCATGACCACGTCTATCGCCGCTGCTGCTGCTGCTGCCGCTGCTGCAGATGACGCCCTCGTCGATACCGTTACGGCGGCGCCGCTTGTTGAGCCTGTCATCCTGACCCCGTAACCATCGAGACCTTTTAAAGCTTGCTGGGCCGTGCCGCATCGGGGGTGGTGTGCGTCCTCGGTGGAAGGGTGCGCTGCGCTTTTACAGGCTGCTCGGAGCTTCCAGGGCAGAACCTCGGCCGGATCCTCCAGTCGGTCTGGTCCCCCCTCCCGTTGCTGTCCCAGTTGGTGGTGGTGATGGATGGCTCGTCCTCCTCTTTCTCGGCGGTGATTTGACCTCTTCTTGCAGGAGTTTGGTGAGGAACAGATGGGCACGCGCCCTTGATAAGGTGATCAGGTGTGGGTGTGACCCAATGGCCCCAAGTAGGTAGCAAAGCCGAGCAGCAAGCAAGCAGCACCTCACATCCCACACAACAGAGATAGATAGTCCAGGCCTTTGGATGTCGGCCCAGCCAAGGCGTCGGAACGGCGAAGGGCATCAATATAAAGGGTGTCCCGAGCTATCATCTCTTTTAGGCAGAATGCGAGACAGCTGCCCGCACGCCGCACCGGAACCGCTAAGCATTCTCGCCAACGATGCCCGCAGTTTCTCCGACGGGAGGGTCGAGGGTCTAGACGAAGGGGGCGACGAAGGGCGGGCGAGCAAGGGCTCGGCGCATCAGTCTCCGCGCGCCAGGCCCAACCGTTGGCAGCTGGGACGGGCACACGGGATATTCCCTCTCCCTCTGGGCCATCTCTCGGGATTACTGTGGACAACGCGGCGGGTGGGTGCGGGATCCGGGAAACAGGTCAGACCCTTGTTCTAGTTCTGGCTGCTTGGATATGGCGCCCGTAAGGGCCGCTGAACCGTCGGTGGCCCACGGCTCTGTCATGCCAGGCCATGCCCGCCATGCCATTGAGGCGGCAGACGGCAGACGGCAGACGCCAGACGGAAACGTGGGAGCTTGCCCCAGCACCGAGCATCAGCACCCAGTCCAGCATCAGCATCCAACATCATCACTGCACATCCAAACTCCAAAACAACGCCAAAGAACCCCCCTCCCCCCACTGGACAGCGAATCGCAGATACCTAACCAGGGTGCAACAGGGTGCACCGGGATGCTCAGGACCCAGCAGGGCGCACCCTGCTGTGTCATGCGCTGCATCCGCTGCCGGGAAAGATTCGGTATTTGCGGGGGGGATTATCGCTTTGCGGCGCAAGGCATTGGGTGGGAGTGGGATGTCCTTGGATGGCAGTGGATGGCATTGGATTGTGTGTTCCAGTCTGGGTGTCTGGCTTTGCACCATTCGACGTCAATCCCACACAGTCTCGGCGGAGAATGCGGCTAGCCTCTGGGTGGTTCCCGGGGGCTGTCAAGGGACGCCCATCCGGTGCAATTTGGGAATCTGGACCATGCGAGAAACCCTCCAACTGGCCCAATTGGCCCCGATCGCCTTCAGTGGGGCGTTCGTCGGAACCACAACTCCGCAACTCCTGAAAGAAGTGGCACCCGCCAGCCGCGTTGCGGCCCGCGATTCCAAGGCTCGGGCGGGAACCCGAGGAGGGCTTGCCACTGGCTCGCCCACACCTGCAAATTCGCCGTGATTCGCCTATCGTGTTAGCGCCTTCCCGGGGACGCACAGCAGCACAGCAGCAAACAGCCTCATCGAACAAATCCCAGCGTGGAAGTCGCCATGCCCGCGATCTCCAGGAGCCAGGCCTGGGATCTGGAAGTCCAGGACCCGGCCATCAGCCTGATCCCGCCCGCACTTGCCGTGCGAGGTTCTTCTACCTTATCGAACAAAACTGGTTTCGCCGCCTATCCGGGCCCAACAATGAGCTTCCTTCAGCCGCTTCAGATTTTGCCCGTCCCTTTCGCTGCGATCAGCACAATCACTGGCAGGTCCTTCCCAGGGTCCTGCATCAACCCCGGCCTTGGCAGTGACCACCCCCCGGATTACTCCTTCCACCGCTTCGGTCAGCGCCGCCCCATTGCCCCACGCAGCCCTGATCTTGCTCACGGCATATTTCCGACGTTTAGCCGTACCCACTGCTCGCTTCCAGGAAGGCAACCACGAACGACCACGAACGACAACGAAGGAAACCGGGAGATGTCACATGCCCCTGCTTTTTCGGCTTGATGAGGAAAGAAAGAAATAAGGCTAGCCAGGGGTCGGGACCGAGATCTGAGGTGCGTGCTGCTTGCCCGGGATAAGGCCCCACGACTCCGATGAAACGTTTCAAGCGGCCAGTGGGCCGAAGCCCGGAGGACGTCATGTTGGTCCATTTGGGCCTGGAAGTCACTCATAACACCCACACGCACACACACGGCAGGAGGACACATCAACAATTCTCCTTCGTCCCGAGAGCCGCCATGAGGCTGAAATCTCTATCGATTGGCTTTTTTTCTTTTTTTTTCTTTTCTTTTCTGCTTTTCTTCCCCTTCACCCATGTCAGTGATTAAAATTACCAATCGCCCATGATGCAACCAACAATCGAATAACACCGGACAACCTAAGTAACGGCCGTTGCGGCTCCGGTATGTGAGACAGCATCCAGCCTTTCCCGTCCTGGATTCACAGGCTATTCCCAAAACCGTCATCAAAACCTCGGAGGCCTAAAGACGCCACCGAGCGAGTTGGGCGACGACCTCGGGAGTCTTGTCTCACCATCTTCACTGCCCAACCGGCACGGTAAGCGAAACCACCCGCTGCGGGTAACCGCCTCGGAATAGACCTCGGCCGGTTCGGAGTGTGTTGTTCTTATCCTCCTCATCCCTCATCGGCTTGCCGGAGCAGACAACCAGTCTCGAGATGGGAGCCTAGGAGGAGCTCACCGTTTTCCAGACAACTCCCCACAAGCAAGCTCATCCCACACACTACTCCAAACTCACGGCACCATCATCCCGCCGCCCGGGACGCCCCGTGACCCCGCGTGCTCCGTGTCGGAGATGGTGACATCGATCTGCAAGCTCCTCCTCGCCTGGATAAGCTTGGAGGAGGGCCCAGGGTTGGTCAGAAACTCGCTTGTCTTCCGCCCGCGTCAGGGCAGAGCGGCAGGGCGGCAGGCCAAGGGCACCAAAACCCGTAGACTGTATGTAAAACAACGTTTGTCGTGCCATTATCATGTGCGCCTCGCAGCTAGTCCACAGTTCGGAGCCGTACGCGTAGTCCCCCTTTCCTTTCCCGCCTCCCCCCCCACGGAAGGGAGAGGTCACACCTGCGGCCACAGGGCCGAATCTGGAATAAGTCGGGTCCTACCTTGGGAGTCGGGTCCCTTCTCTGCATCAGTCTGCTCGACCCGGTCGCGAGCTCGGCGGGTGTTTGGCTCCGTGGTGTCCCGGTTCGTGGGTTTTGGGGCTCCCGTGGCAGCAGGCAGCGCGCCACGTTTGCCGAGATTATTTGCCGCTGTTATTGTGCCAAAACAGCCCGTTTCTCGCCCGAGTGAGTACCACCATATGCGTCGGGGTTGCGACGCTGGACGCCCCGGCCCAAAAATAGCTGACCGCCCTTGGCTGGCTGGTGTTTCTTTGTGCGGCCCGAGGCACGCCAACGCGCGATGGGTTGCAAAAGAGGGAGGACTGCTTCATTGTCATCGAGTGTGTTGGGTACTATTCGCTTATCTTGCGCCCAATCCGCCGCGTCGGACCAAGGGCTTTGCCCTCTCTCTCGCAGGAAGTGACCGCTTACCTATCCAGCAGCAGCAGTGCATCACCGCCGCAAGCGAAGCCTCTTTCACGTAATCTGTACTCTCGCCGGCCAATAACAAGGACAGCAACCTTTGTCGATACAAGCTAGCGAGGGTTGATAATTTGGTACCGTCCTACCGGTGACTCCAATAGTCACTAGTAGTCTGCCCAGTAGGTTACTTCGTGACGCATATACACAGACATCCGAAGGCCAGAAAGGAAGGAGGTAAACATCTTGTGATATCAGACCTGTAAAATAAAAGAATTCATGGAATTCTTCGCTCAAAACTAGAACTAATCCAACATGGTCAGGAGGTATGCTAATCCTTCCAAATCAAGAGGACCAAAACTTCTTTGCATTGCTGTAGCTATCCGGCCAGAGACTAATTAATATGCCAATGTCGACGATGGCAACAAACAGCCTTTGTCACATCAGCCTACATTCGGCATTTGCTTGCCTAATCTCTCAGTATCGACTTGTTGGATTGGGATTGCCTTCGTTTGTCTCTGGGCCGTGCTCCATTCGAAATTTTCCAAGTTCTCTTCGCAAACTGAATTCTCTAATCTCCTCCCCCAAGCCTTGAAGATACTTGACGGCAGCAGCAGCTCGACACCGACTTTTACACAAATAAGTTTTCTACCCCAAAGAATTGAAACTTGTGCGTTTTTCAGCACAACAAGTAAAGAAGAGGCCAGAAAGTGAGAGGTTAATGGCTCGCCAGGTTCGCATGGATAGGCCCCTCGTACTCCGGGTTGCGGATGTCCTCGGTCAGGACAGTACCGTTGCTGAAGACTGTCCCGTTCCTCAAGATCTCGGGCTTGCCCACGTGAAGGGTCGGTGGCGGGTTGTCGATGGTTGTGCCGTTGGCAAAGATGATGCCGTTCCACGACGACACGAGCGGGTTATTGGGCTGCGGCGCCGCCGTGAAGGCGCTGGCGCTCCGCTTGGGCAGCAGCACGGCGATGGCTTGCAAGCTGTAGGAAAAGGTCGACGTCAATATGTCGGGCGTGGTGAGCCACTGGGACACGAGCACGTCGCTGCGCGCCTCCGCCCACCTGTTCACGTTAAACTCGGCCACGGCCTTGGTGTCCTCTTTGTTGGGCCAGCCGTCGGACCACGGGAGATCTCTACGATTGTAGATGCCGTCCGATCGCGCCACTCGGTCCGCCTCGGCGATATTGCTCAGGTGCGCCGTGTTGAGGAAGATGAACACGCACCCCTTGCCGCCGTTGGACGACATAAGACTGCCGACGGTCCGGTCGGCGAGAACCTTCTCGGTCAAGCCGAGCTTGCTCTCGGTGAGGATGTTGCCGCACCGGTTGTTGATTCTGCGCAGCTTGTCGAAGAACTCGTCCTTTTGCTTCGTCTCCCAGTAGATGGGGCCCAGGCTGGGCACCTTACGGATGCCGATGAGGTAACGGAACTGTAAGATGATGACCTCGCCGGGGTTCTCGCTCGTGAATTTGTTGATGTTGTCCACCACTTCGTCCAAGTGCTCGCCCGACTGCCCGATAGCCATTTCGGCCCTCTCGTCGTTGATGTGTGTCGTCCAGAACTCGTAGTCATCGCAACACTTGGGCGCCACCTGGTGCACCGTCTGCACGCGGAGGTCGAACCACCGCGCGCCCATCCGCAGCTGGCCGTACGTGCTCAGCCCCTGCGTTTGCGTGTTGGACGAGGTCGCCCCCGTCAGGATGGCCCCCGTGAGCTTGCTCATGCCCGAGTCGTGCGAGCCCGGCATCACCAAGTGCCGCAGGGGCCGGTCCTTGATGACCTCCTTGAGGGCGTTCATCCAGTTGCCCGGCCCGAAAGTCAGCCACGTGATGAAGCCGTAGTCGTTGCTGCCCGTGATGACCAGCGTCACCGACGTCTCCTGCTCCAGCACCTTGTACTCGCCCTGGCCCTTGCCCATGCCGGTCAGGTCGAACACGACACGCCGCGGGTACGTGTCGGGGATGTGCGTCGTCGCCCGCACCTGGAACTCCTTGCCCGTGTCGCCGATCCTGTAGTAGGCCTCGCCGTTGGTGTCGACCGGGTTCGCGTCTACCCGTCCTGTCTGCTCGGCCATGTTCTGCCTGGACTTGCCGGGTGGAATCGAGTCCCAATCTCACCCGTCCATCTGGTATTGGTGAGTCGACTCGAGGATGAAGGGGTGTGGGGTCAAGTTGACGATGGTGATGTACTCGCGTGTCGTCGTCGCCGCGTACTCGGGCTCCATCAGGAGCCAGCGCATGTACTCGCCCTCGCGCGAAGGCCGTGTACTGCTGTAGGTCATGTCGTCCGGCGAGCACTTTCCCTCGTCCGGAATGCTGCCGCTGCCGTCGCCGTTCAAATCGCCGAGGTGGATAGCCAGATACAGGACAACGCCCCTGTTGTACCAGCCGGCGTAGTCAGTGTTGGTCCTGGAGCTCCGAGGCGAGCGCGCGGTGCTGGTCGTTGATGGCGGCGACGTTTCCCGGGTTCGCCGTGTTGGGGATGAGGGTCGACAGCACGACGCACACATTGGGCACCGTCGCGAAGATGTACTCGATCATGGCCCGCATACGGTCCCTGGTCGTCGACACGTAGTAGTCCTGCGTCGCGTCGTTGGTCCCCGCGTTGATAAGCACCACGTTGGGCTTGTAGAGCGGCACCACGGTGCGCGCCCTGTCGTCGACCTGCTCGACGCGGTAGCCCGGCCAGCCCTCCACGTCCTGGAGTAAAGAACGCATCAGCCGTCGCATATTCATTGTGTGAAAAAATGAAGGAAATAATAAAACACAAACCCTATCATTCATCGTGCCGCCACTCCGGCTGCCCACCATGTTGACGTTCCAGCCATCGAACCGGAGCTGGTCACGCAGGTGTTTGCGGTATCCATTACCGTCTGTCGAGCCTTGGCCCCATGTGATGGAGGCGCCCAGGGGGGGAATGCGCAGGTAGAAGGTGCCGTCACGCGCAGACAAAGAGGCCGTGGAGTTCTTGTGACCATGTACAGGTAGGTAGGCGAATGCGGCGGTGATGTGACAAAGCATTAGTAGTAGGAGGCTTGTCAACCACCACCCTCTGGACGTTAGGGACGCCAAGCTTGTCTTGACGCCGTTCATGTCGTGTGTGCGGCAAGTAAAACGAACGAGAATAATTTGCCTCTAGGGCAGTCTCAACGCTGGATGGGGATACGAGTAAAACAGCTGTGCGCGTGCGTTGTGCCCCCTCCCTTTATACCTGTCCCCTGTTACCTACTTGGCTCATCGCCGCAAGGCTTAGTTCAGCTAGGAGGTATCAGTTGGTCGGTCTGGCAAGATTATTGCCGGCCCCGTCTGACTGCGGACCAACATGCCTTGACGTTGAGCCGCCCAACAGACGTGAACGCCGGGCCCCACGACGTGATTGAGCAGTGTGCGACCAATATCTCATGCATCTAGTCGCCAGCCTTGTGTATATCCCCCCAGTGACTCAGGGCACAAGGCTTAAGCATGCTCCCGGTTGGCCACAGGAAATGGGAATGAGCCAGGCGGCTGATCCGATATATTGAACAGTGTGGCAGCGATATGCCGTTGGCTGAAGAAGTTGAGGCATGGCCGTTCGGGACGGCCAACAACGGGACCGAAGTTGCTCTTGTTGGTTCGGCCAGTCCAGAAGCGAGTGCTCCTTGAATCTGTCGGCAATGGCTGTCTGATAGACCTGGAACGCCGTGGTCTGCAACACTTTTGCACCTGGGTTTTCCACCGATACCCGCGGTTAAAGTGTCAAGGCGACCAAATTCAATATAAGACGATACCAGCCATCGCTAAGCTCACACCACGATGCTAGCTGCCGCTGCTGTTACCATGAATCTCGGTCCGGTGCCGCCTGGCTGGGCCAGCTTCGGCCTTGATCCCCCCAAAAAGAAACGAGAGAGCTCATCCTTCGTTCTGATTACGCCCAACATTATGACTGGGTCTAGGCCTTTGCAGATACCACTAGCGCCAACGACCCGCAACGGCCCCCAACGGCCATTGCCAAGACGCAAGAGACCAAATAACGTATGTTAGGTATGCAGTTGTGCGCTCCGCCCCTCCCTAAGAGGTAGCCTGTTGCCGAATACAGCGAGGGAACTTAAAAGGCGAAGGTCGCCGCCCCAAGCGAGCCTGGGCAACCTGCTGCCTTGGTCAGCCACCTCATGACCATTTCCTAACATACACAAAACTGGCAAGCTGGTACCCTGTAACACGCCGCCATGTCGTCCAGCTCGCCGTCCGCCGTGGCGACGGCACTCCTCGCCTTCACCACGCCCTTCGTGGTGCCGCCAGGCTGCCCCATCTTCAGAACCACCAGCGTCGACATATCAACAGACTATATTATCGCCGTTGCCACAGTCCTCGTTGCAGACGACTCCTCATGTATGCCCGATGGCTGGGCCGATGTCGTCCCGGAGAGCCTGTTGAGGTTCAACCCCGGCGTATGCCCCAGTGGCTGGGTCTACCACGACATTGCCGACGGCGACGCAACGGACAAGTTCACGGCCTACTGCTGCGACCGGTGCGCCCCCCTTGCTTCCCTGATCCCTTAACCCGATGCGCCCATGCTGATAAGCTGACAATCGCATATAGCGGCTACGAGTTTCACTACTTTAAACATAGAACACTTATCCAGTCCAAGATCCCCCACGCGTGCGGCCGCTGGACCTCCAGGCTGGACTCGGACTTAGGCTCCGACACCGCTACCATTACCAGCGTCGACATTGCCAGCAGCACCCTCCTTGTTCACAATGCCTGGGCCCTTACCTGGTCCGCCTCCGATATCACCAACCTTACCCCCCAGCCGCCTTCCATCACCCATCGTATGCTGGTGCCGACGTGGACCCCTGGCGACGTTATCCCGCCCGGAAAGTACGACCGCGAGTCCCCCTCGGGTCCCAACAGAAACAACTTCCTTGACGTAAACGCCCAGTGGTTCCTGATAGTGGGTATGCCCATCATCGGTGCCCTCTTGATCAGCTCGTGTGTCTACTGTTGTGTGCGGGGGAGCAAGAATAAGAAGAAGAAGAGGGAGAGGGCGCGTCTGGCGGCTGCTGCCCGTGCCACAGCCGAAGCAGAAGGGGTGCCGGACGCGACGTGAGATGGAACCATGCACTCAGTCATGCTGTGATACCTCCGTAGTGCGATTTAATACCTCATGTGCCGTTGAGAGGGCGTTAGCCCCAGTGGTCGTATGTGATTGTCGAGTGTGGTTGTTGTCATTAAAAGGGAGTGTATGCTTGGGGCGCTGTCGGCTTCGACGTCCCGGATTGCCTCACAACCCCGGGCCCCGTTGGCGGCCCGCAACACTAATCACATGCAGGTCGTTGTATCAGCCGGAGCTATTGTGTTGTTCTTAACGGCTCAGGCTACCTTAGTTACATTAATATTGCTGTCCATTTTCAGTCGCCACTTTTCAGCCATCAACTATGGCTACCTAAGTACGGAATGCGTAGGTACCCCTTTTCTGTTCTCTCCTCCCTTTCTCGACTCGACCTCGATCAAGGATAACAACAACCCCCGCCCCCCCCGACTGAGTACCCCATCAAACCCCAGGCCCTTCACTCCTATGGATGTCCATCACCGCCATCAAACCCAATCCCCATGTTCCCTACTCATATGATCATAGCACGCTTGACCAGCCCCAAAGGTAGCCATACACACCCAACAAATATGCGTCCTGCACCCAGGACAAGTCATATGGTTACAACCATACGTCTTCTCAATCGCCGTCTTGCACCCCGGACAATCCTTAACCCCCAACTCCTTCTTAATCCTCTCCAACGCCTCATACCCCCCCGACACAATATCCTTGTGCTCAGCGCACGAGATACCCGGATGCGCGCTATGACAAGCAGTGCACGTCGCGGCCAGGCACTTGGTGCAGGTGAACGTGGCGGCGGCGGCAGCACTCGCACCCGATGGCGTGCTGGCGCGGTAGACCTGGTCGCAGTCCGGGGTCGGGCAGTAGCGGAAGTTGGCCGGGTGGCGGCGGACGTGGGAGGCGAAGGAGGCTTCGAGGACGGCCTCGAAGGTGGCGGAGGAGAGGAGGTCCTGGAGCTCTGCGAGGGGCAGCGTCTTCTCGCAGCGGCCGAGGTCGCCGAAGCAGGAGATGCGGAAGGCGGTGGTGCCGGAGCTCGGGGCCTGGCAGAGGTTGAGGAAGCAGTCGGCGCAGTAGACGTGGTTGCAGGAGGTGCGCACTGGTTCGTCGGCTTCGTTCCAGCATACCGAGCAGGCCGTGTCTGTGTCTGTGTCTGGGGTTGGGGTGATGGGGCCGGTTTGTTTGGCCGCGACGATGGCCATGGCCGCGGTGAGGTCTGCCTTGGACCCTTCGATGAGGATGCGCTTGGGGGTTGAGGCGATGTCAAAGGTTGCCTTGTTGCCGCCGAGATGTGATGCGAGTGCCTTGAACCCGCCCTTGCAAGCCCATCGGAATCCGTCCGAGTCCAGCTCAATAACATGGCTGTCGGAGACGACGTTCCGTAACAAAAGTTCGAGAGCTTTTGTAGCGCGCCTGTTGGACGCTTCTGGGCCATATAGCCGGAGTTGCGATTTGCGCCTATCGCGGACGATGACGACGCCATAATCCTGCTCCACTTGCTTAAGACTCTGGTATCCCTCGCCATTTCTTCCGAAGCTAGCATTCCACAGATCCTTGCCATCCTTCGTTGCCACCTCCCCGCCAACGATGTGGTCGAGCGTTTTCTTGGCTTGTGCCAGCTTCGCACTGTCCTCACCCTCGAGTTTCAACACGCGGTATCCGTTATGAGGGGGATATGCAACGAAATGAAGGCACTGGCCCTCCCAGATAAGCGTCTGTAACCCGATCCGCTCGCTCAAGGCAAGGTATATCCGAGTCGATACTTTGAACTTGGCCGTTGTCATGAGTTGGGTCGTCAGTTTGGTCGTGGCGCTAAACGGTAATAGCTTGTTGTTGAGCGCGGACGCCGCATCTCTCGCGTGGGCTTCCTCGAAGAAGCGTGCCTGGGCCTTGATGCGTTTGCCCTTATTGTTGTTGGATACCTCCCACCACTCCAAGGGTCCAAACCGGGACAGCATCGCCTTAACAGCCATGGCGGCGAGGTCCACGCCGAGGTCGTAGGTCGGTTTTGTCATCGCCACGGAGCGCGGACAGTTGAACTCTGGGATGGCTTGGTAGATGTCTCCCTCCGTAGTGGTGCCGGGCACGTCCGTCAACATCACAGTCCAAGCCGGGGGGTTCCGAGCCATCACAGTCCAGGCCGAGGGGTTCCGAGCATTCGTCTTGCCCTTCGGCGGATTAGCTTTCACGGTGCGGTCAAGTATCTTGTAGGTCCCGGCGTTGAACTTGTCGTAGACTTTCCGTGCCATGTTCTCGGATCTGAAGTTAAGCCACACAGCACGGGTTGGTCGGTGCCAAGAACAGTGAAGCCTCCTGCGGTCGACTCTGTGCAGGCTGGATCCTCGTGGCGTCGGGACGGGGATAGGGACGGCTTCGACGTGTGAGCCAGCGGCCCCAGCACGCAGCTTGGTACACGCTGTCGCCGCAAAGGTCGGATCCTCGACCGTGATATCGGCGCTGCAGGTGGCCGACTCCGGGTGCGGTACAACCCGCACATTCTCCGCCGAAACCGTCACGGCCATGCCCGCAAACAAGGCGGCCACAGACGCGGGGGAGCTGGCCTCCGGGAGGTTGCTCAGACGGATGGCGGAGAAGTCGGAGTGGCAAGAAATCTTTGCCACAACCGCGCCGTCATCGAAGTGGGCCAGCGCCCCGGCGAGCTCGCGGGACCAGTCGTCGTGGGAGGGCTCCTCCTGTGGGGAAATAACAAGTCAGTTGCGAGGCAAGCAAAAGGGTATCTACAGAGGAGGGCGGCATACTTTGAATGCATGCTCTTCCACTACCTGCTCCGCGTCTTCTTTTCCATCCTCAGGCTTGAACTCCGTCTCTGAGTGCGCAAACGGACAGGCGGCCCCGCTCCTGCAAGCACCTCTTGCAAAGAATTGACAGGGGATCTGGGCCCGTGAATCGACAGGAGGGGGTGGCACAGGCAGAGGGTTACCCGATGTTGATGGCTTGGGCGACTCGGGTAACTTGGGCGGCTTGTCGTGGGCGTAAAAGCAAGAGTCTCCTCTTGCACAATGGCCGGCAGCAAAGAATCGACAAGGCAACTTCCCACTCGAACTTGGCCGAGATGTTGAGGGATTGCCGTGGCCCTCATGTGCGAACTGACAGGCATTGCCTTTCGAGCACAACCCACGGGCATAAAAATGACATGGGCCTCGAGACGTCCCTTGGTCCGGTTTGGTGTTTTGTCGATAAGCCATGATGATGTTGGTGAGGTGTATTTAGATGTTGGGAGGTTTCCTGGTGGTGCTAATATGGAGCTGTAAATATGTGGTAGATGTGGGAAACTTTTTAGTGCTATGTTTTTGATGCTGTGTGTGTGCGTGGTAAATGCCCGCCGGGAAGTTTGTGGCCCAGGCTTTGCGGGACAGATGACGGAACGTCATTTTTCGTCCATGAGAGTTGTACGGGACGTCAGGCATACATGTCGTCAGGCAGAAGTCAAGTGATTGGATCAAGGCTCAACCATCCGTTGGTTCGGTGGTCACACAGCCTACTGCAGTTTTGCGCGTCTACTGTGTGGAATGGCAGCCTACTGAGGTTAGTACTTTTCTCCCAACACTTCTTTAGATGCTGCTACTCTGGAACGTTTCAGTCAAGCAGGAAAGGTACCTAGATGGTCCCGGATCGCAATACGATGACCAGGTCTGCATCGAGCAGAGACAGCTGATGTACTGCCGGCAATGCTTTGATCTTTTGGGCATCTCGACGAGAAAGGCGTCCTATTCAAGATCATCGTGTCTCCCTGATTTTATCCCAGCACTAATCTAACCCACCCCAAATACACGTGCACCCTTTGAACTTTCCCCCACACCTATTTCCTTATGCGTACCCATTCGCCACAAGCCAGGCCCTTACGCCCTCGGTGTCCCTTCCCTTGTAGGCGACCCGCCCCCGAATTTTGTCCTTGACCTGCTCCAACGTGCGATCAAAGCCCTTGGTGCTAACACCGCCAGGGCCAAAGAAGCGCTCAATATCGGCCAGGCTCTCGGCATCGGTAAACCTCGGCAGGCTGACATTCACCATGCGGTCCACCAAGATCGGGTTCCCGCCCAGTTTGGTGCCGACTTGGTCCCAGTGATCACGTAGGAATGCCCATAGTAGCGGGCGGCCGGTGCGGTTTGTAGACAGCACGCCTGCAAGAATGTGCATGTCGCCGGGCGGGATGGCATCGGTGGCGGCCGCGGGCGGGGAGGTGCTGAAGAGGAAGGGAAGAAGGGTGGTCTTGATGATGGACTCGTCATCAGTGTGCCCGAGGGCTTGGAGGCAGATCTCCTTGCCGTCAATGGCGGGCGTGGTGAACCACTCGTGTTTGAGGGCAGCGACGGCAGCGGAGGGGTCTTTGAGGATGGCCGCACGGTAAATGGGGGCGCGGAGGTCGGCACCGATGGGAGAAGCAGAGGGGTTGGATTGGTAGGCGGACCAACGCTCGAATGCGGCAGCGGCAACCCTGTTGGTAGTTAGTAGAGGCATCGAGGGTGGGGCATAGGTGGGTGACGTACTCCTCATGCGAGTTCGCGACAGCGGTGAGGAGCAACCGCTTGCGCAGCAAGCCAGTGTTGTAGTCCTCATCCTTCGAACTCTCCCAGCCGACTTGCTTCAGCGCTTTGTCGATCAGTTCGAGCGTAAACTTCGCCAAGCCATTCTTGATCTGTTCATCGTCACCGAAAATGGACTTGAGCGTGCCAATCGAGTCCAAAGCTTGACTGAGGACACGGTAATGGGTCTCGCTTTTTAGGCCTTGGATGAAGGACAAAAGAGCGCCAGTAGTGGCGTAGCCGGAGAACGCAAGGTCGGCGGCGGAGCCTGTGATGAAGATCTTGTCCTCGGTGGTGAGGTGATCCAGCTGGGTGCCAAGGAGCTTCAGGCGGGACTCAGGGTAGTTGACCCGGTAAAAGCCGGTGGCATTGGCGTTCAACTGGTAAAAGTCCTCGCTGATTCCGTCGAGAGTCGCCTCCTTCGTCGTAAGCGTGAGCGGCTCGATGGCTTCGGAGCCAATCTTGCCTTTGACGGCCAGCGGTACCCACCAGGTGGTTTGGTCTTCCTCAGGCTTGACATCACCGGTGGAGAGGAAGCGAGACTGCTTGACGGAAATCTGCTGCTTGCCCTCGGTGATGTTCAGCACCGGAAAGCCAATCTTCTCGATCCAGGGCTTCATCATGCTGTTAACGTCGACGCCGGAGGCCTCGCTGAGAGAGTTCCACAGAGCTTCCGTCTTTGCGTTGCCATAGGCGTTCTTCTTCAGGTAAATGGCGATACCCTTCAGGAACGTCTTGATGCCGAGGTTGGACGCCAACATGCGGATCATGGAGCAGCCCTTTAGGTAGCTAATCTTGTCAAAGATCTGGTTGACGTCGAGCCCGTCGCGAACCTCGACTTGGATGGGGTGAGACGACCGGACGCTGTCCAGAGAGAAGGCCTGGTCCATGCCCTCGTTGATGAACTGCGGCCAAACCTCCCAGTCGGGGTGCAGGTGGTCCGTCGCAAGCCAACCGGCCCAGGTGGCAAAACCCTCGTTGAGCCAGAGCTCGTCCCACCAGTCCATGGTGACGAGGTTGCCAAACCACTGGTGGGCAAGTTCGTGGGCCACGACGTAAGCAATCCTGTTGCGGAATCTAGCTTCGGAAAGTTTCTCATCAAACAGAATAGCCGTCATACGGTACGTGACAAGACCCCAGTTTTCCATGGCGCCGTGTGTGAATTCGTGCACGGCGAGGATGTCGCTCTTGGGGAGAGGGTAGTCGATCTCGAACTGCTCCGAAAAGTAGTCGATGATCTTGGGGGCATGTTCCAGCGCCCATCGGCCCTGCTCCTTCAGGCCGCGCGTTGTGTAAACCCGAACGGGCAACTTTTTGCCGTTGTACTCACGACCGGTGAAGGCCTCGACGTACTCAAAGTCTCCGACGGCCCACGCAAGGAGGTAAGTGCTCATGACCGGGCTGCGCTCGAAGGAGACAACCTTCTTGCCTCCGTCCACCGGCTTTGTCTCCTTCTGGGGCATGTTGGACAGGGCCACCTGGTCGTCTGGGATCTCAAGGGACAAGTCAAAGGTCGCCTTGAGGTTCGGCTCATCGAAGCAGGGGAACGCGCGGCGGGCATCGCATGCCTCGAACTGGGTGCTCAGCATGTAGTGGAACTCGTCATCGCGGGGCACGCTCGGGGCGGCGGGGGCAGCAGGCTTGTACTGGCTGCGGTAGAAGCCGGCCATGTCATGGTTGAGCTCGCCGGTAAATTCGATGGTCAATGAAGCATTAGCGGACACGGGCAGCTCCTCCGGGAAGGTGATGGTGGACCGCTGCGTCTTGGTATCCTCGGCGAAGGTGGTCGACTCCCATGACTGGTCACTCTTGTTCTGGGTAACGACAATCTTGGAGTTCAGTAGCTTGAGCTCCAGAGTGTTGAGCACGATCTCCTTTGTCGCCTTGACCAGCTCGCCATCGATCCTGGGGTCGTCAGAACGCCCGGTGTCTTCCACCTCGGCCAGTCGTTACGGCAAGCTTACCTGACGCTGCCTTTGTAGGACCAGCTTTTGAAGTCGAGATCTTTGATCACCAGGTCATAGTGGACCGGCTTGAACGTGTCTGGGAGGATGTCTCTGTCCGTCATATTTGCGAGTCTGTGTCTGAACGATGCGTGGGAGCAGTAACGTCGCGGCTCGATGATGAGGGGTGCGGGGGCTGAGGCAAACGCGGGGTGGAGGGGTAGCCTGCGAGTCCTTGGTGGGGGATTCGAAGGTAGCGAGGAGAGGGGTCTTGCACTAAGAACTGACGGGAGGGCAGCGGCAGTATGTAAATAAGAGCGGCTTGACCGAGGCACGTAGTTGAGAGACGGCGAAGGAGTTAAAAACCTTGCTCTGGCGAGGAGGCGTAAGGAACTCATGGGAAGCTCAAGATTTGGGGTCGGGCTCTGGCCAAACCCGACTCCACTTCAATCTGCAGCTTAACCCCCAATGACGGCAGTGCCCGGTGCCCGGGGACAGGTAGGAAGGAATCTGAGAAAGGCCGTCCGAACACCCGCGGTTGGGGGTGAACCCGTCAGTGGGATGGGGGGAAGAAACGTAATGGTGGAAAGTTCAACTCTCGAACAGGCATCTGCAATTAAAATTCATAAAACCCAGCTTCCATTTCTGGATAGGGCGTCTCGCTCGGGCAACGACGATATGGAAGGAGCGCCCGGCACGTTGTGGAAGTCGCGTTTTTTGCCCCGCTGCCCTCGTGGTTGGGCGGGTCTGGGCTGCAGAAGAGCGGAGCAAGAGCTCGCCTGCCCTGCTGGACTGAAGCAGAGACCCGGCGCTATCCGTTAAAGATGCCAAGGCTCAATTCATGGAGTACTATTCTGTACTTGTATGCGAGGGAACTGTCTGCCATGAGACAAACGCAAGAAGAAAAGGGATAATTGTTGAAGTGAACGATATTGGATGCTTGTGATGGAAAAGACGCTGAAACCTTCCATTCAACAGGGCGCCCTATATAGGTAGTTACGTGAATGCGGGACAAGACAACTAGCTGGAGAGCAACCAAGCGTGAGTAGGTAAACAGAGAGCAATGGAAAGAAACCCTTCCTTCCCCAATCCACCAACGCCGCAGAGGAAAAACACAAGCTCATGCCAAGGACAAGAAACCATTGGAACAGCAAAACAATGCAAGACCAAGAACCCGAATCACCCTCGCCCTCCATCGATGTAACCCGTCAAATCCCAATGTCAATCCCATCCCATTGCCCAAGAAGATGCACGCCATCCCATCCCATCCCATCCCATCCCATCCCAGTCTCCTCAACCCAGTCCCAGGTTGTAACCACCACCCACCCACCTCACTGCGCAGCCCCCTCCCCCTCAACAGCCTCAGCAACCCGATCCCACCAAAGCCCATGCGCGTCCCGGTCCACCGCCGACACCCGCCCCATCATATCCACCATATCCCTAACCTTCTCCACAAACTCAGCCAGCCCCAGCCCCGCCAGCTTCTCGCCGGCGGTGCTCGTGGCCCTGACCTTCTCGCTCGCGGACGCGGCCGCCAGCCTGGCCAGAACATGCGCGCGCAGCCTGCCCAGCAGCAGGCGCAACACCGGCTCCCTGGGCCCGGCGGCGGCGGCGGCGTCCCGCTGGTTCGCGGCCTCGGCGCTGGCGGCGAGGAACTTGTTGACCAGCGCGCGCAGGTGCTGCTTGGTGGCGGCGGGCATGGAGCGGCCCGTCTCGAGGGCGGCCATGATGCCGTCGGCGGCGACGTCGGGGGCGAGGCCGGTCTTTTCGAGCACGGCCAGGATGCGCTGGGCCTCGCTGCGCCAGGGGGCGCGCACGTCGCGCTTGAGCAGGTTCTTGCACTGCAGCAGGATGGCGCCGGCCGTGATGATGCGCCGGGTGAGCTGGCCCGCCTCGAGAATGCGCTTGTGGTCGAGGAGGAGCATCTCGGGGGTGTCGTTCTGGGGGACGGGGGCGACCTGCGTGAAGAGGTCGACGAGGAGTTGGGCGTAGACGCGGTTTGCGGTGAGCCGTGAGGCCGGGTGGTTGATGCCCTCGGGGTCCCGGCGTGCCACCTCTGCGAGGCCCTTTTGCCGCGCTGCGCGCCAGGTTTTGGTGGCGACGGAGAGATCGTGTCTGCCGGCTTCGAGGTCGTCAGCGAAGGCCTTTGCCTCGTATGTCGAGGCCTGCTCAATGAGACGAGGTGCCGCAAGCTGTAGTAAGTAGTTGGCATAATCGCTGAGCATCACGTCGATGAAACCATTGAGCGCCTCGAGGCGGTCTACATAGCTGCCCTGGCTCAACTTGTCCTCGACGAGTGTTTTGACCTCGTCGTCTCTGACAGGCGCACAGAGCTTCGGGAGCAACGTCCCCATCGCATGGAAGAACTTCTCGTACGAGAAGCTCCCCATGGTGAACTGACGCTGCGCAATTTCGGTGTCTAGCAGCTCGCCGATGAAGGTATGCATCGAGTTGCCGGGCTTGACAAGCCGCTGGAGCTTCTCCCGGGTCAGGTCGGCGACCTTCAGCAGAAGGTAGAAATGGGCTTCCTGGTTGTGCGTCTGCATAGTGGAACGCATCTCCCGGAAGAGGGGGGCAAGCAAATGTTCTTGTTGTTCGTGGTACTCGTGCGGCTCGGTGCGGAACTCCTTGTTGATGGCTAGTTCATGGACGACGATCCGGTTGTCGGGCAACAAGCTCTTTCCGTTAGGAACTACGACGCTGACGCGGAAGGGCTCGGGCTTCCTTGACGGCGTTGCCGGTGGCGTTGGAGCTTGCGTTTGCGGCTCGTGGTTGTCCTCGACGCCGAGAACCCCCATCGCCGTCTCTGTGACCGTGGGATCCGCCACACGCGGTTTCGTGTCGCCCACCGGCTTCTTGACCCTAGTCTTACGGGCAGCCTTTACGGCTTCCGCGACCAGCTTCTTCCCATTGGATGGGCCAGCCAATTTCTTGATCCTTACGAGCAAGAGGAGCTGATTGTTACGGATACTTTCCTTGTACACCTGGTCTACCGAGCCGTCGGTGGTGTCTTTGACAGACTCCCAGATGGCGTCCAATTCGACGAACTGCATGACCATCAGGTCGACGAGCGAGCTCGAATCGCGAGCCTTCCATGCGATCAAGGCGTTATAGAAGGTAGCATAGACTTCGGGAAATTCTGTGAGCAGCGCCGGCGGTGGTGTGTAGTTGTTAAAAGCCGTCAACCGCCCAAGGATGTTCTCAAACAAGACGAGCAAATCTCTGGCCTTGCCTACCAGCTCTTGAGACTGGGGATTCGCCAGGTTGTCCTTCGGCATAGGATGTGCTTGGCCCGGCCCAGTCTCGTCGGGGATTTCTGTTTCTTCTTTGTTGCTGAGGACTTGCGATGGATGACCCAGGATAAGAAAGGCACTCAGGAAAGACCGCACTGCGGCCATCTCCTCGACCGAGCCCGGGTCGCCCTCGTTGAGTCCGCAAATGCGGAGGATACGCGCGGTTAATGCCAGCACGTTCTCCTGCGAAAGCAGCAGTGTGACCTCGTCAAACGACGTCTCTCGGACCGCATCCAGAGATAAGCCTAGCGCCGCAAACTCGGCCACAGACTGCTTCCTCTTGCCGGCCTTCCAGGACCACTGGATCCTCGAAGCAGCGGCATCCTCGGTCAAGACGGTTGGTTCGCGTTCTTTCACCTCTAGGGCTTCAGGCATCATCGGATCGGGCGAGGCGGGCTTGCGGGTCCCGAGGCTGTGGCCGCGCTCTCTTCCCTTGACCTTGGCGGCGTTTCGGCTGCGCAGTTCCTCCCTCCTCCTTTCCGCCTCAGCGAGGCGCTCCTCCATGTGGAGCTTCAGCTTTCGAATGTCCTGCTCACGTTTTTCCTTCATGCTCTCGGCGACTGCCTTCGCCCGCCTCACCTCCTCCGCGCAGGCAGCAGTGATCTCGGCGAGGTTGCGCTCCCGCGCCTGGGCGGCAGCGAGCGCCCTCTCCTCGCTAGCACTGGAGTCCCTGGATACGGCCTTGGCAAGTGCCGCCCGAAGGCGCACTTTTTCGGCATGCGCCGCGCGGTCGGCGAGCCGTGCCTTGCGGTCCTCGAGGATCGAGGCTCGGCGGAGATGCTGGGCAATGTATTTGCTCTGGGGTCCTCCATTGAGGCCACACCCATGCGAGGAGCGCGAATGGGCAGAGGATATGCTGTTACGTCGCGACGAGGCGGCGCTGTCTTTGCGCCGGGTCTGGTTCAACGGGCGGTAAAACAGTCTTGCTGCGATATGCGGCGGCGGCGTGTATACCCGCGGTTCTTCAACCTCCCCGTCGACCAATTCCATCTCTTCCGCAGGCGGCGAAAGCGAGCGATCTGCGTTCGCCATGGTCATGTCTCCGGCCGGCTGTCCATTCGATTCCTCGATGTTACGAGCGGGTTCGGTCAGGTCCAGCGACGGGCGCCGCATCGTGATCGACGTTCGCTGCGGGGTTCGGTCGAGGCAGATCGCGTATTCGGTCGGACTTTTAGGGCGGGAGTCTGGAATCGATATCGGATCGGTGCTGAGTGGATATAGGCGTCCTTCTCATGGACTTGGATAGGTACAAGAGGTAATCTGTGGGTCTCGGGAAGGCAGCTGCAGAGTCGTACGCAGAAGCAACTACGCCTGAATGACGAAACAGACGAGTTAAACACGGCGTTGATGGACAGCTAGGTCGACCCCTCGAGCAAAAGTCGAAGTTTGTGAAAAGGAAAGAGGAAGAAAAATATCTGGCTAAAGACTGTTAGGAAAGAAAAGCAGGGTCGATGAAAACTCGCGCCCGTGAGCTCGCGTCTTATTGTCTTGCTGACAGAGCGGGAGGACTCGAAGGCAAAAACAACGATGGAACCCGGAATGGAAGGCTGGGGAACCATGATGACGGCACCAATGGTCAGGAAGTAAGCTGCATTTGGCAGCAGTGCGGGCAGGTGGGGCAGGCACGTCAACCGCTGGCTTGAGGCGAGTTCGTTTATTCCATACACTAACAATTTCTCATGTAAGGAACTAAGCTTTCTGCTAACGCAAACCAAACAAACCAAAACACCCCTCTGAGACACGGGCCTGTCAACCAGCTGGGCTCGCCCTGTAATTTCGGTCTTGTGACGAAGCTTCCAACTCCAAAACAACACTTTTGTTTTTGGTTCCAAGGCAGCCACGTCGGCCAGGCCGAAGAAGGTCAGAGCGTTGCGAGAGACCCATGCCTCAATCGTGTCCCCCGTCCGTTTCCATGCAGGAATGAAGGACGGAGTATTTCACGGGCCGTGTTGTCGCCGTCGGCGGACACTGCAACAACAACATTTGGTTCGTTGATTGCTGGGGTCGATAATTATTCGGCACTAACCCGACATTCCGGGTGTCATAATGTGTACATACAAAGTTCCATATTCCTCAAACACATCCTCATGGACGGTATCTCACTTCACTGGCAATCCCTCGGGAGTTGGAACTCCCTCACGTCCTCCCGACATCGAGCTCCACCACCGAACTGTTAATCGTCATGGGCCGCCCAAGAGGATTCCCCCTCCCTAACCGCGACCCCTGTAATTCATGCACCAGTCTCTGGCCCCAGGTCGAGTCCCCCGGCAACTCCGGCGACATCCAAATCGAGTCATCGATGACCATCTCGGCCTTGTCCACCTGGACAAACACCCCGCGGTCCCCCTTCCCGAACCGCTTCATCATCTTCCTCCGGCCCGACGACCCCGGCGTCCCGTCCTGTCCGGCCCCACGCCGCCGTTTCCGCCGCCACATCAGATACCCAACCTCCACCGCCACCAAGAACGCCACGATCAGTATCAACCCGATGGTCAACCCGGCCGCCGCCGCGGGGGACATTTCTGAGACCGACTCCTCCGAGCCCAGCGCCGTTGTAGCTGTTTCCCTCGCCGGGGTCACTCGGGATTTTGTCGGCGGGGCAGGCGCCGTGGTGCTGGGGGCATCCTGCTGGTGAAAGGCCGGTTCGACGAGCAAAAAGCCCGGGCTGGACAGGTCGGTGTCCGACGCGACGAACTCGCCTTGGCCTGTCGGGGGCTTGAAGCGGAGCACGTATCTCGTCTCGTTGGCGAGCTGCGCCGTGGGGGGATCGGATGTGACGAGTTTGAGGTTGCCGTCATGGGCGAGGTTCACTGCCCCTTGTTGGCAAATGTTAGCGCCATGCTCGTGATGAGAAGGTAAGTTTTCGTTTGTCGTTTGTCTCAAAACTTACTTGCTAGGCACACTGCTACCGGGTCGGGGCCGGGCTTCCAACTTGTGAGCCACAAGTCGTAGATGCTGTTGTTGAGGGCGTTCCACGAGAAGACCAGCTCGTCACCGTGCGTGTAGGTCTCGGCGAAATCGGGCTTGTCTCCATCCGGCGTGTTCCACAGGTATTGCCTCCGGGTATTCTCCGCATCTTCCTCTCTTCTGCCCGGAGGCGTAGCCTGGTGGCCAACCGGCCGCCCCCATATCGCCATATTGGGGTTTGAGACAACAGGGTTTCGAGGTCCCGAACGAATGTATTGCAAGTTGCTGCGGCATCCAGCAGTCACACCAAGTTTGCATCAACAATGGAGAACTCAAAGTGGATGTCTTAGAGAGTTTATTCTTTCGAGCAGCTACCCCGGCCTTTCTGAGCTTTCTCAGCTGTTCTGCTGACGCTGCAACCTTCTCACCGATGCATCCTTTCAAGGGAACCCTTTGCAGGCGGCAGATCGGGTCGCAGAGCGACAAGAGGAGCTCGTGCACAGCTGGACAAATTAAGTCGTCGTGATGCAGGTCGAAGCGCTTACTCGAACCAACAGCCAGCGGACAGCCCCCAAGATTGGCCGAATTGGTGGCCGAGACCTCGCACGGCGCTTCTACCATCCTCCCGGGAGCCGCGATGTGACGGACGCACCAATGGCACCGCGCCAACCTCGTCAACCTCCACGCGTCAAGCGAAGGAATACACGCGAAGATGCCACAACCAACGCTGCGAGCCCGACTGGGCTTGGCATGTGTGGTTGCGGTGTGAGAGACGTGGGTTGCGTTTGGTTCTTTTGCATCTTGCATGTCGACCTTACCTAGCTGGCTAGGTAGGCATGCGGCCCGAGGAGCTCGGCCAGCTTCCGAGGCATGTTCGTCATGCAGCCCAATGGGGTCTCGTTCACATGATGCAGGAAGGAGTCTCGTCCTTACAGGGAAGTGGAACTACCCATTCGGCGACTTACAAGCACAAGCAGCTCGCCTCACCTTGACCCTCACACGAACCATCCCGACTGTCTCAGCAACAACACGAGACATGACAGAGTGAACATGCGCAACCACCCACCACATGCCTACCTATCCACCACACGCAAGGATATACAACCAAGCCGATGCATCCCCAACGCTGCCTGCACCGAAAGCAGCTCCATATAGCGTAGCCATGCACGGCGTCCGATCCGCCCGTGCGACCCGATCTTCTGTGCTTGCGCATGCGCGGGCCCCGCCGCATATCATGCACCCCCGTCTACCCCTGTCACATTAACCCAAAATCTGTGTGTGGGTGTGTATGTGTGTGCCATTGGGGAGTGTTTCACAGCCCACCCGGCCCGGCCAGAGACCTGCCTGCGGGCCGCATCATGGCCCGGCTGAGTGGAGCGGGGCCGCCTGCCTACCTGCACTGGGTGGGTGGGGGCGGAGGAGGATGCCGTTGCGGTGAACGGTGCCCGGGTGTGCGGGCCCGCATGTGAGGCTGGTGCCGGTACCGCCCGGGGTTTCCTTCATTTCCTCGTGGTGGCTGTGTGCGACCTACCGTGTGGCCGTCCTACCGACATCCACTACGTGGCAGAGTTAGCAAGGTCCTGGTTCCGGGTGGGATGTTGGAGCGGCGGTGATCACATCAGTCCGGGTGTTTGGTGAAAATGGGCTGATGGGACCGGTGAAAGGCGCTCACTTGAGATATGACATGGGACATCTCATGACTCGATCCTCCTTCCCGGGCTTGAAAGGCGTTCGCCGAGATAACGCCTTAGAGTAACCACAGGTGTGAATAGCAGGGACAGGTCCGCCCGCTCGCCTTCCCGTCTACCTCACCTACCTACCCTCAGCCGTCCACCGACAGCCTTCGGGACGCGAAGCACGACCCGCCCACCATGCCGTGAACAGCCGGGCTTGCCCGTCTTTGAGCCTCTTCGTCGCCTTTGAGGCCATCGACATCGTTCCGTGTTCCGTCAAGCATTTTCCGGCCTCATCCACGGAGCATCGGTGCTCAAACCCCGACCTCATCCGACGCCTCTATGCAACGGCAAGCGTGGGCTGTTTGTCCTCGCGCCGGAGGGACGCGCACCGACCACCTGACCTCAGACTGCCCGTTGTCTGGTCCCGTCCTTTATCTTGCCGCAACCATTGTTCAGCTGACATTCCGCACTTCTTTCCGCTGACCTTCGTTTTCCGTTCCCTCTTCTACCCCGATGCGGAACACACTGAAATTGACGTCATCCCAGGAACCGGGTTGCCTGAATCACCGAGCACCCGCCGTTCCGTTCCGCTTGTTTGTCGGACGCTTTCGAAATCCGAATGCGCATAATGGCAGTATTGAGCCCCCCCGCGGAATGCCAGCGACGGATACGTGCGACCAGGGCTTTGTTGTCGCCGCCACCTCCAATTCCAAGTTCATGCGACTCAAACCATTCGGACCGCGACTTATGACGAAAATCGGACCGCGCAGCGTAAAATCTACTCGACGAAATAGCCCGGGTCCTTGTGACACACAAAGAAGATGCACTTCGAACGCAGCATCCCGTTGTCCGTATGTCGTGATATGAGGTTGCAGTTGAGGCTGGAGTCTCCGAGCGACACCGGAGACTTTAAAGGAAACGTCCAAGCATTGTGGGCGGGGCTAAAAATAGCGGCCACGCTCCTGTCAATTGGGCCTAAAAAGACACAAGCTCGGGACGGGACAGAGGGAGGGACGGGAAGATTGATGAGATTCCGTCAACAACAGCGCCATGCTTGGGTGCTTCGATGCGAGGATGTCCTGTCCGGAACACAACGGAAAATCGGGCTTCAGACCGGACACCCCCGACTTGCCGATGGGCTTTTCGCCGATCGGGATCAGATCGGGATCAGGAACGCATGGACGTCAATCAGCAAACTTTTTGGACGATTGCTTTTCTGATGCGCTTTCAGGGGTTGATCGCCCCTTTCGGCCACAGTACGCGCACTATGCCGTGGCCTGCGTTGGGAAAGGGGTTCTCACTGTGTCACTGTCTGGGAACGGTCAAGGCCCAGAAGCTGCAGGATTTCTCTCGGGTTGAAGGCCCGACAAACGTGAACGGGGCCATTGGAGCTCCATCCGTCACTTGGCTGTCTTGGGGTTGTGTTCGGGGGAGGGGGGATTCGCACGCTTCGACAAGAGTTGACTTCCTTGACAGTCTCTGAAGAAATTTCGTGATGTTCGAGCCATTCCCTCAGGGGGCCGATCAGCTTTCCAGGGCTGAATGCGGTGCTCTGAAACAGTGAGACAGGATTTTCAGCAGCCCTGTGGGACAAAACCCCCCAACGCAGCCAAGGCACCGTGTCAATCCCGCTCCACACAAGAACGCTTATCCCGGGTCTGAGGGGACAATCGCCGCCGCAAAGGGAATTGAACAGACCAGACGAAGGCGGAACCCTGCAGTAGGCATGTGGCAGTGGAGGCAGCACTGCGCTCATCCGAAGAGCGGCAGCTGTGCATCTCCAGCGAAAGAGCCCGAATCGTCCAATCAATGCCTCCCACCATGCTCACTCTTTGGGGGGCGCGGCTGTTCAGGAAAGGAGGGAGGAAAGCCGGGAAGCTGGGGGTTGAGGGGAGCCGGGATCTCGTATTTCTGTCGCTCATTTCCTTGTCGTGAAGGCCGTTTGCTGACACGCCCGATTCTGTCCCTTTCAACTTCTCTTGTGCCTCCATTTTTCGCACCATCTCCCCCTCCGTCGCACTCCGCGGGTCGTGTAGTTTCAACATATTTCTGGGGGAAATGCTGCCGTCTGCCGTTGGACCCGCTGCGACCCCATGATTTCGCCCAAGTCCCTCTATGGCCCAGACCGCGTGTGGACGCCCTTCAACAAGATGATCACTAGGAAATCTTCCCTCCTCCTCGCCATCGCGACCATCAGCCTACTCATCCTCCTCTACACCTCGAGGATTGGCGGCTGGTCTGGCCTGGACGACCCCTACTACCGCCCCGACCATCACCACGACCCGCACAAGAGCCAGCATGCGCCCCAGGGGAGTCCCCAAGATGCCCCCCACCCTCCTCCGTCGTCACCCCAGCCGCCGCCGCCGCCGTCCGATCCGGGTTGCGAGGGCTTCCCGGACACCAGCAAGGTGCTGCTGGTCATGAAGACGGGCGCGTCCGAGGCCTACGCCCGCATCCCCACCCAGCTGATGACCATGCTCCGGTGCCTGCCCGACTTCCTCATCTTCGGCGACATGGACCAGAACATCGGCGGCCAGAAGATCTACGACAGCCTCTCGACCGTGCTGCCCGAGGCCCAGAAGGGCAACTCGGACTTCGACCTGTACCGCCGCCAGAAGTGGTGCCTCGTCGACCAGGAGGTCTGCAACAAGCTGGGCGACCCGGCCAGGGAGGGGTGGAACCTGGACAAGTACAAGAACGTCCACATCGCCGAGAAGGCCTACAAGATGCGCCCCGACTACGACTGGTACATCTTCGTCGACGCCGACACCTACGTCCTGTGGCCGAACCTGATGCAGTGGATCAAGAAGCTGGACGCGAAGAAGAAGCTGTACCTCGGCAGCGTGACCCTGATCCACAACTTCAGCTTCGGCCACGGCGGCTCGGGCTACCTGGTCAGCCAGGCCGCCATGAACGACTTTGTGGGCAACAACCCGGGCGTCGCCAACGAGTACGACGTCCAGGCGAAGAAGGAGTGTTGCGGTGACTACATGTTTGCGCGCGCCCTAAAGGACAAGACCGACGTGGGAGTCCAGCAGATGGTGAGCCTTTTTTTTTCTTTTGGTCTAATTTTCTACCCGGTTTCGTGATATTTCCGGGCAGGGGAGAGTTGCAGATCACCCCTGTTTGTCTTGCGGACTTCCCGTGGCGGCACGCGCGGATAACCAAGAGAAAGCACCCGGATTCCGCCCCAAACCCCATAATCTCCGAAGAACACATGCTGACCAACCCTCCCTCGCAGTGGCCCACCATCAACGGCGAGAAGCCGGCGACACTCCCCTTCGGCCCGTCCCACTGGTGCCACCCAGTCGTAACCATGCACCACATGAACGCGGAGGAGATCAACGCCTTCTGGCACTTCGAGCGGCGCCACATGCGCAAATCCTCGCAACCGCTGTTCCTACGCGACATCTACGACGAGTTCCTCGCCCCCCACCTCAACGAGACGCGCGAAGACTGGGACAACATGGCGGACAACCGCTTCTACGTGGACACGGAGTCCGGCCGCGAGTGGAGCGAGTGGCAGCTGAAGCGGATGAAGAAGGCCGAAGAGTACAACGAGGAGGAGAAGAGCGCGCACAAGTCGTTCGCCGACTGCGCGGCCGCGTGCAAGAGCCTCGGCCCGGACGAGTGCTTCCGCTACAAGTACACCGACGGCGTCTGCAGCATCAGCAACGCCTTCATCATGGGCAAGCCCGTCAAGCCCGCCGACGACGAAAAGGACCGCGTCATGAGCGGCTGGGATATCGAGAAGATCAACACCTGGGTCAGCGAGCAGGCTGCCTGCTCCGACGTCAAGTGGCCCAATGTCAAGGTCGACTGATAGACAGTCTAGGGTGTTCAGGTACCTTACCACACAAAGCCGGGACGCGAGGGGTGGAGAGGTGACGATAATGTGGCCCGTCCGCAGGAGGGTGGGCGGGTGTAACGGGGTCAAGGCAGTTGGGTTGAGTTGCTGGGGTCACACTTGCATCAGACACTACACCGGCGCCCACTCGACCGGGGGTATCTGTTGGATATGGAGCACCCGGCGACTGTTTGGATGGTGTCTTTGGCGTTTACGGAATTTGATGTCTGACGATATGTCCCCATACTGGGTATAGACCGGGGGTCATGACGGTTGCATTTCCCAGTTCCTGTACACACGGATAGATGGAGAGCTGTATGTAACGGCCTCATGTACACTAAAGACGTGTTGCATACATGTATACATGGATATAATCACTATCAACGTTCCATATGCATCTATCTACCTTGCAGCTTCCAACTCCGTGCCCGGCTTTCTGAACACAATCTCAACCACACCAGATTGCCGGTTTGTTCTCACCTCAAGCGTAGCACGGCACAACCGCACCATATTTGTGCCCTAACAAAGTAGGTCACGGAGAGATATGTATCACTAGTCCAAGATTGATGCATCTTCGACACGAGGCGGCGAAAAACAAGCACGGTGCTGTTGGTACAGCCCCTTTTTTTCTGAAATTTAACATCTTCAGCAACAGGACGCCTACAGGCAATGGATAGACATCTAAAATACAGGTCTGTAACTGTCCCTGTGTCGTCATTTTGGGGGTCGTTGTTACCTCCTGTCCGATCCGAGCACGTCTCGATACCCATAGTAGGTACGATTATCTTAGGTTCTAGGGGCTGCCGCTGAGCATTGACTTTGAGGATTGCTTATGATTAGGTATCTTTAATTAGCACGAGCTACAATGAGACTTGGTTGTCCTTTTTCGAGAATATCAATGACGGGTGGCCGATGTGTTACACTGAGCAAAAGGACATCCTTGCCCTGCAAAGGCTAGGGGGCACCCTATACACTGCGACACGATGCCAGCCCAGGTTCTCCATGGGGCGTAGCACATATTATAATAGAGATCAAAACAATTCGTTCATTCCGACTTCAACCCACCGGTGACTGATAAAAATGGGTTTATTCACTGTTCGTTCTTTACCTTGACGTTGGAGCATCACAGACGTTGGCATCGTTGATTTCTCGATTTCGTGTCTTTAGGTTGTGTCATCGGGTTTGGAAAGCCCGTTTCCCAGCGCAAAACAGGTCGAATCCGGATTTACATCACAGTCTTGACCTTCAACCCTGACCGCGAGGTATTATCTCATTATCGTTCCGATGTTCCAGACCACGGTGCTTTTAAAGCTGTCTTTACGGTAGGCGGACTTTTAAGTGGATGATATCAGTCTCTTTGTACCTCCCATACTGTGGCACGGCTCCCCGTCCGGCTGATTTGAAGGGGGCGGAAGAAGCAGCCCCTTTTAGGGTGGGTTGTAAAGATCACCCCGCATGCGCCGGCTTTTGTAGGTCCCGGGTGTATGGGATGCGCGCCGGCACCGATCCGGGGAACGATAAATGCAACAAACACGCCGGGGCAGTTATTACCGTATACGATCCTACAAGGCCAAAGGCGCGCATCCTGAGTTTCCCAGGTCTAAGGCGCGAGGTAGTTAATAAAGATCTGCGTGAGCAATGTCTCGAGGGCGGAGCAAGCCTTTCCGAGTTGGCCTTGATACTCGCAGAACAATGGCGACGCCGTGTATATAAGAAGACCGGTGAAGTGAGGAAGGATACCCCTTTGACAGCAAAGCTGTGGCTCGTTTGACACTGCAGTATCACCATGAAGTTGCTCAACATCCTTCTTGGTGCGGTGGCTGCCAGTTCGGCGCTGGCGGCACCGGCATCCGATGCGCCAACTCCGACAACAAAGGAGAAGCGAGCCAGCAAGTTCGAGTTTGTTGGTGTCAACCAATCTGGTGCCGAGTTCGGCAAGGACACGCTGCCGGGGCAGCTCGGCAAGCATTACACCTGGCCAGCCAAGTCAAGCATTGATGTGAGTAGTGTCCCGTTGTTGTGTTGCTCTAGGGGGGTGCGTTTCGAGATTCGGACGGGGTGGCTGACATGACGAATAGACGCTTATGGGCCAAGGGATGAATACCTTCCGCATTCCGATCATGATGTAGGATTGCCCGTGCCATCAAAAGGAAGGAAGAAAACGGTTGACAGGAGAACGCAGGGAACGCCTGATCCCCGAGAAGATGACGGGCACCGTCAATGCCACATACTCTGAGGGGCTCACCGATGTATGGAATAGATGGTCGACTGAGAAGGTGAAGATGACTGACCACGCTACCAGATCGTGTCATACATCACAGGCAAGGGAGCCTATGCCGTGATCGACCCACACAACTTCGGTACTGACCCAACCTCCCTCCCCATCAGACACGTCCAAGTTCCCCAACGGGCAGCCCCGTACTGACCATCCCATCCAGGCCGGTACTACGAGCAGGTAATCACCGACGTGGACGGGTTCAAGGCGTGGTGGACAACGGTGGCCACCATGTTTGCCAGCGACGACATGGTCATCTTCGACACCAACAACGAATACCACGACATGGACGACTCGCTCGTCTTCGATCTCAACCAGGGCGCCATCGACGCCATCCGGGGCGCGGGGGCCACCTCGCAGCTGATCTTTGTCGAGGGCAATTCGTGGACGGGCGCATGGACATGGGTGGGTTGTGTTCCCTAGGACACGATCTCAACTGCATCATCACACATCTCTATGATCATCAGTAACTAACACAACTCCTCCCCTCCACTCACAGGTCTCCTCAGGCAACGGCGCCTCGCTCATTAACCTACAAGACCCGATCGGCGCAGAAGACGGATCCAAGCTGGTGTACGAGATGCACCAGTACCTGGACACGGACGGGTCCGGCACGTCGGAGGCGTGCGTGTCGGGCACGATCGGGCAGGAGCGGCTGCTCGAGGCGACGGCGTGGCTGAAGGAGAACGGCAAGCGGGCGATCCTGGGGGAGACGGCGGGCGGGGCCAACGCGCAGTGCATCGCGGCGCTGACGGGCATGCTCGCGCACATGGCCGACAATGCTGACGTGTGGACGGGCTGGCTGTGGTGGGGCGGCGGGCCGTGGTGGGGGACGTATATGTTTTCGATGTGAGTGTTCTTTTGCTTTCCCCCTTATTTTTTTGTCTTTTTTTCTTTTTCTTTTGGGTTTTTCTTTTTCCTTTTTCCCTCTTCCTTTGTTTTGAGTTCTTCTCTTTACAAGTTTGTTTGAGGAGATTAACTACCGAAGCTACCTCTCGGAGACTCGAGTGACGAGTGTTCCATTTCTCAGGTTATCTTCGTACTGTCCTCTTGCTGACTTGATTGCGATGCTTCTAGGGAACCCCCCAGCGGTGCGGGATATTCCGAGGTGTTGCCGAGTTTGCTGCCCTACTTTTGAGTTCGCTTTTGGGGATGAAGCATTTGTGAGGCTGATAGGTTGCGGCCCCTTGAAGTGGAAAGGTCGCGCACAGGGTGGGTGTTCGTGGCATGGAATTGGTGTGGCTCCAGGCTCTCTCTGGAGGGAAGTGTCCCAGGTACCTTTAGGTACCTAGGTATCTAAGTACTTGGGTTCCGTGTTATTGACTGCCTAGATGGGTCCAGCGTCTTGGTTTGATAAATTGTTCATCCCATATATTAAACTCTCCACTCAACGACATCTCGTAACTTAGTAATGATGTGATTTTCTTCTTTCTGTGGCCAAGGTGACGCAATAGAAACTATATATCTACATTGCGAAAGCAGACAGTACATTATGCTCCAGACTTTAAAATAAACTATCATCAGGCATAAGCAGTTGCCAGTTATCGATCCGCGGTTATTGTGATAGTCTGAGGAGTACATGGAAACTCTTTGATGGCACATTACGAGTACAACAAGCTTGAAGAAGGAGAAGAAGAAGAAAAAAAGTCGAAAGCTCCGCGAGTCGTGGGTCCTGAACTTTTAGATGCGCTCGTCCGTCTGTGCTTGCGCGAAGTGGGAATAGCTTCATCTCACAGTTCCGTCCTTCGGGGTTAGGGCTGTCAACTACCAGATTTGATACACGTCGCTGCCGACAAGATCTCGCGCCTTTCAAGCGCTCAACTCCTGCAATTCTCTGTTGACCCTGTCAGCGCTGGAATCCAGCTGAGATGGCTGCAGCGCTTCCATCGATAAGATACATCCCCTTTCTCCAGCCCGCCGACCCACGTCACGGTCGGCATCCAAATCTCCTGACTCGAACGCTGCGCGCACAGTGGCGGTCGGCCATGGACTGGTCAAGAAGCTTGACAGTAGCCAGCACGTCGCTCGCGGCCGTGAGCCCCACGAGGTCGCCCACCACGTCCAGCATGGGCCCCTCAAATTCTTCACGCTCATAAAAGGCGAGGCCATCAATCAGGATGACGAGCGTCACCTCCTCGGGCAGCTGCCGCACCAGCCAGCCTAACAAGGCCATCAACTCGGCCAGGTCGCCCTCCTCGACCGATGCTAAATCGACGTCGGGAAGCATGGGGTACGACAGCCCAAAGTCGTAGTCGCTCAGCAGCTGGGCGATCAGGCTCCGGACCATGCGCTTGATGGTGCCCGTCTTTGTGCCCGCCCCCTGGCGCAGTTGGTCACCATAGGGGTAGCAGTGGTAGTAGTCCTCGTCCGAGCTGGTGCTGTCGTCGTCGTCGCTGTCGAACTCATCATCACTGCTCCCCGCGTCCCCTAGGTGGCGGCCGCAGAACCAGATGAGGCACAGATATCGCGGGCGGGATCGAAACGGCCTTGACAGGGTCGCGCAGAATAGCGACAAGGCTGACGTCTCTGTGGCGCGTACCGGGCTGGCGTTTCCGTGGATTAGGAGCTTTGTTGATTCTGGCGACACGATCCACTCTTGGAACATTTGGGTGTGGACGATCTGCTCGGCCCGGACCCGGTCGTGGGCGGCGAGCTGTTCTCGGTTCTCCTCAATGTCGTCGATGTCGGCGTCCTCGATATCGTAGTGGATCTGTAATAGCGCCCACAGATCCTCTTGATAAATACCTCCCGGCACCTCTTGGAGATATGGACTACGAGGGACTGGAGGGTGCTCGGGGGCCCGTTGTGGTCGATCTGGGCCGTGACGCATCAAGCCGTCTGGGAGTGGCGACACACTTCTGACGATGATGTCGCCGAGGCGGGATATTTCGCGCTGGCCCGCTGCAAGGAGGTCTAAAACGTCGAGATCAATGACCAAGATATGGATCGACATGCAATGGAAAGCGGCGTCTTACTCTGTTGTTCTCTAGTCTGGCTTCGGAGGAATTGAAGTTCCCGTTTGGTTTCGTCGTGCTTGTCCATCAGGAGGGCGAGAGTGGCATTCATACCATCCTGCACGTTCCTGCTCCGTTCATTTTGGGTAATGATGAGCCGGTTCTGGCTTGACACTTCATCCACCCTTGTATAAACGAGGTCCACCCTGACGGCAATATGTTCTTGGTTGTTGAGTATTAGTTGGTGAATCCGCCTCGTTGCGCCGGAATCTTGATGAAGTCTTTGTCAGATGGGTTTAAAGTGTTCTAACTGGAGACATACACCGTGCGAAGTCTCGTATATGCGTCTTAACGGCCCAAGCCATCAGGGTCTTGCTGCGGGTTGTAATGACGGCAAGGCTTTCGAGGAGGGAGGCCTCGTAGTCCTTGCCCTTTGAGATTGACTTGAGTCCCCGGATTACTGCCCGCGGCGTGTTAGAAGGCTACCGCAGCGCATAGAGGAGAGGTGGGGCAGGCACCTACTTGTTGGCCGCGTGAAGAATTTGACCCCCTTCTCTACCGCTTCAAGTACGGCGACGACGAGAGTCACGGCTTGTTCTATCACGGAGTCTTCCTGCTGGAATGTTGCCAAGAATATCTCAACATCCGCAAAGACATCCTCCAAGTCATCAAACGCACGTAGTGTTTCATTGCAGACCTCAGCTCCTTTCTTCGCCGCCTCGAGAACAATCTGCACGGCCCCAAGGACGGGCGTGACGATGTCCATCTGGGGAACCACTTTGGTAGCCAAGCGTGCAGGCTCGACGGCATTGTCTGCCGTCCATCTCCACGCGCGATGAAGGCCCCCTGAGATGCCCGAGGGCTCAGTATAGGTATCGCGAGCGAGCTTGAGCTTGTCATAGACTTGGGTCCACGTCTGGAGGTTGCCGATATCGTCGACAGGCTCAGAGCTTTTGGATGCCGTGCGGTCTTCATTAAACTTCTTCATGGCGAAGAGGGAAAATCATGTTCCAATATGTCATGACGTTAGGAATGTTTTTTGCTGCCTCCTCGGCTGATGGCTTGGGCCCATCGAGGGCCGTGTCGGGGCAAATGGCGGGCAGGTCGGCTGCGATAGGGGCATTGGCAACATAGCGGCGGGTTTGTTCATCGTATCGGGTTTCAGAATTTCCGTAAAAGGTGTGGTATTCTGGAAGGTTGTGATGGATGAAGTCGACCTCTAGGGGGTGGTCGTCGGCGACTGGAATGACTGCTGCCTGCCCGATGGTCGATGTATTGGCCATTGATCACAGTTTTGGGCTCAACCGCTCGGTAGTCGACTCCTGGGTTAGGAAAAGACCTTTTATGTAAGAGCTCTTATGCAATGATGATATTTTCTGGCAAAAATGAGACCAGCAGTGGCCATCGGGAAAGGGGCACGTCAGCCCGAAGACACAACTTCACAAGGCCATCACCCTTGGTGCGGGGCTATACATGGCAGCCCGAGAATACCTTCCAATTAGGGCTGGGGTAAGGTTTCACAAGAGCCTCTCCAGGAGGTTACCCCACGAAGAGGGGGAGAGGGACGCGGCGGGGGGTGGAGGACGCGGCTGGGGGAGAGAGGGGGGGAGGGTTCGGCTAAGTCACCCCCCGGTTCTTTTTTCTCAGCTTCCCTACCGGGGTAATGACCTCAAACCTCAATACTGCAACTCATTTTCTGAGGCCGTTTTGCATTATTATATGCTCGCCTCGGGCCACCGTCATGGAAGATGCAACGCCATCTGAAGGCGCTATTGCCAGCAGCTCGGCTCCCGCAGAGACTTCGTCTATCGAGTCAACCCCGCTCGTGAGCGAGAGGCATGAAGCCACCTCTGATGCAGCGGCGCTTCCAGGTCCTGGTGAGCCAAAGCCAGACGCCACGAGAGAAGTCCCGGCGCAGGGCGACGACGCGCAAACTTCGGGTGATGAAGTGGCTGCTGGCTCAACGGCGGACAATGCAAACCCCATAGCCGCCGAGATCGAAGCACTGCGGCAGCGGCTTCTGGAACTGGAACAAATGACACAAGGCACAAAGCCGAAGCCGATGGGCGAAGCACTCCGGGAACGATGGGAGCGCGCAAGGGAAACGCACGGTGCTCGGACGGAAAGACGGCTCTGGAAACAAGAAGAGCGACGACGCAAAGAGGCATTGTTGCTGGACAACGCGGGATACGTCGGTGGACGCCAGTGGATGCACAAGGTCGAGGACGAAGCCCAACGGAAGATGAGCGAAGATGTCAAGTACAACATGAGACTCTTGCGATTGCGCAAGGAGTGGGAGCGGAAAAACGCCTTCCACTTTGCCCAGACCAGCGGCCAGCCGGGCGAGTACGGAGGCGTGGGTCTAGAGAGCGACGAGACGGACTTCTTATCTGACTACTCTGATGCCACCGAAGAGCACGCTGTCCGGCGCCAGTTGTTGCAGAAGAACTGGGAATTTGAGAGGCACGCCTCGGAGTTGGAGTACCGAATGAAAATTGCGAAGCGCGCTCGAAAAAGAGAACGAGAACGAGAACGAGATCGAGATCGAGAACTTCAACGGGAGCTGGCTCTCCAACGAGAGCCGCGCGAGAGGTTGGAAATAGAGAAGCCGGAAATGCCGCTGCATGAATCGCCAGAGCGGTCGCCATCGCCATCGCCATCGCCAATATTCCGAACCGTTATACGGCCAGATCGGAAGAACACCGAAGACAGGGGCAATATGCGACCGGTTCTGAAACGCGTGGAATGGGCTCTGTTCTGCCTTGCTACTAGGATATCCGGATCTGATTTCCGCGCCCTAGACATACTAATCGGAGATCCCGTCATCGATTTTGATGTTCCGAAAAGGTACAGAGTTACCTCGGGGCATGCTAAGCGCGTCGATGACAAGGGCGTCGAGAAGAAGCCATTAGATAACCTGAAGTGGCCGCCTGCGTCGGACATGGAGCCCAGCACTACACGCACAGTACCGCCCCTCCCCGAGCGTGTGCGTATCAACTCGCCGCAAATACTTGCTCTGCTCGATATGGTTCATGAGGGCTCCTTGGCTGAGGACCTGAATCCCTCCTCCCTTGTGCTCCTCCGGCCATTCAGGATCCTCATACATTACGATGAGGCCATCAGGGCCCAGATCAAAGAAGTTGAGCGACAGTTTGCTGAGAACGGAGTTCCCGAGGCAGTCATGGCGCCCGGTAGTGCCCCAGCGGCGCCTGTCAATGGTGCAGATGATCCCACCGCTCTGCCCCCCCGGCTTGCCCATTTCAAATGTTTATTGGAGTTCATGGACACAGATATAGCGGGTAGGATTGGCTATCTCAACGGTCCCAGCTGCGACAAAATCACTTTTTCGGACCTCTGGCATCTCTTCCGTCCCGGAGAGCACGTCATTGGACGCGATGGAAAGCAGGCGTATCGGATCCTCAAGGTGACCAGCGTTCCGCACCGGGCCGTTGACCCCATCCGCCGATGGCTGGACAGGTCGGAGGAAAAGCAGGAAGAGACGCCCCTCTGCATCGACTGCGTGCATCTGGACTTCGACGGCAAGCAACTGGGGCCCGTATTGAGCACATTTCGAATTCAGAGGTTCGAGGGCGAGAGACCCATCACATCGCTGGAGATCTACCCTTTTCACTTCCACCCATCTGCGAAGCTCGGGCCCGGACAGTCCGCATATGAAGCCTCCGAAGATCCCTGGAAGCACCCGAGGCGGGATAGCCAGCTCTGGAGGGACCTCGTTGAGCGAGGGAAGACGTTTCTCCGCTTGTCAGCCGTCGATCTGGCAGCAGTTCGACCCATGTACTACGCCGGGCCTGTATTGAACACCCAAGACGAGACCGAAGGCCAAGTGGTTGTCGATTTTGAAGCTGCGTTTGCCCATACAGACTTTTACGAGAGCGGCTGGAAGCCCAGTCTTGAGACATTGATTGGATGGGACACCAAAGAAGGGGCCGAGACCAACAAAATGTGCGACGCTGAGTGTTGCAGAAGCGATTCCATTCACGACGACTCCTACGTCGAGGCCCTGAGAAACGAAGAGTTTATGGGCTCCCTCCTGCCGAGATCATCCGACGGGATGCCCTCGGTTTTGATCCTCCCCCGTCCGCTAGACAACAAGGCCCCGGACGGAAACCTCAGTGAAGACGATCTCGTCATCATGTCATACCGCGTCTTTGCCTTCCTTCTCAGAACCCGTAGATGGGGTAAGATGTCTGACCTGTGCTTGCTGGAGTATTGCGTGGGCCATACTGACGTCTCCGTTCCCGCAACAAGCGCAGCTGGACGTCAGCCGCTTGACAGATGTTCGTCACTTTGAGCACCAGTACGGGGCGATTGGTGCCAGCAATGAAGGCGATGAGCTAAGCACACCGTTTGACCGACTTGTGCTGCCGGATGGGCACAAGGATGTGATTCTGTCACTTGTTACCCAGCATTTCCGCAATAGAAAGTCGGCGCAGAACGAAGGCGACTTTGTCGATATCGTGCGAGGTAAAGGTACTTGCTGCCTCGTTTCCACCTACTCACACACCATGCATGAACGCAGGGATGTTTGGAGCTGACCTTCCATTTTGCACGGACAGGAAAGGGGCTGATTATGCTTCTCCATGGCGCGCCTGGGGTTGGAAAAACCACCACTGCTGGTAAGTTGACAATGTCATGGGACTCTACCCGGCGAGAGCATCATCTATTTCCTCCCATGACTGACACGTGCTACTCAGAGGGTGTGGCGGAGAAATTCAAGAAACCCCTGTTTCAACTAACTTGCGGTAAGTACGACAATCAAGGCGTCGGGTGCTGCCGCGATGCAAATGGAACATAACTGATACAAGCCTCTCTACGATCCCAGGCGATCTTGGTACAACAGCGAAAGACGTGGAGGCGGCACTGGAGGTCAACTTCTCGTTAGCTAGTCGTTGGGGATGCATTCTACTGTTGGATGAGGCCGATGTCTTCCTTGCTCAAAGATCGAAAGAGGATTTCCAACGGAACGGCCTTGTGGCAGGTTAGTCCTCATCAGCCCAAGCCGCCCACAACTCCCGACCCTAGCACATCCGAAAGGAGAGCGGAACAGCCGTGTCACGGTCGATGCTAATTCCTACTCACTACCTAGTCTTTTTGAGAGTACTCGAGTACTACTCGGGGATCCTCTTCCTAACCACGAACCGCGTGGGGGATTTCGACGAAGCGTTCGCCTCCAGAATCCACATCAGTCTCTATTATCCCGAGCTCGACAAGGAGAAAACGCTCGAGATCTTCAGACTCAACTTCCAGTTGATGCGCCAACGATTTCGTGGTAAATCTAGCAAGTTCACCCCTGACGAAATGGGAATCGGCGCTTTCGCCGAGAACTACTGGAAGGACAACCCGTTTGATCACTGGAACGGCCGGCAGATCAAAAACGCGTGCCAGACAGCGCTCGCGCTCGCCGAATATGAAGCCCAGGGCAAAGACCACGAGGTCGTACTCAAGCCGGATGCCGAGATCAAGCTCGGCGTCTCCCACTTTGAGACCGTCTCCAAGGCGTATCTCGAGTTCTCCAGGTACATCAGAGACATCTACGGCACCCATGCCGCACGGCGTGCAAAGGAGGCGGGCCTCCGCGCTATGTGGGTGAATGATAAGGGCGAGGTCGTAGCCAGCGTCGGGCCCAAGGAAGCTGGCATGCTGAAGGGAACGGGGGATAGGAAGGCCCGGTTCTTGCAGCGAGCCCAAGCCAGGTATCACCCGGTAAGTCACGAACAGCAGCAGCAGAATTACCGCGGACGCGGCATGGGTGGAGGGGGCGTACCTGGTGGACAATATGGTGGCAGCCCCCAGCAGGGATTCCAGGACCCGCAACCGGCTTACGGGAAGGCCGGTCTCGCAAGGTCCAGGCCATCTGACGCAAACCCTCCCCCCCCTGGCGAATACCAATATTACTCCGACAACGTCGAGACAAGCCAAGGTGGCTACCGCTACCAGGACCCGGTCCCGCAGCGACAGCACCCGGCAGCGATAGGACGACCCCAAGAGCGCGGGTGGGATGATCACCAGTGGCCTGGCACCACTGCCGGTGATGATTATGAGGGGCGCGGCGGCCCGCAACAGCCTGAGAGACTGGATCCCGCCGGGCTCCCTTATAGGGGTGGGCGGCCGCAGCACGACTCCTCCCATCATCTCGGAGTACCTCCAAGAGGGCCTGGGGGCCATCACATGCAGCAGCCACAGCCGGCACCGCGTGCGCCAAGCCGCTCTTCACAGTATGATACGCCAGGGACAGAAGATGAGGCGTTGCGCTACCCAAACCATTGAGGCCGCGGTCTTACCGGAGTAGGGGGGGGGGGGGGGGGGGGGGGTGGGTGGGTTCGAGAAGCGCGAGATAGCTCGTTCGGTACCGAAGTCAAACTTTCCTCGCTTGTTGAGGGAGAAGCTTGCTCCAGAGCTATCAGCCCCAAGTTGCTAACTCATTAACGTTTGCGCCTCGGGTATGCAACTTAGAGTTGAATGTACAACTTTATTTTGAAATGGATCAATCGATTTGAACGGATGATAAGCGCTTAAATCAAATGGGCGGTTGCCTGGAAATGCGGCTTGTTGAGGGAAGTCGCGTGTTGATGGTTCCTTCCCTTGAGTCAAACTTTTCCAACTTTCCCCCCCTCCCCCCCCAAACTGCAACCCTTCAGCTCGCAGGAAACCCCATGCACCGGGTCCGGTGCGTCTCCCGGGATGGAGACTCTGTCACTCGTTAAGCCTGACGGAATTCCCCGTCCTCAAGGGTATGTGAACCGCTTTTGGCTATCGGCTAGTTCGCACGTATTTTGTGCCTTTCTGGTGAGGATAATTACGAGTGCGAGGGAGACAGCGGGATGAGGACTCAACGTTGGCACTTGGTTGTGGCGGAAGACCCGAGGTTCCATGTCATTAAAACTCGATCGGCAGGTGAGGGTTGGCACTTGGTCGGGCACGTCGGATTGTGGTGAAGAGTGGGGTCGGTGGATCGCGAATTTCCTCCTGAGCTACCGAGCCAATCGAAACAGCCAAGCCCGTGAAAAATTCCCGTTTTGGCACAAGGTCAACGCGTGCATGATCTCCCTCGGAATTTTCTGCGTTGCACTGCACGTTTACAGATTACCGACAAGTACGAAGTACTACCGAGTTACATTGAACGAAGCTGGAAGCACACCTCTCGTGGCGGCAACCGGCATTGACGATGGCGACACTCGCTTCATTGCCTAACGAGCTGCTCTATATCATCTGCAATTATTTGTACCCGCCCAATCACTGTTGGGAAGATGAAGACGACGACATCGACTTCGACCACGCATGGTCCTTATTGGATTTACACTCCTTAAGTTCCGTGAACCATCGCTTCCTGACCGTGATTGAGCCGATTTTATACGCCAAGGGCCTCGGGCACCATTTTGCAACCCCGCTTGCCTGGGCAGCCAAGCGTGGATATGCAGGAACGCTGCACAAGGCCCTGGCCGCCGGCGCATCGCCAGACCGCAAACTGCGATGCCAGATGACACGCGAATACTGGCATTTCATCAACGATACTCGTCAGGCTGCCCGGGACTGGGCCGCCGGGGACCCCAAGTATTGGCCAGCCTATTCTGAGCAGCGGGTCGCGGTTTTTGAGGACAACGAAGAGTGCTGGGCAAGAGACATGTCGCCAGGCCTGACCGACTATGATGTCCGCAATCCTGCTCATGATCGTCTGTACATTCGCCAAACAGGTGGCAACGTTAGCCCAGATGATAGCAACGCCTCTCACGCGGAAAGCCCCTCCCATGACCGCCCTCCCGAGTTGTACGAATCGGACGACGAGCTGCTTCGCGAGTACACCGCCCTGCACATTGCCGCCGGGGAGGGACACACCGACCTCGTTAACCTCTTGCTGGCTAACGGCGCCTCAGTCGACAGCTCCTCGCGCTGGTTCTGCCCTTGTCGCCCGCTCCGTGGCTTGTGGCAGACCCTACTGGATCCGCCAAATCCTTACCACGTCCCTGAGCCGGTCGACTGGCCGCCCCTCCATGCCGCCATATGTTCTTCACGCATCGAGACCGCTAAAACTCTCCTCTCGGCCGGTATAAAAGGTGGTAAGCGTTACCTCAACGGGCCCGCAGGCTACGGAGCCCTTCATCAAGCCGCAGCCGCAGGTCATGCCGATTTAGTCGGCTATATCCTGGACATTCACCCAGAACTCGACGTCGACGCCCCCGATGATCTCGGCCTGACTCCCTTCTACCACGCCTACACCAACGCCCGTTGGGACTCCACCGTGCCTCTCCTGCTGGCGCGGGGGGCAAACATCAATTCGCGCTTCCGCATCATTGGCGATGACCGCCGTGAACACGTCCTCTGCCATTCGACTCCCCTCGGTGAAGCTTGCCGGCTCGGCCGATTCGAGGACGCTGTGAAACTGCTTGACCTCGGGGCCGATGTCAACTTAGGCATTCGGCTCGAAGGTGATCCCGCCGATTGCATCCCCCTCTTGCACCTTTGTTGTATGGACTTCAGCGGGGACGATGAGTTTTTCCCCGAAAACGAGGTGATTTGGAGTCGGGCCCCGGCCCAGAGGGCGTCTCGAGCAGCAGTCATTGCGAGAATTGTCGCCTCTGGAATCTCGCCGGACGGAAGGTTTGCTTTCGATAGCCTCCCTGATGAAACCGCCCTCTCGGTAGCCGTGAGGTACGTTAACCTCGCCGCCGTGGAGGCCCTACTCGCCGCCGGCGCAGATGTTGGAGCCCGGGATTCGCGAGGGAGGAACGCGCTGATGGTATCCGTCGAGAGGCCGACGAGCAATTCTTCTTCCCAATTCAGCTTCGGCTACTTGGGGCGGAGGCCACAGCGGTCTTCTCTTGAGCCGTTATGTCTGGGCTCGCCTCAGACGGTGCATCCCGACACATGGATTATCACCAAGCTCCTCATCGAAGCCGGCACCAACCTGGCTGATGGCGATGAAGATGGTAACACCGTCCTACACCATCTCTTCGACCGTCTCTACGGCACCGATAGCTGGATCGAAACGCGCTCCGATATACGTGCTCTCCAGCTCTTGCTTGCTCGAGGTGCCGACCTTTGCTTGCGCAATAACCGAGGCGTCTCCGCCTTGCATGTCGCCGTTCGGAATAGACGTCTGTGGGCTGTCGAGACCATAGCAAAACAAAGCCGCATTGACCTCGTCGAAGCCTTTCCCATGCCGGAGATTGGTACCCTTTTCGACGCAGTGCCCCTCGAAGATCATATCAGGAAAGAGAGGCGCGACCCCAACTTGGGGCATGTTAGCGATCTTTGGCGGGTCGACAATCCAACCGTGCAGCTCCTCGACGCACTCGTCAACATGGATCGTTCGGGCCGCCTATCGTCCGACGTCGCCTTCATCTGCTCCCGGCTGCACAACCGCTACAACGAGGAGCCCGCGCTGGAACTTGCCGAGATCCTTTGTTTTCGGGGTCTCGAGGCGGGCAGCCTCGATGGCGAAGCCAAGCTGACGATACTACGTGCCGCCATCAAGGTCGCCCGGTGGGAGATGGCCCGCGCCCTTCTACGAGAAATTCCCAAGACGGACATCAACGCGCCTGACCCCGACGGCCACACCCTCCTCTCGCTCGTGACGTCGTCCAACCGGACGAGCGGTGGAGACTTTGCCTGGCAGCTCATTGAGGCCGGCGCCGACATCCACGCCCGCGTCCGCGCCACCCTGATTCGTGACCAGGACAGGACACCCTTAAAACAAGCCTTCATGCGCCCCGGGACGTACCCGATTGCCCGCATGCTACAGAAGCAGCCGATCCGGGGCAACCCGCGTGCCATCGAGGAGCGCTATCTGCACTGGGCCGTGACCCTGCCGTGGAACACGTCGCTGCCGTCCGAATGCTCCAGGTCGGTTTGGGTCAAAAGGGACAACATCATCCGCGCCCTCCTCGTCGCCGGCGCCGATCCCGCCCAGCTCGACAGCAACGACGACACGCCGCTGTCGCGGGCCGCGACACAGATGAGAGACGATGGAGATGTTCAGTGGGATATGAGCTATTGGGTCAAGCCCCTGTCTAGAGGCGTCGACGTGCACCGGAAGAACAAACAGGGTCGGAGTGTGGTTGACTACCTCGGCGACCCAGAAGATTACTGGGAATACCCCGACATTGAACGGATCCGTGACCTTCTGGTGGAAAATGGGGAGACTGACAACATGGAGATGTGATGGTCACAACGAGAGCGGTCGTCAAGCTTAGTGGCGCAAGCCCGACCGAGTTACATGTGCGCCTATGCTCGGGCGGATATTGCATCCTCGCGCGGGGTGAGCCGAGCACATCATTAGGGACCAGGAATGGGGACGGGGCGTAATTGATAGAAGGGCGGGGGGCACGGAACAGATTGGCCTCTATTGCTTTCCCTGTCCAAGGGGGTTCCCGGTATGAATGCAGCATCTCAGGGGTAGTAAACAAATAACCGTGTAATTGGCCCGGAAACCACAGACTCCCTACCTCGTAATGATGTACACCAAACTAGCAGGGAAGAACTTACCTACACGCATTCCCGGTATCTCCAACGTAGAACCTGTTCGGCTCTTCCGCACGAGAGGGCCTCGTCGACATGTTTCGTCCAATTGTTATGTACATGAGAAAAGGTCGTGGTCGGTTGTCTCTCGCTTGTCCGCACTGCTCTGGTGGCGTAGGTGCTTCGTATACTCAGGCGTAAGGGGAGATTTACTATAAACAGCAGCATTTCGATACGTCCAACGCCCCCAAATCCGAATCCATCAGCTCTCCTTGCGCCTAAATATTTCCCCGAGAGAAACCCGAAATTCTCCCACCCGTTTTGACAAGCGATTGCGGCGGTCTAAAGCAACCCGGGATTCGAGTATGCGTAGTACGTCTATCGAGAAGGTGTGTATGTCTGTGTTCTTGGGGGCCAGGCCGGCAAGTATCTTCACGTGTTCCATCGTAGGCTTGGTCATGCCAACCCGGTCGAACAGAGGGCGATATTTCTCTTGCGTTAGGAAGCCCAAGAGTTGCAGCCGCGCCTCTGTCTGGTCCGGATACAAGACTTCACCGAATATGATGTTGTTTAGCAGTCTTGAATAGAGGCCTGGGGATGAGAACAAGCCGGGATCCTGGTGAACCTGCTGCTTTAAATATACGGGAATAGGAACCAAGGCGGCAATTTCGAGCATGTTGTTGTCCTTAGAGACCATTGTGTCTAGAGTTCTCTCCAGTTTCATACCAGCGGTATGTAGGTCCGTAATTGCGTGGCGTCTGGCCATGAACTTGTGGGAATTGAGCCGGTCAAGAAGAATCATGACGTTCCCCATATCCGGGTGGTCAGCCGGAAAACCAGAAGCAAGACGGAGTACGGCCAAAAGCAAGCCGTTGACATCATGGTAGTGTTTAAGTGGCTTGGGCGTGACCGATTTGGTCAGAACTGCGCCCTTGACAATCCAGAAGCGAGCGTCAAAGTCAGGGTCGGTCGCCGAGGTGATGCTTGCCCAATTCTCGCGAACCCAATCGTTGGCTGTCCGGTGCATGAACTCCACGTGAAGCTGTCGTCCCCATAGGCTCTCGCTGTGCACCAGCTCCAACAAGCCTCCGGTGCGGCTCATCAGTTTCCGTTCCAACGATTTCGTGGCGCTTGTTAAATATTTGTTGGTGACTGCAGTGGCATCGAGGTCGATGGGGATCTCCCTATCCCCAAACCAAAGGGTCGTGGCAGCCAAAGTTATGTTGTGATCCTGGGAAGCGTTCATGACCTGGAAGAACTGCGACGCCTCGGCGCGGAACCGTTTGCTGGTTCGGTCCCAGATGTATCGGAACAAGTCGGCAACCTCGCTTGGAAGCCTATCGATGACTGCTTGTAAGGCCGAGATGCCGGCCCCTTCCCGGAAGTCAGCTTCTAGCAATCCGGAAATGACGGATACCCAGAGAAAAACGCCCTGTGCTTTGTCGACAATATCATCGATGATCTTGCGAGCAACTTGCGGGCTGGTGGCGGCGAACTCGTGATAGCCCGGGCTGAGCTCGAGTTGCTCCTTGACAAACGACTGGATGTCTTCTCGGGTAAGGTTCTCGAGCCGCAGCATGGGATTGTTGCCGTACGCATCCCTGAAGACATTCCATGGTCGACTACTGGCGCAGACCTTAACCCCGGCGGCTGCATTGGCGTCGCGAAGTATTTGGACCAGCTTGTCATGGTCCTCGTCAAACTCGTCAAGACCGTCAATGAGGAGAGCCAGCTTGAACTTTTCGCCGGTCCCACGGAGGAGGTTCCGGAAACCCACCACCAGCTCGTCCATCGTCGGGGCCGGCAATTTCACGTTTCCATCGAAGGACTGGAGAAGAAACCAGCGAGCAGGGAAGATATCGATGGCCAGCTGAGGTCGCTGCTGGATGGCCTCAAGGAGGAGAGTCCTAAAAAGTCCCTCGTGGGACTTTTGGAGTTTGTTCGCACCGGAAGTCCAGGAAAAAAAGCGAGCAACGAGCAGCTGGGACCCGGCCGCCCAAGTTCGAAGGAGCTGTTCAAACCTTGGGTCCTGGGCAAAGAATTTGACCAGCGTGGACTTCCCGGCACCTGGTTTGCCTGTAATCCAATAAATATCCCGGGAATCCTCCCGTAACCATTGCGGGAAGTTCGACCAGAGGGGATCACCATCTTCCGATGTCCGTGGGTCGTGGAATATCCATTCGAAGGTGGCCGCGTGCCGCTTGGGGATGCTTGTCTCGCGGTAGCTGATGGACTCGAAATATAGACTCTGGCACACTTTGTCGAGCTTGTCGGCGTCTTCCGAGTTCCTGTCGAGCAGGGTTCGTTTTGCATATTCACTTCCGTTCCACTTGTCGCTCAGCACGTAGCGCACCATCTCATCAACCTCGGCCTGATTGTCGGCAGGCCATTTATCGACGAGGCCCATAATACCCGTGCTGAATTGCTTGGTAGTGCTGTCAACACGATCTAGGGTGGCAATCATATCGGCTTGTTGCTTCACAAACTGGCGCAACTCTATTCCATTTTTCCCGGCTTCGTCACTGGTTGTTTATAAAAGGGAAAGGGAAGTCAGTCCGCCACCCTCTACACGCGTGACTCGGGGAGCAACTAACAGCAACAGGTACAGCAGCGCTACGTTCATTTGCTGTCGGATCAGATTCAGGCGGTTTGCCAGTTTCTCAATGTTGTCAGCGGTTGCGACCTGCTTGAGGGTAACCCGCCAACTATCCACAGCCAGGGCGACCTTGGTCTTTCCTCGGGCTTTGAGTTTTCCGAGTATTTCCTGGAGCTCGTGGTTGGTCGACGCGCATTCGCGACACAGACGGAGAACCTCTCCCCCCGGCCCTTCATTATCGCCGAGTTTAGCCTCAACGGCATCGGCGAGGCGGGAAAGGTCGTGGGACACGATGGAGAGCTCGATGTGTTTGGACTTTTGGCCTTGTGGAGACGTGTACAGTTCATGCGCGTTTTTTACGAGTCGGTAGCCGAAGTCGGCAAACTGAACCACGGCGGCCGCGGTGGAAAGTGCCGTCAGGGGGTCCATACCCGAGTATTCGGAAGATGGCTAGGATAAAGCTCGGGGACGGACACAGTCTTGCTGGAGATGTTGAGGTTCAGGAAGCGTCAAAGTTGGATGCTTTCGTGATCTGACCATACGAAACCCCTGCATTGCTGCCCGACCCCTTCATTTATCTTCGATGTGGTTGGTTCACTCATTCAACGTTCAGCCGCCCCCAATCCCCGCCCAGGCGGCGGGGATCCAGGCCATCCTACGATGTGAAGAAACTCAACAACACTCCGGACCCAAAGCTGGCTATTTGTGCCCGGAGATGTGACTTGTTAGCACGGAATAACGCGAGGTAACCTCACCTGAAATTATAATTTATGACTTCATGTGTATTAATGATTGTAGTTCCACAATTTAAGAACGAATATAATTGCTTCCTTGCCTTCCATTCCCTGTATGTACTCCCGGTGAGACGGCTAGAGCCCGTGACTAAATACAACGACCGCCAACGCTGGAAGAACGTAACAGAAAATTGAAAAACGAAAAGTCCCCTCCCACTGGTCAGTGGGTCAGTAGTGCTCTCCCCAATCCAACAGAGGACATAGCATATCAACCGAACATGAATTCATCTGCCGACGATCCAAAGAGCCAGGCCCGCAGCTCGAAAAAGGCGTCGAGGTCGTTCTTCTTGGATGAAACCGTCACGTTAGGATCGTGCCATCCATATGTTCTCTTGGTCCCCGTGTCATGAAGGAGTTCCCCCACCTGCCGGCAGCTGTCAAAGTCGATGATGGCCCATGACCCATCCTCCGCTAGCATAATGTTGGCAGGCGTAATGTCATTATGGACGAGACCGAGTGAATGGAGGTGTTGAATACCTCCCAATACGCCGTATAGCTGCGTCTTCATCGCCTCCTCGACAAGCGGTCGACCGCTAAGCAAGAAGGCCGACTTGTTCAAATGTTGAGGGTTGACTTTGCAAGCCAATGTTGAGACATATGTCTTGAAGCAGAGTCCGGATACTCGTCCCCGAGTTTCGAGACAGCCATGGTAGGAGGCAATATTTGGATGAGGATATTTCCGAAGGACTTCGCATGTCTCAACTTCAAGGAGGATCCGTCTTTCGAGGTCCGGTGCACCAGCATAGTCGAAAAGACTTCGAGTCTTGATGTAGCCGCTCTGCGTCGACGCTATCGTCCATGAAGATTGTACTTGGGGTCCTCTTCCGTCGGTCTCCACTCGTTTGACATCGTATACGTCGGAGAGACTGAGTGGTGGATGTCGTCGATCCTGCCACTTGCCAATGTACAGGCTGGAGTTGTATCGCACAATCCCTATCACAGAGTCGAACTGGAGTTTGTTGCCGACAACCCGAAATGTCTCATTAGACTGAATAATCTCCATATCTTATTATACCCAACGGGTGTGGGATTGTGTCGTGTAGGCGGCTTAGAAGCAAATTGACAAATTGCGGACTGGAGTTGATCCGTTGCAGAGCGGAAAATATTTGGGCTGACGGCTCACCAAGGACTACCACTCCTGTGCCAACCCAAGTACCAGGGTACCTACCTGTTCCCATGCTCGATTCTCCCGAACTCTCATCCTGAACAAGCCCATTCCTTCAAACACATTGCTTCCCTTTCATGGCACAATAAACCGAGCTACGGTCCTAGTTTCAAGACGCAACCTTGCCGTCGCAACACAGATATACCTCATGGGACCCCAATAAAGATCAAGTCACTATTGTACAAAGTGGAGGATCCCGTTGAAAGTGTATCGTAGGTACCACTCTTTGTATGTTGTAAGGAACAAACCATAGAACGCTCAACGCTAACATACTTGCTGGTCGCGGTTTCTAGAAGCACTTCTTGTTGCTGTTGTTGTTTACGCTTAAGGTCCGGATCGCGGGTCAAACCAATGTTACAAACCGCCGCACTCGTTGTTCGGGTGGAAAAACGGTCTCGTATCAACGGCCACAACCTTGCCACCCTCAAACTCGGTCCCGTTAACGGGAAGCACAACCCCTCCCGAAGTCGACACATACAACGTATGCTCGTCCCCAGGCAGCGTGCCAAACCGCGGCGCCACCGCTCCCGCCATGGTCATCTCATCCGGGGCGCCCGCAACAGTAGTATACTCCCCATCCTCCCCGATCGCCAACACCCTATTATCCGCATTCGTCGCCGCCCACAGCGTGTCCCTCTCCCCGGGCCCAAACACCAACCCATCCACAAACAGCGACCGCACCGTCGCCACATCCTCCACTACCGCCCCCGGCGCCGGATACCCATCATCCGTCATACGAATCCGATACAGCGCGGCCACGAACGAGTTGGTCCAGTACAGGTACCCGCCGCGCAGCGCCAGCCCGTTGACGCCGAACTGCAGGCTCGCCCACGGCGGGTAGTGCATGCTCGCCCAGTCGCGCACCGCCACCTCCCATCGCCGCGTCACTGTGTCGACCCGCAGCACCTGGCCCAGCGAGGTGTCGGCCACGAGCACGACGGTGGGGGTCTTGGGGAGGGCGACGACGGCGCTGAGTAGGCCGCTGTCGGGGATGTGCACGAGTTCTTGGATGATGGGCGCACTAGTGTTGTTGTTGGTGTTGTTGTTGTTGTTGCGTGTGGGTCGGAGGTCCAGCTGCCAGACGCCCCAGGTGCCGTTGCGCTGCAGGCCGAGGCTCTGCTGGATGCCGCCGGTGAAGGCGAAGACGTCGGGTTCAGTCTCGACGATACCCGTCACGCCGTTGATGACGTCAGTGCTGGGGATGCCGGCGAAGGTGTGGATCGTGGAGACGGTGGGGTTGTCGGTGGACGCGCCGGTCAAGTAGTAGATGGATGCGTTGGGGAAGACGGTGCCGAGCAGCATGTCGCCGTTGGCTCGGATGTGGAGGCATTGGAGGTAGGTGGGTTTGGAGAACTGGTGGACCAGTCTCATAGGCAAGGGGACGGATGGCCCGCAGGTCTTGTTAGCTTGAACGGGAGTACTGGACCCGAGAAGGAGCACAAGGCTCATGGGCAACAGCCCTATCGTGCTAAAGACCCTCATTTGGAGAGGTGTGCACTTTGTGATGTTAAGAAAATGCCGTGAATATGTCTACGACCAGGCAAGCGGTAGGTGTTGTGTAGGAAGAGGATAAGTAGGCCAGTAAAGTAATAGACCATTACTACAATAGAGCCCGGGCTTCTCGGGCCCACGACAAGTTTACTCTTCCCACAACCCGGTCACCACCCGGCGGCTTATTGCCAAATTGGAAGTTCAGGGCTGACTTGCATTTTCCGAACGGGGTCATCATGCATGTTCGGAGCGTTTCTTTCTTGGCATGCACCAAGGGGCCATGCCGCAGTGCCTCACAGGGTACTAATTTATCGAGTTGAGGCGTATGTAGACTTGACGACTTCCCCCTTTACTCTGGGGAAATGAAGGGTCCGCGAGCAGGACATACATTACTCGGCTCACCCAAATAGAATCGTTTCATAGCAGTGATAGCACCATGTCCGCCAATTTGTCGGGTCTTATGGCATACATACTTATACTGCCCATAACCAGCTAGAAGAACGGCAGTGGTACCCAGTCCATGACCCTCGGGAAGGTAGATGGAAGGTATTCAGCTATGTATGTTGGATTACTCGCGGACTTCCCAGAGATGCCAACCTCCTAATAGCTACCTAACTCTCTTACTGCCAGTGCTTGCCAAAAAACTCAAGAACGGCTTTGTAACCACGTGTGTACTCTTCCTCCACACGGGGATCAGCCAAGTCAGCCCGTGCAGCCATGAACCCATGCACTTGGTCACCAAACGTCTCAACATGGTGTGGCACAGCGAGGTTGCCCTCAAACTCCTTCACCGTCTCTACCGGCTCTTCTGCAGACGCCAATAGCGCGAACGGCACTGTGATACCCTTTGCATCCGCAGGGTCAACCATGGCAGGGTGCGGAGACGCGGCGATCTTGAAAGGGTTCGAAGCACTGGAGGTGGCCAGCGCGGCAATCTTGCCCCCCCAGCAGTACTTGTAGGAAGAACCGAGTCAGCAAGAAGCACACAAAAACACAGTGATGCAAGAAAGCTTACCCCGATCAGTCCCCAAGACTTGATGGACGGATTGGCCAGTTCTAGCGCCTTTACATATTCGGGTAGCGCTGCAGCGATGGCTTGGGGCGCGTTGTCCGGGTTGCTGAAGAACGCCCCCACGTTCTTCTGCTTCTCCTCAGTGTCCGGCGGAAACCTTGAATCCCGCATCTATCAGTGTCGTGCTTCGAAGCGAGCAAGGGTTAAGAAGAAAGGGGCTTACCATTCAACCGGGCAGGGGTTTCCCTTGAACCAGTCAGGCATGAAGACCTTGTACTGATGGCTCTCGTCGCCATAAGCCAGTATATCGGCTCCTTGAACTGTCTGGTCCGCGTAGCCAAAGATGTCGTAAACCGAGATGATGCCTTTCGTGGCGGTTGCCGGACCGGTGACGTCTTAGACGGTGTGAGCATTCCAACCGGAGGAAATGTAGCCGTCCTAACATGAATGAGAGTGCTTACAGGTCTTCAGACTTCCCAATTGCTCATACGAGCCTTTAGCAGCATATCCCGAGGCCACAACGGGAGGGATGTTGCAGCAGGCCTCGTTGTGACCGTGGCAGGCAGGCATGGCGCTGGAAGACATGGTGGCGGTTTGTCCAAAGCGTTGGAGTTTGGTGGAAAGAGATGAGAAAGAGTCCAAGGGCCCTGATGTGCCGGTGTCGAGACCGCAAGGCACGCGTGCGGGCAGACGGGCGGGTGTTGCCGTAGATTTAGCAGATATGTCGGCCGCGGAACCACGTGGAATTGCGGCATGATGCTGGTGATGCAACCGGCCGGCGCATGTGGCCAAGGACTCGGGATGCACAGCACGTGCCGGGAATCGCAGCTTGGAGGTCATTTTTGGAAAGCGTGTAAGTCTCCGTACCAGGTAAAAGAGTGGGCGAGTGCTGTTCCGTCGGTTTGTGTGAAAGTGGACGACCCAGCCCTTCGGAATTCGGGATATTATGGACGGTGTTGTATTGAATGCAGAACCGGTGTCACCCATGCCTTCCTGGGCAGTGTCGGAGGATCGGAGGATCCGCGGATATCCTCCTTTGAGTAACGGCGTGGTGCCGGCGGAGCACGGAGATAGGCGGGGATGTGCCCCGGATGCTACGCCACGCAGGTACAGACAGTACCCAGATCCAGAAGCGTAACGGCGTTGGTTCTTCGGGTGGAAGTTCGGCATCGGCAGAGAGTGCCGGGAAAAACATTCTGGTAGACACCAGGGTAAGGTGGGTGGGCTGGGCCGAGGAATATTCCCCATCCGTGTGAGGCCACGAGCGCCTCCGAATGTCAGCACCGCGAAGGGCATGTCTACTTCCCCGATATCCGGTCGTGTGCGCCGCTCAGCAAGTCGTGCACTTGAGGAACGTGGTGTCCAAAAGCAGGGTTCCATTTAACTTGGACATAATGCGAAATACGAAGCAAACGACACGAACGTAACCGTCGATTCACTTTGATCCTCTTGTTCCAGATACACACACCTTCCAACCTCTACTTGCAACCATGTCGAACTCTGTTGCCCAACCAGCGCCGGTGCCGGCCCTCGTCTCAAACCACCTCTTCAGCGCAACCGTACACCTCGGCAAGTTTCTGGGCCCCATTCCTCTCCTAGGAGGCGGCCAGCGCCTCGTGGAGCCGATTACCGGCGGTACCATCGCCGGGCCGGCCTTCAACGCCACCATCGAAGGAGGACTCGCAGCGCCGATTCTTGTTGACGACTTGGCGGGGAACGGCACCAAGGCACTGCTGGCTTATATCTGGGCCTACGGCACTGCCAGTGACGGGTCGGCCTTCTTCATCGAGGAGTCTGGTGTCGGCACTCCCGGGATCCAGAATACCAGGTTGCATATTCAAGTCGGCGGACAGTACCGGGATCTGCAGACGCAGTATGTGCTCGCGCGGCCGAGTGTGTTGAATGAGGAGAGAACCTTGGCCGAGGTGGAGTGTTTTGGTGTGCCGCTGTCGAGTCGGTAGGGAGGACGGGGATCGGGAGCTGGTTGAAACTGAGAGGAACTATGTAACTAAGACCCGGGCTCCCCCTGAGAGCTTGAATCGGAATCGTGGTGTTAGAGATACATTCCCCTCCTTTCCTTCTGTGCCATGTGGTCCGCGAGCTTTTGTGAAATTGCGTGCGGGCGTGTGTCAAAGCTGCTTCAGACGCACCAAGGTAAAGTTTAGGCTTGCAATGGTCCTAATCATATCTTCCATCTCTTGTATTTTTCCCTTGGGGATGTTAGCCGCTACCGGGAGTTATGAGGAACCAAATGACGATATAAGATTTGAAACAAATGGCCACGTCACTTGGGGAATCTGATCATTTCTACAACCACGCGTTCAAATTTGAAGGTACCAGCTTCTAGGGTAGATATTCAAAGTACTGGTACATACATACCTACCACTGCTCACACAAAGCCCATAAAATGCATCAACATCAACCACGCATAGCCAGCCACCGTCTTGAAGAGCTGAAACCACAATTCCATCCCTGTCAAACCGATAAACCGATTCAACAGAATAAACCTCTTAGCATATAGCGCAGCCTCGCGGTCTCTCTCCTGCTGCGTGATCTCCCCGCGCCATACGCGATCCATCTGCCAGCAGTGGCGGGCCGCCTGCTCCGACGCCATACCCAGGTGTGACCGGAAGGCGTTGTATGCGTCTCCGACAAGGACCAAGCGGCCATCGAAGAAACTGGCCTGGTGGTCGGTCCCGTCCAGGTCGGCAACCTTGGAGATGAAGGGGCGGGGCGTTTTGTCGATGATCTCGGCGAGCGGGGGAATCATCTGCTCGAGATGCCGCGCCTTTTGGCTGGCCCATACGTCCGGTTTGACCAGCCCCTGGGGCACGGTACTGGGGTGGATCTTACCGTTAGTGTCGGTGAAGATATCCGTCATCTCGCGCGAGCCATCCGCTGCTGGGTAGTACCACACCCAGTTCAGAAGGCGTTTGCCGGGTTCGACGTGGCCGGTTTCGGTGGGGATGATGTAGCTTGTGGTGAGCCGTCAGCCAAGGGAACCAGATTGGGTGTCCTGCCCCTAAACACGAATTATGGATGGCTCACCTGATACAATAAGTCCCGTTCATGAGGGAGAAGTTCAATCGGTTCGAGAAATATTCCACCGTCTCGGGCGACAGCAGTCGCTCCGGCACCGTGCCACGCCAGCCGATGTACCCGGAGTACTTCTTCTCCGACGGGACGTGCAGGATCTTCCTGACGGTGGAGTGCACGCCGTCTGCGGCGATGACCGTCTCGGCACTGATGGTATCCTTCTCGCCCGTCTTCACGTCTTCGAACTCGACGTGGACGATGCCCTCGTCCTTGCTGTACCTCAACCCCATGGCGCGCTTTCCGGGACGGTACGCAACTTCCCCGTCTCCTTTCCTCGGCGGGGGCGCGTCTGGCACCATCTCGGAGGTCTTCCCGTCGAAGTTGGCTCGCAGGATGAGGTACAGGGTGCCCCAGTTGCTCATGTGTCGGGGAGCGGGGTGGTTGATGATGCGGAGGTGCTTGCGCCAGGCAACGCTGAGGAAGCGGGCCGGGATGGCGGACGGCCGACCTGTTGCGTCGTACTTGTCGAACAGGGAGACCACGCTGGGCCCGATTTGGACTCCGGATTCATGACTGTGGCGGTCGTCGGAAGGATCTTGCTCGAGAACCGTGACATTCACCCCGTTGCGTTTGAGTTGGAGTCCTTGGAGAAGGCCAGCGATTGATCCGCCGATCTATGACATTAGAAGCTCGTGTGAGCCATGGATTGTTATGGAACGGGGCTTGTTGTTGCGAAGAAAAGGGGGTGGCCAATGGCATGGATGACTTACAACAATGGCCGTCTTGGGGTATGGCATCTTTCTTCACACAACGTACGGGCGGGGGTGTCCAAGCTACAGTCCCGGCCTTCTATTTCGGGATAATGTCGATAATGGGAATACCGTGTAGGTAATGTGCTTAATGGAAGTGGGCAAAGTCAACCGTGAACTGGGCCCCGGGGCCGTAATCTTCCTCCGGCGAACCTTTATTCAAGACTTGGGTGCCGGGGGACCTGCAAACTACCAGGGGTTCAGGAATGTGCTGGCCATCACGTTGCGTGACTTGGACGCGGCATGATGCTCCCACGGATATTTTGCAACGCTGCAATACCGCCGTGCTTTCATCATCGATGGGGTAATCAGCTTTCGTGATCCCGATCCTTTGTCCGGATCCGGAGGAACAACACCTTTCGGATTCGTTGGCACGGAAAGCTTGTTTGGGGCGCTTTGGAGCCGACCCTCCGATGCACCAACCCCTGTCACGTCAGCCGAACTGCCGGAGCAACCACCTCCCCCCTGAGAGCCAAGAAATCGGAACCTCGACTTTCTCCTTGGGGAATTTCGCCGATGTTAACGTCATAGGGCTATCTGATGCTGACAATTGGGGATGAGATGATTCCCACTCACGCGCACTTGGTTGTGGACTGGTATCACCTGTCCAAACCACACGACAAACAATACCACCTCCCGTTAATACAAGGGAGAATGTAGAAGATATCTCGACATGCTGCAACCCTCGTAACGGTGCCCTATTACAAAGACTATGGTCTCCGTTTAGGCACGGCGCACCAGGGATCTCAAAAGATGTTTTAACACCCTGTGGCCGGGAGGGTTGGGGTGGAAACGTGACGGCCCCCGAGTAGCAACTACCTAGGTACCTAGGTAATCACGGTGAGAGTAACAGTGACCGGGTCAGGGGGCGTTCAATGATTCGTTGGCAGAGCTTTGTTTGGTGATCAATGATTTCCACTCGGGCATGGCACTGTAGGTACAAGGAGGGAGAGCAACATGCTCAGGGGTATAATCCCGATTTAACAGTGTCCGAACTATCAACCTATGTAGACGGGGCAAGCAGTGCCAAAAAGGCCCCGCCTCGTACGAGCGAGCCCGCGCCCTTGGATCGAACGTGAACAATACATCCCCACTTCTTCCACGGCACGCTTTCAGTCCATAAGCCAGGAAAACTCCTAGGAAGCTTCCTCATCATCAAGATTGCACGATGGGGCTTAGAACGTAAGAGTGGCACCGCTGCTCTCGGTGCTGCTCTTGGCGCTGGCAGAGCCGACGAGGGTGTACTCATACGGGACCTCGAGGGAACCAACGGGGGCGTCGTTGGTCGAGCCACCGAGGTCGACGTCGTTGACGGCGGCCGTGCCTTCGATGTCGGAGTCGATGGAGGTGATGGCCCGCTTGGCGTCGACAAAGGTGCTGGACTCAACCAAGACGACGGCGCCCATGCGGGTGTTGACACCCGAGGTGGAGATGGTTTCGTAGTAGTTGCTGGAATCGCACAAGTCAGCGGGACGACTCACATGCAGCTCGTGCGTAAAGCATGGCGACTTACTTGTAAATGTGAGCGGTGCCGAAACGGATTGAGGGCGTGCGGCTGTTGATGTTGATCCATTTGTTGTTGGCATACGTGACACGAAGCGTGCCCGTGTCCTCGTCGGCGTTGCTGTCGGAGTGGCCGACAAGCGAAGCCTTCCACTATTTTGAGTTTGATTTGGTCAGCCGCTTAATCCCAGATTTATCCTAGGGGATCTAGGCTTACGTGGTCATGGAAGTGGCTGTTCGAGACCGTGATGTAGTCACCTGCGTGGGTGATGTCCAGCAGGCCGTCGTAGAAGTCCTTGTCCACCTCAAGGTCACCACTGATATCGAGGTGATCGAGCCAGACGTTGGTGGCCTCCTGGACACCAATGCAATCACCGCCCTCGACCTTGCTGAGCTTCAGGTTACGGACGATGACGTTGCTGACACCCTTGATGAAAATGCTGGCACCGGTGATGGCTATAATTGTGGCTTGTTAGCAAGTTTGTGACCACGCGTCGCAGTCACCAGCGAGTTAGTCTTCTCTTACAGGCGCCAGACTGTCCGAGAATGCTCGTGTTCGCACCAACCCTCACGGTGCCACTGCCGCTGATGCTGCCGGAAACCATGATGATCTTCTTCTCATCACCCTCGGCAGCAGCGGTGAGCTCGTCGAGGCTGGAAACGGTTGTGGTCGTGCCACCCGCGCCGCCCGTTGTACTGTCGGAACACGGTATTAGTGGATCTGGGGCAACGCGGTGGAGGGGATTGAATGAGGACGTACCCTCCGTTGGTGGAAGCATAGCCAATGTCACAGCTGTCCTCAGGAGTGGCACGCTTGAATACCGGAGTGGGCGTGGCGGCAACGAAGCCCGCCAGCGTGGCGATGGTGGCGGTGAAGAGGAACTTCATGTTCGGTTATGCTTCTCTGAGGCGTCTTGAGAGCTTTGCAGAAGGTGTGCGATGGGGATGGGGATTCAACATGACGTTGCGAGGGCAACTTCGCCGTTTATATCCATCATCTTGCCCCTACACCTTCTTGCGCACGTACGGGTCCGGTACTTAGACATCCAACGTAACGGTGGACGGTCGCGCACGAATGTCGAAAGAATTCTACACGAATGAGAACGCGCTCTCTGGGAAGTTGGAGCACAGCACGTGTGAATCCACCCACAGCACTTGACATGGACTCATTGACTATGTTACCGAGGTGTGGGGTTGTGTTAGGGGTTACCGGAAGTGTAGCTGCCGCCGCCTGCTTGGGGCGATGCGGGACATGGGAATCTGAAACGAAACAACCGGGTTTTGACTGGAGTTCGACCTCAGATGGCCCGAGAGCAAGGTGCCAACGACGATCTTTCTCCCTGAACGATGATGGCTGCCCCATGGGGAAACCAGGGCACGTGTCGGCGAAGCAACCGTCATATAATTCTCCACCAATGGCGCTGGAGGGTAGTGGAATGAAGCCAGGTTGACCGGCTTGAGCCTCAAACTCTCATTCATGCAACTTGGGCGGCGAGACTTTGATCTCTTACTGGACAGTTGCGAATAATTGGTGCATTGGCCCACGTCCGCCTCAATTATATTGCTTGTGCAAGCATTCCGAAGGAGCGTCGGAGCTCCGACGCCCCTTTGTAGAAACACTGCCGTAATTGTGATGGTTTCGCGATGGCCGTTGCGCAGAAATGCCATGCGAGTTCCACTCTAGGCCCGAGTTGTGAGTCTTGTGATCCCGGACACAAGAGATCATACGAGGTACCTACCTCAGACGTGGGATATCTTTGGCGCAGATGAAAACCTCCGATATCCGCCCCGTTGCAACACCGAAAGCACTCTGCGCTCTACCCTTTGTCCAGATTGATTGCCACTTGCCAATGTAAATGCACCAACCGTGAACATGGCCGCTGCTCTCCTTAGGCTCATCACGGTCGCCACCGCCGCGGCAGTCGTGCTTGGCCACGCCGTCGTGCAGGATCCTACACCGCGTCGTGTAAGTGCTGCCAGTCCTGTTGTGAGGTACGAAGATATGATCCAGGCAGGCTAATATCCACAGGCCGGCTCATCTTATACAGAACGTTGCGGCAGCGTCTATGCCGAGTTCATGGAAAAGGGTGAGCACGTCTCCATGACACAAGCTGCCGCTCAATCTGCCCAAGCGGGATCCAACGCCCGTGCACCGATGGCTAACAGAAGGTGCAGATAGAGCTGGCCCCATCGAAGACGGGGTCCAAGAAGCCGGCTCCGAGATAGGCTGCAATCCTTACCTCTGCCGTGGCTACCAGTATGAGGACAATGCCGCGAGTGAATACAAGCCGGGCCAAGTCATCGACTTCCACGTTGACCTGATTGCTGGACATCGTCCTGGCTATGCGGTAGGTAGCAGCGGCCTTGACCTTTCAAACGTAACGGGTGTGCATTAATGCTGACACAGATTACTTTACAAGAACGTGTCCATAGTTGATCTAGAAGCGAACAAGATCATCGGCAGTCCGTTGCGGTCCTGGGATACTTGGCCAAATTCCACGGCAACGACCCGCCGGTCCGACAGTAAGTAGAATGCTTTTCCGTGCACCCAGTTTGAGCTTTTGATTCACACGCTAAAACTATTAGTCGACTTCAATGTCACTATTCCCAGCACGCTTGGCGCGGCTTGCAGCACGGGAGGCAAGTGCGCCATTCAGTGGTACTGGTATGCCATCAAAAACGAGCAGACGTATGAGAGCTGTGTCGACTTCTATGTCACGGCGTGAGGAGATCCATCAGGTCTGGCTGGGGAGAGTGGCCACGGTATCAGGAGTGGCCGTGAGGCTCGGACGGAAAGAAAGGTTATCAAGACCTGGAACCCGGGGGTCGATCGTAGTAGTACGGGGGGATACCGTGCATAGGTAGTGTAGAAGGGAATCTGTTAGACATAAGTGAGAAGGAGGAGAAAGAAGGGCAAGGTATAATAAACGTGCATGAGCTGGAGAAGGATACCCTCCTGGGAAGAGCTTTCGAGCTACCCCTTGCCGGTACACAGACGCCGTAACGCCTGCGGTTAGGGATACGCGACAAGACTCGGTACCTTAGGTACCTCGTGGAGTTACCCTAACCCCTGTACTATCAGAGTTGCACTTCCAGCCGCGTACCCCTTAGTTCTCTCAACAGGATGACTTGACTGCGCACCCGTACCTACCTACCTAGGTAATCATCACCCTTTCTAATTATCACATTTTAGATGATAACCACGCTTTCTTCCTTCCAAGTCTCCTCCATCACCTCCACAAGCACTTTGTCATGAAATTCGTCCTCCTTTCCGGCCCATTCCCGCGGACCGAGGCGAGTATCAAGGGAGTTTTCCCACATCATGATTTTAGCGAGAAGATCCGGCGAGCACACATTTCGCTCGTCGCGTCCCCGTAGTGTAACTACTCCAACACGGCGATACACGTTGTTCGGGGCTTCCCTGGTCGATTCCAGGACTAGCAGGCCCAACGACTCATGATCCCGAAGCATCTGAAGTGCTGCGAAGTGCACGCCGGACGGAGAAGAGTACCTGAGTTCCACCTTCCCTGGGCTTTCCCTCTCGACCATCTCTGAGAGATGCCGTTCAAGTGCGGACATTGATGCGTCCTCGCATTCCCATGCCTTGTTGTAGAGTCTCGGCAGCCTCTTGAGACGGCCAGTCAAGGTGATGGTGTTGGCGCTCCCCGTTTTCAGAGGGCCAAATGGCTGGCGTTTGTCGACGAGGTCCACTTGTGCGTTCTCGACCCGTGATAAGGGGATATTCCAATCCTTGTGGTCGTGATTGACGAGTCCGCACCCCGCGCTAGCCCAGCTCCAAGTTGGAAACACGTCGTTGTCTAGAGGGCTTCGAGGAATCAGCGTTGCCCCTTCGATGTACCACATCAGACCACGTATCATGTCTGATTTCCACAGACCGGCAAAGTAATCTTCGCTTCGGATTGCATCGCCAAATACCTTGGCAAGACCCGAAACTGCGACGAGGCGATCGCCAGGGTTTGTGAACTGCCGAGGAGAGTAATTCTCGACGAGGTCGTACCACAGACGAAACATTTCCGGCTCGACCTTCACCCATTTGGCTGGTAGACAGTACGGAAACCTCTTGAACTTCGAAAATGTATCCGATGTCTCGAGCCATATGTATTCGGGGTCATGGACGCGATCGTCAAAGTTCTTCAGCACATGGTCAAGACTTTTGGTCACGCCTCTTTCAAACCTCTGCTCATTCTTGCATTTCCACATCATTTGAGAAGAGGTATAGTATAGCAGTCGATTTGGGAGGAGGCCTTCCTGCATCGTCCATCCTCGACTGTTCCAGGGTCCGTTGGCTAAATCTTCTTGGGCGGGCCATTCTGGCGACAGGAATACATTTGCTCGTGGGTCATCCCGGGCAGCATCCCCCGATGGGGTATCTGATGCTGATATGGGAACGTATTGCTGGAGTCGACGCTTTGTCAAGAACCCATCCTTGACAGTCTTCGCACTGGCGGCGACAAGCGTGAGAACCGAGCCCCCATAGATTTCGTTCATCTTGGGGGCCTGTTCGTTCCACTCGTTGGCATCTTTGTCTTGGAGAATGCACAGTGCATCGATCCAAATATAGGGGATATCCAGGGCCCTTGCAACGAGGATTGCGTCTCGCACAGTGGCATCAAGAGAATCGAGGCTTTCGCCGCCCGAGAGCATCCCGCTCTTTAGTTTATTCATGTTGGCCCTTGTAAGCTTCACGGCAGGCTCAAACCCTCCCCAGCAATAGCTGAGGCACAACCATTTGACAGGCGGTGAATTCGGGCCCATCTCTACCAGGAACGGATGCTGGGTTGTGTTGCCGACGTTGATCAGCCGCTTTGGCGGGTGATGAAATTCGAGAGGGGGCTGGCAGAGATTATGATTCCTCAAACAGTTTTGCAACCAGCTGGAAGCGGTCGCGAGTGATGATTCAGAACCAGGGTCTGTGTTCACCTTGTACAGGATCGGCGGCGGATCGTCGTCCTTGTCCAAGGTTCGGAAGACTTCGGTGACTGCTGACAATGTCAGATGAAATCCTGCGAAATCCCCGTTAACTGGTACTCGGGCCGTGCGTACCGCTGGCATCGTCCACGCATAAATCCAGAGTGCATAACTCGATTGGCTCTTCTCCCGAGGAGAAACAAACTTGAATCTTGTTGTTGAATGCTCTGAGGATGATGGGCAAACCCCTTGCGTCTTCCGGATCTTTGACTCCTCTCCGTTCGAAGGCTTGGAATATGATTTGGCAGAGGTGGCATTCCGGGGCGCATTTTCCCACTTCAAATACATCGCTGTGATGCTTATTGATACATGACGAGCCACTGAGTGTGGATGGCACATCATAGCCGTCACCGTTGTCAGTCATATCCTCCGCCTCCGCTCGTCCGGCTTGCCATTGCTGAATGCAGGCAACGAGGAGCGAACGAAAGTCGACGCGCTTGCATATCTCACACAGGGCCATCATAGATTTGGCAAGACTGAGCGAGACGAAAGACGAACTTGAGGCTGATTGTACAGCGTAATTCAATGTCCTAAGATGGCGGGTTGGTTGTTGTAAAATCGTGGCTCTTATCAAATTGAGCGTCAACCGCCTCAGAGAGAGCTGTTGAGAGGGGTTGTTGGATGATCCGGGATATCGATTGGTTGCTTGAAATCAGATGCATCATCCAACACAGACTGGGGAGAAATCCACGTGGGAGGAGGCCGCGGCCAAGGCTGTGTGAACTGCACCGTCTTGTCATGGGCTGTAGGCTGTGCCCACATGCCGCAGCAACCTGTGGGATGTGCTTCGTAGGTGGAGTGTGGCTGAGACTTCATCCCAACATCATTTTGTCGCAGGATCAACGGTTCATCGTACACCGGCCCATTGGTAAGTCCGGTACACCATCCAAGAGGAATCCAACCCTTGGAGAAGCGGTCGATCCATGTAACGTTAAATGTCATCCTTTCGTCAGTTCCCGCGTTTCCGTTTCCCGTCTCTGGCACTCTTCCCAATGATATTACGCAGTGAGGGTCTCTTTCGAGATTCCAGACCAGCAAAGTAGTGGGTTCTTAGGTAACTCCGGAGCTACTATATATTCCCACCGTGTCCGTTACACTCCTGCCAATACCCGTTTCTAGTGCCAACATCTGTTACTAGGGCTACCACTGACGCCAACGATGTGGTCTCAAACAGAAATATCCTGGGCACTGGCTGCCGTCTTGCTGGCGGCCCAAGATGCCGCTGGCCAAGCCACCGTCACATCCACACGAGCCATTCCGCTACCCACGGCGCGCCTTCCAGATGCCTTCGAAGTCCCCGCTGATTTTCCCAGCGTGGGTTTCGAAACAGCTTTCCTCCCTGGATACAACAACACATTCTCCGACAAGCTCGTAGCGTCGCTTGCCTCGCGCATGGCCGCGCCACCTGTCATCAGGATCGGGGGAACCAGTGGGTAGGTGGGCTTGAGCCGCTTCACTCCCTCGCGCCATTATTATTGAGTGCTACAACATGCTGACCCGCCGCAGGGACAAAATCAACTTCAATCCAGGCCAAGCAGAACCGGCACACTGCATCGAGACAGATAAGCCTTGTAACTCGGCCGCCAGGTTCATCCTCGGGCCGACGTACTTTGATGCCTTCAAATACTTTTTCAAGTCCGCCCACTTCTCCATCCAAGCCCCGCTCGGCGACGGCGAGCCTAACGGCACCAACATCATCGCCTATGTTAAGGGTGCCTACGACGCCCTAGGCGATGCCGCCCGCATCAATGCCGTCGCCATCGGAAACGAAGTGAACTGGTACCACGAAAAACAGTATGATGCTGCTGAGTACGTCGCCGATGCACAAGTCGCCAAGGACGCAATCACCTCGGCCGTGGAGCTCGGAAGCGACCCAATCTGGGAGATCCTGGACACGGCGTCCGGGCATGCGTCCACGGGCAACGCCCCGTACACGGTCGAAGGCGTGTTCGACGCGGGCATCAACCAGGACGGCAAGGTCAAATACGTGGCCGAACACTACTACCAGTTTGACGGCAAGACCCACGGCATCCGGGACCATCTCCTCAACCACGCCGCCCTCAAAAACAAGCTCGCCAACTACTTCCCCAGCATCCGAGCGACGCGCAACACGGACGGGGCCAAGTTCATCCTTAGCGAGACGGGCGGGCCGCTCGGGGTGAGCGAGGAGGTGCAGACCTTCTTCGCCAACACGCTGTGGTCCGTCAACTTCCAGCTCTACGCCATGAGCCGGAACGTCAGCCGCGTCACGGGCGTGCAGCGGCCCGAGGCCAAGCGCAGCCTGTGGATCCCCACCGACGGCCTGGCCGTCCCGGGCCCGCGCGTGCAGGCGCCCTACTACGCCCTCCCCTTCGTCGCCGACTTCGTCGGCAAGACGGCCGCCGGCGGGCCCCGAGGCGTCGTCAACATCGACCTCGAAAGCCCCGTCCTGAGCGCCTACGCCATGTTTGAGGGCCAGACCCTGGCCCGAGTCGCCGTCGTCAACCTGCGCGAATATGCGGGCGGGGCCACGCGGAACGCGGTCAAGGTCCGTCTCGAGAACCTCGGTGCTGCCGTCAGCGAGGTCCAGGTCGGACGGCTCCATGCCGATGCGGGCACGGCGGCCGGGGGCTTTGATGTGAATGAGAAGAATATCACGTGGGCTGGCCAGCAATGGAGCTACAAGGTGGACGGGGGGGAAGGCCACGGGACGGTGCGGATGACGACTCTCGAGGTTACTGGAGGTGTGGCAGAACTCGTCATTCCGGATACCGAGGCGGTGATTGTATATGTGAAATAAGCTTTCCGTTGCTGGAGGAGGAGTAATAATAGATACAGGGCCCTTAGAGTTCATCGTTTAAAGATGTCGGAGCGGAGGATGCATGGAATGGCTGAAGGCTCTGGTTTTGTACGAGGAAAAACAAACCCCCTGACGCACCGGGGTCATCACAGATCACAACGCAGGCAGCAGAATAATTCATAGTATAAGACTGATAGTAATAGAACAAAACTTGTGGTACAAATCTACCGTTTCGAGACTGCGTATAAAGTCGTTGGGAACGCCGTACCTCCCCTTGAATCTGGGTATCCTACGATGGAAACCAGGTTCGAAGAGAGCTGAGAGTACCTCCCTACCTACAAGTACCTATGGTATTTAGCAGACCCAGATTATCGGGTAGAGGCCCAAGACTTTGCACGCGTCGAGGATCTCTTTCATGTATCCACATACTTGCCATTCTCCTTTACAGACGTTTCGATTCCCTAGAAATTGATCAGGGTTGCTGGGCGGGAATATGCTTCAGCCTGGAATGTCCGTGCAATGAATTAATCAGTTTTGACAGGACGAGGTACACAAGGTGTTTTTGAGCGAACAGAAGTCACGGTGAACGGCATACAGGTCCCAAATTCTCGACCTCACCCCCTCTTCCCAAAAGGACCCGCTAAGCCTAAAGTAGTTAGCCCTACTAACCCCTGAACTGTTGGTGTTGCTGTCTTCAACGTTCGAGTCCGATTGCGTGAAGATTCAAATTGCAATACTAACTTCAACCTAAAGATAAAAAGATATTAGTACCAATCGAGCCAGACAGCTCTAGTCTAGCTACCCTAGATAATTGCGACCGAATTTATTGCGTTGAAAATGGGCTTTTCGCACTTGAAAGAAAACCTATCCTACCTTTGAGACGGCATTTTACACTAACAGATCGCCCTTGACCTGGTCAAAGCGTTTGCTTAGCTCCTTGGCGAGCAGGGTCTCCAAGCCCTTACTCCCGGGCGTGGGTCTACTAAATTTGGGACCTGAACCCCCAAGACCGAAGTCACAACCTACCTACAGATCAGGCAGCTAAAGGACAGATGATAAGACATGAGATGAAGGAACACTCAGACCGGCTCGGCTGCCACACCCCTTATCCTCAATCTCTCTTACTTCCACGCGGCTTCGTCCATCTCTCCTTCCAGCTCCCGGATCATCCGCTCGTCGTTCGGCGCCCACCCTAGCTGCGGCACTCCGTCCACATTCAAGATCAGATCTTCCTCCTCGAAGGCCCCCCTCACGATGTCCGTGCCCAGCGTGCTCGTGAGCAGCAACTTGACGGTGGCAGCCACGCTGCTGTCCTCGGCGAGGCGGATGAGGGCCAACAACACGGGCAGCGCCTCGTGCTTAAGCTCGTCCCGCTCCAACAGGTACACACCGTCGACGATGCAGAAGACCGTGGCGGTCTCGGGCAGCTGCCGCACCAACCAGCCCAGCAGCTGGGTCAGCGCGTCGAGCCCCCCCGCTTGCAAGGCCGCGAGGTCGACGTCGCTGTACATGTACCGCGTGTCGAAGGCGTGCTGCCTCAGCAGCTGGTCGATGAGGCTGGCGAGCATGGCGCGCCCGCCGACGCGCCCGCCGGCCTCGGCCGGGTCGATGTGCTGCCCGCAGAACCACAGCGCCGACACGAAGCCCTCCTTGGCCCGCAGCGCCTGCGTCATGGTGGCGCAGAGCACCGACAGGGGTGAGACGTCGGCGATGGTCTCGGGCGGGCTCAAGTCCCAGTGCACTAGGAGCTTGGCCGAGGATGTTGACACGATCCAGCGCTGGAAGAGCTGCGTGTTGATGATTTGCTCTGCCTGGGTGCGCTCCCCTTCCAGCAGCTGCCCCTTCTTGTCGTTGATGAAGGCGAGGTCGGCCAGGTCGAGGTCGGGCGTGTCGAGAATCCGCCGCAGGCCCTCTGGGCAGATGTACGGCCCGATGGCGGGCGCATGCGGCTGGGGCGGCGGCAGCGTCCACCGGCCCTGCTGGGATGGCGTGGCGGCCAGCAACCTCTCGTTTATGATATGGAGGCGCTGGTTCTCCTGCTGAGCGGCTTTGAGCTCCCCTGTAGACGAGGCATCAGAATGTAATTCCCGCCCCTACAAAAGTCCTGAACTAGGATGTGACTCACGGTCCTTTCGCAGCACGTAGTCTTCGAGCAAGTTGTTGAGCGAGTTCATGCCGTTGCCCACGTTCTGCACCATCTGCACGAGCTGCCTGCGGAACCTTTGCGTCTCGCGGGAGTCTTTGAGAGAAGAAGGCACGAGTCAGTCGCTGAGTCCTTCGGTGGGCTGTGGGCATGCGTACCTACACATGTGGAATTCATGAATGTGCGACTTTGCGGCTTCCTCCATGAGACTTGAGCTCCTCACCTTGATCATGTCGAGGCTCTCTACCATGCTCTTCTCGTAGTCGCCGCCGTTGAGCAGAGCTTTGCCACCCCTCAGGACTTTACCGCCGGTATGACGCGTCAGCCTAGTCGGTGGCTTGCTTGCAAACCAAGTAACCGAGACTCACACTCGTTGCTTATGAAGAAGCCAATGGCCCGCTCGATGGCGTCTAGCGTCGTGACGGTTAGGTCCACCGCGGCCCTCCGGATACGTACGTCGCCCCGGAAGGTCCCCAAGAACAGTTCGACGTCCGAGAAGATGGGGATGAGGCCGTCAAACGCGTCGACAGCCTGTTGGCGCACGCACGCGGCAGTCTTGACAGCCTGGGGCACCAACGTGGTTAGTTACCGTAGCTATGCGACTCGGGGCTGCCGGCCGCCTCTGGCCCGCGCTGGGCTTACATCCAAGACCAGCTCCACGGCAGCCAATACCGGCGTGGCAATGGGATCGCAAGGGGCAGCTTTGGTGCCAAACCCGGCGGCCCCTGCCACTGGCGTGATGTTGTTAGCCACCGTCCGCCGCATTTTCCGCAGCCATCCTACCGGCCCTCCCACTTGCTGGTACTTGGCCTGCGCCGCTTCGAGCCGGTGGTAGATCTCGTCCCAACTTTCCGGGCACCGGATGCTATAGTCGGTGCTGGACCGGCCCCGGGGCTCCTTGGTCTTTTTGAACTCGGTCATGGCATCGGGAAAGATGCCGTTCCAGAACCCCATGGCGTTGATGTTTGTCCAATCCGGCCTCGGTGGGAGGTCATCGCCGTCCGGAGGCGGCGCCAACGCCTGGTTGTTTGGGGCGTACTCCCCAGACATCGGGGCGTACTGCTCGGTTACGGGGGCGTACTGCCCAGACATGGGATCGTACTGCACGGGTGGGTTCACAAACATTGGGTGCTGCTTTTGGACGTGATGGTCAATGTAGTCGACCGTCACGGGACGACCGAATCCTGGTATAAAAGAGCCTTGACCCGTCATGACCGCGGCGTCGAAAGGGAAGAGGTAAGAGGCTCTCGACGACGGTTGATATTCGGGGGACCCCACCCTGCCATGTCCGCCTCTGTCGTCAGGCCTGATTCCGGGACCTTCGTCACCGGCTTGCCGAGTTGAGCACTTGATCTGCGGGGATAGGACCGCACGCTTCGGACGGCTGGACAGCAAATGCAGTATGGCATGGCTGAAACCCATTAGCTGCATGCTCCTGTTTGTCGTCCGAGATGCCCGACCACATAACACCGCAGCATTTCTGCGGGCTTTTAGGGCCAATAAAACCACAGACCCCGCTCGTCCTCGCCTGACCACCACCTCCTTTTGAGGTTGTAATACACGAGCCAAGGGTGGGACCGTGAGGGGTAAGCGGGCTAGCCATGCACAATATTGCGGCTGAGGTGAGCCAGCAGGGTAGGTTTGTGGCTTTGTGCCCTTCAGACGGGGCTCTGGAGCTTGCGCCGTGAATTAGCACGAGTATATCAGATACCCAGGGTAGTCCCATGGAATACTCCAGTCCACGGACTCACGAGCCCGCCCTGTCAAGTCTTGGCAGGTTTCTCAGCCATCAGCGTAGCCTCGGCCAAGTCCTGCTCCTGACTCCTTTCGTCCCTCTCTGTTCCCACGAGAGCTTCTCGGCGCTATATTCTACGCCTCCAAAGTCTAGTTAGCGTACCTGCTCTACGCCTAGGTCGAGATCGGGACTGCAAAAATGGCGTCCGGTGACTCTAGCTCACCGACGGACGAGGCTGAGACGGTGGACTCAACCGTGGGCGACACAACTCTGTCACCCCTGACTTCGAGTCAAGATAGCGAGGAGGGTCGCCAAACGGAAGGCGCCAATGCCTCAAACATTCCGGCCATAAATGGCCAGAAGCTTACGGCACGCGGTGTTAGCGGCTTCGCCGACGAGGTCCGGGCTCTAAAGATGAAGCTCCTTGAGCTTGAGAAACAAGCCCAGAACAACCCGGCAGCCGTCGAGGGAGAAGAATCGCGCCCGCAGCTGATGGATGATCTGGAAGAATATAAACGCATGGAAGCCTGTCTCAAGAAACATCGGAAGGAATGGGAACGCGCGAGCGGGCCGGGTAATTGGGGTATTACGGACCGCCACCGCCGCTTCTACATGTTAAATGGAGAAGGATTGCACCCCCCGTTTAAGCTCAACTGGGACCACAGGCAGGAACGTGTATACCAGCGGCCGGGTCTCCTCGAACTCTCCCGCATGGTGGCAGACGGCCAGGAGCAAAGGGGGGTCGACACGTACGATGAATTTGACGAAATCATCGACTACGGCAGCCGCCGCGATAGGCTCCGCAAGAACTTTGAGTGGGAGATGGACCGCATCTACCTAGTCGAAGAAATGGACCGCCGTAGGAAAGAAAAAGCCGAAGCGGCGAAGGCAAAACCAAAGGCGCAGCCCGAGGGAGACGGGCAGCCCGAGGACGCGGAGCCGCCCCTCACCAAGGTTGCCCAGCCCCAGCTCAACCGGTTAGACTGGTCCGCCTTCAGAAGGCTCGCCGCCGTGGAGGAGAAGGATGCATTTGTCGTCGACATTCTCATGGGCGAGCCCAACGTCGACGACGACCTCGGTGACTATCAGCACTGGTTCGGCTTCTCGGGCCAGGTCCACAAACGGGACATAGCCCCGGACTTCAACGGCCCCGCGTCCGTGCTGCCGGGGCAGCCGCAGGTTCCCGAGAGAGTCCGGATCCACTCCGAGGCTCTTACTCTAATCCTCAGCACCATCTTGGGGAAGGAAATGGGTGGAACGACCGTCGTTTTTATCAGGCCCTTCAAGGCGCTGGCTTATTGCGAGCAAGCGCTACGAGGCTGGTGCACGGCCCTGGAGAAGAAGTTAGAGGCCGCGCCGGAGACGAACAAGGACGTACCGACTGCCACGGAGGGCTCGGCAGCTAGCCCGCCGAAAGACATCGCCGCCCCTCAGGAGCCTGCGAAGGGACCGGGCCAAGCCTCGTCGGCCGGGAGTGATGCTCCCGAAAAGCCGGCGGCGGCGGCAGGAGGAGAGCCGCCCAAGAAGAAACGCGGCGAAGACGAAGCCGACCAGGTAGAGGACAAGCCCGACGATGTGACCAAGTCGCCGATGGCGCTGGAGCACCTGAAGTGCCTCCTGAGCTTCGTGGACTCGCACATATCGGTCAAGCAGGCGTACCTCAAGAGTCCCGACTGTCGCAAGGTTTTTTTCTCCGATCTCTGGCAGCTCTTCAGGCCGGGGATGGAGGTGACGGGCAGCGACGGCAAGCAGGCCTACCGGGTCGTCGACGTCACTAGCGCCAAGCACCGCGTGGCCGCCCCCTGGGAGAGGTGGTCCAACAACTCGAGGGAGCGGAAGAAGACGCCGCCGTTTAGCATTACGTGCGTCTACATCGACTTTAACGGTGAGAACCTAGGGCCCGTCCCCAAGGTCTTTGACTTTAACAGGTTCGACGGCGAGAGGGACGTGACGTCCTTGGAGGTGTACCCCCTCCGCTTCCACCCAACCAAGAGGGCCGACTTTAGCGACTCGGAGTGGAAGGAGCTCGAGGCCCTCCCCGCCAACGAGAGATACCGGCAGAAGCTCATACGCCGCGGCGCCAAGTTCCTCCAGGTCGCCGGCATGAAGCACATGTATTACGCCGGACCGACACTCGAAGCGCGCGATGAGGTGGAGAGCCAGGTGGTCATTGATTTTGAAATGGCTTTTTCGGTCGAAGACCCGGCCCAAAAACTGTGGAAGCCCCAGCTAACGACGATGATCGGGAACCCCAAGGCTGAGGACAGCGACCAGGACGCAGAAGACGAGTCCTGTAAAGCGGCCTGCTGTCGGGTGGACAACGTGCACGACGACTCTTATGTGGACAAGAAGCAGAGGGAGGAGTATATTAATGACCTCTTGCCCGAGGTGGGCGCCGTGAACGAGCAACCGTCGATTGCCATCATCCCTCGGCCCTTGAAGGAGCTGCGCACCAGCAGCGGCCGGAGTCTCGTCTCGGATGACGAGCTCATCATCATGTCGCACCGCGTCTTTGGCTTCGTTTTGCGCAGCCGCAAATGGGGTAAGTGATGCTTCAAAAAAATCCTTCGAGTTCCCACCGTCTCTGTGCTGTACTGATACGACCCGCCCGCATCCTAGCCAAGCTCGACCTCTCGCACCTGACCGACGTCCATCTCCCAGCGGCCGAAAGAGATGAGGACCAGCAGGGCGGCACGGAGGAGAAGAAGAGCACCACGGCTTTTGACCGCCTCGTCCTTGAGGAGTGGCACCGTCCCATGATCTTGGCGCTCATTGCCCAGCACTTCCGAGACAAGAAGTCGGCGGTGGGCCAAAGGGAGGAGTTTGACATAGTCAAGGGAAAAGGTACCGGCGCTCCTGCACGGCTCACGGTGCCAGCCGACATGATTGCCCGACTGACATGGACTTGCAGGAAAGGGCTTGATTCTGCTGCTCCACGGCGCCCCCGGAGTGGGCAAAACGTCCACCGCTGGTTCGTGCTGTCCGACGCGGCTCTGCCCCCCCCCCCCCCCCCCCCCCCCCGGCCGCCGCTCACTCATGCTAACCGCCGTCTCCGAATAGAAGGAGTGGCGGAGCTGTTCAGAAAGCCGCTGTTTCAAATCACCTGTGGCAAGTGGAAAGCTCGACTCGCACCATTGGCACGTCTTAGAAGCAACCGCTAACCCTGATCCGTGTTGGTTCCGACCAACAGGTGACCTCGGCACCACCGCAGAGGAGGTCGAGAAGGCCCTAGAGACCAATTTTGCACTGGCCAACAGGTGGGATTGTATCCTGCTCCTCGACGAGGCCGACGTCTTCCTCGCCGAGAGGACCAAGCTGGACTTTAAGCGGAACGGACTCGTGGCAGGTCAGTCGGGCGCCAGACACACACACACACATCCCACTCCAGTCTCCCCTCCCTTGTCCTATCTACAGCGCTGACGGGCCATACCAGTGTTCCTGCGCGTCATGGAGTACTACGCGGGTATCCTCTTTCTAACGACCAACCGTATCGGAGACTTTGACGAAGCCTTTACGTCGCGTATCCACATCAGCCTGTACTACCCCGAGCTGGACAATGAGAAGACAGTCAAGGTGTTCAAGCTCAACATGCGAATGATCCGGGAGCGCTTCGCCAAGAAGGGGCGAAGGATCGACATTGACGAGATGGGCATCGGCGGCTTTGCCTCCCACCACTTCACCGCGCACCCGCAAGCGCGCTGGAACGGCCGGCAGATCCGCAACGCCTGCCAGACGGCGCTGGCGCTGGCCGAGTTCGAGGCCCAGGGCAACAGCCACCAGGACATCCTGCGGCCCGACGCTGTCGTCACGCTAGGGGTCAAGCAGTTCGAGATTGTGCGCGACGCCTATGTCAAATTCTCCGATTACATGAACAACCTGTACGGCTCCAACTCGGCCCGCCGCGCCAAGGAGGCCAAGTTGCGCGCCATCTGGGTTGACGAGAACAACAACGTCGTGGCCGACCTCGGCTCCGGCGGCGTCGGCGGCAGGGCTATGGACAAGAGGGCCTTCGGGGCCGCGTCAAAAATCCAGCCGCCGACCCCACTGCAGCACTGGCAGCAGCAGCCGTCTCCCGCGCAGCAGCAGCACTATGGCTACCAGAACGTCGCGTCGCCGCACCCTGGCTACACCGATGCGAGCCGCATGCCGCGGGCGCAGGCGGACCAATTTCCGCCCGGCGGCCAGTCCTGGGACAACCCGGGCGGGAGGACTACCGGTGCCAATGTCAACGCCAACGCCAATGCCAACACCCCGTACCAGGGTTCTTGGGAGGGACAGAACGACACGTCGGCTCTGCAGCAGTCGTCGCTAGCGGGAGGGCAACATTATGACCCGCAGCAGCAGCAGCAGCAGCAGGCCTATCCGCCAGGGTTTGACCGGGGCATCCAGGAGATGTACACGGCATCGGGCCCACAGACCCCCGGGCAGCCGCCGCCGAGCAACCTCCCACCGGGCAGTGGCAACGTCTATGTGCCGGGGGCGGCCGCTCCGGGGCAACCGTGGCGAGGGGCTCCGAGCCCGCGACACTGACAACAAGACTGACATCTGCGCGATTGATAGCTGGTGCCGTGTTTCGCGGTTTTCATTCCTCCTCTCTCGCCTCGCGCCACCAAGGGGCTCAAGACCAAGATTGCTCCCCTTGGCGGCCTGGTGACTTTTCTTTGGCTGGCATGTATTTCTGTCTTGCCGGGCAAATGCTTCGGCATAGTCTCTAGGCCTAGAATAGGGACTGTGTCGGGGGCACATGCTTTGACAGGCTATGTTCCTAGGTAGTTACTCTCTTTACAGCTTGAATTTTCCGCCTTGATGCCTTGTCGACCCTGCTCTCGGTGTGAAAGCGCTGTAAACGTACCTAGGTACCTACCTATATTGCCACACCCATCTTGGGCACCCACCCGCAACACCACCCACCTTCATTCCAGAGGTTTGAGAGCCCACTCCTCACCCGAACATACCCGATTCCCGGTGCATGTCCTCCACCCGGATACGGGGGATCGGACTCGGGTATCCTCGATAGAAACCCGGAATCATGGCAGCTTGGGGTGGGGCTCGGACGGTCGGACGGCTATGTCCGACAAAAGGTGAGGTACTAACCGTACCACCAGAGGCGAAAGAAGAAGGCCAAGGACGTAATACTGTCTGAGAGTAATTTACCAGTCAGTACGTAAGGTAGTGACACGGTCAGTGAGCAAATCCTAAGTTCCCACCCAATGTAACAACTTTGTACTTCTGGCTCAACTCGAACACTAAGGCGGTGACTCCTAACCCCAATCTCCTAATTTCCCAGTTCTAGTTTAATAAATTCTAGGACTCACTGGTACCTAAGAATGTGGTCTTAGTGTTATTGCTTTGTAGCCTTAGGGATAACGAGGTTATTTAGATACCCTCTAAGCATCAAATCGTCCTCAGTCGAACAATACTCTAGGTACCTGGTAATATTAAAAGAAATTAGAACTACTATCTCCATTCTATCAACGTACCTAGTAAGTAAACCTTCTACCTAGCTCATACCATTTAAAAGTTTATATACCCTAAGATGCTAGTCTTATAATATAGCTCATAAATCCTCTTATTTATATCAACTCAACTATATAATAACTACGTTTAGCTATCCGTACTTATTACCTAGGTATACAGGCTCACATATCTTCACACTCACATAACTAGCGTAGTCGAATACTTTGGTATTGCTTTGCCAACCACACAGCTATTTTAACACATCTCGAAGAGAGCTATTATGTATTAGCTTTCACTTCTTTTATAGAAAATGGCTACTTTAGCTTCCTTAGCCCTTGCAGATACTAAAAGAAGGCTGGGAAGGTTTAGATTAAAACGTGTGCAGCATCTGCGTACAATGAGCACTAGCTACTACTTCCTTGCTGCAGTTGTGATACCCTGCCCTTCTGTGCCCTGTTTTCTTGCTCCTTCTAGCGTCAAGGGCTCCTAACCGGCACGGAGTCGGATGGAGGAAAGGTCAATGCTACCTAGCTATGCAACCAAGGACATTGCCGTGCCAAAGACGGGAAGCTCCGAGGTCTCCGGACGACGAAGATGGAAGTTCGGCCTGTGCATCTGCGTCGGGTTGAGCTATGTTGATCCCCGGCAAGTGATTACCGTTGTTTAGATTTCTACTACGCCATATTTACATTCAATAAGGCCTGCTGTGCTGATGTCTTCAAGTGATCGTGGGTAAATTGTCTCGGCGATGTCCCGTCCGCTCTCCGTTCGGGGCCGCGGGGGTCCATCGGGCATTGTTGAGTGTCTTCAACTTGCTGGGCCAAGCTCGGGAACGATCATCGCACAAGAAGCAAGCGAGTCTCCATACCACCTGAATGATGTGGCGTGCCCTGCGCCGACGACAAAAGCCGCGGCAGCCGAGTGCAGCGCCGGGATTCGAAGCGCGTAATTGAGTGAGACAGTAAGTTTCACAGGACGTGTGTGGTGCAACTTCGGTTTATAATACCGCATATATGTACCGGTACCTTATCGTCCGCGGCGGCAAACTTGTGTCAGTGTTATTCCTCTCTCGTATTCCCACCGGTTACCACCATACCCGCCCGCAATGGATAGCTCGAACAACTCCATCCAATGCCCCTGGTTTCCGTTTCCCGCGGTGGATATCAAGCAGAATGTGCCTCACCAGCAAGACTCTAAATTTCCTAACCACCCCTTTTCTTCTATGTGACCTCCGGTGCCATGAGCAATGTGTCCATCACCCCATCCCCTCACCGGTACGCCCCACAGCAGTGTATAACCCCCTTACAAAAGCTCATTCAACAACCCGTTGACATCCTCCACCTTCTGCCTCAACTCCCTCGCCTGATCCCTCAACGATAAATGCAAACACCCGCCGTCCTCAAACGGCAACACCCCCCTCCCCAACCTCCCATTCCCATCCTTCCCCCCCGCATCCCCACGCCACGTCGCCGCGCCCGCCCTCCGCGCGACCCTTAAATCCGGCGGCAAATCCAACACACTCTCTGCACCCCCCAAACTATACAACAACATCGAAACCGCACTCTTCGCCCTCGGCGCAGGATCCCACCCGGTGCACAGACACATCTCGCGCAGCTGGCCCAGGCGCAGGCCGCGGTAGGCGTGCATGTTAGTCTTGAGCGGGTGGGCGCCACCGCCGGCGCGCCGCGCCGCGTGCCAGTGGCTGCCGCCGCCGCCGCTGTGTGCGGCGTGTGACATGCCGCTGCCGGCGAGCGGCGGCATGGTGCGGGTCAGGTGCTCGAGTAGGAAGCCGAAGATGGAGGAGTAGATGCGGGTGAGGGTGGAGTAGCAGGTCAGGGTGGGGAGGAGCATGTCCAGGGGTTGCGGGCGGTTGGTGCTGGGGGTGGTGGTGGTGGTGGTGGTGGTGGTGCGCCCGGTACCGGTGGGGGGGACGAGTTCGTCCGCGGAGGAGTCGGAGATGCTGGGTGTGCAGCTGTGGTTGGGCCGGGCGGAATCGGCTGTGTAATCGGCTACGATGGCGAAGAAGCGCTGGGAGAGGAAGAGCGCGTCGCCGATCGGGTAGTCGTCAATGTCGTCCGTGTTGCCGGAAGCTGAGAGCTTGGAGAGACGGTTTTCGTAGCGTGACATCTCGGCCAAGAGGGTGGTTAAGTCGACAACAGGCCCGGGCTTTTTCGGGGCTGGGAAGATGTCCACATCCATGGTGTTGGGGGATCCGTTTGCCGTGTTGTTGTTGTTATTGTTCTCGAACGCGAGGGGCCCGGCCGGCGGAACGTAGAAATCTTGGTGGTCGAAGTCATTGGCCGAGAGCGGGTCAAAGGAGAATTCGGTTTCCATCGCCGTCATCATGTCCCCAGGGTCTGATGAGTTGGAGCTTTCGGGCAGACAGCTGACATCAGCGTCCGCTCGGAAGAGGTAGTTTAGAGATTCGCACACTGCCGCGTCTCCAAAGAATTCTCCCAGAGAAGTGTCTTCGGTATCTGCGGCCCACGGATCCGTGAGTGCTGTTCCCAAAAGTGAGGCGGTTGTCAAAGTTGGACCGGCAACGGTGTCTTCCAGGTGGAGTGTGCTCAGCTGGTTTGTCGGGGACACAAGAGTAGGTGTCGTCGGTGGCTGGTTCGTCTCAGAAGCCGGCGGGTCTGGTGGTAACTCTAATTCTGACTGGTCTGCAGTGCCGAGCACGAATGTGCTGGTCCCGGGCAGCCAACGGCCTCTATCTTTGCGAGATGACGAGTTGCCGGCTTTTTTCATCTGCCCATCACTAACGCTGCTACAACTTCCGTGTCTGGCAGAGCGCCCTGTCCGTGACCGCTGGCTAAACACGCAAGAGTTTGGTATTTTTGCCCTCACACACCGCTGGCAAGGTGATGTTGCGGTGTCTGAAGAGGGCACGCATCTCAGTTTCAGCCCTCGACACCGGTCACATGACGCCCTGAGAGGCGGCATGGCTGCCTTGGACGACGTTGTGTCACTCATGGTGATCTCAGTTGATGGTGGTAGTGGTACTGAATAAAGTTAGGAGGTGGTAATGGCTTGGCTGGTCTGCCGCTTCCTGCCGAAGAATTAAGCTGAACAGCGGCAGCGAGCAGTCTTTTTGATCAGGTCCAGCACCGTCCAGGTAGGACACCCCACGGCTTGACCTCCGCGGCGACATCTTTCTTCCTATCGAAGCCGCACCGTCTGCAAATCGGGTCTCAAACACCGGGGCATGTTACCCTGTGGCAAAGAAGCTTCCTTTCACGGTTCAGCCGGCGTTGCAGCCCGCGGATTGTCGAGCCTGGGACGGTGGTATGTTGTCTGGTAGCGTCCTGCGGCAGAATCCTGCTAGCCACTTCTCGGCCCCCCGCCCCAAAACAAGTATGCAATATGCCTCGTATGCCCGCTTTGAGGGCCCGCGCCTCACTCGAGCATACCCGTTCCCCTTCGGACGAATTAGAACCGGGCTGTTGTTGCGATCCAGCGCTGCAGTAAGCGTGACGGGCAGCGCCGGCAATATCCGGGCCGTGACTTAGGTACTCATGTGTACGAACCCCTGACTCCATCGAAGGACGCGTCTTGCACAACCCGATGGTCCGATATGGCATTAATGATTACGTTGCGGGGTGTGGTAAGGCCGGATGGATTATTGGTCCTTTGCAGCATGCATGTGCCTGTGCATACCTACCGTTAACAGTTCGTGTGTCAGGCTGGACCAGTTCTCAATTTCATTCAACCGGGGGAGCAATGTCTGGCAACGATCTGGAAAACGCACGATGATTGGCCTACAACATAGCACTGAACGGACTTGTCAGCGAAGACCGATCGATCTCAACGGTTTCAGATTCGAGTATCTTGAGTGCATCTGTGTGGAGCGCTTTTGACCTGGTTCTCGCTCCTCCTTGGTTCAAACGAACAGCAAACAACAAACAAAAGTCACCCCCTTTTTAAGGACCTGCTGCCTAAAGAAGCCCCGAAATTAACCTTCGGTCCCCATCAGAACTTGACAGCAGTCTTAGCGCGAAGCCATTCCCCGTACTTGTAAAACAGAATCGGGAATGGTATGTAAGACAGTGCCAGGAAGCCGAGCAGCGAGTTGCCCCAGCCATAGTGCAGCGTCTCGTACATCTTCGGGCCAGCGAGCGGCAGGAATGTGCCGGAAATATAGCGCAGCAATAGGCTGGCGCCCAAGGCCGAAGCCGCACCCTCAGAGCCGAACAGGTTCACAAGGTAGAGCTGGGCGGGCATGAGGACGAAAAACGCGCCGTAGCCGATGAAGGCGGTGCCGATGATGGGCACAATCCAGTGCACCTTGTACTCGGTCGTCCAGCCGTAGATGAAGAGGCCGACAGCGACCGAAGGGCTGAACCAGATCATAGGCAGGAGCCGCTGTTCGAGACGCGGCCCGGGCAAGCCCTGTGCCATTGCCTGCACAATCATGCGTTTGTTCAGGTGGTTGAAGACAGGTACCGCGAAGACCATGGAGATGCCCAAGCCAAGGTACACCAGTCCGGACGTTGATGTGGTGAAACCGTACTGACCCTCAAATACGCTGGTGAATGTCGTAAACAGGAGATACATGATACCAAAGACGACGCCGACGTAAAGCGACAAGACCAGGACAATCGGGGAACGGATGAGGAGCATGGTCGGGCGGACGAGGGCCCTGGTGAGAAGCTGGCTCGGGGTGTAAGGCAGAGCCAGTTTCGATCGGAGGTGGGCGTTGCCTGTCTCGACGCGGAGACGGGCGGTCTTGCGTTCTAGGAGGATCCTGGGGTGTGTCTCGCGCAGCAGAGCGAGGGCAGCAACGCCAGCAGCGCCGCCGACAATGGCTAGCACCCAAAATGTCCAGCGCCAGCCCTTGTCGGCGGCAATGAACCCCCCGATGAGCGGGCCGATGACGGGTCCCGTTAGCGGTCCGAGGCTGAACAAGGTCATGGCCAAACCTCTCTTGGGAAGATGAGTGAGATCGGCAATGGAGCCGCCGCCGAGCGCCATTGGCACGCCGCCTGCGCAGCCCGAGAGGAAACGGAAGACGATAAACCCGGCGATAGTGGTGCTCAGAGCGTTACCGATGATAAAGGCCACAAAGACCAGGTTGGCAATGTGGTAAACGGGGAGACGGCCATAGACTTCGCCGAGGGGGGATATGACCATTGGCCCAAGAGCAATGCCGAGGACATAGACGGTGATGGCAAGGGTGCTGACTGTCTCGCTGGTGATGTTTAAGTCGGCGACTATGCCACTGATGCCTGGTGCGCAAATGGTAGGGGCGAGGTTGCTATGTTCCACGGAAGAATCCACGTTAGCACCTTTGATTATTCGATGCCATGATCGAGCAATGATGGAGAGGACATACGTAATGAAACCAAGTATCGAGATCATGATGATTTGCGCCCACCGTTTCCCGGCAGGCCAGTTGACGGGGTTCTCAGCATCATCGGGCCCGTCCCAATTTACAGCGCAGCTCTCTATTCCAAGCTCAAGATTGCTGCCACTCGCCGGGCTTGACTGGAGTGGGGCCGGGTCTTTTTCTTCCAAGGACTCTTGCTTCGACATTGTTGTGGTTGTGGCTTATGCGAGAAGACGGATATCACCGGAAAGGGAAGGTTGACAGCAAGTTCCAAGTTCACAGCCGAGATCGAGGAAAGGCGCCGTGCTCGAGCAGCAGCCCGATGTGACAGGCATTTTAGACGACGATGAACTTTGCTTGATTCGGAGGAGGCCTTGGATCCGCGGCAAGTGGGCGGAGTTAAGGCCGTAGTGCAGAAGATCTCCCATGACTCTTCGCATCGAACCCCGTAATCCGGGCGAACATCCATGGGCGCGGCCAAGGAGCTCGGGAACGGACCGCCCGGGGCCCCGGCTAAGCGAGCAGCCATCGCCGTGCCGTCGTCCGCGGGGGATCGGAGTGGAATCGGGGGATTGCTCGGCTGCGACAACCAGCTTGAGGAATGCCATGCAATGTGTAAAAATGACATTGATGCAACCTAAACGCAGACGGCAACCAGCCGCGGGCAATTCCCACAGGATTGATGATGGTGGGGTTCATCACCGATCCCTAGCTCTCGGGACGCAGTCATCGCCTTCCTAGGTAGGTCACCTAACCTCGGCGGTGTCAGCATGCACGCCAATAACTGCGGCTCCGGGCCTTATCCTGACCGACCCTCGCTTGACAAGGGCTGAACCGCGTCCATGAATTAAGCTTACCATGCGCGGAACGTGTCCGCGGCTCCCATCTGCACTGCACATTATTACCTTGCAGCATTCATTTCTTCTCTCGCATGCGTGGGATCAACCATGCGGAGCGCTCTACCTTGGGCCAATGCCATACATACAACTCATGCACCTCAAGCATATGAACCCGGGTGCGGCCGAGACGGGGTGTGAACCATTTCCCGAGCGTAGGAGGGAGGCGGTGTGGTAGGGGTGGTAGGGTACCTCATCCGAAGAAGAAACTAAAATTTGGAGTCGTGTCGTTGGCGGGGCATCGCGATCGCTTCCTGGAGTCTGGCAGAAACAGTGGGCCCGGACGGTCGGACGAGCATGCCCGCCCGACAAAAGAGTGGGTTAATCTCCAACAAAGGAAGGTGGGGTAATTGCCTGCGTCGCGACCACCTAATTTACGAACGACCGACTTCCAAACCGGGCCTTGGGCAGTCTGAGGTGAGAGGAAAGAATCGCTTCGCAACTCCTTCCCACGTAATCCAAATCCATGTGATGGTCATTGAGTCTTTCCAGTTCAACTCGAACACTTGGGTGATGACTCCTCCCCCCAATTCCCCACCCTCTCGTTTGGCGAACACCAGCACTCCCAAAGGTACATACCGCAGCAGTTGGTCCCAATGTCGTTGCTGAGTGACGCTGGGGCCAGCGAAGTTGTTCCAGATCCCCCTCAAGCGCGTCCCAGCCCCAGCGCCAGTCGACGACGGGAAAAGCCACAACTGTCATGCAACCTCTGTCGACGTCGAAAGTATGGAAAGCCTGTGCCCCGCTGGTCCCGTTTGGGAATTTATGAATTTATGGATTTATCGATTCATGGATTTTATAATCCCGTTCCTCCGATCTGGACCGCTAACGCTAACCCCCTGCTTCGCCCAGGCTACGATGCGACCGCCAACAGCCATGTTCAACCTGCTCCTCACGGGGCCTTGCGTGCACCTACGCTGACAATTATGCCACCGCCTTATCCCTGCCCAAGCCGGCAGCTATGCACGACCGCATCGTTCAGCTTGAACGCCTTGTCATGTCTCTCATGCCACGCCCTGGCCTTAGCTCCATGTCCGGCCCCTCTCCGGACCCCGGCCCCACTCCCGACCTGGGCCCCGGTCTCAGCCCGGTACCCGGTGCCAATCCGGTGCCTCACGCCATGACCACTCCCGCCGAGACAGCGCCCTCGGCCATGGAAGTAACTACGCCCATGGAAGTGGGATCTGAATGCGGGAGCATGCGCATGAGTGCCTCCGAGCTACGCTACGTCAGCGGTGACCACTGGACAGCCATCCTAGACGGGATTGCCGATCTCAAGGATCACTTCGACCAAGAAGAACGGTTCCGGTTAGCCCAGGACGACCACGACACCGTTCCCGGCGATGCAACAAGCGGCCTCCTGGGACCTCGCTCCACTCCCACACTTCTTCTTTACGGTTGTCGCTTACCAAGCTCGCGCGCTGAGATCCTCGCCGCCTTGCCGCCAAAGAGTGCTGTCGACCGGTACATATCTCGCTACTTCAACCGCTTGGACCTAGTTCACTGTCAGTTCTCCCAATCTTTCCATTCTTCATTTTCTACCTAGATGACCTTGGTTGTAACTAACTAGCCGGACTACGATGACACAGCCATTATCCATGGCCCCAGCTTTCTTCGAGAGGTAACTGCTACCGTATTTGTCTGTGGATTTACGAGTAAATAATCTGTACTAACGGGAGCTGTCTAGTACGAGGCATTCTGGACCAACATAACAAGCGTCCCAGTCGTATGGGTTGGTCTCCTTTTCAGCATGATCTCCCTCGCCCTGCTTGCGTCGGATGCCTCCGACACCGCCCATGGTGACCCGGAGCATCGGTCCGCCCAAATCGACCTCTACCGCGAAAAGACAGTACAGTGCCTCGTAATTGGCGAATACACCAAGTCCGGCCCATACGTCCTAGAAACGGTAATCCATTACGTCTACATCGAACTAATCCTCCGAGGCGACGCCGACAAAGATATCTGGTTTTTATTTGCCCTCGAGGTGAATCTAGCTATGCGTATGGGCTATCACCGTGATCCCAGCCATTTCCCCGGCATTTCTCCACTTCAAAGCGAGATCAGGCGGAGACTATGGGCTACCGTCCTCCAGGGTGATATACTCATTTCGGCGCAGATGGGGATGCCGCGCATGATCTCAGACTCGAAATGGGATACGGCAGAGCCACGCAATCTCAGCGACACCGACTTCGACGAGAACACAGCCGAGTTGCCCCCACCCCGCCCCGAGACTGAACTCACACCGGTCCTTGGTATCATTGCGAGGAGGAGAATGTTTGTGGCCCTCGGTGCAATATCCGATGTCACTTCTGCCGCCCAACCGTGTGGCTATTCAGAGGTTATGCGGGTCGACGGCATTCTACAGCAGGCAGCTACTGCCATCCCCCCGCCACTGAAGCCTAAGCCCTTGGCCATTAGCGTTACGGACACCCCCGAAGTTATCATGGCCCGCCTGTTCATTACGCACCTGTTCCACAAGGGGCAAATCATGCTTCACCGCCGCTTCCTCTACTTGGACTCCCCTTCTCCCGACGAGGACATCTTCGCCTACTCCCGCACTGCCTGTCTAGACGCGTCGATAGGCGCTCTTCAGATTCAACATATTCTCGATGAAGAGACCGGCCCCGGAGGGCAGCTGTACACGATGCGCTGGCGTGTTTCTTCCATAATGAACCACACGTTTCTGACCGCGACCATGGTGTTGTGTTCCATGTTACACCGCGGCCGGACGCTGCAGCGAGAAGATGAGATTCTGCGGGCACTTAGGAGAACGAGGACCATCTGGATGCGCGCCAGCTCGGGCTCCCGGGAGGCGAAGAAGGCAGCCGAGACGGTGAGCATCGTCCTTGCGAGGGCGGGAGAAGGTCGCGGTTCCCCGGAGCATCAATATGGGAACACAGCTCAAAATGATGAGCAGGGTGGTGGGGCTATGTCTCTGCATCAAGGCACCCAGGGTACCATGACGGCCGATTATGTCTCTACCGACGGTAGCCATCCTGGGAGGGCCGGAATCCATGGGCAAGATATGCTGCGGCAAGACAGCACAAGCTTGGGAAGTACTGCTTTTGATCGTGAGTATTCCTGAACTGACCCATCCGCCCAGGAGATCCAAAGACTGAAAATGCCGTATTAGCGGATAGATTCGTTATGCCGAGTCTCTTGGGGACTTTCACGCCTCCGGATGCCCAGGGACAGACAATTAACTTCAATTACAGCCCCGGGCTGGATGGTATGGGTATCTCATTGGATGAATGGATTCAAACGAACAATAGGTTTACGGCACCATAGTAGGGGTGATGGACTTGGTTTACGGATTACTTTTCTGCCTCTCTCTGGTGCTTGAGCTTCTTTGGCGGGAAACAAAACACAAAGGGCTTTTGACTTTTGCTTTGAGTGTGCCCTGCAGTGATGGCGTGCGGCAGAAGGATTTTGTTGGTAACATAAGAGGAGAATGCCGCCCCCAAGCGTCTCCCTTTAACCATCGTCAGGTCTCAACGGGGAGATCGTCTCGAGGGAATTAATTACCTACCCTTGCCGGACCGAGTCCTAGCGCTAATATACCCCTACTTGGGTGGGTGAAATACTTGAGTGGGGGATTTGTCGTGAGGATATTTGACGTGCATCGAACCACACCATGGCATGAAGCAAACAACGGTAGCCCAATCATCCCAAGGCTTACGCGAATCCGCCGCCCGCTTGCATCTGTGCAGCCCTGATCCCTCCGAGCCACGATTCCCTCGAGGCTTGGCTCCCGTTTTGGTTCACCCCTATCCGGACCATCCCGACTCGGTACCATTTAATCCAGACGTCCTCGCCATTTTCTCCGAACGTGAACTCCGGCCCTGGTCACCAAGACCGGCCGCCAAGGCGCCGGCTCGGAGGGAATCACGCACTCAGTTGAACACACGGAAAGCTTTGGGACCTCCGAATATCCTCAAGCTGAACCGTGCCGCCCTCCTGCTTCGCTGGGTGAGGTGCGGAGGTTAGTTCGGCCCCTGCTTGCACACATGGTTACCCTGAAGGCCTCAACACACGGGAGTCAAGTTACCGGATATGTCAAGTCGGAAGAAGGTAAGGCGATGCGTCTGTCGTGGCGACAACCACTGTCTAGATGTCGGCGAATAAGGCATGATCAAGACGTATTTTTATAAGGATAGTAACATCGCACAACCCTCACAATATCTTCTGTCCCAAAATCTTTCTACCACCTTGCTCTCTCTGACTGAACTCGTTTTCATCCTTGAAACCGCCCTCAACGACACAGATCACGTCTAAACACAGATACTACGTTTTACACAACAATGCCGGAACCTATTGCAGTCATCGGCTCCGGGTGCCGTTTCCCCGGCGGCGCCGACACGCCTTCGAAGCTGTGGTCAGTCATTCACCACCCGGAAGACCTGAGCCGCAAGCCTTCGCGGTTCAACATCGATCCATTTTACCACCCCGTCGGCACCCACCATGGCACTACCAACGCCACCAAGTCATACTGGCTCGAAGATGACGGCCGAAGCAACGTAACCAAGTTTGATGCCGGCTTCTTCAACATCCAACCGGGCGAGGTCGACGCCATGGACCCGCAGCAACGGTTGCTCCTCGAGGTGGTGTACGATGCCCTCTGCGCCGGAGGCCAGCCGATGGAGCAGCTCCGTGGCTCCGACACGGCCGTCTACGTGGGGATGATGTGCGACGATTACAACACAATGCTGGTCCGCGACTGGGAATCCCTGCCGCGGTATGCGGCCACCGGCTTGGAGAGAGCAGTCGTCTCTAATCGTGTGTCGTACTTCTTTGACTGGCACGGGCCCAGCATGACCATCGATACGGCGTGCTCCAGTAGTATGGTGGCGCTGGATATGGCCGTGCAGGCGCTGAGAAGTGGCAAGTCCACGGCGGCGGTGGCAGCGGGAACGAGTTTGATCCTGAGTCCGGGTATGTACGACCACCGCCGTCACAACAATGCATATACACATATCTGACCTGGTTACTCAGCCATGTACATCTCCGAGAGCAATCTCGGTATGCTGTCCCCAACAGGTCGCTGCGCCATGTGGGACGTGGCCGCAGATGGGTATTCCCGCGGTGAAGGGGTTGCGGCCGTCATCCTCAAAACTCTCTCTCAAGCCCTAGCAGACAACGACCCGATCGACTGCATCATCCGCGAGACCGCTGTGAACCAGGATGGCCGTACCCCGGGCTTGACCATGCCTAGCAATACAGCGCAGGCGGCTTTGATCCATGAGTGCTACACCCGCGCGGGGCTGGACCCCGTGAACAGGTTGGAAGACCGCCCGCAGTTCTTCCATGCCCACGGCACGGGCACGCAGGCCGGGGATCCTCAAGAGGCCGAGGCCATCGCAACCTCTCTGTTCCCTGTCGGCTCGGCTGCCGCCGAACACCAGAATAAGCTCATCGTCGGCTCCATCAAGACTGTTATTGGCCATACCGAAGGGACAGCGGGGCTGGCAAGCCTCATCGGCACATCTCAGTCCCTCCGGCATGGCATCATCCCGCCCAACCTGCACTTCCACCAGCTGAATCCCAAGGTTGCGCCTTTCTTTGACAACTTGCACATCCCCACTGCTCCGATGCCATGGGTAGTCCCCGAGGGACAGATTAGGCGAGCAAGCGTGAACAGGTATGTTGATATCAGTGAACCGATAGCCTAAGACACCACGCCGCTTAAAATACCGGGTGACTGACTGTAATCCGTTGCTCCAGCTTTGGCTTTGGTGGCACCAACGCTCACTGTATCCTGGAGGAATATGCGGCGGCACCGACGCCCAAAGCCCTCAACACCAAGACGTCTTCGAGCCTACAATTCACGCCTCTGACCTTCTCGGCGGCTTCCGAGACGGCTCTCAAGGCCAGCCTGTCTCAATATCTTGACTACCTCAAGGAGAACCCCTCTGTGGACTTGGCAGACCTCGCGTATACGCTGCAGCACCGGCGATCTACCCTGCATTACCGCAAAGCCATACCGGCACCGACCGCAGAAGATGCCATCCAGGCTCTCCACGCCCTTGTCAACCCCTCTTCTGACAGCAAGGACACCACAGACCTCGGCACCCGGTTCGGCACCCTCCCCCAGCCCGCCAAGATCCTGGGAATCTTCACCGGACAGGGTGCGCAATGGCCTCGCATGGGGGCCCAGCTCATCGAGAGCTCCCCCCTCGCCGCAGCGCGCATCAACGACCTCGACGCGTCCCTCCAGCGCCTCCCCAACCCCTCCGACCGGCCACCCTGGACCCTCAAAGACCAGCTCCTCGCGGGCAAGGACACGTCCCGCATCGCCGAAGCCGCCCTGTCCCAGCCCCTGTGCACCGCCGTGCAGGTCATCCTAGTCGACATCCTACGCGCCGCGGGTATCACCTTCGCCGCCGTAGTCGGCCACTCATCCGGCGAGATCGGCGCCGCCTACGCGGCCGGCCTCGTTACCGCCGACGACGCCATCCGCATCGCCTACTTCCGCGGAGTGCACGCCAAGCTGGCGGCCAGCCCCGACACGTCGTCTGCTCCGCGCGGCGCCATGCTGGCCGTCGGGGCCTCCCTCGACGAGGCGCGCGCCCTGTGCGAGGATATGTTTAGTGGTAGATTGCAGGTCGCCGCGGTGAACTCGGCTTCTAGTGTTACCCTGAGCGGGGATGAGGATGCGGTGGATGAGGCGGAGACGCTGCTGAAGGCGCAGAGCATGTTTGCCAGGAAGCTCAAGGTCGATACCGCGTACCACAGCGCGCATATGGCAACCTGCGCCGGCCCGTATCTCGCCTCGTTGGAGGAGAGCGGCGTCGGAGCCAAAGCGCAGGGTGAGCAGGATGCCGGCACGGTGTGGTATTCGAGCGTGGTCGAGGGTCAACCCATGACTCGGGACATGTTGGCAAACCAGTACTGGGTGGACAACATGTGCAATGCCGTCTTGTTTGCGGGAGCACTCGCTAGTGCGCTCGAGGGGTCTGGCCCGTTCGACTTGGCCGTCGAAGTTGGCCCCCATCCCGCCCTCAAGGGTCCTGCCACGTCCACCATCGGCGACTTACCATACACTGGGGTCCTCTCTCGGGGTCTGGAAGATGTCGTGCAGCTCAGTGCCGCATTTGGCTTTGTGTGGACAAGGCTTGGATTCGGCAGTGTTCGCTTTTCTGACGTACAGACACTGCTGTCTGGCAACGCCGAGAAGAAGAACGTGGTACTTACCGACCTTCCCGCGTATCCTTACGACCGCCAGCGCACGTACTGGGCGGGCAGCCGAGTGTCGAACCACTTCCAGCACCGGAGCGCCCTTCACGCCCCCAATCCCGTCCTGGGCTCGCCCTGCACCGAAGCGACCACGCCCGGCGAGTTCCAGTGGCGGAACATGCTCTGTCCGAACGAGATGGCCTGGCTCAAGGGCCACATGCTCCAGGGACAAACGGTATTCCCGGCTACAGGCTATGTTAGCATGGCCATCGAAGCCGTCAAGGCCGTCGCCCTCGAAATCTCCGAGGACGCAGTCATCAGCGTGTTCAAGGTCACGGATGTCGACATCCCCCGTGCCATCGCCTTCGACAGCGACGACGCCAAAGTTGAGACTGTTTTCAGCATCTCGTCGGTCGACAGGGCGTCCGAACAAGGCGCCATTACCGCTGAGTGGACCTGCTATATGGTTAACGATAACAAAGATGGAAATCTCGTTCTCAACTCAAAGGGCCGCGTAACGGTTGTGCTTGCTCCCCGCTCATCTGACACTCTCCCCGTCGCCAAGGCGGATCCTTTCAACCTGGTCGCCGTGGGAGAGGAGCAGTTCTACGCCAACCTCGAGTCGATCGGGTACGGTTATAGCACGCCGTTCAGGGGCGTTTCCGATATTCGCCGCAAACCCGGTTACAGTATCGGTACGCTCCATGACCAATCCGGAACCATTTGGGAAGACAGCTTGGTTGTTCATCCCGGCATGCTGGACTCGGCGCTACAGACCGTCTTTGCATCGTGGTCGTACCCCAAGGATACTCAGCTTTGGTCACTCCACGTCCCTGTTTCCATTTCTTCGGTTACCATCAACGCCTACTTCACCCCTCTCGGCGAAGGTGGGAAGCAGAGCACGATGCGGTTCGAAACACTTTTGCGGGAGAGACAGCACTCCCGAGTCACGGGTGACGTCTACTTGAATACCGCCGTTGACGACAACGCTCGTGCTATTGTTCAGCTTGAGGGTATCACACTTGTTCCCTTCTCGCCGGCCACCTCGAAGCTCGACCTCCCCATGTTTTCTCAGTTCCAGCACAAGGTCATCTCGCCGGACGGAGAACTAGCTGCGGCAGGACAGCGGCTTTCAGATTACCATGTCAAGCTATACAAGGATATTGAGCGTGTTTCGTATTGGTTTGCGCGTAATGCGTCGCTCTCCATCCCCCTCCACGAGCGTCAAGGCTTGCTTCGCCACTTCCAGCAATATCTCGGCTGGTGCGATCGCATGGTCGAGATGGCGACCCGCGGGATACATCCCAAGGTATCGGCCGACTGCAACAACGACTCCCGGGAGGATATCGCCCGCATCCTGGTCCCATACAAGGACCGCAAAGACGTCCGGTTTGTCGAAGTCGTCGGTGACAATCTTGTTCCCGTCATTCGTGAAGGCAGCTCGATGCTCGAGCACATGAATCAGGACGGCCTACTGCGCGCCTTTTACGAGGAGGACGCTCTCTGCGGCGGTCCGAGCAACCGTTGGCTGTCTCGCCTGGTGGCTCAGATCGGCCACCGCTATCCTGGACTCAACATCTTTGAGATTGGAGCCGGCACAGGCGCAACGACGGCTTCTGTCCTACGCGCTCTGGGTGGGTCGTATTCCTCGTACACCTTCACCGACATCTCGAGCGGCTTCTTCATGGCGGCCGAGGAACGCTTCGCCGACCAGGCCGGCCGCATGTCCTTCAAGACGTTCGATATGGAGAAAGACCCGTCGGGTCAAAGATTTACAGCCGGCACGTACGACGTCGTCGTGGCCGTCAATGTGTTGCACGTCTCAGCCGACATGGAAGCCTCCCTGGCCAACGTCCGTCGCCTCCTGAAGCCCGGCGGCTACCTGCTCACCGGTGAGCTCACTTCGACGGATCTGCTCTTCACCGGTATGACGGTCGGGACCCTGCCTGGCTGGTGGATCGGTGTCGAGACGGGTCGCCCGTGGGGACCACTCCTCAACCTCAGCCAGTGGGATGCTCTCCTGAGGAAGACGGGCTTCGCCGGCCTTGACACGGTGACTCCCGACATCAGCACGTCTCTGCCTATGAGCGTCTTCGCGGCACAGGCCGTAAACGACCAGGTCATGCTACTGCGCGAGCCGCTTGCGGCCAAGGAGCGACCTGCAGACGTGAAGAACGACGGGTTGGCTATCATTGGGGGCGTCACCTGGCCGGTCTACAAATTGGGTCGTGAAGTCTGTGACGTCCTGGATCACCGGTGGCACAATAAGCAATTTTTCGACACCATCCAGGACTTTGTCTCGTCCCCCATGGCCCAAGCCGTCTCCACTACCGGGTTGGTCTCGGTTCTGTGTCTAACCGACCTGGATCGGCCCTACCTGGAAGACCTCACGGCCGACAAGTTTGCTGCTCTCCAGGCCTTGTTCGCATCAGCCGGCACCTTGGTATGGGTGACTCGCGGATCGACCGAGGATAGCCCTTTCAGCTACGCGATGAAGGGAATCCTGCACACGGTCAAGACCGAGGTGCCCAGCCTCAATATCCAGTTGTTCGACTTGGATCCCACCATAAGCGATGGTGGAATCCAGCAAACCACGGCAACGGACCTGGCTGTCACACTTCTCAGGCATCACGTCCTCTTCAGTTGGGGTATTGGCCAGAGCGCAGATGCGGACCATGATACCATGCTATGGACGGCCGAGCCAGAGGTCTTCATCAGAAGCGGGAGACAGCTCATCACAAGACTCCTCCCCGATCTCGAAAAGAACGCGCGGTACAATGCCCGCCGGAGGGATGTCTGGGCGCCAGTCAACCCGGCCAACGAAAGGGTGGAACTTGTTGCCACGAGCCACGCGAAAGGCAAGGCCTTCGAAGTCCAAAAGGTCTCGCCGCTCAGATTGTCCAACGCACCCGCGGGTTCTCGCACCGTCAGAGTCACGCATTCACTGCTCCAGAGCATCGCCATTAGTGGTGTTGGCTTCTTGAAACCGACTGCAGGCTTGGATGCCGTCACTGGCGAGGCAATCCTTGCGCTTGCTGGCTCCAGCGAATCTCTCGTTGAGGTTCCAGCGGCCTGGTGCATCCCTCTGACCGGAGGCACCACTGCAGCTCTTGTCTCGACGCTCCTCTCGATCGCCGCGGACCTCGTTGCTGAGCACATACTTTCTCTCACGCCCTACGGCAGCACCCTCGTGGTGCATGACGCTGATGCCAACGTGCAATCCTCCCTGGCAAGCAAGGCCGTCGGCAAGGAGGTGAATATCGTATTCGCAACATCCCAGCTTCGCAAGGACGAGGCTGGCGTCTCCCACTTCCTCCACCCCAACTTCCCTCGGCACACGGTAAAGTCCGTCATCCCTGCTTCTGCTGCTGTCTTTGTTAGCTTCTCGCGCGGCGCTGCCTCAGATGCTGTCCGCGAGACAATCCTCAAGTTCCTTCCCCCGGGTTGCTTTGCCGTCCGCGAGGAAGCGATGCTGAGCCACAAGCCTATCGCCACGTTAACCGCACTCGTCGACCTCACGTCCATACTCCAAAAGGCCTTGGACGGTGTATCTGCGCATGATAGTGTCAAGCGCATACCCTCCGTCCCTCTAGCCGATGTCCCGCACCACACGGCCCTGGGCGAACCGCTGCAGGTAGTCGACTGGACGAGTTCCTCCTCGGTCGCCGCCAAGGTACAGCCGATCGACTCTGGCCTCCTCTTCCACCCCGACAAGACCTACTTCTTTGCCGGCATGGCAGGCGACCTTGGGCAGTCCCTGGCAGAATGGATGATCGTCCACGGGGCTCGGTTCATCGTCCTCACGTCCCGCAACCCCAAGGTCAACCCCCAATTCACCGCCGACATGTCCACCCGCTACGGCGCCAACGTCCAACCCATGTCCGTCGACGTCACCTCTCTCCCCTCCCTGCAAACCGCCCTCTCCACCATCCGCGCCACCCTGCCCCCCATCGCCGGCGTGGTGAACGGCGCCATGATCCTCGACGACGACCTGCTCGCCAACATGACTTACACCCAATTCACGCGGGCCACGACCCCCAAAATCACCGGCACCATCCTCCTCGACCAGGTCTTCGGCACCACGCCCCTCGATTTCTTCATCGTAGCCTCCAGCATCGCCTCGGTCATCGGCTTCGCCGGCCAGAGCAACTACTCGGCGGCCAACGAGTTCATGACGGGCCTGGTGCGGCAGCGGCGCGCGCGCGGCCTGGTCGGGTCCGCGATGAGCATCCCTGGCGTGCTGGGGCTCGGGTATGCGGCGAACCAGGCCGGGTTTGACTTTGACTACTTCCGCAGTATTGGGTATGTGAATATTGCGGAGGAGGACTTGCATCTGTTGTTTGCGGAGGCGGTGCTGTCGGGTCGGGTCGAGGCGGGGGCGGAGGCGGTGGAGGTGGCGATGGGGGTGGATTATTTGCCGGCTAGTGTGCGGGTGCAGGATGCGCATAAGAGGGATGTCCGGTTTGGGCATTTTGTGGGGAGGGAGGAGGTTGGGGGGGCGGGCGGTGGTGAACAAGCTGGGGCAGGTAAGGCGGGTGTCAAGGTCAAGGTGTTGCTGCAAGCGGCGAAGACCGCGGACGAGGCGTATGTGGTTATCAGGGATGCGTTCGTTGCGCATCTGAAGAGGATGCTGAGGCTTGGGGACGAGGGCAAGGTGGAGGAGCAGGTTGCTCTGATCGAGCAGGGTGTGGATTCCCTTGTGGCAGTCGACATTCGGTCGTGGTTCCTCAAGGAGGTGGCCGTGGATGTGCCAACTCTGAAGGTGCTGGGTGGAGGTTCGGTCGCGGATCTGGTCACTACCGCCCTCGAAAAGATGCCGGATGTTGTGAAGGTTGAAACAGAGCGAGAAGAAACGGCATCGGTGCCGCAGACCAAAGAGAGCCCTGTGCCGACTCCGTCGCCACAATCGAGAGGGAGCCCCGTCTTCACCCCGGCCGCGGCGTCAGACGGATCTGGGTATGGGTCGGGCGCTACGACGCCGTCTTTGAAGGAGCTGGCGGATGTTAAGACTCATGTTAGCGAAATCACTGAGGAGAGGCTACTAGCGGCTTGAAATCGGTGGTTAGGAAGTGTATAGCGTGCTGGATCTCTCGCGTTTTTGGACTAGGTTTGGAGGCGCTGGGGTTTGGCCTTTTGGGCAGTTAGTAACTTCAGTCCATTTACAACGTCGTCACAATTCAGATGAGAAATATCACACACAGTCCCGTGGTAATGACAGTGGTTATAATTCTAAGCGTCGGTAATCAGAATGCAAACTCGTAGGTTTCAACATCGTGGCGCTCGTAATGCAGGCCTTGAAAAGCCAAGAAGTGCTACTCGCCATCTCTTACACATTCCCAATGCTGTGGCGGAGTACCTAGGTATTTACGCGTCTTGATACTGATGTACCTCCATTCCTAACGCGATGAGGATTTTGTTAAACTTTTGTGTTTTTTTCTTCATAGCATGAACGCGGCCTTATTCCACATTCAACATGAAGTTACTTCAACACGGAATCTACCCTATGGAGTTTCCCCTTGGCCAGTTGACGGTTCGGTTCCGAGGCTCATGTGGACGGTTGAACAAGGTGCGAGTTTCGCGCTCAAAAAACTAGGAACCTCGGCACTTGGAAGAAGAATACCCCAACTCAACCTCAATGGGAAGGAAGTGCAAGGCGGGTTTTCCCCTGGCCTGTTCCGATCTTCCGCGGGAGTCCTTACCAAATAGGTTCAAAAGACTTGAACGGAACGGTGTGGTTTGCCGGCGGGATCGGCTTATTCGGAGGTCAAGTTGCCTAATTGGGTAATTTCGGGGTCAATGTGGGACTCGCAGCGTAACATGCACCATTACTCAGTTATTTTGTGGACAGGTCAAATCTTATTGTTGAGTTGCCACGTAGGGGTCTTGTTGGCTTATCATTCCGTACGGCCCCCCCGGTTCTCTCCAGGCCCGGGAAAAGGTTCGACAAGAGGAGCCCCTGACCTGGCCGTGTTCACTTTTTGAACGAGCACCGGAGACTCGGAGGTTTCGCCGCCTTCCAGCCATCCCGCGCGCTCCGTAAACCTGGAATTCCTCCGGATCACATGTTTGATCAAATCAGTCCTCGGGGATTTTCTCATTTGCTCAAAGACCTGTCATACCACTTTCTGCGTCTGGGGAACGGCTATCTTCTGTCTCTTTATTCGACGACGTCTCGCTCCTCTTGACACCTAGCTACGCCCACAGCCCGCTCCTGATGTCCATCATGAGGTACACGCTCACTTCCCTCCTCGCGGCCACGGCATCTTCCGCGTCCGTCATCGATTTGCACCAGACCCCGCAGGAACCCCGGTCGTCTTCACATCATCATCCGGGGAAGTGGTGCGATAACTCACCCACATCCCGGAACTGCTGGGGAAATTACAGCATCGACACAGATTACTACGCCACTATTCCTCATACTGGAAAGACGGTCGAGGTTTGGCTTTCTGCGCAGGAAGGGATATGTAACCAGGATGGATACAACCGCCCTTGCATGACCTTCAACGGCACTATCCCCGGCCCCCTGATAACCGCCAACTGGGGGGACGATCTTGTCATTCATGTGACCAACAATCTCGAGTCAAACGGTACTGCCATTCACTGGCATGGGCTTCGTCAGCTCAACACCGTACAGTATGACGGCGTCCCCGGTGTCACCCAGTGCGCAATCGCTCCAGGGGAAACTCTCACATACAGGTACAAGGTCAGCCAGTATGGATCAACCTGGTACCATAGTCACTTTTCGCTCCAGTATTCCGAAGGTCTCTTTGGGCCCATGGTCTTCAACGGGCCGGCAACAGCCAACTACGACGAGGACCTCGGCGTGCTTTTCCTCCAGGACTGGTCGCACACTACCGTCTTCCGAGCATGGGGTCACAAGCAGAGATACGGCATCACGCACTCTCTAAGTAATCTTCTCCTCAACGGCACCAATACATTCGATTGCTCCGCCCATGATTCGGATCCCAACTGCGTCGGCGGCGGCAAGAAGTTTGAGACGGTGTTCAAGCCCGGGAAGAAGCACCTCATCCGCCTGGCCAATGTGGCACTCGACAGCCAGTTCCGGTTCAGCATCGATGGGCACAAACTCAAAGTCATTGCCAACGATCTTGTGCCCATCGAACCGTACGAGACGGACAGCGTGGTGATCAGTGCTGCCCAACGATACGACATCGTTGTTGAGGCCAACGCGAAATCGGACAACTACTGGATGCGCGCGGTGTGGGTGAACACTTGCTCGGCTGTGGCGAACGACAATCCCAACTCCGGCACGGGCATCGTGCGGTACGATGCGTCAAGCGTCGCTGAGCCAACGACCACTTCCAACGTTATGCTCCCAGCTGGGTGTGCTGACGAGCCTGGCGAGAGTCTCGTCCCGTATGTAAAGGTCGACGTCGGTAACATTGCTGGGACCACGCTAGAGAACCTCAACATGCGTCTCACACATGAAGGCGTGTTTCAGTGGACCATCAACAGCAGCACCTTGATCATCGACTGGGCCAACCCCACGCTCAAGCAGATCTTTGACGGAGTCGATCTCTTCCCTACGCCGTACAATGTGGTACCGGTGGACGTAAGCGTCTCTTCTTTTGCTCATGTTCCGGACTCTACCATCCTATTTGCTAACGCACCACCAGAAAACGTCCCCTGATCACGCCGGAGATGAATGGGCCATTTTGGTAATCGAGAATGTCGCAGCTGGGGCCTTGGGCGAGGTCGCACACCCCATCCACCTGCACGGGCACGACTTCTGGATTCTCGCTCAGGGTTACGGAACACACTGGGATGGGACACAGGACTCCTTCCAGTTCACGAACCCACCACGGCGAGATACGGCCATCCTGCCAGCGCATGGATACCTCGCCATCGCCTTCCGACTGGACAATCCCGGCGTGTGGCTAGTTCACTGTCACATCGCTTGGCACGCCAGTCAAGGCTTGTCGCTGGAGTTCGTGGAGCGGAGGGGCTCCATTTCCGTCCAGGGACAGGACAGGAAGGTGTTCGATGAGACATGCCAGGCGTGGGATAGGTGGGAGAGTCAGAGTGGAGGCCCACCGTTTCCACAGCTTGATTCGGGGATTTAAGGGGTAATTATACAAAATAGGTACTCTGAGAAAAACCAACCTGCAGCTTAGACGAAGAGAAACTAGGTCTAATCACTCGTTCAACATCCATCCAAGCGTTTCAACGATCGATTCATAAAACTACCTCAGTTAACTCGAGCGAGATTATGCCTGTCCTGCCGCCCTTATTTGTTTCATCAACGGGGCAACACACGATGAGGAACTTGTGTCAGTGTCTAAATTGAGACGATTCAGAATTAGGTAACGTCTGCCGTTGCCGGCCAATACTGGGCCGAAAGCAACACAACGTGCCCCGGCGTAACCCACATTGTTTGTTTGGGCCCGCCGTGATCCACAGCATTGACGCCGTCAGCGAGCAGGCCCTTCTCGCTACCGCTGGTGAACGAATAATTAACGGTGAGGCGACAACTCGCTGGTGGCCTCGAAGGTTGGATTAGACTCCGCTGAACCGCTCGCCAAACCCCAAGCTTGCCTGTTGAGGCTGTTCGGGGACCGCTCATTCGGCTGCTCCAAAGGAACGTCCCGCCTGCGGAGGGCCAAGCTTCATAGGGCTTACTGGAGTCGCGTTTAAGCCAACCATTCACGAAGGAAATTACCGATCCCGGCGGTTCCAGCCAGCTCATACCCCGGGGTGCCCAACTCGTTCTAGACCAGCCCACTATCGTGTCTCACTGAGCAAGAACCCGTTTAGGAAACAGGTATTTAAGCTAACGTCCCTGTTGGAGTGAATCTGAGCAAGGTCCACCCAATGTCTTGCGTACCATCCTTTATGGCGCCGGAGATGTCATTCTGGTAGTCATATCAACGTTATATTTGGACTAGTGAGTGCGGCGCAGGCCAGATTCAACTTCGCGAGCGCCGTAAGCGTCGCCGAAACGCTGTGTCGGCCGGTGGTCCAATAGGAGGAACTGTCAGAACCGGCGCCGAGTTGGCTTGGCCTCCGTGTAAGTTCTGATGGGATATAGGCAGGCCTCATCCAGACCTTCTCCTCCATGGAAAACGGTATAAAGAGCCCTTCGTCTGCCCGTCAAGTCAAGTCAAGAGCATCACACTCTTCAACACATCTCCTACCACACAACGCAGCCCTCAACCCAAACCAACACCATCATGAAGTGCCAGACCCTCCTCCTCGTTGCCGCGGCCCTCGTGCCCTCCGTCCTGGCCGACAAGCCCAAGCTGAACCAGTACCGCACCATGGACGACTGGTATGCCGCAATCATCCCTTTGCCCCCCCAGACCTCGCGGTGCCTGCGTGCTAACCCCGAGGTGCAACAGCAACAACGACAGAAACATCCTCTACCACGCTGCCCCCCGTCTCGGGCCGTTGCTATAACCTCGACGACGCTACCGGCGCCTTCTTCTGGAACACTGGGGGCATGCTCAACCCCAGAGGTAGGTCCTGCTTCATTCCGACTTCTTCACCGTCAACGACATGTGCAAGACGCCGACTTTTGTGATTTCCAGTCTACACGGGCAAGAACTGCCACGGCACCGAGGATCCGCTCTCCACTCGCGGCCGCTGCTACAACAAGGGTGTTTACCGCTCTTACAAGTGCTGGTAAATGGAGTCTGGTGGAGTTGCGGCTGGATCATTAAGTACACTCTCGGTAGTCTGTAGGGGAAGTTCGCGTGGCTGTTTTCGGGCGGGGAGAAGAGGGGGGGGGTGGGGGGGTCCAAGCAACTTGTAGATAAACAAAACCAGAACGGAGAAATTTACCGGTATTGCACCCCACTGTCGAATGTCAAGTCAAGCGTGCCTCTTTTCCTACACTACTTCCTCTTTTTACCATGCACAATAATCCCCCTGGATGCAATGAAACGCTGGCATCAGCCTCCCCCCTTTTGCTGCAGGCCCAACGGTGAAACACATCCTGTACGGACACAGCCAATGGTGAGCCAGCATGCGTAAGGTGCTCGATTGGAGCCTGGCTGCACCGCGTTTGTGGGTCGACCGTCGCCATATCATTCTCTTCCCCGCCAACCCAAACAAACTCACGTCGATCTCCAGGTGTCCGCCATCCCGTTCAGGTTTTCCACCATGAACCATAACCATGCTAACTATCAAGCTCGGCTTGACTTCGTGGGGGCCCTCCTGCGTGACAAACTCCTGCTCAAGGTAAGGAACCTCTAGCGCTTTTCTCCCTTCTTTTCTGTCGACAACATCGCAACTAACACGTGAGTAGGAAGAGGCAGATATTGTTCCTGTCCAATATGACCCCGAGAGCCCCTTCAAGTACAACAATTTTGTTTACCGCGTGACACTTGGCTCGCCGGTTCTCTCCAGCCATGCCTCGAGCCGCATTACTCCGCAGTCTACGTGTGTGCCCATCCCCGACGGGGCGAAACAACTGATCGTGCGTCTCGCGAACCAGGAGACCGAAGGCATGAGCATGGCAAACCGAGTCGAGAACGAGGTGGCTATTATCTCGCTCGCCGCGGCCGCACTAGACGGCTTCCAGCCTCACGTCGTGCCCCGGGTCTACGGTTGGGGTAGTGCCGCCCCGAAATCCGCCCAAGGCTGGATTGTACAGGAGCTCATGCCTGGAAGCCCACTGGCTGAAGTCCTTGGTGAAATGGATCTAGACCAGAAGAGGAAGACCTTTGCGCAGATGGCAGCGCTGCTGAAGGGGCTCCAGAGCTACAAACTGCCCGAGACCATCACCGGGTTTGGGGGCGTGACATTCGACGACGCCGGCCGCATCGTGGGCGCTCCGATGCCCACCGTGGGTGCCGGGCCTTGGCCTTCGTACGAAGCCCATTTCAGGAGCAGACTTGAGGCGTCACTCAAGAAAGCGCAGGATAACCAGTACATCAAGGGATGGCAGCCTAACCGCCTGAGAGAGCGGCTCGACAAGTTCATTTCCGACGGTGTGCCGGCGCAGTTCCATGCGCTCAGCTCAAAAGGGGATCGGGTAATAACACACGGCGACTTTAGTACGTGTCGAACATTTGCCGCCTCCCTCCCTCTCAACCGTGCGAAGCTAACTACCAGTCTTCCCAGACGCGAGCAACCTCCTATTTGACCCCGTCTCGGGACGGATCACGGGCCTAATCGATTTCGATTTTGCGGCCATCCTCCACCCGTCTTATGAATTCCTCCGCTCCTTCGACGGGGCGGGTGGTCAGTTCAGAGGTTGGTATATGGACGAAGAGAGCGATGAGGCAGCACTCAGAGATGCAAAGCTCAACGGTTTCCCCTCGCCCCTGCCTGCCACCAAAGCCGACGGGCCTGTGCAGTGGGAAGATGCTAAGGCATGGGAGGAGGCGCTTGAGGAGGTCGGGGCCAAGCGGCCCCGTACTCTGCAGGGGATTGACGCCGTCGCGGATGTGGATACGGTATTGCAGGGGATTCTGCCGTGGCGAGTCACCAACTCGGATGTGTTGAAGTTGCAGACGCATGATACTATCATGCAATGTAGGGACGAAAAGGAGGAGCACTTGGACAAGTTGCTTCGTCGGCTCGGGTTCTGAGGTTCGGAGCTTGGTATTAAGGGATCCACAGAAATGACCCTTAAGTTCCTGTAATGGGAATGGGTAATATATAACCCCCTTATACAAACCTAGGATCAGTACCTGAGCAATAGCATCCTTTGGCGGACGGCTTTCCGTGAGTAGGCTCAACGGCATGTCCCATGAGGGGGGCCTATACGACCCGCAACACTTCCGTTTCTTCGAACCTCGGAGTAACCGCATGCCACAGCGGGCAGTCATAGACTCAACCTCGACCATGGACGTTTGACACCATTCCATACCCCACACGTTTCCCGCGTGCATTTGTCATCTTTAGGCGCAAGGCCATCTCCGTCTTGTTGATATCCTCACAATCGTAGCACTTCGACATGCTAAAATCGACCTCGGCGGCGTGTTAGTTACATGTACATCGCTCATCTCTCAACTCTTTGGAGCCGAACTGTTTTGATAACATAACGCTCCCGTGGACCTTTTGGAGCCATAGCCAAGATTATTGAGAAGATAAAAAAGTGAAGATGACTCATTCTAAATTCAGAGGTCCAATAAAAATATTCTAAATATTATTTATTATATTAAGGTAGTATTGAGTTGTGACTCAGTGGACGCACGGACCCCTTGGTTGGTATAAAAGGGTGCTGTTCCCCGCCCCCTTTCGTTCCTCTTCCCTCTTTTTATCCCGCTCACTTGCTTCGTCGTCTTTAAGTCTTTTTTCCTCTCATTCACACTAAACCTACCTAACCTCAACACTATCGCACGGATTCACTCAACTTTCATATCAGCCATTAAATACCAAACTAGAGTAGACACTATACCTCGTGCTTGTTTATTTCGGCAGTGAGACGAAGTCCGGTCTAATCATGCCTCCTATTGCAGCTCGGGTCACAGCTTGATCATGGACAGTTGGCATCATATGAAGTAATGATACATCGCACGTCAACATCGCATATCAACATCACCACACACAAGGCTGTGCGAGTAATATTGCACGATATACCACACTAAAAGTCAAAAAGGCGTGCCCCAACGAGAGTACCAGGCAATGCTTTCAACTCTCAACGTGCCATCAACCTTGTTATCTACATTCACTGGCAGTTACTCGCCTGGCCGAAGATAACAGCTATTACACGCCATGTTAGAAGCCGCACACAGCTTGTCTACAAATCTTTATTACCAACTCTATTCTCGATCCTGGCGATAGTCCGATTGTCATCTCATAATACCCCACACATTCCTGGATCCTGTGCAAGTCCATAGATCCATAACAATCACCAGAAACTCCCACTTGGTATCACTTCATATGAGAACCAAGATACTACCTTCAGTGTCTCTGCCTCGGTGAGGTTCCTCGGCAACTTGCGACCCAACTGTCAATTCGTAATTAATATAACGCAACAAGTCCATGGCCACTCGCCAGCCTTCAAAACCTTTCATCATCTCAACCTCGAGATATGTCGAATAACTGACACATCGACCTAAGAATAACCTAACTGGTAATTAAATAATGCAAGTACAATTTCATTAAAGCTTGGATTAGAATTAGCTTCAACATTTTGTATTTCTTCTTTCAAGTTGTTTCTCCGGATGCAAATACTGGAAAGAACCAGAGTTCTAATAACCGCTGCTGTAATAGTTAGTATATACGTGCCGTTGACAGAAGTTTTGGATAACCAGGCCATTTCACAGAAAGTTTCTCATACACCGAGTTCATGTTGGTCGGCACGGAGGCTTGCTGTTTCCGGCATCACCTTCACCTTGCCTCAAACATCTTCATCTTCTGGCCTCTGCGCCCCATTCTTTTGACCACCAACCTAAACCGTTCCGGTCGCTATTTCAACCTCTGCCATCACCTCTACTCTTCATCCAATCGGAACCAGCACAGTCACTCTTGCCCGCTTTCATCGTCAAGTTCTCTTACCAGCCCTAGTATGCCTTCATTTATGGTTACCTAGCAATTCAGCTCCCTAATCTACGCACGACCTTGGGCATAGCTGGACCTCATCAACCTGAAGGAGCTGGTTACGGATTGTTTGCCATTGAACTAGACTCGCTGAAACAATGTTAGTGTATCTTCTTTCTCAATGTCATTCTACGTTCGTGTTTTTCTCGTTGCTCTTATGAGCCCAAAGTGTGAGCACACTTCTTTCGCTCTTTCACTCATTGACCCTTCTGCGATTACCGGCACCAGCTTTATAACTCTGCTCACACCCATTAAGTCTTGTGTTTTCCTAATCTGAGCGCTTCCCATAGGTACTTTCACACCAGTTTCTCAGCTTTGTGTCCGCTTCGGACTTGTGGGTCCCTCTTTCCCGCTCTTCTCACCCATTGACACTGCTCCCCTCCTCCCAGCCTTTCTCTGCTTTTCTCACCTTCACCCCCACCTTGAATTTCCTGCCCTCAAACTCAATTCCCTGAACCTCCACTCCTTCAACTCCCACCCTTCTGCCCTCATCGCAGCCCAATTTCTGTTGTCAAGTTGACAACCAACGACAGACACAGCTCTGGCGACTTGCGATCGCAATAAACAACTTGGCAAGGCATCGTATATATATATATATTATCTCAGCCATGGTTCGCTTCTGCAGTTACAGTTGCGTTTGTTTCCTAACAACTTCTTGCACAGCTGGATTTTGCACCAGTCGGTGTCGGAAGAATACTTTGCTGACCCTAACCTCAGAAGCACAACCTCAAAAAACACACTTCTCAACAAACTCTCGAACTCCAGCTTATCCCACACTTACATCAACACCCAAACAAGTTCAAAGCCGTCTAAAGAATACGTGAATTCTCGGTATTCATCGAATTCCACGTCTCAAATCATACAATCAATCATGCGCAACATTTCGTCCGGGTCGGGTGTTCCGACGAACGCCGGTCGGTCCGGTCTGGGTGGGGCCGGTTCTGGTGGGGCCGCTTTGGGTGCCGCTCCGGCTCGACTTGCCCCTTCGGGAAACCCACTCCCCGTCCGCGCTCGCCCTCCCGGCTCTGTTGCTGCCCGTGCAGCCACTACTGCTCCCATCACCGGAGCCCCGACCACTTCTGCCGCTGCGCCCAACCCCCGCCGCCCCGAGTTCCCCCCATGGACAGACCCTCTCGAGCGAGGGTGGACCGAGATCATGGGCTTCATCACGAAGCTGAAGCGGCACGCCCGGGGCGGAATCGCCGACGAAGAGATTGCGAGACTGCAGGGGCATGTCTGCTCGTTTTTGTGGCACCTCGAGTTTGGCCTGGGCGATGTGAGCCCGACGCTCAAGGGCTACCCCAACCGCGTCGACGACGCGCTGCGTGCTCTCACCAAGGAGGAGCACAGCAACTACATGCCGTCGTCGGTGTCACGGTGGGCGGCCGCCATATACGCAAAGTTCGAGCGCGACAACTGGGTCGTAGGCAACCCCACCACCAGCACCAACAACGCCAACGACGGCGCCGAGCCCAAGAGCGACGACGATACCAGCAGCGCCGACGGCACAGAAGAGGAGGATAATGACAATGCCGCCCCGGCCCAGGCCCAGGCCCCAGCCCCGACCCCTGCTCCCATTATCGCCGCCGCCGCCTCCACCAGTCCCGCGCTCCGCCTCCCCCCTCCCAGCCACCCCATCTGGGGCACCGCGGGCGTCATGCACGGCGTCTGCCTCAAGCTGCGGCCCAACGGCCGCTCCTACATCCTCGATCCACGCTACGCGCAGCAGAAGCGGGACGCCGCCGTGTTCGGCCACAACGGCCTCACCCCGGGCGCCTGGTGGCCGCTGCAGATCGCGGCCTACTTCCACGGCGCGCACGGCTCGCACATCAAGGGCATCTTCGGCACGGCGCACGACGGCGCCTATTCCATCGTGGTCTCGGGCGCGGCGGCAGCCTACCACGGACACAACCGGGACCGGGACGGGGGCACGACGCTGTACTACAGCGCCGACAGCCCCGAGCGCAACGACGTGGCCGCGCCGAGCGCCGAGACGCGGGCGCTGCTGCGCTCGCAGGCGACCCGCTCCCCCGTGCGCGTGCTGCGCAGCGCGGGCCGCCACAACCGCGCCTGGGCCCCCGCGGTCGGCATCCGCTACGACGGCCTGTACGTCGTCGCGGGCCGCGCCATGACCCCCAACGGCCGCGGCGGCCATTTCTGGAAGTTTGAGCTGCGCCGTGTGGCGGGGCAGCTCCTCGACCTCGATCAGATCCGTGCTTCGGTGCCCACGAGGAGCCAGAGGATTGCCGAGGGGCGGGTGCGGGACGGGTACTGAGGAGGGGCCTAGGGGGGTGTTGGTGTTTGTGTTTTCTCTTTTTCTTTTTTTGAGGCCACGGGGGCTGTCCGTTGCCGCGGGTTCTGCCCGGGAGGGGGCTTTCACGCCCCTTTTCCTTTTTTTTGTTTTTTCTTTACGGCGAACGCGTCTTTGCGGTCGGGATTCGGGCTTGGGCGGGCGGCGGTCACCAAGGCCAACGAGGCCGGAGTGTTATATATGTTATGTAATCCGAACTTGCTCATTATCGAAAACTTGAAGTGTCTTGAATGTGAATGAATGACTGCATGACCTTATCTAACTTAATCTAACCCTGACTGCAAGCATTTTCACATCTTCGTACACCACACGGTAATGGTTGGTTCGCTGGAGAGGACCAAGAATCCACCTCCTTTACGGTCGAGCATTGCTTCAGCAATGTGTTTCTCATTATAAGACATGACTCATTTCTGCAACTTGCTTACACCCTTTGATACCTATCCATCCTACCTCCAAAATTGACGAAGCAAACATTCGTGCGGTACACGGACATACTGCTATGAGACTGTAACTACTGGTACTTGACTACCACTGAGTGCCAGTATAGTTGTAGCTCCACCCTCTCTTTAATGTGAAGCTGTAACTGTAACTCTTATCATTCTGGCCTTGACTTTCTACTCTGCCGATGGGTTATCGACCTTTTGTCTTGCATCATTTACAGGAGAACAGTCACATTGAGGTGTTTTCCTTTGTCCTCACAAAGGCTGTAATTCATCATAGCGTAAAGTCCTACCTGTATCCGTTATACGAGTATCCCTGCCCCCGAGGTTATCACGTTTGACGTGACGGCAGACAACACGCTCGAGTCTCCTTATACGGTCCAGAACCAGATCCCGGGCGTCGATCTGTACTCAACCTTCCCAAGTCTCAACCATCAACAACAATGCCGAGTCGCCTCCGAACTTGGCCGCATATTTCATCAGATGTTGTCTGTCCGGAGCAGCACAGGTGGGAAGTTAGTGTTAACACCCCACCCCGGTAATGACGATAGGGGCAGTGGTGTGGTGCAGGTGGCACGTTGGGCATCCGCAGCAGATGGTTCCGAGGTTGTCCGGCCATATGATGGCAACCCAGCCGCCCCTTCTAAGCCCACCGACGAGTTGCTCATAGCTATCTTTTCTGCCCAAAAAGTCCGTGATTTGAAGCGGTGTCCATCTGATACTGCAGGGCCCCGGCTTTGGGACCGGTTTTGCCGTATGACACGGGAACTGGACGCTGGTGGTTGGTTAGCCGAGCGTCGCTACTCAGTCGCCCACCTGGATTTTGCACCTCGAAATATCCTCGTGGATCTGACGGGCGACACCCAACGTCCCATAATTTCCGCAATCCTTGACTGGGACAGTGCGGTGTTAGCTCCCAGGTTCATGTCTTGCTCACCTCCGCTGTGGATCTGGGCCTGGCAAGACGACGAGGACGAGGACGAGCGGACAGCCAACGACGAGCCGCCAACCCCGGAAGCACGACAGCTGAAGACCCTGTTTGAGTCGGCTGCGGGGCCCGACTACGTCAGACTAGCCTACGGGCCTCCTTACCGGCTGGCAAGACGCCTCGTTCGATTCGCCATCGACGGTGTACGATCGAATGAAGACTACAACGAAGCTGAGGTTATGCTGCAAGAGTGGGCCGACTTTTACACATCTCAACCATGAGGTCATCACCGTTGGAGGAAGAAAGCTCCTCAGCCTGTTAGCGTATCAAATACATTACATTCTGCTGCCCCTTGATTCGTCTCAAACACGAATATAATTGGCCTGCAGACTACATAGTAGACTTGAAGATTGGTGACCACCTTTACTTATTACGCCCCCCAGAAAACACGCAGTGCTAAGCACCAGCCTGGTATGCCTACTGTGAACACAGGTAGACAATCCCCCATTCTTGGTCACACTGAGATGCTGGCTTCGCGGGGACCAATCGTGCGGGCCCAGGCCACTTTGTTACTGTGCGTGCTAAACGCCTACGGGTGAGACCATGCCGTGAGCATGCCCCAACGTGCATATTACACAGTAATTATATACCTGTGTTGTTGGTCTCCCGCGTCGGGGGAATCACGACAGAAATTGAGTCATTTTCCCAGATTTGTTTCGGGGTTCTTGTAGAAATGCATGATTCCTCAAAACAACCCACACCCCTCATCTCTCCCTGTTTTGCGCACTTCTTGGTAGTTAAGTCTTCACAATTTTGGGCAGTAGAAGTACCGCTCGCAATGGACCAAGTCCAGAATATCGGCCTCGAGGACATGTCAAGCGGGGAAATCTCTGCATTCGTTGCAAACTACCGATACAATGGTCAGTTATTTGCCGTCTTAATCAGCGACGAGCCCCCAGAGCCATACGAGTTGGATGACTCAATCGAGGGCGCTTGGATCGAACACCTGAACGACTTGTCATACCACGACGGAGAGGATGATGCGTTGCACATGAAACAGATCGACGGGCTAGTAGAGGCAGAGAGGAAGATATTGGACGTGGTATTCCCAACCTTGGAAAAGCTGGCGCCAGTCCCGCTGCCAACTTCACCTCACCCAGATTCCGCAACGAAGACGATTGAAGAGTATCTCTTCCCGACTTGCGTCAGATTGGAGCTGGTGACAAAAGATGGGATGCTGAAGGTCATTTCAGGACACCATAGGGAGATGGAACGGGCAGGGTGCGTCATCCCTTGGAGCGAGATGGGGAAGATCGGGGTTGAGCCCGGCTCAGTTGACCTGTTTCCCGCAGACCATGTACTATTAGGGAGCAGGCTCGTGATGGGCCAACATATGCGGCATGTCTATGATGTGACTATTTCTGGGGTCGAAAAAAACCTGGTGGGCAAGCTTGTCTCTGCTCTCTTCCACAGAGCTTTTCTGAGAGAGGTTGAGATCTACGGAAAACTTAAGGGCTTGAAGTTGGACCCCGAAATTCGAATCCCGGAGTTCAAAGGTAGGTTTCCTTTCCCCGGCCTGTCCATGGTGGACTTCAGCTAATGACACATTGGTAGGCTTGATTACCTCTGGTGACGGTGTCGTTGGCTTGATCGTGGCCAAGATCCCTACTCAGTACCCCAGCTTGCTCCCTATCGTCACGGACCGCCTCCCTGGCGAACGCCCAGAAATGGTACGAAGACAACGATGGGCTGCTCAGGTCGAGCATACCGTGACAATGCTTCACCAGCATGGGATCGTCTGGGGAGATGCCAAGCCCGATAACATCGTGGTTGATCAAGATGACAATACCTGGCTGCTCGACTTCGGGGGTGGGATTACCGAGGGATGGGTCGAGCCGTCAATGTTTCACACGAAAGAGGGAGACTTGCATGCCGTTGCAAAAATGAAGGAGGGGCTGCTGGATCAGGGGACCAACGGCGGGAACAAGACCGGGACGAAATAAGCTTAAGCGAGGGTCAACCCTGTTCGTCCTCTACTGAGATACCTCCTAGTTTTGATAGGCACCTTATGTACCTCCGAGTTGTCTGCTAGGATTCAATGTGGTGTCTGTGTCTGCACCAATTAACGTGGAAAAGGCATACATTGGGAAGCTTCTTGCATCCCAGGTCGGATGGGAGCAAACCCCTCTCATAGACGTCAATCTACCCTTTGCATCCCTAGTTCCCTAACCTTCCATGGTTTTTGCGCCGCCTGAATCCCATCTCATCGTCACCATAATAAGTGCGTCCCAAACCTGGACCATGTAAACGAAGGAATGACGGGTTATAGAGGATTTCACCCAAAGTCCGACGCCCACTTCATCGCCAAGCCCACGCAGATAGATGATCACGGGTGGGTAGGGGGGTAGTGGATTCAAGGCTGCACCAATCTTTTATGTTCATTGACAGAAGCTAGAATACTATAAGCAAAACCTAACGGTATCGTCGTACTCCCGGGAAGTGTCTCTTTTGATGAAAGCTCTCCTCAATCTTCTCCAAACTCCTCCCCCGAGTTTCCGGCATGTATAAAAAGCAGACGACCGCCGTGAGCAGCAAACAACCTCCAAACAGGAAGTATGCGCCCGAGTCCGTAGCGGCGAGCATGATGGGGACGATGAGGGCGACGAGGAAGTTGGTTAGGCTGTAGCTCACATATGCCATGCCTGTGGCCGTCGCCCGCGTTCTTTTGGGTTGGATTTCGGCGGCAAAAACCTTGACGTGGATGGCCCAGCTGATACAGAAAATAATAATGTAGATGTAGATGGCCACAATGACGACCCAGCGACCCGCCCCCACGCCCTCGTGGACCGTCTGGCCGGCATAGAGGCCACCGATGAGGAACATGAGGACAGCCATGGAGAGACCGCCGAGAATCAAGCTGGGTCGCCGGCCCCAGCTATCGGCCCAGATGGTGGCGGGGATCGTGACGGCGAAGATGACCAGACCTGATACCCCGGACGCGAGGAAGCTGGATTCGTTTGACGACAAGCCTGCCTGCTTGAAGACGAGAGGTGCATACTGAGCGGTGATGATCCGACGTTAGCGCAGCCCGAGAAAGGAAAGAGACATTATACTGGGGTCTTAGAAAAGGGCAGCGTACAAATAGAACACCATCAATACCACTCATCTGGACCATACCCATGAGGAAAAGGCCGGCCAGAAGCTGCGGCCTGGTATTGGGATCCAACAAAGTCTCCAGGATAGTCACTTGTGCTTGTGTCGGTTCATCGGTTGTCTTCTTCACCTCGCCCGGTCTGCCTGGTGTCTCTTTCTCTTCGATCTTTGCTTCGCTCTGCCCGCCCACAGCACTTCCCCCGTCCGAAGAGGAGTTGGCAACGGGTAATTGACCGACAATTTTCTCTCGGTCAGCCGGGTCCACTCCGAGCCTGTCCCAGATAGCAGCAGTCTCATTTCCCCGTCCCCGGAGCGTCAGCCATCGGGGAGACTCGGGGAGGACAACAAGGGCCATGACAGTGAATGCAACCGAATAAGCGGTGTGGATAATCAGCGGCAAACGCCAAGAAAACGAGGATGTCATGTTGGCGGTCCCGTAGCAGGCGAAGTAGCCAACGACAAGTCCGAATGTATGCAGCAGCTGAGGTGCGGTGGTAAGAGTGGCTCGATGTTGGGGAGTCGATATTTCGGTGATATAGCTATTGAATAGAACGGCAGTCTCAGTATTACATGGCTCCTTGCTCAATTTGGGCCCGGGGAAAGGGAAGGGGGGGGGGGTTTCCGCTGGTCTCGGCACTCGCTTACACGATCATTGGGCCAACATAAAGGCCCTCGCCGACACCTTCGATGAGACGGCCAACAATAAACATTGCGAGATTGACGGAGCCGGCTTGAAGAGCAGCACCAACGGCAAAAATGGCAGTGCCTATGGCGATGCCGCGAACGCGGCCGACGCCATCAGCCAGTCTGCCGGCCACCATGGACGAGACGGCGGCGGCCAAGATGAGGGACGAGACGATGAGCCCCTGGACTGTGGGGTTAGAGCTGCCGCCAATGGTACGCCTGAAGTCGTCCATGACGAGGATGGGGCCGATGATGCTCGTTTCAATTCCGAAGGAGAAACCACTCAAGGAACAGAGAATGCTGGACACGACGTAGCCCGGAGGCCGCCGCAGAAGATTGGAGGCCTGCATTGGCCGGTAGGAGTGCGCTGGATCGGGCGGAGGATGAGAGTCTGGGGTTGTTGTGCGTGGGAAGTGAGGAGGGAGGGAAAGAAGAAGACCTCCGGGTGGAGGACAGGACCTATGAATGCACCGAGGATTAATATTCCCCCAGCCCAGAGTGACCCCTACCTGGTACATAGTTAGGTACCTACCTAGGTAGATTACAAATTTACAATTGGCCTTCGCAGACAAGTTTGGCACATTTCGCCGTGGCAATCGATGTCTCTCCCATCCATGTCGACAACCCCGCGGCCGCAGCTCGCATTACGTCTACGTCCACTTTTCTCTTGTGTTTGTCGCGTCCTGGTTGCGCCTCTTTGTGACAGCGTTTTGGTCCATCTGTACTGTGTTATATGCAGGCACACTTGCACGCGTCAACAGCGGCTACAGGCCCCCCTGCCAGCGGTATCTGGGTCCACATCCCCTTTAGGGGGTTTTGGCGCGTATATCCTTCCCCAAGGGTCAGGTGGCGCTGGGACTCGTAAAAACTGCCGAATCGGGAATATTACACCAGCACACCCTTGGCCGCCTATCAGCTCCGGTGTGTGCATCTATACCGAACATTGCATCAGTCCCTGCTCAGGCTCCATCCGTCCAACTTCCCCTCCTCATCCTCTACGTTCTCGTCGGCGATACCACCACCGTGAGCACGCTGGCTCTGCCGCCCCGATTTGGTGATGGCTACGATATTGCCGCAAGCACCCGAGCGAATGGGAGAATTCTGATCACGACCTCTGAGGGAATCCCTCGCCGCACAGGGGAGCGCAATGGGTGTCACCCGGCGTCTAACAGGCCCTTGTGATGAGGAACACAACAGGTGTATTTAGGTGGAAGCGGCCGCGCCATGATCCAGTCACTCGGCATGACCTGTGCTTGGAGCGGACTCTATCATCCAGCCCCAAGCTAAACGAAATTCACACACGTCGACTACCCAACTCGCCGCCATCGGCAGAGATTACCCAAAATGCTAGCGTCCATCGGCCTTTCCCTGCTAGGCGTGGCCTTCTTCGCCCTACTATGGCCCGTCATCGACTTCCTCCGCGACCGTCGCGGCCTCCGCAAGTACCCGGTGCAGAACCTGCTGTCGGGGGTGACGACCCTCGCGTACAATTGGGAGATCGGCCGGCGGCACAAGACGCTGCGGACCCGTCGGCTGTACGAGGCGCACCAGGAAAAGGGCCCCATCATCCGCGTGGCCCCGGACTGGCTCTCGTTCGGCACCGCCGCCGCCGTCAAGGACATCTACGGGCACAAGTCGCCGCTGCTCAAGAACGAAGTCTACTTCGCCCTCCAGGGAGAAGGGCAGCACCTCGCCAACATGACGGACAAGGCGGCCCACGCTAGCCGCCGCCACCTCGTCGCCGCTTCCTACGCACCCAAGAACGTCGAAACGTGGGAGCCCAAGATCGCCGACCTGGCCGGCGTCCTCGTCGCCAACATGGACAAACTGTGCACTGCCCCGCTCCCCAAGGGCCTCTTGCCGGCGCCCCGCGACCTGCAGTTCGACGGCAGCCTCTGGGGCCTCCTCTTCGGTTTCGAGGGCGTCTGCCAGATTGGCCTGAGCTTAAAGCTCGGCTTCATCGAGCAGGGCTCCGATGTCTTCACGCTCCGCCGGCCCGACGGCGGCTCCACAAAGATCAACGCCATCGAGACTCTTCATGGCTACTATGGGCCCGTGGCCAGCTTGATCTGGGACACCAAGACCTTCAGCATCCTCAAGCCCCTCTCCGGTATCTTTTCTAAGTGGTACGCGAGGGGGGTGGCAGCACGGCGTGGAATGGCGCCAGTTTCTCACTCAACTGGTCCTCGAGCGCCAGGACCGCTTTGATGCCGGGGAGCAGCTGGATGACCTCTTCCAGGGAATGCTCAAGGACCGACGGTCTGGTGAACGCCCCGACGTCAACCAGACCGATAGGATTGCCGAGATGGATCAGATGTGTACGTGCCGCTGTTCGGGAACATGTCGGCGGCAGGCCGGAGGCTAACCAACGAGTCATTGACAGTTAACGGAGCGGTCGACGGGACGGGAAGCTCTCTCGTCAACACGCTCTACTATATCGTCAAGCACCCCGAGGCGTACAAGCGCGTTCGCGCCGAGATTGACGAGGCCCTCGGCCCCGACGACGTCATTGCTCCCTGGGACAAGGTGAAGAACCTCCCATTCCTCAAGGCCTGCATTGATGAGGCCGGGCGCCTGGCACCCGGTGTCGCCGGCGACCTCCCGCGCAGAACTCCGCCCGGGAAGGACTACATGGTTGCCGGTGTCGCTGTCCCAGGGGACACGAGCGTCAGCATTTCGGCCTACACGGCCCAGCGCGATCCCGTCATCTTCCCCGATCCCGAGGCCTTCAAGCCAGAAAGGTGGCTCATCAAGGGCGACGACCATCTCAAGAAGATGCTGGACGTGTACCTCGTGTTCACCATGGGCTCCAGGATGTGCATGGGTAAGAGCGTCACCGTCCTCATCCAGTCCGTTTACCTGGCAACGCTCCTGCACAGGTACGATTTCGCGTTGGCAAACCCGGATTGGGTGCTGGAGAAGGTCGAATTCTTCAACCAGTGGCCCAAATCCATGCCAATGAAGATCTGGAGGCGGGAGTGGCAGACGACCAACGGGGTGTCGGTGTGAGCACGCGTGGCATCTCCAAAAGAGCTTCAGGCAAATATCCCCGAGTGGCCCACGCCGTGTCAGTCAACCGTGATCAGCTGCAGTCTACGTGGAACGACGGGTCAAGCCGGGGATTCGGAGAGCCGCTGTAAATGCTGTATTCGTCTCCTTGTATTGAAGCCATAGCGTGATTCGAGGTCGTTTAGCAGTGCCCAGACTTTTGTCTTCTTGCCGAGGCCGTTGATATGTTTGGCAGCTGAGTGAATGTCATGAGCTACGGCTACATGCCTGGAAGGAAAGAGACAGTCACAGCGAGTGAGACGGCGAGCCGAGACATACCGAAGAATAGGGGTTGGGCAGAGAATGCGCGCACGCTAGGTGGAAGTTCGGATAGGGCGGCGTCGGCTATCTGATAGGCGTGCGCTTGTGTCTAGTCTCGAAGTCAGTCTCTTTCTCCGGGCGCGATGGGCTAAACTTGCTTCTTGAGGATCGCATGGTAGCGTGTGTGGTGTTGCCTCGGCGTATAGGAGTATGTGAAGCAAGTGGTACCACATCATGGCGGCAGCTAAGAGGACGCATATGTCAGTTACATACGTCATGGCTGCCGATGCCAGAACAGCTCACCCGCTGTTGAAACGGCGAAGTAGGTCTTCCGGAAACCGAGATCGTCCGGATGGCCGTACTTGACGCCTTGAAAGGAGATGGGCAGGTTGTCGTGCCACGACGCCGCCTCTTGGAGGATGGCTTCGAACTTGGGGAGGATGTGGAGATCCCGATCGGGGGCGTACATGAGGTCCACGGCCCGGGCCACGAGCCAGATGATATGGTTCCCCAGGACGTCCTCGCCCACTTCCCCCGTGGGCCCGTCGTAGTTCCACTCGTCCGGGCTGAACTGCAAGGGCGTCTCGTTCTCCAGCGCGATGGTGATTTCGTGCCGAACGTAGATCCAAAAGTTGGCACGGTCCATACCCGTACTCTGGGCGTCGATCCCACATTCCCGTATGAGGGCCAAGGCGCCGTGCAGGTGGCGTTGGTGCTCGTGGGCATGCGCCTCCAGCATCTCGTAGCTCGACAGGAGCATGTTGGCCGTGAGGGCCTCGTTGCGGCGCGCGTCGGGCGTGTTGCTGTTCAGATGCCGAATCAACAAGCGCAGGGCATCGCCGTAGTAAGTGGGTCGCGGGCGTCGACCAGACCTCGCCCGAGTGGAGGAGGCTGAGCTGCTTGGCCGTGAAGGCGCAGACACATTTGGTCACAAGGCTGGATACGAGACAGCGCCGTGGCACTTCGCACTGGTAGGACCGGCCATGGTCGAAGACGTCCATCCAGGTGGCGACCCCCGTCGAATAGACAGAAAGCAGGTGCGCGACCTCGGGGCTGATGGAGAGGGGGCCGAGGCTGGAGGACGCGGCGGAGTGCGAGGATGCCGCAGCCGACGAGCCGGGAGAGACAGAAGAGGCCAAGTCCGGAGGACTCTGCTGACTGCTGGAGGGGGAGGACTGAGGCCCGGACCCTACGTTTGTCACCGATGTGCCCGAGGAGGAATGGGCTGGGTGGGCCGGGGTGGCCTGGGTGGCTGTCGAGGCATCATCGGCACCGGAGCCCGGCTCGACTAAAACGGCTTCCACAGTGGTCGGCGTCGTCTTCGGGGGGCACCACGGGGAGCGGACGATGAACTCGAATGGGCGGCAATCCAGGTTCAGTCGCTCGCAATTGCTGCACACGGGCTTCTTCTCGTCGCACGACGCATGGCGTGCCTTGCAGGTGTAACTGTGATGGCCGAGGGGGGCCGGCGTGTTAGAGCTCCGTCTGTCTTACTGCTACCCCCCAGCCGACCTAAGACGGTGATAAAATGGGGGTCGCTTACCAGCCTGGGCGTGAGTTCTCATGTTAGCCCCCGTTTCGAACCAAGCCATCATGGATCCGTAGGAACGAAGTCGCTCACCTGTCTTCCGACGCTGCCCCGAGCGGCGTTTTTGCTTTCCGCTGGCGGGGCCTCTCTCGGATTCGTCCATGGACGCACCGATCCGGAAGCGTGGTCTTTTCGGTTCACGAAGCGGATACACCCGTCGTGGCGCCGGTGCGGGCCGGGGGAATGAAGTGGTGCGGATAATGGGGCTCCGGATGCGGCCTAACCTCAAGAAGTTAAGTCAAGCGCAATCCTGGTTCCGGATCCTGTTACAGGCGAAGAGACAACAGATCACGGCGACCCAGTCGATCGAGATGGATACGCATAAAAGAGTGTCGCGAAACGGTTGCGCGCCTTCAAGAGAACGGGGCGTGTTGGATGATGGATCGCGGCAAAACCACAAGGAAGGTGTCGCGATTGGCGACGGCGACAGACAGGAGCGGCACAACACGAGAAGACACAGCATTCCTGGTCAGCTGACCTCGGTCGAGCGGGGTGAGCAGATGGAACGGTCCGGATACAAGCAGGAGATGATTGAACTTCGACCCCGCTAATTGCACGGAGTGCTTTGGCTAGAAGGATGGGGTAACTAGGCCCAATACAGTTAGTTAAACCACGACTCTTGTCGCGAACTTTCTCCACACCAAGTTCAATCAATCGCCAGCCTCAACATCAAATTCAATCAATCGCGACACCAACCGACGAGATGGAAACCATCGCGAGTAACCCCGGGTCGTTGAACTTGGCCAGGAAAAGAAATAATGTGACTCAACAAACAAACAGGTCGCATCCTCTCGCCCCTTCCCCCCACCCCCCGAAATCCTTCCCCCACTTCTGAGCCGTTGCTCTCTCGCCACCCCTCCTCCCTCTCCTCCTCCCACAACCCCCTACTCGTACTGGCACCCCTCGACAAACTCCTCGAGGAGAGCCTGCAGATCGTCGGGGCGCTCCAGCTGGATCCAATGGCCACAATCTCGCATCGTCTCGATGCGCAACCGCTTCGCCCATTTCGACGTCTGCTCGCTCTGCATGTCGGCCCGCGTCACGTAATCCCGGTCGCTGACCACCAGCAGGGTCGGCACATCGCAGAACAGGCCCTCATCGGCAATGCCCTCCTCGTCGGCGAGGTTGATTCCCCGCATCGCCGCCTTGTACCAGTTCAGGGGACCCCTGTACCCCTTCTTGCTGATGACCCTGTCGCGCATCGTGTATTCGGCTAAGCTGTACCAAGAAGGGAGCGGGTCAAGCCGGCCCCGTCGCACGTACCTCTGGGCCTCCCCCAGCGGCGCGAAATTCTTCTTCCAATCCTCGGGGTCGCTGGGGTAGATGAGACTGAATACCGAGGCAGGCTTCCCGTCGACGACCAACCGAGTCAGTACAGATTACTTTATTCTTCTTCTTCTTCTTCTTCTTCTTCTTCTTCCCCTTCCCCCTCTGCCTCTTTCCCTTCACCGCGTCTCTGTGGGTTGGTTTGGACTTACGTGCTCGTCGCAGTCCTTGGCCGCTTCTTCCGAGTTGTGCCAAGGCCAATAGCCGTACGTCTCATAACCAACCGCCTTCCGGGTCAATGCAAGCAGTGCATCTGTCGAAACGCATGTCAGCCGAGACGTCACCGCCATTCAAACCCGGAGCATCGGATCCTCACCGATGTCCCAGACCAGCTTGGGTTCCACGTAGCCAACAGAAACAAACACAGCGCCATACAAACGGCTCCGTATATACGTCACTAGGCGGGAGAGGAGAGCAGAGCCCCTGTGCCACACGCAATCCCTCCCGCATTGATTAGCGTTGACTAGGATAGGTAGGTAGTTAGCACAGCAGTGAAACCGACCAGTCGTGGGATACAGCAAAGCAGCGCGAAACGCCCTCTCTGTCTAGAATCTCGGCGATATGTTGCGTCATGGTCTTCATACGGTACGCGTCGACGTCGGCTGGTGCGTCGGTGTCCCCGTAGCCTAGAAGATCAGGCACAATGACACCGAATCCGGCCGCCGGCAGGCTCTGGATCTGGTTACGCCAGTCATAGCTCGAGCTGGGATAGCCGTGAAGGAGGAGAAAGGTCGGTTTCTTGGGGTCCGCCGGGGCCACGGCAACGTAGCCGTAGGTGGTGCCATCAGAGAGGGTTGCCTTTTTGGCGATCGAGGGGAACGCGAGGGAGGCCATAGTTTAGGTAGTTGGAATGAAGTACGAAATCCGTAGCATAGCGCATAACCATGCCATCCACCTTGTTCCTCGGAAATGAATTATATAGGGCACATCCCATCACATCACATCCCAGCGCAGAGCTCAGGCCTCCGCCATGACTCTGTTTCCCCATGTCTAAAAGAGCCCGGTCCGAAGTCCAATGGAGCAATATTCACGAGTACCTATTCCAGCTCATGGATCGGCAGAGGTGCCAAGGTAGGGGGTGCAGGGGTGGGGGCGTGCCATGCACCCATGCTGCCATGAGAGACGATGGGGCCCATGGGGCACGAAAAGAAGCCTTTTTACACAGGGGCAACAGACACGCGGAATGCATCCGTTCGGTATGCAGCCAGTAATCCCACGCTTGGCAACTTCTCCTTCTGCATGTTCATTCAGTACGGCAGCCAATAGGGGCGATGGCTGTCCAAGCCGCTGACGGCAAAATAAGCTGCAGGAAACGCAATGATGTCACAACGCCAGGCCCCGATAGGCTGGATGCAACCCTGCCTCTGATTCACGGAAATCCCCACGGTCCCCAACTTGCCGGGTTTTCAGGCAGAATCCTTGCTTGTTTTGTGTGTCCTGTGGTATCATGCAGTGAGCATGCACCCCGTGGTATCCACGACCGGCAGACGCGCTGCGTAAGCCTCATGTTGCTATCAGATAATGCCTGCCACACGGGTCTACTGTGGTCACCACGGCAAGTGCGGGGCCCCTCGTACATGTGTAAGTGGAGGCTTCTGGAAATCGGGTTTTATAAACGAAGGAATAGAGCAAAGTCGGAGTAGAGTAGCGCTCGGTGAGCGATGAATAAAGTCGACTAAGGCCCTTACGGCTAAGCTCAGGCCTGCGGGACCTGTGGGCGAATACAAGCTGTGGGGGTCCCATTTTCGCAATATAATAGTATTATAGTAGACCATCGATACCTAAGGTAGTAAAGAGCCCGGAGCGGTCCGTTGCTCTATCTCGATGCCACCGCCCGCGTCTACATAACACGACCAAGCGCAGGGCTGGCTGATACGATCTCATCGTCTCTTCTCGATGGCCACATTCTATTCGTCAAACGAGAGATCCATGCACGGCCGCCCGCGTCAGCAAGTCGGCAGCACTCTGGGGAATCCCCGTGAGCGGATACGCCCGGCTCTAGTGCGGTCCGCGGACAAGCATTGGAGGCGTTGCGCCGCTCTCCCACCATGTCGGGAGGGGCCGGGAGGGCCGGGAGGGCCGAGTAAGTCTCGAATCCTCCTGCATGCATGCACGTCTTACGGAGCCGAGGCAGGCATACCTTGATAATGCACCTGTCTATGATTGCGCTTCGAATCCTTCGATCACGCTGGCCAAGCTTCCTGAAAGCCCGTGCAGCCGAGGCAAGGCGACGTGGGGGCTAAATAGGCAGGGAGCGCAACAGGTCACCGTCGTCACGGCTCCGTCCCCCCGCTTTACTGCTGCCGTACGTCAGATCAGGACAACTGGTACATCACGCTGCGCCGCCGTAGGAAGAGGAAGAGGGATAAATCGACATCCCCTGGGCGGCCGCTAGCCGTTTGTATAACGATGCCAAGAATACCCACATAGTCGTTATCATCGTCTCGACGCCGGTGCGACTGCCCCACGGGCTTGGTAATAATGGATAGCTCTCAGGCGATACGCTTCGAACATGTGGACGCGGCGCACTTCTCACCGGCGCCAGGGCCTCAGCGCCACATCGCGTGCAACCCGTGCCGCGAAAGTAAAGTGAAATGCGACGGTTGCCGGCCGGTGTGTAAAAGATGCCACGGCGCCGGGTCGGCGTCGAGGTGCTCCTTTGTGCGCCACAGCGCAAAAAGGGGCCGGCCCAAGAAGCCCAGGCCGGAACCGCCGCTGTCGACAACGACGTCGAGTGACTCGAGCACATCCTACACTCCGCAGGGCGACAGTCGCGACACTCCGGGGTGGATGGAGGCGACCAGGGACGGGGACAGCGTCATCGCCCACGGCTTCGACGCCGCCGCCGCGTCGTGGCCCGCCACGTCCCAGCCAACCCCTCCCGATGACGACGTGCTTGGGGACGACGGGGACGACGAATCGCCGCCGGGCGAATTCTCGGATATCGCAGACATGGTAGTCGAAGACTTCCGGACGGCGCTGCAGGTCGATATTGCCCCACCGGACGGCCTAACCCCTGGACTGACGAAAACGCTGTATGGCACGTCCGCTCGAACTGAAGCTGTCCATTGATTATCGCTAACACCCAACGTCTTAGAGTGTCAGTCTTCTGCGGCTGGAACCAGCAGACCTTTATGTGCTTTGACGACCCGGAAAGCCTGGAATCCTATCTCGAGCAGCCTGGATACGAAGCCGTGGCTGTCAAATACGCCATATGCGCCCACGCCAGTGCGCTTACTAGCCGAGTCCGACTGCCAACGTCGGAGGCCGTGCCGGGTATTGACTACAGCCTCTTGGCCACCGTGTCTGATGGGGACCACGCCGCTCTTTTCTACCGCCTAGCGCGGGCTGCGTTGAACCAGAGCGACTTGAGCAAGAAGTCGGCCGCCAGCTTGCTGCTGACGCTTTCGGCGACCGTCCTGCTCGGGCTCTATGAGCTCCAGCAGGCCGAGGTTGGTTGCGCGTGGCTTTCGGAAAGCCGCGCCGTCTGGATCATGGATGAGCTGCAGTTGCACCGGCTCGACTCGGACCAAGCCCCGCCGCTGAGCGATGGGGCCCAAGCACCGGCCGCCCGTCGGGCCTTCTGGGCGGCGAGAGGGTTGGCGAGTTTTCTCATGACGGTGCACCAACACCACCGGATCATGCCTTGTCCCATGGAGGAGGTCAGTCGGCGATTCCCCTACACTCCCCCTTTTTCTTGGCGTGGCGGCTAAACAGTATCCGATGCGCTGCAGGTCTCAACATGCCTACCAAGTGCCGATCGAACCCCGGGCTTGACGCTTTCCGATGTGTGCCACGGCACAGCGACCAGGCTTCTCTCCGTCGATGAAGGGCTGACGGCTCTACGTGCCCTGAGCACGCGCGTCTTGGCCCATGCCAGTCGCGTAGGCAACCGGAAGAGCAGCGTCACCGACGGCACGGCTCGAGCCTACAATTTCTGGACACACCAAAGCCAGTTGGAGGAGTCATTGGGTTACCTCCAGACCTTCACTAACACTTGGACGGCGGGGTCCATGGGTGGCCCCGATTTCGATGCCGTGCTGGTGGATCTCCAGACACGAGCTCTCGTCGTCGTTCTCGGCGAGGCCAAGCTGGCCAAGATGAGCTCGTCTCAGGGGATGCGACTCGATCCGGGTCAGTTGGGCCCCTGCAGAGATGCCGCCCGTCAACACGCACTCGACTCGGCTGCTGCCATCGAGGCATTGAACAAGGCGCTCCCCGGCGACGCGGCGACGGATTTGTCGGCGACGTGGGTTGCCTATGTCACGCTGCAGTCCCTGCTCCGATGCCAACGCCGAACCCAGGCGAGCTGGACCGAAGCTAACGCTATCATCGGCCGCGCACCGGCCGCCTTTTCATCTCCATGGGCGCCCACGGTTGCGACTCTGTCGGACGCACTGCTCTCCGACTCGTTTGAGTCCTTACAGGCGAAACTCGCGGATTGGGGAAGCAAGATCCCGGTGGCCTCGTTGTATTCCGACCAGATCCAACTTGAGCTTGATTTCAGCACCGACGCTCTCCAAGCGCGGGTTGTCGGATTGCTGGATTCCTAAGGTCGTTTGGAATCTCATCCTCTTGGCCAGAGCCCGATTCGTACCTGTTGCTACCCTCCTCCGCCGGCCAGCACACACGATAAGAATATAGGGCGCCATAACAGGGCAGCCGGGACAATGGTACCCCCACAGGAGGAACGAGCCAAGTCTGTTGGAGGGTGGTGGTGGTGCGGGAAATCAGTACACAGATACGGCAGGTCCCCTAACGGGAATCGGTCTCCCTTTTGGGACCTCGGATAAGGTCTCATACGAGGGAGCAAGGAAATCACGGGTGAAGAATAAATCTGGCAATGAATTTGAATAGCTATTCCCCCACCCAGATGGGCTAACGTCATGCCAATTCCATGTGGAGTACAGTGTTTAGCCTAGGAGCTGGGCAAATCATGGATACTTCATATAGCCCGTTCCCAACAGTCGAGTGCTCATGCTATGCATGTTTAGGGCGATGCCCAAGCACGCGTCACGTCCCAAGAACCATTCACATTCGAGACGGGTATGTAAGGCATGTATAAAGTTGGCACTAGACAGGTAGAGGCTAATTGTGGTCTAGAGAGATAACAAACCGAACCGAAAAACTGCTTAGGTACACACCAAAGCGGAAGGTCCCACGGCCCTTTAAGAAATACCATCGTTCGGTTTCCACTCAAGAGCTCAAACTGGAAACCGTCGGCGCTTCGGACTTGCTGTCCCTCTTCCGCAAGTTGTTATACTCGTCCAGAACGTTCGCATAACAGTGTGGACCGTAGGGCGAGAAGAAATCAGCTAGGACGCCCTTGTGACGCCTTGTTTCGAGACCAAGGTCCTTCATCAGACGGTCCAGATACGGCACCCAATCGAAGAGGGCATAGGGGTAGCGCTCGCCGACGCTCGCGTAGCGCTTGCGCGTCCACGCGTTCCACTCGGCGACCTCACGGACCATGTCGGCTCGGCCGGGCAGGGCCAGGTCGCCGAGCAAGTAGGCGGCGGCCCAGAGGCCCTGGACCTCGGCGATGGTGGGGGTCTGCGTGGTGTGGATCTGGCCCAGGATCACGATGCTGCGGTCGCCGTCGGCCAGCGGCACCATGCGGTTGTACAGCCGCCACCGCCGCACCTTCATGACCTTCCGCCTCGCCGCCGGCACCTTCCACCCGTCGAAGTCGGCCGGTCCGGCGCCCAGCAGAGGGATCTTGCCGGCCACGAGGGCATCGGCGGCGTCATCGTGCGCGCGCCACGGGTCTGACCTTGGTTTGTGGGGGGGCGTGGCGGCGTCGGCGGGCGCCGTTTCGTGGCCGTACTGGGGAAGTCCCAGTTCCTCCTTGAGCTCGGGCGAGAAGAAGCTGAAGTGGTCTCCCCAGCCCGTGGCATAGATCACATAGTCGGCGTTGACGCGCTTGCCGGACAACAACGAGACACCCTCGGCGTCAGCGGTGCCGACGGTGTCGCGGAGCACGGTGAGGTTGCCCTTCTCCAGTGTGGTCCAGAAGTCCTCCATGGTGATGAGACCCAGGGAGCTGTCGCACCAGAATGCGCTAGAGGAGGACGATTTAGCGTTCCCTGAAGAACCATGGAAGAAGCGGCAGGGGCAAAAGAACATACCTGTTATCCTTGATGGTAGGACGCAGAGGAGTGGTCTTACTAGCGGCACCGCCTCCAAACCCAGCCGCCTTGTCCGCCAAGTTGGAGATGTAACCCCAGGCCGACCGGGTGAGGAACCTGCCCAGCCAGGTCCGGTGGAAAAAGGCACCGGCCGGCGAGTCGGTGGTCATGAGCGACGGGCTGAGATTACTCATCAGCCGGCTCGTACTCATCGTGATGGTGTTCCGGCCCAGCATCTTGGCCGGCATGATGGGCATGGGGCCGGAGCCGTTCTCGCGGATGATCCAGGTCACCTTTTTGCCCAGGGAGCAAAGCAGGTACGCGGCATCGTAGGCCGACTTGGCGGCGCCCACGAGCACAAAGTGCTCCCGCTTCTTGGAAGGGTCGGAGAAACTGGGCACCGCCTTGGCCAGATCCACCACGTGCTTGACCGGGACGGAGCCATCCAGGACTTGGAAGTCGGGACTGTTGGTCTGCGTCGTCACGCCGGTTGCACACACCAGCTTCTCGGCCTCGACCCTTCGGCCGTTCACGGACAAGACCCAGCCATGGCCACTGGGATGACGCTCCACGCTTGATACCCAGCTGTTGTGGCGCAGATACGGCTTCAGCCCGCTCTCCTCAGCGTATCTTTCAAGATAGCGGCAAATCATGTCGCCAGCCACCAAGCCGTTGTCGGTCTTGCCATCGCGGGGCATCGGCGTGGAGGGATAATTCTGCACAAGGCGCGTGAGACGAGCACACCTCACCATGGGTTTCTTCAGTAGCAGCCTTTACTTACAAAGTAGCCGAACTCCACCTGGGCCACCAAGTTGGGATAGATGCGCTCTCGGTTCCATGTTCCACCCACACTATCGTACTTGTCGAAAATGGCAAGCTTGGTGTCCGGAGCCAGCTTGAGGTAAGTTGACGCCGCTTTCAAGCCGTACCATCCTGTAGAAGACTTGAGTCAGAAGCTGCACCCGGTACATGTAGGAGAAGTCGCTGGCGTAGACCTACCCGCACCAATTACGGCCACGTCTAGGTAAAGCGTCTCGTCGGCAGTAGCGTGAGGCATCTTGGATTCTTGGACTCTTGGGCTCCGAGTGGAAACTGGTGCAGTGCGCAGAACTTAGAAATTGGAAGAAAATCAGTTCCACAGCTTTGAGAAGGTCTCCTAGAAACATATTGGACTTGTGCCAAGTAGCTCCACTGCTATGTATAAGCCATGGATAGTCAGTCGGCTACAGATTCGCAGTTCTGGCCGCCAAGAGTCGCGGCCGCCGCTGTATTCCGGGTAATATTCTAGATAGGGGTCATAGGACGAGGCCATCAAGCAAGACAACGCCCTTCGATCTTCCGTAGGCCCATAGCAACTGCTACTCGTAAAACATTCCGAAAGCGGCTCCGGCCGGTTTCGATCGTAATTTTATTAACAAGCCCAAACACGGAATGCCCCCAGCTTGCACAGAAATCACGGATCGGGATCGAGGGGGCGGAAGGCAAGCGGGATTGAGGAGGAGGATGCTCCCGTCTGCAGCGCAGTGCACGCGTAAACTCTACCCCTTTAGGCATGTCAGCAAAGCCACTCAAGTTTGGATATGGATGTACGTCATACATCCTGTGTAACACCACCTCGATAAGACGGGGCGATTACGGCAGCCAGATCGACACATGGCCAGCGGTCCAATCGGTGCATTTACTGCAACATTTCCAATCCCCGCTACCTCCGGGACCAACCTGTATAACATGATTAACATCATAGCATTGCTTGCATGTGCCCCCATGGCGGTTGCGCAACCAACTATGCATATGCAATGCCGGTGCTTTTACGGGACGTTTCCCGATGGAGGTACACGCGTAATCTTAGATCAGATAGGAGTGAACAGACATCGAGTCAGTTATTGTCCGACGCGGCATGAACATGATCAGAACATCTTCTATACGCGATCGCGTACTAGGAAGGGGGAAAGAATAGCCCGACAGCAGGTCCTCAAGCCGACACCCCGCGAGAAGAATCGGCAACAAAGTCGGGTAGGTAGTTATATAAGGCAGAATGGTGACTTCCCAAACGCTCTGTTCCGTCGTTGAGCATCTGTCACGGTCTCTTTCCATACACAACTTACACTGGACAACAACGTTTCTTCCTCAGCCTAGGTACGCAAGATGCCTTTCATCGACGTCGACGACCAACAGGGATTGGAGCCGATTGCCATTGTTGGCATGGGTATGTAACCCACGATAGAAGTGCGGATTCCGGATCTAAGTTCTAACACACAAGAAGCTTGTCGTCTGCCAGGGTCCATTGACACAGCGGCCAAATTCTGGGACACGCTACGCGAGAAACGCTCCGTCAGAACACCCAAGGTCCCGAGCAACCGTTTCAACATCGATGCCCACTATCACCCTGACAATGCACGCCCTGGTTCCTACTCGTCCCTCGGCGGCTACTTCCTCGATGGGAACCCCGTCGACTTTGACCCTACCTTCTTCAACATGACCCCTGTCGAAGCCCAATGGCTGGATCCCCAGCAGCGCAAAATGCTCGAGGTGTGCTTCGAAGTCTTCGAAAACGCCGGTCTACGGTTAGAGGACCTAGCAGGATCGAAAACCGGCGTATATGCGGCAAGCTTCACTAGCGACTATCAGCAGATGTCCATCTTCGAACGCGACTTTCGCCACAATTATGCGGCTACGGGCGTGGACCCCGGGATTATTAGTAACCGGATTAACAACGTCTTCGATCTTCACGGTCCTAGCTGTCTGATCAACACTGCTTGCTCCTCAGCGTTGTATGCTATACACAACGCTTGCCACGCGCTTCGCTCTCGGGACTGCGATGGCGCTGTCGCCGCCGGCAGCAACTTGATCATGATGGTCGATCAGCAGATGAATACGGCCAAGCTGGGCGTTTTGTCTCCCACCTCGGAGTGAGTAGTTTGCATTCCCCAGCGAGCGAGGAAAACTCCGACAGAACGCTGACGCGGGATGCCTACCAGGTGCCACACCTTTGACGAGAGCGCCGATGGCTACGGCCGCGCCGAGGCTGCCGGTGCGCTGTTCCTCAAGCGCCTGTCCGATGCGGTGAGGGACAAGGATGTGATACGGGGCGTGATTCGCACATCAGCCGTCAACACCAACGGGAAGGTGGAGGGGATGGGCATCACCTTCCCCAATGCGCTCGGGCAGGAGCGCGTTCTCCGCCAGGCCTACGAGACGGCTGGCCTGGATCCGACTGAGACGGCCTACCTCGAGTGCCACGGAACAGGCACCCCAGCCGGCGATCCTGTCGAGGTGAGAGCCGTTGCCCGGGGCATGAACGACACGCGAAGCAGGGAGAAGCCCCTGATCCTGGGCGCGGCCAAAGCCAACATCGGCCACAGCGAGGCGGCCTCGGGCATCTTTGCCACCATGAAGGCCGCCCTCGTCACCGAGAAGGCCGAGATCCCCGGCGTCTATGGCTTTCGGAAGCTGAACCCCAACATCAAGGATAAGGAGTGGAATGTGCAGATCGCCAAGGACCTCACGGCCTGGCCGGCTGGATTCGACGTCCGCCGGGCCAGCGTCTCCTCGTTCGGCTACGGGGGGACGAATGCCCACCTTGTCGTCGAAGCCGTCGAGAGTATGGTCCCCTTTTACAACTGGCACGGAGAGACCAAGGTAGCCGCCAACTACACGTACGACCGAGAGAGCCTCGACAGGCCGTTCCTGCTCACCATGAGCGCACACGACCAAAAGACGCTGCTCCGTAACATTGGGGCCCACCAGGCTATCGCGTCTGAATATTACGTCCCCGACTTGGCCTACACGCTGAACGAGCGAAGGACCCGATTTTCCGGCGCCCGGGGATACACGGTTGTCTGGCCTGGCGAAGAGGCCGCGGCATTTGTGCCCGACCGTTTCACCTTCAGTCGGAAGGCGGCGCCGCCGCCGAAGGCCGCCGCGTTCGACCTCGGCTTCGTCTTTACGGGCCAGGGGGCGCAGTGGGCTCGCATGGGATGCGAATCCATGCGGCAATTTCCCCTATTCAGGGAGACCATCGATGCCCTGCAACGGGTCCTGAAGCGTGTCGTGGAGCCTGGCCACCAGTCAGCGTGGTCTCTGCGAGACGTTTTGGAGGCACCAGACGAGTCTAGCATTGTCGGTCAGCCCGACGTCTCCCAGCCCGCCTGCACCGCGGTCCAGATCGCCATGGTAGACCTTTTCGCGTCGTGGGGGATCACGCCCGCCGTTGTCGTGGGCCATTCGTCCGGCGAGATTGCGGCGGCCTACGCGGCAGGTCGCATCTCGGCCCCGGAAGCGATTCTTGCCGGTTACTTCCGCGGCCGTGCCGTGGCCCACGCGGCTCCGCCGGGTACCATGTTAGCCGTGGGCCTGGGGGCCGGTGAGGTACAGGATTATATTGATCTTCTCCCGCCGGAAGTCGCGGACCGGATTGCTATTGCTTGCGAGAACTCCCCTGACAGTACAACGCTCAGCGGGCGTAGCGAGGATATCATCGAGCTGAAGAAGACATTCGACCATGCCGGCATATTCGCCCGGCAACTAAAGACCGGGAAGGCATACCATTCTCCCCACATGGCCGATGTCGCGCCGTTATACGAGAGGCTCTATGCCGCCGCCCACGCGAACTTGCGGGGTTCGGACTTTGCCTGGCGACAGGCACCCACGAGCATGGTATCCTCGGTCACAGGGTCCGAGGTCCAAGAGTCGGAGCTGTCCATCTCATACTGGTGTGACAACTTACGCAATCGCGTTCGTTTCAGCACGGCGGTGCAAGCCCTCGCCGAGAAGCCCGAGCTAGCCCACGTAAAGGTACTGGTCGAAGTCGGACCGCACACGGCGCTGAAGGGGCCGGTCGAGCAGATCATCGCGAACCGGTTCGACTTGCAGTATGTGGGATCAATGGTCCGAGGCAAGAATGACGCCGTTTGCCTGCTAAACACGGCTGGCGAGCTGTTCCTCCGTGGATACGACGTCCAGTTTGATGCCGTCAACCGGATGGTGGGGGGCTCTCGGTCCATCGTCGGCCCCAAGGGCGGTTCACACCGTCAAGGCCACTGCCTCGTCGGCCTACCGCCGTACCAGTGGAACTACGAGCGGACGTATTGGCACGAACCGCGGGCCATTGCCGACTTGCGCACGTCGAAGCAGCCACGCCATGATATCCTGGGCCGCCGCATCTTCGGGCTGTCCGACCGGGCGCCGGTTTGGAAGAACATGCTGCGTCAGCGCGACGTCGCCTGGTTTCCCCACCACACGCTGGGGACCGACGTGGTGTTTCCTGCCGCCGGCCACGTCTCGCTCGCCATCGAGGCCTTGCTGCAGCAGCTGGACAGGGAGCCGGCCACGCTCGGGGGCGTCCGACTGGCCAACGTGGACATCCGCAAAGCCCTCATCATTCCAGAGTCGGATGACGGGATCGAGGTGCACACACGACTTCAGGCGCACGATTCCGGCGGCTGGTACACCTTCACCGTCGAGTCCATCTCGGCCGGTGGGGTCTGGACCCAACACAGCGCGGGCCAGATCCGGGCGAAACAGGCTCACGACGGGGCCGCCGACCTTGAGTGCCCGTACCAGCCGAGCCAGCTCCATCGGCGCGTGTCCCCCAAGCGCTGGTACCGGTCCCTCAACCGCGTCGGCTTCCGCTATGGCACGAGCTTCCAGGCCATGACGCGCTCGGTCCGGGCCGACGGGAGGCACCGCTGGGCCTCGTCGGGCATCAAGGTGTGCACGAGGCAGACGGACCTCGAGTCGCGCTACCTCTTGCACCCCTCCACCATCGACGGGTGCCTCCACGTCGTCATCGCCGCCGCTCACAAGGGCCTGCACAAGGAGATGGCATGGGGGGTGATCCCGCTCAGCATCGAGGACATGTCCATCGCCTTCCCCTCCGAGGCGGCGGGCGACCTGCGCACCGACGCCACCTGCACCGCCTGGGTCGACGACGACGCCCACAGCAGCCGGCATTTCTGGGGCCACGCGCAGCTGCAGAGCGAATCGGGCTGTCTGATGGAGATCCGTAGCCTCAAGATGGTGGCGTACGAGGCGGCCGTGCCCCTTTCGTCTGTCGAGCCGGGACCGCGTGAGCCGTACCGCGTCGTGACATGGAAGGAGTCCGAAGAGGCCCAGAGGCTGCTTCAGGCGGGAAGCAGCGAGAGTGTTGTCGGGCACGTCGCCGTACTGGCGCCGGAGAAGCACTCGGGACTCGGGCAGGCGGTGGGGGGGACCCTGTTGCCACTGGCCTCGTGCACACCCGACGACTTGGCGCGCTTCAGAGGCATCGTTATCGACGATGCCGACGGCTCTGTCCTCGAGCGGGCGACCGAAGAGACCTGGGCTTCGCTGCAGCGCATCCTCCTCCAGACGGCCAAGGCCATTGTCTGGGTGACCCGGGGCGCCAACGAGGGCAGCTCGCTCAGCAGCGGTCTGCCTCAGGGATTCTTGCGTGCCGTGCGCTCTGAATCCCCCACCACGAGGATTGCCCTGGTCGACGCCGACATGGAGTCCCCTACCAGCGCGGTAGCTGCACTAGTTCTGAACCAGCTCGCCACCTTCGCGGCTCCGAACTACCCAGGCGACGGCCAACCCGACGTGGAATTCTGGCTGACCGAGCACTCTCACCTGCTTGTACCCCGGCTGGAGCCACACAACGACCTGAACCGGAGTTTCTACGGCCAGGCCCAGGTGCAAAGTGCCGGCTTCCTGTCTTCCGGAGACAGCTATACCGGCCGAGCGGAAGACGACCGGCTTGTTTGGGAAGAGGCGCCGGTAGCCAAGGACCTCGGACCCCGGGAGGTCGAAGTCAGGGTGGAGCGTGCCGAGTTCACCCCGGGCGACCTGGCGAGCCGCCCTGAGAAAGCCGGCATGCGTCTTGTCACCGGCACCGTTGTTCGCGCCGGCCGCGCTCTCGACGAGGCCGCCCTGACGGGCCGGCTGGTGGTGGCCTATGTGGACCGCAAACCCGGCGAGTTCTTGCGCACGCATGCCACGACGTCCGCTTTTGCGGCCCTCGGCGGCGACCGCGCGGACAGGCCCGACCTCCTGGCCTCGCTGTCGCAGGTGGCCAAGGCAGTAGACGCTCTCGCGCTGACCAGCGACCAGAGTCTCGGCGGGCAGCAGCGCGTGCTTGTCCTCACCCAGGCTCCCGTGAAGGGGCGCGCCGCCTCGCCGTTCCACGACGCCCTCGTGCGACTGAGCGCCCAGCTTGGCTTCGAACTCGTCACCGTCGACGACGGGGCCAGCCGAGGCGAAATAAGACGGCGCGTGTCCGCGGCGCAGACGGTCATCGTGGCTGGGGCGCCCAATGTCGAGGCGGTGCAGGCTGCGTGGCAGGCCACGCCGTCAGGGTCCTCTTTTGCCTTCGGCGATGGCGCCTCGGTCGACACGTACGGTCCCTTGGACGTGCGCCCATTTGCACGAGGCGTTGTGCTCCGGGCCTGTGGCACAGAACCCCGGCGGGTCTTGGAGGTCACGGCGGCGCTTTGGCACCGCTCTAGCGACCTCGACCACGCCAGCGGCTATATCTTCAACGTTGGGGAGGTTTCGAACTCCCTCGAGGCGGCCAAGAAAGACGTTGGCAAATCCGCCGGCGCGAACATCTTGGAACTGAGCTACGGGGATATAGAGGTTCCGGTAAGGCGACACAGGGCCCAAGAGAGAGACGCGGCCACAGTATACTGATGTGATTGAACAGACACGCGAATGCACAAGCCAGCATGTGCAGTTTTGCCCCACAAGCGCCTACCTGCTCGTGGGCTGCCTGGGCGGTCTCGGGCGCAGTCTCACGACCTGGATGCTGGAGCACGGTTGCAGGAACTTCTGCTTCCTTTCGCGGTCCGGGGCCACGAGCACCGAAGCCCAAGACGTACTCGGGCGGCTCGAGGCGGCCGGGGCCTGCGTCCGCGTCTTCCGCGCCGACGCCGGCGACGAGCAGGCCGTCGCCGAGGTCGTGAGGAGCATCGCGGCCGAGCAGCCCATCCGCGGCGTTGTCCACGCTGCCATGGTCCTCCGCGACGGCCTCTACGAGAATATGTCCCTGGCCGCGTACCAGGCGGTGCTGCGGCCCAAGATGCAGGGCGCGCTGGCGCTCGACCGGGCCCTCGGCAACACGCCACTCGACTTCTTTCTGTTGACGAGCAGCATCTCGGCCGTCCTGGGCAACCCGGGCCAAGCCAACTACTGCGCCGCGAATAGCTTCCTCGACGCCCTCGCCCTGGACCGCCGCCGCCGTGGCCTCGCCGGCTGCTCCCTCGCTCTGCCGGCCGTCGAGGACGTCGGCGTCGTCGCAGAGAACACGGCCGTCGCCGAGGCGCTGGGACGCAAGATGCCCTTCGCCATCGACGAGAAGGAGATGCTCGCCGGGTTCGCGGCCGCTATGATGCATGGTAGGCCGCAAGCAGAGGCCACGCGCGCTGTCACGCTCGGCGACGCCCAGCTTGTGCTCGGTCTCGAGCCCGAGGCCATGTTGCGGGCGATGGACGACGACGGCGTGGACCTCGCCGACGCCTTCTGGCATCGCGACGCGCGCATGGCTTCCGTCCGCGCCGCCATCGAAGCCAAGCGCCAGGAGCGCGGCGCGGGCGCCCGCACCAACGGCGAGGAACGCTCCTTTGCCTCTACGCTTGAGGGCCTGCCCCAGGACGAGATGGTGCAGGCGCTGGCCCTCCACATCGCCAAGCGCACCGCTCGCATCTTGGGCCTCGAGCTCGACACTTTCGAGACGGAGGGCGCGTCGGTTGCGAGCTATGGTGTTGACTCCATGATCGGCGTGGAACTACAACGATGGATATTCACCGAGTTCGGTCAGAAGATTAGCGTTTCGACCTTGTCTGATCCTTCCACTACCTTTTCTAGTCTCGCAGGGTCGGCCGCCGAGCACATGGGGTTGCTAGGGAAGGAGGAATGACGGTTTCCGGATCACATCTGGGTTTCCCGCGCGGCTCAGTGTTTTGGTTCATTTTGGTCTTTTGTTTCCGCGCGTAGGTTCCTTCAAATAAAATTCACTTATAATATAATCATGAGCTTTTAAATTCCGTACCACTTCCAAGTTTAACACCTACCACTTATCCCACGCTAATCTTGGGCTAACTTAAAGTATCGCCATCCTTTATTACATCGTTAATAACTTTACTTGAAAATAACACCGTCTAAGACTTTTAAAGACAAATTGAATAACGCATTCTTATTACGTTTTAATTACAGGAAACGGCAGTGAATAGCAGGCTGGGACTAATAGTAGGTGCTAGAAAAGAATAAATAATATGAAGGAAGGTCGGAACGCTGTTAGAGTTGCGCACGCCGATGCACTCAGTGCTACGATGCGCGTCTGTGTATTAGAGATTAGCTGCGCTCCGGTTTAATCTTTTAATATTTACCTGAGTACGGAAACGAATAATCCATTCCTCCCTAAAGCATCGTTTTCTCTTAAACCAGTCGTAGCCACCGTGAGAGAGTACCCCCAAACCCACTACAATACTAGCCCAATCTCGTAGACTTGTAGGGTGACCGGCTGTTACAGCTTTTCCCCCGTGGCTATGCCAGCTTGCGGCGACCTTCATCCGACGTCAGTCGGACCACTTTGGGTCGGCTATTATCACCAACAGCCCGATCAAGCGTCACGGAGATAAGTCTTTGACCGCTCAGGCCCATTCCCCGGTACGGGCGGTTCCAGATGTAAGCATCCTTGTCCAATGGAGGAGGCCTTCTCTGAGTGTGGTGGAAAGGGGTTCGAGGTTTTGGTTCTTATATATATTCTCGCGCGCGCTTCATCTTCGCCCTTATCCTCGAGTGTCGTCTTGGAAGTCATATGTGGATGGTCCTTGCTGGCAGCTTTTCTAATAATATAGATATCTCGTTTTGCCTAAGGTACCTACATCCGTCTCTGTTACTGTGAATCACGCCACCAGTTTCGGCTTTTTGTGCATCAAAGCTCGTGATCCAGGTTTTCTCCAGCTCACTTTTGAAATTACATGCAATTGGGTCCGTGTTAAAACCCGAAAGCTTGTTTGGACTCGTTCTTTTTTTCCTGCAGCACTTCTCTCAGGCCACTTGCTGCGCTTTGCTCCCGATTGCGCCGCTTGAGTCTGATGTGTTCTGTCCCTCAAGAATCGGCCCGACGCGTCCACTCGGTCCTCCCTTCAATTTCCCAACCAGGCGCTTCAGCGCAGCCTGCGGGCTCCGGCCGTGAAACGCCTGATCAATCTCGTCCAGACTCTTTCCCCTCGTCTCGGGCATAAACACGCAGCATACTAGGGCAGTGAAAAGAGTACAAGCCCCAAACAAAAAGTAAGCACCATAACTCGAATTGGCCAACAGGGACGGCGTAAACAATGCCACCAGGAAGTTGGTAATCCAGTTACTGCCGTGGGCGATACTCGTAGCACTTGCACGGGTCCGCTGGGGCTGGATCTCGGCGGCATAGAGCTTTATGCTCACGGCCCAGGATATGCAATAAAGGACAGAAAACAAGTAGATGCAAACGATGACAACCCATCGTCCGGCGCCCTCAACGGCGCCCCCAGCATAGAGGCCACCCATTAGGAACATCGTCGCAGTCATTGCTAGCCCGCCTAGAATCGTACTGATACGTCGCCCCCACTGGTCGGCGTAGATAGTGGCGGGAATCGTAACTCCAAAGATGACAATGGCCGAGACCCCCGAGGCCAGGAATGTCGACTGGTCCGTGTTGATGCCTGCTTGTTGGAAGAGCAACGGGGCATAGTAGAGGACGCCGTCGATGCCGCTGAGCTGCTGCATGCCCATGAGGAAAACGGCCATGAGGAAACGCATACGTGCGTCGGGCGAGAAAACGTCGAGCAGCTTGTCCCTCCCCGTGGTCGGCGGTGCCCGTCGCGTTCCCCTTTCGGTCGGGGCGGCCTCGGGCGCACCAACTGAGGCGTCCATTTGGTTCATGATCTTCTCGCGATCAGCGTGGGCGACTCCGAGCTTCTCCCAGGCCCGCTCGGCCTCGTCGACGCGGCCCTGGAGGGAGAGCCACCTCGGCGAGGGCGGCAGCCAGGCAAAGACGACGGCGGCAAAAATGAAGGCGTACACGGCGAGCAGCGCGAACGGCAGGCGCCACGAGAGAGACGTGGGGATTTCGACGGTTCCGTAACAGGTGAAAAAGCCCGTGACGATACCGATCGTCGTGAGCAGCTGTGGCGCCGTCGTGAGCGCGCCGCGGTAGCGGGGCGGGGATATTTCGCAGATGTAGGCGATTAAGGTGCCAAAATAGAGGCCTTCGCCCACACCTTCCACGACGCGGCCCAGGATAAACATGGCGATATGGACCGAGCCCGCTTCCAAGGCAGCGCCCAGGGCGAAGATCAAGGACCCGATTACAATGGCCCGTGACCGGCCCAAGGCGTCGGCGAGCCGGCCGGCAAAGCAAGAGGAAACGGCGGCGGGGATGAGGATGGAGGAAACGATGACGCCGTGGACCGTGGGCGAGGGATTGCCGACGTAATGCTTAAAGTCGCTCATCACCGTGACGGGTCCAATGATGCCGGTGTCGATGCCGAAGATGAAGCCGCCAAGCGAGCACACGAAGGCGGCCGTGACGTAACCCGGGGGCGTGCGGCACAGTTCCCCGGCCGACTTCCGCATCTTTTGGATTATTCGGCTGTCGTGCCATCTTGGCCGGTCGCCGTGCCCGGCTTTCTCAATCCGTGCAGTCACGATGGCTGTTGTCGCAAGGTCCATGGGCGTTGATATATGCGGGCACGGAGCTTGGACTGGAGGGTGAGGATGGACAGGATGGTATGGTATTGTTAAGAAAGTGGCAGCTGGTGGTTCATTCTCGATGTTTCCATCGGAAGGGGGAAGGCCGGGGGCCGGCGCCATCAGCAGGAGAAATTCCTCGTTATATCCGTATAATAACAATTATCCGATTCCGGAGTCCTGGATTGGCATACACGTCTAATTTCCCTCTTTCGGCATACACTGTGCGTCTAATTTGCCCTTTTCGGCATGCTCGTCTAAATCGCCCCTTTTGGCAACATGGCAGTCTGCATTTTTGCAGCGGAGATGCTGCCAATTAAGATCGAGGGGGGGTCCTTCGCTCGGCGGGTGGGCCTGACAGCCAGAGTATCAGTACTTCTGGACAGGGGTCTAAATGGAGGGTGACACAGGTCACTGTACAGAGGGTGAATATGTAACTTCGTCATTGGCGTAATTGCTTAGCTACCTCGGTCGCTACGTGTTGGATGTTGCGTTAAAGATAGATGTCTGACTTTAACATCGGAGGACCGCTAAGGGGCGGGTTCCGATCACTAAACGGATGTCTTGTACGGATAGCTACCTACCTAGTAACGTCTGAAAACTGGAACATCGACTATGAAAGAAACTGACCTCAGTCAACCACGCACCTAGCATCTTTAACATGCTTGCAGCCCTCACCCCAGTCACCCAGTCCGTCCCCCTACGTACTCTCCCCACCCCGAGCCTTCACCACAATCTCCTTACAAAGTGCCAGCAGCGATCCCGACATCGAAACATCCATCATCGACAAGACCGCTCCGAGCTCCCGCCGAACCCAATTCCGGAACTCCACCGCTGCCAGCGAATCGATCCCATACGCCGACAGCGGCCGCTCCGGCTCCAAGGCCTCGTCGCGTAGCCGTAGCATCTTAGCAAGATACGCGCTAACCACCGCCACCGTCTTGTTCATCACGACCGCGTCCGTTGCGCCGTTTCTCGACCGGAACAGCAGCTTAAGCTCGCGCACCTCCTGTTGGAGGCCCTGGTTTCCCGTCCCCGACGTGTTGCTGCCATCAGCTGCATATGGCCCGCTTTGTTCGCTGTCTGGAGATGCCGAGAAGAAGAGATGCGAGAATCGGGCGTCGTCTCGCAGGCTCGAGTCTGTTGGCTGGGGGTAGGCCAGGCCGGTGATCATCTGCGCCCTACTGGCGGGGCCGACAGGATCCGAGGTCTGCTGGAGGATGGAATATTGCAGGATGCGGGAGAGGAGGTCTTCACCGATGTAGGGGGTGATGTTGGCGGAATAGCGGGTAAGGAGGTCGTCATTACGGGCGATGTAGCCGACGTCCTGGATGACGCCGAGGTTGATGGTGTTGGCGGGTAGACCGAGGCCGAGGCGGTAGCTGGAAAAGGCGTCGAGGAAGGCGTTGCCTGCGGCGTAGTTGGCTTGTGCCTTGGAGCCTAGGACACTGGAGATACTAGACAGCATCGTGAAGAAGTCGAGATTCAGGCTTTGCTCGAGGGCAACCTTGTGTAGGTTCCAGGTGCCGTTGATCTTGCACCCAAGGGCAGCATGGTAATCATCGATGGCCATGTTCGAGAACGGATGGTCCTGTTATTTGTTAGGTGTGAACCGACAACGTGATACTGGACGGCATGAAGTCTTACGCGGAGTACCATAGCGCCCTGGATGATACCCCCGATAGGCACCGTCGCCTGGGTAAATGCTTCCCTGACATCGCTAATCTTGGTAATATCCCCTCTCAGAAGGTCGATGTGCGTTCCCAGGCTGCGTACTCGGTGGATGACAGTCTTTGATGCCTCGTAATCGTAGCCCCCGCGGGACAGCGCGGCGACATGCTTTGCGCCACCTCTGGCAAGTTCGACAGCCATGCTGCCGCCGAGTCCTTTTAACCCGCCGACGACAAGATAGCATGAGTCTTCACGATACTTGACTTGCCTCGGCAAGGGGCGGACCTAGGATAAGGCAGTCAGCAAGCCCGATCCTATCTAGAGAATGAGGTCAAGACGTACCGGGATGCTCAATGCTTCACCCGCGTCTCTGGACACTACCAGCTTGCCCATGTGTGTCCCAGCCCGCAGAACATGCAGGGCATCGGGTACCTTGTCAAACGCGAATGTCCGCATGGGGAACACTGGCTGTATGTGTCCCGCTTCTAGAAGGTCGAACAGATCATGAAGAAGTCTGCATGGCTGTTAGCTCAGTTAAGGTGGTCATACAAGGATTTGGGGTTTCGGGAATGACCAACCGCGCAATACTGTCAAAGTCTACTCGGCGATGAAGCGTCAAGTCCACCGCTCGGAATGAAGCCGCGCGCTTGAAAGGTTCCATGGAAAGGCGGCTACCGTCGTACATATCTCGCTTCCCGATCTCGACAAAAGTACCACCATACGCAATGACATTCCAGGACGCCTCGAGAAGCTCTCCCGATAGCGAGTTCAGAATTACGTCGATGCCACGGCCGCCGGTCTTTTCAAGAATCAGCTTCTCAAAGTCGGCGCTGCGAGATGAGAAGATGTGATCGCTAAGGATCCCCTGCCCTTCTAGGAACTTGCGCTTCTCCGCCGTGCCGACCGTGGCGAATATCTGCCCAGCACTAGTAGTTAGCTTCACAGAACAGATAATGACTCCTTGTCTTTCGAAGCACTGACCTCTGCCCCAATGTATTTCGCCAGCTGGACCGCCGCATTGCCCACCCCCCCCCGTCGCCGAGTGAATCAACACCCGCTGGCCCCTTTTCAACCCTCCCAGGTCCCGCAGCCCGCGAAGGGCAGTGAGATACGCCACTGGGAGGGTCGCAGCGTCGGCAAAACTCAATCCATCCGGAATCCGATGCACGCACCGCGCCGACACCCGTACCCTATTCGCGTACATCCCCTGCCAAATAACCACAACCCGCTGCCCCAACCGAACAGAAGTAACACCCGGACCAACACGCGTCACCACCCCGGCCCCTTCACTCCCAATCGAAAACTCACCAGCCCCGCCGACGAGCCCGAGCGTGAGCATGACGTCCTTGAAATTCACCCCTACCGCGTGCACCTGCACCTCCACCTCCTCCTCCTCACAGACAAGCTCACGGTCGGCGGCGGCGTGCACTTCTACGTACTCGAGCGAGTCGATCATCCCAGGCCTCTCAGCCCGCAGCCGGACATGCCGCTCCGTCGTCGCAAAGTCCGCCGGCTCTGCCTCGCGACCTCCCCGGACGTGCTCAAACTTGGCCGCGTTGATATCCTCGTCGGGGACGACGCGGGGCGTGTAGATGGCGCCGTCCAACCCCGCACAGAACTCGTTTTCCGCGGCGACAAATGCCGGGTGTGTCGAGTCAGAGTCAGAGCGCCGCAGCAGGGCGTTGAGGAGGGTGTGCACGGCAGCGGACGATGCTTCTTCGGACGAGTGCTCTGCCACGTCCAGCGTGAGGAGACGCAGGTGCGGTTCCTCGGCGCGGAGGACGCGGAGCAGGCCGTGGGAAGCGGCACGATCGGGGTGTGTGGTGGCGCGCGGCCCAGGACCTTGCGCGCCCGAGGTGACCCAGAGGAGATGGCATTCGGCACGTATGAGGGATTGGAGGGCAGACCAGCAGGCTGGGGTGAGGGTGGCGGTGACGGTCTCGGAGAGCTCGTCGAGACAAAGAACGGTGCTGGATGCGGGGATGTGCTCCTCGGAGAGAGAGTTGGCGTCGTGGTCGTGGATGATGAAGCCCGCGTTGCGGAGGTTGTTGAGAATTGCCAGTGACCTAGCGTTGGATTGCGTGAAACGGAGGCAGATGATGGTTGGGTTTACCCGCACTTGCTCGCCGTTCTGGCGTTTGTCTGCCGGGTTTGGGATGGGAGACTGGGCGAGGGCGGCGAGACAGCAGGTGGCCTTGGAGAGATTCTTCACCGAAACGAACCTTTCCCGAAGCGAAGCAACGGCGCCTTCAAGTTCCATGTCGGCTGGCGGATCCGTTTCGTGGACCAGTAAAAGCTGGCCATTCTCTCTCAAGGAGCGAGATATGTTGTCGATGGCGGTACTCATCCCTCCAGCTGTGGACCGAGGACCAACTCGCAGCACCGCAAAATCACACTGGTCGGTGGATATGACAGTGCCGGGTACAGTCGCATCGAGGAGCTGAAAGGTGGCATTCGGTACCGTGGAGTGGCGATCCTGAGCCTCAAGAAGCTGTTTCGGTCCGTTGGAAACGAAGTGGAAGGCCGCAAAGTGTGCCGTGTCCACATCTCTGCCATCGAGACTGAGACACGACGCGCTTGCCGGATCGGTGGCCACCTCCAACACGCTCGCAGCAGGATTGGTATGACGGACGAGCTCCAAAACCTTCCTGCACCATGAGCCAGACCCAGCAGTATGCCCAGACAGAACCCGGTTCAAAGACGTCTCGTCCGTGAGGGACAAGTCGACATTCCATGCCAGCCGGGCATATGAATGACTCGTCGCCACGTCTGCATCCGCCCCGAGAGCGGCAAAGTGCAACCCCTTCATCTCCAGCAGGCAACGGCCATCGTCCGGGTCATACGCAGCCCCCGCAACCTCGTAACTCGTCGCCCTTTCCTTCTTTCCCTGCCCGCCCAACGCCGCCGACAATGCTACCCGCGCGACACTAGCATGACAAGCATCAGCACCGCCCGCAACCACCAGACTGTCAATACGGCCCGGCACCAGGGACTCGACATCGCTGAATTTCTTTTGCCGTTGGCGCACCGAAAAGCCAGAGAACTGCAGAAAGCTGTCCAGGCTGACCGGGTGGATTGGGTAGCGCGACTGTCGATACGTAGACGGGGGCTCGGCCAGGGACAAGGTGCCGAGCGTGCGCGCACCTCCCCAAGTCCACTCGATCTCGACGAGGCGCTGGAAGTGCGGCCCGTAGTGATATCCCGTGCCGTGCATCAACCTGTAGCAGTAATCGGAGTTGTGGGGGTATTTCAGGGGCTCCATGACCCCTGGGGGTGGCGCGGTTGGTAGACGGGAAGAAGCAGGCTCGCTAACGATGCGAACCAGGCCAGTGCAGTGCAGGATTGAGGATGTGCCGTCGTTGCTCACGGACCTGATATTAAACTCATGCCAGGGCTTGAGCGGGGCATAGACGGGCGTGAGGGCCAGCATAACACGCACGGCGTTTGTTTCGCTCAGCTCAAGGCCGCGCAAGAACTGGACGTTTTCCATGTGGTAGGTAAAGCTAGCCGGCTGGGTTGAGCCGTAGGCAGACCATTCGTTGACAGCAGCCGTCTGGTAGGCAGCTTCCATCGCCATGGCCAAGAACCCTGTGCCCGGGAACAGGAGTTGGCCGGCGATTTCGTGGTCCCGGAGCCAGGGGAGGTCATCAAGCCGAATCATCCGCAGCCAGGTAGGGGCCTTCCAGCTCGTCCCGGGAATCTTGGATCCCAGCAGATCGTGGCTAACAAATTTTCGGTGCCGCCACTCTTCGCTTGCGAGGCCCTGGTGCCAGTAGCGATTGGAGTGGTTCCACTGGTAGTTGGGCAGGTCGACAACCAGGGACGGTTGGTCGTATGCATTCACTTTGGTCATGTCGACACTCCCGCCGTTGGCCCAGAGCTTGCCCACGGCATCGAAAAGCGAGAGGAGCGTGTCGGGGCCTCTCTTTGCGGCCGAGGTGTATTGGACCTGGGAAGTGCTTCCCATGGCCGCGATGACCTGGGCGACTGGGCCAGATAGCGCATTGGACGGTCCGATCTCGATCAAGAATTCCGGCCCGTGGGGTCGGCTCAGCATTTCGGTGGCTGCCTGCGCGAACCGGACAGGGCTCGTCATATTGCGCCGCCAGTAAGCTGTGTCGGGTCTTACCCCTGGCTCCATGACACGGCCAGTGACAGACGAGATCATCGACACACCCGTGGCCACGGCAGTGTCGCCCGCCTCGTCAGCAACAAGAGCACAACTTTCCACGAGCAACCGTTCATATTCCGCTGCAATGTCAGCCATGTACTCCGAGTGGTATGCCAGGTCCACCTGGAGCAGACGCGCAAAGTGGCCGTCCTTCTGCACGCAGTCACGGACTCGCTCCAGGTCAGCCAGCGGCCCAGAGACGGTCAAGCTACTAGGACTGTTGAAACACGCAATGTGCACGGTCGGCTCGGTGACCAGATAAGCGACCGCCTGCTCTGCCGACAGCCCGACAGCCAGCATTCCCAAAGCCTGCTGAGGCGGCCGACTGACCGCCGCCTGGCCGCGAAGGTAGGCCACCTTGATTGCCGCGTCGGCGGGTATGAGACCCGCAGCCACCGCAGCCGCGATCTCGCCCGAGGAATGTCCGACCACGCTCTCGGGGCGGATCCCCCAATGCTCAAGCACTCTGAGCAGCGCAAGCTGGAGGGCTGTGACCAGCGGCTGGGAGATTTCGGGTCGGCGTAGGTGGACCGGATCCCGTTTTTGGGTAAGCTCGTCGAGCAGCGACCACGAAGGTGGCTGAGGGAGTGTCTGGAGAGCCGCGTCCAGTTCTGCCACGATTGCCTTTGCTAGTGGAAAGTGACTGAGGAGGTGCTTGCCCATGGCGCTCCACTGCGCGCCCTGGCCGGTGAAGACGAAGCCGACTCGGGGCGGCTCGGCGCGCTTCTTGGCCACGGTTTCGGTGCCGGTTACGAAGTCGGTCGAGTCCGTGACGATGAAGGCGCGGTGGAAATGGTGCGTCCGTCTTTCGGAGAGGGTGTAGGCCACGTCGGCGAGCGAGACGGTGACGGCGGGGTGGATAAGATGGTTCGAGATGGCTTTAACGTTTGCCGTGAGGGCGTCTCGGTCATTGGCGGAGAAAGTGAGGAGTTGGAGCCGTCCGGAACCTAAGGCTCCCGGAGTTTCGTCGTCATCGTAGTCTCCGTCCATCCACGATGAGATGTTGCCCTCGCCGAAGGAAGAAACAAAAGTCTTGGAGCTTCCGTGGGTCTCGAGGTGAGTATCAACCGCCTCGAGGACGCAGTGGCCGTTAGCACCACCAAATCCAAACGAGTTGACGCTCGCCCGGCGGATAGGCGCGTACTCGGGCCATGGCGTGGCGTCTCGGGACACGCGGACCCTAGAGCCCTCAAAGTCGATACGCGGGTTGGGAGTGATGAATGTAGGATTTCCCGGTATGATACCCTTTTCAACCACCATGGCGGCCTTGATGAGACCGGACAAGCCTGCGGCAGCTTCCGAATGCCCAATGTTGCTCTTGATGGAGCCAATGATGAGCGGCTTGTGAGCAGGCCGAGTTGGCGCGAAGACGGAGGCCAGTCCTTCGATCTCCAGCGGGTCGCCAGAGTAGGTGCCTGTACCATGGCATTCAAGGAACCCGGTATCGTCAAACGAGGTGATTCCCGCGTTACGGTAGGCCGCACGGATTGCAGCAGCTTGCGCCGCAGGGTTCGGGCTGGCAAGGCCAGGGGTATGGCCATCACTGTTGACCGCCGTGCCCCGAATGATGGCACGGATTGGGTCGCCATCACGAAGTGCCTCGTCCAGCCTCTTCAGAAAAACCGCGTTGATGGCCTCGGCGCGAATATAGCCGTCGGCTTTTGCGTCGAACGAGTGGCATTTGCCAGACGTCGAGAAGGCCTCCTTCATGGGACCGGGGTCCTGGAGCGTAACCGGATCCATGTAGAGCGTCGAACCGGCGACGACCATACTGTCCGCCTTGCCAAGCGCCAGGTACTGACAGGCAATGTCGACGGCAGTCATGGTGGCCGAGCACGCCGTATCGACGGTGATGCTTGGGCCGTTGATGTCGAGAAAGTGGCTGACACGGTTGCTCAGGATTGAACGGCTAGTCCCAGTGCTTCGACCAGCAGGGAGGTCTTCCGGGTCGCGGAACATTGATGCTTCGTATTCTGTTGTCAAACGTTAAACCTCCGAGTCCTTGAGACGGGGTTGACAGGGAGCTATTTACCGCATGAGTTGCTCCCCACGATACATCCGACATTGGTTCCACGAATCTGGTCCAGCGTGACGCCGCTGTTCTCCAGGCACTCGTAGGTGACTTCGAGTAGAAGACGTTGCTGGGGATCCATGCTTGTCGCGTCGGCGCGACTGAGGTTGAAGAAGGCGGCGTCAAAGTTCGCCAGGTCCACTTCTTCCAGGAACATGCCTCCAGGAGATGGCATAGTTCCCGGCTTGCCCGACCCGTCGTAGTGGCTGGAAAGGTTGAAGCGGCCAGAGGACTCGGGGGGGTCATTCTTTGCAATGGATCCCCGGGCGAGAAATTCCCAGAGAGCATGGGGGGAATTGCATTGCCCCGGGAGGCGACAGGCATAGCCGAGGATGGCTACAGGTATCTGGGTGCAAGACATAGAGTTTGTGGGTGCTTCTCCAACGGTGCCATTGGAAAGAATTGAACCTTTGGCCATCTTATAACAGGTTCCGTCTAATAGAGCAAGAGTCGAGTGGTATCACGGCGGATATCCTAGATGCCGACACCACAAGCCCATCACGGCTACATGTGGACCATTATATGCGATCCGCAGACTCAGTTATCTGACATCGTACGTGGGCACACCGAAGTGCCTACAAACCATGGAATCCGAGAGGCACAGCGCATTACGCAAGCTCTGCAAGGCCCTTGGCCAAGTTCTGCAAGGGCCTTAGGCAAGTCCTAGAAGGGCCTTGGATAAGTTCTGCAAGGGCCTTGGGCAAGTTCTGGTTATCTGACGTCGTACGTGGGCACACCGAAGTGCCTACAAATCATGGAATCCGAGAGGCACAGCGCATTACGCAGGTATCCAAGGCCCTTGGCCAAGTCGGCTAATGCTGACGGGAATGAGGATTCAGCTCCGTGGCATCACAGGATGCAGGTGCAGCTGCAGATAAGACGAAGGAAGATGCCACTAAACCAACAACGGTCGCCACGTTATTCGTAGACCATGCTCTTCAGATGCGCACCTCCTCCAACTTGCAACTGAGAAGCTGGCCTCTTACAGCAACCACAAACCCACAGACATTAGTTGGTATGCCAGTTTCCAGGCAAGACGTCGAGTTTCGTACTCTCGACGGCCTCACGCTTCGGGCGTGGCTGTTTGCCGCCAAGGAGAAGGGGCCGGGCATCATCATGATTCCTGGGGTGAGGAGCCATGACGGAGAAGACGTTCCCCATTTGCTAACGCATCTCAGATGAACTTCCCCAAGAGCGAACTCTACAACGACGTTGCAGAGTGGTTCCAGCGGGAGGGGTTCACCGCAATGGTCTACGATCCGCGGGGCGTCGGTGCCAGCGACGGCTCACCGCCGAACGAAATCAACCCGGCCAAGCAGACCGAGGACATACACGACGCCGTCACCTTCCTCAAATCACTGCCGGCTGTCGACCCTAAGCGCATCGCGGTCTGGGGCTACTCGCTCGGGGCCGCTGAATGCCTCGCCGCTGCCGCCGTCGACCAGCGCATCAAGCTAGTGGTGGCCATTTGCCCGTCCGGCAACCCGTGGGGGGGCCACGAGCGAAACGACGAGCGCAACCGCGTCCTCGCGCGCGTCATGCGCGACCGGGAATCGCGGCTCCGGGGCAACTCACCGTTTGAGTTGCCGTTCATGGGCGAATCGGAGGCATCCATCTTCAACATCCGAGTGCTCCGAGGCCGCATGTCCGAGCAGCCGTACGAGGCCGTCCGCACCGGGCTAGCTTCTGTCGACGGGTACCGCAATGTCATCACCGTCCAGACACTGCTGCATATGGCGTCCTGGAACATCATGGAACTGATGCCGATGATCTCGCCCACTCCGGTGTTTCTCATCTTGGCCGACGAGGATGAGATACGGCGCGTCAGGGAGGGGGGCAGGGAAATTTATGAGGCTCTTGGAGAGCCAAAGCAACTGCACGTGGAGCCGGACCGGGGTCACCTTGACATCCTAACCAACGATGAGCGGTTCCCGGCTATCATGAAGCGGCAGGTCGACTACCTGATGAAGTACTTTGGGGAGTGAGGGCAGTGAAGAGTAGCCAATATCGATGTGCTGTCATGTAGGCCTGTGGCAGCTGTGTAGAAGCTCCTTGAACATCGTTTCGAGTCATTGATACCGCGTGCCACGCAGGCCCTGCCTCGATTGCAGCACTATTGTGTGGTTGTTCGAAGGCTAGGATATCGCTGGCCACGCAGGCGCCGCAACTGTTGTATGTTCGTTTTGAAGGCTTGGATCCTGTGCAGGCGTTGGCCCGACTGCAGCACTGTTGCGTGTTCATGTCGAAGGCTGGGGATTCGCTCTTGACAAATGAAGCTATAGCGTCAACCAATTCGGTCGACAGGATTTTGCCTATAAATCTTCCTTATCTAGGTACCTCGGTACCTCTCAAAGGGTCCAAAACGAGGCGGTGGCAGTGCAGAACAGCTGTTGGCACTTCTGCAGAGGTGCGAAAGTGTGCGAGACAGTGAACCCCCCACCTCCTCAATTGTCAGGCCTTTTGAGTGAGACGTGCAGAACCTTTTCTCAGTGTCTGCCTTCGTTCTTGTCATCCAAAACTCTTTCAGACGTGCAGTCTCCGTTTGACCGCCTACACGCGAGCATGGCGAGCCCCGACAAACCATCTCTCCAATTCATTGGAGCCCGCTACCTAGGTGAGGGTCTTATCATGTCGGTCATGCTCACCTTTGAGTTCAATGGCGTGAATTTCTTTGTTGTGGCGGCTAGCCCCGATGATGAGGCTGGGGGCGAAACCCTTGTCCCGCCGGGCTACCGATTCGAAGAATCTCTCGAAGGCAAAATGCTGGCCGAGTTGACGGACCTCACCTGGGGTGAGTTTGACAAGGGAAGGATCGAAGCAAGCAAGCGCCTCGAGAAGCAGCTTGCGAACATGGCCGCCGATGTAGCCCTCACAACCATGCAGCACCTGGCGCCGACTCCGATCCCGCCGGCCGAAACATTACAGAGCCACCTCTACCCTCAGACCTACACGCTGCAAATCCTCACCGACGGCAGCAAGCTGACGTGCCGTCCTACGCCGGCCGGCTATACGGGAATCCCTGAACTTACTCGGTCGGTCTCCGAGGAGAGGCTACATACGATGGGACTTGACATTCACACCACCAACGTCCCGGTTATCAAGGCATCACAGGTTGGCTTAGTCCGTCGTCTACAGGGCTTTGTCTGGAGGGTGACGGTACAAGGGGAAGATATGGTTTACAAGTCTGCTACCAATGTCTTTGAGGATGCTATCGGCGACGAACTTGCGGCATATCTCAAAATCAGAACATCCGGAGTCGAGTTAGGGGTCCCCGAGTTGAAAGGTTAGTACTAACTACCTAGCCACATATGGGGCACTCATTGTCCCGCTTACACAGTTGCCCTCCACAAACTCTCAGTCCCTGGTCGTTATCTAATATAGACCCAAACTAACAATATATCATTTATAGGAATTGTAGAGTCACACAAGGGAGTTATCGGCATCCTACTTGCCTACATTCCCCACAAGCATCACAGTCTGCACGCCTTGCTGGACGGTGTCGAGAGTGGTACCATCGCACCAAGCGAAGCGACTACGTCCCAGAGGCAAAAGTGGGCAACGCAGATTCGGGCGACTCTCGCGGGGCTACATGGCCTGGGCATCCTCTGGCGCGACCTCAAGACCAACAACGTATTGATCAACGAGGATGACGACGCGGTCGTGCTCGACTTTGGTGGCGGGAACACGATCGGATGGGTTGACCACGACAAGTACGGCAGCATGGAGGGCGAGGAACAGGGGCTTGAGAAGATCATGTTGGCTCTAAGAGTCGGGCCTGATTGATACAACGATCGAGGCTCACTGGCAACGAGAGATGAGGCACCGAGGCAGCTCGATGAGGAGAAAGCGTGGTTCTGGGAGCAGAGATGCGGATTATTCTACCGCGCTCCAACACCAGTTCATATATCACGGCCTATAGATTAAACTACTACCCAATTTGAAATTCTAAATTATCTTATAACCTTTTTATGAGTGTCCTTGGGATAGGGCATGTTCTGCGTGAGCGGGATGCGGTGATGGAAGCGACCGACTCAGCTTGCGAGATCAAATAATCGAAGAAGGGTTGACCGAGGGGAACCAAGCCATTTTATCTCTCGAGTATGGCAGGGTCGAAGAAATCTTTTCGGGGGCTGGCAGAGCATGGCATCGTCAGGGTGAGAAGCGGCTCGGCCACGCCATCTGTTTTTTCCTCCCTATTCTCATAGCATTTTCTCGATTTGGACTTCCTCACATTGTACAAATTCTTCAATTCCATCAACTACCTATTTACGGCTCTAATCGGACACCATCCGGACAGGTTGCTCCTCTCATCAGGCCGTCAAAGAAGGCCATGTCAACGCCCTGGAACGGCCAGTCATTGATTCCGGCTGCAATCGGAGAAAGCGCTGCATGATTCCGTAGAATCATAGTATCATGGCTGGAACTGGGACATTGCATCACTGACTGTCCATACCAGGGCGCCTGTAACCGGGGGCTTGGAAAATGACCAACGGACAGGTTATCCGAGAGTGATGCACGAGACAAAGATGTAGAGGATTCGCCACATGTTTCCGGTGGCTCTCTCTGCATTGCCTCGGCCTGCGGTGTCTGGTGCGGTCGAGATACGGCGTTCCCGACTGACAGTTCTCGGGAGATTGGACCTTGACGGGAGATCTTGATGACTCCAAGGTACGGAATGCTCAGTTGCAGGGCTTCCCCTTCACTGTTACTTTCGTCCCCTCCTTCTACGCTATCGGTATTGTAGCTGTTTCCATCCGCGGCGTCGGCCTCAATATCGAGCAGGCGCCGGATCAGCTGGGCACTCTTTTCACTAATCACGTCGTCGCCAATGTTCATGGCCCGCGTCACATCCATGCGTTCCAAAACCTGCTCAAGCATGGCACGGTCGCTGAGGCGCTGGTGAGCCAGGATGTTGGTGGCTTCTCGGTGGTGATGGGCGTCGAAATGAGCGAGCAGGAGGGTCATGGCGGCTAGGAGAGCAAAGAAGTCGACAGGCCGCGAGCACGACGACATGGGGTTAAAGCTCCGGTGAGCTATGAAGCGCGTCATGATTTCCCGGCTCGAGTTGACCGACGTGATCTTGGAGTACTCGTGCACCGAGTTCTCGCCAATCCGCATCATGTATGGCAGGTGGAGCTGGATCAGCAAGCCATGGTAGTAAACGTGAGCTGCCAGGCGCAACGTGTCAAGCACGGTGTCGGGCGACCCCGGCGTGAGGTTGTGGAAATTTGGAGCGCGCCAAAAACTGGCTGGCAAGCTCCTCGACACGGCAAGGAGCTCGGCGTCGATAGATTGTGTTGTCGATATCTGACTCGGGGAAAAGGGGCTCTCGTTGCGTTCCAGGATGCGGGACGAAATGGCCGTTAGGAGTCGTTCGAACTTGCCTAGCGGCGGTTGATGCTGGAGGGCGGCCACGGCGCCCATGGTCTTGTCCGACGTGCCCTGAGGTAGGCTGAGGAGCAGGCTGAGATAGCGGTCCATGTACACGATCCGAAACCAGATGAACTCGGGATCGGCATCCAGCTCCGGGTCGACGCGCTCGACCGGCGGGACGGGAGAGCGATGGAGGCCCATCAACTGGGCGACCGTCATTGCCCTACGGTAGACAGCCCAGGCCCACCGCAGATTGCCACAGTTTACTTCGTACGCCCCCTCCAGCAGGATGCAGATCAGACACTCGAGAGAGCCATGCATCGCTTCCTTGGTGGTCACCCACGTCCTGGCAGCCGTCACCAAGCGGCGTGCGAGTATGCTATGCGGTTCCGAGAGACCCTCGGCCTTTTCTCCCGACGGACTCTGCAAGGTGATGGCAAAAGTCAGCATCAGCCTGGCCAGCATGACTGGATGCATGCCGGGACGAAGACACGGAAGCTCGGCTGAGCGGTACGGTGCGGCAAGCGCCTCCAGAGTCAGCCTGCTATGCGGCTGTGTGTTCGTGAGGTGGGTGTAACGCGAGGGCCGGAGGCTCTCCCCGAGCAGGATCCTGACATCAGCTTCGGACGGGAGAGCAGCCGCCAGATGGTGGAGGGCGGTTTCAGTCTCGGCCTGATCCGATAACCCCGGGCAGTCGACCGATACATCTTGCGAGTCCGGCGTGAGGAGAGATGGATTCGGAGCGGACCCTCTCAGCCCCTAGTAATGACAAATCAGAAGCAATTCTCGCGGGGGAGCGGTTGGTGTTGTTTTGTACCTCTGGACAAGTGTGGAAGGACTCGTAAGAGCGAGGCCTCGTAGCATCAGGGTTCCCCAGCGGGATTCGCCCCCGGCGCGGCCCGCTTTCATCACTCTCATGGCGCTCATCGCGCTCATCATGCCTGCCCGCAAGGAAATCTTTCATGAGGTTCTCGACGCGGGCAATGCGCTGGCCAAGACGCTGGCTGTTCTTCTTGGCCGGAGACGGAGACAGGTCTCCCGGCAGGTCCTGGGGCACGCAGGGCACACGACGATGCTGGCAGCCGATGCAGGTGGCATCTCCCGGCGACGCCAGCATGCAGCGGATCTTGCGGCGCTTGCACTCCCAGCAAGATCTCGTCCCCTTGCGCACCTTTCTCCGCCTCAGGCTTGCTGAGAAATCCATTCCTTGGCCGGGCGACGATTCGGATACCGCAGCGACTGGTTCTTCGTTGCGGGGGTCATCCATGGGGTGTGGGATCACTGAGATGACCGAGGGTGCGCCGTGCGTGGTGATCCTGTGTGCCACGGCGGAGAAGTTGCGAGTTTGACGGAGCCGAGAATGGCAAGAATGGAATGTGGTTGGGGTGATTGCTTGGTAGGTACCAAGGTAGGCGGTTCATTTATCTCCGCCGCGGTCGAAGCCGTTTCTCCGCCGCGGCGCGCATTTGTCAGCTTTGGGAACAAAGAGATAAGAATCATAAGAGTGTAACAAGGTGACAAGCCATGTTAGTTTCCTTCAGCCGAACAATTCTCCGCGGCGGTTGAGCAATGCCGCAGTGCCAGTGCACGCGTTCGGCCATGGAAAACCACAAGATGGTAGGTACTTGAGGAAAATGACGGACTGTCCCGTCTTCTTGTCCGTGTGCCGTCAGGCTACAGTTCCCCAGCGACCCGACCCGACTACATGCAACATAGCGCATAGCCACGTTCTGACCTTCATGTTTTCACTGCTGCGTTGATACCAGTATGGCGTCCCCTATCGCTCAGAACACTGAGAACAGCCCGTCCAACCTGGACGAAGCGGCTCCTGCCAGCCACGACAGCGAGACAGGTACAGGCCAGTCCGATCCTGAGCAGCCAACCGAGCCTTCAAGCCTCCCCGAGAAAGACGCCGGTGCTTCACCGGGCCCGCCCCCCAACGGCGGGCTCATCGCCTGGCTCCAGGTCGTCGCCGGGTTCTTCATCTTCTTCAACACATGGGGCATACTGAGTACTTTCCCTGTATTCCAGACCTACTATGAGTCCGGCGAGCTGTTTGAGGCATCGTCTGCCAACATCTCTTGGATCGGTTCCATCCAATGCTTCCTTCTCCAGCTCACCGGCCTCATCTCGGGACCGGTTTACGACCGGGGCTACCTCCGCCTCCTCCTGGCCTCCGGTAGCTTCATGATCGTCTTCGGTCTCATGATGCTCTCGCTGTGCACAGAGTACTGGCAGGCATTGCTTTCCCAGGCCCTTTGCGTCGGAATCGGTGGCGGCCTGCTCTTTGTGCCTACCGTGTCGCTGATCCCGACCTGGTTCAGCACTCGGATCGGCCTCGCCGTCGGCATCGCGTCGTCCGGCTCGTCCCTCGGCGGCGTCATTTACCCCATCGTCCTCTCCCGCCTCATCACGCAGGTCGGCTTCCCGTGGGCCGTACGAGCCATCGCCTTCATCACCCTCGCCACATTCATCTTGCCCCTGGTCGTCTTCAAGATCCGCGTGCGCGTCCCCAAGCCGCGGGCCATGGTGGACTGGTCCGCCTTTACCGACGCGCCCTTCATCATCTTCACGCTGGCTCTGCTCATCATCTTTATCGGCCAAACCGTGCTCCTCTTTTACATCTCCTTCTACCCGGAAAACCGCGATTTACCGACACGTCGCTGGCCTTCTACATCGCCGCCATTTTCAATGCCGGCTCGACTCTCGGCCGGATCCTCCCCAACGCCGTGTCTGACCGCATCGGCGTCTTCAACACCATGGCGCCGCTCACCATGCTTCTGGGCGTCGCCTTGTTTTGCCTTCTCGCCGTGCACAACGCGCCCGGCATCGTCGTCATGGCCGTCGTTGCCGGCTTTCTCAGCGGCGTCGTCATCGCTCTGCCGCCCGTCTGCTTCCGCGTGCTTACCGCGAACAAGGCCATGATCGGCACCCGCGTCGGACAGGGCTTTGCGATTGCCGGCTTTGGCCTGTTGCTCGCCGGGCCAAGTGGCGGGACCATTCTAGGCACGGTCGAGCCATTGAACTGGACCGGCCTGTGGGTGTATGCGGGAGTTACGGTCTGCGCCAGTTCTCTGATCTTGTTTGGCCTCCGGCTTTCAAAGTCTGGGCTAGTCATAAAAGCCAAGTATTGACGGAACCCGCAAGCATACCTATTTATACTGTGTACTACTATGTTGGGGAGTGCGGATCTTGGAATTGGGGTAATCGTTGGTCCTGTCGAGGAGGAGGATGAAAACCACAAAAAAAAAGAAGAAAAAAATAAAAGGAAGAAAAGAAAAAGAAGAAAAAGGAATTGCAGTTTTCTAGCCGCGACTAAGAAAGCCCATTACGCACATATCACGGAAATACAAATCCATATCCCTCCGAAGAGCTCTCAGCCATATCCGTGCCTCCTAAATTCCCCAGACTCTCCTCGATAGTTTGGGGAGAAACCACTAGTTAGTCGGGCACAAGTAGTAAAGTATACTAATAGTAGAAGCGTGGAACGGACAGAGTACGAGAAAGAGGAGGGGCGTAGAGGAAGCTAACACATTAGGATATAACGGAAGTACGAGGGGATCGAAAAATTTAACATGGTAGAGGGGAATGCATCCAGTTCGGCGTTATATACCCGCCTGGGAAGGGCCGAGAAGACATACTTGGTCGAGGCAGTCTATACTCTCTCGCGCGAGCATTCTGCTTTGTCTGCACTAACAGGGGACGGGATCCTGGCGCCAAAAATGCATATCCATCGCAAATGCGAGGCCCTTGCATTGGGCGGCTGGTTCGAGCATCGCACGGGGTCCGGTTTTAGTCGGACATGTTTGCGAACAAGGTACACAGTACACACGACGCTGCAAACACTTGGGCGACACCACCTTCTCCAAGTCACATCAAGGCCATGTGACGAGGCACCCGAGCCTGCGACGTGAAGCGCTTCGGGCCGTGCTTCTCTGCGGCTTCGTTGGTAACTTCCGGCTCGTGACGCGGTGACGGATCGTTTCGCAGTGTTCAATTGGTCTCATCACGGGCAAACAGACACAGCGCGTCCACCGACCGGGTCTAGATGCGAAAACAATCTATGTACGAATATGTTTCTGCTTTGCTGATCACGGTTTGTCGGGACGGGAATGGCACGAGGCGGGCAAGGATGGTTTGGGGTTCTGGTTCATGGCGACTCCAAGCGTGCCACTCACAGCGACGTTTGGGCTCAGAAAATGAGCCCTGAAGTGTGGTGGATTTGGGGAAAATGTTGGAGAAAGTGGGTTTGTGGGGCAACTGTAATCGGCCCGGCGGCATCGGTCACGGTTGATTCCAGGCTCGCCCAGTCTGGGGTGCGGGGAAAACAGGCGACAGGCCCCGGCTTGCTGGCAAAAGTCGAAGCAACCCCCGAAGCGGCAGGAGGAAGTTACAATGGCCCACCAACGGCCATGCAGTGACGGCATCGTCAGCCAAAACTGCCGTCTTCGGCAGTCTTCTTCGTTTGCGAGTCCACCATCGCCCGGCCGAGGCACCACAAGCGCGCCTATCACGTCAAGGAAAACCGTTGCCTTCGGGTGCGTCCACTGCAGCGTCGGATTCGAGACTCGATCTTTTCTTCCGGCGCATCAACGAAGCCTTTCCCCATGATTGGCGGGATCCGCAGTCCGGGGCGACCCCAGACGCCCACGCTCACCCATGATCGGGGTGGTCGGGGTCGTCGGGGCCTTCGACAGGTAACGCACAAATGAAGTGTTCCATCGAGACATGGGAGCATCCAGATCCTAGGCATGCCATGTAACGTCCCCGGATTTAGAGGGGTCCGTTCCTGTTCTTTTCGAACCCGGCCCATGCCCGCGGCTGGATCCACGGTAAGCTCTGGGGACAAATAAAAGGCAGAGTCGGCCAAGTCGACGATCTGGGGAGCCGGCGGTCGATGTTCTCAATTCCTCCCGAAGGACTCGTCTCAGTCAGCTCGCAGGCCGATGGTGAAAGACAGCGAGTCGACATCCTAACCTACCTAGGTATTCGCGGTCATTAGTTGATACCGTTTGATCAATCAGATCCGTGATTGTCGTGTGCTGGTCGACCAAACGCCAACGCTTGCGACGAAAGCCGAAATTAGGCACGATGAAGTTGCCTACCATCTACAATGTCCAGCTCGTGGCCATCATCGCGACCCTCGGTGGCGCGCTGTGAGTTCTCTCCCACCCTCCGAATTGCGCCCGATTGGATCATAACGGCACCAAATAAACGTCTCGGGAGCTACCTACTGACCGATCACCTGATTGTCTCTAGGTTTGGCTTCGACATTTCCTCCATGTCGGCCATCGTGGTGACCGACCAATACATCGAGTACTTCAACAACCCATCCGGCGTTATCCAAGGTGCCATTGGTTCTGCCCTCGCGGCCGGTTCTGTCGTTGGTTCTGCCGTTGCCGGTCCGCTGTCTGACAAGATCGGTCGTCGCGACTCCATCATGTTCGCTTGCATCTTTTGGCTGATCGGCACTTCGGTTCAGGTGGCCTGCCAGAACTACGGTCAGCTCATCGCCGGCCGTGTGTTGAACGGCTTCACTGTCGGTATCACCTCCGCTCAAGTCCCCGTCTACCTTGCCGAGATCGCCAAGGCCGAGAAGCGTGGTTCTCTCGTCATTATCCAGCAGCTGGCCATCGAGTTCGGTATCCTGATCATGTACTTCATCGGCTACGGCTGTGCCTCCATCGAGGGCACCGCTTCGTTCCGGACCGCCTGGGGCACCCAGTTCATTCCGTGCGTCTTCCTCATGATCGGCCTGCCTTTTCTCCCGCGATCCCCCAGATGGCTTGCCAAGGTGGGCCGTGACAAGGAGGCTATCGAGACGCTGGCCAACATCCAGGCCAACGGCAACGTTGATGACCCGCTCGTCATTGCCGAGTGGGAGGAAATCCGCACTGTCATGCAGGCCGAGAGGGAGGCTGGCAAGGGCTGGAGGAAGTTCTTCAAGAACGGCATGTGGAAGCGCACCCTGGCCGGCACGTCGGTCCAGGCATGGCAGGTACGTTGCTCGACGCCGTCTCGCATGAATCCTCGCTAACTCGTACAACCACAGCAACTTGCCGGCGCCAACGTCATCGTCTACTATCTGACCTACATTGCCCAAATGGCTGGCCTTACCGGTGACGTCGCCATGGTGACCTCCGGTATTCAATACGCCGTGTTCATCATCTTCACTGGTGTCATGTGGTAAGTTTCTCCCTCTGCGATGGCTGAGCGATGGCCAAGGCGCAGGCAATTACTAACAACAACCCCAGGATCTTCATCGACAAGACCGGCCGCCGCACCCTGCTCGTCTGGGGCGCCATCGGCATGGCCTTCTGCCACCTGGTCGTCGGCGGCGTCATGGGCGCGCACAGCACCTACCACCCCGAGGGCGTCGGCAACCCGCCCAACGCGAACATCGTCATTGCCGTCACCCCGGGCGCGCCCGCCAACACCGTCATCACCTTCTCGTACCTCCTGATCGTGGTCTACGCCCTGACGCTTGCCCCTGTGTGCTGGATCTACGCCGCCGAGGTGTGGTCGCTGGGCACGCGCGCCACGGGTATGTCGGTGGCGGCCATGAGCAACTGGGTCTTCAACTTCGCCCTCGGCATGTTCACCCCGCCGGCCTTCGTCAACATCACCTGGAGGCTGTTCATCATCTTTGGCGTGCTCTGCGTCGCCGCCGCTATCTGGTTCTGGCTGCTGTGCCCCGAGACCTGCGGCAAGACCCTCGAGGAGGTCGAGCTCATGTTCTCCAGCGACGCCCCCTACGCGTGGAAGACCAAGAAGGGCGAGTCGCGCCTGACCGCCGAGATCGAGGCCGTCGCCGCCCGCCAGCAAAAGGGCGAGGGCGAGGTGGCCGTTCCCTCAGTCGACAGGGAGGAGAAGGTCTAAGGGGAGGAGTTGTTTGTATTCTGGGAGTGGATTTGAAATTGCTTTGTTAGAAATGGGTTGGGGATTGGCGTGGACGGGGTGTGCCTTGTTAGTAATGAGTAACAGAACTTTACAGTTGGCTGTCTTTGAGACTGGACATAGAGCCCCATGAACCATATCCTCCCGGACCTTCAGGTTTCCATCCCTCGTGAGATTCACCGGAAGTTTATCCAGTCCAAGTCGAGCAGATATGACACGAAGAATTGTAACCTGGGATATTGATTCTAGCCTCGTTGTATCAACAATAAAGCTCGGCGGGCGCCCATTATATTCCACTGGCCCTGCCACCCCCAAACCCCTTACATGGAAGTCCATATACCAACACAACTTGCCCAACTCCAACCCAACCCCCACCCCTGACAACCTCCCTACTCCATATATTCCAACCCCTGATACCTCTCCACCGCCTCCTCACTCATCCCACTAATCACCAAGATCCCCCCCTCCACCACCGTCAACACGCCATGCTCCTCCCTCCACCCATAATTATTCCTGCCATCCACCTCGCGGGCCTTCTCCTCCGCGATCTGCTCCGCGCAGTTCTCTGACAAGCCATAAACCACCGCCAGGGCGTGGGGCGCGTCCAGCGTCATCTCGGTGTCGCGCGCGAGGTGCGGCCGGCACGCCGTGTCGAAGGTCTGCCAGCACGGCGCCGGCGGGTAGTAGCCCAGCGCGAGCTCCGGGTCGTAGCGCGGGGAGCAGCGCTTTTGGATGTGGTGGTGGGACTCCCGGGCCCTGGAGGAGGGGGTGGCGGTGGTGAGGGTGAAGGTGAGGGTCGTGGCGAGGAGGGTTGGGAGGTGCATTTTGATGGTGGGCTGGTTGGTGGTTTGTTCTTGTTTTGTTTGGGAGGCGTGTTCTGTGCTGGCTTTGGGAGCGTTTCGCCGGGGGGAGAGTCTGCGGTTGGTGGCTCGGCTCGGGGATGAGAGCTTGACAACACAGATGGCGGTGACGGCTGTTGACAGCGAAGAGCAGTCAGACCCATCTTATAAGCTTGGGGCCTTGGACACGTCGAACCAACCAGGGATGCGTGCCGCAATCCCAAAATAGAAGCATGTGCCATATCCGGGGAATGAATTGCCACCTCCTTCCGGGCCCCGCTGCGCCCATACAACGCCGTCTTCTTCTTTGGGTGGACGGTTAGTACGGATGACAGATTACTCAATGTTTCTTCATCAGGGTTGCAGCTACCGTTCGGGTAATGACTGGCAAAAGCTTGGCTGTTACCTCGTATGCGTCTGACATCGAAATACGAGCTCCTCAGCTCCTTCGGGGACTCGGCTGAAAGGCCATTGGAAGTGCTTAAGTACCTCACGGTCAACTGGAAGCTCGTAGATCTTGATTATGGACAGCGTCCCAGCCCAGATGGTGACACGCAATTCCCCCATCGACCAAGGCGGACCAAAGAATTGAAGGAAGCACAGGCTCACACTCCACTTCTTAAAGGACCAACGCCTCGTCACTGTACCGATCATGCATTGGGGCACGAACCGAAATCAACTGTTGACTAACTGGGTTTTGGGTTTCCCAGGTGAAGACAGATGTTCTGTTATGAATCACACCCCGGCGTAACCATCTCCTCATTCTGCGGGCTCTAGGCTGCTTGTACTGGGAGTTTCGCCCCCCCAGCTCGCAGCCGTTTACACACAAAGCTCCTGACCCCATCATCCTCCAACTCATCGACGTCGATAGTCCTACCATCCTTGAAAACGTCCTCCATAAATTCCTCGATAAAAGCGTCCTTCCCTGTAAAGAGCTCCCAGATAGAAATTGCCAAGGCATACTCATCGTCGATAACCGTAGGCGGCGGTCTACGGTAAGGATAACCCCGGCTCGGAGCCAAATACCGGTGACTCATAAACCCTTCCCAACCCTCAGCCTTCTCATCGGCGATCAGCCGAGCAGAGTCGAAGTCGCACAGACGCAGTTTACCATCGCGACACCGTAGGAAGTTGGCAGGCTTGATATCGCCGTGGACGATACCGAATTCGCTACTGTGAAGCCGCTCGACCAGGCCGACCATCTCTTGCATCACCGCCGCGCGCTGCTCGGCCGGGACGACCTTGAAGTCGAAAGGGGTCGCAAGCTCCATGACGAGTCCCGACGGTACTAACACCCCCGCCCCTCTCCCACAGGACGCGGCTAAGGGGGGCGATGGAACAGTCGCCGGCCGCTGTCATCAAGTCGACCTCGCGCTGGCTGGCGTCGCGTTTATATGCGAACCCCGCGGCGCATTTGTACACGTACCCGCTCCCGCCGAGTCCGAGGAACTCGAGGTTCTTTTTAAGTAACATGTTGTGCTTGGTTGTAATTGTTGGTGGAAGAGGTGAGCCTGGAAATGGGAGTATAGGCAGATGCCGCGGGTTCCAGCCTTGTACTTGGCTGGAGGGGCTTCCAATGGCGGTCGGCTCACCATCATCTCCTTTGTTGGACAAGAAGAAACCAGAGTCGTCGACGAGGCCGCCGCCGCCTGTCATGATATCCGATCCTCCGAGGATCAAGCGCGGGTTCTGCCCGACCACGGTCTGTTCATTCTTTCCTGGTGGGGCATTGGGTGTTTCGCTCTGGGACTGGCTCTCCGCTCCGGCCGTTGGAAGGGCTGATGCCACTGGATCGATCGGGCCCAGGGCCGTTGCTCCTTGCGGTCCGTCGGGGACCGGGGCTGGTTTCCGGTTCGGCTCCATCTTCATCCTCGGACTCTTTCTTATTTTGAAATCTTGAGCAAGTTGAGGTGTCAGTTGGGGCTAGGTAAATGAGAGGACTCGAGAAATTACCTGGAGCTGAATTACCGTGCTCAATCACCGTTGTATTTGTGGTGGCCGGTTGTCCTGAAACTTGGGCGGGTCAAAGAGTGACAAAGACTCAAAGGCAGCGGCACCAGGTCGGCGAGATACACAACGACCGCATTCAGCGCGGCGACCGCCTACTACTCGGCGAGCGAATTTCATGGGTTGATTGTAATCCGTACTTCGTATGATGCGCGCCACCGCATGTAATAATGGAAAGCTCCCGTCGGCAGGTTGGTGTGAGTTGAGGTGGTCATTCCATTTGCCAGTTTTAAAAACAACCCATCAACCTGCAGTTATCCTGCCGTGTTTTTCCCGAGCCCGCCAACGCATCATGGACACATTCTCCAATGCGTGTACTGGCGCGGACACGGCAATTTGTATACATGCTTCCGCTGCAGTTTGCCCGCGGGTAGCAACTACCTAGGTAGGTACCTGGGCAATGAGGGACCTACCCAGCAGCAACTGGCCAACCACTGCGAGGGTCAGAATTTCGGGTGCGAGGGCGTGTAAAACTTGGTGAGTAATTATTTCTCTTCGTCTACGTTTTCTTAATTATTAAGTGCCTGCCTTTTCCCCAACCGTTGTGGTCCTTCATCCCATCTCCTTTCCCCATCGTCGGGCCTGCTGCCACTGCTAGAAACTGTACAGTTGTGGACTTGATTGCAGATAAATACCTGAATCATCAACCCAATTTTCCCTTCCTCGGAACAGGCATCCACCCGCCGCCACAATGTGTTGGTATTACAGCCAACCCTTTTCGCAATGTAAGGCATCCCCGAGACACCGATACCAACAACAAGGCCAGTGCGACGCCTCCAGAACTACAGGTATATGGTGCCATCAGATGATGGAAGCAATCACCGGGCAGGTTTCCTACTCTGTAATTCCCTGCCCCACCTGCACCTGCACGAGGTACCGCAAAATGCGATAGACCTCTCAGGTAAGTTTCACGCCGCCTTAGTTGATGTCTCGGTGGTTGGTGATGGCTAATCTTAATGAAGGGAAGATGGCCACTCGTCGATGGAGGGCTTTGTGCTAGTGGTGGTCGGGGTGGACGGAGGATGCGATCATCATGTGTTAGTTCTGCGGCCGGATAGGTGACTTGGACCGCTTGGCTATAGGGAGTCCGGGATCGATCGACCTCTGCTGCTCCAAACCCCGTTGCATCTTGGTCACGGTGCCGAAACAGGGCCTTTTCGCGGTTCATGATCCCGTTCCATAGGGGGTCAATCACCCAAGAACCTGTTCCCCAATTGACCTTTCGGACTCCGAGCTTGAACGAGAAGCCAGAACGCGCCGGTGCTGCAGTGGCCTACCAGTATTAAATCACGCGAACATCGATTCGATTCCACGTATTCAGAGATCATGATCTCGAGCGACCATCAGCAAAGTGAAAATAAATATGCTATGGTTAGGCTCAAGGCCGTAATCCAGCGGATAAAACCGGCATGCAAAGTCTGAGAAACGAATAAAGTACACATCGCCAACTTGCTTCCAAGTCCCTTGTAAGAACCCACAACACGCTTGCTTCTCCATTCCATAGCCGCTCGAGTACATCTCAGCCAAAACCGGACGGCGCTGGTTTACATATTCACAAAGCTTTCTGCCCGTAGACGACGATACTGCAACGCATTAGTGTCAGTTCTCCAGATTTGCCCGTCTCCAGCTCCGGACAGACTCACAGGCGGAACCTGACGCGGAGGCCCAGGTTCCTGAGGTCCTGAGCGGTACTTTCGCGTAAAGAATTCGCCTGTTCGACAGACCAGTTCAAACCGCGCGTGAAAGGCAGGAGGGTGAGTCCGTGGAGACTCTCGATGGTGTTTTGGAGAGCTCTCCTGCCTGTCCTACTGTCAGAAGCCGCCAACATTCGCACGCCCCCCTCACCGCGCTCTGCTTACCCATATATTTCCCCCTCCGGCTTTGCGGCCAAATACCCAGCGGCCACGAATGCTCCTGTCGCGACACGTTTTGGAATCCAGCAAGGCGCATTTGCTGCTGGTAATCCCTGCTGCAGTTCAGGTTGACACCGAGCGCCCGTGAAGCCTCTACGAGCCCGATATTCCAGCGGTACAGCGCGCTTTCCCTCGGGATGCTGCCGTGAACTGAGGTTATGGGGTACAGAAAGTCAACCATCTCGAGCCAGCCGCCCGGCTGGATGTTTCTAAATTCATGCAACGGTGAACATTGATCAACCCAGTCAGCAGAGATTCGGGTATGGTGCTCACTGGTATGCCTGGCCGAAGAATTTGGGCCAGTTCGTGATGGAACCCGCCAAGAAGCGCGCGTAGATGAGGTCAAACTGAACACGGTACTCCCAGTCCATGTCCAGGTCATGCTCATTGAAGTAGGCGTTCGGGGGCTTGCTGTGGATTGTAAATTAATGGTTTAAATAGGTGGCACATGGCAGGCCTTGGAGGCAGGCCTGGGTTTGGGGCGTGAGCTTACGGATCAGGTGCCCAGGGGCTGATATCAACACCAAGGACCTAAAAGTCGTTAACACAAACCCCAGTCTACGAAACTGGCGAGGGGACCGACTCTGGCGTCTGGGTTCTCCTCAGCTAGAGATAGACGGTTAGCAGTCTTCGTCCCCCCCGGGCTGTTCTTTGAGTTCTACTTGCCAACCTGCACCGTCCAGATGCCCGTCCCGCAGCTAGCGTCAAGGACATTTCTCAGGGGCGCATCCACGCCGGCCGGGCACGAATACAACCGGTAGTCCAGCGCAGACGTCACTAGGTCGTGCTGGAGATTCATACGGCGGAACTCGACCTGTCATGATGCTGGTTAGCAAGAGGAAGCTACAAAACCGGGCAATGCGACAAAGCTTGGTACCTCATCGTTTGGTACGAAGTATGCTAGCCCCAGTTGGCAGTCAGTCATCACATCCAGTCTTTCCTAGATCGGGTGCCATACGTTTGTAACCATCAATATTGGCACCGCCAGTCTCATCTCGGTAGGCGTGGTAAGTGCGCCCATACAGGAGTCGGTGATCCTGGGTTGTCCCGTTAGCAGCGGCACCAAATCCACATGAGATCGGAGCCCATACTAGATCAGCGGCATTGTCTTGCCCAACGCCGCCCTGCAGTTAGGTGTCTTAGTCCATGCTCGCGCTTTGCTTCATTCTAGCCGCAGGTTACGGCCGCCACTCACGTCGGAATCGGAGACCCGGTTGCTGGAGCTTGCATCGGCAGCGACCGCAGCCGACCCATTACCATTTGTTGGAAGTTGGGGAACAGGCGTAGGACCATGGCCATTTATTCCAAGTTGGTGGCCGGCCGCAGGGTTAGCCGGAGGGTTGATGGGCGCGGTTCCTTGGGAGCTGGCCATGATAATCGTTGGTTTCTTAACTGGTGATAACGTAGTCTGCTAGCTGTGCCTCGGCCGTTGGAGTGATGTTTTATGAAGACACGGGGATATCTCTAAAGGAATTAAACAAGTCAAAGCAACGCGAGTGGAGTGGATGACAAAAGTTGGTAACGCACCCTCAAAAAGCAATCCTTTGGGGGTGCGGTCACCCCCTTGCAGGACTTGGGTGGCAGCAAGTGTCAACGGGCATGCGAGGGGATTAATCTCCTGGGAAGGAGCTATTGAAAAGCCGTTCCCTGGTAATGACATCTTTCAGATTCCGAAGAGCCACCCAGACCACGAACGGGAAGGTGAGACATGCCATGAAGAGATATGCCCGATAGCTCACCGTGGTTGTGATTGTCTATCTGCCTAAATACCTATTTTGTCTACACCGTGTCCAGCCCGCCTTTTACGCCCGCTTCCACCTCAACAGCGTAAACGAGTGCTTCCCAAACGTGTACTTGCCCTTTCCATCCCATGAACTCTCCTTAATACCCACTTTCTGTGCCCCATCGGTGTTCGTAACGCTGACGTTATCCCCGGAGACAACATAAACCTCAACCTTGTCCGCTTGAAGGCCATCCAGCGCGACCTCATAGTCATTCTCCTCGTGCACGTTTGCCACAGCAAGGTTAACGAAGCCATCGTCGCCCACCGTCGCGCTGCAGTCCAGGTACGGCGTCTCAATCGCCGCCCGGATCCACCGCGGCTTAGTTTGGCCGCCGTACTCGGGTGCCTTGACGTTGAGCGCGATGGTGTGGCCACGCATGTACTTGCTGAACAGCAGCAGCGGCCACCAGATGGTCTGCTTGACCAGGCCGTCCTTAGTGGTCATGAGGGGCGAGATGACGTTGACCGACTGCGCGATGTTGGCCATGCCGACGTCCTTGGCCTGGCGGATGAAGGCGTTCAGCCAGACGGCCACGGCCAGCGCGTCCGACAGGGTGTACTTCTCCTCGGCCCCTTCCTCGCCGGGCGCCCTGATCGGGTCCCACACGTTCCACTCGTCGAAGCAGATCTTCTGCCTGGGGACAGTCTCGGGCACCTTGTTCTCGATGCGGGCGAGGTCGATGAGCGACGAGGCCATCTTGATGGCGTGCTCCGCCGCGCGGGGGGCGGTGGCGTTGGGGAGGTGCTCGTTGGAGGCCGTGTAGATGTGGATGCTGTGCATGTCGATGAGCGATTTGGTGGTGCTCTCGGTGCCCAAGCCGTGGACATCCCACTTGACGCACTCCTTGAGCACATAGTAGTCCCACGAGGAGAAGCCCGTCTCGCCGCATAGGATCAGCGTGATGCTCGGGTCAAGCAGCTTGAGTGCCTTGGCCCATTGGTACGCCTTCTTGGCGTAGTCTTCTTTGGTCATCTGCTCGACCTGCCATGCGCCCCAGCATTCGTTTCCGAGCGCCCAGTATTTGACCTAAGCAAAGGTTAATGAATGCTGCCATCGAAACGGACTCGGAGAGAGTTACTTACATTGTATGGCTTCTCGCGGCCATTCTTCCGCCGCATGTTGGCATAGTATGTGTTGCGATCTGAGTTGCAGTACTCAAGCCACCCGAGAGCTACGCCAGATGTTAGTCCTTACCGACACTATCGAAGGTTGGGGTGCATGAAGCTTACCTTCAGCGAGGGTTCCCGTGCCCATGTTGAGGCAAATGTACGGCTCGGTCCCAACCACCTCGCACCATTTCATGAACTCGTCCGTCCCAAATTCGTTGGTCTCAGTTCCAATCCATGCCAGCTCCGGTCTATTCAGGGGTTAGTAAACAAAACGACATCATCCATCGGGGGTAAAGGGAAGAGGGAGGATTACCTGCTGGGCCTGTTTTCTCTTGGGCCAACACCGTCCAGCCAGTTATAGGTGGCACAGAAGTTGCCCCCGGGGTACCGTACGACAGGGACGTTCAACTCCTTGAAGGCATCGATGACGTCCTTCCGGAAGCCATTCTCATCCGACAGGGGGTTGCCGGGGTCGTAGATACCGCCGTAGATGCATCTTCCCATGTGTCTAGGGTGTGTGAGTGAGGTTACTGTCCTAATAAGCTGGATTAAGGGGGGCGCTAGGCCTCTTACTCTGTAAAACCGCCATAGATGTTGTCATCGATCTTTGCGATTTTGTTGGAGGGGTGAATGCTGATAGACGAGGTCTCCCCCTCCTCTATTCTTGTGAAAGTGGCCATGATGAATATCTCAACTGACGTAACTCCGGTATACAGAATTGATTGAGGCTCTGTTGATGACACCGAAGTCAAAGGTAATTTATTCGACACCCAAGTTTGCGGGAGGGCACATCCCTCTGGCCGTAGCGGAGACGGCTTGACTCCTCACGCGTGGGCCGTGATGCCGAAAACGTTGGGGCCTTCACGCCGCGAGCCTGTGGCACCTGATTCGTGCGCATAACTGATCCCGACTGCCGGTCGTGCGGCGTGCCCAGCCCCTAGCCGGATCGGGAACGATACCCGGATATTGTCCCCGCGTAGGATGCCACGCGGGGACAAGAGAATACCCACCAGTAGCCTTCGGCCGATCACACCCCAGGACGCAGGCCCAAACAAGTCCCGCCGCGCGGGGAATCGGGGCAACTGGACGCGGAGCTAGGTCTGGACTGGCAACGCACCGGGACCATGATGGAGCCTCCAACGCTCGGAATGCGGAGAGATGGTTGGCGAAGTGGAGGTGATGGAACATTCCGGGGAAATCTGCAGCTCGATAGGTGCGCTACGTAGTATTCGTGCTTGGAAGTCCACCAGCACGTGTCACGGCTTTCACCGCAGCACCGAATGTTCCTGGAACTCGAACACGGGCGTTCCAGGGTCTCGGTCTAGTTTCCACGCGACACGAGGCCATCGGGGGAGCAGTGCAGGAGAGCCGCATACGGTCTTGGGTGGAAGTATAAAGTGCTGCAGATCTCCTCGTGTGGGGTTTATTTCCGTCATGTTACTTCCCGCCTTTAGACGAAGGGTCGAGACGTGATACACGGAAGGCACTTTGAACATCCCCCACGATGGCCCTCTCCCCCAAGTGGTACCAGTTCCTAGTGGGCGTTTTCGCCTCACTCGGGTCCCTGCTGTACGGTTACGACTTGGGTGTTATTGCCCAGGTCATTGCCGCACAGTCGTTCAAAACCAAGTTCAACCCCAGCAACAATGAGGAGTACGTCCACCAAGACACCCATGTTTAAATGTCATGATTGGACCAGGGTGGCTAATGTTGTCTGCAGAGCAGCAGTCGTATCCGTCTTCACAGGCGGTGCCTTCTTTGGTGCCGCGGCCGCCGGCCCCATGGGTGACAGGCTCGGCCGTCGCTGGACAATCTTGCTCGGCGCCCTCGTCTTTTGCCTGGGAGGTGCCCTGCAGACAGGAGCTCAGGCTCTCTCGTACCTCTACGCTGGACGGGCCATCGCTGGTGTCGGGGTTGGCGTTCTCTGCATGATCGTCCCTCTATATCAGGCCGAACTCGCGCACCCCAGCATCCGCGGTCGAGTCACCGCTCTGCAGCAGTTCATGCTTGGTATTGGTGCTTTGGCGGCGGCCTGGATTTCTTACGGTAGGCCCTGAGTTCCCTTTTCTTGTCACTACCGAACCCTGGCTATGTACCTGGTACTGACCGTATTCTCGCAGGCACTTATGTCGGTTTTGCCCCCACGAACGACGGGCAATGGCGGACCTCACTCGGTATCCAGGTCGTCCCCGCTGTCTTCCTCGCCGCCCTCATTCTCCTCTTTCCCGAGTCTCCGCGCTGGCTCATCGACCACGACAAGCCCGAACTCGGCCTACAGACGCTGGCCAAGCTGCACGCCCACGGTGACACCACCGATGCCTGGGTGCAGGCCGAGTACCAGCAGATCCGAGAGGCCGTCGCTTTCGATCGCGCGAACGAAGCCAAGTCGTACGCGGAGCTGTTCAAAGACAAATCCTGCTTCCGGCGTCTCGTGCTGGCTTGTGCACTCCAGGGTGGTGCCCAGATGACGGGTGTTTCCGCGATCCAGTACTACTCAGTCACCATCTACGGCCTCATGGGGATCGAGGGCGACGACACGCTCCAGTACCAAGCCATCTCATCCATCCTCGCGCTGGTGGCACAGGCACTCTGCATGCTGTTCATCGACAAGTTCGGGCGGCGCTGGCCGCTCATCTTTGGCAATCTCGGCAACTGCGTCACCTTCATCATCGCCACCATCTTGCTGGCCAAGTTTCCCCCTGGGGCCAACGACAACCAGGCGGCAGCGTGGGGCTTCATCGTGGTCACCTGGGTGTACAACTTCAGCTTCAGCGCGACGTGCGGCCCCCTGTCCTGGATCATCCCGGCCGAGGTGTTCGATACCAAGACGCGGTCCAAGGGCGTGTCCATCGCGACCATGACCTCGTTCGCGCTCAACACCATGATTGGGCAGATCACCGGGCCGGCCATGAAGACGGTCGGGCACCGCTACTATATCCTGTTTGTCATTTGCAACTTCACCAACGCCCTGTTCTTCTGGGCTTTCCTCCCCGAGACGGCTCGTCGCCCGCTCGAGGAGATGAACCGGCTGTTCACGGACGCGCCCCTGTTTGTGCCAACCATGGACCGGAAGGACTGGGCGGCCAACGACCTCGAGCGTCGTGTTGAGGAGGTCAAGGCCAAGCAGGAGTCGGTGCACGTGGGATAAGCTAATGGCAGCGGAGTCGGTGTTTTCATTACTCGTACATCTGCTTGTATCTCTAGACCCTGATCTGCTAGTTCTCTAGAAATATTAGTAGTCTGTAAGATTTCTCTCGTAGTACACTATTCACTGTTTCTGATCTAGAACAATGCACATGAGTGAGTATGTGAATCACTGGAATCTCAATGCAACAGCCGTGTCCAAATAGACATTCGTGATCGATCCTAAACAATAAATAACCACCCTCGTAATATATTACAGTCCCAACGCCAATAGATCACCCACTGGCCGATGGACGGAAACGGACCCCCCAAAACCACAAGAAAAACAAGGACGAAAGAAACGGGTATGTATAGCAAGATCACGGAATAGGCACACTTCCCATAACCACCCACTCTCCCCTTTCCACATCCAACCACACCTCCACCACGCTCCCCTCCCTCTGAAAGTAGCACCTCGTATCCTCCGACGCCGCCTCCAGCGCCACCGGCACCTCAGCCGCATTATACTCCGACGTGGCCATGTTCAGACACGCGATATCCGTATCCTTATCCGCACCGCGCAGCGCCTCAGGCTTGGCCATCGTCCAGCCCGCCATCAACGCCTCGGGTGACGACAGCACGTTGATGTTAGCGTCGGCATCGAGGTACAGCACCGTCGTGTCGACGCGCTGCAGGGTGTCGCCCGGGCGGGCGATCGAGAAGGCGGCGATGGGCGCCCGCTTGGGTAGGGTGATGTCCGGGAGGGTGGTCGGCCAGGGTTGGTGGAAGCCGGCCGGGCGGTCGGGCGAGTCGAGCTGCGTGATGGATACGGCGAGTTTGTCGGCCGGTGTCTGGTAGAAGATGGCGTAGCCGGCTTCGACGGCGATCATACTGTAGTTGGTTGGTGTGGGTGCGGTGGCTAGGTGTGAGGAGGTGAGGGCAGTAATGTTGAGTTCGAGGGTGGCCCAATTTGCGGTCGGCTTGTAATTGCCCTCGATGCCGTTACATAGGCTGCAGAGCATATTGCGGTTATAGCCCACGTACCAGAGCTCTATCTGCGGCTGTGAGGGGTGTTAAAAGAGCAGTACAATGGCCGCGAGACTATGTATAAGACTAACCTCATACCCACTGCCCCAGAGAATGGTAGATACCCCCAGAAGCGTGGCGGCTCTAGCACTCGAGTTGAAGTCAACGGACGATGTCCAGCACGCCGAGTCGTTGCCCGGCGAGCGAAGGCTGGAGTCGCACTGCGAAAACCGCAGCCCGCCCTGCAGGTCTTGGAAGAAGAGGTCAATTTCCGCGCTGCCGTCGCGCTTTCTCCAGCCAGTTACGCTCAGCCCCGAGCCCTGCCGGATCAATTGCGGCCGCGTCGTGGTGTTGGGCGCCGTGTTACCGGCATTTCCCGACCCCCCTGAGTCACCCCCGGACTCGCCCACCGGGACAGCGTGGTATGTGCGGGCGAGGCTTGAGGTATATCGGGCTCGGTGTTTTGTTCATGAGAATGGCGTCATTCAGTAGCACCGGTTTAGTGGTTGAGGTCATGTTGTTGAGGTTCGTTCTTTCATGTTGACCATCGCCACGGCGTTGCCCAGCACCCGCTGGCTACAAAAAGCCCAACATCTCAACTCTCAAGCAAAAACTGAATGAAAGAAATCGGGCAAAACGAATAAATAAAATAAATTGGGTAAACGACACATAATTTGCCTGAACACAGCTTAGGGCTTCGAGGTGGCTTTCGTTTCGCTCCTTCAGTCGAGGCTTGGTCGAAGTTTACTCGAAGTTCGGCCGTGTTTGCGCATTTGGGGGTGGGGGTTGTTCCCAGGAGATGAGGGAAAGGGGTTCACGATATTTGGGGTCGCATTATAGACTACCTTGTAGGTTTGGTCAATTTCCTCGACATTGCCGCACGTGCGATGAGAGACCACACCTGCTGGTAGAAAGCGCAACCAGCAGAAATGCGTCATCAATTGAGTGCCACTTGACCTCCGTCTCGGGCATGTTTGTGTCGGGCCAATGCTAGCCGAAAACACAGCTGCTTTGCGGCCCTCGGGTTGCACCGCCTCTCGGAGTCAGCTCGACCCGAAAGGTGGGCGTCTGGGCAGTGCATCGTGGACGCGCGGTTCATCTGAGCTTGACGGTGTATTTGAGCCAAAAGAATGCATGCAAAGTACCTTGGTGAAAACTACCCGATTATTGGTTTTCAATTTACCTCCAAAACCGAGTTGGGTGCTTGGCGCTTTTCATCGGTTTGACCGCTTACTCCAGCGGGCGGGGTACCTGGGGTTATTCGTGCTGCAAAGCACTTCAGTTCAGCGGGAGCTCGCCACGGCACAGCCCGATTCTCTCGGGTAGATTCGCCTCCCCTCCCGTTTTCGCAGGGTCCATGCATGCTACATGACACTATCAATCCGTCCTTGCAGCACATGGACGATGTAGTCGCACATGCTAACGGACGGCTTGTCGGTGGATTACGTCTCCTCACCATCTCTTGCCCCCGGCTGGGGGAAGCACGGGACTTGAGACGAACATGAAACAAAGCTGGGGCAGCAACTTGGCCAACAAAAGAATCCAAGGTCCCCCAGGCAGCGCTCGCTTTGTTTGATATTCGTACACAATCGCATTTTAACACCATCGCTGCCATTTTTCCCTTCCACCGGTTTCCTGGATGCCATAATCTACCAACCACAGGCTTTTGTCATTTCCCAAGTCGGTCATTAATCCATTACAGGTACCCAGGTTACCATACCACCAATTATACATTCAAACTTGAAATCCTGTGACTGGACTCGTACATCATTTCACCCACCTACCATACCATAATCAAGTCGCCATCATGGACACGAAAACCGTTTCCTCGCGCCTACGGGAGCTGGTCAAGGTACGCAGTTCTGAATCCTAACCCCTCACTCCCAAACTCCCCTCTAATCCGTGTCGCCCTCATCTAGTTCCTCGGCTCCGTCAAAGGCGATCTCGCCAACGTAACAGGGCCACCCTCCCTCCTCGCGCCCTCCTCCGTCGTCGAAGTCGGCCACTGCTGGGCCCAGCGCCCCTCCGTTTTCGCCGCTCCCGCCCTCGAACCCAACCCCGAGAAGCGCGCCCTGCTAGTCCTGCGCTGGTTCCTCATCGCCCTGCGCAGCCAGCTCTACGTCGGCGTCGACGATACCCCGCCGGGCAACACCATTCCTGCTACCCCCACAGCAATCCCCCCCACAAGCAAGCCGACAACACCCCCAACCGCAGCCAAATCCATCCGCAAACCGCTCAACGCCTTCCTCGGCGAGCTCTTCCTCGCCAGCTGGACCGACGAGTCCGCCAAGTGCACGGCCGAGCTCGTCGCCGAGCAGGTATCGCACCACCCGCCCATCACGGCCATGCACGTGGCCGACCGCGCCCACGGCGTGCGCGCCGACGGCTACGCCCGCGTCGAGATGACCTTCAACGGCGCCGTCAACATCCGCCAGGTCGGGCACGCTACCTTTCGTGTTGAGAGGTATGATGAGGATTACCTTGTGCCGCTGCCGGATGTGAAGGTGAGGGGGTTTTTGTCGGGGTGTCTGTACCCCGAGATTGCGGGGACGTACCACATTGTGGGGAGTAATGGGCTCGTGTCGGAGGTGCGGTTCTGGGGGGAGGGTCTCCTTCGCGGGAAGCGGAATTCGTTTGAGGCACGCGTGTTTCGGAAGGAGGATGTGCAGCGGAAGAAGCCCATTTATGAGGTGGCTGGGGCTTGGAATGAGGGGTGGACGGTGAAGGACTGCAGGACGGGGGAGGTATTGGAGGTGTACGAGCTGAAGGCACCCGAAAACGACCCCGTGCCGATGGACATCGAACCCGTCGAGGCGCAGGACCCGTTCGAGTCGCGCCGGGCCTGGGATGGCGTGCTGCAGGGGCTACGGAGCGGGGATGTGCGGCAGGTGGTGGCCGAGAAGACCAAGATCGAGCAGGCGCAGCGGCAGATGCGGGCGAGCGAGGTCGCGAAGGGGACGCCGTGGGAGCCGCTGTTCTTCCGGTCACGCCAGGCCGAGGACCACCATGTGTTTCACCGTTTGTCGGAGGGCCTGGGCTGGCAACTGCACCATGATAGGACCAAGGGAGTGTGGAGGGTGGACGACGAGAAGGTGACAAAGCCGCAGCGGCCGTTCAGGGGCGAACTTACGCCCTTCGGGTACTGATCATGTGTATTTTGATAAGTTTTGTGCATAGCGCTGGAGTTGGGGTTTTATCTTCGAAGGATATGGCGTTGATTTTACATATTATCTAGGTATTGAGATGACATTTTCGACATTCATGTGATGGTATACCTATTTCTGACATCAAGGAGCTCTAACCATGTCCTGCCCTTTGAGACGATGTTATCCCCGAAGAGGAAAGGTGCCGGATAATTATAGATCGGGAACGCCAGAAAAGGAAGGGGACTCATCCTTGGCTTGGCATCCGCTGACTGTCCCGCCGCTTTCCGACGACAATTAGGTTTGTTGGCCTCCTGAAACCGGGAACAAAGCGACCAAGGGTTTGGAATCGCCCATCTGATCCAGAGATCCGTGACCCTGAGTAGTTCGCGGCAGAACCAACACCAAAACCAAAATTGGAAATCCCCAGAACCCTTTCTCTCCGCATTAGTTGTCTCCTCAGCGTCAGCCGTGAGAAGTGCCGCACGGGAACCATCGGCCGAGAATTCCGAGGCTCGGGCCGGTTCCAGGGACCAATAAATATTCCCAGCTCGCTGTCTTAACTCACATCTTATGATACGCAAAAGACATTATTCACGTTTTTCCTCGTAACCTTTGACGGGAGTTCACAGGCCTTGACCCGGCCGGCAGGAGGGATAATATCGGCGGACGAACCAGGTAGACCTGGACCGGAACCGCGTGGGCTATGAAAGGGCGCCAGGTTGTGTCAGGGCTTCCGGGTTACCTGTCCCGGAAAACACCCAGGTTCCAGGCTAGTCGGTGGCCATCTCAGCAGCTAAGGCATTCAACCGGTGGTCCATCTCATGGCGGAACATCATCGTCGAGGGGAAATGGGAGTATGAGTTGGGGCACGGCGGCAGTGGCTGGTACCGTGGGTGTCGTCGGGTTTGGAGGCGGTGTCTTCTTCACCAAAAAAGGGCGCAATGAGGCCAAGGTGGTAGAAGTCACTCCAGAGACCACGCCGAGTAGGCCACCTTACGCCAACCATACGGAAATGCTGCAAGCCGCGGAGGAAATCGCCAAGTCCTTAGGGGAAGACGCGGTCACCTACGACAACGACGTGCTCGAACACCACGGCCATTCAGAGTGGTCGACCTCTAACTCGCCCGGACGTGCTGTCGCGGTTGTCTACCCCAAGTCCACCGAGGACGTATCGGCGATCGCCCGGATCTGCCACCGCCGCAACGTGCCCATGGTGCCCTTCGGAGCAGGATCCAGCGTGGAGGGCAACTTCTCACAGCCCCACTCCGGCATCTGCATCGACTTCTCCTTCATGGATCAGATTGTCGCGTTCCACCCCGATGACATGGACGTGGTCGTGCAGCCGGGAGTCAACTGGATGGACCTCAACAAGCGCATCGCCAGCAGCGGCCTGTTCGCACCCATGGACCCCTCACCGACCGCCACCGTCGGCGGCATGGTCTCGACCAACTGCTCCGGTACCAACGCCTTCCGCTACGGCACCATGAAGGACTGGGTCCTCAACCTCACCGTGGTCCTCGCCGACGGGTCCGTCATCAAAACCCGGCGGCGCCCGCGGAAGACCTCGGCCGGGTACAACCTGACGGGCCTTTTCGTCGGTGCGGAGGGCACCCTGGGGATGGTGACAGAAGCCACACTCAAACTAGCGCCCATCCCACAGGACACCAGCGTGGCGGTGGTATCCTTCCCCTCCATCCACGCAGCCGCCGCCGCAGCCACCACACTCATCCGCTCCGGCATCCCGCTGGCAGCACTCGAGATCATGGACGAGCAGCAGATGGCGATCCTCAACGCGCACGGCAGCGCCACAGTGCGCAAGCGGCACTGGGCCGAGCAGCCAACGCTCTTCCTCAAGTTCTCGGGCACCACCGCGGCCGTGCAATCCGACGCGGCGCGCACCGCCGCCTTAATCCAGCAATCCGTCGGCGACAGCGGTAGCAGCACCTTCCACGTCGCCGGCTCACGGCAGGAGGAAGCGGACCTCTGGGCGGCGCGCAAGGAGTCACTCTTCACGATGACAAGCACGCGGCCGGCGGGGTACGAGATGTGGTCGACCGACGTGGCGGTGCCGGTGTCGCGGCTGGCCGAGATGATCGCGTGGTCGCAGGCCGAGTGCGGGAAGCTGGGCATCTTCTCGTCCGTGATCGGGCATGTCGGGGACGGGAATTTCCACGTCGCCATGATCTATGATCCGCGCGATGCGGTGCAGAAGGCTGCTGTGGCTGGGTGTGTGCATCGTATGATGGGTAAGGCGCTCGAGTTGGAGGGGACGGTTAGTGGGGAGCATGCGATTGGGATTGGGAAAAAGGACTGTCTGCGTGACGAGCTTGGAGAGGAGACTATTGGGGTGATGAGGGCGCTCAAGCGGGCCGTGGATCCAAAGGGGGTGATGAATCCGGGCAAGGTGTTTGACTAAAGTGGTTGTTTTGATACGGGGAAAGGGGGTTGTGTTGACTGCCCTGCCTTGGCAACTGCTAGGTCAAGGGAACTAACCACATGCTCGGCAACAATGCTAGAGTTATGAGGAACCAATACAATAGACGGGGACGAGCAATGAACGAAATGTGCCTCGGTACCTTCGGGTGTGCCCTTTGGCTAGACATCATACCACGGTTTCTCGTGTGGGACGTTCAGGGGGCTAATGCAACACCACAGGGCGATGGGGAGCACTACGGTGTAGAACGATGAAAGAAGTCGTATTAGGTATCGATACACCGTGAAATGCTGTTGTCCAAAGAGGGAACCTCGACTTAAGCCCCAAATCGGGAGCCAGTTGGGTAACCAGGGCCGAAACCCAGGCCGGGGGCACTTCACTCCGCGCTTGCCCCATCCCCCAATACCTCCTTCGCCATCGCCCGGCCCGCCGCCCTCCCCGAGAAGATGCAACCACCCAAGAACGTCCCCTCCAGCGAGCTATACCCATGCACACCGCCACCGCCGAACCCAGCGGCTTCGCCCGCCGCGTACAAACCCGGAAACGGTGTCCCATCTGCCCGCATGGCGTTGCTGTCCAGGTTCGTCTCGATTCCACCCAGGCTCTTCCTCGTTAGCAGGTTCATCCTCACCGCAATCAGCGGGCCGTGGTTCTGGACGTCCAACAGGCGGTGCGGCGCGGCAATGCGGCTCCTCCTATCGGGCCAGTATGTGCGGGCGCTGTGGATCAGCATCGCCTGGGCGTCCTTGGAGTACGTGTTGTCGAACTGGCCGTCGCGGCTTTCGACCACCTCTAGCACCTCGGCGTAGTCGAGCTTCGGGGCTCCGGGGACAGCGGCAATCAGTTCGTTCATCCCCTTGACCAGGTCTTCAAGATTGTCACGGACAACAAAGTCCGCGCCGTGCTTAACAAAGTTCTGAACGGGGATAGTCCCCTTGGAGCTGAAGATGCGCTGGGTCAGGAGCTGCCAGATCGATTTCCCGGTCACGTCGGGATTCTGCTCGGACCCAGACAGGGCGAACTCGCGCGCCACGATCGACTGGTCGGCAATAAACCATGTGTAGTCGTAGCCGGTGCTGCAAATATGCTTAAGGGTTGCCAGCGTGTCGCAGCCAGGGAAGAGGAAGGGAGGCAGGCGCTTGCCAGTAGCGTCGAGCCAAAGAGACGAGGGAGCGGGGAGCACGCGAATGCCGTGCCCGGGCCAGATGGGATCCCAGTTGGCGAGTCCCTCAGTGTAGTGCCACATCCTGTCGCGGTTGATGATATTGGCCCCAGCGGTCTCGGTGATGTCGATCATGCGACCGTCAACATGCGCGGGCACGCCGACGACAAAGGTGTTCGGGATTTTTGGTCCCAGGCGGTCGACAGGCCAGCAGGCCTTGACCTTTTCGACATCGCCGCCGATGCCACCGGAGGAAACCAGCACGGCAGCACCACGGATCTCGAACTCTCCGACCACGGTCCTGGACGACTTGACCCCTCGCGCGGATTCATCCGCCTCCAACACCCGTCCCTTGACGCCGACTGCGCGCCCCGTCTTCTCGTCGATGACCACCTCATCAACCATATGGCGGTGCTTGAACTCGACGATCCCCTTTTTCTCAGCCTCCTTCACGGGCTCGGCAAATACACGCACAACCTCCGGTCCCGTCCCCCACGTCGTGTGGAAGCGCGGTACCGAGTTGCCGTGCCCATCCGCCCTCCCATCCCCGCGCTCGGCCCAGCCGACGTTCATTAGGAACCCTATCCCGCGGGCCTTGACGTAGTTCTCCATCTCGTCGGCGGCAAAGTCGACAAAGGCCTTGGCCCACTTGCGCGGCCAATAGTCCTCCTTCTCGCGGTCGAAGCGGGCCGAGCCGAACCAGTCGCGCATGGCCAGCTCGCGCGTGTCCTTGATGCCCATGCGGCGCTGCTCGGCTGAGTTTACGCAGAAAATCCCGCCTAGCGACCAGAAGGCCTGGCCGCCCAGGTTTGCTGCATTTTCCTGGTCAAGGACGATCGTCGGGACGTTTTGTTGGGAGAGCTCGAAGGCGGCGACGAGACCCGCGAGACCTGCGCCGACGATAATGACGGGTTTCTTTTCGGTGTCGGACGTCATCTTGGTTCAATTCGATGTTCGAGCGGAAGAGAGGTAGGGCAGCGATTAGAGCGACCGTGGTGGATGACGGATGGAAGGATTGCTGCTTTGGTGATTGGGGTCAGCTGTGGGAATGGTTAACTGGGTTGGGAAGCTTCAAAGGACAAACCTCTCTGTCATCATCGTTGTCACGGCGGCTGACGGTGGTGAGATGACCGACCACGGCAGCAGCGAGGAGCCAAGCCGTACCCATCCATTCCTGGGTGCCTCGGTTCCCATGGTGCGTTGTTCATTGTGCTGCGACTTCCCCGCGTGCAAGTGGTTGGAGTTGCCCGGTTCGGGAACAAAAGCCGGGGTGCATGGGGCCCGGGCATGTGCTCACTTTGCGCAACCCCCTAAGACCCCTCATGGACCCCTACGACTTGCGCAACCACCACCACCGGGATCCGACCCCGCACCACCGACCCCAAACTCCAGCTCTGCAGCGCGCCTCACACACCTGGACCCAATCATTGATAGGGGCATGAAGCCCAATCGATTAAATGCTGTTGCCTCGCTGACGAGCAGCGTTCCGCGAGTGGCCCTGCATCGCCCTGCCATGGCGCGGGGCTGTGCCTCAATCTGCTCGTCGGGTCCGAACCGGAGCCTCGTCTCGTCCAAGTCCTAGCCATGGGCATTTTGTGACCTGACAACCTGAACCGGTTAATTCGTTGCTTTATGCCTTCAATAACGCCGGAAGTTGACCTCGAATGGACCCCCTTAGCATCACTGCAGGCGCCGTTTCCCTCGCCGCCAACGTCCTCCGGTCCGCAGCATTTGTCAAGGAAGCCGTCGACCAGTTCCGAGACGCCCCTGCGCTCGCCCGCGACATCGAACATGAGATCAAAGTCGTTCAGGCCGCTTTGCGCCAAGTAGAGGCCGCCCTCCAGCGCGACCCGCAAGCCATCAAGCGCCTTTCCCTCGACGATGTCTTCGAGCTCTCGGTCGAAGGCTGCTGGGATACCCTGCAAGACATCACACACGAGTTCGAGACCTTGTTTGGCCGCCATGATTGGAGGCTCAGGGTTGCGGTCTGGTGGAATTCCGGGGACATACGCCGTTTGCTGGGGAGGCTAGAGACGAAGAAGGGAAGCCTGATGCTCCTAGTTCAGGCATTGAGCTTGTGAGTTCAGTTGACCTTGCCAGTTCGCACATAACCCTGGCGCATGCTGACAGGAGGCCCTTCGTCACCCTAGACACTCTGTCCAGGAAATGCAAGAGTTGCTGCAGGAAAACATGAGGACGCTTGACATCGCTAGGCTTGGTTTGGACGACATGGTCCCTTCCTACCCCGCCTACACGGCGAAAGAACTAGACTCAACGGCGTCCGGCATCGATTCTGGGGATAGCATGCTGGGGGATCGTGACTCGGTGGTCAGCAACACACGTTTTATTTTCGACGATATTTGTTTTGACAGCAAGCCGTACCGCCACACCGTGGCGAGGGTCTCGGCAAAAGAGCGATATCACCACAAGAGAGGGGAGGGGAGCTCATCAGCCGGTGCCCCCCGTTCAACTCCCGGTAGAGAGGCTGAGGCCGAGGCCGAGCCCGACATGGGAACGTTGCGCAAAACCGAGCCGCGTATCCAACCGAACGGGGTTACTCCCGAAGAACACGAGGCCGTCGTCATGAAGTTACGAGAAGCAGAGGCGTTGATCCGCATTCTACAGGGCCGCGTGCAGCCACCAGGGACAGTGTTAAAAGAGCAACAAACGTCAGAGGGTCCAAACGAACGTAGAGGCACCGACGTTGAGCCATACATCGTCCCCGAGATACCGGCCACCGATGAATCACGTCGCAGGACAACCCGACGCGCAGACGGCGCACGAGACCTCTTACTCGAAAAGAAAGTGGCACAAGCTAGGCCTAAAGCCACTATCAAATCTGCTGGGAAAACATCTAGTGTCATTAACCAACGTTCCGTGCTGCCGGACGGGTTACCAGTGGCTGCCGGATCGACCCGTGGCCCAAGTCGGTCCCGTGCAACGCCCTCCAACAAGGAAGTTGAGCTCTTGATCGAGTATTTTAAGGAGGGCAAACACGACAACTCAAAGCCTTCGATAAAAGTCCATTCCACCCCAAGCGACGAGGGAAAGCCTCAGCGAATCATTGTGACCAACCTCTGTAACGGGACAGCTCGCATACTCGATGCAGACACGGGTAGAGATGTCACTTCGATCTGCACCCCCGATATAGAGACTCAGGATGCGCCAACAGCGACAGGCCCCACAGCGAAGGGCGCACCGCTTTTCGACCACCCGCGCCCATTACCTGGGCCAGAATCACTCCTCAGTCAAGCAAGGGCCCGTTCAGCAATCGCTCGCACAACCAACCCTATTTTCGGCCACGGAGCATCTGGAATGTCGGGGAGTGGACACGGGAACCGTACCGAGCCGGGCAAAATGACCGACATGGCAGAATCATGGTCAGCCCTGGGTCAATTACATGGACCACAAACAGTCGTAGCACGCCACAAAGTACCACACGGTTCAGGAGGTCTACAAGCACGTATTGTACCGGAATCGAATTCCCTTGACCTTTGGCAAGCGCCACAGGAACCGGTCGTGAACCATAACACAGAGCAACCGACACCTGAGGATCGGGAGGAGGTGAATGAGGTATTTCGACACATTGTACCCCCGGCCCGGCCCAATCATCCCCTACCTCTGCTAATAGAAGACGAGCTCCGAGGTTCTGATATCGACAGGACCAAACAAACAAATGGGAGACCAATCGCAAATCAACGGCCATATCTCAGTGATGACCCCCGGCCCCTAGGCATGGACGTTCAGCGGGCAATTGGCACGACCATGGAAAACACTGTTCGCAGTGTTGATGCGTCGGCTGTACCAACGGGGAGCGGCACTCATCCCTACCCGCAACCACGACGCCCTTTCCAAGCTAGGGTGGTGAAGGAAGATGAGAAGGCCAAGAAACAGTCGGTGTTCATCCGTGCGTTCAAGGGACTGGGTAGTAGATCCAACAAGGAACTGGCGGGGCTTGAGGAGACGCTGATGCAGCTGCTTATCGAGGTGGAGCAACTGAAATCCGGGGAAAATGGTGTGGTCAAGGCTAGGTAGCCTTGCCACGGGAAATCATTTGGCTTGTTCTTGGATTTCGGGTTCTAGACATCGATCCCCGGGCCACTGTCTTACTGCTTCGCAATGGTCACCAGCAAACAGTGTAACTCCGGAGCACGCAGCTGTTAGGGAACTAAGACTGGGTTGCATGTGTTTGTATACGGTAACTACCTTGCCTAGATTTGTGCCCAATTCGAGCAGGTACCTTATGTTGTGGTTATTTTTCACTGATTTACGAAACTTAGGGCAGCGACAACTTAATGTAACACCTCACGCACTAGGGAGCGCCGGGTATCTCACATCTTGGACAAACCCAAGACGAACCCTGGCGCCCGACAGATGCTTTGTTGGTTCGCGGTAGGTAGTATCCGGATTGGTGGTCGTTGATATTGGCTGCCGGGTTCCACGAACGGTTCAGTATACCTCCGCCACACCCATGTTCATACATAATGAGCTCCGATCGATTCCTTGCTCCTGTATATCGCGACCTCAGGCCCTAGTTTACGATTGCACAGACTTTTCATAAATTTTGCTTGGATACATGTTAGACCTGTTATCAGGTTGGGCTCGCCGGGGTACCTGGGTTTCACGCAAGGGCGATGGTAGAAGGGGCCCGATAATGGTCTGAATTTGCCCACAGGCGTAGCCGTGTCACGTTGTGGTCGGCAACAATGGGAACAGGGCCTCGAGGCGGCGGCGAAGAAGAGATCATTAAATGGTTAAGAAGATACGTATGCTCGAATTAAGTGGCCATGCCGAGGTGAAATATCTAAGGAGGCCACCCAAAGAACCAAGATGGCTCTTGTGGTCTCTCGGTTCAGTGCCTTACGCAAGAATCACCGCAGCCCACCCGAAGGCGGCAGCCAGAACAATGCTGCCCGTAAGGCCCAGAGCACCGGCGCCGCTGTCCACCGGCGCATCCTCCTCGGTCTTGGAGCAGAGGCCTGTGTCCTTCAGCGCGGTCTGGGGAACGTACACCTTCGGCTCGCCCTTGCCCATGTACATGGTGATATTGCCCGAGACGTCGGCCGTGTTGGTCTTGCAGCTCATGACCTCGACGACCTTGTCGTTGGCCTGGAAGCCGCCGACGCTGACCTCGTAGCTGTCGCCACTGCTGCTCTTGTTGTTGATGCAGAACACGACCTGGCTGCCGTACGGGCCCTTCTTCAGGCAGAGGTGGTTCACGTCGGCCCAGAGGGTCTCGGAGGGGGTCGAGATGTAGTCCGAGGACAGCTTGATCGCGTTGTTGCGCACCTTGTTGACGGTTGAGGTCAGGACGTAGAGCGGGGCCTCCTTGTCGTACTTGGAAGTCCAGAGGGGCTCGCGGTTGAAGGGTGTGCCGTTGCCCTTGAAGTGTTGCTCTTGACCCTGGTAGACTGCGAGGGGGTTAGTTCCTTCGTCGGGGGATTGGGATTTGTAGGTGGGACTGACCTGTGGGGATACCGTCGTTGAGGAGAATGTAGGTCATGGCGTTCTTCGCAAGGGCCATATCGTCGTTACGGTTGGCAAACCGGGGCATGTCGTGGTTCTCGAGGAAGCTGCCGAGGGCGGTTGTATCGTTGCAGCTCGAGGCAGCATTGTTGCGCATATTTGCGACATCGATCAAGGAGCCGCCGTTGAACGCCTCGTTGAGGGGGTAGTACTCTAGGTAGTTGGGCATGCCGGGAAGCAGTCCACCGGTCTGGTACCGGCACATGTCCTCAGGCAAGCCGGAGAGGACCTCGCCAAAGGCAAACACGCCGGATGACTTGACGAAACTCGGGAGGAACTCATCGTTTACATGCTTGGCGGCGTCGATACGAAGGCCGTCGATCGAGTAGTTGGCCACAAGCCCCTTGACCCAGCTGCCCAGCTCATCCACGACCGGCTTAGTCTCCGTGGCCAAATCGGCGAGCGCAACGCCGTACGGATAGAGCCAGCAGTCCTGGTAGTTGGTCGAGTTCTCCCACTGGGTTACGTTGCAATACGGGTGGAAATACTTCTTGTCGTCGAACGGGTTAAAGTTGGAGTAGTCGACCTTGGGAGGGACGACGTTGTCGAAGGCCTGGACCATGTTGTTGACGACAACGTCAACCATGAGTAGCATGCCGCGCTTGTGGGTGGCGGCCACGAGGTCCTTGAACTCCTTTTCCGTACCGAAACGATCGTTGAGGGCATAGTTGTCGACGGACCAGTAACCGTGGTACGCATCGCCGACGGATGTGTGTTCTTCGATGTTCTTGACGATGGGGCTGATTTGGATAGCAGTGAATCCCATGTCTACGTCGTGCAGTAGTTAGGGTCACGGACAGGGTCTAAAAGGGTTTCTTGGAGAGTCCTCACCTTGGATGTAGTCAAGATTGTTCATGAGCCCCTTCCACGTACCGCCACAAAACAGATGCATCTCGCAAGTGGCATCCGTGGAGCCATCAGTGCGCGCATACCGATCGATCATGACCTGGTAGATGGACCGCGACTTCCACTCGTCAAGGTCCGCCGCCGAGCCCAAGCCCGCAAAGGCGAGGGCGGCAGCGACGGCGGCACTGAAGACAGAAGTCCGCATGGTTGGCGGCAGAGAGAAGACAGATAGACACACGGACGCGCCTTCAAGTTCAGCTGTGCACCGGCCACTACGAAAAGAATGGCTCGGTACTTGTAAGTCAAGTCGGCACCGGTCTTCGGAAGAAGCGGTATCTTCGGCTGTCGAGTTTGTTCAAAGAATGACTGGGGTCAGATGCTCACAGCTGCTGCTTCTCCTCGTATCCCACGCTGGATCAAGATAGCAGACAGCACCACACCATTAACAAACAATAGACAAACGAGTGTGATGAAGCAAGTACCAAACCAAAGACGCGGAACGAAAGTGAGTGAACGGTGTAAGTTACAGTAGCGTACCCCGAGATCAGGGGGGGAATGCAGGTGCTACGCAAAACCGAGTGCAAAGCTTTCCTCGCAGTGTCACTCTAACCGCCCACGGTCCCGTGTGTGTGCTCCATCGTCTCCCGGAGGCCCGGATAGGCAAGAGGGCCACATCTGGACAGCGCATGAACCCGAGGTCAACATATTTTGCGAGGTCATCAGCTGGCTCTGAAGGGTGACCCCTGGTAGGAAATGCGGGATTCTTCCACACTTGGGGCGACTTGGGGCAATGCCAAATCAGGGCATGAGCACTGACTGGCACGGATGTTATCTCGAGGGACGGTGGAGTCGCAGTAACCCGCCGGGGATGCCGGGGGCCACTCGGTGTCGTGTTCTGAGGCGTGCCGAGGACCACACCTAACCTTGTCGCAACCGTTTGAGAAATGGAAGAAAAAAAAAAAAAAGGAGAAGGAGGGTTTCGGTTTCGGCAGAATAATGAGGAATACTCGAATCCGGGAATGTTTTGCCTTGTTGCTTCTTTCCCGTTCAAGTTCAAGCCACAATATGTGGTCCCACGAATGAGGTTGAAATCAGGAACACAAGCAGGCCAAGTGGTGGCGGTTGTCAGATCTCAATCGGTCGATTGGGAGAGCGAATGGTCAGGGGCATGCCTCCGGAGCTCCACTCCTATCGCGTGCAAGCTGTCGGCAATGCAGGGGTAATGGCTGCAGAATGGCAGTTGCCGGGTGGGGCTACGAGATGCTTCTTGTTTTATGGGCCTGACCGGTGGGTCCAAAAGCTTTCCTTGACACACCACACACGAGAAAAAAAAAGGGCGAGCGCTGGAGAAGCGAGAGAAGCCACCGCACGATTCGATGCTGCAAGACGGCACCGTTTTTTCGACAGCGATACCCCGGCAAGGCTTTGGGGTCGGTGTTCCCAATCAGGTTCGAGAGTGAGGAGGAATGGACGTCGACAACCGACGAAAGTACCGGGGAATCCCCCTCTCGCAGCACCGACCGACCAAGCATTATTCCCAACACCGCGGACATGGTTGACAAGGCGGGACTTGGGCGGGAGATGAACAGAATTCATCGGTGATCAGCAGCAATTGCTCCGACCCTTTGCTAAAGCTTCGACCCATCCGTGCCATCCCAGAAATCTTGCCCTGCCTGCCGGGGTGCGATCTGCGACAACCCAACAACACAGACCACACAACTCGAAGCTTGTCAAGGCGAGCTCGTATCCAAAATAGACCCATCCGCGGTGGAGCTCCTCCGGTGTTATCCGGCCTGCCGACAATGTTCATGCGATGGAGAGAAGGCGGCGAAAAGCAGATGCCCTGCTCCACCTCAAACGCAAGTTTTGCACCGATTTCTCTGGGCAGGGCCTGGCCAACAAGTGTCGCTGGGCGCGCTGGCACAGCTGGCTAGTGCGGCTCGAGTAGTCTGCAAGGATCTGGGGACGTCTTCTCCAGACTCGGCCACAACCAGAGCCTTGCTTCTCCTTATCGAGACAGACTGGTGTTGCCGAGTCGAGCCGTTGAGCCCCCTGTGGCAAACAGCGATGGAGTCAACGCAGGCAGGCGACGGGCTGCGCTCAGCCTGTTCGCCGAAGCGCCTCCTGGGGCCGTTTCGCTGCCGTGGGCCGGACTTGGAAGACGAGCCGTATTGTCGCAGGAACGGACATGCCGTCGTGTCGACAAGGACCGACATGACCCCGGCCTCGCGATGGGCTGACAAGGCCCCGCCGAAGGCTTCTCCGTCCGCGTTTCGAGCGGGTCGATAGCCTCCCGGATGGGGCTCTCTGTCTCGACGCTTCGCAGCCTGGAAACTCGTTTAGCCATACGCGGTGCATTCCGGATTCCTTCCCCCCCCCCTGAGGGCTCCTACCTCCTAGCCGAGTAGGTGTCCATGCCGTGGGGTTGCCGGAACAGGGGCTGTTCATGAAAGCAAGCTGCTTTCGAACTTTGTGTGTATCTCTTCCTCCTCCACCTCATGTCATCGTCCGTCTCTCGCTCCTGTGTGTTCAGCCTTGTAGTGTGGTGTCGTTTGTCGTTGGCTTTTTGGCCTTAGTCTTTCGTTTGCTTCTGCCGTGTCGCTCCCCATGAGAGGTGGGCGACAGTGACGATGACTCGTCCCTCCTTCTTTTCCAGCGCGCTTCTTTTCACCCTCTTTGCCGCCACCACCCTCGTTTCCGGCCTCAAATTCGACGCAAGTGAAGTCGACTACAACCTTAATAGAAACAGAACAGCCATCAGCCCCCTCGACTACTGGGGCTCACGACAAGATGACGACCCCGACTTCGAGTACGCCCCGTCTCCCCCGAACTGGCGTGTGCCTTTCTACAGTCTTTTCTTGGATCGCTTCGTGAATGGCGATCCGGGGAACGATGACATCAACAAAACCATGTACGAAACGGACATGATGAGCACCCAGCTCCGGTTTGGTGGTGACCTGGAAGGCCTGAAGGACTCGCTAGATTACATCGCCGGCATGGGGATCAAGGTACCGTACACCGGTTCGAGCCGTCTATGGAGGAGGGAATCATGTGTTCTGACGGGAGATAGGCTCTCTATATCGCAGGGTCTCCGTTCATGAACCTGCCATGGGGTGCCGATTCGTACTCGGTATGTCGACCCACGACCGTCACCACCCACCGCACTACATGCTAACAAATATTCTAGCCCGTCGATTTGACGCTTCTCGACAAGCATTTCGGTACCATCAAGCAGTGGCAAGAGGTCATCGACGAAATCCATGCCCGGGGCATGGCGGTTGTGCTGGACAATACCATGGCTACGTACGAACCTACCCCTCACTCCATGCATCAACCCCTTTCCCCCCCAAGACTTGGCGGATGTCTGACTATGGTCTAGGATGAGCGACTTGATCGGATTCGAAGGATTCTTGAACGAAAGCACACCGTTCCGGGTCGAGGAACACAAAGTGATGTGGAAGTCATCGAGGCGATATCTCGATTTCGATATCGGCAATGAGTACAACGCGTCGTGCAACTACCCCCAGTTTTGGTACGAGGATGGGACGCGCATAAACCCTCCCGGGCTCACGGGCTGCTACAACAGCGACTTCGATCAGTACGGCGACATCGAGGCTTTCGGTGTTTTCCCCGACTGGAAACGCCAGCTCGCAAAGTTTGCCTCCGTCCAGGACCGTCTCCGAGACTGGGAGCCTTCCGTAGCGGCTCGTCTCGAGCTCTTCTCCTGCATGACCATCAAGATGTTGGATGTTGACGGCTTTCGCATCGACAAGGCTGTGCAAGTCACGGTTGACGCCCAGGCCTCGTTCAGTTCCGCCATGCGGAAATGCGCGAAAGAGGTGGGTAAGGATAACTTCGTCGTCTTCGGCGAAATTACCAGCGGCAACGACCTCGGATCAATCTACTTGGGCCGCGGTCGGGAATCCCAGGCAGCCAAGACGTTGAAGGGAGACTGGACCAAGGCAATGACCATGAAGCCACCTTCGACTGACAACTCAGGCATGTTCATTCGTGATGCCGGCAACAGCGCTCTCGACGCCGGCGCCTTCCATTACTCCATTTACCGTTTCATGACGCGTTTCCTTGGTCTAAGTGGCAACCTAGAAGCAGGGTTCGACTTGCCGCTGGATTGGGTTGGGACCTGGCACCACATGGTTGTCACAAACGACTTCTTCAACCCCTACACCAACGAGTTCGACCCTCGCCATCTTTATGGTGCAACAAACCAAGACGTGTTTCGCTGGCCTGCCATCGAACAGGGCGTTGAGCGCATGCTCCTCGCTTACTTCATCACTACCATCCTCCTGCCCGGCGCCCCTCTGGTCTATTATGGCGAGGAACAGGCGCTGTATGCTCTGGACGGCACCGCTTCGAATTACGTCTACGGTCGCCAGGCTTTTGCACCCTCGCCAGCATGGAAGGCACACGCCTGTTTTGGGCTCTCGGTCGACCAGTACATCGGCTGGCCCATCGAGAAAGGGCGCAAAGGGTGCGAAGACGACTCTGTTGCCTGGGATCACCGTGACCCCTCGGCGCCCCTTCGCAACATTTTCCGCCACATGTTTGCTCTCCGAGAGGCCCTCCCGGTGCTTGAACACGGCTGGCTGCTCGAGAATCTCGCCAAGCAGACCGAGGAAGTCATGCTCAATGGTAGCACTACCGCGACTGAGTTTGGCGTGTGGAGTGTTGCTCGTGGCATGTTTACCCAGTTGCAGAATGAAACGGACAAGCCAGTGTGGCTTGTCTACCATAACCGCCCCAACCGTACGACCTACAACTTCGTTTGCAGCGATATTGACTCGGCATTCGTTTCGCCCTTCGACGAGGGGACCGACGTCGTGAACCTCTTCAGTGGAGACAAAGCCATCCGACTTGAGCCTTCTTCGCGCAAGAACAACTTCACCGGTACTGGCGAGAGCGCCGGGTGTATCTCCAGCATCACTCTCGAGCCATACGAGTTTCGCGCCTACGTGGAAACCAAATCTTGGGTGCAGCCGGCCCCTATGATCACCAAGTTCGAACCCGGCCATGATGCTCCCCTGGATTCGACAGACGCCAATGGGGAGATCAACGACATTTTTATCGAGTACAACGTCCCGATGAGCTGCGACTCTGTCACCAAAGCTTTGTCCGCCGTGGTCATCACCGACGGCAAACATAACGCCACGAAGCTCAACTTTGCTACGCCCAAATGCGGAAAGATCTCTCCAGCCGAGAAGATCCCTTACACGGGGGCAATCCAATCCAGTTGGAGGTTGAGGACAAGCCTACGCAACGTCCCCGACGGTATTGTGAAGATCACCGTAGCCAATGCTCTCTCCGAGGACAACGTCTCGACCAACGCAACCGACCATTTCCTCATTCGGTTTGGCAGACGTCTCAGCAACCCCGTTGTCTTCCCCACGGCCAATTATTCGCGCACGCTGCTATCTATGGAAGGGGGTTCTATGTACGTCCAGCACCAGGCCGCGGGCGCCACGCAATGGCGGTACAGCACCAACTGGGGGTCGTCCTGGAGCAAGTGGCTTACATACGATGCCAACACCCCCAAAGCGTCCATCACGGAGCTGTCTTGGGAGGGGACAGACCTGCAGAAATGGCCGGGTAAACACTTGACGGTCCAATACTACAGCAAGCCACTCGGTTCATCGGCCTTCATACAGCACGCCGACAGCAACGATGTCCAATTGGAGCGCGGCTTTCCTCACATCAGGATTCATGGACCATACAACAAATGGGGCTACGATGCCGGGTTGCCTGGCTCTATGGACCTCGTGTCCCATCGCACTTGGGAACTGCACTACATGTATGAGTGGCCGGCGAACTTCCAGCTTAACATATGGGGTATCAACCCGGACAACCAGCCGGACGTCGGGACCATCTTTGGAGACATTGACAACGACGGCATTGTCGATCGTCTCCCTCCCAGCAGTTTGGCGAAGAACGTCATCAACATTACCAAGCCGCCTCCGATGCCAGCCCTCGCTTACAAGCTCGTTTACAACGATGCAGCATTCCGGTTCGAGTACCTTCCCACGGGGCATATTGGCATTCAGATTCTGCTCTTCATTCTGCTTGCTGTCTTGCCACTTTTGCTAGCAGTGTTGGCTGGGTGGGTTTACATGCGCAGCTTCTACCAAGTCAAGGTCAACAAATCGGGGTTCGCTAGCAAGGGGTGGAGGCCACTGAAGCTCGGGGCTGTCTCCAGACTCGACCTGAAGTCATTCACGAAACGCGGTGTCGAGATGAGTGCTATGACTCCGACGCCACCCCCAAGCGCCACCATGGCTCCTCTTGGTGCTACTGGCGGCCGGCGTACCGTGCTCATAGCCACCATGGAGTACAACATGGATGATTTCGGCATCAAGATCAAGATCGGCGGTTTGGGTGTCATGGCCCAGTTGATGGGAACGGCGCTCTCTCACGTGGACCTCATTTGGGTTGTCCCTGTGGTGGGCGATGTCGACTACCCGACTGACCGCATGACGCATGCGGAATCCATGTTTGTCAATGTCATGGGTCAGCCTTACGAGATCGAGGTTTACTACTACACCACCAAGAACATCACCTTCGTTGTCCTCGACGCCCCGATCTTCCGCAAGCAGACCAAGGCAGATCCGTACATCGCTCGCATGGACGACATCGAGAGTGCCATCCTGTATGCCGCGTGGAATAGCTGCATCGCTGAGACGATCCGTCGATTCCCGGTCGACGTCTACCACATCAACGACTACCACGGTGCCGCCGCCCCGCTCTACCTCCTCCCCCAAACGATCCCTTGCTGCCTTTCCCTCCACAACGCCGAGTTCCAAGGCATGTGGCCGATGCGGACGCCAGAGGAGCAGAAGGAGGTGTGCGACGTGTTCAACCTGCCGCCGGAAGTGGTCAAAGATTACGTCCAGTACGGCTCGGTCTTCAACCTGCTCCACGCCGGTGCCAGTTACCTCCGTCTCCATCAGCGTGGCTTCGGTGCAGTGGGTGTCTCTAGGAAGTATGGTGACCGCTCTCTAGCTCGTTATCCCATTTTCTGGAGCTTGAAGAACATTGGACAGCTGCCGAACCCCGACCCGTCTGACACGGCCGAGTGGAACCCCGACAAGGACGTCTCCAAGCAGTCCAAGGGCATCGACGTCGACCAGAGCTTCGAAGAGAAGAGGGCGGACCTCAGACGCCAAGCACAGGAGTGGGCTGGTCTAGAAGTTGATCCCTCGGCGGAACTGTTTGTTTTCGTCGGCCGGTGGAGTTTGCAGAAGGGCGTGGATCTCATCGCCGACATCTTCCCCAGCATCCTGGAGAAGTACCCCAAGACCCAACTCATCTGCGTCGGCCCCGTTATCGACCTCTACGGGCGGTTTGCGGCTCTGAAGCTTCAGAAGTTGATGGAGAAGTACCCCAAGCGGGTATTCAGCAAGCCCGAGTTTACCCAACTCCCGCCGTACATCTTCAGTGGTGCAGAATTCGCGCTCATTCCATCCCGTGACGAGCCATTTGGTTTGGTCGCCGTCGAGTTCGGTAGGAAGGGTGCCCTGGGCGTGGGGGCACGCGTCGGAGGTTTGGGCCAAATGCCAGGCTTCTGGTACACAGTCGAGTCCATGACTCCATCCCATCTCCTGCAACAGTTCCGGCAAGCCATCGTGTCGGCTCTCGATTGCAAGTCGTCGAAGCGCGCTCTCATGCGTGCGTGGAGTGCCAAGCAGCGTTTCCCCGTCGCGCAATGGATCAAGCAGTTGGATGAGCTGTACAGCGAGTCCATCCGCATCCACAACAAGGAGGCGAGGAAGAAGAAGCTCGATACACTGCGTGCTCCCAGCCCGAATCCATCGCGACCGTCTTCTCGGCCGTCTTCCCCGACCAGCACAGCTACGCATGTTGACCCCGGATCTGCGATATATAGCCCCGGACCAGAAACACACTTGGTGCCACCATCGCCGTCAGCCTCCCCGGCACCGGGTTCAGTAATAAGCCCTGATTTGCCGAGTCCCTCCGCCCCGTGGCTAGGGGGCTCAAGGTCAAGTTCACCCCGCGATTCCACCGCAAGCTCCATCGCAGGAAGCATCTACGGCAATAACACGGCGCGGGAGAGCACCGTTAGCGTGGATAGCTTTGCAGTTCGTGCCCAGAAGGATGGCATGGCCTCGCCAGGGTTGACTCCCAACTTTGGCCTCGTCCCCCCTCGTCCCACACTTGGACAGAGCCATCGCAACAGCAGTCTCCTCAGTCTTCCCGACGTCGTCGGCGACAGGCACGACCTGAAGCTGCAGCAGGTGGACCAGTTTTTCAATGATTCCAATGGCGAGTACTACGCCATGTACGAAGAGATGCTGGATGCCTTGACAGCCCAGAACTCGGCCGGTGATCTCTGCATCGAGGCCTTCCTCAAGAAGAGCGAGAAAGAGTGGTTCTCGAGGTACCGCGAAGCCAAGCTGGGGAGGCACTCTAGGATAGGGAGCCCAGTGAATAGCCGACCACCCTCGAGAAACGACGAGAGTCGCAATACATCTGTCGTCAGCCGCGGCCGCCAGCGGCATCGCAGCATGACGCCGAGCTCCCTGGCTAGATCAATCTTCGAAGTCTCCCCACCGCCTAACCACATTGACGATGAGTTCTTACTGGGCGATGGATACCAGGCCCCCACAGGGTTGAAGAAGTAAGTCATTCCTTCATGGCGCTCCAACTTGCCTCGATGCTAATCTTCCACTTTTTCAGGATCCTTTCCATCCGTCTTGGCGACTGGCCGCTTTACTCCTTCCTTCTCGCACTTGGCCAAATCATCTCAGTCAGCTCGTACCAAATTGTCCTTCTCACGGGCGAGACGACCCAGACACCAGAGAAGTTGTACATGGTTGCAGCAACATACATCGCAACCTCGTTGCTTTGGTGGGGACTAGAGCGGAACTTCAAGTCTGTCTACGCCCTGTCGGCGCCCTGGTTCTTCTTCGGTCTTGCCTTCCTGTTGATCGGTATCGCGCCCTTCATCCCCGACTGGCGTGTTGCCAACAAGATCGAAGATGCGGCCACATGCTTCTACGCTGCCGGGGCTAGCAGCGGCGCACTGTCGTTCGCCTTGAACTTTGGTGACGAAGGTAAGACTCTTACTTAAGCCCTAATTGCTTTGCGATAGATGCTGACAAAAGTCATCAGGTGGCTCGCCAACAAAGCAATGGATCACGCGCGCCTTGACTGTTTCGGGTTTCGCCCAGGTTTACAGCATCGGCTTATGGTACTGGGGTTCCATGGTGGCCAACACAGACCCGACAGCGACTGTTTTCGTGGGCACCTCCAACGTCCCGCAAGCCATCGTCGTCGGTGTGCCCATCGCCATCATCTTCTGGGCTATTGGCGTCGTGCTCTACCTCGGGCTCCCCGACTTCTACCGCCAGTCCCCCGCCACCATTCCGGGCTTCTACATCTCCCTTTACCGCCGCAAGATCGTGCCCTGGTTCTTCGTCATGATTATCTTGCAGAACTACTGGCTATCCGCACCTTACGGCCGCAGCTGGCAGTTCCTGTTCAACACCCAGCACGTTCCCGGGTGGGGCATCTTCCTGCTCGCCCTCGGCTTCTACTGCGGCCTGTGGGCGCTGGTCCTCTACGGCTTCTCGCACTTCTCGGATGAGCATACCTGGCTCTTGCCCATCTTCGCCATCGGCCTGTGTGCCCCGCGCTGGGCGCAAGAGTTCTGGGGCACCAGCGGTATCGGTTGGTACCTGCCGTGGGCCGGCGGTCCGGTGGGCTCGGCGATCGTGTCGCGTTGTCTGTGGCTGTGGCTGGGCCTGCTCGATAACATCCAGGGCGTCGGTCTCGGCATGATGCTACTGGCCACGCTAACGAGGCAGCACGTGTTGACGGTGCTGATCGGTGCGCAGGTGGTGGGCAGCGCGTTTACAATGCTGGCGCGGGCGACGAGCCCCAATGCGCTCTCGCCGCATACGACGTTCCCGGATTTCTCGCAAGGGGTGATGCCGGGCGCTGCTAGTCCATTTTTCTGGGTGTGTTTGCTGTTCCAGCTGATCATCCCCGTTGGTTTCTTCAAGTTCTTCCGCAAGGAACAGGTTTCCAAGCCTTAGTGCTCTGTTGGCATGGCGTCAGGGGCGGTCGGGTTCGGGTTGGTTTTTTGATAGACAAGAGCATGCGTCACGTTTGATTATAATGTTTTTAGATTGCCATGAGCGGATATACATATAATAGATTGTACATGAACCTTACACTCAGCTTTGCCCGTCGTGCTATGTCCGCCTCACAGGATGACAGCAATTGGTGTCTTCGGTTCCCGAAACTGTTCATCGACTCCGAAGGCATACACCATCTCCAGCGGTTTCGGAAAGACGCCGCCTTGGTTACGGATACGAGCGCAGCTACCACTCGCAAACTCTCCCCGGATTTACGCCTCGAGGCTCAACCCGCATGCGCCTACCCTAGGGGTAACTCCGGGCCAAGCGCTGTAACCTCACGATGATAACCAGGTTAGGAACGAGCGCTGAAGGAGGCGACCCTCACAACTGATATGACCAAGATCGGAGCAGTTCGCCCTATTCCGTTTTGGTCTCGGGGATTGTGGGCAAATTGTTCGCAACGTCGCCTCCGAGCTGGTTCTGGGCCCGGTACCGTAATAAAGGTACCATTTTACCCGGCCGCATATAGCAACTCAGCACCACGCCGAGGCCAGACCTCGCACCGGTCTCTCATATCCCTGCCAAGATGGTTAGCAGGACGAAAATAGAACCCGCGGGTCGCCGCTGCTTGGTTCGCCCCCGTGGCCGAGATCAAAGACCACCGCATCTCACCTCGGGATGTCTTATTCTCCGTACTCGATGTTCAACCATCCCTGACACCTCTCGTTTCTCAGAGCCCTGTGGCCAGTGGTTGTGGACATCAGAATGAAGCTTCATAACGCTCTTTTCGGAATCTCCAGCCTTTGTGGCCTCTTCCTGCCCACCTCGGCGGCTCGGGTCAACAGCAGGGACAGATACGCAAGAAGCGTACCGACCTCGCACACGGTCCACGAAAGACATGTACAAAACAATCTCGAGGGGTGGGTTAAGCGCGACCTTGTGGACTCCGAGGCGACGGTCCCGGTGCGGATTGGGTTAAAGCAGTCTAATGTGGACGCTGGACATGACCTGCTGATGAACATGTAAGTCACAGATGCACCCCTGACGGCTGTCCGGTCATACACTCATCATGCCGCAGATCCAACCCAAAGTCCCCAAACTACGGAAAGCACCTTTCAAGGCGCGAGGTTATCGATCTGTTTGCCCCTGAAAGCCACGCAGTCGAGAAAGTAAAGCGTTGGCTGGCCTCGTCGGGGGTCGAGGAAAGAAGGCTATCGCAGTCACCAAACAAACAGGTGCATTCAGCCATAATTTTCTTAAACCGGAATTTCGGAATATCAAGCAACAGGCAGCTAACGTGTGGCTTTAACGGGCTGTCGAGATAGTGGATTCAGTTTGATGCCCCTGCCCGCGAGGTCGAGGACTTGCTTCACACAAGGTACTACACCTTTGAGAATCTTGAGACAGGTGTCCAGAATATTGCTTGCTCTGAGTAAGTCTGCCATCACCACGCCGAGCTTAATGCAGGTTGAACTAACATCTGCCAAGGTACCATGTCCCGCATAATGTGTCACACCACATCGACTACATCACTCCCGGCATCAAGCTCATGTCCGGTGGGTATGATGAAAAGATCACCAACAGGATGGTTGGACGGCGGTCACTCACCGGGGATCTGCATGGTGGTAGAAAGGGAGGGAAAGGGCACGGGCGAGGAAAGGGGAATGGCAAGGGTAAAGGGAAAGGGAAATGCATACCGAGGCCTCCAGTTGATCCAGTCGACGACGACAGCGTATTCAAGGTGACTGGGCCGTGCAGCGAGGAGATTACACCACACTGCATTCGAGGTGAGTCCGTATTTGCTACTGAAATTCCGTATCTGCTAACCCACAGACAGCGCAGTATCAGCTTCCCAACGGCACCAAGGCGAAAAAAGGCAATGAGCTCGGCGTGTTCCAGAGCCTAAGCCAGCACTACAGCCAGGAGGACCTCGACAACTACTGGAAACACATTTCACCGTAAGCCCCCTCATGATTTCCCGTCACACTGGTTTAGTAACACTCGACAGTTGGGTCCCTCCCGGCACGCATCCCAAGCTCAAGTCCATCAACGGTGCCTATGGTCCAACCAACGACACGTCCAAGGCTGGTGAGGAAGCCGACCTCGACTTCCAAGTCGCCATCCCCTTGATCTGGCCACAGAAATCGATCCTCTTCCAAACAGACGACGAGTGGTATCAAAAAGACCAACTCCGCCCCGAGAGCAAATACCCCGGTTTCTTCAACAGTCAGTGACCTCCCCCAACCCAACCCTTTTTTCCATCCATTCTTCCCCCCCAACCCGAAGCTACCGCATCCTAACCCCACATCCTTCGGTACAGCCTTCTTCGACGCCATCGACGAATCCTACTGCCACCTCACGGCCTATAATATGACGGGCAACTGCGCCAGCCCCGCCTGCCGGGACCCCGAATACCCCAACCCCAACGCATCCCCCTCCCAGGGCGGCTACCAAGGAGCACTGATGTGCGGACGGTACCCGCCAACCAACGTCATCTCGATCAGCTACAGCGGCACGGAGCACTCGTGGCCGGCGGCCTACATGCGGCGGCAGTGCCTCGAGGTGCTCAAGCTGGCGCTGCAGGGCGTGACGGTGGTCGAGTCCTCGGGGGATTATGGTGTTGGCGGGAAGCGCTTCGAGCCCCAGGCTGGGTGTCTGGGCGAGAGGAAGGATGTGTTTAGTCCCCGCGTGATGGGGAATTGTCCGTATGTGCTGAGTGTGGGGGCCACGACGCTGGTGGAGCCGGAGTATGCGGACCCGGATGCGGAGGTGAAGCTGCTTGAGGTGGCGGCCGAGTCGTTTTCGTCGGGTGGCGGGTTCTCGAATGTGTTTGAGCGGCCTGCGTGGCAGGATCGTCATGTTAGTGAGTATCTGGCCAAGGCGAACGTGTCTGATTTGGGGTATGAGGGGGGTGGTGGGTTGGGGTTTGAGAGCTTGCGGCCGCCGCCGGGGAGGGGGAAGCTGTTCAACAAGCTCGGGAGGGGGTATCCGGACGTGGCAGCTATCGGGGAGAACTTCCGGGTGGTACTCCGGGGCTATCCTAATCGGATGCATGGGACGTCGGTTTCCACGCCGGTCTGGGCGTCTATCTTGACGCTCGTCAACGAGGAGCGGTTGGCGGCGGGCAAGAGCACGGTTGGGTTTGTGCATCAAGTTTTGGTAAGTGTCTCGAACCACTAGTACTGAGGGGCGTCTGATGTTGATGGCGCTTTAGTATGAACATCCGGAAGTGTTTACAGACATCACCACCGGGTCTAACCCTGGCTGTGGTGGGGATGGCTTCAAGGTCAAGGAAGGATGGGATCCCGTAACGGGCCTAGGGTGAGTTCTGTCTGGTATCGGAACGGTCAGGTACTGGGCCTACCGAGGTGGGAATTATTAACGATGGTGTTTAGGTCACCGATATATCCCAAACTTTTGGAACTGTTTATGAGTTTGCCGTGAGACCGAGTACCCAGCTAGCGTCCTCTTGTCAAATAGATTGCTGGAACGCAGTTCCACATCGCCATGGTTAACCGTCGAATAATACTTGGCTGCTTCCTCGGATGTGTAGCTACAATGCATGTCATTGAATATTAGAGTTAATCGGCATTTTGGGTTCCGGACTATGGATCCATGGTGGTACGGATTTCTGACCCTTCTATCACTCGCCTCTCGATCCATCCTCCACTGCAGGAGGCTACGAGCGACGGCCACGTCGCCATCCTCGAGGTTGGTAGCGGGCCGGACGAAACGGTGTTGAACACAATTCGAAGCTGGCTGCTGTTGGACTGAGCCAACACTCATACTGACCTTGGCGGCCAGTGGCGGCACACCTGAATCAAGGTTTCACCCATGGTTGGTGAAGGTGACAGAAGGTCCAATGGAGGCAGTGCCCCACGCAGGGTGCCCACGGAAAGTGCCCACAGGTGTAATTGTGGTCTTCAGTGCCGGGCACTGCGCAACAAACCAACTTGCAAAAGAAAAAAAAGAAACACCGCAACCGAACTCGATTCTTGGCTTGAAAATGGAGCATTCCTGGCGGGCCACAACGGTCACGACGGCGACGGCGGCCCAGCCGGGATCCGGCAACCACACGTGGTCGGACTCGCCTCTTCTACGCCTCACCGCGCGCATCCGACACCGCATCTACCGGTACCTTGGGCTGGCAACGTGGGATAGCCAGCATCCATCATACGGATTCGACTTGCGTGATGGCCTCACGGCCGCGGGGACGGCGCCGCACCCTGGCGATTTCTATGGCTTGCTCCTTTCTTGCCGCGCCATTTACGCCGAGGCGGCTGCTCTCTTGTACTCGGCCAACCGCTTCATTCTTCACTATGCCCATGCGCACCCGGAACCCCTCGGGCCTCTCCTCGCTCTCACCACATCATCACTGGCGTCGCTGACGAGCTTAACCATCGTTCTCAACCAGGCCTCCTGCCACCACCCGGACGAGTACGGAGGCTATCCGGCTTGCTGTCTCCAAGGTCGCGAAGACGATGACTTCGATGGCGCCTATGATTGCAAAACCTTCCACGGCGACGTACACAACGTCCCGCTGCTCGGTTCGACCTCCGAGGGCAACAACGCCGCAGAGGGCGATGATGACGACAAAGTAGCGGCAGCCCACGCTCTACAAAGCAAGTGGCACTCGGCCGTAGCCCATTTATCGTCTATTACCAGTGGGCACCTCGAGCTCGCCTTCGTTTGCGACATTGACCCTCATCATAAGCGGACATTCGAGGTTGCTTTATCCATCACTGCACCACTCCGCCTCCTACCGCCTCTGAAAGACTGCCATATCCGACTTTGTAAAACCCCGGACCCTCGGCTCCAGCAACTGGCTCAAGATAGTGCCTTACAAGCCTGCGGTATTGCTCCTCCCTCTTCGAAGCCATCGACACTATCATCTCTAACAACCCTCCCACGCGAACTACGCCTTCGTATCCTCGAGTTTACCGACCTCATCGTCCCCAGTAGGGAGGTTACATGGAGCAGACAGGACCAGGGATACATGACATTTTCCTCCGAATCCTCGCACTCACCTGACCAACGGTACCGCCGCCAGTTTTTCCACTGCTGGCGCGACGACGGTTCTGGCCCGTTCATCGGTTGTTTTTGCCGCCGTCGGCACTCTACCTTTTCGTTCAGGTGTAAATGCTGGGCTCCGCCAGGACCTGTCCTGTTCCTTAGTTGTCGTACCTTGTATCAGGATGCCCAGCTCGTCTTCTTTTCGGGCAACCGCTTCATCATCCACGATTACCAGGCTAGCCCGCCTTGGGAGTTACCATATGTCGGCCAAACTCTGGAAGAACGTATCCCTAAACGCGACTACCCAAACAACCGCCTTGCCGTATCCCAGTTTCTACGAGAAGTCGTCCCTCCCCAGTGCCTTGTCTACCTCCGCTTCCTCGAGGTAGTCTTTCCTCCTTACCCCCCTTCTGCCTGGCCTCAAGCAGGTCACCCTGCTATTGATGACTGGTGGGCAACTGTCGACTGGCTTCAAGGCAAGATGAATGCGCCGGGGCTTACCCTACGACTAGTCGGGGCAGGAGTAAGCGACTGGACCCCGGACGCGTATAGTGACACAATAACCGTTTCCGAGGGGGACACTATTATGAGGGCACACATGGCTATTTTACGCCCCCTAACACGCTTAGCCAACAATGGTCTCGCCAGGTTTTATGCCAACTTCGTCTACCCTTGGCTTCGGACCGAGGAATCACGGGACTACAACGAAAGATGGGACTGGCTGCAGGACAGGAAGCGAGAAATCAAGGAACACGCCGAGCGTTACGTTATGGGCGACCGGTACGAAGGCCTTTACGCAAACAACAGGGAGGAGCCGGAACGGAGCTTTTGGGAGGACTTTCATTACAATCAGCTTTGACCGTCCTGGCCATCTGTCCACCCGTAAAGGTCGACATGGCACAGAATGAATGATATGTAATAACCAATCACGATCAATATCTGGACAGGAGCCGCACATGGTTGGTGCAACACACCTGACAGCCTGGCAGTGAGAATCTGAAGCCCCGCAACCCCCGGCTCTCTTCGCCCCCTCCATCCTCAACCCACTCGGCCTTGGGCACACACATACCTCCGGAGGAGCTTTCACCTGGCGCCATGGATCCCATCACGGCTATTGGATTTGCCGCAAGCATCGTGACCTTCATTGACTCCTCTCACAAGATCATCTGCGCGACATCCGAAGTGCTCAGTTCCGGGAGCACAGCCGAGAATGCACATGTGACGGCCGTGGTCAAGGATTTGCACGAAGCCACCCGGGGGTTCGGCGATCGGCTCCCCGGGTACTCGAAGCATGACGATGCCCTCAATATCCTTGCTGCGGAATGCCAGGGCATTTGTGGTGAACTTTGTAGGCTTCTAGAGAAGGTGAAGATCCAAGTGGGAACGTCCAAATGGCAGAGCGTCAAGGTGGCGCTTCGTTCCATGAGGAAAGGAGGAGAAGTCGCCCAGCTAGAGGAAAGGCTAGGGAAGTGCCGGTCACAGATCATATTGCGTTTGGTACTTCTGCTCAAGTAAGCCCTGTTCATTTCCTAATACTGCTCAACCAGCCCCACGACTCCAGTGTTAAAGAGTTAACCACTTAACTTTGTTCCCAGTGAGGATAAACTCTCCATCCAGGTCCAGCTCAACGCCGCGCAGTCCCAGTCGCAAAAGCAACGCTCGGATATCGTGGAGCAGCTCACCCGCCTTCGTGACGATGTTTTGGGGGCGCTGGAAGTTACGGACCAGCAAAGCAACGGTTTTGTGTCAGCCAAGTTCAGCGAGCAGCTTCACCTTGTCAAGGAAGTTCGCACCGCCCTCAACAGCTTACTCACCATGTCAACTGTCCCCTCTCCAGAAATACGCATTCTGAGCTTTACTTCCGAAGCCTCCACTCTCGGGAAGATGCAGTCCACAAAGCTGAGGACGGCACATTCGAATGGCTTCTCAACGGAGATTTGAAGATCACCGACCGGCAAGCCGATGACGAGCTCCATGTCTCTGATGAGTGTGACGACAGTGATAGCGAAGGCGACAGCGACGATGCTACCAAATATCACGACCATTTACAGGAAAGAACCAGACAAGTTCGGCTGCACTCGCGCTCAGCTTTCCTGGCTTGGCTCCGCAGCGACGGAGGAGTTTTCCATATATCAGGGAAAGCCGGGTCCGGCAAGTCGACGCTGATGAAGTTCCTTCTTGACCATCCGCGAACTCGGAGGGAATTGAAGACATGGGCGGAGAACAAGCAGCTTTTGTTTGTCCCATTCTTCTTCTGGAGAGCGGGAGACGAGTTGCAGAGGTCCCTTCGAGGGATCTATCGATCGCTCCTCTTCGAGGCCCTGAAGCAGAGCCCCGACTTGATCCGAGCAACCTTCCCCGAGGCGTATGCGGCATTCTCGAGAAACGGTACAGACATGTCGTTTGATCAGCTCCACTTCCGGCCTGAGAATCTGGAGAGGGCCATGGAAGCGCTGATCTCTAATTCGCCGTACCCAGGCCACCCACCGAATCTGTTTCTTCATTGATGGCCTCGACGAGTATGGAGAGGACAGCACGGATAGCCTCGATCACGAAAGGCTCGCCGAGCAGCTTCAGTCCTGGGCCGCCAAGGACGGTGTCAAGATCCTCGTCAGCTCCCGCCCACACACAGAGTTTGAAGGGACATTTTCGGACCATCGGCGCATCAAACTTCATAAGCTCAACGAAGTGGACATCTTTTGCTTCGCACGCAACATGTTCGAAAACGATAAACACTTCGCCAGGGTCCAAAACAGTTACATGCGACTCCTTAAAACTGTAGTTGATGACTCCGATGGCGTCTTTCTCTGGGCTCGACTCGCTGTCCGGTCACTGATCATGGCCGTCCGCCGCAACAGCGCGATTGACTACCTGAAAAGGCAGCTGAGGGCCATGCCGAAGGATCTGGACGATCTCTACAACCAGATGCTGATGTCCGTCAGCCCTGCTGATCGCACCACAACTATCAAGCTGCTTCTCCTTGTGCTTGAAGCCGGCCCGGTGAATGCCATGGCCCTGACGTGGATGGATAGCCTCAATGACGAGACTTTCCCAATGTCCCACGAGATTCGGCCATATACGGAGTGCGAGATCCAGGAACGGCAGTCTGCGGCAGAATCCCAACTTGACAGCCTCGGAAGGGGCCTGCTCGAGATATCGGATAACCACCTTTATAGCCAGCGGTCCTTTTTCGCCAAGAGCATCGGCTTCTTCCATCGTACCCTTCGCGACTTCGTCTCCAAGAACGAACATATCCGTGACCTCGCGGACCGGTTTCCGGACCTGGCGGCCAAAATGAATGGTCGATTATATCTCGCCGAAATGTGGTTTGCAGACACCAAGCAGCTGGACCGGAAATACGGTAGTACTGTACCTAATCCCAAGGTCTTCCCACCAGGAGAATTCCGACGTGCGTATCTGGATGCTGCAGACCGGGCCGTTGCACATCACACGACTCAGGCTGTTATCGGCAGCACCACCGCCTTCCGAGGCACCGTCGTACCACTCGGGCCCCTGTTTCTATGTTTTACCAAGAGAGGGGTCACATTGTCCGTGGTTCACTTAGCAGCTTGGAGCGGTTTCGATGATTATGTCCGTCGCGTTGTGCTCGCGAAACCTAACATGCTACACGCTGAAGGGGACCTTTCCCTTCTTGTTTCAGCATCCCTGGGCCAAGGAACGGACGGCAGCCTAGTGAGATTTCTCCTTGATTTGGGCGCGTCACCAAACGAAGTAACACCGCACGAACGTAGGTTTTTGGGCCAAGGCTCGACAATGTCCACCAACCGCCCTCAACCTCTAAGGGCCCCAACAACAGTTCAATTCGCCACTCCGTGGATGATAATTTGTGTACACTTCGCGGTACATACAATGAAGGGCACTTGGCACAACAACAAACACCTCCTTGCCCGCAAGTTGGAGCTTTTTCTCAGTACTCGGACGGTGGATACGAATTGTCTCATCCTTCTTGGAACCGAGCCTGAGCCGTCAACGTCCAAGAGAAAGCCCGCACGTGGCACAAGGATAGCAACGCACTGCATACATTTCCGACAATTTGTCGAGCAGCTGGGCCTTCCCAACCACGAAACACTAATGGCACTAATGGAAACCCCAGAAAAGTCTGCTTGGGGTATCTTCCAGGGCTGGTGGACGTCAGAAACCGGCCGCTCTGACCAGCTATCCTACCAGGCGTCACTTTATCTTCCGTTCCATGTCGGCATGCAGCCTCCATCGACGACGGTGACGGAGGACGGTGAACCGACCAGGTTCTTCATCAAGTCTTTGAATTGGGCAGATAACCAACTCAACATTAGAAAATTATGCGTTAGGGTTTGTTGACTCTGATGACCAAAGCCTCCTTTGACTCTGGCGCCACCAATCCACAGCACGGCAACTGGCACACTTGGGTAGATTGGAAGGTTGTTTAGGGGAATGCGTGGTTAACTGTAGCTCAAATGTCTTTCTTTTATCCCATGATAATTAATAGCCAGAGAAGCTACCTACTTGGGTATCCATCCTAAGGTATAACAAAACGTGTGCCGCGGTCCGAAACTGTCCTACCGGCTCTCCCCCGTCTGGTTGTGGGATCTTCCCCTCGCAACATGATCTGGTACGCGCGGGACACACAATGCCTCGCAAAAGGCACCAAAGCTGCCGGTCGTGGCATCGCGCACCTCTTCCTGTAGATCTTTCTCGTATCGTTTGCAGTAAGCTTCCTTAACGGCCGTCATGTAGGCGCTATCCCAGTGGTAACGTACGAGGCGCGAGATGAGCAGGACGCGACGCAGAGTATCACGCCTAGGTGCTATTAACGCATGGTTGAGTAGCATGGCGTCACGCAGCGGCTTGTTTATGACGCCGTCGAGGATGTGTGCCAGTACTGCTCCCTATTGTTGATCTGATCAGTTTCCCTTGACCGTAGCTTGAAAGGGGACTGGGAGGACTTACAACCAAATCCCCAGTCTTCTTTACCGCCTCCATTGCGAAGTTCACCCCCCCGAATGTCTGCGTATATAGCTTGAGCACCTCCCTTAGATGTCGGTCGCTTCGTTGTGTAACGATTGAGAGTATCAGGGTCTCCTTGTCCTCGTTGCTGTATAATATCTCATTCAGCCGCTCGACATCACGACGCACTAAATCATGGTCGACCTCCAGGACTCGTCCGGACGCGCTTATCTCTTCCATACGATTTCCATCCAGTACCAGGAGCACCGCGTTCTTGAGCTTCTTGAACTTAGCTTCTGTGAGCTCTGCACGTACGCGCCCCGTCAGACTATCGCCATACTTCTTATCGCGAAACCCGTCGTTAATCAAACGAATCTCATTATTCGTTCGGCCCATCAACACCTCAATCAGTAGCTCGTGGCGCACTTTGTCGTTATGGTACCAGATATTTACCCAGTACGCCTCCGACTCCCACCGCCCCAGTGCCGTGGCGTAGCATGCCTTCATGAGGTTTTCGTCCTCGGGCTGAAGACGTTGGCGTATGTGCTTCGCGATGTTCACACCCTTCTGTTCAGCTCCTACCCTCACCAGTAGTTTGTACTCACGCCGCAGCTCCATTATCTGCTCGTGCGTCAGCCCGGGGAGGATATCAATCAGCGGTTCCGTGTCGGGCCGGCGACTGTTGTCTTTCAACGCCGTGGCGAGACGAACGGCGATGTCTGTAGTGTCGAGGGCCCGATTAGCACTCATTGACGATCATAGTTTCACTAGTGATTGGGTAATGATATAAAGATAGGTTCAAGTAACGCGATGATGCAGAGATGTGCATTCCCGCCTGCACAAAACGATTAGGTACCTTACCTTCCATTTTCGAAGGAGGGCTATCGGAGGAAACTTGCGAGGAATCTTCCTCGCCGCGGTACGGCTCCCACGGAACTAATTACGAGTGTTTTTCAGTTATGAGCAAGGCGGGTCGCTGAGAGATCTTGGTACGTGAACAAACCAACTCACCATCAGGGTTTTGGTCTTGGAAGACCAGGTCTGACGCTTCTCCTAGCTCGTTAGAGTCGCGGCTCTCTTGCGAGTTAGAAGACCATGAGTCATCAGCGCTGGCTGGATCTGAGGCAATGTCAAAGTAATTGACGCCATCCAAGAAGTCGTCCGGGCATGCCCCCAAGTATTCTCGCTCCCCCTCCTCCGGAATTGGCCAAGGGAGCGACTGGAGTGAGAATGAATGAACATGTTCGGCAGCGTGCTCCAGAATAGCATCGGGCTCGACTTCTTCGTCGTCAGGTCGCGGTGGGCAGAGGGGACAGGTGAGGAGGGACGGCGGCGATGTGTAGGTCGACATAGACACGAAGATGGGAATTTGATTTTCCTCGACGACGTCCCCGTGCTGAGTTCGGAGATGCGTATCAAAGTGGCTCTCGAGGTCAAATCGGGTCGGCTCAAGGCAGGCGGAGCACAACCAGTACTTGGATACTTCGTGGTCTTCCCGCATGTGCTGTGCCCATTCTTTGCGTGTGAGGTATAATTGCAGGGGTTTTGGGCACTCGTTCAAGATGCAAGTATAGGGGTGGATATCTTCGCCAAGATGTTTCCTGGGAACAAAGATTGCATATTGTCAGTAGAAATACTACTTATATGGGGACCAATTGTCACTACTTGAATGTTTTGTCCTTACCTCCACCGGGAACGTTTTGCGAATGTGACAGGGAGTGTTTGAAAGCAGCAGGGGCACCGGAAGAACATGGCACCCTCGCTGATCTTTGGGGGTTTGGGGTACACAGTTTTCGAACTTGTCGACGACGGAGCAGTCGCGGATAACTGTCTACCTTCGTGTGGTAGCTGGATTGGGCCTTGTATGGCTGTCGGGACGGTGCTGGTGATGACTGAAGGCGCTGACAGTTGCATATTTGGTTCATCGACCTCGTCCCCCGAGACCAAGGCGGGGCGCGACGCCAGTGGCGTTTGGGCCTGACTTGACGGCGTCTTGTGCTCTGATGCTCGCCTTGGCTCTGCAACGGTCTCGTGCTCGGCTGCTTGTTTCGTCCAACGTCGTCGGGCATAGAGATAACGGTGGCGCCTGAGCAAATTAGCCACGATCAACCGCTGTGCAATGTCTGTAATATTTCGAGACAGCACGAGGTGGATGTTTCCCCTTTGCTTTTGATCTTGCTCCAAAGATGCAGCTAGAACCAGGAATTCCAAGTGACTCTTGAGTTGTACATGGCGCTCAGGACTGAATGAGTCGTCAGCCCTTTCGAAGCGTGCCCGCAAGCCCGCTCCGCGGATGGCAACTGAGATTTTGACCAGCTGGGCCATGATGTCTTGGACATTTTCAAGCATTTGTGAGAGCTCTGTCTCCTCATCTCCGTCTCCGGGCGTCTCTGATGCTTCCAGACAGTTACTTACTCGCCCGTAGACTCATCCAAAGGGCTACCCTACCTAGGCTTTGACAGCGTGCGAGTAGGCTCTCAAGGAGACTGAGAAGGTTAAGGATAACCTCGCGCACCGTATGTTTGTCGGCCAGTCTCTGGTCCAAGGATGCACGCTTCTTGGCTAAGGCGCCGGAGTCGGAGGCCCAAAGATTAAAGTCAGCGAGCCGTTTCCGGGACCATTCGTCGGCCATCAAAGCTGGTTTGTCGATACATTCTCTAAGACGTTGGCGACATACTGACGTCGCTTCGAATATCGACCTGCCGTCCCCTAGTTCCTCCATGGCTATATCAGAGTCAACGTGGAGATCGGGATCAAGCAAGCAAGAAGATTCTTCCTCGTCTGCAGGGTCAGAAGGAGCGCACCCGCTGCATGAGCACCCCCGCACGCCTACCTGCTAAGCCACAGCAAAGCCACCAAGTACCTCAGGAGGGAGTTATTGGTGGCTTGCAACACGAACCCCTCCCTCATTCGGGCCGTCCTTGACCAAGACACCAAGGCTCCAACTTTTACTCGGCATCACCGGCATCACTTTATCTCGACCCGCGGTTCGATCCTATCTTCTACGCCAGCTCCTCCATCCCATACAGTTGCAATCAACGAAAATGACTCGGATGCAATGACAACCCCCACCCCGAGGATGCCCATACAGCCATGAATAACCGCTATCGCCCGGTGCAGCTCGCCCAGCATACATTCCCCTGGCTATCGGTCCAGGTCACCAGAGTCGCTAGCCAAAAGGTAGACCCCAAGTTGGGCAAACTGGGAGGGCATCTCTGCATTTTCGCAGAAAGATTACCTCATCTTTCAGACTCACAAAAACGCCGGCTTGAACATCATGGCACCATTCGGCGCCTCCTCACCAAACTTGAGACCGCTCTCTCGGCCTCCTCCAACCCCACCAAGATACGGCATGGCCTAATCAGCTTGCCGTTTGGAGGGCATCTAGACTTTCCTCTCCTAACAAATATCGCGATAGCAATGGAGGATGCGAATGATGGCGGACATAAAGGCGTACGAGCCCTCCCGCTCATCGAGCCCATCATAAGGAATGCTCTATTGAAGGGCAACATCGACTACGCGGGCATTTTTTCGACGTTCGTGGAGGTTTCCGAGATTGGACAGGAGGACAATGGCGAGGTTGATGAGGCCCTGGTCCCCCAGTCGCCTTCAGGCAAGGACGACTTCGCGGGCTATGAGAGGTATGCCAAAGCATTATACAAAGTCCTGGTGCGGTATGGCTCTTGCAATTGCGACCGCCAGGATCAGAACGACCGGCACTGGGCTCGGCTCAGACTGAAGCCGCTATACCAGGCAAATGAGAACAACCAGATACCTTTCGACATGTTGTTCTCGGCTTCGCCAAACCCACCTCGTACCGTCCGGTTCGAGTGGCAGCATGTTCGCGTCTTCGTTCCCACCAGCAAGTCACGGCGGAAAGTCCAGTGGGCACAACAACTGGCACCCGCACACGAGGCAGATCAACCCGACGGGACAGACAACGAGGCTTATGAACGCATCGAAACGTTATGCACCCTCATCGCGAGCCGGTGTGGCTCACTCTTGTGCTTCAAAGCAGCCGGTGATCACCTGATGGTCCTCCGCGGGGCGACCGACCTCGTGAGCCAACATAACGTCAAACACGATACCTCTCCGGGTCTCCATCTCGGACAAGTGCTCGACCGGTTCAACATGCGGCACGGAATGCGACCAGTGCTCGCATACATTCTGGCAAAGGCTGCCTGGTATTACTACGACTCTGAGTGGACGAGCATGGGCGTAAGCAATGACTGTGTGTATTTCATGGGCGAGACGCTCGAAGATGAAGTCGTCTACTTCTGTAAGCCATATCTTTCAGCTCAGCTACCACCCCAGGGCAGCCAAATGGCCGAATGCCGCCAGGTTGTCGGCATGATTCACAGGTACCCACGGATTCTCGCTCTCGGCGTCATGCTAGTCGAGATCGCAACTGGCCAGCGGTTCGAGATGGAGGGACGTCCCGATCAGTGGGACCCAAAGACAGCCAACCAACAGCTTTTGACCCTCCAGAAACACCTAAACAATGGCGAGTTTCATGAAGACTGCAGGTTTCCGCGCTACAAAGCGGCGGTAAACAAGTGTCTGGACCCGATGCTCTTCCGAAACGCCCCGTTCAACCCCAAGAAGCCCACCGAAAACCTGGAGCAGAGGCGGTCAATACTCTACAACGAAATCGTGGATCCGTTGCGTCAGTTGATAGAAGGAACAGGGTGGGATGATGAACTCGACGATATCGAACAGACAGCCCTGGTTCCGAAGCCCAGGGCAAAGACAGGATTGAAACCCCCCGCACACTTTATAGTGTCCGAAATGGCAGCCCCAGCGGCCCCAGCGGTCCCAAAGGGGGACCCATGGCTCGAGGAGATTACTGTTCTGAACAAAATGCTCAAAGCAGAAAGGAGAAAAGCATCAACAAGGAATACTCCTTTTAAGGTCGCTATTCTCGATACAGGATACGACGACAGCTCACCCACGTTCGATATTCCTGGTCGTTCGAGGAAGGTCAAAGGATGGAAAGACTTTGTGTCCTGCTCTCCCCATCCCGTCGATACGGACGGCCACGGGACCCATCTCCTCACACTTCTTCTGCAGCTGGAGTGCCCGGCAAATATCTACGTCGCGCGCGTAACGGAGAGCAGCAAGACGCTGAATTCAGCCGAACGCAACATCGCTGAGGCGATCCGAATGGCTGCATTAGAATGGGATGTCGACTTCGTCTCTCTATCGTTCGGCTTCCCCAGACACATTCAAGGGATCAGGGAGGCCATAGCAGATGCAGTTTACGCCAAGCGGGGCGCTATCACCTTCTTCGCGGCCGCTAACAACGATGGGTTCAACAGGAGAGAGATGTTCCCGGCCAACCTAGGGGAATCCGTCATTTCGGTCCGGGGGACCAACAGGACCGGCAGCTTCGAGCCCAAATACAACCCACCCACCAGTTCAGACGAGCCCGTCTTTGGCACGCTCGGTGTCGACGTCCTATCAGATTGGCCCGGGTTTGAAACTGGGAAACTCATGTCTGGTTGTTCAGTTGCAACACCCATCGCCGTTGCAATCGCCGTTATGCTCCTTGAATATGCGGTAGCGAGACCTCGGGAGTTCGATCCGGACGATCTGAAACTTATACGCACCCGCCGGGGGGTTTTTGAGATGTTTAAGGGTTAGTCAACGTCATGTTCTCCCACGCCCCTGAACTTCGAGTGTCTAACAAAACCGGCATACAGAGATTAGCGTTCACGCGGGAGACCATCGGCATTATGTCGCACCGTTCAATCTCTTCCGGCTGAGCGAGGATGTAAGATTGGCAAAGATGAAGACGGCACTTGGGAGACATCCAGAAAGGTGGTAGACTACCTAGGACGGGACAGGAGATTTCGTTGAGATGGCCAGAACGAGTTAGAAACAGGCGGAAAATACCGAAACCCCTTTACCTTGCACTTTCTACTCCATCTCATCATCCATGCTAAGAACCACCACCTCGCCCTCCTCACTTTCCACGACAACCTTCTTGACACTCTCCTCCTCCTCATCATCCTCAATACCCATATCCTCAACCCCTACCTCCGTAACCTCAATCGTATCCTCGGAACTCTCCCCATCATCATCCTCATCACCAAGCATCCTCTCCCTATCCCTCCCCCTAAACTCAGCCAACTCCAACTCCCCGCCCCGCCACCCCCTCCTTTTAACCACCACCACCCGATACGCAATCACCACCTCCCCCTCGACCGCATACGCCTCCCCGTCCCCCCTCTCCCTCCCAACCCCGACCTCGGCCCCCAACCCCAACCCCGGCACCGCCGCCGCAAGCGGCACATCCCCGCCCAGCGTCCCGCCCCTTTTCACTCCGCTCTCGCTCGCCACCGTGAACCCCTCCGCCGTCTTGATGCCCGTGATCAGGAACAGCCTCCCCCCACCCGCCACCGCCGCACCGCGGCCAAAAAGGATGCGTTTCGCCCGCGGCGTGGCCATGACCAGGTCGTGGATGGCGGCCTCGTCGGCCGGGGTGGTGGGCTCGCAAACGCGGGTTGTGACGCGCGCGGCGGAGTAGGTGGTGGTGTTGGAGAGGGAGAACTCGGAGGCGGCTTTGAGGCCGGCGAGTTCGAGGAGGTGGGCCGAGAGGGAGAGGGAGGTGGTGCGGGTGGCGGTGTGGGTGATGGAGAGGTTGGTTTGGGTGGTGGTGGTGATTTGGAGATTGGGGGGGGTGGGATGATGGGGATGCTTGGCTGGGGAGGACGGCGAGGGGTCGGTGTGGGGTGAAGGCGTCGGATAGGAGGTTGCCGAGGCGGATGGAGGAGTTGGGGGTGTAGTCGAAGGTGGGCGGGAGGATGTAGGTCTTTGGCGGCGGCATGGTGGTTGGTTATATGGAAAAGAGTGCTCCCAGCCTCGCGTGGGTCCGGTCTCGAGAGAACAGGTTTAGGTAACTGATGAGTACCTAACTCCTCGGGATAGGTTGAGCAGCCGTCTGCGGCCGGGAAGTTCTCTGACGACTATGAGCTAGGTGCTTGATTTCACCACTGAGGGTTGGTGATGGTATGAGCGGTTTGGACACGCGAGGCTTTCTCTTCTCAGGCCTCGTTGCCGAGCGGAGACTGGGGAGAGATCGTTCGGAGAGGGGAAGCGCTAACGCATAGCTGCCTGAGGCTGGTAAAACCAAGACGCACATAAGGTACCGAAGGAAAGTAATTACCGCTGAGGCGAGTAGGCTACCTCACCTAGGTAAGGTAATCATAGCCCAAACCAAGCTCATCTAACTCTGTTTCCCTAACATGGATGGAAGACATGTTTCAGGCAACGTAGGTACTCCGGGAACGCGGTTCATAACCTAGCTTATAACACAAGCCATTTGACTATCATCGCCGTCATCATGCCACCCACTAACATGACATATATGATAACCTCGGCCCAAAACCTAGCTCCATCCACCAAGCCCTGTGAAAAAGAGGCACAAGACCGAACTACTCATTTGAATGGCCTCCACTGAATCGGCTGCCCGGGCGCCCCCGGGGGTCCCGGCGGGGCCCGGTTCAGTCCCTTATGCATCAGCCTAACCAATTCCTCAACCGGAGTCCAAGTCGTGTGTGGCACCTTAAACGGGACTTTGTGCCCTTCGTTACGCATACAGACCCCGTCGATGTACTCGACCAGCAACAGGCGGATACGGCGTTCGTGTTGGACCCCGCAGTGGCCGATGGGCAGTGAAAGGGTCCAGGAGCCGTAGTATTTGGGGGCGAAGGCTCCCATCTGCCCCGTCTTTTGGCGGCGGACGTAGGCGGCCGCTTCGGTGCTGTAGTCGGAGTCGGCCTCGAGGGCGGTGGCGACGGGCTGTTCCGGAGGGTTCTGGTTTTCGGACGAGTAGTAGAGCGGATCAAAGATCTTGGCCACGGCCTGGAAGGGTTTGCCGTGTCCGTCTTGCGGAGTGACGGTGCAGAGGACGACCTGCGGTCCCCACCCGTCTTTCATGACTATGGGCCGGTCAAGTATGAGTGTTGCCTTTGTCGGCTCCCTGGGGGCTGCGCCATCCGTGTCATTATCCAAGTTGGCTTCCAGAGGTGGCGATGTGACGGTGACCTCGGTCTGCGTCAAGGTTTTGGGGTGCTCGTCTGACGTGTCGCAGGGTGGCTTGATCGGCAGGCCCGACGGTTGAGGGGGGATGTGCTCCGTGATGGTAACGGTGAGGGCGCACGCGTATGGCAACACTGGCCGCTCCGGGCCCTCGGGCGGACTCCAAGGGAAGTCGGACAACGACGACATGGGCGGGAATGAGCGATCAAGTCGGTAGGGGTGTTGACTCGGAGGGAAAGCAAAGAAGTACAAAAGAAAATGAAACAAGACGCGAGCAACGAGCCGAGCGCTTTCTGAACACCGCGTATTGGTGCGTTTAGGTAACGCTGGAATTGTTCAAGGTGGTGTCTTTCGGTTTTGATCCGGGACGCGCGATGGTCCAATATGATGCTCGAAGGCTCAGCTTGATGCCAACGAACGAGAACTGCCTGACGAATGTGAAAACGCCAAGGACACCCCCCGCGCTGTTGGTGCCCAGTCGTGAAAGCGGCAACCAACAAACATTCCACTCAACAAATGAGGGGCGCAGGGTCACAGCTATTAAGCGGGGTATTATAGCGATCTATCAACTAACGTAGCAAGAAACTGACAGCTGAGATGGACTTCAGCATTACAGTACCTAGGGTATGTACCACCGCAATCCCAGAATCTAACATCCCAACTCTTACCCCGTATTACAAACATCCTAGCATCAAACACGCCCCATCAACATAACACCGCCAACCTGAACCTCCGCCTCAACCCTACCTACCTAGTCAATAACCACAACCTCCTCCTCCGCCTTCCTCTTCACCCCCCTACCACCACCAGCCATCTCAACACCACTCTGCCTCAAAAACACCCCCAGAACCTCCCCAACCCCCTCGCCATCCCCACCCAAAACCATCCCCAACACCCCCCCTTCCCCAAGCACCCGCATCCACCCCATCGCAATCCCCACCCTCTCCTCCCACGCCGCCTTCTCCCTCTCCGCCATCGTGCCCACCTTGGTAACCACCAACGCGCCACAAGCCCCTCCCCGCTCCTCCTCGCGCCTGACCGAGCGGGCCGCCTCGCACGCGTCCAGCTTGTAGCCCATGTGCCTGCGGCGCTTCTCGCCCAGGGCGAAGCGGCCGACGCGCTGGTGGGGCGAGGCCAGGAAGGCGTTGAGCGGGGCGCAGTCGCCGCAGGAGCACCTGGTCGGGGGCAGGGCGAGGGAGGGGTTGGCGGGGGGTCGGTCGCCGACGGACCGGGTCAGGTAGGAGGTGAGGAGGGTGGCGGTGAGGGTTTTGTATTGGTGCGGGGAGGGGGTGCCAATGGCGGTGGCGGGGTCGTGGAGGAGTTTGCGGAGGAAGGGGAGCCAGAAGGGTTGGTATTCGGCGCGGGGGATGGACGGGGCTTGGGCGGTGATCTTTTGGCTGAGGAGGGTCAGGAGGTCGTGCCAGGAGTGGGTGAGGATGGTGTTGGTGAATGCAGCGAGCTTGCTGGGATCGAGGGTGAGCGTGCGCTGTGCTGGGGTGAGGGTGGCTGGTGTGCTGGAGTAATAGGGTCGCGGTTGTTCAGCGACAAGAGCGGCTTGAGTACGGAGCTTGCTGATATCCAGGGAGGCGATCACAGACTCGCTAATCCGCTTGAGGATGGCTAGGCTCTCGGCTTGGGGAAACCCTTCTTTTGAAACCCAGGAAGTCAGGGTTGGCAGGGCACCCAAAACGAAAGTCGTGTTGGTGGGGGTTGACGCCTCGAGGACCGGGAGGACACTACGAGGGTCAACGTCAGTACGGAGTGTAGAAAAGCAGGGGGCCGTAAACGAATCTGTGCATACCGTGTCTTGAATAAGTCATAACCTTGCGGATAGTCCACCATGCTCATAATACCCAGGCCGTCAGATTCTTGAAGAAGCCGGTTGTTAAAAACGACCTCCAGCGCTTTGATGGACTGGCTCGCCAGCTCGGCGGTCAACGCCTCCAAATCCTCGTTGCGTTCCTCCCCAGGTGGGCGTAGAAATTGTGAGCAGTTTCCCCGGTGTTCCAAGTCACCCACTAAAATGCTGTCGAGTATACTGCAAGCCGTCAGTCTAGAGGTAATGGGTGATGCGATAGCGCATATGGGACACACCTCTTTTTGATTTTGCTCAGCGCGATTTGGCCTGCAAGAGCCCTAGTCTTAACCAGGCCGAAGATGGCAGGGCTCACTGCCGTGGTATGAACCAGCCCAAGGACATCGTTGAACAAGTCGTACTCGCAGCAGACCACAGCCGCCCTCAGTACCTCGAGAACGGTAGTCCTATCGGGCTTGTCATACGCCGAGGGATTGGGCTTCCATGTCTGCTTCGCCAATTGGCGCATGGTCTCGGCGACAGACTGCCGTCGAGTTGGTTCGGCCCCGGGAACCAGATGTTTCTCCGCGTACTGGCGTAGCATGACCTGGGCGCTCTGTGAGTTCAGGTTCTGGGTCAGGAACCTATCGGTCGAGCTGCGCGGGACGACTACCACGACCTAGGTGTGCTATTATTAGCGTCTCTTGCTATTACCACATTTCGTGCGTGGCTGGAGAGCTAGAAAACAGCTTACGGTAGTGCGGTAGAAGTGGGTTGCGGTCGGTCCCTGTAGCGTGTAGAATCCGTCAGCGAGCATCCTCCAATCAAACACGACGTGGTAGACGCACCGAGTTGCCCGTGAAGCCTTCGTACTCTTCGTTTCGACTGTTGACACCCTCGAACGGATCACCCGCCGGGATCAAGTTTTCCTCCAGGTCGTCTTCGTCAATCTTCATTTCGGAACGGAGCAAAGCCCCATCCAGGTCGACGAGCTTCTTGATACAGAGGGAGGTCTCGTAAACGTCGTCGAGTTCGTGCCAGCTCAAACCATCATCATCACTCTCATCGGAGTCTTCACCCCAATACTTCTTCTTCTTCGTCTTCCACGCGTGCTCAACGCCGCCCTGTTCGGACTTCTCAAGCACGGCAAGGAAGACATCAAAGTCGAGTTTGGTGGAAATATCACGCAAGCACTGCACCCGGGAAAGGTCAGTCGTTTTAAGGGCACGGAGGGCGATGCTGGCTTCGGTGTACTCGTGCTCCAGCAGGTAGTAGAAGTGGGGTATATCTTTGCCTGTGGCGTCCTCCCAGTTGTGCGGGGCGAGATGCTCGATCCAACTGGCGAGAGACTGCTGGAGCTTGCCAACTTGGGGTTGAAGCAAGGCGGCAGACGGTCGCTCGAGGTCCGGCGACATGGCGAGGTTGTAGGTCAGGACCCATCGGTAGCCGGACTCAACGGGCAGGACCTCGTGGTGAACGTCCGAGTACCAGCACAGGACGGATGGCTGGGCCGCCGAGGTCTTGTAGGTCGTCTTCTGGCCAGCATGGCGCAGAACTATGGCGCCGCCCGTGTGGTGTGACGGAAGGCAGATGACGAGGGTGCCGAACATGCCGGGGATTTTCTCGGTGCTGGTAGCGTGTCAGCATCGTAGGTTCGTTCACGTGGTGCTGGATGGTGTCGCTTACTCGGTATGGGCTTTGAAGAGGGCCCCCTTCTCGTAGATGAGCATCTTGTACGGGTCGGCAATGATCGGGGATGTGATGCCCAGTTCGCTTTTCACGAAGCCAATGCACTTCTCCATTGTCCTCGCCCAGCTGTCACTGTAGAATCTAAACTGCGAAGCGTCCAACTCCCATGTGTTGCGCACCGACGTGTCGACAATGGTTTCGCTGCCCTTTCCGAAAGGGGCCTGGCGGCACTGGGAAATCAACTGACGGGCCTGCTCTTCCTGCAATGGCACGCCAATGCTTCCGACACCGTCGACGTACAACCCAAGCTGGTCAGCAAAGTCGGTTCTCTGCAAAGCACCAAAGCCCGCGAATGACCCCTGATGCTTGATGTCGTCGAGGTCTCTAAGAATGCCGTCGAGCTTGGCTTCGAGCGCAGTTTCCCAGGCACCGTCTAGGACAGGTCGGTTCGGCTTGCCGTTTGCGACCGCATTCGGTGCTGGTCTTACCAGCAGGTCCCTGACGTCCATGTTGACAATCCGTCACGGGAACCGTGGGGATGGAGAGTCTGGTAGTTAATTTTTTTCGAAGCGAAGTTCCAAAATATTCCTAAGAAGGTGTGAGGTTCCAGCGCAGTCGATGGAAAAAGAAGGGTCTCGCCGCTCTCTGACGGGTTGTGTAACGTGTTTGTTTGTCGCTTTTTCTTTATCGCTCTTTTCTGCTATTTAACAACAACTCAAATCTGGAAAGCGGTGAGGCACGAAGAAGTTATCTTTAAGTGGGATCATCTGCTTTCCATCCTGGTCCTTGCCCAAGCTCGGGCCATTTGGTTCCTTCCTCCCCCGACCGACACAGTGCCTAAATGAATGCCAATGTTAGTTTTTGTAGGTCAAGAAGGAGAGAAGGTAGGTACGAGTTGACAACTTACAGAGTGCTTGCTATAAGCAACCTTGAATAGCCCTAAGCGGGTCGGGTGTCGTCGAGTTAGACAGCTGCGCCCTCTCGTTGGCGGCTTTAGCGACTTGCGCTGGTTCGATTACAGCGTCTCATTTCCAAACAAACCCTGGAACGTGAATTATCGGGCACCTTGTCTCCTCGCGCCGTCTTTTCAGCTCGTCAACACCATCCCGCATACTTTTATCGAGTAGTCTTCCTTGGTTCGATAAAGTCGCCACGCGCTGGTTTCCGAACCAGGTGAAGCTGGTCTTATTCAAGTCTCCAGCACTGCAATCCATGGACTGAAAGGGGATGGACAGCCCCTTGACTCAGCCCCTTGACCTCAACCCCTTCACTTCAATTCCGTTGCCGACTCGGCATCCACCCCCAGCGGACGGCCATATCCAGACTCCCGGAATCGCCCATCCATTCCCCTGGGAAACGTCTAGAGCGCACCAGCCCTTCCTCCGCGCAGGCTGCACGGGGAAAGGAGCCTCGGAGCCAGTCAAGGTTGCATTTATCCGCCCGAGCGCCCGTGATAATATCCTCGAATTTATTGCTCCTGTTACCCCGGATCGGGTAAAAGCAACCCCAGATCCACCGTCCCGGCGCAATCTCCGTGCCAGGGAATCCAGTGCCGTCCCGGCGGAGACACCATTGGAGCGCGAACCCTTACCAGATGATCAGTCCCATTCGTTGGGCAATCAGGGGTGATGCATTACCGGCGAGCTGTGGCGAGTCACTCTGCTCACCAGCCGAGACCTCAAGTGCCCCGTGTCTTGGAAAGCGACTTTCCCTCTGCAGCCAATGGCGCTGGAATGCCCCGGCAGGGAGTGTGGGAGATTCTTACTCATACGTAGTTTGGGCCAACTTCACTTCCTCACTTCGCACAACCGCCACACGGGACCGACATTTCCGACCCTGGCCGCCGCTGACCGATTCTTGTATCGAACCTGGCAGGAGAGATTACCAGTACCTCCGTTCCTCGAGTGGGCTCCCCAATCCCCTTGCGCCGGCATGTGGTAGCGGGGCGTTGCGGGTGCCTGTTTGGAGGTAATTGTCGATCATCTGTGGGACCCTTCGTGGATCACTGCTATTGGAATGCGGAGCAACGGCGGTCGGGAAGGATGCGGTACTTTATACCTTTCGGGCTTGCCCCTCTCGTCTGTCCAGGAACACCAACCCCTCTCACATTCTGAAGTCCATCATGCTGGCGACCACGGCATAGCTGCCATGGGAACCCAGTTTGCGGACTTACACAACATTAAATATCGATTGCCCTGAGCCGCGGATCCCTGGTGGCTGACCATGGTAGGCAACGCCGTGTTATGGTTCCTAGTTCTTGTTGCAGCATGTCATGGTTCCATACTCCCAAGGTTACCGCCAGTCTCCGATGAACACAAAGGCCATCCGGAAAATGGTCCCGGGGGTGGTGCTGGGCCACCGCGGAAGCCGGGCTATGTTCGGATGCCCGTGTCGAGGCATAAGTTCAATGGGACCGGAATAGGGCCGGGCGGGAAACCGCCGCCGCCGCCGCCGCCGCCGCCACCACGAGCCTCGGGGCCCGCAGGACACGGCTCGCCTCATGGGCAGACCGGATCAGCGGACCAGCAAAGAGATTCTAGCCGGCCAAGGACAACAACCAAACTCCCGCCGATGCAGCGGGATCCTTCGTCCTCGGAGTCCCAGCCACTTGCGCCCCGCCAAACCACGAACAGCAGACGATGGGGATGGTCGAGTCTGGAGGAGTTAGGGGGAATAGCTTACATTATTCAATGTGGGTAATCCCTCTGACTCTATGTTTATGGTGGAAACTAACACTCACGGAGTGGAAATCGGGACACCGCCCCAGAAAATAAAGGTGTTCATTGACACGGGCTCCTACGAACTTTGGGTGAACCCGAGATGCGAGACCTCAGCCTCCGAATCAATTTGTCAAAGCCACGGCAACTACTACCCAGACGAGTCCTCCTCGTCCATGTATGTAGGCGGGAATTTCGCCGTCACATATGGAACAGGAGCCGTCAGGGGGAGCTACTGGTCCGATAGGATGACCGTAGCAAGTAAGCATCCCCGGGTACCACGTTTTAGGTCAACGCCTGACGACGAGCAGTGCTCGAGATTCCCCAGGTTCAGTTCGCTGTTGCAGATGACAGCAACTACACCTTCTCAGGGATCCTGGGACTTGGATATGCTTACCCGTATTCCATCAACTACCCCAGCGTCCTGAGTCTGATGGTCTCGCAAGACATGATCTCGGCCCCCATTTTTGGCTTGGGGTTAGGGGGTGACCAAGACAACTTCAGTGCGTAATGCCTTAGCTGCATGTATCTCTTCTGGCTGACTGTAGTCTGATAGGCGAGATCATATTCGGTGGCGTAAACAGGTGGAAGTTTGCCGGGCCACTGGAACCAGTTTACATCTGGCCGCCCATCTCACAACAAGATCCGAGATGGATTCAGTACGTCATCCAAGCCATCGCCCTCACGATCTCTCATAGTAAGAAAAAGGCCTTGGCATCTAACACGTCCTAGATATTGGGTCAATGTGACCTCAGTCGGCATGACCAAGCCTAGGGAGCAAGCCGTGATCTACACGCACCGCGACACCTTCACCATGCCAACGCTCCTCGACACAGGATCGACGCTTTCCTACATCCGCGAGGACCTGGTCGCCCAGATCGGCCAGCAGTTCGACGCCACCATCGACAGCGGAGGCAACTACATTGTTGACTGCGCCTGGCGCGACGAACCGGGTACCGTCGACTTTGGGTTCAACAGAGGTAGAATGGTCATCAACGTGCGCTACAAGGACTTTATTTATCAGCAATATCCGGGACACTGCATGCTCGGTGTGCAGCCCGCGGATGCGGGATCGACGCATTATGTTTTGGGGGACACATTTATTAGGGGCGCTTATTGTGAGTTTTCCCACCACACGTTGCTTCGATGGATCTGCAAGTGGCTAGAGTGTTGAGGATGGCTAATGAATGAGTAGTGGTTTTTGATCAGCAGTCGGATATCGTCTGGATGAATCAGTATTACAACTGTGGTGATGGGGTGGTGACGGTCGGGGAGGTCAAGGGGGATACGGGGTCCATCGTCGGCGCATGTTAGTGGTGGCCTAGGTATGAGGGCCACCCAGGTTGATGGAGTAACACACAGGAGGTCAATTCTGATTTCACGGCGTTCATACTCAAGAAAAGGGCACGGGGGCTAAATGATACAAGACCATACAATCTCACGAACCGACCCACTGCATCTCAACAAACTCTCTACATCATTTCGACATGCCCCCCTCTTATAGCTCCCTACCCCTGATATCCTCCCCGACCGGCCCCTCTCTCGTCCAGATATTCATCCCCACCTTCCCACCAGTCACAACCGGCAATCCAGCATGCAGCGTCCTCTCATCGCCGCGCCCATTCTCATCCAGATTCACCCAAAACACCGCATTCCCCTCCACCGGCCGAAACGTCAGCCCCCTCTCCCACGGCTCGTCACAATCCACAATCCCCCCCGCACACCACTTCTCATCCGCCGGCGCATCCAAGCGCGGGAAATTCGTCCCACCACCGGTAGTCCCCGGCTCGACACGAACATACGCAAAGATGGAGCTAGCGCGGTTCCCGCCGACAGCAGCCGAAGCGTGCGCGGCCGAGGGGAACCAGTCGGTGTGGAAGTGGTAGTGCTCCGTCGGCGCGTACTTGACCAGCTGCAGCGGCTCGAGGTGCGCCCGGGGTACGTCGTGGCCCTGGAAGGCGAGCGCGCGCGACTCGATGCAGGCTACCACGGCGTCGGTGGGGGGTAAGGTGGTGGATTGGGAGGTGCGCAGGGCGGCTTTGCCATCCGAGTTGGACGTGATGCCGCTGCGGGTGAATGTGGTTTTGCTGAAAGGGTTGTCAGTGGCGAGGGAGGGGTCGGTCAAGGGTCAGGTGTGGGAGGACGAACCCGAGATCTAGCAAGTGAGCGCGCTCTGAGGGCGTGATAAAGTCTTGAAGGTAGATCACGAGGGGTGACTTAGAAACGATGAGAGGCTTATATGGCGGGTGTTCGCAGACGTAGTCGTCGCTAACTAAGGGAACTTGTTGCCCATGATTTGAGGAGGCCAGGCTCAAGCCCGAGAGAGCGCCAAGCGCTGTGAACAGTGACCGTATTGAAGGCATTGTCTGATGAGTGACGAGTTCGTGAGAAGAGATTCCGCAACTCTCGGTCCAAGACATCTACCTTAACTATCCTCACATTTGTGCCGGCAACCCGAACGCTCGAGCCATGATGACGAGCGATTCTGATGATGAAACAAACGTGCTGCGGCGTTCGTGAGAAGAATTCAGGGGTTGCGCTGTTTCAACGCCAAGATCTGCGCCCCTGATTGCCACCCTGCGTTGGACCCTGTCTCTTGTCTGACCTCACTCATGGCCTCAAATATGATGGAATCTCCTCTTTCTGGTCATAACTCACTTACATTGACAGTTTTGCCTGCATCTTCTCTTATCCCTCAGTCCATCAACATGAAGTTCAACTTGAATCACCTCGCACCGTTTCTCCTGGCGTCAAACACCCTCGCTTGGAACCACGTTGCTGGGTCGGAATTGGCGAAACGAATCGCCAATGGCCAAACATTGATTGCATGTGAGTGCCGAATCGTTGAAAATTCTACAAGGTACAGCTGTTGACCATTCATAGATGTTCTCGTACGTCATGTAGTACTCCACCTACAACCTCGAACTTGAAGTCTTATATTAACATCCGAGCCCATTCTAGCCAGATGAGTACGTGACTTAACTTGGAAGTCTTCCATCCGTGTCGTCAATCAACTTACTAGCAACAGGAAGGGCAGCCAAGCGCTTGAACAGGAATGGATGACAATCCAGGAGACAGTAGGAAATACTGATGTTGTCAGTGTTGATTGTTCAGCCGAGGCAGAGCTCTGCGACCGAGATGGGGTCTCCTCATTTCCCGCTATCCGCCTCCGTCAGGCCGATGGAGGGCATATTCGATACCGTGGGCCACGAAAAGCAGCATCCATTCAAGGCTTCCTCCGGAGAACAAGTCGCCCCGCGGTCTCATATGTGACCGATCAGAACAGAACTGCTGTTGAGTCTATCGACGACCTTGTCTTTGTCGGCCAACTCATTTCCCGCGATAAGACCCTACAACGGCAGTTTGAAACAGTTGCGAAGATATATCGCGACCGCTACTCCTTTGCGATAACCAAAGCACATCAAGTACCCGAACTCTGTTGCTACAACAACCTCGATGGAGTACACGCCTCAACAACAGTGCTCAACGCCCCCGCGTCTTTTGAGTCTTTCATCAAAGAGTGTGCAGAGCCTCTAATACCACAGATGACGAGGCAAAACGAACTATCCTTCTACCAAGTGAGTACTGTGAACAGAACCCCTATCCACATGCTAACATGATGGGTAGACTCGGAAAAGCATTGTCCATTATTTTGTCCGCAGTGAGAAGGAGAGGGAAGAATATGTGACGGAAATGCGACCTCTGGCGAACAAGTACAAGGAGTATCTCCACTTTGTCACGATCGACGCAGACGAGTACGCCGATGCGGCTGAGATCCTGGGAATCAAACGCGGATCTAAGGGATTGACCGTGCAAAATCCCAATAACGGCGACGTATTCCCTTACAGAAGGAAGGAGAAGGTTAGCGCTGGGGCCATGGAGATTTTTCTCATGGATATCATCAACGGAAAGATAGAAGCGTGGCGACCGGGTTCAGGGCATGATGAATTGTAAAGTACAATCAGGAAATGGATGAACGTACTCCAATTAGAGACAAAGACCTTCGGTATGTGACTGATACTCAAGTAAGGAAACTCTCACGGACAGCTCTCACCCCCAACTTACATCCCAGCATCACCACATCTCCATCCCCAACATCAGCCTCTCGCCGCAGAAACAGCCGGCATCCTCCCTCGTCCCCCCTCCCCCTCCCCAACCGTAACCGCCCCCTCCACCCAATCCACACACCACCTCGCCAGCCTCCCCCTCTTCACATTCGCCGTCCACTCCCTCCCCACCACGCCAGCATACACCCCCCCAACCTCCCTATCCACGCGCCACTCCATCTCCTCCGCACCCCCAACCAACCCAGGCACCCTCATCAACACCCAATCCACCCCCTCCAACAACCCGCCCACCTCCCCCTTAAACACCCCCGCAATACCCACCATCGCCCGATACGCCGCCGGCATCACCACCCTCACCAAGCCACGAAACCCCGCCCGCGTCCAGTTCGACTCGTCGTCGGGCGCCGCATACGAGATGGTGCACAGCGCCAGGATGCGCGCGACGCCGTGGTCGCGCATGGCGGGCAGGATGTGGTCGGCGTAGTGGGCCGGGTAGGGCAGGGGCGGGCCGAAGGGGGAGGTCAGGGTGGTGAGCAGGGCGGAGGGGGTCGGGCCGAGGAGGGAGATGATTGTGCTTGGGTTTGTGCGGGCGAGGGTTTGTGGGAGGAGGGGGGATTCGATGTCGCCCGTGGTTATCTTGGGGAGGGGGGAGGGGGGTGTTAGTAGGGTCATTGGTTGGTGTTGGGTCAAGTTGGGGGTGGTGGGCGAGGTGCGTTAAGGGGTTATGAGAGGGGAAGGTTGGGGGAACAACGGTGGCTCACCTCAAGGAGCGGGTTCGATTTCAGGTCGTCTGGGATCTTGTCTGGGCTTCGGACGTAGGCGATGGTGCGGTGGTTGCGGTGCAGCAGCTCGCGGACCACACAAATGCCTGAGGGGCCGGTTGCACCCAGGACGAGGACGGCGTCTCCTGCCATAGCTGGTTTGTTTCGAATGGGGTTAGAATAAATGGCAAGTTTACTGTTTGTGAGGTCAGTGATTGCGATCCGGTGTTATATTATTATTTATATATTTGTCAGGGCCGGCGAAATGCTGCCCGAGACAACAATGTAATGTCTCCGACCAGACCCGTGACGACTCAAAAAGGTTGCCGTGCTGACCGACCACGTCCATGAAAAGCCGATCTCACATCATCAGTAAGGCTTCGAGCCTCGTCATGGTTTTCATCATGGATGGTTCTAGTAAATTTCCAACAATTGAGGTCAGAGCCAAGGTTAATGTGGTAGAATTGTCATGAACGTCGTTAACAATTAAGTTCGTAACTAGGTACCTAAGTACGGTGGTATCACCCATGCCACATCACTTTTCGTAGGAGGATGCCCCATCCCTCCAATACAAAACCACCGAGATAGACAAAAAACATTATCAAAAATATAAAGATCCGATATTCGTGGCCAAGTAGGTTGCGGCATCGTCCCGGAAATCATCCTTGAGGTACCCGTTCCTGTTACCGAAGAAGTTGATGAGCTTGCGGTCCTTGCCAGTCCATTGGGGCCAGTCTTCGGCAATCTTGCTCTTGCTACTGGTGCCGCCGGCCGCGTTGTTGGGGTCCTGATTGTAGACAAAGTTGGCGTAGTAACTCTGGATGCTCTTGCTGGCGTAGTTGGGCAGGATACCGTAAAACACCTGAAGGATATCGCTGCCGTGGAAAGTGCCCATGATCGGAGTGCCTTGGTTGTAGCTGGCCAAGTACGACCATGCGGGGACATCCGGATTGATCTTGGTGGCTTGCTCGAGGAAAATGCGGCGCGTCAGGGTGAACACGACATCGCCTAGCAAAGCGGCGAGCCTCTTGAAGCCCGGGTAGATTTCGTTGAGGACACCGCTGCGGAAGGGGGATCCGTCCCAGATCCACGGAGAGTACCGGTCGACGAGGCCCTCGATCTGCGCCTTGGTGGCGCGGTGGAAGTAGAGATCGCCGAGGTAGCTGACAAGCTTGGAGCTGGACGTGATGTTGGGCTGGAACAGGGCGAAGAGCGTGCCCTCATCTTCTTGGTCGCCAACGATCATAGGAACGGCAGCGTATTTACCCTCTGCTACCAGGGCATCCGTGCTCTTGGTGAGAACCTTGCCGTCGGGCCGGGGAAGATACGAGAGAGCAACCGAGTTGTACGACAGAATGGCCGGGACGGAGTTGGCAGCGGCGAGGAACTTATCATAAGGCGCCTCGCGGAGACAAGCCAAAGTGTCCTCGGCTCCGCCACAACCGGCCTTGTCGACAACCTGGTCGTAGATGGCCTGTCCCTTGGGACAATCGACTGGGTCGGCCGGGACGATGCTACCGGAGTTCATGATGGCGCCGTGGAAGAGAGGCTTGCCCTTGTACGTGTTGTCGCCATCATAGAGGGCCATTTGGTCAAGAACGGAGATCGCACCGGCCGACTCGCCCCAAATGGTGACCTTGTCCGGGTCGCCGCCGAAAGCAGCAATGTTGTCGGCAACCCACTCGAGGCCCATGCGTTGGTCGAGGAGGCCGAGGTTAGCAGAGCCATCAGCGAGAACCTCCTTGCCTGGCATGAACCCGAAACCAGCGACACGGTAATTGATGGCCACAAAGACGTAGGGCTTGCCCATGTTAATGGCATTGGTGACAAGCGGGCCTCCGTCATACATGGAGCTCCAGCCGAGCTAACAACCAGTCAGTCACCGGGATGAAATAAAACACCGGGCGTACGTAGTAGGGCTCACCTCAAAGCCGCCTCCAAAAATCCAAAACAACACAGGCAGCTTGTCGCCTGCCTTGGTGCCCTGCGGCCGGAAGACATTGACTGTCAAGCAATCCTCACTGATCTTAAGCGCCTTCTGGAAAAAGGGCAAGTTCGTGATGGTGCCTATGACCTTGGATAGGAACTCGTTCGAGTCCGAATCGGCCAAAAACTGCGGACAAGCCGGGGCGATCCCGCTGGCATCGAAAACACCAAGAGATGAGTCATGCCTCACGGGAGGCTTGAGTCTTAGCGGGCCAACGGGGGCTTTGGCAAACGGGATGCCGTTAAAGGCCTCGGTGGTCAGACGGTTCACGCCGACGATGGAGCCCGCAGAGACGGTGACGGTCGGAGCAGCCCTCTTTTCAATGACGTTGGTGGGCGGCTCCGGAGGTGCTGCAGCGGCCTGGCCCATAAGGGCGGCGGTGACGAAGGCGACGATGCCCTTCATGGTGTTTGTAGGCGCCCAGGCGACAGGGACACAACGCCGAGAAGACGGAGGGGCCAGGAAGGAACGAAGAATCAAGGTTCGCTGGCTGAGCCTCGCCGTCACCTTGAAGGAAGGGGCAGGGTGCCTCATATAGTGTTTTCATGGCTTCCCATTGTAATCCACATTGTAAACCTTGAAGCGTCCCCACGAACGCCGAGAAAGAAGCGTACTTGGCAACGCCAGTACGACACTCAACCCCACCAGGGCGGACTCGGCGGAATCCTGAAAGCTCCGCCGCACCGGGGCAGCTGACCAGGCCACATCGTGGAGGGGATGGACGGGATAGGCAAGAATCCTAGGGAAGCGCGTGGTGGTACCCTCTTGCGGCACGACTTGCGAGGCCTTGGCGATCTCTGCGGTGGCATTCCTCGCGCCTCCCGCGTGAAGAAACTGGGGGTGTCCCGCCGGCGTCATCTCGAGACCCGTTTTCCCCGTGGGGAAGAGGGCGCTTGCGATCCTTGGAAACTGTTTGCTATCCTGAGAAGGGCAGGAGGGGCTCGCTGAGTGGTCCGCAGGTACCATAGGGCGCCACCGGTGTCTGTGAAAATGATCCAGGCATATGTTTTCCTTGATGAAAATGAACCTGAAAACTGAAAATGGAATTCGATTCAAAATAAACACACGTTCAATTTCAGTTAAAATAACTTTATAAATAAGATAATTTTTTATAAAAAAGATAATCTCTTATATATAAGAAAATATTAGATATTATTTTAAATATAAAATAGTTTTATATAAAATTAATTTTAAATATAATTTAATTTTTATATTTATTTATAAAATCTTATATCGATTTAGAAGATTAATTGCTTAACAATACTATACTATCTAGACTTTAAGGAAATAACTTTTAAAATTATCTTAAGGTTTGAAAATAATCTTCTATATAAATCTCTACAGAATATCATTTTAGGTTTCTGAAATGAACACGCGTTCATTTCGAATCTGAGAATGGATTTTGCCTGACAAAACAATTGCCAGGAGCATTTTCACAGACACCGGTGGCGCGCTATGGTAGCCAGTAGCAGGCCGATTTCAATGTAGCATTGGTCGTGTCACGCAGCTCAAACCCGGTCGACCACCTCTCGGCCAGCCTGTGCCGCCTCTTGCCACCTCTGCCGTGCTCAATGGCAAGGAGAAAAAGGCATGTGAAGAGAACTTTCTGTGCCTGGCGCTAGTTCCAAGCCTCGGCAACACAAACGGCGAGCAGGGCAGCCGTGCATTAGTGTAAAATAAATAAGCCGCTGCCCTGATCGGCAAGCGGTGATTGTCCACGCTCCCCCGCATCCCGAAGGTGTGGGCATGCGGCGATGAGGGGTTCGGGGGTTGAGCGGGACTGGGAGCCTGAGTGGGAAGCTGAGGGGTGGATGCCGGCATCGTCGGATCAAGCCAAAAGAAACAAAATAGAATCGAGGAAGGAAAGCTGAGAGCAGGGACAGGGACAAGGTCAGTCTCTGAAAATTCTGTTGGGAAAGTGTGCGCGTTGTCGGTGTGCGAGGTGGATCAGAATGCCAGACTTTGCAAGGACTCGGCTTGCAGATTGTGATCTCGATCGGCGGCGGTTCCCGACACATGGAAGTAATCATAATGCCAGCCATGAGATTGGGTAAGGCATCAATTCATGGTACCAGGACAGCCCACTCGGGCTCGCAGAGCGCAAGTTCATGAACCTGACAACCCCAGAGACCCACAAAGCTGCCTCTGGGGAAAGAGCAGGGAATGTGGGGTTGGGTGGGGGTGGAGTGAGGTGCAGTGCAGTTTGTGGGGGAGTCGGGGTCCGCTTCCCCTTTTGGGAGTTGAGGCCCGACGGGATTTGTCGGCGCTGCTTGGCTCAAGCCTTCATTTTTTTTTGTCTACACCTCATCACCTCACATCACTCGCAAACTAGCGCATCTAATCATCTGCAAAGACGGCCACCGAATGTGCTAGTGTGGCACGCGGATGGATCCGAAGGGACCGAGGCCAGCCTCCCAATTCAAAAGAACTACGTCCAACAACCCCCCTCCTTGCACATATCAACTGACCAGTGACGACCTCGATCTTCACCGCTGATTTTGTCGTTTGTGGGCACCATGGAGGCGCACGAATCAGCCAATCTGGACCGGGCCCTTGGCGCTCTCCGAGGGACAACCCGACGGAGAGGCGGCCCATCCCGTTAAACTCTCTGGTAGTTATTATCGGCCACAGCTCGCCGGCCCCAGCCTCACAGCCATAGATGCTTTACGACACCCCAGAGATTGGGGCCGCCGGACGGTCACTCATCCTGTCTACTTTCAGTTAGCAAACTTGTACGCTTGCCAAGCATCTCGTGGTTCGAACTATTGCAGCCCATCCTGAGGTTCCCCAACAACCTGCAACCCAAGCCACCTAGTGTAAAGCAGCGGCATACTACTCTCCGTCGACCCCCCGCTTCCTCTCTCGGCTTGTAACCTCACTATTTCCCCTCAGTAGTAATGGAAAGCTCCCCAGCATGTGAAGGAGGTTGATACGGCGCCCATGCCGGTCTGAAATTGATCTCTGCATTGGCCCCAACGAACTGCTGCCCTACGCCCCCCCGCAACCACACAAGACGCGAAGAGCCTTGACGCTCGAGACCTCTTCCAATTCCGTAGAATACGCGTAATGAACGGTTTGGCCCCGTTTAAATTTGCTTACCGCTCATTGTCTCGTTCGCCGCGTCTGGTGTAGTTGACAGTTGATATCCAGTGCCGCCGTTCAAATTGAGTACCTACCTAGGTAATCAAGGTAACCCCCCCCCCTCCGCCCCCGTCCCCCGTGACTCAACTGCATGTCAGAATGGATGCAAAAGAAAATGTAGCCTCAAATGGATGTCCCTCCAGAAACATGTGGAAGTCGAACTTAATTCTTAGGCCCTGAGTTAATTAAAAAACATCGTTAGAGTCATGCTAACACTTTTTAAGCCAGGCTAGTTCTCTAATATCTTACGATAGTGTCGAGCAACTAGAAAACTCCCCGCAGGTCTGGAGGGTTTGGCCCGTGATGCAGTATCACATGGAGCGTATGAGGGCATTGAAGCCTCGGGATTACGGGCGACTGAGTCCTTTTCGATGGTCTGGGAGCGGGCAGCTTCGGGGTAAGCGGGAATCGGTCACCGAAAGGGGCAATGTTGTCCAGCAAGCCCCAATAGTCACCAAGGCTATGCATACGTGGAATATCATATGTTATTCCCTTCCCCTGGCTCGACTAGGCCGATTTGAGGTTCAAGAGGTATCTCAGGATTCCAGTCGTTAGGGTCACGTTAAACCCACATATGATTTAAAGTTTTGGAAAGTGACTTCTCGTACAAGAACAATACGTTTAGGATATCATCGAAAGAGTCAAAAGTCTAGGAGCGAGTTTTTTAGTGTCGAAACATGGCGTTTTGGTTTCCATCATCGTGGCATGGCTCAACACCATTCCCGCTTTCGCCGAGAGCGATTCTAACGGTTGTACTTTGGTTAATATTGTGTTGGGGTATGCCACGCGTCGCAACCAGATCACTCGGGACATCAACATACGCAGGCAAGGATATTTTAAAATACCTATCGAAGATAAAAACAATGCACAAACTTTATCAGCCATTGCTGGCATTCGGCCCAAGGCCAGGTGTAACCACAAGCCAACCCAACCAGCGCCTCATCCGTGTGATGCATCCTGATGACCATACCCATGATGGTGATAGCTCCCATTTCGGCAGCCATAAACCCTCAGCAATGATTCCCCTTCAAAACACCTTTACCCAGCCAGCCCTCCAAGGGGCCTTGTACCATACCATGTATCATTTCCCATACCCTGACCGTGTTGTCGTGCCCTCATACCGAACTCATCAATCTCTTACCGCGAAGTCAAGTCACGGAAGACAACAAAACAGAGCAGATCCCAAATCATTCTCGTCATACCATCCATGAACTCCGAGGTCCGTGCTCAGCACACTTCCAGAGTGCTACTATTGACCCGCCGTGTCGTCCTCCGCCTCTTAGTGGCAGGACTGAGCACTGGCCGGTCGTCCGGGCTGCTGGGCGGCTCCTCCTCGAAGCTGCTGTTCAACACCTGCGACAGCGGCTCCCTGTCCGTGCGCCTCCGCTTGAGGCTGACGGGGTGGTAAACTGGTCTCTGCTGCGGCTCCAGCAGTGGGTCCCAAAGGCCGATGTGGTTGGGGTCGTCGTAGATGGAGTCCCCAGCGATCTCCCGGCCGAGAGCCTTGGAGAGGCGTTCCTTCAGACCGAGGATGGGCCAGAAGCTCACTGGCGTGTACGAGATGTCCAGGCCGGCGCCCAGCTCCTTCGCGGTCTGCCCCTTGGGTGCCTTGGCGGGGGACATGAAGCGGTCCAAAAACGTCGCCGTGATGGTCGCGGTGTAGACGGCGAAGTTGGGGTTGTTGTCGTTGCCCTCGTCATGGGTGATGACTTGCACCTTGACGTCCTGGAACGACGGCGGCGCGATGCGGACTGACTTTCGGCTGCCTTGAGAGCTGGACTGGGACGAGGACCGCGATGACGATTCGTGGTAGAAGTGCGCCTGCGCCATAGCTAGGAGGATGGCAATGATGTAAGGGTCGTGGTCGGCATTTGCTGGGACCAACATTTTGGATCGAAGCCGTTGCAGGCTGCTGACGGCCTCGTTGGTCTTGCCCTCAGGCCCACGAAGCACCCCGTAGAGATTTTGGCGAATGGCAGCAAGCTGGGACTTGTTGATGTAGGCGAGCATAGGCATTCCAGGATCGCGACTGCTCTTTGGTGTTCCGTTGAATGATGTCGAGGGTAATGTCGGGCAGGAATCGAAGGATGTGTCGACACTGCTCGGGCTCTTCCACACGCATGGGATACGAACGACTTTCCTGAAGACGCGATGGCCGAAGTACAGGTTCAGCTCGGCGCCAGTCTTGGCGCGGGACAATGTCGCAGGGAATAGGGTCGACAGGATATGCTTCATGGCGCGGACCTTGCAGAAGGCCCTGGCCGGTGTCGCGTTCTCCCGGACGAGGGTGTGCAACTCCGAAGTCAATGTCTGCGCCATCTTGGACGGCTCAAGCCACACCCCGTGGACGAGATCCGGTACGGGCTTGACGACGGCGGAGCGCTTGAGGAAGCGCGCCCCAAGCAGGCGGGTATGTTGGTCGGTCCAGCAGATGGGGACGACGTAGAGGGAAGTGCCGGCATGGTCATGCAGGATGTCGTACAGCGAGCCCGGCTCGGCCCGCGTAATGCGACGTCTGCATGGTCGCCTCGTTGTGGGCGCGGGGTGGTTCTGCGTGCCGGTCTTGGTGGGTTGACCGCGCTCCGGCGAGCCAGCCTTGTCGCGTGAAGCCGGCATTTGGACGATGGCGCGCAGCTGACCGAGAAAGTTACTGCTGAACAAGGATCTGAGGTCAGGGTGAGTCGCGTATTAGCGGAGGAGGTTCGTGCAGGTGGATATCGAATTGGCGATCCGTGTCGACTTGATTTTAAGTGAGGTCATGAAGATGCGACCAGGCGACTTACTCAATTGTGAGCATCGAAGAGGAAGGCTGATCGGTCGCCTTACTGGGGGGGGTGGGGTGTGTTAACACCCGCTTGTCGCGATTTGGCCCCGCAAACACAAGAATGACGTTAAATAGGAATTGCTTGGAATGTAAATCGCAAACAGGAGCAGTGGTCGCTCAAAAACAAAGCAGATGCTCCCAGAACCAATATTCGTGGGATACACAGTGTTTCAACCGCCAAAATGACGGTATTTCGGTTGAACAGTTGTTGTGCGCGCGAAAATGTCTCCCCAAATGGTTTGGGAAGGGCTGGGCAGAAATGCGTGGGTTTAAGAGAGCGGACGCGGCCAGCGGGGGGCAGCCAAGACCCCCTCACATTCTGCGCCGTCCTGCCTGTGGTGTGGCAACGGAAATGCACCAACAATCTGGACCCCTGGCTTTGCGCGTCTGGGCCGCGAAATCCCGTGACACTCGCCCCATTCGGCTAGGCACCGACGTGTTCAACTCTTGGTGTCTGAGCTCCATCGGGAACCCGCATTCACTTTGTTGGCACCGTCTGCAGCCCTTGTCTCGGACAATCCGATTCCACAAGAGCACAAGAGATTTTCACTCCACCGCTCTCGAACCCGCGAATCCGGATGACCTCAACTATCAGAGATATTTGAGAGGAAGTCGAGGAATGGTGCCAGAAGTGTTTCGCAAGGATCACGGCGCGGTGTCATGAGACTCCAGGATTATTTTAGCCGCCCATAAGCAGGCCAATGAAACATTGGATGTTGGTCCCCACCCTTCTTCAGATGGTGTGGCCAGAGTGTGGCTGCCTGTGATGACACATTCGGGTCTTCACAAAAGGCTCCGGCCTGCCAAGACCCTCAGCCACAGTGTAAGACGTCAGGCTTGATTGGTAGCAGCCTGCGTGTGCGCCCGCCCCAAGCAACCCCGCAAGGCTGCGATCGAGCTTCCGAGTGCTGAGCACAAGACATCCCACCTCAACGGCCCCTCCAACCACAACCCAGGCAAGGAGCTTCTGAAAGGCGCGTGCTGCCCACGATGCCGGTGAGTCGTATCCCTAACACCTCCAGCTTGGAACTGCTACTCTATCCAGCGTTCCAATTCCCCGGTTTTTTGTTCTTGCTGACCCGACCCGCTCAATCAACCTTCACAGGCCTACAACTCCGTATTCAACACCGCCGAACCGGCCCCACGGCTGGTCGGCAACTTCCCGCTCTTTCCCCTGCGGACCAAGATCCGGGGCCCCGTGTACCCGCTGCCCTTCCCGGACCCGCCGCTGCCGGCGGACGAGTCTCCCGATCCGAACTCGGAGAGCTACGATATCCTAGACGAGGTGCTCGCCCTCTTCCGAGCCAACACCTTCTTCAGGAACTTTGAGATTCAAGGCCCCGCCGACCGTCTTCTCGTCTATGGCATCTGGTTCGTTTCCGACTGCCTGACCAAGATCAAGCCGACCGCCAACCTGCGCGATGCGACCAAGGACGTGACGAACCTGGCGTTGGACCTGAACTTTGCGCTTCCCGGGGACCCTGCATGGCCTTTGAATCAAGTATGGCGCCCTACGACGGTCAGCTTCGGAAAAGGATGAACAGGTTGCTGACGGCGTGGATGATGTGTAGATGTATGAGCCGCCCCGCGACAGGCAAGACGCAGAGATCCTCCGGCAGTACATGTCCCAGGTCAGGCAGGAGCTGGCGACGAGGTTATTGGCGAGGGTATACGACGAGGGTGACGCCAAGCCGAGCAAGTGGTGGTTGAGCTTCACAAAGCGGAAGTTTATGGGCAAGGGACTTTGAGGCGGGAGACTGGTCGACGCTAAAACAATCACACAATTGCATGGATAGAACGCGGGCAGGGCGCAGAGTGGAAATGCTCGCAATGATATGGAGAGGGACGCATGCCTCCTTTATACATGGTATCTTGTGGCGTCGTGCAACCGTGGTGCTTAACCACTCTCCCACCCCGTGAAATACGTACCCTCGCTACTAGTCTCTCATGCCGGAGCCGGAGTGGCCGCCTCCGAATCAACCGAGTCGACCTTTCTCCGCTTAAACTTCCCCTTTGCAGCCACTTTGCCCTCTGCGGGTTTCGCCCGCCACGCCGTAAACACATACCCATCCGCGCCGCCTCGTTCCGTCATGAGCGGATGTGTCCTGCCGGGGAGCACCTGCCACCGGCGGGCGCGGCTCGTCTGGATCGACACGCCCTGAAGCAACGTAGGGTTGAGCGGAAACCGTTCGTTACCCTCCCACCGTTCCAGCTCTTCGTTCGACATACCATCGGTCTCAGCCACGCTTCCGCTGACCCAAGCCGTTCGGCGGGGTACGCTGAAGCAGTCGGCCAGCGCGGCGAGGGACTCCACAGAGGGCGAGTAGATCGCCACCGGGGCGCCCCCGGCGAGGAGAGGCAGGGTGTGGCGGAGAATGCTAATGGGGTCCATGGTGCTCGCGCAGACGAGACCGGAAAAGTTGCCCGTCCGGGTGCTGTCGACCACGTGCCGGATCCGGGCGTACCTCCTCCGCTTGCGGTGAAAGTTACCCCTGCGACTTGGCTTCCATGACGCCAGGACCTCGGGCGATGCGGTGAGCGGCGGTGTGGAGTACGACGTGTCGAGTTCCGGCTTCAGGAGCTGCAGCCAGGAGAGATTGAGTAGATGGTTGAGCAAGGGATGCGGCGGGTGGTTGGGGGACGTGATGTCGAAGCCCCAATAATTGAGGAGCGAGAGGTTCGGTTGGCTGGCTGAGTGGATAACTGTGATGGTGTTGGTTTGAGAATACGGGATCGCGAAGTCGGAGGGGCGGGGCTTTTGTTGCTTCGGTTTGCCGTCATTTTGTCGCTTCAACGAGTTCGTCGGCCCATCTACCATTTCCGTGTCGCTATCCTTCTGTGTCGTTTCGGGTACGATAAGTTCGCTGGTCCGAGTCTCTTGGTGCTTTTCCAGGCCAGCGGGCGTCTGCGCTGTCGTTGTCCCGTTCTGCCCTTCCGCCTTCTCCATCTCGGGGTCCTCGCCGTCATAAAGCACACCCATCCTTTCGGCCATCGCCGCTACCAACAGCCCGCAGGTATCATCCACCACAAGCCACCTCCCTCGCAAGAGATCCTCGTCCACGGGAAGACATGCCTCATCCCCTGCAGCGGTGGGGGCCTTCGGGTCCGGAAGCAGAACATCATCGCCCCCGAAGTGCACATTTCCCCAGCTCCCGACGAGCCCAATCATCTCGGCCCTTAGGTCCAGTATCTTGCTTGCATCCCTCTCCTCCAGCTGCCAGTGCGCAAGGTTGGCGACATCAATCGGCAAGACCTGAAACCGCCGAATGTATTTTTTGGTTTTCAGTAGCTTGTATTTGGCCAAACTGAAGCTCGTCTTTTGATCGAGCGCCGTATGGGAAAGCAGCAGCTTCGCGATAACATCCTTGCCGGCGTTGTTGCCCTCCCTCTTCAGCTCCTCGATCTCGTCTTGCGTGAGGGTCTGCCGCGCATTCTCATCGAGGACCTCGTGATTCGAGCGCGCAATGACATTGCCCTTCTCGTCGACCAAGCTGAACTCCTCTCCGTCTGTGGTAGATATTACGGTATCGTTTGCACCGGCCGCGGGCGTGGCGCAACCGGGTGCGGCTTCTTCGGCAAAGACATCGGCGTGGAGCTCGTTGGTAGTGACGACTCGGAGACGCGAGAAGCTCTCGTCCGGCAGCTTGTCTAGTAGCTCAAAGGTGAGGTGGTATGGGCGTCCGATAACTAGATTGGACGGGAAAGCGCCGTATTTCCCCAGCGATATTGTCCTGGGCCAGAGATGCTCCGTTAACGTGCGATTCAAGGGCGATGCAAATTTACGCGCAACAGACCTGGGTATACTTACGTATTGGGGGCAATCTGAAGAACCTTTGTGCTTCCTGACGGGAGCTTTAGCGCGACCCAGGCGTTGGGCCGTATGAGGGAATGCATCTTTGCGACGTTGCGACAAGGTGGATAGTTGCTTCCGGTCTTGAATCGCAGTCCAAAAAAAATCGGTTCGATCTCCAAGCGCAGTCCAGGCGCTGCGGGGCTCTCGGCGGGGTGCCGCAGCGTCTGGGGCGCGAACCTTGATGGGCGAGTGGACCAATTTTGGGACGGACCGAATGATGGATGGGGCGCAACGCTCGCTTTCGATTTTTCCTTTCGCTTTCTGTTCCGTTTAGTCCAACTCACTCTGACAAGTTGAAGGAGGACATGACTGGGAATATGTTTGTTACTAGGTGCAAAACTAATTGGCACATTTTATCCCAACGTGTAACGACGAACAATGGATGGTGGCATCGGACGATCACCAAACCATCATCATACAAACAACGCAGCTCTCGACCTACTCGCAGCAAAATCTTCGGAATCCAACACTGACCTTCCCGCCGCAAGTGCTGACCTGTTGCTCTTCCGGCCAGGCGCGAGGGCTGCAAAAAAGATCACGGACAGCCCGTCAGTGTGCTTGTCCGTGCGATGACTTGAACCTTCAATCATGGCTGATATCAAGGTTATCAGCTCTCACTCGGTGAGCTCCCCACGACGAGTAAGTGGGGCATAGCTTTGACCGGGCTGGACGGCCATATATGACCCGGGGAATCGTGCACGAAACAACTGCAAGAATCACGTTCACCAGCCCAGACGTAGACAGGAAGTGAACATGTACATAACGCCAATGCGCGATAACATCATTTCGCTAGCATCCACTATCTAGACTCGTTGGTACGGTACGGTACTGGACGAAGCACACCCCAAAGAATGGAAAAAGAGCAAACCACTGACCCATATCATTAACCCCGTCTGACGCCGTCCCGGTTATTCGCGTACCGATTGTCACGCATATGGGAACTGAAAATGAAGAGCAAGGAAAATCTGCAAAGAGATGCCGCGTAATATTCCCAATATCCCAAAGATGCCAATATCTGGACTTTCCCCTCATCAATCGGACCCCCGTTAATCACCAATGCTCATCCAGCCCCAGGTGCCGATGAAGCCGGCCAGGATCAACATGGTCAAGATGCCCGCACCGGCTCGGTCCGCCGTGGTGATAGGCTCAAGCGGCTCCGAGGCGCCACGACTGCGGCTGCCGGCGTTGATGTCACCCTTACTAATGCCTGTCGCGTTGGTAGCGGGGGGCGGGGCTTGGTCGATGAGCAGACTGGACACGGCGGCCAGGACGTTCATGGCCTCGCCGGCGCCGCTGGTATGGTCGACGGCCGGGTCGACGAAGACGCCTCCGCTCCAATAGAAGCCGCAGACGCGGCCGGTCGCACCCCCGGTGCACTGCTTGGCGGCCGCCTCGGCTGATTTCCGCAGCAAAGGCAGGATGATCTCGGCCGTATGTGGCGCAAGCTTGGTCGCGACCGACAGCCAGCGGTGGACGTAACCCTTGAAGGTCAACATGTCGGGCGTGCAACCCCTTCGGCGTTCGCAGGGCAGCTCGAAGGCGACGTCGTCGGGGAAGAAATCGCGAATCATGCCCTTCAGCAAGTTGTCGATGCGATCCTGCCAGATCGTACTGCCGTTCGTGTAGTTGAACATGAAGGCCGCCCCCTGCAGGAGCAGTCCAGCGTTGTAGCTGAACTGGGCCCTGTTGATGTCGGTGCAGTTATGCTCGACGTGACCGCCGTCGTACACGGCCCAGGTCTCATGGTCAATGTATTGCACATTCCACAGCCAGTTGAACGTCTTGTCGGCCCACTCGGCGTACGATGCGTTGGTGGTGTACCGTGCGAGGCGCGCGCCGAGATTGAAGAAGCAGGCGTTGGCGATGGTGTTCTTGTAGTTGTAGCCTGCGTTGGTGGGAGGTACCTGCCAGCGAAGGCCGCCGTTGCATGTGTTGTCGTGCCGTTCGGGGGATGCTTGGGTGTGGAAAACGCCCTGGGCTAGGGCGAGCCAATGCGGCTTGCCCTCGGGTGGGTTGGGGAACTTGTTCTCGGCGGCGAGCATAGCCGACATCCCCCAGAAACCTTGATCGTCGTTGCCCAGAGATGCCGTATGGTTGGGCGGCATATAATCGGCGTTGGGGCCAGTTTGGTGCAACATGCCTTCTTCGATGACATGGTTGTAGCTCTTGTCGCCGGTCAGGAACCAGTAGTCGATATATGTGCCCATCATAGCACCTCCCTCCCACCAGTAGTAGTCGCCCTTGTGCTCCGTCGGTGGACCTGGTAGAATGCCCGGGATTTCACCGGTTTGGTTTCCTTTGTAGAACAGCATCAGGTCGTAGGCGAGCGTCCGCGCGGACTGGCGAATTTCATCTGCGCTACCAGTCAGCCCCATATCTTGGATGGTTCTGGCATGACCTTCAAACAATACCAGGTGTGTTGATTGTGTAATATTGAGCATGTGCCATCGGTAGCAGGCTGCTCGCAGCGACAAGAGCGGCCAGCCATCGCGCTGGCCCTCTCGATGGCGATGATGGCGCCATCTTGTCCCGATTCTCAGTCTCGACAATCTCGAGTACGGCGGTTTGGCGAGAAACGAGCGGTAGGGATGGCGAAATAGGCTGGGAAAACTCGAAAAGGGGTCGTCGCGCAGTCGTCCCAGTTGTCCTCAGGACGGAGCCGGCGAAACGGATGGAAGTAGGCGAGCGAACGTGGGGTTCAAACGAGTGTGATGATCGCCAGCGCCATCGACGACGACAATGAGCAAGACGTTGTTATTCTCAAACACTCGGGAAGAGGAGAAGAAACATGGTTTCGGCAGGCGGATGGAGGGTGGCTCGAGCGTGGGTAGGGGCATGACGCGAAAGGAGCCCTCCCTGGCTGCTGTTAGGGTCTTGGTATTCTCGGTAGGCGCTTGGCTTTCTCGGCATCGGCGGGCGGTGCAGTCCTGGGCGACGTGTGACTGGCCGGCGTCTTTGTTGAGACGTCGTCTTGGCGACGGAAAGCGGGAAATGACCCATGTTCTGGCCTTCGAAGAACTTGGATCATGCACTGGGGGGTCGGGCTGGGCGAGACCATTGGGATGGATTTTTGTCAATCGCGACTGCACATCGCAAATTGGACGACGGACCTCTCGGTTGGGCGGGGCAGGGCAGTTTCGCTGACGTCGAACGACGAACGAGGGGGTTGCGTATTCCGCGGAGGATTCGACAAGATGGAATAGGTGATGGCGGGAGGCACCGGAATCGCATCGGTCACGCCCCGCGTCTGCATTAATTGAACTCTCAGGGTTTAATTGCCAGGGGAAAAAAGGGGAAATCTCCTTCGTACTGGCCGGATGCGGAAAACAGAGTCCCGAGCCCCACCAAAGAATCTGACAAGGGGGCAGCACCTCACTCTCAATTCTCAAATGAACGGGCCAAGGCTTTCTCTCCCATTTAATCTGTACGGTTCACTTCTTTGCGATTTACGGCGGAAGACCGATGATTACTACAAACCCAGCAGCAGACGACTTCCTACATCACAAGAGGAGGTTACCGGGAATGATGAATGAAGAAAATTAACAGCCGCCAACCGACTTGAGCGAACTTGAAACCGCCAACCCGATGATTGCCCAATTTGCCGCGCTCAATCAAAACTGAGCCACAGACGAATCTCTTTATAACCCGTTTTCTCGGCACGGAAGGCTCGGATAGTCATCTCGCTGTCAAGAGTTCGTATCGTGGTCACTGCCATATCGCCAAGCAAGCCCACATGGCATCAACAACGTCCACGTCTGGTGGAGGCACTGCAAAAGAACGATTGAGGGCCTCGTGGGACAAGCCCCAATTCAGTTCCCAAGTTCAGGTTGATTCTAACCAAGGAGCCAAGGTAACAACAAATATATCCACATCACCATCCACTTAGTTGTTCGCCGTCTTGTCGTTATAGTAGTGGATCTAGCAGGAGGTCACAAAACCACGTCAGCCAATACATTCAATGTCCCGCATGATTCAAGGAATCCTGCAAGGGAAAGAAACACCGCAGCGCCGCAACTCACCGTCTGATCGGAGCAACCCGAGGGCGTCTGGTAGCCGTACGCGCCCGTGTTGATGAACAGGGCCTGTTCAGCACACACCAGCCAGGCGCCGACGTTCTGGCGCTTGATGCTCGGGTCCGACCAGGTCAGGGTGTCGCCCTGCCAGGCGAAGGTGCCGAAGGTGCTCTTGGAGGTGTTGAAGGAGGTGGCCAGCGTGCGCGGCGGGTTGGCCTTGTCGGCCGGCTCCTCCACCCACATGTACAGCGGCGGGTCGGATACCTTGTTGACCAGCTGCCCGTCCTCGATGTTGAACTGCCCCGCCGTGGTGTGTGACTCGAGCAGCGCCGTCCCGGGGATGTTGGCCGGGATCGTCTGGAGGTACTTGTGGTAGTTGGGCGGTGCCACGGCGCGGATCCAGTAGGCACCGTCCTGGAGCGTCGTCGGCGAGGGTGTTGAGACCGGGTCGTCGGCCGCCACTACGGGCGAGGACAGGGCCGTGCCGAAGAGCGCTGCGATCAATACTGTCTTCATCGTGATGGTGTATGGGTCACGAAGTGTGAGTGGTGATGGGGATGAGCGATTACCGGTAGATCCCCGCCCAGCGGCTGATCGCGAAGCTTATGTGTTTGTTTCCGGGCCATCTCTCCTTGGCCCGCAGTGGGTCGACCGGAGCTTGACGATAGACGACTTCGGAACTCGAGGCCACAACGCCGGTAGAAGAGGGGCGTTGGTAATCTATTTTGATGCCAAACCGACGTCCCGGGGTGACATCTTCCACATCGCGCGGGACCCCAGATTCCGTCCTGCACGGGAGCTGTCCCCTGCGGATCTTAATTCCGCGACTTCTGCGGATTGGCCCAGAGCAAGATCCCGACAAGGTTCGCGCGCGTGGTTTGCATTGGTGGCCGGGTAAATGACGTCTCCATCATGCCGCGCACCCGGTTGAGATCAATCGCGCCGGCCTTGCGATGGTAATCGCCCGTTCGCCTTTGTATGGGGGATACATTCACGGTGACTCGGAGCAAGAGAGAGATGCAACAGGGACTGAGCGGTCGTTCACTTTGCAATAGTTAGCAGCCGTCAAGTGAACAAGCCCGGGCCTATCGAACGAAGCTTCGTCGGCGATCAACTATGTTCCTCAGGCACTATGAGCGGCGCCTATACCGATATCAAGAATCCATCGTTACTCAGTGACACCTCCTGTCCCCATGATGGTGAAGCCGAGCGTTCATAGCAACTAACACCCTGCCCCTGATCTATCGCCGATTCATTCCGATGTGATACTCAGCATACGGCCTCTGATGATCGACGTTGACTCGTAAACGGCCATGGCCGAGCCGTCACGCATATGCATGATACCCGGCCAGGAACTCATCTTTTCGCCTATAACCTGGGGTTCGCTCCAGCTGAGCGATCCGTCAGCGGTCAGCATACCGAATATAGCCTTGATGTTGGCTCCCGACGGCCAGGTGGGGTCGTCCTCGTCGTCTTCGTCCGTCATGAACACGACCGCCACCGAGCCATCGGCAAATGCTGTGATCTGAGGTGCCCCAGCGTTCCGCCCCTCCTTTGGCACATACACTGGCTGCCGCGAGCCGAATGTCTCGGCGTTATCGAAAGACAAAGCTGCCTCAATGGAAAAGGTGCCCAGGCGGGTTGTCTCCATGACCAGAACAAGTCCCTCCAGCTCGGCATCGCAGGATTTCACCGCCGCCACGCCAACCATGCCGTCGCGGAGCGCTTCGCCCTCGCCCGTCACGCGTTGGGTGGCCGTCCAAGTCGCGCCGCCGTCGGTACTGCGCACGAGCATGGTATCCTGGTCGTCCGTATCCATTTCCTGCGAGAAGTACATGTGGATCTCGTCGTCGGTCATGCGGAGGAAGGGCTCCCAAAGGCCAAACGGGGCGGGCTTCTCGGCGGCCTGGGACAGGAAGGTCCAAGTCTGGCCGCCATCGGTGGATTGGCAGACGGTAATGCGGAAGTAGGTGTGGGCGCCGTCCTCACCGAGGTCGTGGTTTCGGAAAGCAGCCAGGATAGTGGGCGGGCCCGAGTCGGTGGAAGCGGGCAGCTCGAGTAGAAAGAGATTGTCGCAGTCACCGGAGGAGCGTGTTACTTCGCCGTGAGGCTCAAAGGTAACGGCCTCGTCGGTGCTGCGCTTGATGGTGAGAACGCGCTGGCCGTCAGGCTCGAAAGAGGTGAAGCCTGCAAGGATGGAACCATCTCCGAGGCGACACAGGCGGGGATAGGTGCTGGGCGTATCATGGATGGAGAGCTCATTCTCAGCGCATTCCAATCGACGAAGACCGATGTCCATGTTGTGCTTGGTGCTGGTGTGTATTTTGCAGGCGGTGGTTTTGTTGGGAGTCTGATGAGCGAAACGATGAGTGATTGCTGAGCGAGCATAAATGAGCGTAATGGAAATGGCGGCCAGCAAATAAAAAGCTTGGAGGAGACTCGAGAAAGAAACTGGGCTGTGGGTCGAGGGGTCTCGAGAACCCCCCCGAGCCCTTGTACATCGCATCGACGGGGAAAGAACGGCGGGAGTGTTGCAGGAAGGAACTGGTTTCATTCACGCGGAAACGCGCGTCGGACGGACAAGTAATGTGTAAAGTGGGGAGGAGTGTGACACAGTTCCACAGCGATGACGATTCCTTGCACTTGTGTTGCTCACAATCATAACACAATTGCACAAGTGGAAATTAGATCACGACCGTGACCCAGAAGGCCGTTGAATCGAGAGAACACAACCGTCTAGTAAACTAATAAACAAGCCGAATCATGGTTGTATATTCTCCTGCCAACTCGACTCCACCAGCGTGACCCCCCCCCCCCCCCCTCTCCCTCCCGGGCCATATGCTATACTATCTGACTACGCGGAATCATGGGTCGAACCAAACGACATAGGAACCAGAGTGAGTTTCGCCGAGACGCGAGGGAAAGCCTTGCGGACTTCGGCTTGCATCACCTCTAGCAGGATCTCCATTGGTGTATACAGGGTGATGGCTGAGATATCCACCGCGCATTGGTCCTGGTAGGTCGGGATACCTTCCTCGAGTTTGATCATCCCTCCCCAGAGCATGCCGAGCATGTCAGCTTTGCCATCATGGATCACGGCACCCGAGTCGCCAAAGGCGGCAAAACAGTCGTCTGGTGTTTCGTTGAGGACGACAGCCGTTTGTGACTCGTGGGAGGAATAGTGGCCATAAAGACGCGGACGCGCATAGCGGGTGCTAGCGTTTACAGGAGGAAGGTTGCCGCAAGTAGTTCCGGTAGTCGAGCTAGTTTTGAAGACCTTCTTCTCCGCACCAGGTTTCTCGGCATTGTGACCACGGGCAGCCAAGAACTCACAGGCCGAGCGACAAGGAGCCTAAGTAGGGTTACTCAATGACAAGATCAAAAAGAGGGTCGTAGCTGGTAGTGGTACTGACGTTGAAAGAGGGTTTGAATCCTTCGGGGAAGAGAGCCGGATCCAACGAGATCAGAGCGAAGTCAACTATGTGACTGCTGGCAAAAATGCGGCCTGAACCGGACGTAAGAGTGACGATGCCAAACCGGCAGTCGTAACCTTCAATACGGTTGATAACCTGCATATCGGCCTCGAGGGTTTCAGGAACTAATCCGGCTTCTATTAATACCGAAGTCTTTAGCTCTCGTACGTCGGAGGCAGGGGACTGGATCCAACTTGAACTTTTGCCGAGGGTTTGATCGGTTCGGCCAGGTCTGAATAGGATGTTAAAATTGATAATGGTACTCAATGGATTTGCGGGGGGGGGGGGAGGCGGATAACTGAACGCACCGTAGCAAGCATGGTGACATGTGACGGCCAGAGATATTCGGTACCGTGTTCGGGAGTCTCGAACTTCACCTAAAAGCCGAGAGTCCCAGACGAGTCGGCCAATGGGTTACCAATGCTCGCGCCTGGGTAAGGTTGCTTGGGAAAGTAGTCCTCCTCGAGGGATTCAATCCGACTGTAGAGGGCAAGGCTGCCTTCGACAACCTCGACCGCAAAGAAGGGATCAATGCCGAGTCTGGTGGAGGCAGGTTAACGACAACGGGTTCGCGTGGGAATTGGGCCTGCGAGGCTCGCAAGGGGGAGGCCTTACCGCTGCTGGATGGCAAATACTCCGTTAACAATGGCCTTAGCTCGCTCAACTAGGGTAGAGTTTGGCTCGAGGACGATCAGCACGGTGGGTTGGACCGACCGGGGAACGTGCGAGTTATGGACCCCGAATATAGAAACGAATGTCCAGTTGTCGCCTGCCTGTTTGAGGAGGTTGTGGACTAACTCCCGGAGGCGGTCGACATGCTCGGCGCCGGGAAGGTTAGCAGGGAAAGGTTGCAAGGACCGCGTTTCGCGTGTGGGGGGGGGGGGATGATCCTGAGAAGGAGGCGGCGGAATGCCAGTAACAGCCAGTGCTCGAGCTAGGAACCCGTGGCGGTGGGAACCACATTCGGTACGGGGAAAGCTAATTGTAGGAGCATCCATGATGTGTCGCTGCTGTGGGGTTTGTCCGCCCAGGGCAAGAGGGTAGCGGTAAGAAGTCAAGTCGCCGCAGAGGCTAACGCAAGAGCGGCGTGGCTGCTCAGCAGTGCGGCTTTTTCGTCGGTGGTAATTGTTTGTTTTGCCCACCACATTGAATCACGAGATTTACACGGTGTACTTGGGTAGTTGCGCTTTACCATACGGGAGTAATATATAAGATAAAACAATGTAACATGACTAGGCTTAGAAGCTCTATTTCCCGCAGCGAATGTATATTCGCGCTTATGGTCAGGTATGTAGGTAGTTTGAAGTCCTGTAAACCTCAAGAGTCGGCGTATATTTCTTTATTGTTCTTGTCGGGTTATGGTCAATATTGCTCAGAATGGTCGCCATGCCTTCCGTCGTATCTGATACGCGTTGTTTGGGGTATTCATTTCCTACTTATAAATCCCAGCAGGATACACCGGGCTCGGCCAGCCTCAGGATTCTAGAGTACCCCCCGCATTAGCTCGTACACAAGCGCCTGGTGCCAGTCTACTTTCCATCCACAATATCTGAAACGGGGGGGGTCGAGATAGAGGATTTCACCCCGTAGGATAACTCTCCATAAGTAGCATATCGGCAGCGGTGAGGAAGCAGGTGAGGGAGTCGTGTCCTGGTGTAGTGGTGTTGATGGGGTCCACCACTTGGTTTCCCCGCTGAAAGCGCGTAGGTTGGCCGCAGCGTGTTGACTTGTTTCCCGACTTGTTTCTGACTTTCTCAGGGGACGGGCAGGCCGGTCGGGGCGACATTCCGCATCGGCCATCGTATTACAAGGCTGGCCCATTCCAGCTCTCTCTCCTCAACCTCCCAAACCACGCCTGCTTATGGGGGAACGTAATCTCCTTCTCCTTTGTAAACCCAGCGTACTCGAGATGTTGGATGAACCTGTTCGGCTCGTCAGCATATTCCTGGCTGCCGTCACAACCATGGACGACACAAGGCTCACCTCGCATTATCCACCCTCGGCTCGAGGCAGATACTCATAGTCCGGTAATCGGCACAAAACATCCAATGCACCAACCCAGTCAACCAGCTTTGTACGCGGCCCCTGGCCCACTCCTCGCCGATCAGCACATGACACCCGCGGTCCCAGTCGTCGATTTCGGAGGATCCGGCATACCGGCCGAGGAGGTCCTCTTTCACCCAGTACAACTCGAAGTAGCCAAACGGCACGCCGTCCCACAGGCCGATGGCGGGGAAGCTGTGGCGGCTCCGCAGGGCGGTGGGGAGGAAGCCGGGGGCGTACTCGCCCCAAAAGTGGGATACGCGTGGGTTGGCATGCCACGATTCGAGGAGGGCCGAATCGGGCATGGAAAGGAGGCGGGACTGCTGCTGCTGTGTTGCTATGGACGGGTTCGGGCCGACGGGCCCCATGTATGGCACCGGCTTGGGCGAGACGGACGCGACGCGGAAGGAGAGGTAGTGCCCCACCGAGGGGACGAAGCGCGTGTAAAAGACCTCACCCATGCGCGGTGGTTTCGGGCGGAGCGGGTGACGCACGTGATTGGTGATGGTGTATTGTAATGGTGGGGGTGGGTAGTAGGTCGGGAGGTGGGACGCGCTGAAGAAGGGGCTGATGGGGAACGAGGGCACATCTGTCAACAAGGTGGGCGGCGCGGCGCCGGGCAAGTCGCCCGCTTCGGCGATCGCGCGCTGCGGGTGAATTGCCGTAGCGTGCTCTCCAGGAAGTGGAGAACCCGGCCGGCTTGGTACTGGCGAACCCGGGTATGACGAGCGGGGGTTTCTGTTGCCGACAGGCTGGAGGGTGAACAGGAACAGACGTCCCGGTATCTGCCAGAACATGTTCCGCGTAACGAACATGTTTGCCCATACGTCATCGGTGTCTACTAACGCGGTCCCCACGGCCGAGTTGAGGCTCGCAATTAGGCCCATACGCTCCAACTTGGGTATCAGGTTCCGCCCGCGCAGCATGCCATCTCGCTTGACGCGCACCCGCCACTCGCCCCGCGGCTTGCCGGCGTCGGGTGTCAGCTTCGACGCTTCGGTGGTGAGAATCGTGGGCGGCGAAGGTTGATGGAAGTACCAGTATAGCGTGACCCAGAGCATCATGGCCATCTGGCGTGTTGGGCTTGCGGGGGGCTTAAAGTCGGCGTTGGAGGGGTTCGAGATGGACGAGATGAAGAGGCTGTCGTTTTGTAGCGTCGGTCTCTTGAAGGAGCGGAGGTGCGGTGTCTTGTCTGTACCGGGGCTCCCTTCAGCCAACCCCGGTGGAAGACTAGTAGCGGTACTCGAGGTCGGCTCATCGTCGTCGCCGTCTTCTGTGTGAATCACAATAGTCCATCCGATCGGGAAGGCATTGTGGTGACTGCTGAGCTCGGTCGACTTGAAGAACAGTCCCGCAAAAACGGGCGTCACGTTGAAGCGCTGCCCATCGGGCAGATAGATGGTTTGGGGGCCCATTGGCGTTGTAGCATGCGTGCGACGGCCTGTCGTGGTATGGAAGAAGCTCGTCACCTTTAAAGCCTCGTCCGAATCGCGGGGTTTCTGCTCTGGTGACGCGGAAGGCGGGGCAACATTCTGCTGTGGCTGACCCCCGCGTCGTTTTGAGTAAGTTGCCCTGTGGATCAAATCATCCGACTCTATCGGACGGAGCCGGGAACTCGGACGGGGAGTGAATTGCTACTCCATCGTGCCTCTTTACCGATTATGCAAGGTCGTGGCGGCATTGGGATCGCGTGACGTCCTTGTCGCAACGAGACCGCCGGCCGGGCCTCCCGCTCCACCAAGGCGGAGCGGAAGCAGGTTCGTGACCCTGTGACCTCGTGGACGCGGCATGGAGACCCACTTGCGGGAGCTCCTAGACGCCCCGTCTGCCAAACTCCAAAGCACAAATCAAGCAAAAGGGAAATTAAAAGAAAGATATCGAGCGTAATACATTGAATAAAAGAAATCGAGTAAAATAAAAGTGAATCGGGCGAGTGCAGCTTCTCTACTAAGCTTCATCCGAGTGACTTTCGCTTTGTTCACTTACACGGACGCTAACGGCCATCTACACAGTGCCAGGGTGCACTTCCATAGCAGAGTCGCCGGCTATGAATGAGTGCACCTGCAGCTTGGTTACGATAAGGAGGAATAACCTGATAACTGTTGACGCTTAAATCAGCCAGCGGTACCGCGGGTTCCTTGTTCTGATTGATGGCTCAACTGTCATCTGCTCCACGTTGGGGGGAGACACCGAGTGGTAACAAAACAACACGCGCTATACGTACTACCAATGTATAGAACGCCAGAGGAAATCCAGCGCTGGCTTTTGAAGTCTAGCCACCCTGGCACCGACGATAAGAACACGCCTAATACCTCATCGCACAGCGCATTTCCACTCCTCGCGCAACAAGCACCTGACATAAACACAGCTCTCCCTCGCCCTCCATCACTCGCCTCTGCTACTAGTATGACTCCCCGTTCTCCCTCGATCACTAGTACGAACGCTTCCAGCGACCGTTGCAATAGGGAGCCCGGATGCCTCTCAACCAGTCTTGTCAAGACCATCGTCGGTTTGCAGCGTCTCGAGAAACCAGTCTACTTTGAAGCTCTACTCGAGAATGCCGAGAAGGACCAGCTGCCGGGTGATGTCAGGGATCTGTTTACTAACATCTGGAACATTGTAATGTTGTCCCAGGGCGTCTTTCCCACCGAGATCCGGGATGAGATCGAGCGTCCGAATCGCAAGATGGCCCCGGGAATCTTCCGGGGCGCCGAACACCGAGCCCGAGATTCTGGCCAAGAAAGACTAGGAGAAAGAAGCGGACAAGATGCTGCGCATGACGTGTTTATCGACTTCCCAGCCGTTTGGGCGCTCCCCCGAGCCGTCAGCCACTCGTCCACAACGCCAGCGCGGCTTGCTCGCGCCGAGTTTCACCACGTTCGCAACCTCGAGGTCGACGCGCGGAAGTGCCTGGCCCTGCACCGAAGCGAGGCCTCATGGAACTGCAACGTCCATAAGCCGCTCCTTGACTTGGCGCTGTGGAAGTACTGCGACAGCATTGCCCTGGAGAACGCGACATCAGCAAGAATCTTACCTGCCTTCATTCCGGCGCTTGTCACTGGCGAGGCCATCCGGGGTAAGATGGTTGACTTTGTTCTTTCACCGAACTTTACGGCCGCCGGTCGCACCGCTTCGCAAAGCTCGCACATTAGCAACGCTACGATCGACGCTGCCATTCTGAAAAGGCTTGCCATGCAGCCATCAGCCGGCTCCCGCAACCTTGGGGTCAATCATACCGATTACCCTCCGTTGTTGCGAGCACCGACTGCTGTGACTATCGCGACGATGATTGGTAGCGGGAGCTTGGAGGATGGAAGAGTCCGGCTGGGAATATGGACTGCGGCCTGGCACATACGCATGGCAGCATTGGGCATCAGCGGGTGGGAGGACGGCCCATTGCTACCAACTCTTCCGCTAATCTTGACCCATGAACACCAGTGGTCGCTTTATTTTGCTGTCGACCGAGGCCACAAGATCGTAAGTTGCTACCTCTCTTAACATATTTTGATGACGAGATGCTAACGGGCTTTGAAAAGGAAATTCTTGGTGGCATACAAATCGGTACAACTTCCACCACTCAGGGCATCTATCAATTGTTAGCAGTGCTACGGTTGCTAGCTGACTGGATCGAGACCGAGTTTAAGGAATGGGTTGTTACCGCCTTCACTGAAGATACTTCGTGATACTATAAGAAGATCATATAAATTAGCAAGAACTGGAGAACTATGCAAAAAGTGTACCTACCCACGTTGGCAGCCAACCTTGAGTTTGATCTCTCTAACCCTTTTCGTTACTGATTATCTATTGCATTTTTTGCATTGTACGGTTCAACTGTCTTCGAAATCAAAGAAAAGAAATCAAGGAAAAGGAATCAGATAAAAGAAAAGGAATGGAGGAAAAAACAAACAAACCATAGTTCCTCCACAACAGACTACACAATTATTCAGGTTTCACCCCGGGCCACTGGGCACCGAGCCACTAATAACATCAATCATGATTTCAAGCTCCTAGCTTTTGCCACCATTGAAACGTCCATAAATGAGGCAAACCTTGGAACCGACTAAATCAACGTTGAGCAACCAACCATCATAGCCGCGGAAAGCACCAGCTCCCCAGAAACCCGAATTCAATCATCAAACATCTCCAACGTCAAGCTGAGGCTGTGCTATACAGAATATACTCCAGAATGGCCGACCTCGAGTGTCCCGAGACAGAATTTAGAGTTCCCGCAGAGGTGAGTCAGATACCTACACTTCGCCGAACATACTTGTACTTCCTGCCAATCTCCCTCCCCATGCGGATGTTGAAAAATGACGGCAGTTCTAACGAGCCTAGTTAACGGGAACACCGTCACGCCCATACAACCATCTCCTCGGGCTTCCGGACGAGCTACTTCTCATCATATTTTCCCATGGCCGGCCTGTAGATAATGTCTGCCTTGCGTTGAGCTGCAAGCGACTTCTACTATTCTCCACCTCGCTGTCCTTGCGGATTCCCTCTGCAAAAGCCCACCGTACTCGGCCCTTCTGCGACAATATTGACACCCTGTTAAGGCGTATCAGACCGCTAAACGCTCGCGGCCAAGTTAACACGACGTTGGGTCTCTGCTGCGATTGTCTGCGGTATCGATCGAGGAGGATCTCCTTTTGGAAAAAGACTAACAGGGCTGATGCGAGCGAGAAGTATTGGTTGTGGGTGGTGAAATCGTGGAAATCAACATATTCGGCTCAGTGCCCGGACTGTTGGTCTTCTCAGAGGAGAAAGCAACTTGCCCGCAGCCGAGAGAGTATTGTCCCGAAGTAGCGGCAGTCGTGGTAGCTGGAACAGCGTACAGGTAATGGCAAAGAGCCAACCAGTGGGGTGTGTCGACGAGACTGGTTTGATACCGTAGCCGGTAGGGTACTTCTCAATCCAATACCCCTAGCAAGCAATCTACAACTCATTAGCTGTTCACGATGCTCTAGTAGCCTTTCCACGTCACAACTGGCAATTCCATGTGATGAATCGTGTGTCCCGCTATCTACTGCCTCCCATCAGGACTTAATTCGCCTCCTCTGCCACGCGATGAATCCGACTTCGACTCCGGCTCCGGTCCGTCCTCCTTCTTTCTCTTTTCCTGTTCAGTGAACTCCTCGTCCTTTTCCTTTTCTGACGACCGGGACCTCTCCTCGGCCTTGGTCCGCTCCTCGCTTAGCACCTCCTTGACGTCATCGCCGAGCTCTTTCGCCTCGTCCCACTCAACGTCATACTCGACAGCAGCCACCTTGATCTCGCGACGCAGCGCGTTCGCTTCCTGGACCAGCTGTTCCCATTTCTGAGGGTCGAACCCCCGAGCCTCGTAAAGCGCGTTCTGGCGCCGCGAGACCGTCACGTTCATGGCGGCCTTGTAGCTGAGATCCTTGCTGATATACAGGAACCACAGGTAGCCTCCCATGATGGTGGATAACCCCGCGAGATACGTCACCGGCTCGACAAGATCCCTACCCAGCAACGCGTGTCAGTATGTCAAGTACGCTTTGAACCACCCCACGGCTTCCACGAACACTCACCAGCCGAACTCGGTATGGAACGTCACATAATACACGACCCCCCACCACCCGCTGAGCAGCGCAAAGCCCCCCTTCGCGAGCAGGTGGGCGCCGCGGTGGGCGAGCAGGTCGCACTCGCGCTTGATGCGGGAGAGCTCGTCGATGCGCAGGCTCATCCTGCGGAGCTGGGAGCGCATGTAGTAGGTGCGATCGTTGAAGGACGGCACGCTGACGCGCATCTCAACGTTGTACCCTTCGATCTCGACGGCGAACTCGCGGCCGCGCGCGGCGTCGCGGATGAAGTCGCCCATCTCGGTGCTGTTGCTCCACCGCACCCAGTTTTTCTCGGACCCGTGCCGCTCGGGGCCCTCGTGCCCGAGTCCTGAATACGACTCGACGTGTGTCAGGCCGGCCGGCATTCTCGACTTGCTCTCCTTGTCCCTGACTCTCGCTTCGGATCGTGACGTCGGCTTGTTGTCCCCGCGCTCGGTATCCTCGGCCCTGAAATACACACTGGGTATCTTCTCCTTGTTGCCCTCTACTACTGGCGGGATCTCGGCTTGGATCAAGCGCTCGACGTACGACAGGGGTTGTTGGGGGTGGATAAGCAGTGCCAGCGGCTGGATCCTGTCGTTGGGGGAGATGGATCGGCCATAATCGGGTTTGCTATTGTTGTCCTGATCTTTTTCGACCGTGATGGGCAAAGGGAGGATGAGCTTCAGCAGCCTCGTCGGAGTTGTCAGGAGCTTGCCTGTCAAAGTGGTTACTTATTAGCAGTGTGTCTGGAGATTGTGACTGCACACACCAACCCTCTGTTACCGGCGCAATATCCTCCTCTCCCTTCTTCTCCACCGGTGGGTTGTCCGCCCCTTGTCGATGCCATGGTCGCTTGACTTGGCTCTGGCGGACCCTCACTTCTTGTTCCTGTTCATCAAGCAACCTTTTGTCCAGTTGTTTAGCTTTTGCCTCCGGTTCGGTCTCATCGGGCTTCGCGGTCGAGAGAGCTCTCCGCACTCCTCCTGCGAATCCAATCCCAGGGCGCAACGAAGCATGTGCAAATCGTGTCTCGAGACGGTAACAGCTTGTCGGAAACCGCAACCTCGGCGAGGCTTGTATCAGCTGGCGGTGTAGTCGCCCGAGTACATGGTTCATTGCGGCTTTGCTGGCCTGCGAGGTAATTGTTTTTCTCGCAGTGGAGGGACGGAGGGATCTCAGGCTATTTCAACCCGCGTGGATGGAAGCTGCAGCTGCCACAACCCCAATAAACCCCAATGACGTCAGTGCTGTCAGGGCAAGCAGCTTGATGTCTTGGCATCAGGGGTTCCATAACTAACTCGGTGCATGTGCAAGGTCAAGGTCGGAACCTGGACAACCTCGAGACAACCAATCTCAACCCGATTCTTTCTGTTACAACTCTCGGGGACTTTCTAGATCCCTGTTTGTGTACATATTAGTGCTACCTAGCGATGGAACTATACGTGTTCGAATGCAAGCCCCAGGTCCAGCTGAAATATTAGTATCCATCGTCCTCCTCGTCAAATTCATCCTCTACCAGTCCGTACTGATCATCCTCGTCACCGTCCTCTGCAATCTCATCGCCCTCCTCGTCGTCTTGAAAATCAGCATAATCCCGCGCATCGTAGTCGTCGCCGCCCATCTCTTCTATCTCAGAATCCTCGTCGTCAGACGGGGGAATGGGGTTGTTCTCCCGGTGCAGTTGTAACTTCTCAGCGAGAGAGAGTGGTCTGCCGACTGCAGCTCCCCCGTCGGATTCCCCATCCTCTTCATCTGAGCTGGAGATAACGGACTGGGCATTCTCCCTGCTCCGGACCTCTTCCATACTGTCGTTCCCTTGCTCGTCGTCCTCGTTGTCCTCATCGTCCTGGTCCTCTTCATCCTCCGAAATGACAGCCCGAGCCCGGCGATTCGCTCGCATTACCCGTCTCTCGTCTTCTTCGTCGTCGCTAGACAGCACAATCGGATTCCGGCGGTTATCGATGCGTGCTCGCTTCCTAGGGCCGGCGTCTTCTGAGTCGTCTTCCGAATCGGACTCCACAACACGCGCTCGAGGGCGTTTCAGCCTGGAGGTGCGGACAGCTGGCTGATCCGAGTCGGATTCGTGCGCAGAGTTGTCTGATCCCCGCAGAGTTTCAGATGACGGTTCGGGGCTGGAAAATCGAGCCATATCCTCGTCATCGTCGCCCGTCAGGTCAATTGCCCCATCCTGCACGTAACCTCCGGGGTGCGGCGAACTTGACATGAATGATGAAGCATCCTCATTTTGCTCGCTTTGGTCGCTGTCGTCACCGTCCACTGGCGGTGCGACAAGCAGCTCGTCATCCGAGCTCTCACTGTAGTCGTCGATGTCCGAGTCGTCTATTCCTTCGCTTTCATACTCGTTCGGCTCTTCTTCGTCACTGTGCTCGGAACCAGAGCTTTCCGGCGACGGGCTTCTGACAGCGTCCCATGGCTTCAAATCCGCCAAGGGCAAGCGAGGGGCCCAAAGAAATGTGATCAAAGGCCATACTGGTGCACCGTTGAAATTTGCACTCTTGGTGTCCGCGGGGTATCCGGCCTTGAGGAGATCGTGTATCATTTCCCTGAGGAGGACTTTTGTCTCGTCAACGGTGCCAGAGTCCCCTATGTCAGGCCAGCAGTACACGTGCTGGGCATTTTCGCCCAGTCCTGGCTGTTCCTCAAACGTATCGATAACGTAGCGCTTGGACAAGTTAGAGAAACACCATTTTATATGTCGCCGCTCATGGTTAACTAAGTCGGTCACATAGTAAACCGTCTTCAGGTTCTTAAACGGTTTAGAGGGGCCCGGAGCCCGCCTTCCCATGGCAAACAAATTGGCCGGGTCGACGGCCAAGTGATAGATGTGCTCCCCAAACCCCGGAAGCTGGGGCATGGCATCGAGATCCAATACCATGGAAGAGTGCCTGGACTGCAAATAAACAATGTCGCTCTCGGCATTGAACCGGACGACGGCTTCGCTGCCGAAGGACAAGCTGTCGGGGAAAACCTTCTCGATCAGTTGGCGGGACTCGCGATGGACAGCCAACATGGCGCGGGCTGGCGTCGTTTGCTGATCCAGGAAAGGGCCCTCGACGGGCACTAAATATTTGGACCCATCCCTTCGGTGATGCTGGTTGAGTTGAAAGCATAACACGCGTGGCTTCGCAGTAAGGTCTGGGCAGAAAAACTCCCAAATGCAGTAGCGGAGTTCGAAGGGGAGGCGCTTGAACTGCGGGAAGAAGTGGTCCTCCTGTTCGTCGTGGTCCCGGTCGGTGCCGCTCTCGCTAGAGCCTGACACGTCATCGTCGGAGTCCGCAGCCTCCAAGTCAAAGAACCCGTTGGACTCGGAGAGCCCGTCGGAGGCCGAGTCCAACTCGTCTTCATCATCAACCTCGACGCCATCATCATCGTCGTCATTAGACGACCTCTCTAGCTGGGAGTCATCATCACTGGATTGCGCAGCCAAATATCCGATGTGGTCCGAATCTCCCGAGTCCGACATCATGGCGGATGATGGAAAAAGGCGATGGCGTTGATGGCGTTTTGGCAGATGCTCGCGATATGTCGAAGTTGACTGACGCGTTGATTGTCCGAGTCGCGATGTGCCAAGGTCGAAGTTAATTGACGTGACTGCCTGGCAGGGGCTGGCCCACAAAAGCTCCCAAGCTGGTGGGGTCCCGGGAAAGGTGGGGCTGCCTTCCTGCCCTCGCTCGAGACTCAGCGCCTGCCGCCGCCGCCTCTTGCGCTGAAAACAAGCAAAATCTCAAAAACGCTACAGGGGATCGTTTTGCCAATTGGTGACTAGCGTTTGGCCTGGTTATGAAACTTTACGGAATGGCTATTATTCATGATTAAACCAATCGGAGATCATCGACGCTGACAATCACGATTTCTGGAGGGAAGGCTCGAGAACGTCACGGTCCGACGGCTCGGGGGCGCGCTGCTCACGAACGATAGACGCTTCCTCTCGGTTGCCGGCCTTAGTAACGAGGAGCTACGAGATAAAGTAAGTCTTGGCTCATAAAACGCAAATACCCAGTTAAAAAGACGGAAGACCCGGGGTCACGGTTTTCAAGACGAAGGCGGACTGTCCGGCGTTGCACGGTGAGAACTGCCGGATGCCGGGCGCCGGAGCACGGGTACTGGACTGGTGAGCTGGGTTGGGGATAGTGGGGTGAGCCTTGCCCCTGCCAACCCCTCCCCCCAAGGAACGGACAACATTTCCATGCCGCCTTGCGGTGCTGTTTGGGGGGAGAACGGCATCATGCGGGGTAGGGGTCGCTGAAACGGGCAGACTGGTATCGGCGGCCTGCGACCGGAATCTACGACGCGGCGGGTAATTCGGCGGAAAATGTATCCCCTAGCTCGTCCTCGCGCTCCAGTCTTCAACGGTATAAGAGAGGTACCGAGCAGTGCAATCATGGGCGCAATGCAACCATCCTGGCGGTCTAAACACCGCATATCCCCTTCACTTGCTTTGCACGCCGTTGATATCCTCTTCTCACATTAACGGCTCCCAACTTACCATTCATTGTCCCTACGGCGCACGATATTTACAATGGGCTCCCATCCCGTCGAGTTTGGTGAACGGACAGCGGGGTCTGAGGTTGCCAAGGTGTTTGCAGACCGGATTCGGGCAAAGAAAAGTCAGTAAACAACGCCCCATGACCCTTCGAGCTCCTGGGCCTCCGGCCGTGTTGTTGACCACTTAAGTGTTTTAGTCTTGGTGACGGGCGTCAGTCCCAAGGGGATCGGGTCATCCACCGTCTTGAACCTCGCATCTCAAAGCCCTAGCCTTCTGATTTTGGCCTCCCGTACCAAGGCCCGGCTTCAAGAGGTTGCAACCCAGATTTCGGCAAAGTACCCCAGCACGCGAGTTGAAATTGTCATCCTAGATCTGGGATCACAAAAGGCGATTCGCCAGGCAGCTGCCGACGTTACCGCCCTGACCGACAAACTTGATATCCTCATCAACAACGCCGGCATCGTTGTGACATCCCGCCAAGCGACACCCGAAGGCATCGAGCAGCAGTTTGGAACCAACCATATCGGCCCCTTTTTGTTCACAAACCTCCTCCTGCCCCTGTTACGCAAGGCGGCTGAGTCCAACCCCCCTGGTGCGACTCGCATCGTGTCTCTTACCAGTGCCGGCCACAGGCTCTCCCCGATCCGCTTCTCCGACTACAACTTCGAGGGCAAACCGGTCCCCCCCGAGGAAGACCACGTCAAACCGCTCGCAGGCGCTTTTGGCAAGTGCGCCCCTGACGGATACAATGGCATTGTCACGTACGCGCAGTCGAAGACGGCAAACATCCTGTTCACCGTTTCCCTCCAAAAGCACTTATCAAAAAGCGGAATTTCCGCCTACGTCCTCCACCCTGGCAGTAAGCTCACCTCGTTACCTTGCTTGTCAATATAATTGTTGACATTCTCCTAGCCATTGAGACGGATCTCAGCCGGGACCAAGACGATGAACTCACCGCCCAATTCTACAAGGTTGCGCCGTATTGGAAGACCCCCGACGAAGGCAGTTCGACGACGCTCGTAGCTGCATTGGACCCGGCTCTGAATGGTGAGGCTTTCGCAAGTTTCGCTGTTTGGAATGTCTGTAACAGAGGTATTTCACTAACACCTCTTGATGCAGAGATCAACGGCCTCTACCTTTCCGACTGCCAGTTCACCAAGCCCGCGCCTCATGCCAGTGATCCCGTTACCGCTGACCGGCTGTGGAGCCTCAGCGAAGAACTGGTCGGAGAGAAGTTCTCCCTGGGAAGTTGAGAAGAGTCCGGGTCCCAGTTCTAGTGTTCTTGAGGACTACAATGTGTCATTTCCCAGAGGACAAATGAACCAAGCATTATCTTCAAACGAGATGAGGGGACAAGTAGAGTTTAACACCGCCCCCCACACGTTTCGAGCCACCGCTGTTGTATTGAACCATAGCTGTGGGTTACTGTGAATTACCACGGCCGCGATTGTGGGGCAAAACCCAGTAGGGGCCATATTACTACCACGAGCACATGGTGCAGTAAAGCTTCCCTTAAGAGTCTTTTCCTCACAGTCACGCCACATCAGTGATGATGATCTTGTAGAATCATCCATGGTCTGTGCAGCCATGGTTCAACGAATGAGGGGCAGGTATCGCCACCTCATACTGGCGTCATGACGCGAGGTTGGATGTGCCGAGACTATTCGGTGACCCCTTTCCGTCCTCTGCCGATAAATATGTTCTTAAGGCTTGACGACCAAGATCATTAGCTGATGGACGGTTTCTGGTATTACTTTAAAACTCCTCAATCCAGACCTTAGTAACAAAGGTACCTAGTTAACATTGACTGTAAACGCATCAAAGAAAGAGACAATAAGACTTGGCAAGATTCATTTACTTGACTCCGCCGATTAGCACCACCAACCATACACACCAAGTCGCAATGGCAGACACAGACGGCAACTCCTCCATCCCAGAACTGTTATACCACACAACTCTAACGGTAGTCGACTTCCACCGGGACACGTCCGGCTCCACCCGAGACACCCACGTCCTCGGCACGCACACCACCCTCCCCGCCGCCAAAGCTTTCGCGCTCAGGGCGCTGGAGACGCTCGGCTACAAGCCGGCCGACTTTGACGAGTACGCCACCCGGGCCGACTATTCCGGGGAAGCGGCCGAGGAATGGCCGCACCACGACGGCGTCATGGTGTACGCGCGGGGCCCCGCGGGCCACGAGCTGCTGGTGGGGCTTGACACGAAGCCCAACACAGAATCGTTGCCGGCGGTGGCGGCCGACGACAGCGCGGACCAGCACAAGAAGGACACGCTGCAGCTGCCGGCGGGCCACGACCGGCTGCACTACGTGCTGCAGAACCGGACCGACTACACGCAGGACCAGCGCGCGGCGTACCAGACGGCCGAGATCCAGGGCTGCTATGCGCGGCGCGACGACGCCCTGGCGGCGGCGAGGCAGGCACTGCAGGAGGACCGTGACGAGTATGCGCAGTATGACGAGCGCGGCGAGGACCAGGGCGAGGACGAGGAGTGGCCGTTCGGGGAGGAGGTGGTCGTCCATGCTGTGGCGCAGACTGGAGAGAATTACACGATTGCCGTGAAGACGGCGATGCAGGCACATGAAAAACATGGCAAGGTGCTTTGATGAGTTGCGGCGTGTTGAAGAACTAGTACTGGTGGTATGGTTTGGTTCGAGCGTTGAGAAAATCACGGACAAGTACCTAACGTTTGATCAGGGATGAGAACCAAAGCTGCAAAGTCCTCAGGATGAGGAATCGCTCATTGAGTTCCACTCTACTCTAGGTATGTGGTAATACTTGTTAGTCCATACACAATGCCGCATACTCCTGTGTCCAACAAGATATCTAAGGTCCATCTGTGCCAAAGCCACCGGGGTGCGTCATATCCATAGTTTCGGCCAGTCTCTCACTCCGCGGGCTTTCCACCCCGTACGCGCTGGGAAATAGCGACTGAGGCCCGCTTCCCACCGAAGAACGCGTGAAAACCAAAGGAGAAAGCTAAGGATGCAGGACAAGGCTCCCCAAGACCCTTATTTCGGGCATTCCTGGGCCGGGCTGATGAGACCCAGCTCCGTATCCGCAGGGGAGGCGCGCTTTTCCTCTTGCTCCATCATAACCGCCCGATTGTTTCGGGTCTTCCACGCCGGTGTCCCGATGTATTTGATTGCTGTGATTGACAGTCAGTTGGTTATCATGCTTCGAGTAAAAAGATAGACAAGCGGAAAGAACTTACCACCTGGTTCCGTGTCATCAAAGAGTTGTGCCACCTCTTCGAGTGACTTGTTGGCGGTCTCAGGGAACAGGAAGAAAACGTGAAGGTGCATCACGGCACAGAAGACGGCAAAGATGATGTATGTCTTCCAGGTAATGTGCTCAAAGGCCGGGGGGACGAAATAGGCAAGGGCAAAGTTGAAAGTCCAGTTGGCCGCGGTCGCGAGGGCGACGGCCTTGCCGCGGAGGCGCAGGGGGAAGAGCTCGGGAGGGTAGGTCCAGGACACGGGGCCCCAGGTCGGCGCAAAGCTAGCGACAAACAGGCACGTCGAGACGATAATGACCCAAGCTGCCGGTCCGCTCACAGCCATGGACTCGGACGCCGACGGGAATTCGCCGGGGTACGGAGTGCGGGCGTAGACACCGAACATGATGGCGTTGATGACGAGAAAGAGACACATCAAGGCGGACCCGATAAGAAGAGGCGCCCGGCGGCCCCAGCGGTCCAGCCAGAGGAGGGCCGGTACCGTCATGATGACATTGATGGCAAAGCTGACGCTGCTGGGAATCAGGACCGCGTTGGTACCGGATTCTGCGAGCCCTGCCATGGTGAAGACATATGTGATATAGTACATCATCACATTCATGCCTGTGAGCTGGGACCAGATTTGAGTGAAGACGCCGATGGCGGTCCTGTTGAGCATCTTGGGGGCGAACAACTCGGACCAGCGGGCATCGGCATGACTGTGCTCCTCCTGGACGGCGGCGCGGATCTGCTGGAGCTCGCGCTGGACAAAGCGGTTATTGACGTCGCCGTTGCCGTGGAGCAGAGCCAGGACATTCTCGGCCTCGGCCTCGCGGCCCCTCGTGAAAAGCCACCGGGGAGACTCGGGCTCCCGCAGGAGGCCGACGAAGAGGCCGACTGCGGGGAGCATCTGCAAAGCCCAGGGGACGCGGAAGGCGGCGCTTCCCTCGATGTACGAGCATCCAAAGCAAATGAAGTACATGATAAGAATGCCCCAGGTGATGGCCCACTGCTGCAGGCTGACCAGGCGACCACGCATCGTCGGCGGAGCGATTTCGGTGATGTAGACGGGCACCTGGGCAGAGCAGATGCCGACAGCGAAGCCGTTGATGAACCGCCCAATCGCGAGCATGCTTAGGTGAACCGAAGCGCAGACCACGATGGACCCGACGATCCTGTTTACTTGGTGAGTGCGAGATCAGACATGGTATCGAGTGCAAAGCTGAGTACTAACCAAACGATTGAGCCGATCATGATGGTCTTCTTCCGGCCCATGCGGTCGGAGAGCCAGCCGGAGACTAGGGCACCGACCAACGAGCCGCCGGGCATGGCGGCGACGATGCCTCCTTGGGTAACGGAGGACGGACCCAGGCATTGGCCCTTATCGTCAAAGCCGCGCTCGTTGAACTGACACAGGTAGGGTTGTGTCGCGATGATGGCCGACATGGAGGAGATGTCGAAGCCAAAGAGGGCCCCGCCTATGGACACAGACAACTGTTTAGCATCAAAGCAACGTACTGGGCTGTATTGCCCAAATCGTGTGTGGACGGCTTACCAATGACGGCGAGGAATGCTATCCGGTATATTCTTTTGTGGTTCGCCATATTGGCTGAGGTCGTATAGGTGCTGAACTGCTGATAGGGAAATTCAAGGATGAGAATTGAGGATGAGGGTGTGTGTGTGTGGGAGGATAATAGTGAGTGTGGGATGAGCAAGGGCGCAAGGGCTCAGTTTAAATAGGTATTTAGACATGACGGCATGGTGCCATGGTCACGAGCTTGAGAGGTCTTCCGTCCGAAGACAGCAGGCTCAAGGGTCAACACAACGCGGAATGGATCCGGGCCGTTCAGCTCACTACTACCAAGAACAAGCAGGAGCAGTTTAGACATGATTCACCGCATATGCTCCCCCAAACACAACTCACATGTCACACATGTCATGATACAATCTATATGTAGGCCATCCATACTCGACTTTGGGACATTAAGCTGTTCAAACTGAGGGATTTCTAGGTTGATTGCAGTGAGGATTGCCGGTGAAATGTTAGAGCTAGGTAGGTTGGTGCCGTCACTGCCGCCGTGGAGGTTGCTTCCATCTGTTGCCTACATTCCAGGTTGTTCCGTGGACTCCACAGTGTGGAGCGTGGGCTCAAGACAAGAAAACAACCTGAGATTCCACTAAAATCAAAACAACTCTGAAGTGTGAATGCTGATCTCCATCTATCGGCTAACCATCGCTTGCTCTTTTTTCGAATAGGCCTAGTAAATCTAGCGTAATTCACTTCTTTCTAGTTATATGCTTCTGGCCCTCCTCGAGGTCCAGGGACTTCCATCGCTGCTTGGTACAGTGGTGGCACAGGGTTAGGGTTTGGCCCGATGACCTTCCAACGGGGCGACAACTGTAACTACAGTGGCGAATTTAACGGTTGCCACACATTCTAAAGAGGTTGAATAAAGCGAACAATTCGAATCTATCTAATTATACTTTTGGAAACAACTAAGCAAATTCGAATGTGTATACAGAATGTATAGGCGCATTTACAGAGGTGCATTGAATTGTGAAAGGGGAGGCGCGCGCACCAGGGTTGGGGCTATGTATGGAGAAAACCACGTGGCATGCAGAGTCCCGCACGTCAGAATCCCAAACGTCTCTCTTTTCCATTTGAGGTTTCCTCGGCCCATGCACACAGTAACTCGACGGTAATCATGTCACAAGTTGTAACGACGACTCGGGTAATTTTCAAGAGGGTCAGCCCCAACCTCACGGAACCCCTCACGTGCTTTCGCTCCTTGACGCGTCTTTCCCGCGCGAGCCCCACAGCAACCCGAACAGGCGGGAGAGGCCAGCGCTGGAGGGAACTCCTGGTTGCCTCACGACACCAACATAGTGAAGGTGAATGAATGATGCCACCCGCGAAACCCTCTCCTCCGCCGCCTTCAAGGTCGAAACGGCCTGCAGCTGACGACGACCGAGCCATCTCCCCACCCCCTCTAAAACGGAAAACGCAAGCTGCCATCTCGAGTGCGATTGCCCCATTCTCCCCGCCCCCAGCGATTGGACTGACGCCTGTGGCCAGAGAGCGCTGTCGCAAACTTCTTCACCCCCGCGTCGCAAAAGGCTAAAGATCGCACAACCTGGGCCGAACGATCCCCCGACGACGACGCACCCGCGACATTGCTCGTTGCGAAATACATACCCGAAAATGCCGACTCGACCGCGCTCGAGACTCCGGCCAAACGGCAGAAAATCGCCGCGTTCGATTTGGTACGCGACACGTCACACCACCCTTTGCTCCGTCCCCGAGACTTACCCGACCACAGGATTCCACGTTGATTACAAGCGCCTCGGGCAAGCGATATCCCGACGATCCGGCCGACTGGAAATGGTGGCACCACTCTGTCCCAGGACGTCTTCGGCAACTGTACATGGATGAGGGGTGCGTCGGCTCATGCCTATCCCTCCGCCACTGCTGACGAACCCTAGGTACCGAGTTGTCATCTTCACAAACCAAGGTGGTTTGACACTGCATCCGGATCCAAAGTCGAAAGGGCCGAAGAGCGCAAAGAACAGAGTCCCCGCGTTCAAGCAGAAGTGCAGTGCCGTTCTAAGCCAGCTCGACATCCCCATCACGTTGTACGCGGCCACGGGCAAGGACATCTACCGAAAACCACGGCCGGGGATGTGGACCGAGACGAAAGAAGACTACGACTTGACCGAATCCGATATCGACCGCGAGAATAGCGTGTTTGTTGGCGACGCGGGCGGTCGTACAGCCCAGCCAAAGGGATCGAGTGCGGCTGCGAAAGATTTCAGCTGTTCTGATCGGAACCTCGCCCACAATATCAGCATCAAATACCAGACACCGGAAGAATTCTTCCTGGGGGAGACGGCACGAGACTTTGCTCGGGATTTTGATCTGAGCAACTTTCCTTATACCGTAGAGGAGGAACATGGCGAAGTGTGCCCTACCAAGACAAACGAACAGGATATTATGCTCTTTGTCGGGTCTCCTGGAGCTGGCAAGAGCACCTTTTACTGGAAATACTTGAAGCCGTTGGGTTACGAGAGAGTCAATCAAGACACTCTAAAGAGGCACGTTTTCACCCCCCCCCCCCCAAGCCATGTTCCCGGATAAGACTAACAATGATTAGCAAGGACAAGTGCTTTAAGGCAGCGGCCGACTTCCTTCAAAAAGGAGACTCTGTTGTTGTGGGTGAGTTCGTGTTGGTTCGATTCGCTGCCATATCGACCCGCTAATTACGCGTTAGACAACACAAACGCCGATGTCGGCACCCGTTCTCAGTGGATAACCCTCGCGCGCAAACACAATGTTCCAATTCGGTGCCTTTGGTTCAGGACGCCGTTGCAGCTGTGCGAGCACAATGCCGCGGCGCGAGCCTTGAACGAAAAGGTACGCGGCGTCATTTCCCAAACGTGACGCGAGGAACATTCGATCGCTAACTGCCGTCGGTAGCTCAACCCTGAAGCCCGCGAGGCACTTCCGAGAATCGCTTTCAGCGGCTTCGCGTCGCGGTTCAAGGAACCCAATATTGAGGAGGGTTTCCAAGACGTCGTTCCCGTGCCCTTCAAGTTTAGGGGGACGAAAGACGAGTACGAAATCTGGGGTCGATACTGGGTTTGAGCTAAGAATGCGCCAAGAAGCTCACCGCGATACCATTTTGGTTGGGTCGTTGGCTCTTGTTATCCGACTCATGCCCACTCGGGGAGGTCTGCTGCCGGGGGACTGTTACGGTCCGATTTGATTTCGGGCTGAGGCGGGATCGGACGCTCGGGAACGTGAGCCGCCGCGTTTACATACAGCTCCTGATTATTTCGGGGACCATACTGTGTAAATGTGCCAACGGCAAAATGCCACTTGCACGGGAGAGCTCGGCTCGAGCGCGGGTTATCCTAGCCATGTGATATAATGAACTTCGGTGACGACCCAAGGAAGGTTCATCCGATTCCTTGGGCCCAATGGCACCCTACTTCCTGCAGCTGTCCGTGGGGTCGACGATGGTCTCAAAACCGTTATCGGCCAGGATTCCGTGGACCCAAGGCGCCAGTCGCTTTCTCCTGGAGGCCTTGCAGGCCTCTGAGGCCGGAGAGTCGCCTCCAACAAGCCGAGTGTCGCCAAACACGGCAAGCACCCAACAGCCGGTCTCTTAAGCATCTCTATCTGGTCTTAAAAATATTCGGATCCCCCGTTCCAAGAAGCCAGAACTTGCATATCATGTGCAGGTCTCTGGCGTCAGCGTGTCACTGATAACAGGTACTAACCGTCCCACATTGTCTCCCAAGCTGTCGTTTCCAAGGCGAGCCGAGGCCAGACAGAGCCAAGCAAAAAGCCAAGCAGTGGCGAGCACCCCTGCAGAGGCTCACAGCTCGCCGCCTCCCGACCTTCCAACCTTGGAGATCTCCGAAGCCGTTTCGCGTTACTCTCCGATGCCTGCAAATCCGGGGTTGGCAAAAACCCCAGGTTTCGGACTCGATCGCTCGCTGCGCCAAAGGTACTCTGGAGTCTAGCATTTTACACCGTACACGGAAACACTGAAAACGAATTTTCCTTCGTTCCGTCTTATTACAGTTCATCCCAGGTGCGGGTTTCTCGGCATTGCGGGGTGCATGGGCCCCGCTGACCTTGAGCTTCCTCGAATTGGCAGGTGGGATGTTTCATGGAGAACTTTTGACAAGAATTTTCTCTCTCTTTTCCCAAGCCTTCAGGCTCCACGAGCGCTGTGAGAGGGTGAGACAACGCAACATGGAAACGTGGTTGTGAAAACGCTCCCTTTCCAGAATGTTTCACAGCAGGGAAGTTAGCACCGGCCAGACATTACCATACGGCCATCCATGGATCTCGTTGGTGGTGGTTCAAAAGCCCGACTTTTTTCGCACTTGCCTCGCATTGTCACCTCGCATCGCTTCGCATGTGCATCAAATCCTAGATAAGATCATGGGCGAAAGAAGAAGGTGTCATCGGTTGGCGCACGGCTGGCTTAACGCCGCCTGCCCGCGTGCCACTCGAGCAAACATCTTGACAGATAAGTGGAGGGTGCTCTCGGTGGCCAACTCGGGAACACCCAGTGAGCTGAATGCTCCTCTCGCCTCCGCGACTGCTTCCTGTCTTGATTGGCCAATGGCTCCCGAATTCCTTGCCTCCCCGTCGGGAAGGAGGCCGATGTGAGCCCTGGCTGGTTCGGCGGGCCCTGACCTCAAGTCCCCGCCACGGCTTCGCCCTTGGTCCCGGTCAGCGGGGCAGCACGCGACAGGAATCTGCACCTGAGATCCGCCGAAGAACCCAGTAACACCGAACCAAGTCCTTTCTTATCGTGCCCTCAACCACTTCCTCCTGATGGGCAGGCCGGCACGCCCTAATTTTTATTTTTATTTTATTTCCCTTTGGTCCCTCCACCACACACCCCACAACTTCCCTCCTTTCCATGGAGGCTTTCGGTTTCCTGAGAATGTCTCCTTATCTACCACGCGCCTATTTCTTCCCTCGCCCTATCTCTTAAGATAGTTGCTTCCCGGGCAACTCTTAAACCTCGTGCGCCCGCCCCCCTGGGCCTCGTCTCGGTCCCTAGGTAGCAAGGCCGAGGATCCGATTCTAACCCGTCATCGTCTGAAGTTTGGCCGCGCCACCGACAGCTGGAGCGTTTTTTTATCGAGCTCCCTTTCCAGCAACCACCTCCGTAGTTGTCCGATTCACACGCTGCAACCTTCGAGATGGCTTCCGACGGCCCGCGCGCTCCCGCCTCGGGGCACGACACAATCGAGTTCAGTGGCCCGGCACCACCCCAGTACGCGTTGGAAAAGCAACCCAGCTCCGGCAGTAGCCGACCCGCTGCCGCCACGGACGACAAGAGCACCTCGTTGCCGGTCGAGAATTATGGCGTCGACTCGGAGAAGCAGAGCGAGAACGTTGGCTCGCTACGTGCTAGGTCGGAATCCGAGGGAGACAGGCGGCCCATTGTTGCTTTGTGGTACCGCCATTGGAAGAAGGTGGCCCAGCTGGTCACCTTCATGCTCTTTACCGCGTCCGTGAACCCCTCTTTCCGGTGCCTCTCCGGTGCTGGTTGTTTGTTTTGGTTGAACACCTAGCTGATGGCCATGGCCCCCGTTGCAGATGGTGGATCTACGGTCTCGTCTTCTTCCGCCACGCCGAAGGGAAGGGTTGGCTGATCCCATCGCTTGTCTACATCGCTATCATCTTGCGCCTCATCACCCTCTACATCCCCGCATCACTGGTCCTCCGCCCGGTCCGCTTCATCTGGCTCAACACTGTCGTGAGGGTTTATGATATCGTCCCGGCCAAACTGCACCAGCCGATTGCCGGCCTCGGTACCTTCGGCGTCTTTCTAGTTGGAAGCTTCGTTCCCGAGGAAACCGGAGACAACACGCGGGCGAACCGTGCCATCTCCATCTTCGGCTTCGTCGTACTGCTATCCGTTCTCACGGCCACCTCGCGCAACTGGCGGCTTATTCCGTGGCACACCGTCATTGGCGGCATGCTGACACAGTTCATTGTCGCCGTCTTTGTGCTGCGTACCCAGGCTGGCTATGACATCTTCAAGTTCATCTCTGACATGGCCCGCGAGCTTCTGGGTTTCGCAGGCCAGGGCTTGGAATTCTTGACCGACGAGGAGCTAGCCTCCAAGACGTGGTTCTTGACAGGAGTCATCCCGGCCATTATCTTCTTTATCGCCCTTGTCCAGATGCTCTACTACGTCGGGTTCCTGCAGTGGTTCATCTCCAAGTTCGCCGTCTTCTTCTTCTGGAGTCTGCGCGTGTCGGGCGCCGAGGCCGTCGTTGCTGCCGCGACCCCGTTCATCGGTCAGGGCGAGTCCGCAATGCTCATCCGACCCTTCATGGACCACTTAACCATGGCCGAAATCCACCAGATTATGACGTGCGGCTTTGCCACCATCGCAGGCTCGGTTCTGGTAGCCTACATAGGCATGGGGTTAAACGCCCAGGCTCTCGTATCGAGTTGTATCATGTCAATTCCGGCCACCCTGGCCGTTTCCAAGATGCGCTACCCCGAGACGGAGACCCCTATCACCGCCGGCAAGGTCGAAGTGCCCAAGCACGACGACGACGAGCACACCGTCAACGCGCTCCACGCATTCACCAACGGCTCGTGGTTTGGTCTCAAGATCGGTGCCACCATCGTGGCCTGCTTGTTAACTATCATCGCCTTTGTGGGCCTGATCAACGGCTTGCTGGGGTGGTGGGGCGGCTACTGGGGCCTCTCCGCGCCGGGCCCGGTTCTGTCCCTCGAGCTCATCCTCGGATACATCCTGTACCCGGTTGCGTGGTTGCTGGGTGTGCCCAAGGATGACCTCCGTCAGGTCGGCGAGCTCATTGGCAAGAAAATCATCATCAACGAGTATGCCGCCTTTGATGCACTTGTCACGCAGAAGCGCTATATCGAGATGGCGGCCCGATCCAAGCTGATCGCTACGTATGCCTGCTGCGTGAGTGGTTCCCTCCCCCGACGAACAAAAACCGCACCAACTGTTTCTAACGCATGTGTAACAGGGTTTCGGCAACATTGGCTCGCTCGGTATTCAGATCGGTGTGCTGTCGCAGATTTCCCCCAAGCGCTCGGGTGACGTTGTGAAAGTGTCAGTTTCGGCCTTCTTGTGCGGCGTTTTGTCCACTTTGACATCTGCCAGCGTTGCTGGCATGTTGTTTACGGAAGGGATGATCTAAGAGTGGTTAGAGTATTGTCCCAAGCATATTTATTTTCGAACACGCAGATCTGTTTCTGGATACGCATATCTTCGCGGTGTTCGGGGGTCGGTGGAATAGCGCGGCAGCATGACGATGCGCCTGGGCCAAGGAGTTGAAGCTAAATATTACGAATAGCCGTGCAGAGCACGCGGCGAGGGCAGCGGTGTATGGTTGCGACTTCTTTGCAGACGGCAACGGGCAGGGCTTTACGCCGAGATGCATACGAATGATACCCGAGTTACAAAACAAGCCCGACGCACCATCGCTTGCTCCAGTTCACCAACGCACGAACTCTGCTTCCGCGATGTGTAGGCTTTGATCTACCAACACCACATCTTCGTCAATACGTTTAGGTTGGCATCTACGTAATTAGCGGAGAGCCGACCTTCAACTTCTCCCGTTCGTCTCCCAAACTCAGAGCCCCCAAGAGGCCTCAATGTCTACCACTTAGGCACTGGCGGTTTCGGCTCCCTTAATCGCGGCCCGAGGACCGTCAGCAGTCAGAAAGCCAAAGTCTACTCCATGCTCCGCTTGATTCACTTCCCGCATATACAAGCCGTGATACCCCCTGGCCCCTTCCCGGGCCACCCACGGTTCATCGCCTTTGCCGGCCATCTCCCGCCGTCTTCGCTCAATTCTCTCCTGGATCTCCCCCTCGTCGACCTCCAAACTCAACGCCCTCTCTTCCACGTCACACACGACCACATCCCCGTCCCTAACAACGCCCAACACCGACCCGGGATCCGCCCCCTCGGGGGAGACATGCAGCACAATCGTCCCGCCGGCCGTGCCACTCATGCGGCCGTCCGAGATGCGCAGCATATCCAGCACCCCCCGCGCCGCCAGCTTGCGCGGGATCGGGATCAGCCCCGCCTCGGGCATGCCCGGGTTGCCAATGGGCCCGATGCCCCTCAGGATCAGCACGCTGTCCGCATCGACGTCCAGGTCCGGGTCGTCGATGCGCGCCGCCAAGTCCGCGGACCCGTCGAAAACCACCGCCCGGCCTCGGTGCCGGAGCAGCCGCCTGTCCTTAGACGCGCTCGCCTTGAGGACGGCCGCGCCGCCCGGGGAGAGGTTGCCGTGCTTCAGGACGACTAGCGCGGAAGAGGGGTAGAGCGGGTCGTGCAGCGGCCGGATGCAATTCGCGAGGCTGTCGAGGGGGAGGGGGCGGAAGGGCGTGTGCGTGAGCTCGTCTCCGAGGGTGCGGCCTGTCACGGTGAGGGCGTCCAGGTGGAGGAGAGGCTTGAGCTGGTGCAGGAGGGCGAGCATGCCGCCGGCGTTGTGGAAGTCCGTCATGTAGTTCTCCCCGCTGGGTTTGAGGTCGAGGAGGAGGGGGGTGTTCCGGCCGATGGAGTCGACGGTGGCAGGGGTTATGCTTCCTGCGAGGGCTGGGTGGCGGTTGACTATGGCCATCAGATGAACCATGGCGTTGGTAGAGCCTCCAATAGCTTGGAGGACAGTGATGGCGTTGAGGAAGGATTCCCGCGAGAGAATGGCTTGCGGTTGGAGGCGAGACTTGGTCAGCTGAACCGCGTGGGCGCCAGTGGACTCGGCTATGCGTAGGCGAGCAGAGGACACCGCAGGTGCCGTTGCTCCCTGGATGGGCATCATGCCAAGCGCAACAAGCAGGCAGGCCATCGTGCTTGCGGTACCCATGACGCCGCAAGTACCAGCCTGTGCATGGTTAGGAACCCGAGTCAGAAAGCCCACGTCGCAAGTCATTGCCACTTACGGTTGGTGCAAGCTCGTCGTTCAGAGCAGAGATATCCTCAATGTCGATGGCACCGGCTCGAAACTTTGCCCAGTTGCTCCTGCAGTCGGTGCAAGCCCCAACTCTCACCCCCTGGTGACTACCTGGCATCATAGGGCCCGTGACAAGGTGAATGATCGGCTTGTTGGCTGATATTCCACCCATTAGCTGAGCTGGGGTAGTTTTATCACAGCCTAAGAATGTTAGCCATCATCTAAACTCTACGAAGGCGGTGCAATACAGACGCTAAACCAGGATAATATACCTCCTATCAAAACAACCGAGTCAACAGGTTGCGCTCGGATCATCTCTTCGGTGTCCATGCTCATCAGGTTCCGTAGATACATGCTTGTAGGCGCAGCGAAGGACTCGTGCAGGCTGATAGTTGGGAAGTCGATCGCGAGTCCTCCGTTCAGTTGGACACCCCTCTTTACCGCATCGATGAGTTGGGGGATGTTGGCGTGGCAGGGGTTGAAGCTCGAGTATGTGTTGACGATGCCCACGATAGGTCGAGAGAGGGCATCCTCGCTATAACCCATTGCCTTGATGAACAGCTTGCGCATGAAGAGTGAGAAGTGCGCATCTCCATAGGAAGTCAGTTTCTGGCGTAAACCGACCCCGTTTGGGTCGATGGCGGTTGTCAAGTCATAATCCGGGTTAGTTGTTAGTTTAGGGAGCGACTTCTCGTCTTGACTTGAGGCCATAGTGAACCACAAACTCCTGAGGGTGTAAGAATCTTCGTCCGGTTTGAGGTTCTAGCACAATTTGTTTATCCCCCTTTCTTCAGTGACTCAGGTGGTGTGTGTGTTTCGGGCATGTTTAGCCGTTTCGCCGTTTGGCCGAACGATCTTCAACCCACCTTCTGCGGAGAAGAGAACATTTCGGTTAGTAGGGTGTGATTTTCCGTCTTATTGCGTCACGCCATCCAGAGCAGTTGTGGGGTAGGCTCATCGATGCTGAAGACGCCGAACTCCGACGACTACACCATCCTACACTTCTCTTAGCAGTATCACTCGGCCAAGTCTCATGTACTTGGTCCGGGCTAAACAGTTGCCCGTCACAATTGGATTGACGGAATGATTTGTCTGCACCGAGCCTCAAGGTCATGAAGTCCCAATAATAGCAATAAGAAGGAGCACGTAACAGTATTCATAAATACGACAATGAACAACCGGGACTGGCCGTATGGCGTATCCGATGTTGGAGTCTGCGATACCCCCTATGTTGGACGGCACCCGCCCGCTACTCCCCTGAAACTCCAAGTTTCACCATCAGCTCTTGCCGGGGCATCTCCAAAATAGCGGACAGGGTCCTCTCATCGGGAACACCGTTCATCCCGTATGGTCGCTGCAGAAGCTCCTTGATATCCTCGTACTTCTGTCCCAGTGCCTCCGAGTCGGACTTTGACAGGCTCTCCTCAAGCAGGCTTAGGTCCCCGCTGGTCTCCTCTTTGATGTGAGGCTCCAGGTCAACCCAGATGGCGCTGAGTGACGAGTTGAAGCTGGGCTCAGCGGGCTTAAACCTGTGCATGTGCCGTAACTTTGCGTTCATCTGTAACAACGGTAGGCGGTAAACATCAGTCCTCAACTTCGTCGTGGTCTATAATGAGAAGGTTACAAAGTCCAGTACTCACGCTGTCAAAGTCTTCGGATAGCCTTCGGTGTCTCTCGCCTCCATGTGCAATGTGGCTATCAAGAGCTGGGGACACAACGAGATCCTCCACTATGAGGTATCGGTCTAAAGCCCAGACGAACTCTTCGGGCCTGCGGGTGTCCGGGTCGGCTTCCCGAAGGCGACGAAAGGCGCGCTTGATAAGAGCATGGTCTTGTTTGACCGCTTCTGAGATCCGAGGCATGTCGAAGTGATTGTGTTTAGTTCTCGGCCATGGGTTCGCGGTTGTCTTGCTGGCGGCTCCGATGGTGGTGGTGTTTGTACCTCCACTGGGAAGGGGAACGACAAGGGATGGCATGACGTCAACGAGCTGGGATCGGTGCTTTTAGTCTGGGCCGTCCGGCGAGCCTGGGCCCTCGTGCATGCTTCCTTGTTTTATTCGGAAGTTTTGACTGGGGGGCTTATCCTTGCCTTGAATACCGACCAAACGAAGCAAAAGAGTGATTGGGACGCAATGGCGGGCAAGTTATCAAGCTTGCTATATGCCTAATTCAGTGGACAAACCAGTCACGCCCCGTTGCAAAAGACCGAGGACAGGTAGCTAACTGGAAACTACTACCGGGCTTCTTCCCGGCACACGTGGACGCGGAGAAAGTTGTCAAAAAGAGTTTGTCGAGATACCAGGAGACCTACAAGCCGCTAGTGCTTCAAACGATCTCAATCTCTACCAAACCAAAGCCTTCGGTCGCAAGAGCCTCGCCATGCATGATACCATGAACATAGCTTTCCCCGATGAGACGGAACCTTTCAGTTTGACCCCCCTCGTCACCGCAGCCCTGGTGATGATCCAACTTGACACCCCCATCCTGATCAGGCCGAACCAGAAACGGGCCCGCAGCCCCAGGCACGATGCATACTACATCTCCCACAGTAGCCGAGGCCGGACCAAGACCCAGATACCCCTTTTCGGTGTAAAACAACTTCCTCTTCCCGTATCTCCGCCGAAACGAGTTCGTAAACGCGGCGTCTTTGGGCTGAACAAGCGACTTCTCCTCTCCGTCCTTCACTCTCATAACGTAGGTTGGGTTCTCATGAAACCTCTCCAGCTCCCCCCAGCTCGGGGTGTCCGCCTTCCCACCGTCTTCGGTCAGAAACAAAGCTTGGAGCTTGATCAGCGTATACACCAGCCAACCAAAATCGGGTCTGCCCAGAAACTTAGGCCGCGAATTCGTCTTTTCCCGGATTTGTTCGGCACCGAGCCCAGCCCAACCGACATCGGCCCAAATCTCCTTCGCTCTCTGCAGCGCCTGTGCAAAGGACTGGGCACAATCCCGCGGCGGGTCCGGCTCCTGAGAGACCTCCTCCTCAAGCTCAGCCCGCACAACCACCATCGCGCTCACAAGTTCCTTGAACAGCTCCCCAAACCGGGCCGGGGCCGGACTAACGGTGGAGCCGGCGTCCTGGTCGGCACAGAGCGTCCGCCAGAGAACCTCGGTCCGCTTCTCACCCGTGGCGGGGTACGGGGTCTTCAGGAGCAGCGCGAGTTCGAACCATGACGGCTCGAGAAGCATGGAGCTGTTGACGTAGTCTGTCCGCTCGTTGGCCGTTTCAACCATGGTATCGAACACGTGGGCCTGCAAGCGCAGGCGAGACCATGAGCTTGGCCCTGGTGGCGATGGCACTAGCTGAGGCGCTTCGTACTGTGCCCCCGCCGCGGCGAACGAGCCGTGGTTGCACATCATGTTGAAGTAGGGGAGGCTGTAGTCGGGGACCCAGGAGGGGTATGTGGCGATCTTGCGCTTTGAGGCATCCTGCACGCACGAGAGGATCTTGAGGGATTGAGTTTGCTCGATGATGGTCCTGGTGGTGATGGCAAAGACCTCTTCGGGTGAGCTGTAGTAGTCGATAACCCATCCCGCGCGCACTTCGGGGTCCGCCAGGCCGAGAATACCATAGACCTTGTCGCGGGGGTCACCCGAGTTGAAGATCCACGTGTCGTAGATGAGGTTCTCGAGTGTGAAGTGCCCGTGCCCGGTGGTCTCGCCGCTGTGAAAATGGTCTCGCCAGTCCGCAAGCCGTAGGACGTTGTGTTCGAGGGGCACCGCGATCTCATGACTCTGGAGGAACATGGTACTCGGGCTCCAGCCCACTACCTGACAACGAGCTTCGATGTTACGTGCTGCAGCGACAAGGTCTGTCCAGGATATCTTGTGCTTTCCGCAGAGTAGGACCAAGTCCCGAGAAAGGATGGCCTCCTGGATGATCCACAAACGGTTGAACCACTGTCGTTTGAGGAGGGCAGCTAGACTACACCAGTCCATCCAGCTCGTGTAGGCGAGGCTGCTTTTGGCATATACCTCAGGGTCTTGCTGCCGAAAAGGGGTGGCTTCACTCTGAACAAACGCATCTCTGGGATAAGCCGCGACTGTTTCGATAGTTTTGACGGCGGCGGTGGTGTACTGGTCGGCGCGGCCCAGCCAGGTGATTGTCTGCGTGGCTTTTGTGTAGATCTTGTCCATGATTCTGACTTGTTGTCCTCGCTCCTCCATGTCCTGCTGGTTGATGCAAACGGCGTCGATCCAAATGTCACCCCTCTGGTTCGCCAAAGGAAATGGCGACCTTATCAAGTTCTCAGGACTCTGGTCATATTCCTGGTGCCCGCCCAAAGCGTCAAGGAACTCGTGAAGAACATCGAGTAGGTTCCTCTGGATTTCAAGTCTCTCCCCGTCGCATAAGATTGGACTTTTTTCGATATGGCTGTACTCGCTGTCAACAGCATTGAAATGTGCAGTGAAGTCAACTCCATTCGCATGAGGATTGCCCCAGGTGTATGACAAGGCGTAGAAAAAGGGATCATCTTCCAGGTCGACGGTCTTCAGGGTTACATGCACCGACCCATCCACTCCCTTTCCAACAACGCTTAACAGCCTAATGGATGAGCCTGTTGGTAGCGCCTCGTACCGGTACCGGTATGGCTCTCTGGGCTCTACCGCGGGGGGGTTGTCTGCTGTGTCGCTCATCGTATTGTTGCTCCAGAGTTCGTTCGAGTGTTGCTCGAGAAGCTCAAATCGTGGTTTCAAACTGTGGAGAAACCCTGTCAGCAATTCTCGTTCGGGGTAATAACCCCCCGAAGGTCTCTTCACAGCCCATGAAGAGATCTGCGAAAGCCATGTTCGAATTTTGGAGTTGAGCGTTGGTTATCGAGTAACTAACGGCTCGGGATATACTTCTTATTAAGCCATATTCCTCCACATGCTTTGCTTCCCGCCATGAACGGCCTTCTTTCCCCGGGCTGGACTGGTTGAGATGCCTAATTTACTCGGGGATTGTCAAGGAGGAGTATGATATGTAACTTGAATTCCACGGGCGTAGTGCAAACAGTATGAAACCCTGTCTTCCCAGAGAAACAACCACACACGTGGCTGTATACCTACCTAACTAGGTACCTACAGGATCTTGGCTTGCCGATCCAGTCTGCCTGTTGGCCCTTTCGTGGACAGGAACGGCAGGTTCCGTAGGTGGTACAGTCATCCTCATCGCATAACTGGGTGTATGGCCCCGTGTATACCAAAACCCGACGAACGGACCCGCGAGTCACCCCTTTTCAGTGTACATGTGTGGATTACTATGACAGGCTCCCTCACGCTAAAGGTTACTCTCAGGTTTTATACTACCACTATGTGGATACTCGCATCCGATTTGGAGATGATCAGAAGAAGTTTGGCTGGAATCGGATCGACTTCTCTAGTGGCTGGCCCGTTGTCCGAACGCCTCGGATGGAGAGGACAACAGGAAGGGAGGGAGAACGGTGGGCAAGCGGCAGAAACTGCCAGTCAAGGCATTCGTCACTATGGCATCCGCGTTCTATCTAAATGGAGGTCTCGGCGCTCAGATACACACTGAGATTCCTAACTGTGCATTGGCAATCGCCGTGCAAGTGCGATTCAGATGCATGCTTTTGGTTCCTTTTTCCCCGTACGGAGCGCTTAGAGAAGAAGCTAAGATTTAGAGACCAGAACGTAGACGGCAAGTATAGCAAGTACAGCAAGCGGGCTCCTCGTCATAATTAAGGCGGCAATGTAAGGAAGGGAGGGATATTGCCGCAACCGCTCTCATCCAACAAGTGTAAAAAGGAACGATGGCAACTGGTGGGGTATCTTGATTAAGATGCAAGGAAGAAATGCGTAAAACAGTGGACAACAAAGAGGGAGGAAGGCCTCGCGGTTTTGTCGTCCTCATTATAGTTATCGTCGCGGGCATTTGTTCGTCTCTAATAAATGGCTGTGCGGGTAGTTGTGGTGGTGATAAGGGGCTGTCCACGGACGGTTATTTGCGCAGCCCAACCTTTCCCGCTAGGTTTTTGAGCCAACCGGAAGCGCTGTTCCGCCTGTCCTCTGGCCCTCCCTCGCGGGCCATGGCGGCATCGCGCAGCATGGGTCCAATAATTTCCACATCACCAAGCTCTGGGAATTTGCCATCGTCGCTGAGCATACGAGGGATCGACGGCGAGAGCTTCTCCTCGGCCGTGCGGCGGAGATGGGAGACGACGAAGGGGTCATCCTTCCACTGCTGACCCAGGCGCTCGACAAGATGGTCTTCGTCCCGCTGCCACTCCTGCTCGATCTCGGCCCATTTGGCTTCTGTCAAGGCGTACGTCTTAGAGGTGGACCCGTAGTGTTCGCCCGTTCGAACGAGATGCTTGGCATAGTTGGTTCTCGCCAAGTTCCAGTCGGAGCGGAAGGATTGAAGGGTGACGAGATCGGTCGTCTCAGGCAAGTACGGTTTCGGTTCTATCGTGAAGTTTGCGTGGCCAAGGCAGTCGGACCAGGAGTCTTGGTGGTCGAAAAAGCAGGGAACTGGTGACGGGGCGTCGCCGAACGTGCTCGAGATTGTCCCGCGGCGTAGAGAAGAAACGGATGGCTTGGTACTGAGCGGTGGTGTTGCGTAGGGCTTGGCTGTCGACCAGTCGGGAACCGGCGAGGTGATCATGGAGGGAGACTGCAACGGCGAGGTTTGCAAGGAAGGGGACAAGGCATGACTCGGGGCTGCCTCGATAAGAAGGGGGGGTAAAAGAGGAGTGGTGGCGTTGACGCGATCGCGCTCTACCCGTCTGCCCAAGGTGGCCGGCAGGTTGTCGAGGGGCGAGGGTAGAACAACGCTTTCGGAGCTTTCGTAGAAGGAGAGGGCAGGCGTGGCAGGGACCGAGCCCTGCGCGCGGTCGGAAACGTGTGTCGGTCGCGAGACGGAGGAGGATCGGCTCGAGGGGCCGAGGGAGAAGCTCGGGCGGGGATCAACTAGAGAAGGGTCGGAGGCGGGCGAGAAGGTGAGGTCATTACGCCTGGACGTGGAGGAGGACCGCCAGCGAGGTAAACTCGGGAGCCTTGACCCCAACCTCGTACTCCAGGTCGAGAACCCGGCATCGGAGCCGTGGCGCCTCTTCTTTTGCCTAGGACTGGCGTTGAAGTCGCCATCACTGAGAAAGCCGAGGTCGTAGTCCGAATCGGACGTCATATAGGGGTACATGCTGGTGCTCTGGTTGGCGTCGCCATTGTGAGAGCAGGGGAAGTCGCCTGACCCTTGGGTTAGCAAAGCGAGCAAAAGCTTGACCGACGCCGAAACACCCACATAAGCAGTAGTCATGGAATCCAAACTCTCGGTCGGTGTATTTGGGTGGCGTCACGGGTTCCTCCTCTTCCCTCTCCAATGGCTCTTCCTCGACATCGGGCAGCTGTGATTTGCTGGGCCTGGTCGCGTGCAGCGATTGTGTCGGGGATGACGGGTTGTCGGCGCATGGCGGCGGGATTAGCTCGAGGGACGAGGTCGAACCGGATAACGCCGAGTGGTTGGTGGGCGAGAAGGTCGAGGTAATGGGTGACGGGGAAGCAAGGTCGGACGAGGACGAGTTGTGGGTGTAGTAGTACGGTGTCTGTTCACCGTTGTCATCCTGTTCCCCCAACTTCCTCCGCTCTTCCACGAGGCGTGGAAGCAGCAATGGCTTTAACCCAGTCGACATGAGAGGGTTACCAGCATCAGGGACGCGACGTGAGCTTGCGATGCGGGCCGTGGGTTGCAGTATCGATCAATGACGGGGGCCGGGGGAAGAAACTGGGGAAGAAATGGAGGTGGAGGGGTGGACAATTTGTTGTTGGGGTTCAGACACCTCTGACGGATGAGCCCACTCACGAGCCACTCCCAGGGAGCCCAGCTCCAACGCGAATCGCTGGATGTGTGGCACCGACAAGGGTAGGTGGTGAATTGGGTTCCCGGCGCAGTTGTGCGTTGGCTCGGTTGGGTGTTTTGCGGGGCCGCTCGGAAGCCCAGCCCGGTCCAGATGGTGGCGGCGAGAAGAAGCTCACTCGCCCAGCAACCCTGAGACCCGAGACCCCCCAGCACACCGGCGGGGGCGGCAGTTGAGGAGCTTGGTTGGTCGATCCCTCCGCAAGATGACGAAGATGGCGGCTCGCCAACCTGAAGTCTTCGAAATAACCGCCGAAAGAAAGCCGCGGATGAATACCACGTACATACATGTACAGATGACTGCTTGATGCAATCACGCAAGGCACACGACAAGATCTCTTCTGCACAAGTTCGGCGCGAGTTATTATTATATTATGAACCCCGCACGGTCTCGCGTTTGCCCGGCGTGGTTGAGGGAGTGTACCAGCGTCACACGGGATGGGAGCTTTCCTCGACCCCGTGTCTTGGTGGCCGGCTCTTCGTCTGGTGTCTTGCAGGATCTGTTCCACGAATCAGGAAGTTCGACAAGCCGGATCTCGAGGTCGTGAGATCAGGCAGCGGGCGGCCAGAACAGCCCTCCCTCGTCGGCCCCTTCTGCATTCTGATGCTGCAACTTGTTGGGGGTACCCTGAGGAGAGGTGCGTTCTGTCAAGAGAGCACGACGCAGTGGTGGGGGGTTGCAGTACGTGGGCAGTCAGAGGCCGGAGCACCGAACAGTTGGTGATACTGCCACTGGCACCACGTGTTGTCAGGCGCTGTCTGTCGCAACGCGGTTCGCGTGGGGTTGGGGGAGGCGAATTTGTGGTTGGCCTCTGGGCCGGAGACCATGCTGCTGGGGATCTGGAACGCCGGAGCCGGAGCTGACGGCGCCCAATCGATTTCTTCCTGGAAGTCTCTGGCCTGACACCAGGAGCTCCGCACCCCAATTGAGGAGAATAACGCCGCGAACCAGTCTTCCGAGTTGGGCAACCTTGGTGGCGCGGGTGGGGTGGGCCAATGGCGTCGTATGCACCACTCTGCAGTGGTTGCAGAGCTTGAGCGTCGAGCTCAAGAAAACTCGACCGCTGTGCCGCTCCCCCGCTCAACCCACGTGAAGAAGGCCGTTTGTCCAACGTTCGTGATGACGGGAGCGTGATGCGGGGGGCATGGGATTGCGGGGGCACTCTGGCCGAAGGGGGTGTGATAGTGTGTGTACTTCGTACCGTCTGGAATGATAACACGACACAAGTTGCGCCGCTCCCTCTGGCTCTCCGAGTCCACTTCCTCGTCGGCGTCAGCTGAGAATCCCAGAACGACCGCCGCCGGAGGAGCCATGTAAACCCCCCAAGCCACCCTAACCCCCATTTCAGTCCACCCGCCGAGCCGGCCGAGCCGGCCCACGCCACAAGAGAAAAAAAAAACCCAAACAAAAAAAAGAAACAGAAAATAAACGCCCAGAACAGGAATAATGTTGCGGGTCCGGAGACAGGCCGAGTGGGTGAGCCAGGCCGCGCAGGTCGGCGCCGCACTTGCCTCCCGTGCGAAGTTACCTCAGGATCCCTTCCTCCAGTTAACTCGGTGGATGTTTGGATTTGAAACTGAAGGGTCGGACTTTGCTCTCCGAGTTTAGTTAGCACCGGACTCGTTAACTCGTTACCTGGGCGCTAAAACGCACCACAGATTTATCATCGCGACGTGAGTTCTGAGCGAGTCTGAGCGGGAACAGCACCAGACCTCCCATGCTTCCAGGTTTCTTATCCCGTTCAGAAGCAGAAACCAATTCATCAATCCATACCTCTTGATTCGCCCGGAATCTCGCGTACCTTGCACAAGCGTGTTCCGAAGCCTGCCCGACGCGCGCCGCCCCACACTTCTCATCGGAGATCTCACCCGCCCCTCGGTCGTTCAGGTGCTCTCCCGCCGCTTGAAAGCGGCGCAGACCCCCCCCGCGTGTCTACACTTGACAGTATGTACCAAGCAGAGCCGTCACACTCCCTACTGGGCCTGAGACAGCGGTTTCTAAAAGTGGACTGCGGCTATTCGACGTGGAGCTGGGGCGAATCGTAACTTGGTCTGGTACAGACATACTAACCTGCCCAGAAACCATGAGCTTGCTTTGCACAACCCCAAGCTGCCCTGCACGACAACTGCCAGCAAAGCATGCCGTATGCCCCGGCTCCAACTTCCCAAACGCAGACTCCATATCGAATGCAGTGTAACACAACCACTGCTCCCGGTTCAGTCCTGTGCCTGACAGACGGTCCCCTGTCAGCGACATGAAGCCATGATGACAATCACCAATATCCTCCCACTGATTGATGATCTGTCACACATCCCGTTGCATCTGTCCTTTCCCACAATAGCCGAGTCCAATATGCGTCTGTGCCTCGATGGCCACGTCCACCCAATGCCGTCCATCCAATGCCGTCCACCCCAATACTATCCACTACACTGGAGCCTTCATACCCGCAAGAGGTACCCGGAGTATGAGCTTGTCGACTATCACCCTACTTCCCAGCTAATCGCCACTGACTGGCCGGTCACACGGTGATGTGGTGCCCTTGCAGCCCTCATTTGTCACCGGGTTGTGTAGTCGCATCCCCTCTTCGGGACCGAGTGATTCGTGAACCCAGTCATAGTGCCTCCATTGATTGCCAGCGAAGTCAGAATGTGTATCGCAGAGAGTGAAGTGATGGCCCACCACCGTTGATACTCTAGAGTCCAATGTCTGATCTCGCACCATCAAACCGAGTGTTCATGAGAAGACTCGAGCCCTGTGGCCCCTGTCCGGCCTGGGACGGCTGCGGAGGAACGATTGACATGCTGCCATGTGGTGGCCGGTCAAGCAAGTGCTTGCCATCGTTCCCACTGACATTCAAGATCACTTTTCGTCCCTTGCATTAGCCCGGTGTCAGGGAGGGGCGCCTCAGGACCGGATTCGCTCAGTCTGCCTCCGGCACTCTCGGGATGGGCCCTCCGTGGCCCTCGGCTTTCCGAAGCCAAAAAACTTTTTTGACGGGTGGCATTGACGCGGAATTGTGGCCAAAGAGATCGTCCGATGCCCGATCAGAGAGCCCTTTTTCTGGGTCCCCGTCCCGATCCATCGATGGACTCGGGCGCGCCCAACCTCATGTCAGCCGTGGCCCAGCCTGGACAACTCGAGGTTACATCAAGACTCCGGGTCGGTGGCGCCAAAAAGAAAATTCTGCTCCTCGACCAGGGCTAGCTGGCGGCCCTCGAGAGGACCCGCGCTCTGCTGAGGGATATTTTCGTCGCCCAGATTGCCTGCCGCTCTTTTTTCAGAATCATGCCATCATCATGACCCTTTCGCTAACCGCCACGCATCTGCCAATCTGCCCCCGCATGGCAATACTTGGCCGTCGGATAGAGGCTCCCCATCCACGCTTCTGAAAATTCCCTAGCTCCGAGCCCATGTCGCCGATGTATGGTTGAAATGTAACTGGATTTCGGTGCACAGCGTGTGTCCCGTTCACCAACCCCAAGGGGTTGAGACTCGGGAGTGATTCATTCTGCCGGTTCTGGGGTGAAAGCTCCAATGGCAAACATTCTTACGATCATGGCTGTTAGCCAGTTTCATTTTCCCTAGAGGTTCAGACGGGGGCATGATTACCTGTAGAGGGGTTCAAGTGCACAGAAGTCTACAGAGATACAGTGGCAAGCCGTTCCACCTCAATTCACAATGCCGCACTTTCCCGCTGAGATATCCCAAAGGTAAAATGAGTGGCCGAGTCCTATTATGGAAAGAAGGCGTAGATTTCCATGATCACACGACACAGAACGGCGTTGCGTAACCCTCTACGCTTATCTACGTGGGCACAAACAACGGATTGCATAACCCAGAACAGCATACGGTAGCTCAATAGCTAGCGTGAATACTATAAGAACCCCAAAGACTTTATACGAAAAGCTTCCTCTCGGAGAAAAGGGGGAAGCAACAATCATTCTCCATCTCCCTTTCTCTCAACCTCGAGATGGTTTTGTATGTAGAGCAAGCCCTAGAGCCACTACTCCTGGCCACCTGTATTTAGCTCTGGCTGAGTTTCTCCTAGCACCCCTACCTATTTATCGTGGGTAAGATCTCCGAATTAGAATGCATATAACCCCCCCACGACGACACCGTGGTCCGAGCTGGCGACCACGGGACCGTCAAAGACGAAGTAAGTGTACCAGAAAGAAAATCCCCATTCACACCTCCTATAGAACACGAATGAGTACGCAGTCTTCCATTGCCAGGTCATCAAATTGGTATTAGAGACAGTTACATGAATCATCCTCCACTTCACGGCACCGAAGCCCAACACACCGCTCGAGCCCAAAGTCTAATATATAGGGGCGACAAGAGACCGAAGAGTAGTGGGCTAAGGCCATGTGTTGATAGTTCTTGGATAGGTGACTGTTGTAGTACAAAGCTGGATGGCTACCTATACTGAACTAGGATCCTGGTGAAGCAGGTGGGATGGGTGTCGCTCCATTCCATTAATTTCAAGCTCTTTCTCTGGCCTTCGACATGCCTAGCACATACGCAAGCATGAAAACAAAGAAAAGGAGAATGATAATGAATGGAATGTTTCTTTCTTGCTCGTCGAGACTTCGGGGAACATTTCTTGACATTGCCATCTCCCTTAGCGTATGATTCTCTCCTCTTCACTTACATTGACCCCTCTCTCTCAGTTGATCAGAAATGCCACCCCCCCACCCCACACCACCTTGCTCAAAAGCTGTTGTCCTGTTTGGTCGGTGGACTGAAAAGTCTTGCTTCGTCATCCAAGCTTCACAACGGCTGAACTCCACCAACTCTGTGGAGCGTGGTGATGGCGATCCACTCGTGGTAGCAGTTTAAATGGCTGGGCTAAGCCACATAAAGTGTTTGTTTTGCATATGGACCCCTTGACCTGGCCGCAGGCTTCCGCCGTGCCCATGTCATTATTCCGCCCGCATCCTGTTTTAGTGGTTTGGATACAACGAATGTAACTTAACGGGGCTTCTCTCTAAACACATATACTACTGGGTCCGAGCCGTTCACGCGGCCTTGAACTTGCGGCCGAGGAACAAGCTAGGTAGAGACCATGCTTCTCAGTAGATGTGATGGTGGAAATGACGAGATGAATATAGTTAGAAAGTTCATCTTATACTGTATGTATGTGCATTCTCCCTTCACCATCTCGGGCTTGGGTATTCGGATGGGTTTACGGATGATACTCCGCCCAGTTGAAGGACAAGGCATTGTATCAACTTTGATGTGATGTGGGTCAATGTGCAATCGGGGGACGCTTGTTCATGCGGAAACGACGATCAACCCTCCCTTGGGCTGATCGACTCGATATGAGAGGGAACGAGTGGCTTCTCTTGACTCTTGCTGTCCCCTCGCACAATACGACCTTGACGGTGAGACGGTGTACAACCGAGGTTCCTTCGGTCTGAACTCCGTCTGTTACCGATGCTCGGTATCCTGCGGCGCATGTCCAGATGAGACCAGGAAGCTGGCGGTGAGATTGTGGGGTTCTGAGGTGGCTCGGTGGGTTCGCCGTTGAGAATTCGGGACAGCGTTGCATCGGATCTCTCTTGTCCCCACGTGGAGAGCGAAGTGACTGGGGGGGCCGGATTGGGCATGGACGGCGGCGTTGTCGCCCTGGTGATGGTTAACTACACAGTAGAGAGCTCTGGATGACTTGGGGATGTCAGTGTTGTTGATTGCTTTTGTGGTGGACTCGGACCCCGAGACACTCTTTATGAGGAAAAAGCCTTTTCAGGACGCATCCGAGACACCGGCACTCTCCGCCATTCGTCGCCCGAGAACAGGCCAAGACCAACCCTGGATATCACGGCAGTTGTGACAACGTGGCTGGCTGCAGCGCCAAGCAGGCCGGCAAGGGTTCCAGGACAAGGCCGGCAATGCCGGAACGTGGGGGCGCGGCTCCCAGGTCGAACGTGTTTCACTGCTTGGGTTCGTGAGAAATCTCATCCAGGAAATCATGGCACTGAAACGAAACGGCCGGGCAAGCCCCGCTGCGGTGCTAGGGAAGCCTTTACAACCTTTTGTCGGTGAAAAGTATCATATGAACAATAGTATTCGTAAATACGTGACTATGAAGTCGACATGCCAGGAATCCTTCCCACATGTTGGCCATACATACACCTGGTGCCCAACTTTGTAATCAAGACCTTGACCGCTCTTCGTTCCTCCGAGTTACGCGCACCCAAAATTCGTCGATTAACCAAAGACCCTAGTACCGATTAGTGAACGGCTCCCGCCACACAAAGCCTGTCGAAATGTGCTTACAGCATTGCGAATATGAGCCGGCTGAACGGGGTTTGCAAGCGAGAAATCGAATCGCCTAAACAACTAATTGCCGATTCGTCAGCCACCAGATTCCGCAGACCATCAAAGTTTTACTGTTTCACTCATCAAACATACCTCGACGAAGATCTTGTTGAATTCCATCCAGGCCACACCTCTGCCGGGACACTGGAATTTCCCAGAGTGAAAGACCAAGTCCACGGTACTGGACATTCGGGCGAGTTGTTCCCCTTCGGCCTCGAGCCACCGCTCCGGTCGGAAGATATCCGCGTCCGGGCCGTAAATCTTTTTAGAACGGTGGATTGCCATGACATTCGAGCCAATTTGCGTGCCACCGGGAACGAACTTTCCATCTATCGTATCTCCCTCAGGAGGTACCTGCTTGAACATGCCACCGGAGGCGGGAGGCATCATGCGAAGGCCTTCCTTGATGACCGCCTGCAGGTATGGGAGCTGCCGGCCTTCGGCGTCCTTGATGGGGGATGATATCCTCCCCATGCTAATCGCTTCATCAATTTCGGCTTGCAGCTTTTGGTATACTGGTGGGTTGCTCAGTGTATACAGCGTGACGGCGCGGATGGTCGAAGCCGAGGTATCGCTTCCGGCGACTATCTGAATCAGCGTTTCCGCCGCAGCTTCGTCCTCGTTCAGGCCATGGCGAATGAAGGATCCGAGCATATCATGGTGATCGGGAGCATCGGGCTTGAAACGTTTGGCGGTGACGTGGTTTGCAATGCTATTCCCAGCGGTATTAGTGTTGATCCACAAAGTACCTATCCTCTCCGCCAGTCATAACCGCCGACCTACCCGATCAAAGCTCCGAACCCGATCTTGTCGGTATCCTTCGGTAAGATCTTGCGAAAAAAGGGCGAGTGCAAAACCTTTGTCAACATAGGATATGTTGAAATCACCATCATGGCGGGGACAGACGTCATGGTGATCTTGATATAGTCGTAAACGTCGGCATCGTACTCGAGGAACCCCATCGGCTGGCCCCACGCGAGCTCACCGATGACATCCAAGGTGAAATACTGTGCCTTGACGCCCCAGTCCATCGGGCGATACTCCTGATCGGTGGACAGGTATTTCGTTTCTATGAGCTCGACCAGCCTTGCGATCTGGGTTTCTATGCTGCCCTCCATCGACAGATTCTCCTTGCCCGTGTACTAGACCCAGATCGTCAGCGTCTAGTGGTAGCGGGTAGGGGAGTTGGACTGACACCAGGAAGTATCTTTGCGCGGCGCGCGTTATGAAGATGGTCATCTCGCAGGGTTAACACGTTGTCTCTGCTTGGGTCAACCCGAAATGCCTCGTACCCTGCTCTCTGTCAGTACCTATTCCGCGCGAGGGATTCTGTAGGCGTGGTATGATTGCCGGAACTTACAGGGCCCTCGGGTGTAGGGAGACCGGGCGGCCATCATCCTTCGCAAGATATCGGGATCATCAGTGATGAGCTCGTTGGGACCGACACGCACGAGTGACCCTGTCGGACACGAACTTGTTAGAACAACACCCCGGAGGCCCATGGATACAGATTTGCGGTTGAACCCAGTGAGAACTCACCATATCGCTTGCCCATCTCGTGGTATGCCCCGGGCAGCCGAAGCTGGACGGCTTCCCGAAAGACCCATAGCTTGGAGAAGCCGGCCGTGAACGGCCCGGGAATGTGTGCTAAACGCCGCCATTGCCAAATAGCACGTAGCACAAAGGCGGCCACTAAGCCGCCGAGCAAGACAACTACGCCCAGTGCCATTCTGAAGCTTGTTTGGCGTTAATGTGCCCGGTTTTGGCGTGCGGAAAGTCGGTTCCACCTGGCTGCCGCAGATACAAGAGAGTCACAACGCCTGGATATTCATTTGATTTTATAGCTCGGGGCCCGCTGGACCCCGCGGGCAACGACTTGAAACCAACAGTCGACGCAGTTCCCACGCTTGCCAAATTCGGTTCGACTCGTCCATTATTACCCGCCTGCATCGCCCTACTGCAGTGAGGAAGATGACAGGGGTGGGAATATCTCTTCGTCTCTCAGGAAAGGACCGGTTCGCTCCCACTAGTCCCGGCCCCGCTTGCCGATCCAGGTTTCTTAGGTGGTATTGCATGAAGCCTCGCAGGATCGAACCGAAACCCTGTTGTCCCCCCACCTCTCACGAGAGGGCCGCCGAGCCGCCGCCCTTGCTCATCTAGCCCATCAAGGAACGCCTACTGCATGGAGCAGTCTATCCTCATCTACACCTGGCCACTTAGCTCAGTTGGTGTCTACCTGGATAACTCGTGGTAATATTGGTTGGGGGGGGTCCCATGACGAAACCTTCTCAGCACCAATCATCTTAAAACAAGGTGCTTGCTTATTATAATCTGTACCTGCGAACCCCTGCGGTGTTGGCGTCGACATTTGTGCATACCCAAGGAGTCTAGGTGAACAGACTGGAGAACACACGACAGCCTTGAGTCAAATACCACGTAGTGATGAGGAGCTCCACTAGCAGACGAGGTAAAGAGTGCCATCACTGTTCTTTATAACAGAACCTAGTCTGAGGTGTGCGCAAAATACGGCACAATGAAAGAAAAAGCAAAAAGCAAAAACCGTCCGAAGGAGTGAGAGAAGGGAAGAGAAGTAGATAAAACCAGACAAAGTTTCCAATCTTTATGGCCGTGTCTGACAGGCCGAAACGACGTCACGCTCCCCCTCCTGTCCGTCCATAACAACATGAAACGAGTGAACCAAGGCTCGAAGCTCCCCCACCCCCCCTTTCTTTGTCGATGCGCTTTGCCATCGCTCATGGTGCCTCCCGTTTTTACTATGCCTCTCCCTCAACGAGCGGCTTGATGACGGCAGACCCAAGCCCAAACCGCCTCTTCACCGCCTTCCACATCTCCACGATGGCGGTATACACCACAACACACGCGGCTACAACACCCCACTCCCAGGTGATGGCATCGTGTTTGAATACAATCCTGTTCACCACCGGTAGGTAGATAACCGGGAAAGCAACCACAAACCCGGCCGTAACTGCACCAAACAAGAACTTGTTCTGCCAGATTGTTCTAAAGACAGACAACGGACCAGAGTACTTCTCGGGATGCATGTTGAACAGCGAGCGGGTGAAGTGCTTGGCCTCCCATGCCATCACTAGCAATAAGAACGTCAACGTGGCAAACGTCGTGGCTCTCGCTTTAAACGCGACGCTGCACGCGTCAGAGTAATCTTCGTTGCACCCGATGCCCAGACCATTGGGCCCGTTGACACCGTAGGCAACCGACGTGAACGCGGCAAGGCACAGGCCGCCCATGGCCGTACCGTAAACGAACTTGTCGATGATGAGCTCACGCGTGAAGACGCCGGTAGAGAGGTCATGAGGTGGGCGTTGCATGATATCTGGCTGCGCGTCCTCGATGCCGAGGCCGAGGGCCAGGAACGAGGAGGTGACGAGGTTGGCCCAAAGGATCTCGAGGGGCGATAGTGGGAAGACGGAGACGCCGCGCGGGTCCTTGAAGGCCAGGCCGATGAGGAGGAGGAAGACTTGGGCGATGTTAGAGACTAGGAGGTGGAGGAGGAACTGCAAGGCATCCGTTAGTCAAGATTATCTCTCAAGCCTGGAACAAAAAAGCACCTTTTGGATGTTGTCAAATAGACGTCTGCCCTCTTCAATGGCAGTGACGATCGAGGCGAAGTTATCGTCAGTCAAGACCATGTCTGCTGCCTCCTTCGCAACGTCACTGCCGTTCAAACCCATAGCAATGCCGACATCCGACTTCTTGAGCGCAGGCGAGTCGTTCACGCCGTCTCCGGTCATGACACAAAACGCCTTCCTTCTGTGCATGGCTTCCACCATACGCACTTTGGTCGTCGGGCTACATCGGGCGAGGACAAGAGGCAGGCGCTCCATCTCGTCGATCTGAGCATCGCTGAGGCTATCAAATGCGCCGGCAACCATGATGTCTCTCTCGTTGTCGTGATTGGCGCGGTCCAGGATGCCGATCTCGTAAGCAATGGCTGTCGCTGTCTTGACGTGATCGCCGGTGAGCATGTGCACGGTGATGCCGGCTTGCTGACACCGTTTGACGGCTGTGGCAGACTCGAGTCTAGGCGGATCATAGAGACCAGCCAAGCCGAGAAAGGTGAGGTTTCTCTCGACGGATGAACGCTGGTCCGAGTTCTCGTCTACCTGTAGAGCAACCTTTTCCGGCTCGGCTGTCGCGCCCTGGGAAACATAGTCTTGAGGATTCGTAGGTTTTCTAGCGATGCAGAGCACACGAAGGCCCTCGCTAGCTAGAGATTCGGCCTTGGAGACGATGATGTTCTTTTGCTCGGCAGAAACATCCATCAGGGGAAGCATGGCCTCGAGGGCGCCCTTGGTGTAGGCGAACGCACCTGCCCCGTCACTGCAGACAACCGTCATCCGCTTGCAAGACGAATCGAAGGGGAACTCGGCCAGAAGTTGGTGGCTGCCCGACTGCAGCAGCTCGGGCTTGCCCATGCCGAAGCGCATAGCCAGAACCTGGAGAGCAATTTCGGTGGGCTCACCGATGGCCGTGTAAGAAGTATCAGCTTTGGTGACAATCGAGTTATTGCAGAGAGCAACTGTCTCGAGGAAGTCCTTTAGCTGGGCCGCGGTTTTCTCGGCCGTTGGGGATTTGGGAGTGTACACCTCGTCGCCCACGCGCACGTTTCCGCCGGTGGGATCAAAGGGGTGGGTGGTGCCCTGGATGGACACCTCGGTCCCGTCGACAAGCCACACCCGCTTGGCAACCATCTTGCCCTGGGTGAGTGTGCCGGTCTTGTCGGAGCAGATATTTGTGACTCCGCCCACGGCTTCGAGAGCGGCGAGCTTGCGGATGACAACGTTGCCTTTGGCCATAGCGCGAGTGCCAATGGCCGTGGCAATGGTGAGGACGGCAATCAGCGATTCCGGGATGACGGCAACAGCCACGCAGATGCCGTAGATCAGCACTTCGCTCGTGACGTGCCAGCGGCTGGCAGAAAAAACAATGATGGCCAGTGTAATAGCCAGAGCAAACAGCAGCAGGGCGAACTTGCTCAGGGCGACCTGCATGGGCGTGCCGTCGAGGCCGAGCAGAATCCGGACGCCATTCCGGACCTTGACCCAAGCCTTTCCAACGACAGTCGTCCGCTTGTCGGCCGGGTTTTCCCTGCTCTTCCTCAAGAGTTCCGCGATCCTACCGACCTCGGTAGTCATGCCCGTGGCGACGACGATGCCGGTAGCACGGCCGCGCGAGACGACGCTAGCCGAGTACACCATGTTGAGGCGGTCGCCTAGGGGCACATCGCGGTCCTTGAGGATGATCTCGGCGTGCTTGCTCACTGGGACAGACTCTCCAGTGAGCAATGCTTCGTCAGTCGACAGATTGACGCTGTGCACAAGCCGGAGATCGGCCGGGACGATGTCACCAACTCCGAGCTTGACCAGGTCACCGGGTACCAAGGCTTCGGCCTTGATACTGTCCGTGTGGCCAGCGCGGATTACCTTGCACGTGGGTGCAGAAAGCGCGTAGAGCGCCTGGATAGTCTGCTCGGCGCGGAAGTCTTGGATGAACCTGCGGCGGGATCGATGAGATGGAGGAGAGCAACCGGGGGTAATTCTTTCGAGACTCACCCGACCACCATGTTGAGCAGGATGACAGCGGCAATAACGCCGCCTTCGATATGGTCATCAATGGCGAAGGACAGGACCATCGTGATGACGAGGACCTAGGTCTTTGTCAGTCGCCGTTGCACCACAAGGGGGGGTGTTGGGAGGGGACACTCACAAGAGTCAGGCTGTTAGACACCTGTCTCATGAGAATCGTCCACACGGATAGCCCTCGAGCTCCCTCAACCTTGTTAGGGCCATGGTGCTGCAGGCGGCGGGCAGCTTCGGAACCGTCGATTCCATTTCTGGGCGCGTGAGCAAGAGGGGCCAGCCAACAGATGGAGGAGGGGAACAAAGGCTTACTCAAGGTCTGTCTCGAGCAGGGCGCAGACATCTGGCACGGAAAGTGTGTGGGCGGACTCAGTAGTCAAAGCGGGAGCCGTGTCAACGGTGCTGCTAATGGAGCCACGACCGACAGTGGCATCAGCATCGGCGTCGGTGGCATCGGCGTCCGTTCCGGTGGTCCCGGCGAGGGTGGGCGATGGAGGAGGGCAGGATGCGGAACTCTTGAAGCCACATATAGGAGGCTCCGTCTGCCCCTCGACGTCCAGCTCGTTCTCTGTCCCCATTCAATAAAGTGCGTCGCCGATATGATCCCAGCGAGTTCACGCGATGAGGGAAAAGAGGGAAAAGAACAAAAGGGAAAAATTCCGGAAGCCGGAAGATGAGCCGGGGCTTAAGATCAGATCCCCCTGCCGCTCTGGTCGTTGGCGTCCGATCACCGAACGCCGCCCGCCACATCCCACCCGAATTGGACCACAGGCGGACGGACCCGAGCCTGGGGGGAAGGACGTGTCTTGGATGGTGGGTACGTCGGCCAAGGGACGGGCAGCAACCACACAAACGAGTGAAGGCGACGCCAAGTCACTGGCAGCAAGGCGACACTCCAATCACATCCCGTTCACGACCCCCACCGACCATCAAACCCCGGCAGAGCGAAGAGCTCCCAGTGGCTCAGCTTGTTCCTCTGCCTTCTTGGTCCCCTTGGCATCCGCTCCAGCCTGTGTTGCCCAGCGCCGGATGCACCAACCTGGGGGCCACAATTGATCACCTGGTCTCTTGCTTGTCTCATAAACCTCGTTAACAAGGCTGACGAGCCTCTTTCTTGCCACGCCATTGGATCGCTGTTGCGGGGCTCTCGAACTGAGTCGGGAAGTCACGCAGACACGTCAAAACAACCGGAGTCTTCTTCATCTTCCCCCACGTGCGTGACACTGCAAACAAACTTGCAACCTGTGTAACTGTTCCGCAACTCCCTACCTGAACTACATCTGTAATCTGTACATATATATTTCCAATCAGCTTGGACCGAGGATATCAAACACGCCACCGTCCTGGCCTTCACGCATTGAACATCTCCGCTCAATCTCGCTTTGTCAAACGGAGCTTCCTCCCTCACTCATTCCTTGCACCCTGCCGCCTGCGAGTCTGCCAAGGTGGGCCCCACATCTGCCAGATGCAGCTGGATTGTTGAGTCCATGTCGGAATCCTGCATGACACGATATGATTCGCGTAAACAGGCTCGGGGGGTTCTTTTCTGGAAGACACCATCCACAGGACATGATTAAGCAGTCGAACTGCTGCAACTAACTGAATCTGGCAAAATCGGTTACTGCATCACAGCCCGGTTTTGGGGATCATGTGCTCATGTCGTTACCTAGTTAGGTACATGTACAAAGGAGAGCAAACCTGATTGATAAAAGAAGCACTGACATGGAAAGAACCCTTGGCATCGTCAGCAGGAACTGGGATGCCCAAACTTTGAACGGTATACTGGTTCAGCCTCCAACCACGAATCTATCCTGTCATGCCGTAAGGTACTTCGTACGGAAACCGTGTTTGGTTGAGCTCAACCTAATGTGCTAATCCATGGTACACGGTTCAGGATTACACAGGTTTCGGGCACAAGACCACCCCATGAATTTGGACAAAGTGACAAACTGGCCAGGGATGAGGACGAGAATGGCTCAAGTTGTCAGTCTTGTGGAGTGAAGAATGCCCTTACCACCTGGCCATCTTGCAATCCCGCGATGTAACCCATCTCTTTACAATCCCCTTCCCTTCTCTACGACAGAGGTAGTTGCACCGAATAGGATAGGACGGCTCACTCGCCTGCTCATCAACACGCATTGCTGTCGGGAAGCGAGGACCGAGACTTTTCTCCTTGGCCAACACCAATATACGGGCAGTCTTCAGTCTCTCACCTTTACAAACGGCTTGGTACAACTTGTACATACACGACAGTTCCGCACAGCCTCCTTGCCAAGAGCGGGGTTTGATCTTTACAAACGGCGTGACTGGATGGCGTTGGAGGAGGTTCGGGCGAGAACAGCACCAAGATAACCCGGAAAGCCGGATTCGTCTCATGCAATAGGGAGTGGTACTCCCCACAAATTCTTTCTGATTGAGGCCTCCAGGGTTGGGTTCTCACAATCATAAGTCTTGGTACTAACTCCTGGGTTACTTCTTATGCGCTCCTGTTTGAGCCGGCACGTGGCTGGATAACGTGGATCGACTTGGTTGGTAACCGCGCCACGGGAAACAACATCGATCTCGGCGTTCAGGCATTCTGGGGGGCGGTTTCGTTTTACTAATGTTTCTAAGATTATTACCTCGGATCATTTAGTACCACAAGGCTCTTGACGAAGTCTACTGCATGTGAGAAACCCATCCTGCGGCTTCGAATCTCGGTCTTCCTGCTCTTACTCAGGTTGATCTTACCCCGTGTTGGGCTCCGTCACTTACAACTGCCCTCCGTTCATTTTTCCGGTGGACGCTATGGGCGTTCCAATATATTCAGGTGAGCACTTGGCGGGACTCTCTATAGGATGCTCGGGCTCGCGGTTAACAACTGACTCGTCTTGATTCTTTGCTCGGAGCAGGAAGCAATTCCCGACTTCACCTGATAAATAATACTCGCGGCTGAAATATACGCCTCAATGGGATTCTTACAAGATAGGAACACTCCTTGCTGGTACAAAGGTTTATCCCGGTATGGAGTTACTTTGAACATATTGGACTTCAATTGCTGGAGTCAAGTTGCGAGTAACTTGAGAGGGCTCGTTCAGGTAAGGTTAACAATCCATCTCAAGTACCTACTTATTAAGTGCTATAGGCATCTATCCAAGCCTTCAGGCTATGATGGACTTGGTCTGTTACTGGAAGAAGTAAGGCTCAGAATGGACTATGTTGAGCACACGAGAACTTCGTTGAAGTAATACTACTCCAGCTTCTCGTTACGGTGGAATCGAAGTCATCGATGATGCGAGTGTCGTTGGCCGGGATGAGGGGAAAACGATGAGGGGGTATAACCAACATCAAGCCGGGAGAAAGAAGAAAGAAAGATAAGACAAGATGACGTGTTTTGGAAAAGAAGAAGCAAGAAGAAGCACGTACATTCCGACTACGAAGTAAGCTCGTAAGATGCTACCGGCGAGGACAGACAAGAAGCAAGCAGGGTTAGGGATAGCATATGTGACTAAGCGGAGTCGAGCACGGGCCGAGACTCTGAACCTTGCAGATCTGCCCCCCGCTAACGCTTTCCAGCGCCGATCCTTGGCAACAATTTGCTGGGTGCCAGACCTAAATACCCCGCCAAAATGGCCATGAAAGGGGAGAAAGGGCGAGACTGTTGACCGCTTGAGTGTTTCCTCAACACACCGCAGCCCAAGTACATCCAAAACCCCCATCCCCAGCCATGGCAGACAAAGTGTACCGCGCCAGCACCACGGCGCCGGTGAACATCGCCGTTGTCAAGTACGGACCCCTCCTTCTATCTCGAAGCGGCAGCAAATTCGAACGCAGCTACCTGGGTACCTAACTGACCGCTGCCCGATTCTAGATACTGGGGCAAGCGCGATCCCAAACTCAACCTGCCGACCAACAGCTCGCTCTCTGTGACGCTCTCGCAGGCCGACCTCCGCACACTTACCACGGCTTCGTGTTCTGCCTCGTACCCCTCCTCCGAGGGCGACTCGCTACTCCTCAATGGCGAACAGTCCGATGTTGCGGGGGCCCGCACACAGGCCTGCTTCCGGGAGCTGCGCGCCCGCCGTCGGGCCCTCGAGGACGCCGACGCTTCTCTGCCCAAGCTCTCGACAATGCCGGTCCGCCTCGTGTCCGAGAACAACTTCCCGACTGCCGCAGGGCTGGCGTCGTCGGCGGCAGGCTTTGCCGCCCTTGTGCGGGCCATCGCTAACCTGTACGAGCTGCCGGCGTCGCCGTCCGAGCTGAGCTTGATCGCGCGCCAGGGTTCTGGGTCGGCATGCCGCAGTCTCTTCGGCGGCTATGTCGCCTGGCGCATGGGCGACGCGGCCGACGGCAGCGACTCGATGGCCGACCAGGTCGCCGAGGCGTCGCACTGGCCCGACATGCGGGCGCTGATCCTCGTTGTGTCGGCCGCCAAAAAGGGTGTCAGCTCGACCTCGGGTATGCAGCAGACGGTGGCGACCTCGGGCTTGTTCCAGGAGCGCATTGCCAAGGTCGTGCCGCAGAACATGGCGGCGATGGAGAAGGCCATCGCTGAGCGCGACTTTGCCTCCTTCGCCGAGGTTACCATGCGCGACTCCAACTCGTTCCATGCGACTTGCGCCGATACCTACCCGCCCATCTTCTACATGAACGACGTCTCACGGGCGGCGATTCGGGCGGTGGAACAGATCAACGCTGCCGCGGGGAGGACCGTGGCTGCGTACACGTTCGACGCCGGTCCGAACGCTGTCATCTACTACCTGGAGAAGGACACCGAATCTGTTGTGGGGACTCTCTACCACGTACTTGGAGGCGAGGTCGGCGGCTGGAAGAGCACCGTTGTCCAGGGGCTGAAGCCGAGCATGTCCCTGGATGAAGGGGTCGCCGAGATCCTGAAGGCTGGCGTTAGCCGTGTGATTTTGACAGGAGTAGGGGAGGGCCCCATCAAAAGCGACGAGTATTTGGTTGCTGAGGATGGAAGTCCGGCAAGGAGATGATCTTGTGTTAGTGTGTTGGGGACGCCCGGCCAGAGCGCAGGAATAATAAGCGTTGGTATGTTTCAAGTAGCGAAACGCTCTCAATACATCCATGTACAGGCGTTGGATTGGCCCACACGGCAGAGCCGCTTGCCAGAACGTGCATGCTTCCCGGGTCATTTTGAAAACTGTCCCCGTGTTGATCCCCCGGACTTTCAGCCAGGATGGGCTTGCGGGTTGTCCTCGATAAGGTATGATAACCTGGAAGCCCCGCCGTTACGTCAGACGCGCTGAAGCCGCCTGAAGCCCAGGAGGAACGGAAGCGGACATACAGGGGCAGAAAGGCACGCGACTGGTCGCTTGTCCGCGCCGCCAGTCAGCCCCTGATCCTCCATCACACTGCTAGCCTCGTCGCTCACTGCCGCCCTCCTGTCGCACATTCTTGCACCCGGAATAACGTTCTACGGTGCCGATGAGCGTGCGACCAGCGCCGCCATGAGCCGGAGCTTCTACGACATCGACCCGGCGGGTGAGGTCCTCTGCACTTACACCAATGGCGAGAAGGAGAAGCTCAAGTCCGTGAGTGTCCGCGCCCTGTCTGCAGCCTTCTCTCCTAGTCTCGCCTTTCTACCTTTCCTCGCCACGAGAATCTACCCAGCAAGCTAATTAAATCTTCTTTCGCAGGAGAAAACCGAGGTCCCCATCCCCAAAGCAGTCTTATACGCGTTCCTCCCCGCCGGCTACCCACACTCCGTAACCGACGACTACCTCCCGTACCAAACCTACGACTCGCTTCAGGCATTCGCATCCTCCATCACCTCGCTACTCGCTAACCGCGCCGTGCTTGAGGGCCTTGGGGTGGGCGACTCCTCGTCATCCCCGACCGGCGCCCTGATTCTCAAGATTACGGGCGACACCATCTCGCGCATCGCCACAATCCTCTTTGCGCACCGCATGGGCCAGGCCATTGAACCCGAGTGCAAGTTCTACCGCTTCCTAGCCGACATCTTCAACGACAGCGCCCAATTTCTCGACCTGCTCACCCCGGCCCTACCATATTTCCCCAAACTCGGTGTGATCGTCTCGGCGGGGGTGCTGCGCTCGCTGTGTGGCGTGGCCGCGAATGCGAGCAAGGCAAGTCTGTCGGCGCATTTTGCGCTGACGGGGAACCTGGCGGAGCTGAATGCGAAAGAGGCGTCGCAGGAAACGGTCGTCAGCCTGTTGGGGATGCTCGTCGGGTCGTTGGTGGTGAAGATGGTGGAGGACAAGCAGGTGGTGTGGATGCTGATGGTATTTCTGGCTGGAGTGCACCTGGCTATGAACTACCACGCTGTGCGAGCGGTCAAAATGCGCTCGCTCAACCGCCAGCGGGCGACGCTTGTGTTTCGAGAATGGCTGGATCATGGGACAGTCCTCACCCCGCAACAGGTGTCGCAGAGGGAGAGCATCCTACGCAACGGGAGGGGGAATCTGGCGAGCAAGAGCGGGGATTATACGGGGTTTTGCGATTTCGGAACGTATGGGGATCTCATGGGATGGAATCCGAAAGGCTATCACCGATATGACTTCGAGACGAGCACGTACTTCATGGGTATATGGCACCGCGGGGGGTATTTTTACATGAGAATTGCGCTGAAGGAGGGGACAAAGAACCCACTCTCCGCCTGGTTTGACGCAGTCAACCATGCCTATCACTTCGACTCGGCGCTCAAAGACGGGTTGGAGAGCCATTATGAGAACGAGATACCGCTGGGTTACGTGTCGGAGGAACAGAAGCAGACGATATTCGCGGCCATGACTGCTGGCGGTTGGGATCTCGAGGTGAACGCCCTGGAAACGAGGTTGCCTGTGAGGGTACGGGCAGGTGATAGTAGAAAAGGTGAGCCACTACCAAGTAGCTTTCTTCCACCGGCCGCAGTCTTTCGTGCCCGATACTGATTCGTCCAGGCCTCCATCCCTCCGAAAAAGACCCAGCACGTTTCAACGGACTCCCAGAAGCGAAACACGACTGATGAAACGGGGTAATGGTGTTACATGGATAGAGTTGGCCAGTCGGTTTCGTAATGTCGCCGAGAGACTCAGCCTCTGGCCGAGGGGCGGCAATGTGTCTTTGGGGAGTGGACTGGTGCGGCAAACAGGGCGGCGTTTGCACTTGTTATTCCAGTTGAGATACCACGATGGGAAACCTGGGTTTTTGTTTGTCGGTAGGGGCCTTGTGTTCTGTTGATTCAATATCGGGTCAGATGCATGCCTCGAGTCCTCCAGTCTCATACCCTCCAACTTCAATTGATGTTGAAGCTTCAAGTTGGGTAGGCAGACGCTTTCCACATCTCAACACCGCAATAATCCACTGAGCGGCATGGTACATCATACATGGTATTCATACAAACACGTAAACAACTCCCGGCCGAGTTCACTCCTACGAGAACCCAGCCGCCCGCATGGCCCGCATCTTGACACCCTCCCATGTGTTTAGCTTCGGCCGCACATCCAGATAAAAGTTAAGTTTCCCCCTGCCATGCCCGTCATTCCGCCCCGAATAAAAGTCGATGACGTATTCCACTTGGGTCCCACACCGGTCGATAACCCAGTCGTGCCGGTCGAAAGGCGCCGTGTATCCAAGCAGCGTGTTGATCCTGGCCTTGGGGCTCATGGTTGCGCTGCCCAAGCCCGCGAAGCTGTGCAACCTCGGCCCGCCACACCCGCCTTTCGTAACAGGCTCCACGTATGGTGCCTCCCATTTGAGGATCTCGGCCCACGCCCGTTCGTTGACGGCGTTGTGGATGGGCACGACCGTCCTCATGTCCGCCGCCGCCGCCTCGTGGCCTTTTCGCCTCATAGCTTCAAAAAATTGTTTTTCGGAGGGGTACACCCAATGGCCGGTCGACGAGGCCCCTGTCTCTTGTTCATCGTTGGCGGGACATGCCGCTGGGCCGGGGTCGGAGGTGCGGGGAATGCTGGAGATTTCGCGGGACTCGTCAAGGCGTGATTGTGTGCGCGGCAGTGCTTGAGCTGTTGACGGGGTTTGAGATTGCGCTTCTCGGGAGAACGACGGGAGGCGGAACCATGATGACCAGGAAGAAGTGGATTGTTGGGATGGGGCTGATATTGCGCTTGTTGTTTGTAGATTCTGTGGCGTTGAGGGTGTTGCCGGCGGTGCTGCACGCTCTTGTTGGGCTTGTTGCAACCACAACTCGCGAGTTTTGTGGTCGACGGGACACTTTGCTTCCTCATCCGCCGCGCCCGCCGCGCCCGCCGCGCCCGCCGCGCCCACGGCCTCTTGCCCGAGACCCTTCATTGCCGTCTCTGCTGCTCGCGGCTCGGCTGTCTTCGGGTTGATGTCGTTTCCCTGCGGCGTCGCGTTCTTGTGGTTGACCAAAATCGTGTCGAGGAGGTCCGTGTGCATTATGCGCGCGTCTTGGGGGGTTTGAATCGTTTATCAAGTCGCCGACATGGCGGGACTGGATGAGGTTGTGGAAAACAGAAACGCGCATGCATTACAGCCGACGCGGCCCGGCTTTTAGGGCCCCAGCTGTTGCCACCTGCTCGCTTTTGAGGGACCGGCTTGTGGTGGGGTTCTGGTGCAAGAGGCATCGAGACACCATGCACCGTCTTGGTAGACATACCTCAAACAGGGAACGGGGACTTGAGCACGGAAGCCCGGACAAAAGGAAAGGAGCGGAAGGCATGCAAGCTCTGGCTCAATGATGTCTGTGGCCCCCAAGTACGAAGTACGAACTTATTGTTCGGGGGTGGAATAGAGCTAAGCTCCCCACTTCAACGCCAGCCAGGTTTCAACGCTGCGGCCAAACCCGACTTATTTTGACTGCCGGCATCGACTGAGCAGAATACAAGGTGGTGAAGGTGTCAATGAAATGAAGTTCCGTACTGGCTTAAGGGTGTTAGAAGGTGTCGCTGATTCCAATAGATGGGGCTAATGTGTATGCAGGTAGGAACCGTCCGTGCCGTCATCGACATCGCTGAGCAAACCGTTGCGCTGATCTGCACCGAAGTCGCAGCACATCTCGACCCCAATTCGGTGGCAAACCTGAGGGGGAGGGGCTCGAGGGGTTGACAGGCGTGACAGGGAGTGTGATGGAATATTTTGCCATTGCTTATCCCGATCTATACTAACCCCAAGGCTCTTGCTGCTGCAGAGACTTGATGTCTCGACCAAAACCCGCGCGTGATCATCCGCTCTGGTTCTCACGACCCTCTTCGTAACATTCCTCATGTACATCCATACAGGATACAGGGCGCATGGCATCATGCGCCGACGCCACCAGTCCAGTATATAACAAAAGAAACGCCGTTTTCTGTGTCATGCCCCGAAACCCATTTCGAGGTCTCGTCAGTAGCCACGCCCCCGCGTGTCTTCGTGCATGCGTTATCATCGGTTGCGCCTAATCGCAATGCCTATGCCCGAGGCACATTGCGCCGTGCTCTTTGTGGCCGGAGCCGGCCTGGAAATCGCGAAAACCCCAAATCCCGAAGGACACCTCGCGAGAGTGATTCACAACCGGCCGCCGGGCCGAATGAGAAGGTATGTTGTAAAAATATAGATGTTGCTCAAACAAAGAGCGCGGCGCCACCTGTCTCAATTGCCTCGATCTCGGCAGCGGTTAGGGGCTGGCGGTGGAAGCGGGTGGGGAGGTCGTTGCGGTCGAAAAAGACGCCCTTAGGAGGGGCGACGGGACCAAGGTGGGAACCAGCAGCGCCACCGATGCCAGAATCGGCCTTGATGGTCTTACGGAGCGGCCCAAATTGCTGAGCGTGGTCGCGGTAGGCGCTGAAAGTAGAGTGCGAAGACGTTGTGAAGGAATCCGGAAGGGAGTTGGTCGGTGATGCAGGATGGGGCTGGGGAGAGTGGTCGACGGATGCTACCAGAATGCTCACGTTAGTCTTTTGTGTGGCCAGAGGCGCTGGCGCATCGGACTTACCGGGAATCGTGCGCTTGCCGATAAATCTAATGGAAGGAGTGCGCTCGGCGTGCGCAGCTACCTGGCGAAGAACCTTGGTGGTGAACATGGTCTTGGTCGGTCCGGTCGGGTTGGGTGGCGGGCGGGCGCGGGCTCGAATGGGTGGTGCGTGGTGTTGTGGATTTCCAAGAGCTCCCGTTGAGGATTTTGATCTCCTCGCGACGACTGCTGTCCTACGCGTGGTCCTGGGCGCAGTTGGGGAGGGCTGATGGCAATTGACAAGAGCAACGTGGTAGGACAGGTCGAGGGAGGAGAATTGGCCGGTGTGCGGGTTGCGAAGTTTGAAAAGCCGGAGGTCGGATCGAGGTCGAGGTCGTCTTTTGGAGGGGGGGGGGGGGGGGGGGGTGGTTTTCGCATTTCACAAGCTCCGAAAGCCACCACGCCATGTCCCAGGCTCAGCCAATGAGCTGTTTGGACCTTGCTTGGCCCCCCGAACGCCGGAGCGCCCACTGCAACGCCATCCCACCCCTGGTCCCGACTCTGGCCATTTGGGAACCGTTGCCGCGAGGAATCGCGACAACAAAGAGGAAAATGAAGGAAGCAAGATACGGGGATGAAAGCATCGTGTTTCCTCGTTCGGTGAGATTTCATTCGACATTTTACAATGCAGATTCGCATTTCTTCCGTTCCTCTATCATCTCGCGCTCCTCGGGACAGGAGCTGTGCTCGCGCGTGTCCAGCATTTTTCGCCTCCCCCACCTCCGAGGCACCCGTCCCGATTCTTCCCGTCGTTGAGCGCCAACAGCCGATCACCCAAAGATGTTGACTTACCAACAACCAAGCACGCGAATCAATTACCGTCTGACTGCTTGTTTGTCTGGGATTCATGAGGATCGAATCCTTCAACTTGTTTCTGCCCTACCGAGACACCCAGGTCCGCCATGCAGCCATGCACTGCGAGCATGTGCCGTTTCCATGTCGAGGCCCATCATTGGGTCCACCCTTATCTACTTTATCCCCCGCGCTTGTACATAATTTCGTTGACTCGGGGCAATTGACCACTGCCTTCCCCGCATTTCTGTATTTGTCTGCCTGCCCGGCCGGGCCGGGATGCTCGGCCTCTGCACTCGGCCTGCTGTCACTTCCTCTGTCACGTGGCTCCGTGACCACTTTCAATACTGGCCGCTGATGTTATTCAACTGCCGCTGACATCACTGTGTGCAACGCATTTCCTAGTGCCCAAGCAAACCCACACCTCTCATGGGGAGAGTTTCCTGGATGCAACTCGGAGGTTACCCACCTTTCGTGGAACGCCCTGCCCCGAGGTGCAACCCGAGGTTTACCATCTCGTTGATACCCGACAGTCAGCAAGTCAATGTTAGTCTACATCCGGATGAGCATTAAAAACCCTCACGGACGGGAGCTTCCGGTCACCGTGCCTCCCAATTATGTCTCCCGCAGTTAATTATCATCTCTTGTTACCTTAACTTATGTATCTCCTGTTCTAAGTCACACCTCAGTGCTCATGAGTTAACGCGTAATGGATCGTAGTTATTGTGGATTAGATGACTTCGATATTACCCCAGGAAACAATGATGGACCCCCGCCGGCCAATGTATATCGACCTCCGGAACTAACTGCGATTCGAATCCGTAACATCATCCGACAACCATAATAACCACCCGCCACCCCACCTGCACGGACGATGACTGCTCACTTATACGTAGTTATCCGACTGCCCGGCCGTGGCCGTAGCTGGAGTCGCTCCCGAACCATTGCTGACCGCACCTCTAGCCTGCGTAGGGCCTCCAATCTGTGACGTGGGCGGGTTTCCCGTCGTTCTGAAAATGTAACGGGTAAGCTCTTGTAAACCACGATAGTGTTTTGAACCTCACTCACGTGCTAGTGCTTCCAACCTGGCGCTCCCTCTTCCTTTTAGCCCACCAGCGAGACACGACGTAAACTCCCTATAAATGATGAGTAGGGAGATATGACCAACTTCACCGGCCGTAGAACTCACCAAGCATGCGCTGACTAGATACGCAAACATGGCCATAAACGAGAATGCCAAAACAGTTCGCCAGTGCCCGCATCCGGAGTACGCGATGTCCCCCGGCCCATCGATGAAAAAGGGGTTTCTCCACCAACCTCCCCAATAGTAACCCCAATAGTTCCAAAACCAAGGAGAGCTGCATGTTTTGGTACCGGTTCGCTAGAAAGAAAGTCAGTTCCCGAGTCATTTCGTCTTGACAGTGACGGGAAGCTAACCGTGATCAGAAGACAAAAGAGGACTAGCCACATGACGAAGAGGGCGAAGTCCATCGGAAATGATAGGAAGGAATATAAGAAAGGGGCGATGAAGACGATAGCGAAGACGATGCTAATAGATGCAACAATGATGCCGTATACGACCCGGCCATCTCGGGTTGCACCGGCCTCTGAGAGGACGCGCAGGAAACGAGCGAGGATGCCCACCACGATGATGGAGCAAATGAGCTGCCAGATACGCAGAGCCACTAGGGCTATTCTTGATGCGGCGCCCATTGCAATCGTTGATGTATTCGCCCCTGAGGGTGTGCAAGTCTTCGGGTTGAATGGTGTCAAGGTAGGTGTTATGATTGGGGATGTTTTAGCAACATCTGAAGACCACGGCACTCGGTTGAGGGGTTTCCTTTAAACTTCCCTAACCTTGCTTTGTTTTCCCAGCGGGCCGAATCAACACGATATACCAAATGACCTCATCTACTGTATTCGGTGGCCTTTCTTCATTGTTATGTCTCACAACTCAAAACGGCGGGGCTCTAGAACGGCCGCTTCGTAGAGTCCAAATTCCGCAACCAGTACAGTAGGGAAGATAACTGCCACAAACCGCAAGCGGCTAACCGTCGGCCACATCACATCGTCCTCATCTATCCGAGCTGTATTTGTGCATTTGGGAGCACCTGATGTACTAGCGATTCGTGAAAAGCACCACTACCACCAGTACTACTGCCAGAATGCAGTTCAAGAGCCTGAAGGTCGCGCCCCCCCCGCCGTCGTATTTTGCTGTCTGGGTTACAAGGTTGAATTTTGAACTTAAATAATAGCCCTAAGCTAAATCCTCTAGTCCTGTCACTAACGCCCGGTCCCGGTCGGGGCTGTTGGAGGAGGCCCTCCGAACCCGGGGTTGTATGCTGTCGGAAACCCGCCGGGGAAAATTCTGTCCAAGCCAGGAATTTTCGGGTTTGTCGTCACCATTTCACCGCCCTCCTTGAACCTCATCGCGGCAGCCATGATATCACGGGTGAAGGTGGTGTTCACGCCGAAGCTGAACCATGCGAAGATGCCGTCCTCCTGGAGGCTTTCTCCTAGCAGCACGTAGTTGAAGAATGGATCGGAGGTTGCAGCCTCCTGCAGCAGGATGTTGTCCGCGGCGTTCAGCATCAGGTTCTGTTTATTTGTGGAATACGGTTCAATTTGTTTGACGCTGTCGACGAGGGTCTGGTCGAAGAATACCTGGCCAACGTGTGTGACACGGGAGTCCCAGAGTGTGTTGTTTGCCCTGGCCGTGGCATTAAAATGGCTAATGACGTGAATGTGTGGTGCCCGTCCCTCGTAGTGTCCCGGAAAAATGGTTTGGAACTGGGCGACGCCATCTTCGTCCGTCTTCTGCGAGCCCCGGAGGAAGCTTCGGTTGAGGTTGGCCAAGTCAGACATACCAATGCCGTTGACGGTGGCGAGAGCGCCGGAGTAGACTCCAGTCGAGTTGGCATCTTCGCGTCAGGTTAATGAGCAATGAACTTGCAGCCGGCAATGGGGTCGACTTACTCCACATCTCAATGAAAGTCCCTTCTATCGGTTCGCACGTGTCGACGTCGATAAGCTGAATGTCGAGATGCAGCGGAACTCCTTGTTGATCTTCGACGAGTTCGCTCCGAACGTCTTCACCAAGAATGTCTGAACCGACGGCGGTCAGCTATGGCTACTGGATAATAGGCCGGGCCATCGTTATGCCCAACATCGACTCACAAAAAGGTCCTTCCGTTGTCTCGGGATTGAGAACGCAGGAGTTGTTTCCCGCAAAGACTTCTTTAGGATCAGTGGAAGCGTCAAAGTCTTTGTCAGACTTGTGAGATTTTCCCAGTGATGAGGTTTGTCTTGCTGCCGAATAGTATCAGCGCTGTACGTTTGTTCCGGTGTTTTCTCACATGGTTGATACCTTTCAGGGATTGAAGCGACGAGGGCGCCATTAACGAGCGGGCTCGAAGCTCGCGCCTCTGAGCGGCACGCTGATAAAGACCGCCAGCCAAATGCTTGCTCGAGCAGTGATCCAGACTATTGGTGTGGATATCGAGGAATTGCCGGCGCTCGGCGCGTTCACGGGCATGGTCATGACCAGGCCCGTGTGCTGATACCAAGCCTCCAGCTATGAGGAGACTTGCGAGGGCGAACCCGATCATGGTGGACTCTTGCTTACTGCTGTGTTTTGTGGTGACTGTTAGAAGAGGGGTACAGGGATGGAGAGTCTTGGGATCAGACAGATGCCTTGACCTTGGCCAAGTTGTCTCCTCATATTTATAACGGCTGACATCCCGCCATAGATCTACACTTCATGCCTAGCTCGGATGAACTGGGTGCCGGAAAAGGGATGGGGCTGCACTTTGCCTAGTGCCGTATTCATCAACCGAACCTTGAAGCTTGTACTGCTTGGTTGTCGACGTGGCCTTGAATACGCGCACCAATGTCGAACCACGAAGGCAGTCTCGGTTTAGGTCGAGGAATTTAGTCCCGCCTGTGAGAATACCCGTTGCCCAATTTAGCGTTCACAGGGTAGGGTATCCTGACTACACCCAAGCGAGGAGACTCGGGCAGCAGAGGAGACATGGTGTTCCCGAATCGTCGGGTATGTGCCTCCACCACCCGTAGGACAGCTGAGTCTGAGTTAGATTGCGAGATACAGGCAAAATGCACGCCGGAGACACGGGAGTCCCGGGATTAATGTCTTGGAGTTGGTAATGTTTGGAGTCTCTGGTATGGGTTGTGTTGGTGTTGCACGGAAATGACAACCCTTCATGGAATTCAAAATATCCTGAGGGACTCATCAAAAGCTAAGAAGGCACCGATTCGGACTCAATGTCTTACGACTTGCTTAGCAAGGTCAGCACCATGGTTTTGAAATGGTTTAAGTGATAGCCTTGAAAGTAGATGCAACAGATCAGTTACCTACGTTCATATGCATTCGGTCACCGAATCGCAGAGTTACGGAGCCAAAGCAATTCTTGTTGCATTTGTGATTCGCGCTATCCTCGGAGCTATTCAAACATACTCGTAGCATAGGTAGCCGCCCTTGATATCCATCACGTCCGCAACAGTGGCATTGGGAATGATTCCCAAGGAAGACATGACATGGTTCAGTGTCAGATTCTTCCCGCCATCGTCGCCACTTGCAGGGTCTGGAGTGACGGCCAAAATCGCCGACGAGGGGGTTCCCCACATAGAAGACTCCTGTTCCATCCCTCCAGGAAACTCCGAGAAGCCCACGTCTGGGTCCTGTGCGTTCAGTCCACCGATTTCCTTGTACCGCGTTTGGGGGTCCTCTGCTTGCCAGTCCGCCCACATCTTGTCAACAAAGCCATGGTGCATGAAGAACAACGGATCGCCTGATGAGGTGATCGAGTTTCCGTCCTATGAGCAAACCTTAAGTTAATAATTGAAACAAAACCAACAAGAGAAGAGCCAGGGCGTACCATCATTGCTAGCGACATGTGTCCTAGAAGATGAGGGCCGGAGTAGATGCCGTCAAGAACACTTTCGTAAGTGGTGTGATTGAGCGCCGCCGTGACAAATGACGTCCCGCATTGAGAACTGAAAAAGTCTGTAATCCTTCGGTTGACACATCGAGCCTCAGACCCAAATCCCGGCCCGATGTTCACCGTAAGATTTGCAAAGGGGCCGTTGGGGACACAGGGATCAGCTGCCTTGCCGCCTCCCCCAAACCCGGTAACGGGATCAAAAATCACACTCGTCGAGAAGTTCCCGGCGTCACGAGTTTCGTCCCAGTAGCTATTCCATGTTAGCAACTCTCCGTCCGAGACTCTAATACGGATAGGTTCGTTACGGAATAGCCCCTGTGTAGCCACACTCCTGCAATAAGAACTCGAGAGTCTTCAGGTAGTATCTGTGATACGGCAGGAACTGGCCGGTCGTATGGATTTGCAAGGCGTGGATCTGGTGAAGAGACACCAGCTCATCCCATCTGGTCTTGGCACCGGGGAGGAGATTGAGCTTCTGGGGCGAAGTCAGGAGACAGCGGTTAGCGGCAAGGTAAGCTTTCCTGTCAGCGTCACTTATGTCGTGCCTATGGCAACATCCTTAGCATTATTTAAGTGCGGCATTCCCACTCAGGGTGGAAGGAATAAGTCGAACCTACCAAGAGCGTCTCTGCTGTGGTGCTGTGCATTCAGGGTTATCGGCAAGCTTCGCAGGGAGGGCCGCAACGACCGCCGCACTGGCCACCGAGAGAACGAGGGAAGCAAGCAGCATGACGAGGAGTATCTTGTTAACCGTTTTCTGATGGCCGTCTCACAACAGAACTCGTTGTCATTGTGCTGCGCGGGAGGCCGCGATTTAAGGAGACTTCTGTGTGCTTACTGGGACCTGGGACTACTAGCCTCAAAGAAATATCATCAGTGACACGCTGATAGCTTCGATGAAACTCTGGGAATGAAGCCGCGGTGTAAGGGTCTGAATCGGGATAAGCGATAGGATAGGCTGAATTGCTGAGAACCAGCCGCACCCACCACGAATTTACCAGGCAGGCAGGCTGAGCTGTCGACACATCGTTGCAGGATTCACCCGGATGTTTGTTGCTTGATATCCGCACCAATGGAAAAAAGGAGGAACTACAACGCTCAGTACGCCGAGCTCGTGGGGTTCCGATGTCCCGGAAGCTGAGGGCGGCAGCTATATACGACTATAATTAGAAAAGGGCTAAAACTTCCCGGGAGATGTAACAGTCCAAGCCGTTCCTTCGGCTCTTCAACCGGGTAGCAGCAAGCAGCCGGGTGGGGACAAAACGAGGTTGAGGAGCCGTTCTTTAACCGCCGGAGCTGGCGCCGGGGGCAGGTAAGGAGATCATAATACCAATCTAAGCTTAGACTCTATCTAACACTTCCTTGTTTACTCATCTACACGTATAGATCGTCTTCTTTGCCCTTGTTCCTTAAGTACAGTCAATGTGGTCGTAATTTCCATGATGAGATATGTCGGACGGGTGCTTGCCGGACCGGCCATCAACGGGATCTCGGAAGGGGTCAGCGGAGTAGACACACCAAGTGACCTATACGGGAACCAATGGACTTCGCGTTTCATGTTGCCATTGGGGTGGAGAAGTAATTAATCTACCGGAGAGGCTTGACGAATTCATGGTGGTGGTTGACGCTCAATTATTTCATCCCCCGATTCGGGCTCCGTCGAGCTGCGGGTTGTCTATTCCAACGGGCTACGGACTAGCTTGGTAACAGTTGTTCCATCTTGAAGGACGCTAGTTACTTCCTCAAGCCGGTATTTCCGTAACCATGGCAAAAGGATTGTCAATGACGCCCAATACAAGAGTCCAAACGCAAGACTAAGATTTCAGTCAGTTCCTCTATCCGCCTAGGCAAGTAGCAAGGGCGAGTACTTACACGGACATGCCCACCAACGCATAGCTAACGCGGGATATATGCGAACTCCAGTCTTCCCCATTGTAGGGAATGAACGGAGCACACAACAGAGCGGTGGAAAGGAACACGTTAAACCAAGCAGCCGGCAGAAATGCTCGGTACGGGCGCTTGAGATCCGGGCGAGCTCGCCGCAGGCGAATTAAGCCTAGCGAAACAAAGAGGGAGAAGAATTGGCCTGGATAACCCTCTACTTCGAGAATGAACGAGTATATCTCTTTGTAGGGGATACATATAACAACAACAGAGGGGACATAGTGTAGGATTAGACCGCCCAGAGGTGATCCGAAGGGACGTGTCGACGAAAGAAGGTCCCCGAAAGGAAGGAGGCCTTGACGTGCAATTTCTTGGTTCAGGCGTGCCTAGGTAGAGAGAGGCCGATGTCAGCGTCATTTATAAACGACCTTCGGGGGTGGGCATACCAAAGCGAATGTAACGACCATGACATTGCCTGCTGCTGAGACCGCTATAGCCAAGGGAAGCAGGAGGTTTCCTAGAGTTTCGCCGAATACCCTCTCGAAAAATAATGCACCAACCAACTCTCCACTTTTCTTTATCTCGTCAAGCGGAATGACCAAGAAATAGGCAACGTTAATGAGCAGGTAAAGCAAGCAGATCGTCACCAACGCCGTCGGAGCCGCAGATCGAAGTGTTCTCACAGGATCTCGCACCTCGTTCAAGACGTTGTTGACATTCTGCAGACCGGCATAGCTGTAGAATACCTTGAACAGTGCCGTGCTGATGACGCCCCAATTCCAGACCGAGCCTTCCCAGATGCCATCCCATGTCGAGGGAAAGGCACGGAGGTGAAGCTCGCGGCTGAGCAACGCTGGTTCGCTTGGTGTGTATCTGGTAACGACAACGGCGCCTGCACAGACGGTCATGAAAATTACCAAGCCGATCTTGACCCAGCCCAGGATGTTTTGTACCGCAACGCCTGTTCGCATGGAGCAGGCATGGAGGGCGGTAACGCCGGTCATGAGGCCGAGGGCCAGAGCTCTGACTTGCACTGGGTGTTCGGCGGGCGCTTTACCTAAGGCGAATAGAAGGTATTCCCCAAATACGATGCAGTTGCTGGCGGTAAATCCGAGGATGACCGCATGTACAGCAACGAGAGTGGACGCAAGAAAGCGTGGGCGGCGATAGGTGAATTCGAGATAGACCTTTTGCCCGCCAGAGCGCGGGAGCATGCAGCCGTATTCGAGCGCAACCATCAGCCCAAACCAGCTGATGATTGCCCCAGAAACCCAGAGGAGCAAACTCAGTCCAATACTCCCGACGGAGCTGAAGATAGCTCCGGGAGTTGCGAAAATACCGCTTCCGATGACCCGAGAGATGATGAGAATGTATGCGCTGCTCCATCCCAGATTGCGTCCAAGAACTGCCGTTTCGGGCACAGCGTCGTCCTCTAGCGACCGGTGCGTATCGACATCGCCGGGTTGGTGTGGTTTTGCCAAGGAGGTATCAGCACCATAACGAGGACCTGAAGGTTCTCGTACACTTAATGTGTTGCTGAGCAAGGGAGTTTCTGCATCTGGTTCGCTGGAATCCATAGTTATCAAATTAGGCTGAGGGCGGGATGCTGAGATGGCAGCGCGCAGTTGGAGTAGCAAAGACAGCAGTGTAATCAAGGATTTGTCCTAAGAGTGAGAGACCCAAGCAGTGTGGCGGGAACCGTGACCTGTTCTAAACTCTAGTCTCGGTCTCGGGACTTTGACGAAAGTTGTTCCATTGTTAGGCAAGATAACAATTTGTCAGATCAGGCCTGACCAGCGTGGGAATCGGAGTGTTCGGAAGACTTTGTGAAACGCAAATGTGGGATTTCGCGTCGCGTGTATAAGATGCGAGATGGCGTGCTTAAGACTGCGACCAAGCAATTGTCCTGGGCTATAGCCACCCCTGAAGCCACCGTAGAGTAACTCCGAAGAAGGTTGTCTTTGGTATTTTAACTGATGGAATTGGAGACATGTTGTGAGTTAGGACAGTTCGGGTTTTGGTCTCTTGACGGCAAGCATAGTGGATGGTTTCGCTTAATCCCATATCCAGCTTATAGCCTTTACCCAGCCCCTTTTCCGGTCTAGATTATGCTCTGGGTAGTACTCATCTGCTCGTGCAAGGGCATCCATCAGCGGTATCTCGTCCAGGGATACAACTTTAGTTTTTCGAAAGACTTTCCAAAACGCATAGGCTGTGAGCACGATGGGGATGTCCCTGATTTTGACAAAGTTAGAACAGAACGTGTAGTTGCACGGCGGGAACGGAAAGGGCAGGGCTTACAAGTATGACGAGACAAACTGAGCAGGGTCCCAGTTGCCTGTCGTGAAGACGGTGAAGCCACCTGTTAGAAGAATAAGGATGCACATAAATAGTCCGGCCGGCGAGGAATATCCTGTAGAGAGTCAGCTGGTAGCCCCCCTGGGTAATGAACAGAATACTTACTTGTCCACCAGTTGTGCCACGGTAATCTCCTCGCGTCGATCCCTTGTCTCTCCAGAGCCTGCATCAAGCGGATGTGATTGAGCAGGATCGAAGACCATGAAACCAGTACTCCCGCCGCTGTTAACGAGACCAACCACCAGAACACGGTAATGGCGGCTTCGGATAGGCTCATGAAGCTGAGAAACATAAAGGCCGCAAACAGCAGCACACACACGTAGGGGGCACCCCACGGTGTCGTTTTTAGAAAGATGCTGGGCGCCTGTCCTTTGAGCGCTAGTCCATACAACACTCGAGTGCCTGCGAGTAATGCTTGGTTTGATGCCGACCAGGCCGAGGTAATTACGACGGCGTTGACAACAGACGGGATAGCAGAGATGCCCGCTTGCGAGGCGGCAATGACGAACGGGCTTTGGGCCACGCTGCTACCGGACCCGTCCAGACGTTCGTCGTTGCTCGGGACGAGCATGCCCACCACGAGAACTGCCAACATATAAAAGATGATGATGCGCGCAAACACGCGTTTGCAGGCGCGTGGTATCGCCTCGCGCGGGTTCTCTGTCTCGGCAGCCGCCATAGCCAACGACTCAACTCCCGCAAACGAGAACACTGCGCCGGTCATGACAGCCCAGAATCCCAGGAACTTTCCCCACTCACCGGTGGCAATGTGCTCGACAAACGGCCCCGGATCTCTCCAGTATCTGAACCCGATCCGCTCGGTTCCAGGAATACCCCCAAGATTGATCACCAAGCCTAGCACGATCAAGAACACCACCAACAAGATCTTGAGCATGGCAAACACAAACTCAACCTCCCCAAACACTCTCACAAACGCCAACCCCACCCCGATCGTCAACACCATGAACACTACAATGATCCACGCCGCGCTCACATCCTCCCACCAAAACCGCACCAACACGACCACCGCCGTCGCCTCGCTCGGGATGCTTAGCAGATTCCCGTACACCAAGTTCCAACCAATCGCGAATCCCCACGCGGGGTCGACCAGTGCCTCAGCGTGGCGCACGAAGGAGCCCGTGACGGGCATCAGCGCGGCAACCTCGCCAAGGGCGAATTGGACGGCGCAGACGACAAAGCCGACGACGGCGTAGCCAAGCAGCGCACCAAGCGGGCCGCCCCGTTGCACAGCGCCGCCGAGGCCGAGGAATAGGCCCGTTCCAATGGAGCCGGCGATACCGAGCATGGAGAGATGGCGCTGGGCTAGGCCGCGGCGAAGACGCGTTGCCTCGAGGATAGTGGGCGTGATAGCATTGTGTTCGGCTTGAGTATTATTAAGGCGGGGGGTTGTGTGGTAGGTTGTTGGGCTAATAGTAGTGTAGTCGGGGACGGGGCCGGCCTTGAGGCGCGTTGATGGGGTAGGTGAGGCGGCCGCGGCTTCGGGGTCCGAGTCTAGGTCGGTGTGCGTCGCGCCGTTGATGGGCTCGGGAGGCTTGATCTGGTTGAAGGGGCCCATAGCTAAGTGTGGTCGTAAAGGAACTGGGTTCCTCCGTTTGGGCTCAATCCGTCCCAATAGATAAGTAATAATACGAGCCTTGAGTGTGTTGCCGGTTATTCTTAGGTCTGGAATCGACCACAAAAGAAAACAAGGCGCTGTCCCGTTGACGCAAGAGAAAGTCGGGATTTCGTGCAGGCGGAGACCCACTTGAAGGAGCGGCGAGCGGGAACGTGAGATGCGGCCCGAGTCAAGGGTTGATTGACTCATTTTGATTCGTCGTGAAGAGTGGACTAAGTACCTAATTAACTGAACCGAGAAAAGGGCGTTGCTCGGATAGGAAGGTATTTGAGACATTAAGGTAGAGAGGATTACCCCGAAATGTGAACGACTCCAAGTTGGGATCGCGGAATGAACCTCTGGGGGGGTACGATTTCTTCAGACCCTTAGTCCGCGTCCACTATATTGAGCTCTTCGCTTCTATGGAAGATTTCATCAGGGTCCCTGGTGTCGGGCCTGTCGCTGCTGCTAACATCAATTCAATCCCTAAACGCAAACATTGGGATCGAGGTAAACCCTAGATTGAGATTGTCAGGTTGTAATTACTACTTATGTATCTACAGGCTGTCCGTCTTCGCTAGTGCGAGGGCTGGGGGGAGGGCTGGGTGGACTGCTAGGCGGAGGGCCAGGCGGAGGACGCCAGCGTGACAGTAGCCCGGAATCGGCCGCCGGATGGCCACCGGCAGAACTAGACTGCTGCCGATACCCAACCCGCGACTCCATCATCTTGACATAGTTTGTCTTGTGGCCCGGCCATCGGGCGCGTGGATCCGGCCAGTGTAGGGCATTGCGACCGTAGTAGATGGCAATCATTATGGACGTGACAAGGTTGTCGTCGAGCGCGTAGTTGACCAAAATCGTGATGATATCCTCGGGCACGTTGTACTTTGCGGCCGCGTGGAACGGGGACTGGCCCAGGACGTCTCGGGCCGATACCGATGCGCCCAAGGCGATGAGGAGCCTGGTCATGGCGAGATTCGTTGTCTCCATAGACAGGTGGAGCGGGGTGCATCCCTCGGGCCCGGGGAGAGATGCGCTGGCGCCGCGGGCGAGGAGGCGTGCCGCGGCGTCACTGTGCCCGCATTGAGCGGCAAGGCAGACGGGCGTCATGCCATAGTTATTGAGAATGTTAATGGGGTGGCCGTAGTCGCAGATTGTTTCGATGAGTTCTGGCATGCCTTGCCATGCAGCAACGTGGAGGAGGGTGTTCCCTTCGCCATCTATCGACTGCACGGATATGCCACTCGAGAGAAGCCGATGTAGCTTGATCATGGCGTCTCGTTGCTGGCTCTGGCGAATCTGGAGTGCTACGGGCTCGAGAACGTTGGGATCACTTTGAATGAGGGTGCCGCCCCAGAAGGCAGTCCTGTAATCTGATTTACTCCAGGGTCGATCGTCTGGTGAGATGGCAGACATAGCCGAATCAGCCGAGGGCATGGCATGGGGTGCCTGGTTCGTCTCAAGGGTATGGAGAATGCGATTGCAGAGGAGGGCGGTGCTAACGCAGCAGGAGATCAGATGCCGGTTGTTGAGGATATGCGGGCCCAGTCTGTCTCTGTTAATCTCCTTGATAATATCTTTATAGGCTCTAGCACCAAATCCTACGCCGGACAGACTAGCGGAAATACGCCTCCTCGATATAATCTGGACGACCCGGTCTACGGAATGGATGAGTTGGTTGGGCAGTACGGCTTCCATCCTTGCCTCGGTGGTGTAATGAGGAAGAAAGCGGATGTAGTCCTCGAGCCAGTCCATATAGTGTGTTTCGTCGATAACGACGAGTCTCAGGTTCTCTCCCACCCTCGGCTTGGTTAACTGCAGGATGCAGAGAGTATAGACACATGCCCTGGTGATTATGCAATGGCCGATCGAGGTGAAGCGGGCCCGGGTGCGTTGAAGATACGTACGCCCCCTGTTACGAAGAACCCGTGGACGGTTTCATGGATAGACTGTAAGTGGTGAACCCGGTTGATCTCGATCAAGCCCCTTAACATGGTACGAACCATCCGCCGGATTCGCTCTATGTCTTGATCCCACGATAAAGCAGACCTTTGCGCTATGCGGGGCAGGCCATCTATGGCATCGTCTGGTTCTTGGAGAGCCTCGTCTATGAATACCTGAAGAGCCGTAGTGCTCTGAGCAGGAATCGGTTGTTTAGCCAGCAGCACCAAGTAAATGAGGGATCTAGACTTGAGCCTCTCTTTCGAACCTAGGGTACGGATGAGGCCGGAGAACAGTGCAACGAGGTTATGAGGCACCTCGGCCAATAACCTCTTGATTTCCTACAACGCTCTGCCTTCGTCGACATCTCGTTTGTATTGGAGGAGCAGTACTTTTACAGGGATGCTTTATTAGTTGCGCTGGTTGTGGAGGAGGGTGCGACGAGTGTGAACGTATACTTGCTGCGGGATGTGTTTTACGACTGGTATATAGGGGCGCGGGTAGAGGGGTAGGGGAGGACGATTAGGGTGGATGTTATAGGCTTAACGGATATCCCGCTATACCTGAAGGGCGGCGTCATCGTGCCGTTGAGGGCGTAGGGTGCTACGACTATAGACGAGCTGAGGTAGAGGGATTTCAAGCTGGTCGTTCCTGTAGACAAGGATGGTACAGTAAAGGGGAGGTTATATATAGACGATAGAGTAAGCTTAGTATAGAAGGTGGTTACGGATATCGAGTTTGAGTATGCCTAGGGCAAGTTAGGGGTTTGGCGGGAACCTTAAGATTGATAAAATTACCGTTTTAGGTAAGGGGAAGAAGGGGAAGAGGTATAGGAGCAGCGAAAGTAATAAGGTTAGTATATAGGTTGATCTGCTACTGATAGGGGAGTTTGAGATTGATTTGCCTAAGCTGGACTAATGGGCTGTATAGTATTAAGATAAACTAACTGAGCGATTAAGTAGTAGTATAATATAGCTTCAGTAAAGGAGAATAAAGAGTATTAGACTAAACATTTACACTTTTAGTTAGTACTAGGTAGATCAATTAAAGTTATATTCTCTCTATACTAAACTCTAAATTAGCTACTACTACTAAAGGTATCTAGGTAGTTAGTTTAGGTCTTTACTTCTATTATCCCCTTTATCCTCTATATCTTTATCCTCTATATTATTATCCTCTATATTAAAGTAGCGATACACCTCAAAACCACATACACTACCAAACACTTACAGTGGGTTACGTACTACACACATATTGTAATATCAATGTTATATAAGGGAGGAATTAGCTCAGAGAACAATCTTCAATACCACAGATCCTATGACCCTAGAATCAATATACCTATATATATAGCCTTCTGGTCAGAAGGCTGCTGTCACGGATATGGTCGCATGCAGACGGCCCGGCGGGGCACGCTGGCAGTGCCCCGAGCCAATCAGCAAGGAATGGCCTTCTCCAATGAGAGCTGGATCGTGAGCTCTGGCCGCGATCCAGGAGTGACCAATCAGGAGTGGATCATTGGATCGAGAAGCGATCTAATGATCCAGGACGGATCGCAGGATCATGAGAATATTCTTCGATCCAGGTACAGAGGTACCTGAGGATGTAGATAGTATATAGTCACTCGTTCTGGAGAGCTCTGGGAGTTCTCCAGTTAGCAATCACAACTACAGTTCGCTACAAGCTCGAGAGCCTACTGTTGAGACAAGTCTTTGTTGTGCACCCTTTGGCTGCACCGAACCTAAGCACCCTTGAGAGAATACCTTCGACCGATACTGAACCCTAACAGGACGGGTCCAGAGACAGGTTCGTCACACGTTGCTAACTCCCTTTGATCTGTTACAGTTCAGGCTCGAAGGTAAAACGACATGGCAACTCAACCGACGCCGGGCCAGATCACGGCCGCGCTTCAGAGAGTCACCGAACGACTCGATGAAACTGAAGAAGAGCTTGCGAAGACCAAGGCCAGCAACGCGGCATTGGCAGCCCGACTTGCGGCGACCGAGGTCCACACCAAGGACCCGGCCAAGACAAAGGTCAAATTGGAGCAACCCGAGAAGTACGGGGGCGACCAGGAAGCCTTGCCAGGTTGGATCACGGAGATGCGGAACTATCTCGACCACAACTCGCACCAGTTCGCCACTGAGGAATCCAAGACCAGATACGCCGCCACCCGACTCAAGGACAAGGCCCTCAAGTGGTTCACGGGAACACTGAGTGATTTCCTCGGCGGAGCAATCCACAAACCCTTCACCAAAAAAGTCTTCGAGAACTACTCCGAGTTCGAGAGTGAGATTCAGAAGGTGTTCGGTGACAAGGACGAGAAGCTGCACGCCCAGGAACGGCTAGGACGGCTGAAGCAGACTAGGTCAGCCACCGCCTACGCCACGATTTTCCGACAAGACTCCATGAAGGCAGAGATAGACGACGAGGGGCTGATGCACCTGTTCTACGGAGGGCTGAAGGAGGAGGTCAAGGACGAGCTCTACAAGGAGAGCCGACCCGACACACTCGACGAGTACATCGCCATGGCTGTCAAGATTGACGACCGACAGTTCGCCCGCAAACAACAGAAGAAGGGCAGCGAGGTTCAGCGATCCGCAGGCTACCACAAGCCCAACGACAAAAAGAAACGCCAGCACCAGAGCACGTCATACGGCACGCACTCGGGACCCATGGACGTCAGCGCTGCCCAGGCACAGTGGGCAGGAAAGAGAGATGGTGCCAAGGACAAATCAGGCATCACCTGTTACAACTGCGGGAGGAAGGGTCACTTCAAACGTGACTGCCGCAGCAAGAAAGAGTGGAGACCGGTTCCAGGGAAGGAAGCTGCCACCATCGACCAAAACACGGTCGGAAGAAGAACCCGATTTCTGGAGGTCGCAGCCGCCAGCTACACGCAGGACGACCTCGAAATCGACATTGACCGAGTCATCGAGCAGGACGATGAACTCACCGACTCGGATCAAGGAGACTTGATGAGCAGCAACCACCAGGAGGAAAACGACACCGCCCACCATGCTTTCATCGAGACGGATGACGAGGGAGAACTGGCTCCCCCGCGGTACATCCGACAAGTCGCTGAGGAATGGGGCATCACCCTGGTTCAGCAGGAGGACGGGCAATGGCGAACCCACGAGGGTGAAGGAGGAGTCAGCCCGAACCTCACCTTCCTACAGCAGAGGGTCCTAAGCCAACGGCAAAGGATCGAGGAGTTGTCGAAAGAAAAAGAAGAACTCGAGCAGCTTCTCCAAGAAAGAAACGACCAGTACGGACAACTTTGCGCGGAACTCGATTTCGCCAGAGAACGAGTCCAAGAGATCACCGAGGCCAACAACAGGGCCGGGGATCACGTCGAAAAGACATTAAGAGAGGCACAGGCCTTGCAGGACGACATCCGCCAGGCACTCCCGGATCACACTCCGTGGGATGGACCCACCGAAGAGGCGGAGGAATACGAAAACGGAGTGCGATACCCCGAGCGACTTTTCGACTACGCACAGGAGCAAAATGCGACGAAAGGAAGGAAACAGCAGAGCTGGGAAGAATATTGGACTCGACATCAGCACATCGTGCGCACCGGACGACAAACCGCTGACCTTGAATGGTGGGGTTTCCGGGGCGAGAACAACACGGAGGGATTCCAGTTGCTGCCAGAGGACCATGAGCGGGTGGACCCACGAAAGGAGAATCACATCTACCTGCCCTGGTTCCAGTGCATCGCGCACGAATGTCGGTACCACTTCCAGGACAAATTTCGCAACAGTTTCTGGCCCACGAGGGAAGAAAAAGGAATGCAACCCCTACCCATCAGATGGGTATACGACAGCGGCGACGCTCCCGCAGGCATGTTGTGGGACACCCAACGCACTCACGAGGGCAGGCTGAGGGTTAAACCCAAGGCAGCCTGGCCCCGACGCTGTATGGCGGGCGTAGGAGTCAACGAATGCCGAAGCGCAGACTGCCTACCACACGCCGACGAGAAAATCTGGGGATACATGGAACAGCAATCCCAGAGGAAGCCACACCAGAGGACGAGAACGTCCCGAAGGAACGAGAGGCGCCCAGTTGAGGCATGGGCGGCCCAATGGCTCCAAGAACACCAGACGATTGACGCCGCAAGCCAAGGTGCGGACAGGGACGCCTTGAAACACCACGAGAGCTTGGGAAACGGCTCAGGGCCCTCCGAGGGGCCCGGAAATCTTTAACTCCACAACAACGAAGACAGGCTGCGCAGTACAGGAAGAACTGGCGCAAGCAGAAGCCTTACAACGACCTCCCAGCAGACGAACACGAAGTAGCTGCTGTACGAAGCACCAAGCCAGACAACAGGCTCTGGATCACAGCGCGATGGGGGAAGATCGAAGCCCTCGCGTTAGTGGATGGAGGAGCGCAGATGGATCTCATCTCGCCCGCATTTGTGAATCAACTCAGAATCCCATGGAGGATCAAGAAGCAACCACACGTCGTCAAAGGACCATTCGACACGCAATGGGTACGACGAGAAACAGAACCACTCGACATCGAGGTGGAGGGAAAAACCACCCAAGTGGTATTTGACATCGTGAACATGGGACCAGAGAAAGACATGATTCTCGGACGCCCATGGCATGAGGATTACGACCCAGACATCAGTTGGAAGGGAGATGGCCATCTGCGACCGCGGGAACAGCGGGAGCATCCGACCAACTCGATGGGAGAACGCGCAGAACAGGAGCCACGGGAGAGCAGCGGGTCAGAACGAACCCCCTCTACGGGCCCACCGCAGGAAGCAGCCAGTGCAGAACCACGCACTCTGGAGTCCGGAAGAAGCGGCACACGACGAAAGAAGCAGACACGGGAGGAACGAACCATCGCCGTCGTCTCAGTCGACGAGCACGGAATGCTCAAACACGAACAATGGGTCAATCAGCTCGAAGCGGCAAGCATCGAGCTGGCAGCAGAGGAAGTCAGGGAACTCGAAGCAGCAAGCATCGAGCCTGGGAACAACAAGTTCGCGTACTACGAAGGTACGGCGAAGAGCGCAAAGACGGGGCAGATCCCAGACGACTAC